TCTGTAATATTTTGCATAGCTAATCTGAGTCTGCCACCTATTGGAGAGAGAGAAAACTGCCCACACAAGCCACAACAAATACTTAATGGGAATAAAAATAGCTTCACACCTTAACAGATGAAAAATTATCAAATAGATATTTTTATAAAAGCAGATGGACACAAAATATAAAAAGAGAGTATTTTGTCCAGATTTAAAGCCACACATGCTGGGAATAGAAATTTTAAAAGGGTCCGCATTTAAGATCAACCATCACATCATATGCTGTCAACTTGAAGAGTGCTGCACTGCGGCTGACCCTGACCTCTGACCTCAGTGTGGAGGCGCCACGCAGAAGGCATTCAGTGGTTAATAGATCTGGTTAATCAGTGTTTTCTTGAGATCTTGTACCACAAAGCTCCACTTTCGTCATGTCTCTGTGCAGTAATGTAAGACAACTGTTACACTTGGCGTGATGAATGTGGGTTAAAAGAAGAAACTGAGCAGACGAACTGATTTGAGAGAGATATTAATGAAATAACTAATGAAATCAATCATAAAAAGGGAGTACCTCTTGGCATGTTCAGGCTGTTGTTGCCAAAGGAAGTCTCAAATATGGCTTTATTTTCACCCTTCTAAATTTCAAACGCTTGAGTCACAGTATGACTGATGCACCCGCTGGATCCCGGTCCAAAACTCTCAGGATGTGGATCTGAAAGTATTTGAAAGGGAGAGTGGAGCGTTGACTCAGTGACCGACAGACGGATGGACGGAGGTGAAATTAGGTAGTTGAAGAGCTCATATTATTCCAGTGCTTATAGGAGTATCACATAAATACAGCACTGTGTTCACTAAACAGGCTGCACGCGCTACTTCCTGTGTTTGTGTGAGTCAGATACTACTCATGACTGAATCAGCCTGGCCTCACTCCCCCCGCCCACTAACCTCCATCCGCCCCCTCACAGAAGTATAAAAGACACCCACACACATATTCCCATCTCCGCCCACCTTGCCTTTCAACTGCTCCCACACTTTTCCTCTGCCCTCCCGGCGGATTTTCTCTCTCTCCTGCTCCTTTCTCCCTCCTTTTTTCTCCCTCTCTCCTTTTTGGAGGATGTGAGTGGCGTGTGTGTATGTGTGTGTTAGTCATGTTCAGGCTCATCCAGGGCCAACAGCAGCACAAGCACAAGGGGGAAACCCGGGCGCAGGCAGGAATAGGATGTTTTGTCCACATCTGTTAGTTGGTTTGGCTGCAACAGTCTTGCGGTTTACACAGCGCCTAAAAATGGCTCGAGCTGGAGGAGAATGAGCTGCTGCAGGGGAAGACGGATGAGCATAGGGCAGGAGGACATAGGTGGGGGAGGGGTGAACATGCCAAAGTGGGCCAAGACCCCCCTGATGGTTAATAGGATTCTGTCTGCCCTGAACTGCCGCAGAGTTCATGAGGCAGGAGACGGCTCTGAGGAGGACGTCTGAGGTGGAAGTGTTTGTCTTTCAGGAGAATGATTAGCATGCAAATTCAAAGTGACTCACGCCTTTGTTTTTTGTTGTTTTCTTCTGCCACAGGTTGGAATCCAAAAAAACATTCGCTCTGTGATGTGAGGCACTGTGATCCCACTCGGCGGGACTTTCTCACAGATTTACAAGCCGACATAAATCTTCTTTAAGATCCTGACATAAATGGTTCCAATTAAATCCCATTCAGCGTCATTAAGAGCTCAAGTGTATCGAAGGAACGCAAATTTATTGAGATTGTAATTTATCTTTATTTTCTTTTTACGTTTGATTGCTCTTTTAAAGACTAAAAAGGAGCATCTAACGATCACGTCAAATGGGAGATGAATGACACCGCCCGACATCTGTATCGGAAATTAAATCTTAATTTATTAAGCGATTCTTTAAAAATTACACTTTTCCGATGACAAGAAACATTGTGGAATAACAGGAGGAAAACGTCCCATATTCAAATTGTTCATTCAACTGTTTTGGATATAATCTAACAATATTATTCGTAATCCGGTTAGGATTTTATAGAGGACCTAAATCTAGTTTTTGCAGCATTAATGCGTAAGAAATCATTCAAATGAACCCAAAAAAAATCAGAATAATTCAAGCAAGATTTTAAGAGCTTTTAAATCCAGATATTATCTTCAAATATACATTAAAAGCAGGTGTCTGCAGTGATTTATCTTTTTTTACTTTTATTCCATTTACTCATATATATTTTGTTTCAGCCATATGCAAATGTTTCTTCCCACCATATCCTCCTTGACACATTACCCAGTCCCCTGATTGGTCTCCAGGTGGTGCCAGTGGTTGAGGAGGACAACATTCCTCACATACACACACTCACACACACACACATCCACACACGCACAGAGCAGACCTATTTCCCTGTCTCCATCCACACACATTCTGAGGGACTGGTATGGCAGAGATGTGTGAGGGTGTGGGGGATGGGGCTGAAGTAGTTGTGGAAGATAGAGAGGAAGGAAGTGAATAGAGTGAGAAATGGGGAGGGATGGGGGTGGCATGCAAGGCAAGCACATGCTGAGCGGAACATTGGACTCATTGAGAAAAGCACTCTCTCCATTCATGCTCCAACCAATCCCCTTCTACCAAACTCCCTCTCCTCTACTATCATATACATACAGTATATGAGACATATTTGTGCTATCTGCAGTGACTGTAATCTAACATGTTTGTTTAATCTCAAATTATTTGTGGTGAGCCGTGACAGGAGAGGACAGAAAAATGAAATACACACCGACCACGGCAAATGGCCGCTTGTGTCCACTCTCAGGTCACTCTGCAATATCAGTATCTGTTTTCAATTCCAGAGCCGAGGACCCATCAGCTCCAGATGGGCGGTCATTTCCATGTGAAATCTTTGTGTGAAAATACCAGTAGGTGGTTCGATCAGAGCGCACTTTGAAGGGTCTCCTCTGTATCTACCACACCCTTGCAATAGACATCTGATGTTTCTGCTGTTATGCAAATATTCATAGCAGCACTGGCTGAGAGCAACATGGATCCTTGACCGATATGTTTTTTTTATTTAATGAAAAAAAAAACTACAGGAATGAAATAAAATGTACCTTTTTCACTGTTTACATTTTGAATCCACTCACTATTTAAAACCTTCTTCAAACTTTAAAGCCTCATTAAGATGGAAAATCTGTTTTCAAAGCATTTGAGTTAGATTCGCAGTGCAAGTTTTACATATCTTTAATAATCCGTCAATGCGACTTTATGACTTAGTGATTTTATCCAAGAAGCGACTGAAGCAACACAACAAAATAATAAATAAGATAATGAAATGAAACATAGATTTTCAACAGAATATCTATCTTGCATTTCCGTTTCTTGCTATGGTTGTCTTCTCAAACTTGGTATGTTATTTCACAAGCTGCTAGAAAATGTCAGAATCAACTTAAAGATACTGTTGATGTTGGGTAAATATTCAACTTTGGACCATTTATTTTTGAAAGGCAGTAAAGTTGGTCACGACTTTGCAAAGTTATCCAACATATCTGCAGCATAAAGAGCGAGCTCCCTGTTTCTGCTTAATTTTTCTCACAAGACAGAAAAAAACTGAATCAATTTAAACAAAATTCATTTCCACTTAATATTTATTAAAGAAAAAAAAGATTCATGCATGGTTTAGAAAAGTTTGTGCTGTAGAAGTAAGAATCCTTTTCCTCTCCTATATTATGTGATTGCAGTATAAAACAGTAAATAAAGTTGCTTTGAAACCAAATAGGGACCTAAAGTAATTTATGTTTATATGTGAAGATGCTGCAAAGTTCAGTCATAAAGTTTTATAAACTGCTGCTTATTAAAAAATATACAATCCAAACTTCTGAACTAAATAGCTGCTCAGGGTTCAAGGCAGACAGCAACAGCTCTTCAAGTTCAAAGCAGATTTAAAGTGAAATTATTTTCAGCAAATCTTGGGAAAATAAGTAAGGTACTTCCCCCTGTACTTGTCCCACCCTCAGTTTTATGTGTACCCTCGTGTTTACCTTCCTTTTATAGCTTGGGATGAATCAGGATCAATTACTCATATGTATTTGGAAAATCCCACAAAAAGGCTCAGTCAAATTCAACTGACTGCTCTGTGGTTTCACAGAGTACATGACTCAAATACTGCACAGAGGTAAGGCTTTCAGAATTTACACCGGAGTTACATAATACCACACTATTCCTCCAATCTGCTAGATTTCAGCGAGATATATTTGGCTTTTTTACTGTCTTAATTCAACAGATCATAACAATCTGAGAGAAAAACACTGTTGCAGAAACAGAAACATGACTTTGCCTTTTTTGTGCTATATTTTCTTTCTTCTGTGCTGTTATTCCTTCACATGCTCTGACTGATTAAATTACAGTAACACAACAATAAAGGGGTAGGACTTGATAAGTGTTATCAACTTCATCCAACTTTCAAAAGTATGACTATCTCTAATTGTTATTTCTGCCAAAGCGCATTGTATATTGTATTAATTTTGTTTTTCTTTTAACCTTTTCGAACAAACATATAAACTAAACCAAACTATAACTTTCTGTCCTCATTTCTCCCAAGATTTACCTGCCTTATTGAATCCAGTTTCTCTGTGTTTCTACGTGTTTCTCCTTTGACTGGTGAACTTTCTGCATACTTCTCTCACTGCTGTAGCAGACCATGTTTTGTGGGGGAAATAACAAGAAATGCCTTTCTGGGCTTAAAACCGGCTTGTTTACATTGGGGGAGGTCACAGTTCACTCACCATCTCTGTGGAGACTGTGGTATGTAGGTGATGGAGGTGATGTTGCCGGTATACACACCAATGTAAACCACAGTTTTAACACGAGGACTCTGTTTTGTTGATGCAAGTGTATACTTCAACTTTTCGCACGTGTTTGTGGGTGTTTTGTGATCAAACCTGGGGGGGATATGAAGGATCCTGAAGGAGGAAGAGTAGGAGGAGGGGGTTGTAGGGCTCCTCCAGTGCTGTTGGTGGCCCATTTATCATATCTCCGCCCTCCAGTGTTTCAGCTCCCATGAGGGCGGCTCTTTAAATTGCCCCAAAACTGCTCCTGGCTGGCGCCTTTTTCCCTCCCTATCTGCTCGAGACAGGGCGCACGTGCCAGAAGACGTCGTCGGATCAAACTTTTACCATCCGCAGGTGAGACATTAAAAACATTCACCTCTTCAAAACGTGAATTTTAGCGGTGCTTTTTTAATTCAGAAGTGCTTTTTCGGCGCTGCATGAGCTGGGATTTGGAAGGGGCGGGCAGTGTGTTGTCTGACGAATAAAAGCTGTAGCCTATAGATCGGTGCAAGGCTTTTAACCGGGTACAGCCAGCCGGGCTTTAAGGAAACATTTCGTCTTAAATTGAGAGCAGGGGTTGTAACTGAGCGATAGAGGTGAGTGCGAGGAAACTGTCGAAACTCTGCATGCGATAGTCGTTTAAGAAATTATCCTCTAAGTTTGGTTTGAAGCGCCGGAGCTCCGGTGAGAGGCTGTGCTCGCATGCTCTGAACGCGGAGCCGTCTATTGTTGCTCCGGCCCGGGCTTTCACCGCCGCGGGTGAACCCAGTTACCTCTCTCGCCTGCATATTTCTCCGCGTCCTTGCATGGTTGCTTTTAGCCTGCAAACCCCGTAGAGCACACACACTAGCCATTGTGAGTGTATTCAGCGTTGTGGAGATAGTTTTTATTCGCAGGCCCCGATTAACCGGCCACAACAGCTAGGGCCTCTAAACATGGTCAGTGCGGGGTTAGGCAGCGTCGGGTCTAGCCGTGTTATGCAGGACTTTGTCGGCCTCAAACCGCTTTGAAACCCCCGAACCAGTTTGACAGATATCCCCCGTTTTCGAGGCACTGTCGCCGGTGTAACAGAGCGCGGATGAGACCGAAATAGAGCTGGAAATAAGTGCGGATTAATTGAGTTAAACCGGTTCGGTTTGTTGTTGCGGTCAATGAGTTTAAATGCCCTGGTATTCTCTCTCTCTACTGCTGTGTGTGTGTGAGTGAGTGAGTCTGTGTGTGGATGTGTGTGTGGGTGAGTGGACTCGACGCCTATCCTGCAATAAGCTTAGACGGCGTGATTTATCTCCTGTAGGTCTGTTAAGGAAAAAAGAGCAAGCATGAGCGACAAGGGGACAGTTTCACCGAAGGAAAAGGAGGCACCAGAGAAAAGGGGGCGTGGAAGACCCCGCAAGCAGCCACAGGTAAACACCTCTGACGTAAGTGATTTATATTTACATTTGCAAGATTTAAAAAAAAAAAACTAACTTGCATGGTTTTGAAGTATGCATGCACAAAATCAGACCCACATCTCTTCCTGCATAACAGCCAGGTAGATCTAGCAGGTAGGATGCGCATGATGTAAGCCCCCCAGATCAAATCCTGATCCATCATTACTCTAAACATGGCAGCAGAAACCATCTGTGACCATTCTCTCACCTGTTATCTGTGTAAATGTAGACGCCACGCCACAAACTTCCTGTGTGTCTCACCAGGTTTGTAAGCAACCTGTAACCCAACACCTTTAAACTGGTTTTAACCCCCCACCCCTCTCCACCACCACCTCCTCCTCCTCCTGCTTTACAAACCCACCTCTTCTCCGCTCTCCTCTCCTCGTCATGTAATGGATGACATAGCAGCGTGGAGGCTCAGAATGGCTCATATAGCTGTCACTCAGCGCCGGGTGTTTTAGGATTGAATTGCTCAGTTGCTAAGAGCTGCGGTTGTAAACACTGAAGAAACGCAACAGGAGATGAGTCGGCCATGGCATAACTTACAACCACAAAATTGCGCATGAACAAGATGTCTGCTCTCGCACTGAGGTTACCTTGCATGATGGTATTGCTGATAATCCCCTAAAATATCAGCTTCTATGCCCTTCTGTCTACACCTCACTGCGGTTGCTCGGTCAATAGTTTTCTGTCTGTGTGACCAGACGTCACGTCAGACAACCTGCAGCTTTGACCACCTGTCAGCCTCCTGACCGAGAAACATGCATGCATGCATACAGTGCTTGCAACTACTATAAAGTGCAGCTTTTATGTAAGATATTGATGTAAGCTAACTCTTTGCTTCCTCTGTCTTGAATCCTCTAGGAACCAAGTGGATCTCCTACTCCAAAGAGGCCTAGAGGACGGCCGAAGGGCAGCAGAAACAAGACCCCCAGCAAGGGCAAAGTGAGTCACCCATGTCCAGTGTCATGATTCGAACTAACAAGCACCCGGAGTCATCATGAGGCATAGTTGTGTTGTCTTAGTTCCCCTTTTCTTCGAACGTGATGCGCGTCGGTTGATGAGCATGTAACGGCAGCTAACCTCATCCTCTTAAAAGGACGTCCTGCTGTTGCCTGTGATATATCTGCTGGCTGCGATTTAGCTGCTTCCTTTTTCAAAGTGTCAGAAATAGCCCGGCTAAGGTTTCCTATTGTAAAAGACCTCTGTTTACAGCCTCACCATTTCTTTTTTTTTTTGTCTTAAGAGATGCTCACTGTGCACTTCCTGTCCTCCAGCTTCCTGCAGCTTGTCATGCACAGTGCGGTGCAGGTGCAGAGGCCGCAAAGACTGTTTCCAAGCTGACACTAAGCACCCCTCCGCCCCCACCCAGCACACAGCCCTAGTTCTTCTCTGCCTGTCGTCTCCATAGCAACAACTGATTTTCTCCCTCGCCCCAGCCCTCCAGCTCCCCCGTGCGCTCTCTCGTCTCTGCTATGTATAGGAAAACGGAGACGGAGAGGGAGAAATCTGGAGAGGAGAGCGCAAACATGTATGATATAGGTTTTAGCAGCGAGAGCCAAAGCTGTGGAGGGTTTGTGTCTCTGCGCAGTTCCACCAGCTGTCTCTGAGCCTCAGACCAGGTGGCCAACGAACTGGAGTGCCCTCTGTGCAGTTCCTGTCGGCCTTCCAGATAATAGCCAATGAACCCAATGCCCCCTTTCCTTCTGGATCTTTAGAAAGCTTCTGCTGCCATCTGCAGGCTGCAGCAGAGAGAGCTCCCTGAGATATGCGTTGTTTACACCTCCAGGCTTTTGCAACCGAAATATGGAGCTCGTTCGCTTGTGAAAAACGCTACAAATGCATGTTCCTGCTGCTTCTCTTTCTAACATTGGTGTTTTCTTTCCACAGAAGGCAGCAGCAGCCCCATCTGCAGGTGGAAAACGCAGAGGAAGACCTAAGAAGGAGGTAAGGGAACAGCCAGGGCTCACATGGGTTTAACGATTCCTCCACAAATTGAATTATGATTGGTATGAATGTCTGCAGGGCGGAATTGCATTTATCCGATTCCCCTTCTGCCTCCTTCCTTTTTAACTAGCCTTTTTTTTTTTCACACACCAGTTATTTTTGATTCCCAGTAGCTTCCGGATCGTGTAATTTTTTCCAACCTGTGAAATAACGGCACAGTTTTCTTTCTGAACCAGCGAAACGAGCCACCAGCCGGTCAAAGATGCAGCTAATCTTGGAAAAAATTGTGGTCTTGTAGTAACATTCTGTCATGTGCATGAGTGGTTAGGGCGTACTCTGAAAAGAAGACGTCTGGATTGAATTAGTCACAGAAAGGAATGACCCAGAGTTACCCTCCTAGCTTACCCGCTCATTTTTATGAATGAACATCCCAGGCTGCAGAGAGTGTGAGCAGGGAGGGAGAAGAAAAAAAAAAAAAAACCCGGCAAAAGCAGGATGCTTCATTGTGACTCACCACGCTCATGAATCACTTTTCACTACAGATGGCTCACCCTTCCACTGGGTGTTCTTCATGCCACAGTGGTTTATCAAACAGATTTATAATAACATTGATTTTTTTTTTATACGTCGGTGCTTGGGGTTTAAAGCGAAAACAGTCAAGCTGAGGCATGAATCACCGGTGGCCATTGTTGATGGCACATTTTCCTGGTGGGTGTAGCCAGAGCCTGACCAAATTATATTATTTTCCTCCCTCTTGTCATAGGAGAAGGAAGAAAAGGCATCCCAAGAATCATCCGAGGGGGAGGGGGAAGAAGAAGAAGAGGACCAGTAATTCACAACGCATGCTACCTCACTCAACATACTGACTTACTGTTAACCAGAACTGGGCTGTATCTCCAACACCAGTGCCACCACATGACCACTGTTCACGACAAAAGCCCCTCTTTTTTCCCGCCAAAAAAGATAGGGTTAACACAGTACAAATATCATGCAACAGCACTGGATAGAACGATGGACCTTGCTCAAGCATAGATCTAAGACTTACATGAAAGGTGTCAGCCCTTTTCTCTACATGTCATGTATCACAAAGTCTTTTATACTGGACAAAAAGCGTGCTCAGACGAGCCTGGACGTTTTCTGTTTTCCCCTAAAGAAGGTTCTTAGGACATTTTCTCTCCGCTTAATGTTACTTATATGTTGTACCCGCATCTGGGATAGTAGGGCGTTTAGATTTTTCTCCATGTTTTGTACTGGACAAAGGTGAATTTTACCGATAACTTGCTGTTTTTATTTTTCGTTCCATGTATGTTTTGTGTGAAGTGGTTAACCTCTCCTTTTGCATCGTATTCTTAGATGGAGTTGAGCTTCAGCGTGTATGATGAGAATAGGTAACCGATGGTAGAAGTGTTCTTTTTCCATTTCTAAACCACATAACAGATTTCTCCCCCCGCCCTCTTTTCTCACGAGTAGAGCAGAGTCATGTTAACCACCTTTTTTCCTCCTGTAGGTCAGTCTAGATTTAGCTCTTCAGGCTTTCTGCGCGGTCCTTGGCGTGTAGAGGGGAGGTGTAAGTGTATCGTTAGTGTTCAGAATAGATTTACTGTTTTTGTTCCTTCGGGTTACATACCATTTAAAAAAAAAAACATGAGTGTGCTGCTTTTTCATGATATAATAAACTCAACCTTGTTTGGTATATAACGTGTGTTTTTATGGATGGCAGAGTTCTAGGCTGAGAGCATCAGTGTCGTTTCTTCAGGGAGCTTTTACAAATGCTGTTATATTTGGCGTCTTTGTCTCACATGGGTCCTCCGTTTTTTGTTTTTTTTCCTCCAAGCGCGCACCCAATCACTCGTCAGGCAAATCTCAATCGGTCAAACGATGAGTTTGATTGTATCAGAGGATAGCTGGTGGCACCTCTATCCAATAGGGCTGTTAGTTTTTTTTTTTTCTCCTTTTTTCATTCCATCTAGCTCTCACTGCTACACCTCGCTTGGTCCCTCTGTCATCACTTATGCCGCTTTTCCATGACACAGTTTTTGCACCTCGACTCTTCTCGGTTTTCCATTACGATTGAACGCGTGGCGGGTATTAAAAAGGTACCTAGTACCAGGTGACCTAGTGGAACCCTAAAAACCGAGTGGAGCCGAGTAGATGCTGGTGGAAAAGCACCATTAGTACAGTATAATACATTTTCTTAGTCTTGACGTGTGTTGTTTGTATGCTGTCTGCTACAGGAATAAAATTAAAGGTGTTTGTGTATTTCAAAGTGTCAGGGAACCCGCGGTCACAGTCCACTTAACTGGGTTTTTTCCACACACCTAAGCTGCTACAACCTCAGTTACGAAACCCGGAAAACTGCAAGCAGGCGATACAAGGCCTGGGATTTCATACCTCACTTGACAGCTTACTTTACCATATATTGATTGCATTTAGCTGGTTTTCTGTTGTTTTTAAATGTAACCTCTGGCAGTTTGGAAAGATGTCGATTACAAAGTTTATTTTTTTTCTTTAAAGCCTGACTGTAACGAGTTGATCATAAAATTTCAACTTTGTGACTTGTGTCTTTCGGCTCCTTCAGAACCCGAGCTTGCAGACAGGTGTGTTTTTTTTTTTTTTTTTTTGTTATGTGTGAAGCAAGTCAGGGAGACCTGTCAGCTTGACGACTGTGTTCGCTGACTGTGGTAGATTAGCAGGTGTGTTTTTAAATTCTTCTGGTGCACTGAAATGTTGGTTCAGATTTTCATGGACAAATGTTTGTGTGTTTGTGATAGACTGGGCGCTCTTTCCACTTTACTTGTTCTGTTGGCCCGCTGTGTGTTTGGCAATACGACGCACACAGTCAGCCGCCCTTGCCATACTCATCCAACGGTCATTTCATGTCTCTTCCCAACATCCTCTGGACAATATCAGCGTCATATATCATTTCAACATCTTGCATCTGTCATTTATATACTGTAAACTCAACAGGATGGGATCATTCTTTTTAATGTACACCGTATATAAATGTACAATGTCTATATTTCTATGGTGCCCTACAACAATTTGTATCAGAAATGGTCAATAAAGAGAATTTTCTTTGTCATTCTTCTGTTTTGTGGGTTTTTTTAAGTTAAAATATTAAATCGATAAAAGAGTAGGTCAAAATTAGATATGCTGAGCTCCTACTCTTCTATCCTTGTGTTTGCAAACAGTTTTCCACCTCACTGTGTCAGTGATCTTGTAGTTTCTATTTTCAAATTTATTTTAAGCTACTTTATTTCTCGTCACAGCAATTCTCTGACACCTTAAAGCCTAAATAAAGTTAAAAAATAATCACCCAATAGTTGTATTTGTATAAAGGTGTGAGATCAGTCTTAAAAGAAAACCGCAAAGAAATCAGGCTTGACTACTCCCTCTAGTTGCCACGCCTTTTTTCTTCCTTCATTGCTGTTTGAAAAGACTGTATGAGTATATGGTGGTTTGCAGTACATGGTAGGAGTTGGGTAGGTAATGACAACACTAAAGCAAAGCAATATCTCTTTATTTACATTTTTATCACCCTCTTATGTTCCTCAAGCAAAAACAACCCGACAGAAAATCAGTGCTGCTTCATTTATTTCATTTTCATCAGTGGGTCTTTGACTTTTCTCGGTGCAGCAGTCCAAATTGGGAGAATCTCAAGAAAAAAAGTCCACCAGTGTTCAGACCAGTGCATACAAGTCACGTGTGAGTGGATTCCTCAACAGTTTCAGGGATGACAACCCAATTTTATAATCCAAAAATGACAGTGCTTGGACAATTAAAACCTGTGAGAGGATAAAGACTTTGTCATATCCCAGAGAGATCCACCCAAAGACTCGTGAAGCTTGAATTCAAGTTCAGACACTATAAGCCACAAATGCATAATCCCAGCCAATATGATACATGTTCCCCTTCATTAACAGTTCTATTGTATTTGACTTACATTCACAATTGCAAGGCAAACTAAGGTTTAGGAAGGTTACAATTCATGAAGAACTAAAAATGCAGTGTTTCCTGAGTGCTTGATACAGTCAGACCTATGGCATTCCTCTCAGGCTGGAGGTAAATCTGCTGGTGCCATGCCTTGTAGACAGGACATTTTTTGAGCACTAGTCACGACTCATTCGGAGGATGAGAGGAGTGTGGTGTTATTTACTTCCATATCTGACTCTTCATGCCATTGATGAGAGTCACAGGATTTGGCAAAACCACAAAGAGATCTGGATTGTGGCGCAGCTTGTTAAAGTCTGAGAGGAAATTAAAACCAAAAGTTTAAAACTTCAGACTCAAAATGAAACTTTGAAACTCTAAATGTACCTAACTTGAACAGTGATTTCTACCTTTAACAATATAAAACTTTCTCTCCATTGTTTTAAAAGCTTTGTTAAAGTCTTTCACGCCAACAGGTGTGGCTGTTGAAGAAAAATAGATCAGGAGTCATTTGTTTTTTTAAACGCACTGCAAACATGAACACAAACACACGATATCCAGCCAAAAATTCACACAGCAGAAGTAATGATTATTTCTAAAGTGTGGAACAGTCAAACTCTACCCTGCTGTGGGCACACCCCTTCAGTCAAGTCTGTACAAATGCCTGCTGCAGCTCAATGCAACATAATTACCTCCTGCGTGTTTTTCATGACACCGCCATGCATTAAACCCGCATCTTTAAATAAAGAGAGTCCATCTTTGTAATTTTTAGTTTTGACTCTGGATATCTCCGTACAAAAATCAAATAAATAATGTCAAAATAAATACACTGAAGATACTGTATCTGTTAGGCACACAGATTTGGCATCGAACCGCACAAATTAACAGTCGCTCTGTCTGTACATGTAATGGAAAAGACAAAACCGTTTACAGAGAACCGGAGTTTCTGACAGAGAAAACAACACAGTGTTGTGCATGACTTCGAAAAACGACTGTAGGATGTCTCTGCAGTGATAAATGTTCGATGCCATGGTTTAGTACCATCATGCATTGACATCTTTGGTCAGAAGAGGGCGTCTCTGTTGATAACTTCTGGCCCAACTTTGAACGACCTGCAAACACAAGATAGAATTAGCTGTTAAATCTGGCACATCCCTCGATCTACAGATATTTTTAATAAGCTTAATAAGAAAAAAACAGTATTCATGTTTGTATTAAGGGGTTTCCTTTAATAGTTAAGATAATCCAAAAAAGTGAGAGTGATGATCTTTGATTTAGATGAATGTGATCTGTCAAGGATTAAAAAGCTGTTGATCTATTTGTCTTCTCAATTTTCCAGTTTTACAACCCTGTAGTCGAACTTGATGGCCAATTTAGCCCACAGATAACACTGCCACCTAGTGTTCAACAATGCTCAGTGCATGTTTCTAACTCAAATCAAACAAGACCATCACTTTATTGTACCTACATTATGAGATATTATTAAACTGTGACACACAGAGCTTGAGAGAAAGGCATGACAGCTTGGGTTATACTTTTAAACTTCTGATCGACCTAATTTTACATTTAAAAAGATGTTAAAAACAATCCTAAACTTAACTTTGACATTGATCTGCAAAAAGATTGAAGCAGCAAAAGAAGAATGTGAGTTATGAACAAATGACAGCTTTAACAAGAGAATCAAGGCATGCATACAAAACATGCAGTTTAACCCTTGTACAACAATAACCTTACTTTTACTATACTGTACTTCTTAGGAAGGAAGTAAATGAACAATTGAGGAAGTGCAGAGCAGCTAGAGTGAATGACATAACAGAACAAAACCACACTTTAGAAACTATGCTGTGGAAGCAAAAACACGCTTTTCAAGGAAAATGTGGTCGGTTTTTCTGTTTTAATCCAGTATTTAATCCAAATCTCTTTATTTACAAAGAATGCAAATGTCCCTGAAGGAGACATTATAACTTTTATAACTTTTTAAAGTTAGTTTTTCTGCCTTTTTATCATCATGCATTGTTTAGCAGAGGAAAGAGAGGAAACATGACAAGTAGATGGTTGTGGATGACATGCAGCAGAGGTTTCAAGTCGAAGGTGAGGGCTCTTGCTTAAACCACCAGGCCAACCGGCACATCTTCTTTTTTTTTTTTTAGCCAACTTGTGATCTTGCTAATTCAATTCAATTCCACAATGACAACTTGACCCACTTGCAGGGAAAGTGTCCTACGAATAAAAGGGCGCTTTGGGGAGCGAATTAACGGTGAAGCATACCCGTGTGTCCTCTTCTCTCCATAAGATCTCTTGCTCAGCTTCGTTTAGCTCCTCTGAAGGATCATACGTGTAAACTGGCAACAGCTGATGCCGCAGTCTGTCAACTCTTTAGAGACAAAACACAAACAGGGACAAACATTCAGTTAAAGGGATATTCCGGCGTAAAATTAAGGGTCAAACACCGAGTTAGACACCCCCTCAAGAGATGAATGTTGCTGACCGCTTGCTTCTCTAGTTATACCAACTTTAGTAACGACCGCACAATAGCAATACACAACGGTCTGAGGAGCCATAAACAAACCTCAACCAAATTCCACTCTATATAGAGGGTCCTAGCCACAGCACTAGCAACCAAACACCTTTTTAACTTTGCCTAATTTCTTTAGCAAAGAGGAAAAAAAAAAGAGGAAAAAAACACAACTCACCTACTCTCTTCCAGCAGCCGTTTGTTTGTAGCGAGACCTCGGACCAGTCCATTACAGACTACAGCGGGGTGACGCAGCTCAAGGAAGAACATTCATGATCATTTCTTCATGGAAATGCAATCAGACTGAGACGCTAAGACAGATGAACTACTGCGTCTGCAGTGCAAAATGATTAATATGGTGATTATTACTTCAAGGAAATGATAAAAATGTTCTTCCTTGAGCTGCGTCACCCCGCAGCAGTCCGTAATGGACAGACCCTAGGTCTCGCTACAAACAAGCACCCGCTGGAAGAGAGTAGGTGAGTTGTGTTTAGTCTCTTTGCTAAAGAAATCAGACAAAGTCAAAAAGATGTTTGGTGGCTAGTGCTGTGGCTGGGACCCTATATGTACTGTTGATGAAGTTAGGTGCTTTTCTGAGCATTATTTGTGGTTATAGAGTGGCGTTTTGGTTGAGCGTGTGGCTCTCTGTATTGCTATCCTGCGGTTGTTACTAAAGTTGGTATAACTAGAGAAGCAAGCGGTCTCCAACATTCATCTCTCGAGGGGTGTCTAACTCGGTGTTACGGTGTGTTTAACCCTAAACTAATTTTACGCCGGAATATCCCTTTAATGATTCACAATAAAACACATAGGAGGAAATGTAAAGTTTGTTGCAAAAGCATTGTGACACGAAGCGAAACTCTCACCTTCTCTTCTTCCGGATGTACATGACCTGAAACAGAGAAAATAAAGAGTATCATTAGTGTGTAAGTAGGAGTTTCTGTTCTGTTATTTCTATCACTTTGGTTTTTACAGAAAACTCACCACAGCTGCAGCTATCCCAATGATGGTGATGAGGAAAAATGGCACCAACACATAGCCGACTGCCACATCCCCATTGAAAATGACAGGGGGCTGAGTGGTGCTGTTGCTCATTGCATATATTCAGTAGAGGGGGCACACAGGGGGCTGCATGTGCAGGGGCCTATACAAGCAGCAGGACCCCCCCTTCCTATAGCAGACAGTGTGCAGCGGCTCCCCCTTGTTGTTTATGCCTCATCCTTGACGTTCATGTGACTACCACATGGTATCACCGCCCTCCCTTAATCAGCGAGAAGTCTGAGGGAACACGGGACACAGGGTTTGCGCTCAGATTTATCCAAGGAAACTGTAGGATCAGGCAAGAAAATGGGAAGAAATAAACTCTTATGTCAAACGAGCGACACGATGCAAATGTAGTAATGCTTTAGTCATATTTGCTTTGCAGGTATTCGCTGCTCGCGTGGCCACATTAGATCGTTAATATTGCCTTAAACTGCAATATAACTACTGCTACTACACACATTAAATATTAAAAGGCCTTATATGATACTAAAGAGTAAAACAACCTCAGCCTCCGACACCAGCTAACGGCATGAATCAGATAACGCTAGCTGCGCAGGTAGATGTCACCGTTACTGATAAGTTTTTACGCTCTAAAAACAAGCTGGAGAGGGTTATTTCTATAAAACCGCTACAGACTCTTATATTTGTAATAATTAAGAGCAATTTATGTCTTACCAGCTGATGTAAAATACCTCTCGTTCAGGAAACGTTATGCTGCGGTTCACTCGGCTTCTGTTCACCGCTGGGACAGTTGCACTTCCTGTCCAAACCCTTTCAAAATAAAAGCGCCATGACCGTGCAAAACTGAACAGCTCACACCGACTGGCCACGACATTTGGAGCAACAGAGCAGCAGGCCTAATGCGCAAACTCTACCTGTGAAATGGACATAATGTAAGAATCACCTTTTAATAATTCACACTTAAGTGCACTACCACCAACAACTACATCTAGAAGATTAAACTCAAAGTACAGACTCACCTGTCTGATCATCTGATCATGTCAACAAAGCCTGAAATTTTCGCCATTTAGTAGTAGAGCTGTTAAACCGGATTGCGTTAGATTGCACATCAGACATTTTTCTGTTGAAGTGTCTTTTTGCAGAGTCACAATTTCCTGTAATAGCCTGGTTCTGATGTGAGGTCCCAATCTGTAGCATTTAGACTGATCTTGTTTTGCACAACCAAACACGTGGTGGAGTCATTCTAAGAGGCAACGACACTTGGATGTGTCCTGGTTTTAAAGCTATACAAAAAAAAACAACAACTATTGATGGGATAGTGAATGGTTGAAACTCTGATCCTAGATGAATTGTTGTTGCTGGGAAAAGGTGCAAATATCAAAATATAACAGTGCAAATTAAAGGAGTTTATTAAAAATATCAGATTTTCTTTATTTCTAATCAGAGCCGGCCCAAGCCTCAATGGGGCCCTAAGCATAATTTGGTTTTGGGGCCCTCTATTTCTGTCAATAATACTGATTGTTGATCATTCACACACCTACAACATGAGGTCAAAAACCTAGCGGTAGAAGGGATAGGTCAACTTACTCCATACACGGGGTAAGTTGACTATAGGAGACCACTTTTTTGGCATGCTATATCATCAAGACAGTTCTGTTTACACTCATTCTGTTGGTTTGCAGGGATGCACAACATCTTGAAATATATGCAGATACACTAGTTAGAGACAAAAATATGATTGCCTTGATGTAGTGATCTGAAATATGAAAAATGCTTCATCTTACCCCACTCTCCCCTCCAAAAAAAACCAAAAACAAAACAAGCATTGATGGTATAGTGAATGGTTGAAATTCTGATCCTAGATGAGCTGTTATTGCTGGGAAATAGTGCAAATATCAAAATATAACCGAGCAAATTAAAAGAGTTTATTAAAAATATTTGATTTTCTTTATTTCTAATTTCAAACTCCATTAATGGATATGCAGTCTTGGCCTGTTTCAACTTAAAAGGCCCCCCTAACCCAGAGCTGTTGTAGGGCCTGGCACAGTTGTTCTTATAAAGGGGGTCAGCCAGGATTTCACTCAGAGTAATCCTTTTCCTGGGGTCCACCTGAAGCATTTGCTTCAACAGCTCAACACAATCACTCCTTTCAGCAGCCTCTGTGCTTTTTTCTTGGTCCAACTGTGTTTCAAAGAAGCGGGTTAAAATGCCAAAAGCCAAGAAAACCCTCCTAGTTAGCTTGTAGTTTCTCTCCAAGCAGCATCAACTTGGCTGCATACCTTTTTTTCAGGTCATCGAAAGAGACAAACTTTTCTCTACTTGAGTCCAAATGTTTGATGCCAGTTTCCATGAAATACTGTTCTGGATTCAGAAATCTGTAGACTAATTCAAAGTAAATATTTCTTTCTTACTTTCAGCCTTAGATTTGTTTTATTTTTTGCATTCATCAACTTCCAGGCTGACATTACAGACTGAAAATGTAAGTTCAAGGTTGTATCAGCCAGCTGTGCTGAACATTTCTTTAGCCTTCAGCTGCCCACCCTGAGTTTGGTGATTTGGGAAATTGATTGGTGTATGAGAGGGGTGGATATTGGATATATTTTTAGTCATGCTAACAGCACAGTTATAATCCAGCAAACACAAATCAGGACTCAAAAATCCACAAATTTCAGCTTTTTCACTCAAAATTGAAATCAAACATTTTGTTCTAAATTTAACTCAATTTTTGACATTTTAGTGTTTGTCACTACCAGCTCTAATATTCTTTTTTATTAAATATTTAATAGATAGACCATAAAAAACACTTTTAGCACCCCTTTAACGGTGTCCATTAATGTCTCTTTACGATGTCTCCTGTTTTTTTTTTTACAAAACAAAACAAAAAATGCACTAAGAAGTATTTGTATGCTGTATCTGCCGGTCAGTCAGGATAGACAAAAACACTCAATTGAATGAATTCCAGGAAAAATAAGGTAAAAACTAACATTGTAATTTTCAGGTATTGTTGCTGGCATAATGACACAGTTTCAATTAGATCAACAATTTTGCGTTTGACTTGATACCTGCTAAACTAAACTTAACTAACTTTTCCATCTGCCTAAGATATCATTGGTTTAAACTAATTTTAATGCTAAATGACAAACTAACTGTCTATGTTTACTCCGTAACAAACATACAGGCTAGACAATAAGCATGATTAACATTACACCTGCTACACATTGACATGTTTAGACTGCTGTTTTAATCATATATCCAGTTAGCCAGAGTCATTCATGATGTGTAGTTTCTTTAGGAGACAGAAATAAGGAAGAACAGCTACCTAAAGCCCATCAGGTAATTTACCCACTGTGTGTTTGCACTTGCAGACTTTTGCCACCAGATGTCACTAAACACCTTTGAGTAAATGAGAAGAAGGCCCTTTTTAATGCAAAATTGATTATTTCAGATAACTATCCAAATTCTAGATATCCAATAAAAACTAATTCATTTAGAGGTGGCAGGCATTGATGAGGGCTGAAATGTTATCTGACTTCTAAGGCTCACTGTGTTGTCTAATAGAAACCAAAGACCAGACACAGTGGAGCTAAAAGTCGTTGCAGCCTTAGGCTCCGTCCTCAGAGTTTTTTCTAACATGGAAAATTCAAAGAGAATTTGATAAGCACAGAAAAAAAAATCAGTCAATAGAATCGCTCCGGGGAAGATTAAATTTCCCTCAACAGTTTAACCACAGCAGAGAGGAGGAGGCTTTGAGGGTGCACTTACTGAAGGAGCAGCAAAAAGGAGAAAGAGGGGATTTTTTTCCTGTGGTTAAGGTAGCTTCACTTTTAAGGATGCCCACATTGCTCATAGTAATATATTTGAATTAAGTTATTATTATGAGATGATTTAATGGCTTTTGCAGGTATAAGACACTACAGAAACAGGCGTGATCAGATAAGAGAGAACAGTCATGCATGTTCGTGATTGTGCAGCAAAGCAGTGAAGCAGAACTCTGGTGTTTGACTTCAGTGATCAAATCATATCCGATGGCCTTTTCCATGACATCATTAGCTTCCATTTTTCTGCTCCTTTGATTCAGACCAAAACTAGCATCCAGCCAATCTGCTCGTAAGGCGTTTGCACCTTCAATGACCTCATCCTCACAACAAACACCTCCTCTTTTCTTCACCCTCGCTGTGTTAGATGCTAAGTGGCTGTAGCAGTGGACTCTGCTCCTCTGAGAGCTGAAGGTTTATTCCACTGATTTATCCAAGATGCACTGTGGTATCAAACCTCAACATTTTAGGGACTTTATCGTTAGCAGAAATCATGGAGGGTTGTTATTTCACCAGTAAACACAGAGGATGTTGTGTCTGTTATGTTACAAACTGCCATGTTGCTCATCTGTTTGCATGGATCTTGAGTGTTTGCTGCACTTTTAGGTTGTATTATATTGCCATCAAGGGAGAAGTTTGGTGCAAACTGTAATATTTTTGTATGTTGATGTATTACCTGAAGTAAACAAAGCTTCCCTTGTTTACCTGGCTCAGTGGATGCAGAATCAGTGGGCCTGTTCAGCAGCCAAAGGACAAAAACACTCATCTCCCTCCCCTGCAGTGTAGTGCAATGTGGGCGTGATTGACATGAAAGCAGTGACGCCCACTTTCACCACCCTCTCTTCTCATTGGCTGTAAAGTGGAAGTCACATTTAGGGGCTCTCCCCATTATAAATTACTAATATGTTATGCATGTTAATTTTCTTTTAAAGCCTATTTTTGAGATTTTTGAGATTGAAACCATGTGTGCCAAACTTCTCTGCTCATGCCCCCTTTAAAAATGTAAACTGAATGACCCACTCCCACCATCAGCTGTGAACCAATGTGGCGAAATTCCCACAAACTCATATTGCAAACATCCTCTTGAATCGTCCTGCCTCCAAGTTTCATTGTCTTACTCATTTCCTGCAGCCCATTTCTGTCGTCCATTGAAAGGAAATCGCTGGGCCATCCCCCCGGACGCGCGCGCCTGTGCTGTGGAGCTCCCCCTTGCTGCGTGCATCGTGATCGTGTGGATGCAGAGTCTCGCGGAGAACGCAGGGTCACCTTCTGTCACTGCGAGAGGGGGAAATACTGAAGAATTTGCAGCACAGACTGTTGGGTATTGGTGCACCTCAGCAGCAGCAGCAGCAACATCCTCGGTAAGGCATGATGCGTAAATGTGAGTGAGGGTGTATGTATGCGTGTGTGTGTGTGATGATGAAGCCACATTGCTGCACTGAGAGGAGAAGCTGAGCATCCTTTCAGCAAAGGGCGACGCGGGGATAAAGGAATCTCGCATCATTTCCAAGCGTCTGGATTATGTCCAATCCCTTCTCCGCTGCCAGACTGACCAAGTACAACCTTTCTACCGCAATACTCCAGATATTGCAGTTTTCAATTATGCATGCGTCATTTTATACGCTGTCTCGCTGTTTGCATTCACACCAAGGGTGAATATGACCATCTTGCATCATATTGGATTACTATGACAGGCTGGAGCTGTTTTAGACTGGATCGGTTTGGTTTTGCACAGTCAACCTACTTCCTGTTGTAATGACAGCATGATGCAGGGTGTTGTTTTTACTATGCAGCTGTTTTGGAAGATTTGACCTCATTGTCCACTGTGTGTTTGCATTAAATGAGTATAAGGTTGGATTGGTTGCCATGATGTAACTGGAGATGGTGGTCAAGAAGACAGGGATAGTGTTGCCATTTTATGTCCTTTACCATGCGCGTAATGGGTAAACAAGATGAGAAATGTGGCATACTTCGATTGAATATGTTGTCAACATCTCTGTTTGTTCTATTTGTTGGGTAAAAGGACGCAGGTTTGGATTTAGGGGTCTATTTCTTTAGGATTTCTCGGTGAAATGGACGTGAATGTTAATGGGAGCTCTGACGTTATGTAATTGGTTGTCAGAGCGCAGCGAGGAGCCATCTCTAGCGTCATTGTTTTCCTCTCTGACAAACCACCAGCAGCAGCAGCACAGAGGAGGAGCATCCTGGTTTCTACATTGGATTATAGGTGCATGTGCTCTTTTAATCATTCATCAAATCTACTCCATGCTTTGAGCTGCATTTTGCGCTTTTTTTCCCTCTCCAGATGTGTGTTGTATTAAAGGTGTGCTGTGCGCCTCTTTCGTCAAAACCCTGCAGCTTTTCTTCGCCGTCATGACGTAGCGTTTGACGGACGGGGCCGCTCGTGCCCGCCTCAGCGTGTTGTGGAGCTGTCCGCGGTGCTGAACTGTTTGCCAGAGCGCCTGTCTGTCAGCAGTCAAGGTGCCCCCAAGAGAGCTGACACGAGGCTGCAGAGAGGAGATGATGATACTGTGGGGGGGTAATCCAATTTTAGTGAGGAAGGGGGAGTTACAGAGAGCAGGCTGTTCATCACCAGGAAATCTATCTATCTATCTATCTATCTATCTATCTATCTATCTATCTATCTATCTATCTATCTATCTATCTATCTACCTACCTACCTACCTACCTACCTATCTAGTGTACCTACCTTCCTACCTACCTACCTACCTCAAATAACCCCAAAATTAACTGTCACCGTGTGCCAAATTTATTTAATTTTCTAGCCCAACAAGATAAATCTTGAGTTGGCTTCTATACATTGGACCATGAGGCCCATCACAATTTATTTTTGCATCACCAATGTGTTATTTTTTACTCATATCTTCAACCAAATATGTATTTAATCGAACATTATCTGCAAAAATAAGCACAAAAATAGTCTATGTGACGTTAAAGAGTGTTGACATGTTAGGTGTTCGATAGGAGAACCAGACAGTGTACAAAAAAGATTGCCTTCATGTGTCTTATCTTTTTTACGATAAGGATTTCAGTGGCTTTATTGAAGTGATTTTATCAGTGGATAGAACAGAAAGTGCCATATGTATCCTCTAATGCATCCAAAAGTTGGATTTAACCTTCTAAAGTTGCAACATTTGGAGATGGTTTCTGAATTCATATTGTTTCATCATGACTTGCTCTGCAACCACAACTTTACATGAGCTGTTGTGGTTGTTGCTGTTGTTTTACTTAATGTTGCTGCTGTCCCCTGTCTCTCTCTCTCTCTCTCTCTCTCTCTCTCTCTCTCTCCCTCCCTCTCCCTAACTCATTCTCTCTCTCCTTCCCTCTATCTTGTTCTCTTTCTCTCCCCCTGCTCTCTCTCCCACTCCTCTCTCTCTCTCTCTCCCCCTATCTCTCTGTATTCCTCAGCGGCTTGGTAGCTGTCTGGCATGAATCTGGTCCTGCTCAAGGTTTCTGCCTGTTAAAATGAAGTTTTTCTTTGCCACTGTTACTCATGTTAGATGAGATGGGCCAAATCCTATCTTAGGTTGGGTCTTGATAATTCATCAAACAATGAGCGTGGTCTAGACCTGCTCTTTTTCTTTGGACAGCATCTTGGGATGACGACTGTTGTGAATTGGCGCTATATAAATAACATTTGATTTTTATCTCAGTCCAAGTTTGACCGTTTTTTGAATAACTGTATTTGGGTAAATGAGATATAGTTAGTTTTGTCATATGGATGCATTAAAATGATAATGATTGTAGAGTTTCCTTTTTCATTTCTGGCGACACAGTAGAAAAATATGTTAGTAGTTCTCACAGTCGGCACTGAAGTCAGCTTGTTTGGTTCTTAACAGACACATTTAGGTAATTTCTCCTCTGCATGCGTTGTTACTTCAGTTTGTGTACTGTCAGCTTATGTGCGTCCTTGAGAGACATCTAGCTATTAATTAAGTCACAAACTAGTCCTCGTCTCCATTTAAAGGCTCTTTGAGTATTTCCGAGCTCTCTCTGGCTTCCTGTAGTACTCACAGTGTGTCTGCGGTGTGTGTCCACGCTCGACTTGTTTTGTCTTTTGATTACAATGAGGCTGCATCTCCCTGCTGAGGAATTTAATTTGCACTCAAGCAACCACTGGCTTGATCTCTGGTTATCTTCCACCACAAATAGAAAACAATAGCAGAGAGGTGAATTGTATTTACCGCAGGGGAAGGGGATGTTTGACCCAGAGGTGAAATAAGGAAGAGTTTCAGGCAGTAAGGATAAATGGTTTTAGGTTGTTTTTAATCCTCTTCAATTCTGGTTTCTTTTTTGGCCATGTGAATATTTACTGACAAAGGATTAATCGGAGAGTGGGATTTGTTGGATGCGCTGCAGCGTGCAACCGTCATTTTGTTGTTTCTTTCCTGCTTTTAATGTAAGATATCTAAAATAGGCGCTGTAGCCCGATTCTGTCAAGTGTTGTAGTCACATAAAAAGCCCAATAAGGCTGTGATTTGTGACATGAAACATGGAAATCAGATACCTTTGCAGATCTTATGGTTTATTATGATGTGATGATTAAAATTAAAGTCTGCAAATCACTGCAAACAGCTGCAGACAAATGATTTCTGCAAATTCATCTTCTAGCTGCAAAAGTGCGCCCAGTCAATCCAGCTAGATCTGATCTGTATTCCCTTTCACATGTAGCAACGCTGTGTTTACGGCTGACCTTTATCTTTGTTGTGCTACATTGTCAATTTTTGGTGTTTGTCGATGGCCCCGAGACGTCACGCGCGAAGAAGAGAGGACGGATGTGTGAAACAGCGGGGTGTGTTTTTGGTCCCCTTTCTAATGTGTTTGTTGATGAAAGGGTTAAAGGCTGCTGCTCCCCTGGTTGAAGGGGGAGATAGTGGTGTCTGACAAGGTGTGAAAAAGGAGGCTATGTAAGAACAGAGAGTCTGAAGGGCAGTCGGAGTGTCTCATTTCTCTGTGTGCAGAGGCGTACACACACTAACACACACTCACGTAGGGGAAGACTCAATCTTTGGTGGAAGATTTACGATGTTCGAAATGCTCCAAAACACCCATGGTGTCTTTGACAGTGCAGAAAGTGTCTCATTTTGTATCTCAGGGTGAATTTTGCCGTGTCTGTCAAATAAAAACGTGAGTAGGACGCTGTTAATATTCAGATTCGTGCAGCTGTTTTCACAGAAGCAGCAGAAGATTGATGATGTTTCTCCATTTTCATCTCAAACAAGGCCGATTCTCCCTCTCTGGTTGGTTTAATTGAGGTCCATGTTACCTTGTGCTTTTTAAATGCAGAGTCATCACAACATGTCACTGTCATGTCTGTATCCTCACATCCATCTGAGGCCCAACACTGACCTCTTACATCATGTTGTAGAAACCAAACCAGAGTGTAAATCATCGATAGAGGTGTAAACGGTTGAATTTCAGCTCCAAATGTGATGTTTCACTTTGTTGATGTTTGGATGTTGAGTGTTGTGAGTGCAGCAGCTTGAGGTCATCATTGGTTTGAACACTAGAGGGTGTGTTCCTCCTGGGCATGTTCAGACATGAAGTGATAGAGAGAGACAGTTAACGTAATGTTGGCTTCTTGACTGGACAGCAGAAGAGTTCATTGTGGCGGAGTGGAAATCAACAGCTAATCAACCCATAGATTTATTTTGGTCCATAAAGTCAAAGAAAAACACCAAAAAAGTCCAGTTGTATCCCTCAAATGTGTTGTCTTATCTGCACTATGAGGATAACTTGCAAACCGAAAATATTTGCTCCTGAAAACGAACCGGTTATTTAAGCTTAATTTAATTGATAGGTTTCTGCAACAAGCTGTTAACAGGTTTAAAAGTGCATGCTGGGATTCCTACATAACATCTCTGTCGGTAGCTGCTTCCTCCAGAATTAAAGAACCAGTCAGATTAAAAGCACTGGCGGCATAATGTGACCATGACTCAGCATTTGCCCACGTCTCAGCTTCCTTCATTTGATAGGTGGGCTGATTCGGCGCCGTTTAGGCCGAACATTCAGTCAATCCGCGTGTTATCTGAGCTGCGTATCTTGTTCAATAAAGTGTAGGAGCACACACACTGAGAGGCTGGGTTCAGCCTGCACATGCAGACAGATTCAGTCACATGACATGTACAGTGTGACTCAAAACAGAGGCTGGTTGGGACATGAGCGAAGAAAGGAAATAACAGGCTGACAAAATCGTGTCAGTCACAGCACACTGAGCTGAATAAAGTCATTAAAGGCTCATTGACGTTCTCGTCTGGATGTGTCGGTACTTTAGAGGAGACAAGATGGCTGTATGATCATATGAGAATGATGTTTAGACTGACGCTGCGCCTGATGTTTTGTTTTCATTGCTGATCTTTTTTACTATTATTGCTTACAGAGAAAAAAAATGAGTTTGAATTTTTTCAGCATTTCAGATATCAGTAAAAATCCAATATTCTGCATCTTTAGCTATGGAAGCAGCACATTTAAATACAGGTAAGCCGGCTTCACACTGAGGATAAAAACATGGAAAATACAATCTATAATCCGTACATTCGATATGTACACCAAACAAACCACATAGCAATCAAACAGCTGAAAATCAAAGGTTAGCAAGCAGCCAACCACACACGTATTCATATGCTTTAAAAATATGAGATTCTGGGTTTAGTTTGACAAGAAGAGACATTCATGATGGACCTGAATGCAGTTTGTTCCAGAGAGAAGGACCACAGCAACTAAAAACCCCTTTAACAGTCAGCAGACTCTCACCTGACGACCTGAGGGGTCAGATCAGGTTGTGTTTTCTGTGAGCAAATCAGAAATAAACTGAGGAGCTGAATCATTGAGCGCTTTATGGATAGTAGAAAATGGACAATCAGGAGAAAATTGAAAGTGAACAGGGAGCCGATGAAGTGGTCTGAGAACCGGAGTGATATGTTCAAATTAACTTATGCGTGTCAGGACTCTTGCTGCTGCGTTCTGAATTAACTGCAGCCGTCCTGCCGAGCGTTGGGGTCACCCTGCATAGAGGGAATCATGGTAATCAAGTCTGTTTGAAATAATGCACCGACAGTTCAGGGTATGAACGGTCATCTTTAACAATCCCAAAATGATGTTTGTTGGATTTGCAAGCTAGCTCTTTTATGTTATATATAAAAGTAATGAAAGAGGTATGATTGGTTTGTCTAGCTGCTTAAGCATGCACCCTGTTCTCAATGCAGCAGGCAGTGGGTTGGACTCCCAGTTAGGCCTTCTTGTTGTGAGGTAAATAAGCTACAATACATTCCCATTTTTTTCTTCACCTGGCTGTAAACATGTTAATATTGCAGTGAGAATTAAGCATGTTAACATGTATTAACGGTGTCTCCTGGACTTTGCAGCCAGCCTTGAGGAGCTGCAGAGTTTTGCATCTTTTGTTGCTGAAGCATCTGCTTGATAAAGGAGAATCTACAGGGATATAAAAGAGCTGATTACCACTTATTTAGGCTCCCCTGATGTTTAATAAATTAGATAATCGCGTTGGTGGTTTATTATCTGAATGTAAGGTGAAAATTCAATGCTTGTAATGTTGTTCTATTTCAGTTTATTAAATGATCTACTCCCTTTCTACAGGCAATATCGCTGCTCAAGGTCTTGTAGTGTGGGTGAGCATGTGTCTAATTTAGTGCCGAGTGTAGGATGCGTACTTGTGTTTTCTTTTATATGTTATTGAAAGCAGAAATGATAGAATAATAATCATTCTTTTACTCCATTTAGAGGTCATGAATCACATATAACAGCTGCTTGTTTATTTACACACAGTTATTAATATAATTTTGGGTCAAAATGTAATTCGGGTAATCTCTTAATATCTTCGCCTCTGTAAAAATAATTGTTGTTTTGACACATTTTTAAAAATGTAGGCCTAATTTCCATTTACGCTCCCATTAGGCGCAATTAAGCAGCACTTACTATTTCTTTTTTAACTGACCCTAACATGTCTTATTCTCCTTTTCCCACAGGTGATCTCCTGCAGGGGACCAACAGCTTCTCTCTAAGGTTTATGGAAACCTGACCTCCCATTGGTGGAGAAGGTGAGTCACACCTGTTCGCGCTATCATCTAATCTGCAAATCTGTTTGCATGATGCTGGTTTCACAGGTTTACCAAAAAGACCATTACAGTCTTTTACGCTGACTCTTTTTAGGAACCTTTTGTATAATTTATCATGTTAAATACACCACTTTTGGTAATTAATAGCTCTCTGTCAATGCTGTAAATAGTTCATGAGGGTGTTCCGGCCCGCCAATAAGCTAACCCGAGGACTGAGAGGGCGTTTTTGTCCCTCATGTACGCTTTTATATTCAGATTTTCTTTGTGTGCTCTACTCTGTGCATGATAAATATCGCATGTAGGATTTCAGGGCTAATGTAGGGCTATGTTACAGCACTCGATAGGAATAATCTCTCACTTCTTGTCATGCGATTTCTGTTTTAAGAGTGGATATTTCCTTTACTGCCTGGCTGACTGAAGCTGTGTGTCACACCGGGGAGAATGATAACTCAGGAGTGGTTATTGATCTCCTCGTGTGATCTCTTTGTCTTGTGTACATTCTGATAGAGGCGTGCTGCAGCGGGGAGGTAAGCAGCTGTTTGATGAGCGCAGACTGGTGTTTGCACATGCAGGAGGGCTCATAATCAGAACATGATAGCCCAGTTTAGATGCAGGTTCTCCAGGGAGACTGCTTTGTTTAGGCTGAGCGAGAGCAGCGACAGAAGAAGACAGTGTGTTCATACTGTAGCCAAACAAAATAGGACCAAATGTTATCGCCAGCTTATAGGAAAAGATTGTTTTCTCAAAAGAGGGTTTGCATGAATTTACCTATCATTCTTAGTGTGATAGTTACAATGAATGATGGTCAGCAGGTTTAGGGAAACAGTAGAGTCCAGTCATGTACCTCTGTGCAGGTTTGCATTAAAACCAGTCTGAGTAATGGTTTATGTGGATGTTTTATTTTGCATAAATTCACCGCTTCATCTTGGTGTCAAAAAATAACTTCCTGTGGCACTTTTACAATTCTACAATGCTTATATTTCTCTGCATGCAAGGCACTTAACAAAGGAAATGCAGAAACAATGTTGTCACCCTCACTTTCAGCTACAGTATTAAGCTCTAGTGCTGCCACCACCATTTGTCAGAGTTGTGTTCTGGTTAATTTGACTTCCATTACCAGCATAGACAAGTGGATATTATTCTGCAAGTTGGGCCATAAGCTTTTGCTCAAGTAAAACTAAAAAGTACTTTATTTGAGGTGTACTTCAGGTACTTAGTTTTAACTATATCATAACATGTCCCCCCTGAGACTTTGTAAAGGCACATTTTCCCAAACTAATTGTCGAAATATAACCAACAGCTTTCATGCGTAAAATGATTTTTAAATGCCAGGTAAAGGTTGAAGTTTTTGAATATTTTTGCAGCATCTTCTGTCGGAATTACTGACAGTTTCTGCACACTTTTATCACGGAGAGGCTTTATATTACAATCAAGCTAAACACGGACTTAAGCAGCAGCAGAAATGTGAACATTAACTTCTCTCAGGTCACCGTCAATATAGCACTTTATTAATGTTTACTGTTAAATTTAACTTGTGTAATTGTTTCACCTAAATTTTGTTGCTGTATTTATTCATTTATGTCACCTGTATTATCCACTGTAATGAATTATAGTATTCAGTATATTTTATCCTACACTAAAGCCTGACCAGGGACAAAGACTGCAAATTAGGTGAAGCTAGACGTCTTGTATGCATCACATTCTCCATTTTTGCAGCAATGTTGTATGTATTGTCCCTGTTAAATAAAATAAAACCACAGAAAATCCAAAAGTAAAAACTTAAATAATTGTACTGAGTCTTCCAATACAGCAAGTCAATTTTTCAAGGATTTTCTATCAAGATCATAATAAATGTAATGAGATAATTTGACCAGAAATTTGCCAGATTCACTCTGTCAGTTTTGAGTGTGTCAGCTGGCTGTCAGCAGTTGCTGGAATTCTAGTATGTTTTTCTCAGATGCTGTGGAAATGTAGCAGGATACAAAGTTTTAACAAAAAAAAAAAAAAAAAAAAAAGAATAAAATTACAGGTTTAAAAAACTGATTTAAAAAAAGTCCTAGCTCACAAAAAGCAGCTGAATTACAGTCATGTGAGGTGTTTTCACTCCTGGTACAGGACAAAATCAGCAAAGAAACATTGGGGTTATCAAAACTAGCACAAATAGACATTTTCTGACTTTACCCTCGAAGAGCAAGTAGTCAAATAAAATGGATCATATCTTAAACTGTGCTGCTGCTCTCAGTCATTTTTTTTCTCTCCATGGCCTATAAAATTCAGAAACAAGAGTGGTGATGTTCTCATTTCCTGAAGCCAGACTCAGATTCTTCCCTGCGTCCTCCTTTTGCCAGAGAAGGAGGTTGCCCAGGCTGAGTGTTTACGCCTTCGGGTTGCTTCGCCAACTCTCACATGGAAACATTTACACCACACTTTATTTATTTTCCCTCTTTATTTAACAACCACAGGCGCAGGATTTGGTGGATCCATCCATCCATCCATCCATCACTGTCCGAGCCAAACTGGCTTCTGTCCTGAACACTCCTTTAAATAGACACAACATGTAATGTATGAGAAGTATGGTTAGAATAAAGATAGCTGACATTTTTGATGCTGTCTTGTTCATTAAATGCTAAAATCGGATTAGAGTTTTGCTTTTAAGGCTCAGGTTGTGTCTTTAAACAGTCTAATTGGTTGTCTCCTGTGAGCTGACTTTTACTGTTAATAAGTCCGTGGTCCAGTTGCGAGTCCATGTGTAATCAGTCAGTTACTGGACCTAAATGGCTTCTGGGTATTAGAGGCGGGTATAAATAGGGATGTAAGATGATTACAGTCTGGTCATTTAGTTGACGTATCTCTGGTCAAACTATAGTTGTTGCTTGTAATCTTCTTCTTGCAGTTTCATGAAATCATTATCATATTGAACAGACGTTAACTGCATCCGCTCTTTCCAGAAGGACCTTTTTTTCCATCTTATACATTAGCGTTTTGGCTGCGTCTTACATGGAGATAGCTTCTTCCTGTGGAGGTTGGCAGTAATTAGGGAACATGAGATTTTACATTCATAGGCTTGTTGGCATTCTGGCTCTATGGATGACAATATAAGTCAGCTGTTCATTGGATTTTGTACTTACATTCCCGGTCCCAAGAGGATTAACTATTCTAGCTTTGGTGATCCTCTGACTTTTCACAGAGCACAAATATGAGTTTGGTATATAAATTATAAAACAAAAATGATATAGGAGTATTAGATGGGTGACCAAATGGCACAAAGATTCATGTTCTCCTGAGGATGAATTGCAAGAACTTTTTATATTACATCTGCCTTCTGCAAGTTAATGTACAAATTTAACCAGGATGGAACAGCATTTCCATCCGTCTTAGCTGAATTTGGGGTATAGCGCCAATTAGCATGGATAGCATGCTAGTCAGGGGCAGGCCCAGGAGGCGAATTTTTTTTTGTAGGATTGTAGGGAATGTCCCGTCCTCTTTCGCCTCTGATTGGCTAGAAGTGCTGGGCTCCGATTGGCTATTCCTTATGGCTGTGAAACGTCATCGTCTATCGGGTTAGGGTTAAGATTAGGGGTAGGAGATTCAGAAGTGCGATAATGTTCTGTAATGTTCTGTTCAATGTACAGAGCCGACAGCCCACGTTTGGCTTGAGCGTGTGATGATGTTTCCAGCCTTACTGGCCAATCAGAGGCCAATCAGAGGCGAACATTATCTCACCTCTGAATCTCCTAACCCTAACCCTAACCTAACCAAACAGACTATGACGTTTTACAGCCACAAGGAATAACCAATTGGAGCCCACCACTTCTAGCCAATCAGAGGCCCCGGAGGTGAAATTTTTTTTGTAAGATGTTAGGGGAAGGTCCCGTCCTCTTTCGCCTCTGATTGGCTGGAAGGGCTGGGTTCCGATTGGCTATTCCTTATGGCTGTAAAACATCGTTGTCTGTCGGGTTAGGGTTAGGCGATAATATTCTGTAATGTTCTGTTCGATGTACAGAGCCGACAGCCCTCCTTTAGCTTGAGCATGTGATGATGTTTCCAGCTTTTCTGGCCAATCAGAGGCGAAGGAGGACCTTCCCACAAAAAAAAAAAATCACGCCCCAGAGGTTGCATAGGGTAACCACTATCCCCTTAAACTGTGATAGCCCCCCTCCTTTTGCCAACCCAAAATGCTCAACTATGATTGGTTAATTGCATTGCTAGAGACTCTCTGTGTGTATCTGTATCTGAGGCAGAGGTTTGAAGCCCATAGGTAGCAGTCACTGCATCGACAATGCCGACTCAGCCTCACTTTCAGCTGATAGCTTCCTAACAGAAAAAGCTATAGTGTGCCCGCCTGCCGGTTGAGTCAGCAATGCATCTGATTTTTCCAAGTCAGCAACCTCAATATCCTTGAAATGAATGTCTTTGAGAAAATCTACTACTTGCACAGTGTCAGTGTTTGCCATTTTTTGGTTCTGGAAAGAGGCTTTATTGAATGAGTGTGTATGTGGTTTTCAGGACCTCTGCTGTCAGCTCAAAGCAACCAATTATCAGCACGACCACATCAGCTTCATTTTTCATGACCAAAAGATGCCGCTTAGTTACAGGCAGCTAGAAATATTCAATTTGACATATTTCCTTTTGTGAATGCTTTTAACTGTGATTTAAATCAAATATTTTCTGTCCAGTTGTAATTCAGCTATCACTGGATAACCTAGAAAAACAGTCCATGAAGAGCAAAAGGGAAAAAATGCAATCCTGGAGGCCATTTTTAATTTGATCTACACAAAGAGAAACATGAACAAGTCCAGACGTTTTTCTTGTTTTAATCATTATTTAGTGGTCTCTCCTTTTCATTGATTCCCCTTTCCTCACTTCATCCTCATAATTTCAAACACACACACTGGCACACACACACACACAGGCGATGTGTTTCAAGGCAGCCAATCAGTATTCAGCGCAGCATCAGGCAGCTGAACGGGAAGAAGGCAAAGAGCCAGTGTGTTTGGAGAGCAGCATTCCCAGATTGACTGTTGCCTTGCTCATTTTTCTCCCTCCTTCTCTCTCCCTCCTTTTTTTCCCACTGTCTGCATGGACACAAGGAAAAACTGGAGTGGAACCAGAGCCCCCCTATCCTCTCTTCTCCATCGAACAGCCACTGCTGCATGTCTGCAGTTCATTTCTTCATCAACAGCCATCACAATATGTCTCCCTCCTCCCCCTCCTCCTCCTCTGCTCCTCTCTGCCCTCCCCTGGCTGAATTTTTTTCCCCTGTCTTTTCTACACTGTCACCAGGAGGCTTGTGGCTAGAGCTGGGTAGTTACGTAACCACTGCAGCAGCGTGCAGGACGCTGTGTTAAATCAGGACTGAGTCCCAATGTGTGTGTTTGTGCTTATAGGTGATGTCTATTGTTAAATGTATGTTTCTACTTAGCAGAAAAAAATGGAGGAAGGATCTTTCCTGAACATTCAGATGGTCTCTCTGTTTGTGTCCCTTTGTTTGTTTACAGCTGCTCATGATCTGTCTGTGTTTACCTGTTCTTCAAGAGGGACATTTGGTCTGAATCTACACAAAGTGTTCAGCATGTTTGGTTCAGGAGAGCAGCTGTGATGATGACTGTGGATGAATCAGAAAGATGTAAAGAGTCGGCCTTTAGCCATGTTTGTGGATCATGCCTAAGCTAAAATGCTGTTGTACTTTTGCAGGCTTAACGTTTACCATCTCCTCCATTGTGCATTCAAACATGATTAGTTGTTATAGAACAGCTGAGAGTGGTGGTACTGTAGTTGCTTTTGCTTTTTTGGGTAATTTGACCTTTGATTTGATGATGCAACTACGCTGAATATCAGAAAAACCTTAAAAGAGGGGCTGCAAACTCAAACAGGCTCAGGGCCACTGTTTGTAATGTCACCACAAAAGAGAGGCCACTTCAGATATCAAGTACTACGAAAAAAGAGACATATTTCTGAAAATAGAATTATATATATCGTGGATTATTTTTTCACACTTAACGGAAAAAACTCCAAGGATGAATCTTCAGCGGTTATAGTCCTTCAAAACATGACTCTTTCCTTATGCAGGCAGTGATATCACTCAACTCTGCTCTGACAAACTCCAAGAACCTGACCTTTAGCGCCTTAAGCTTTTGGCACGTAGAGGACAAAACAAGCGAAGACTGCTTTGTCCACAAGGGGGTGCCAAAACTGACACAAACTGAAGGTTTTTCCTTCCTTACAGGAGCTTTAAATGATGCTTCATTGTGTTTTTATTTTTTGAAAATTAATTCTGTATGAAAGGAGCTTGAAAAAAATAAAAAAAACATAAAAAATCAGCTAAACTAGACTCCTGCCTTAAAAGTAAGTAAAGTTCATTTTTGGTCATTTGTTTAATTGTTGAGGAGAAAAAACACAGAGAAAAAAAAACATAGAGATCTATCTCATGAAGGTGTTAGAGGAAAATCCAGTCTCTGAATTGGGTCAGAATTATATTCCTTAAACCATGATTGTCTCTTTCAGTACTAAAGAAATAGACATTCCCCCCAAGAGCCATGCAAGTAACGAGGAACAATAGGTTCAGTATCAGCATTAGAAAGACAGATACCAGTCTGAGGTCAGAGACTGTTTTTTTTTCCCCAACTGCTTCTTATAATTTCACACAAAATCGTCGACCTTTCAGGGACAGTTCAGTCAGAAAGAAGTCAGAGCTCTGTGGTTGCCTCAAATGCTGCATATACGATTCATAACCCTCTTTGTCCTGTCCACACTGCATAAACTCAAATCTGAGCAGGCGTTTTTGTCTTATTTCTTGTAAAAAAATGTCATCAATTTCAGCCACTTTTAGCTGACAAGTCCAGAAAAATATCTAATCTCAAGATATTATACACCAAAATAGGACCAGGGTTACAAAAACTGCAAATGGGATAAAAAAAAAAATAAAAAAAAAATAAAAAAACAAACTTGAAGTTCATGATCATGTTCAAATCCTGGCAGATTTTTGTACTTATTACAACTCATTTTAAGCCTAATTGGACTTTTTCAAAACTAAAAAGAAGACACAACCTCTTGTTTAGATCTGATTCTTTGCTGAGCACTAGATTCACTGAGTGTTCTTGCTCATAGTAGTATTCTTTTATTTATTCGTGGTTCAACACACAGTTCCATGGCCATCCAAGAGTTGAAACTCCTCCAACAGTCGGTTACCTTAGTGAAAAGATCCAAATAAAAAAGACGGTGTACTAATAGAGGGATGCCTCTATTCACGTCTGCACAGTGCTTTAATTTGTAGTAATAGTTGTAAACAAGGTTAGAGAGACAGTGAGTCATGTCATCAGGGCTGTGGCTCATTGATTGATCTGCCTGAGCAGCTCATTAGATGATGTTTTTCAGCCCCCTGTTGCTACTTAAATCAAGAACAACTACTATTAAATTACCTACTGTCCTCTATTGTGTTTCGGAGCTGTTGCAGCACTTCCACAGAGCATTAAAACCATCAGCCAAACACTTTCCTAGTGCAGGAAGACATTCGAGGTCACGGAAAGGTAGAGAGGCAAAGTCAGAGCTTGTGTGCAGAGTAGTTGGAGAGAGGGGGAGTAGAGAAACAGAGGCTGCTTAATGTGAAATGCCAAGACCTGTCACTGTGTGTCTCAGGAGTTTTGTTGAGTTAAAAGGAAGGAGTTTAACTTTGGTATTGTAGTTTCTAACTTTGATAGACTCCGAGCATGCTAATGGATTTTGACTTTTATGTCAGTTTACCAAAGTGACGCTTGTGAAACTAAGATATCAGCAATTTTACTCGACTTTTCATATTCATTTGTGAGGGTAGAGAAGTTTCTGACCTCCTGATTTTACCTTCAGCACCACAACAGCTTTTCATGAAATGTGATACAGACAATGATACTTTCCTCAGGGACTAAAAGACACGTCTTTTCATCGAGCACAGAGATCCAGGTTTAGCTATTTTCTTATTTTCTGTCTGCTCAATTTGCAAATCTAGTGACATTTTCATCCACCTCTGAGGTATTTGTGTCTCATTAAGCAAATGTCGACAGCTAGTCTCAAAAGGAAGATAACAATGAGTCATTAAAAGGAGGCCACCATGCTGGGGTTAGCTTTTAGCTTAAATAACAGTTGCATGTAAGTTTAGCCTCACAGAGCTGCAGGGATTGGGTTCGACTAAATCATCCCTGAACTGACATATTACATATTCACAGTTTTATTTTCTATTGATTATAATAAATATTGAATAAGTAACAGTCATGTTGCAGCTTTTTTTCTATCTCTCAGTTTTATTCTTTAATCAAAGTTGATTATATGACCCTCTAAGTCAGTGGTTCTCAGCTGGTCTCACTCTGGGACCCACATTTTCCCATGGTCCTTAAGTCGTGACCCACGACAAGACCTTTAAAGACTCTAATCTTTAACATAAATCCACTTGTTTTATTGAGTAAAGTGCATTTCAGAGCACATGAAGAAGACAACATGAGGACGGCAACATCAAATATTTGCTTTTTTGACCAGCTGTCCGTGACCCATCCAGAACGTGTCTGCGACCCACTTTTGGATCGGGACCCACCAGTTGAGAACCACTGCTCCAATTGGCTTTACTATTTTGTTATCAGTTTCATTCATGCACTATAACAGCCTGTATATGTCGATTTTCTCCTGTCAAATTAAGTTCTAAATCATTATTTCACTTCTTCATAATGATTTATGAACCTTTGCAAATGTATGAATGTTCTCTATAAGAGCATTTCAACCCTCTGGTAATGCTGGACAGTCCTCAAATCAAACAAAGAATTGAAGATTGCCCTGAAGTGCAAATATTTTATGTGCTGTCAGGTGACGGGCGGCCTCGTGCTCCATCACTTAACCTGCTCCACGTGACCTGTAGCTGACCATGACCTCTCTATTCCTCCAGAGAGGAGAACATTTCACATTTCACCAGCAGGACCTGATATAAAATTAATGCTTCCGTGGTCTTTTTTATTATTTACATCCCAGCACTTATCAATTATTGTGTGGTCTGTTGTTGCGGGAGCTGAGCGGCAGCACACCTTGCTGAATCACACACAAAAAAAAGGTTTGGATGTAAACAGGCTGCAGGAAAAGGAGGACCCCTCCACCCACCATCCAAACACAGAACAAACAATGATGCAGAAACCTGACTCTCTTGCAGCAGAGATAGTCATGATCAGATGGCTGAGTCATCCTGCACTTGTTTTCTTGAAATCTTGACCCACACATCCTGCACAGGCGAAGAGAGCTGTGGTCTCTGTGGACTTGGTTGCTATGTTGCAATATCCGATCGGCGTTATACCGTAGAGTAACTGTAGATCTGAATGAGATGAGTCTATGAGGAGATAAAGAGATCTTAATTAGCAGAATATAGGATACAGTATTTTCAAAGTTTCTACAGATTACAAGAGACGTCTCTAAGGTCCCAGAAAAAGAGCATGAAATGATGTGTTTTAAATAGTTATCCATTTTAATCTCTTTGTCTTTTAACCTTTTATTACAGAGCATTAGTTGTTGGATCCTCTCATTTGTTTACTGAGTTTTTTAATCATTTCCTCCGAACCTCCCACACCCTCTGAGGCCCACAAGTGTAAGACTCAATATAAAGGTCAGAACTTTGTTTTCTCTTAGTACCTGCTCCATTAATTATCTCACTACCGCATTAGTTTATCAGATGGCCCCTGCATGCTCTTGTTACACCACACTTTGCTTTGTGATACTGCTGCGCATCAGTATTAATACTGATTTTTATAATATTTTATCTGACGTAGAAGAAAATATTCTGCATGCACTGTATAATTCTAAAACAAACTTGTAGTCTATGTGATGATGAGATCAGATAATCAGAAATTCATTCTCCCTGAAGACCAAAGTGATCAGCATCTTCTCAACATTCAGTATGCGTTAGGACTCGAGGACCTTCCTGGCTGTCATGATATCAGATATCATCTTATAGTTACTGTTGTCATAAAATGTCAGAATCATATTATCCCAACAGTCATGAAAATAAAGTAACACAATCAGTCAACCTTAGTGAAGGTAAGCCAAGGGAGGAGTTATAAATTACCTTATAAACTTAACTAAAAACACGACCCCGTTACATTTCATCATTCTTTCTAATTTTATTCAAATTTATGTTTCATCCACATCATCACCAGTTCTGAGACCAAAACTTATTTAGAGCAGACACTGACCTAAAAAAAGAGTTGCATGCTTTTATTTTGATATTTTTTCAATCTGGTGTTAAGTTTGCTTTGTTTCCTGCATGGTGAAACTATGCTTTTATTTTGAAGTTAACTACTTCTAGTCAATCAGAACTGAAAGTAAAGTTACATCAGCAGTTAGGGAGTACAAGTGTTGACTGATTGTTTTTGGAATCACAATGAATCTCGGAAAGTCCCTTTTTTTTAAGGTGCTTAATCGTCTCTCAAAAGGTGCTGCAGGTATCTTGCTAGCAAGCTTCTACTTCCTCGTCTGTGTTCCCTTGATAGACATCTGGCCCAGCATAAAGAGTACTACTTTAAACCCACAGTGTTACCCTATGATTATCTTCAGCCTGATATCAATGATTAGATTTTTTTAAAGACTGTTCCAGTAAATGCCGGTGTATTGAGACAGCCTCACTCTGAGGGATAACATGACTCAAATTGGATAGCACATGGTGACTGTTCATTGGGGGTTCAGCGTCTCTGAGGTAGAGCTTTCCTCTGCAGGTTTTGCCTGATCTAATGCTGAATGCCTCATCATCTGCAGGGATTCATTTTAGTATAAATATTCGACCTCCCTATGGAAACTTATTTTAAACCTTTGTAGTTGCTATCTTGAGTTGTCTGTAGGTAATGACCAACAGTAGAAATCAAGCCATTATTTATACTTTTGTCCATATTCTTTCAAAACTCAGCAGTTTCAAAGTCCTTTCATACACCGGTCTACATTTAAAGCTGTTTTAGGTGCTCCCCTCTGTTTGGAGGGCTTATTTTCAGCTAATGTAGGGGATAGGAGGAACATTAGGTGCTTTTATGCAGACTCTCTGTCTGGATCAACATGTCGGTTCAAATCTGACTCTCTTTCTGTATGCCCCAGTAAGCAGTAAAGAGGGCTCCCTGCACAACACGTCCAGCTGATAAACACAAGAGCACCCTCACTCTTTTCCATCACTGCTTCTCCTTCAACTCCCATATCTTTTATTTACTGCTTTGCTTCCAGTTACTGGGCCTTCTCCTCTTCATCACTCTCTCTTGTGGTTCAGTGTGCTCTCACACTTCACAAGTTCCTTTGTGTGTATGTGTGTGTGTGCGTGTGTGTGTGTGCTGCATCTTCCTCTTGTCCAGAGTCCAGAGTGTCGGTCACATGTCCAGTTTAATGACGGCCTCGGCTGTTACGATGTGTGTGAAGTCTGCACAAGGCTGCTCTGTCTCCTGGCAACATCCAACAGCCTGCACTGTGGGATGAATCACATCTCTGTCCTGATGTGTTCAGCTGCCGTTCTGCCCCTATGGCTCTCCACATACCACTCTGGAACAGTCTGGCTGTCTCACATGCTACATGTTACACCCTGACCCCACCGCAGACTCTCGCAGCCTTCGTCCTCTCTTCTCCTTTCCTGTCATGACCCTCCCTGCCTCCATCTCAATCTCCATCATTGCATCCACCCCTCTTTCCTTCGCCGTAGCTGTTTCCCCTCGCTCATTTCTTATGAAAAGACCTCCCTCTGCCTCTCCTTGTGTGTCCTTTTTCTCTGTCGGTACAAAAGGAAAGCATGCTGTGCATATCAAATAGAATCCGCCATTATCAAAATGCATCAAACAGCAGCTACTGTATATGAAAATAACAGCTGAGGGCTTGACAGGCCACTTTAATGCTACCACGTATGGTGTAATAGAAGGACCTACAGAGAACAGAAGCCAGACTCTTATAAATAATAATCATATGAAAAGGATTGTAGCATTTAAATGTAGAAGGAAAAAAAAAGCATTGAATAAAGTCTAGACGGCAGGCAGGGTCGAAACTTGTAAAACATACTGTAAAAGCAGAAAGCCTTCAACAGCTAGAGCACAGTACAAAGAAAAACTGGCACAAATACAGAGAGGGAGAAAAGTCTCCATTCACAGAGAAAGTGAAGCTAATTAGACACAGGTGTACCTAATCAGGCAGAAGTAAAACTAATCAAACACGTGAGAAGAACGGAGGTGGCGCACACATCAAACAAAGAGGAAACACACAGCCAGGAAGGAAACTTAGTGCTTATTCATGGACTAAAAAACTAGCCAGAGTTGGATTTATAATTATTAAGTTTGAAATGTTGACGAGCAACTTTTTAGTTTAAGTCTTTTGGGACTGTTAAAACAAGAATCAAAACTGCAATTTGCTGAATTTCAGCAGTCAAAGCAACAGTCAGGAACTTGGTGGCTAGTGCTGTGGCTACGACCCTATATGTACTGTTGATGAAGTTAGGTGCTGTTCTGAGTACTATTTGTGGCTATAGAGTGGCGTTTTGGTTGAGGTTTGTTTATGGCTCCTCAGACCTCTATGTATTGCTATCATGCGGTAGTTACTCAAGTTGGTATAATTAAAGAAGCAAGCGGTCAGCAACATTCATCTCTGGAGGGGGTTTCTAACTCAGTGTTACGGTGTGTTTGACCCTAAATTAATTTTACACCCGAATATCCCTTTAAGTAGTGACCTTTGATGAGAAGTATTACTCTGCTGAATTTAGACTGTTCAGTGATTAATTCATTGTGAATAGGAGGGAAACAACTCTCAAGTGTTTTGCCCAAAGGTCTGCTGGTTTCTGTGATGGGGTTGCACCTGTATGCTCAGCTAAGAGATGGAAGATGATGCACAAAATGGGGTGAAAATGTAATTTTGTGTATTTTATTACTTCTGACTTATATACTGAGCTTCTGACAGTTTTCGTTGAAATGTGCCGTTCAAGAGCGCCAGGGTGTTATTTTCCATTATAGACGCAGCTGCAGCTTGGCTATGGTGTGCTGAAAAGGAGAAGGTAGCACATGGTTAGAAACAAATAATGCATTAATATTTAACATCAATCTCGGAAACAGTTTAATATTTTTTTCCTATTTATTTACCTTAGACTAGTCAGTGCCTTGAAAAAGTATTCATACCCCTTGAATTTGTCACTCTACAACCACAAACTTAAAAGTATTTTATTTAGATTTTTTTTCATAGACCAACACAAAGTCGCACATATATGCGAAATGGAATGAAAATGATACCTGGTTTTCAAAAATGTAAACAAATAAAATTCTGAAAAGTTTGGTGTGCATTTGTATTTAGCAAAATAATATGATAAAATGTGAAAAAGTTCAAGGGGCATGAATACTTTTCAGGGCACTGTATACACATGTGAGTACTTTAAATTTAAATATATGCCAGTAAACTAAATTCCCTTTGTGATCCTCGGTTTCAGATCGGTGTTGTTAATCAGCATCTCCTAACAAACATTACAGTGCTCTACATTACAAAGTGCTCATTCTTAATTCTGTAAGGTAGGTTATCTAATCAGCCAGGACAAAATGAGCTTGATAGTGTGCAGGAGTAAAGTTAGTTCATCTCTCTGAAATCTCCTTACTGTAACAAGCTTACCTGTTAGTTGTGGTTCCCATTCAAGGCTTTAAATGTCTTGTCAACTTTGGACCCTCTGACTGTGTCAAGAACACTCGTCTCCTTTGAACCAGAGGTTTCTTTTAACCTCCTCAGCAGGTTTTATGAATATCAGGCATTAACAGCATTTACGATATTGCTGCAGTCTCAGGAGGGGACTGCTGTGCGTGTGTGGAGTGAAGTTTTGATAAATAGATATCGGGAAACTCCTCACTTGTCAAATTCACACATATACTAATCCACATGTCTCTGTGCAGAAGTGTTGATCACAGCTGAATATCAAAGTTACACATCATTCTCTCTACTCTGTCTCAGTGTTTCAGTCATCCTATCCTCTTCTTTGCTCTTCTCCCAAGCTAGCACCCTCCCCCTCTAAAGCTATTCAAGTGGCACACTGCAGGATTATCCCTCAGCCTCTGAGACACGCTGGTTCTGTCAGACTTATCGTCTTCGCTGGGTTCACTCTTGCCACAGAGGTTAAGGCTGCAAAAACACTTTTTTTTTCATGAAGTAACTCTAAAGGAAATAATCGGACTGCTATTTGTGCATCCACAGGGAGTTACCGAGGAGTTGTGTGTTTGGTTTTTAAAATTGTGGGATTGTTTTTTTTAATTTTTCAATTATGGAGTCAACAATGGTGAGTGAATGTGCAGAGAAATGTTACTAACTAATGTGCAAAAGTTTTAAGTGTTTTGGTTTGTCAGTTTCAGACAGCAATACCGCCTCTGTGATCACAACAGACTCCCAAAAGACTGAAAATTACAAAAGTAATGGTTTTGACAGCTGCAAGTGCTTTGGCGAGTTGAGTGGGCTGTTAACAGTTTCAGACTGAAAGATACGACCACGTAGACAAACGTGTTGTTCGCAGACCAAACATTTCGTCTCACTCAGGCTGTATGGACTGTCATGGATTCTTTTGATGTGTTTGTTTTGTCTGTTTGTCAGACATAACCTACTTTCCCCGTCCGTCATTTTATTATACTATTTGTTTTGCGAGAAACATAAGAACCAGCGCTGTGACTTTCACAACAGTGAATGGACCGGGGAATAGGAGGTGTGTTCACAGCCATTGAGGTGGATTAACCTCAATAGCTATGGAATAAGCCCTTCTCCACAATGTTTACCACTCCCAATTCCCCCCACCCTGTTCTACCCCAGGGGGCACATGACAGTCACCCACAATGGACCAAAAGTGAGAATTCATTGTGTTTTCTCTCTGACAGAGTAACGTGAGCCTGACTTCAATGTTCACATTGGCCCTGGAAATGATGAAGTGTGTCAGTTCTTTTGAAGCAAATGAATGTTTTCGAAGTTAATTATGTTTGCAAATTTACGTATATCTATCAAGGCGATGTAGTTATTGCACTGCAGTCTACTCCGAGATTTAATCAAATGTCTGATGTGCTATCGAGGAATAATCATGTTAATCCAACTTCCTCCCAAACATCATCAAGTGTGAGTTGGTGTATGTGTGTGAATTAAGTTAAATTTGTCTGCTGGAGTCTTGGGTTTTATTATGAGCTTTGACTCTGGCATTGTGCCGAAGCTTAACCAGCTTTGATGTGAATAGGTGTTGTAGTCACGGATGCAGACACTACATGGAGGACTCTAATGATTGGCAGGTAGCTGGTCCACTGGTGTGGGTTTGTTGCTGGGATTAAGGTCTGCTACTTTAGGGCTGCTTACCTGCGTGAGGCCTTCTTGTATTAAATCTGAGTTTTCTCTTCTATGACTTTAATTTTTTTTTTTTTTAGGGTTGTTGGAATAAACCGCTCACTTTTTGTCTACAAAGTTTGAATTTCAGACAATTGGTGCCTTAAACTTTTGTAATTTTTTTAAGAGCATCAGTCCGTTTCTTATCTTGCTGTGTTCCATTGTATTGTATCGTACTGTATGTAATGGGTCTCAGCACCAAACGCACATCATCTTCAGAGGTAGCTTAAGTAGGAAAGGCTAATTCCTGATGGAAAAGTTCAAAATTTTAGGAAACACATAGAAGCTGACAAATGATTGTCTCACAGTAAACATAGAGCAGCAGCCAGTGGCCATTTAGCTTAGCTTAGCATTGAAAACAAGAACGTTTTTTTGGCTCTTTAGATAAAGCCACAATTGCCTGCCTAGTCTAAGTTGCTAAACTGAGCAAGTGTTCACTAAAATCAAATCATTTCTCTGTAGCTATAACTTTTCATTTACACTGGCTAATTTATGTCCTGCTTTGAGTGTTGTTGGGGTTGAGTCCATTTCCTTAGAGGTCAGTGTGGTATGACCTCTGTCAATGCTAATCTGTTCGGTAGGTTGTGTGGAAAGCTCAAGGAGTGAAATGAAGCATAAGCATCAATTTGACATGGTAAACCGGGTAAAGCAAGAAGTTGATTACTAAAATTAGCTTTAATTTGACTGAGGCTTGGAAAACTTGAATATCCTGAGTCCATTTGCAGTATAGCTCAGAAAATACAAGCACTTCTAAACACATCAAACAAGACGAAAATCTGAAATAATTCACAGCGACTGTTAGTAGCCTAGTATTGAATTTTACCCACTGCAAACAAAACAGACCAAGAAGCCTGTCTATTGCAGGTGTTGTTGATGTTTGATGCTAGCAAAGGGATATTAAATATGTTATATACTACTTTTGTGGCTAACGTTAGCATACTTAGGTAGACTGATATTTGAGATGGCTGAATGCTGACACTGTCATAACCGTGTGATGGTAGCTTTGCATTTACCATGTGTTGGTATTTATTTAAATTATTGGTTTTGGCAGATGTTCAAGTGGATTTTCCCTGTCGGCTTCTTGTTGTTAGTGAAATAGAGAAGTGTCTACAGCACACCAGTAAGGCTCCACTTTTAAAAGGCCCAACCTTGAAGCACATTACTAGCTCATAGCAGCTTGATTTCACAGAATAATAAACCCATTTTGGTCCATTTTGCTAGTTTTTGTATACTCCATGTTTGTGAATTTTCATTGAACTCCCTCTCTGAAGTTTTCTTGTTGTGCATAAGGAGGGGTGTGTTGGCTTTGAGTGACTGTTTGGTCCTGCTAGCTGTTTGCCAGGTATCAACACAACCAGTCCAGTCACTGAACTTCACCTCGTAGCCATATTTGTGTTGTAAGAGCCTTTAGGGATTTCTTTTCATGCAAATATTGGACATGTAATGTGGCTTGCTGTGCGGGTTCATTGTACAAACTAGAAGTTTAAGAAGTCTGCGCTCCAGCTTCCCGGTGAGTAAGAATAATCATGCCAGTAATACCTGACAGGTTTTGATGCCTATACTCAATTATGTGACTTGCAGGCTTGTGTAGTGGTTGTATTACATTAATATTTTTGTGATGGAAAGTGCATATGACTCAAGATTTGTGTGGAATTTCTCAGTAGCGTTTAGCCGCTTTAAAAAGAACATAAATTGCTGTGGACCACTTTGCTGCTGATCTCTTTGCAAAGGAGAGGCTCAAGGTGTCTCCGTATCAGACTTTGATGTTGAATCTGCTAAATCATGAAGTACTACTTTAGCATTTTCTCTTCTGTAATCACTTCAAGAGCTTCGTCTGTTAAGAGCCCTGTAGACTGCAGGGATGGCTGTAACCAAGGCCTTTGATAACACAAAGCTTGGCTGAGATAGTCGATGTAGAAACACACTAACTGAGCTAGAATAGACTGACTGTTCTTCAGCTGAGGCCAGAAAACAATAATTCTGGGTACTTTTGTTCCTCTGTTAACCTCAGATGAGTTGACCCTCTGTGAAAAAAAAAAACATTATGTCTCGAAGGAGCTGCTTCTAAAATGACTCTCCCTCTCCGACCTGACCTTTTACCTCCACTGCATCTTATTTTTTGGAGGACATTTATGTCGTCGAATTGCATCTTCGGAAAGTGAGGTCAGGCCTGCTGAAATGAGCCTAACGCGGAAAGTCATTTTTCATGACTCATTCCAGGGATGAAGGCTAGTGCAGAAACGAATTTGCTCTTGTGTGTGAGGGGAAGTGAAAGGGTGAAGCACAGCACAGAGGGTGCTGGAAATGTTCGAACAAAACGCTCCTTGATGCATAAGACTGTAAAATGCAGACTGAGCGTATTATCTGAAATGACCACAAGTTATCATTCGGCAAGAACGCTTAATTTGCTCTGTTCCTGATAAGAACAAATCACTACATTGTGCTCTAATGGGACATTTTCTCAAACTCGTTTCAGTTAAAATAAAGTTGGACTGTATGCAGAGTTTGTTAGAAACCACAGTCGCATACATGCCATTTTTAAGATCAGGAAAGCACGTCTCGGCTCAGATATTATTAACACAACCTTATTAATCATGTCACAGACTCTAGTGCTCCACCAAGTTGGTTGTTGCAGGGCAATAAAGACCTCTCCGTCAAGAGAAAGCTATTAGTCATGTGAGCAAAATGGATTAGGCTTCAAACAGAGGTCAATACCAATATAGCATCCTGCAGTCTCCTCTGCTTTAACCAGGGTGGTAGGATATCGACAAGAAGTCAAGTAGATAAATATAAATCACCTTAAACGCTGGAGGAAACCCAGCAACAACTGTGGTCAATGGGGTTTACAAAGTAAAAGTAATTAAAGCATATTATTTAAGGACACTATTAAGTTAAAAATCAATATATTGATCTTTCTATCCGTGCTTTTTCAGGATTTTTGGGTTTGCAATTACAAAATCCCCTTTCCCCCCTTAAATTGGATGAGCAAATCTATCTAAAAGGCATTTCTATTTCCACAGCTATGATAAAATAGACACTAAATTGACGAGTATGAAACAATAAACACGCTCTGTACACTAAAATAGCAAGAACAAACATGACAGGCAAAAAACACACAGGCACATATTTAGTAATGTTCACAAGGAGATTATACTACTGTGCACACAAGATGCAATATGGACTTCTTGGTTGCACGGTTAAACATGTGCTCTGTGTGTGTCTCTCAGATGTAATGTGTCAGAGGAGTGTGTGTCTGCCCCGTGGATGGATTCAGGGTCAGAGCTGTGTGATGGTGGTGTGCTCCACTCTCTCTTGCTATTTTTCTAGGACACACCACTATAAGAAGCTCCTTCTTATTCCTCAGGGCACAGCAGCACTGTATGCATTGAGAGGAGCAGACTATTTTTATCTCATTATTATAAACGTCTCGAATAGAAACCTCACACTGCACAGTTACCTCCTGTATGCATAGGAAAATGGCTACATTGCTTTCTCGTACAATGTTTGGCAATGTCTCCCACTGTGCTGCTTTGTCTGTGTGTTTGTGTAAATAATGGAAAGCTGTCTGACGTTGTCCTTCTTGTCTCTTTTCAGTGCATGAGGAACCCAGCTCTGCTGCAGAGGACAGGTTTAGTCATTAGAGTGCTTTGCCACATCCAGGAAAATGTCTGGCTCCTACGATGAATGTGTTGGTGCTGACGACACCATGGACAGCTTCTGGGAGGTACGCACTCACCAATCTGTCTCTTCTCTTGGCTTTTCATAAAAAAGATACTCCACCTGGTAATTGTCATGTAGTGATAAGGCATCTGGAACCCAAAGGAGTCGAAGCTGTCGCATCTGGTTTCAAAGTTATTGACATTTAAACATCAAATAAATCACATAATGCGGGGATAATCTGCTGGCTTTAGTTTCATATTTAACCGCATATAAAAGAAGTATATTTTCCTCCTTAAAATGTCAAAACACTGCGAAATAAAAAGCATTTTAATGAGGACCTGATTTGTAATTGCTTCATTATAATTCAGCTAAAAAATATCTCTGTTGTTTGTAGTTTTGGTCACATTATTACGGTCAAATCAAGCAGTGATTATTAGTCTTATCAAGAGTGTAAATTGTGCATTTATGATACATTGAAACAAGGGGGAAAAGGCTGAGCGTGTTAAAAATAAGACTCTTGCCCTAGTGTCATTTATCCAGCTAACATTTACTTCTATAGCTCACTCAGTGTTATACCCACTGAGCAATAGTCGGCTATTAGATGTCTATTTTTTTTTTTAAGACCTAATTTCAGCCGTCTGCATTCTGTCTATTTTTAGATGGGATTTAGACGTTGCACTTTAACCCGTTATTCAATAACTATTTATTTTAAAAAAGCAACTGTGAGTTGTACAACTGATCTCCAAGTACTTAACCAAAATAAATATGATAGCCGTTGAGCAATATACAGTGTAGTATAGATATAGCCCCGATTTGGATTTAGTCTAAACTTGGTCTAAATTTAGATGTCTAAAAAAACGTTTATTTTTAGACCTGTGTTAGCCTGATTTTAGACCAGTCGTCTAGGCTACATTTAGACGTCTATTAGACCTCTTTTAGACCGAAGAATGCTCAGTGGGTACTTTCTTGTATTGAAAAAAGCACAAAATAGATTTGTTATAACCTTTATAATCATATTACATCAAATATAAGCTGCAAAGTCTTTTCCCATTCATATCAGTTGCAATTCTTTTGTATATCTTAAAAAAAAAAAAGTATTTGGCGACTGTGAGAAAGTGCAGGAAGTGAGAAAATGCCACAGTTGTTTTCTTTCTGCTATCTATTATGGACTCACTGGATGTATGACAGGGAGCATCATAACAAGCACCAACATCGTACAAGGTCAATCCATCTTCACTTGTGTTGAGATAAAGTGTATGTGTGTGTGTCTGTGTGTCCAACAAATTAGTGTTAATGAATTCCCTCAGTACAGAGTCTTCTTTGTGTAATGGCTCTTAGCCACAGAGACTCAGACAAAGAGCCTCAGTCATCAGCGGCTCTGAGGAGGCCTTTCACCACATGCACCTGCCTATAGCATCTCTATAGTGGCTGCATAGCTCTTCATAGTTTGCAGAGTTTACCATCAGAAACACTAAAATATAACCAACCGTGCTGAGAAATAAAACCTAACTGTGTAATGATCCCCACATAGTGCTCAGATCTAATGCAAAAACACAGGCTCATGTGTGTTTTCATGTGTGGAATTGGTCCACCCGTGTGTTGTTGTTGGTATGACTCTGCAGTCTGCCACACGGGCCAACACACATACCGTCACACACCTGTACACCTGTCTCACTGCCCCCCCCCCATGCAGAACCCTCATCCCAAATAGTATACACACATGCATGTTCATGTTTGGACCAATCACAGCTCTGCGTTGGAGGTATGTGTGTCTGTGTGTGTGTGTGTGTGTGTGTGTGTGTGTGTGTGTGTGTGTGTGTGATGATGGATGTGGATGTATGCACATGCATCCCGTGGTTTCTGTGTATTTCTGTCTCTACCTCGTCATCCATCCCCGAGAATCTGTCTGCTTGCATTACAACGCTCAAGAGGATTAAAGCAGTCTCTCTCTCTCTCCCTCTCTCTCTCTCTGTCGCGCACACACAGACATGAACACACACACAAACACAGGCCCATGTCATTGCATAACTACACATGCACAGGCACGAGTAAATCCCCCCTCCCCCCTTACTACCCTCCCTTCATCATGCACCATGAGCTCACGCCCCCTGCAGGCAGTAAAGAGGCGGAGCCACACAGCCTGGCACTGTTATTTTTTTTAAGGAGGTCTTGTTTAAGGTGGCAAGAACAGGGAACTATAGTGTTTATGAGATAGTGGATAATAAAAATATAAAGCTTTACTTTTATGATTGTTATTGTACTCGGCGTAAAAAATCTCTAAATCCAGTTCTTGTGCTTTTTTTTTGATACAGTTGATTAATACCTGAGAGGACAGGTTTGTTTTCTGTCATTCAGCCTGTCTGTCCTTCTGTTGTCAGGTGGGGAATTACAAACGTGCTGTCAAGAGATTTGACGATGGCCATCGGCTCTGCAATGACCTTATGGGCTGCCTGCAGGAACGCGCTAAGATAGAAAAAGCCTACGGTGATCAGCTAACTGCCTGGTCCAAGAGGTGGAGGCAGCTCATCGAGAAAGGTCAGCATTCAGGGCCGGGTCAATAAGATAAATACCACAACAAATTGATGAGCTGACCCTGTTGGTCTGATATTAACTAATACACGGCTCTGTGTGTTGCTGGGGCTTCACAGGTCCACAGTATGGCTCGGTGGAGAGAGCCTGGCTGGCTGTGATGACCGAGGCGGAGAAAGTGAGCGAGCTTCACCAAGATGTGAAGAACAACCTGATGAACGAAGACGTAGAGAAAGTGAAGAACTGGCAGAAAGAGGCCTATCACAAGCAAATGATCGGAGGCTTCAAAGAGGCCAAAGAGGCAGAGGAAGGATTCAAGAAGGCTCAGAAACCGTGGGCCAAGAAGCTCAAAGAGGTGAGAGAGAAGGAGAGAAACCTGTCTGAGTCATCATGAAATTAGAAATCTGTTTTCTGGCTTTTTCAGAGTTTGTACTTCTGATGATAATGTGTTGCTTTGTGCCCAGCTTTGCCACATCAGCTCATAGATCCTCCCCAGATTAAAGTATTACACGTATAGATATATTTGACATGTTATTTTCATTATATTTGATGATGATTGTACCCCAAAGTTTTGGATAAAACAAGTTTATGATAACACAGTGTGAAAACATCTTAACAGTGTAGAATTATCACCCAAATCCGCAGCCTACAGAGCATTAGATTGAGTTTAAGTGATGTTTTTATGTGCAAAAGCTCCAAGACAGACATTTAGCAGCTGAAGAGACAGAAACCGAAAGCAGAGCTAAAAAAGAGTGAGTTTTGGTATCTAACAAAACTTTAATCACACTTTAATGACCCAGTTGCTGCTGAGCGCGCTGCTATTAAGTTAGTCGTGTCAAGTTTCAGGATCTAATTTTGGAATAATCAGCGCCCCTCTATGACTCTGTCTTTGGCTGGCGGGTTTTACTGGAGCATGCCCTCACTCACAGCTCTGAGACAGTTCATTTGCATGTGATATTTTTAACAAAAAACTCTTTGAGGCACCAGAATCAGTCATTAATTGATTGTCAGTACAGCAGAGACTTTTCTCCCTCTCTTCCTTTAAGACACAAACACACACATGCGCCTTCTCCTGACATTACATAGCAAACATAAATGCATCACCGGTGTATTTATGTTCTTTGTTTATCCTCACTGTGGTGTTTTTATCCTAAATAACAAGACGGCTCATTTACTGGACATAAGCACATAATGCGGTTAATGTCCTGATACTGATCACATTAAAACAGAGTAGCCAGTCTGGACAAGGTCAGTCCTGTTTTGACTTGAGCAGATGTGACTCCCTTGTCCTCCTTTGGTCAAATCAGATCATGGTGTTTGGATACTGACAATGCCTGCGTTTGCACATGCAGATGGAGGCAGCTAAGAAAACATACCACATGGCCTGCAAGGAGGAGAAGCTGGCTGTTACCCGAGAGGCCAACGGCAAGACTGAGGCTTCTGTCACACCAGACCAGCAGAAGAAGCTCCACGAGAAGGTGGACAAATGTAAACAGGACACGCAGAAGGTGAGGAAGAAGGCTGCGGGGAAAGTTCAGATTCTTGTCAATTCTTCTTCTCTGTGTTGTTGGAAGATGGATGAAAAATAAACATGGAATTGATCTTTTCTAGATGAAATGTATGCACAACAACATGTTTGGTATATTTAAATCATACACATTTATTCAATCATTTCCTCTTACCATGCTGATACAAGCTCTCCTGACACTGTAATTCAAATGAACGGTTTAATATTTAATGTTGCGAAATATATATGCAGTGAAAAGGCAGGAGTAGAGTTTCCTATTTTAAATGCAAAACATGATTATAGAAACTAATAATAAGCAGTACTAAATTCCCACTGTGTCAAATGGTGTTTTAAACCCTTTGAAAATTAATATATCTCATATTTTTTATGCTAAAAACTGATGGCGCACACTAAAGCCTTCACTGCTTATCCTGAGGTCATTCATAAAGCCTGTTCCAAAGCAAGTACAATTAAAGTTAATTAACACTTAGAAAAAAATGAACATATAGATACAAAAAAAAACAGCTTGTAGTGACTATGCTGACCTGAGTTTTAGTCACTGTCTGGGTGCGGGAGTGAGGTGTTTTTGACACGCTTCTAGTACGATCCAGTGTCCAGTCCAAGGTTGTTGTTAAATTATATTTTTGCCATTTATCGATTAAATGAAAAGAAAACAAAAAAAAAAGACTGATATGTCCAAATTATGACAGTGGTGATGTACGTGATGAGGGTGAGAGTGGTCCGTCTGCTCTTCCCGTTCCCCAGATCACTGCTTCACCTGTATCCCTTTTGTTTGCCCTTTTACCTGCCCATTCACCTGAGGCACCCCCTGTGGTAATTGTGCGAGCAACAAAACAAAACAAAACACAAAAAATGATACAGATAAAATGGCTCATACACAGCTGTTAAAATAAACTAAACCTGTCTGGATCTTTGGATAACATGTTGTTGTTTTTCCGTCACAGGCTAAAGAGAAGTATGAGAAGTCTCTGGAGGAGCTGAACAAGTGCACTCCAGCGTACATGGAGAGCATGGAGCAGGTGTTTGATCAGTGCCAGCAGCATGAAGTCAAGAGGCTGACCTTCCTCAAGGAGGCGCTGCTGGACATCAAACGCCATCTTAACCTCACTGAGAACCCAAGGTAAGCATTGTTTATGTTTCAAAGAGCTGCGTTTCCTCTGATGAATGATTCAAAGAGGGGGGGGAAGAAAGACCCCAGAGACCCCCCTTTTATTTCATTCTCTTTTTTTTAACTGGATTGTAAAGCAAACATCTTTATTCTGTACCACATTTGAATTAGATGAGTTTGATTTGCTGTGTCACAGTCGGTACAGTTCTCCTCAAACTGATGGATCTTAACACTCCTCTACATCAGGCAAGCTTTTCTCATTAGTGTTCAGACTCACAGCATCAATTAAAGGATGATTCAGTCAATTACGTTTCTGCCAAACTAGATTTTGTTCACAGTGAATGCTTGTCATACTCCCCACCTGTAAGTAATAACAAAGCTGAACCCTTGAAAAGTAGTTTTAAATTTCTTTTAATGACTCTGCTGTGGATGATTACGTCTAATACGAGACTAAACCATGTTTTAATCTTTTAATTCTTGCAACTTTGCTTGTACAGTTGTAGAGTTAATCAAGGCTTAGTCATAGCTAGTAGTTTACAAGTGAGAATTGATTTTTTTAAGAAAAGGCGGCTTGTTCCCTAGACCTTCTCCTGGTTGACATATTGCATTACATACAGAAACAGTCAACAAACGAGCTCGGAGGAGGCTAACTTGTTGTAAGTTAAATAATGAAAACATGGACAAATTTATAGCTCTGTCTGGTCTTTGTCTGGTCTACTTCCGTTATTTTTCGTCTTCTGCAGAGGTTTTTGTTTGCTACTCAGCTTTCTTCTTCACATTTATACTGTTTTACTTCCAGGGCTAAGCCTGGTCTGGGAACTGTGGAGCATGTGCACGATTGAGGTGTAGACATGCAAGAAAAACCGACCCTAAACTAGGGCTGGGCGATAAAACAATAATGATATATATCAAAAATTAATTTACCCCGATATCGATATGAAACATGGTCAATGTGCTTTTCGATATCTGGCATTCTGCCATATTTTGGTAGACTATACGAATAGCCAATGAAAAGGGGAGTTGCTCTGGGTCCACGCCTCGCTGAACTGACCATTCAACGCCTTACGACAAAATTTCGAAGAGACACAAAGACCTCATAGATGCATTTGCTTATTGTATTGCAAAAGAATGTATTTTAGACTCTGGCTTTTTGATGTATTTGTGAGGAAAGTTGTTGAGTTAGATCATTTTTACATTTATTTATATTCTATATAAATAAGTCTGCCCAAACGGTATTCACAGATTAAGCAAGAAGTTTGATCTACTTTTCACTAGAAATAACTGTTAGCATAGTTTGGGGCAAATACTTTAGCTGCTGTGGGATTCTGCTTGAGCAGAAAACAGAAGGATTCACATGAGTCTTGTCCTGACCCGTTGTCTGATCTCTCTCAGTCCAGAATTTGAACTACACTGTGTGTTCTGGTGCCAAATTGGCAACAACCCCAGGTCTCTTCTGGCACCTCCAGTGTCACTATTTGTTTCATTTTCTCTCCACAGCTATGCCACAATATACAGAGAGCTAGAGCGCACGATCTTGGCTGCAAACACACAAGAGGACCTGAAGTGGTTCAGCAACAACCACGGCCCCGGGATGCACATGAACTGGCCTGCATTTGAGGTTCAACCTTAAATCTCCTCTCATTATTAAAGAAATCACGTCTTTCTTAAGTGAAATTATTTGGTGTTCTGCCTTCATGAGCTTTTCCTCTCATCTCCAGGAATACAACCCAGACCAGGCCAGTGCTCCTCCAAAGAAGAAGAAACCAGACGGGGCCCCACCCACTCCAAGCACCGACCATGTGGCGCCACCTGGTGACCGCAGCAGGTAAGTTCAAGCAATCAGTGTTAAACCACGACATCAGTCACGGTAGAGCACTCTGTTTAATCAGGACACTATATTTTCTAAAGACAGTCATAAAAGATTGACTGAAGACTGAAACACTGAAGTCTCATCGACTTTCATGCCTGAGCTTATTGGTCAACACAGTACCTTTAAACTGGTCACAAGATGGATTTTAATCTAATTTCTTGTTTATACAATGTATTTTTGATAGATTAAACTCTTTAAATAAAATAAACAAGTAAAAAAGATTGGTGGTATTTAAAGAAATTCAGTTTCCCAGGTGTAAATCCTTATTTCTTCTAAAAGACCGAATCTTCTCTTGACACGGATGGGGACTTTAGTTTTGTCTTTTCTTTTTGAGATCACCTAAAAATGTCTGTTTTAACATCAGTAAGAGGAGCAGGATGGTGTAGTCAGGATCTGTTCATAACGCCACACAGTGTTCATGTTCATCATTATTAATAATTTGATTCTCACGTTGTCCTGCGCTCCAAAACAAAGACCAGGGTTAGAGTTAAAAGAGTAAAAATAAGAACTGGAACTGAGCTTGTGTGTTTGGTTTGAGGGGTGTTGGTGTACCTCACATCTTACCCTGCGTTTTTTCTCTCCTCCAGTGTGAGCAGCTATGATAAAAACCAAGCTTACTCAACCGAGTGGTCTGATGATGAGCAGCCTGCCGCATACTCCGGTAATGAAAACGGAGGGAACGGGAATTCATTCGAGGATGATTCCAGCTCCGGCAAAGGGGTTCGTGTCCGTGCTCTGTATGATTATGAAGGCCAGGAACAGGATGAGCTTACCTTCAAAGCAGGTAGGTCACAGTGACCAGACCAGTGATTGACTGTCCTGATTTTAACTCTGAAGCTCCCTTCCCCTGCGGTCAATAGCAGTAGACGGTCAATAATAGCCATGTGGAAAACAAATTACAGGTACTTGCCACCAATCAACTGAAGCTCTTTGTGAAATGGTGTGAAAAGGGGCTTTTGAGTTCGACACGAATAAATGACCAGCAGTGAAAAGACAAGCGGAATAATAACTGCTGCAGCAGCCACAGCTGTTTCCCTCTATTCCTTAGCTGAAAATCTCAACTCTATTTTGAAATGGTTTTCAAATATAGCAAAAAAATAAGCAAATACTCTGTTACTTGAAGCAAAGTTTTCTAAATTTAGTGTTGAATGGTGCTGCCTATTTATAGAGACTGTGATTCAGTGCATGTCCTCCCCACATTTCTTAACCCTTGTCATCAAATAAAGGCAAAAAGCCAGACAAGATAATCTTACAAAAACTGTGTTACTCACCATGTTGCATGCATGTGTCCTTGAGAGTTGTAAAACTGTCTGCAAACCTTTCACAGCTGACTTTAAAGATATCATAAGACCAGTTAATCTGCCGCCTTGCTCTTATATCTTTCCCTTGCGTCTTGTTGCGGCACTTTGTTGCTTCAATCAGCACTTTACAATCACCTCTAGCTCAGTGTCAACGTGCGTAACCAATGGTAGGATGTGAAACTCATCACACGTGTGCTTACACTCGCTGCTTGGTGTGGTTGGAGGTGTAACAGAGCCGACTTATGACTGCTCCCAGCAGCATCAGAGGGTGGGATCAGACGTAAAATTAATCTAGACCTTTAAGGGAAAGAAGACAGCAACTTATCGCTCTACACTCTTATACAGCTACCTTAGAATTTGGCTCATTTTAGCCAACAATGACAGACAGAAATCAGAAGAATAGTTTAGCTGTGTTATTTCTGTTCAAGCAGAGGTGAAATTATACGTAGGACAGCTTTTGAAGGCACAGCTCATTACCCGTGCACCTGGAGGTTATACTTTATCACTGTCTTGCTGGGAATTAGGTGAGAAGATCTTGTGTCTTATTATGCAGCTGAACCCTTCACTTTGGCTCACTTAGTTCAGCAAAAAGACAAGAAACAAGTGGGGCACAGCTGGTCTGCTGAAAGGTGGCAAAAATATTAGACAGAATACAGTAAGAAACAGATGTTGGAGCATTTATTTCAGAGTAATCTTCATTCTAGGTTAAGACATATGGTTCATTCACTGTTGATTGAGCGGTGTTGTCTCCTTCACAGGTGACGAGCTGACCAAGACTGAGGATGAAGATGAGCAAGGCTGGTGTAGAGGTCGTTTGGACAACGGCCGAGAGGGACTGTACCCGGCCAATTATGTTGAGCCCATCTAGTCACATTACTGGACAAGGACATGCCATTGGAGGCAGCTTGAACTGTCCCGTCCAATCGCACCGCACATAGCCAGAGACTTAAGAGCAACACATCCCTTGCCCAACAGATGCGCCAAGCAGTCTTGCCTAAATAAAAACTTAGTAACCTAAAAGACAATATATCAGTATAATATATTTTATCCAGCATTTGGGGTGGGTGGACTTAACACATTTAAAACAGGAGCAGCAGTTATTCCAGTGTATACACACTCAAGTATAACATCCAAACAGTGCAGGAACACATTGCTTCTCAGTGTGGCTGTATTTAAATGTATAATGCAGCTTATTTAAACTTGCAGTACACTGCAGTCTGTTCTCTTGTGAAAATGGGAAGATAATATAATCAGTTGAACCCGTTCAACAACGATGAGCTTCTTTAACCTGCATTGTGTATATACGGTGTGATGCCATTTTTGTGTAGCATTTTTAAATGCTGTGTGTGGTCAGTTGTCATTCTTACATTGGGAATGCTGTGTCGTGTTAAAGTACCACAGACAGTATCCTCTATTCTTTTTTGTTTGTTTTTTTGTTTTTCTTTGTGATTTGGTCCAACCTCTTTTCCAGTGTGTGCAGTGCTATGTGTTTTTAACTGTTTCTGAACTTGCATAGCAGCATGTGCTATGCAACAACTCGCATTCCCTGAATCCTGCAGCCTTGAGCGGGCTACAACTTGATGCAACACTTCAACTTCAAATGCAGAGTTCACGTTATCAGCATCACGGGCTTCTGTTTCATGAAAAGAAGCTTGTTCACTAAGTGATTTTCTGTTTTGCTTTTACATCTTTTTTTTTTTGTTTCGTTTTGTTTTTCTAGCATCACAACTTCACACCTCTGACAATATCATCTCCATGAAACCTTTAGAAAGGATGTAGAGTCTGTGCAGGAGGATTTTATTCTTGGTTCGGTTTTCAGCTCTCATTTTTATCAGCTACTGCTACGAGGAACACAAGTGATACTTTCCCTCGGAGCGAAGTCAAATCAAGTCTTCTTGAGTTTGTCACTAAAGTATAAGAGGAGGGTTTTAAACAATACCTGTGCCAGGCACTTTTCTTCCAGAGCGAGGGGCCAACTAGAGGCGGATTATTACTAAACTGTGCTACAGGCATGAGTCTGATGATTGAAGCCTCTCAAACAGGACATGAATGTATCGGTGTTTCAGCTTGAAAGAGGGCATATTGTCTAAACACGCATCCTCGCCGTCATTTAGAGCCCTGCCTGGTATAAAGTACTGAAGAACTAGTTATATGGCCCGTTTCTCTGCTGAGCCAAAGAATGACACAGTACCATCAACTATCTGTTTTCTCTCCATGCAATAACCTCACATATCACATCTTCAACAGCTTCAGTGGAGATCAACTTGTAGCTGCCTCCCAGTCCACCCAGACTTCATTTGTCTGCAGACACTGCATGAAGACACAGGGAATACATTTGTCACCAAGAGTGCGCTGCATTTAAGGACACACACACAGTGCACTACATGGTTATTTTTAAATCTTAAACTCACTCCTTGGGTACAAACGTAAATCAGAAAATATCAGATTAATTATCAGATGTTTAAAAAAAAAAAGAGCTATTTCGCCTAGAGTTGCGCCTAAATCTCTGATTAGATTAGATAGATGCTTTTTATAACTTAGTTGTCCTGGAGTTTTAACTTTCACTGGACCAACAGCAGTCAGATGTGTTTAGCTCTGTGTCTGGAACAGGATTTGACAGGTTTGGGTCTCACACATGAGGAGAAACACATCACCAGCTCACAAGTTGTGTCTTAGAGTAAAAGCTGTCCAGCATAGCAAAAAGGACTCCTATCATCAGACTGTCCCACGTTATCAATGGGCGTATGCACATGCACCCACACACATACTAACACACGCATTAAACACACGATATACACAACACGCAAGCTCAAACACATAATTCACATAACCAGGTTAATATTTTGGGGTAAACATCTTCATCATCCAGTGTGTATGAGTTGTGTAAATGTATCAGAAAAAACTGTAAAAAAAAAATGCAAGTGATTGACTATTAAGACAAAATGTAGTGTTATACATGTAAATGTGTTTCATTAAAATAACAGCAATGGAAAACATATTAAGTAATAGGTACCATATCGTATGAATTTCATTGCAATGGAATTGTCAGTGTATCATAAAAGCGTGACGTTATCCCACGCTGTCAGATTTGTATATGATGATGTAATTTAAAGATTATATTCTATTGTAACTGTACAACTGTGTTGAGTTGAAAATGAGACCTAACCATGTTGAGACAGTAAAAAGGTGTACATGTAAATGCTTTTTTATGTTGAAGATCTCTTCCTTATGCACACAGGGGACAGCGGCTCACGTTGCGGACTCCCCTATATTAGCGGTCTAGAAGATGTATGTTCATAGTTAGTGATGTACTTTTATCTCCTAACTGGTGTAGTGCCTGTTCATCTTGATGTAACAAGAAGTTCATTTAAATATGCATAAAGATGATTATGATCACAGATAATAATGACAATAGTGATGAAAAACCCGACTCAAATTTGTTGTGATGGTGTCAATATTGCGATATTGGTTTGAAAGGGAAACAAGTTTGTTGAAAAAAACAGAAGTTAGTGTCTGTGTGTTTATTGTATGTCCTTCACGTGTAATTTTTAAGTGTTACACTGTCCCACTTTTAATGAGAAGGTGAATCGATTGCTTTATTGTAGATCCTAAAAACAAACCCAAAGACAGTAATGTAGAAAGGATTTTATATTAAGGCAGGTTTAATAAGATATTCACTTACTTTGGCATTGCTCTGCAACTTATGAATATCCTTGAAAGGAATGAAAAATTATTTGAAAGAGTTTGAAATTTCAAGAAGGACAAAATAATGCTTATTTCTTCTTTGGCAAACAGCTGGATGAGAAGATTAACAAGCTCATTTCACATTTCTCATTAAAATATTTCCAGAAGCAGGATCCTTTTAAGAACCTTAATATATATATAAAACAAATATATTCAAATTTAAATGAAAGTTAGAGAGAGTGCTTCAGACAAAACGTAGAAAATAAAACGCAGTGTTAAGATTTTTAAGTACAGTGATTACGATAGGCAGGAGCGCGTAGTTCAATAGGCAGTCTTTACACTTGAAATGAAACAGTGAAGCTCCTGTGAGGAACCTTTGATTTGTGTTGTGGTTTATCTCCTCTGTCTTTGGTGATGCAGTCCTGTGAATGTGTAAGCTTTTCCTTTCATGCCTTTTTCTTAACAATCAAACCTTATGTTGAAAAAAAGGCTCTTCAAACAGCATGATGTAAACTGCTTCATCTGACATCTTCCCCCCTGCAGCAGCAGTTTCAGGCACTAATAGTTGCAATAGAGGGATAATGAGTTTTGTAACTGGTCTTTTCTTGTCTGCTGTTGTGAAGCATAAAAGGCATTAGTTGTGATTTCAGTCTGTTTCATAACCAGTTCAAACCTCCTCACAGGAGCTTTAACTACAACGAGCTTCAGAGTTACATCTACTGTATGTCCAGCATATCTTGGGCTCCTCTTCGGCTCTTTCTTCGAAGATCATCGAGGTCTTCTTCTTCTTCATCATACAGGGTTCACAAACTGGTAGACCAATCTGCGGGATACGTCAGGCTTTCTGATGATCCCTTTCTTGTAGTACTGGCGTATGGAGCGGCTCAGTTTGTCGTAGTTCATTGCTGGGCGGTTCTTCCTGATCCCCCATAGCCTGGCCACGTGGGCTGAGTCCTCTATCTTGAAAATCCCTTTAAACGCAAGAAAGACAGAAAAAATCAGTTCTGACTGAAAGCTGAAAAAAGCCATTGCAGGGCTTGACACTAACTGTATTCACAAGGAACACATGTGCTTCTAAATTGAAAAAGTAAGAAGCAAATAAAGAACTTCAGGGGCACAATGAAAATTGATCAAATAATGTTTGTCTTATTGGTCGACAAAAGCACTATTATTTGAAATCAATTTTAGGTCTTTTGGTCACATGACATGGAAGCTATTGAAGGAAAACAGCCTTTTCTAAGAACATCAACCGGTAATTTATTGATGGTCCCTTACTCAACACTGGACATTAACAGCAAGGGATAACTAATCTAAAACTAACTTCACCGCTGTATTTACATGCAAAAACATTTGTTGCCTCGGCTAAATTTTGTTTTATGCGCACATGTGCCCACAAATACATTTTACAATCTATTACATCTATTTTTAGTCGTAAATGCGAGTGAAACGGTCGCACAGTCGAGCCTGCATTGAGGAAGCAAACTTCCCAGGCTTCCGTTTTCTTCCAACTGGCTAACTTGCTAATATGGCGATGCAAAAACTGACAATGCTAGCATGCTAATGTCAGTAACGTTAATTATGTTTGCCATGTTGGATGAGCGAGAAGTGACAACTGCTGAAAGAAAAGTGCAGTTGAGGCCGTCGGGAATGTAAGTAGTAGTTAAACTTTGAGTTAACATGCAAACATTTGCAAAATAGAGTTCAACATTAAATATAGTCGAGGCTAATCGGATTGTTACAGCTTTGGCAGTAAACCATATTATCGATATGCTAATGCAGGGCTCGACAGTGCGACCATTTCACTGTGTAAAATGTATTTAGGGGAATAAAAAAATCAACCGTGGAAGCAAATGGTTTTTTTTATGTAAATACGCAACGGCGAAGTTAGTTTTAGGTTGGAGATTCGACGGTCATTCACTGCGGATCTACCGGGGTCTTCTAACTCTCCCTAACCTGGATTAACAACAGCAGCGCGGTTAAATCTACTCACCACCCTCGCTGTCAACGTGTTGAGTAAGGGAGAATCAATAAATTACCGGTTGGTGTTCTCAGAAAAGCCTGTTTTCCTTCAAAAGCTTCCATGTCATGTGACCAATTGACCTAAAACTGGTTTCAAATAGTAGTAGTATGAAGGTCGGACAATAAGACATACATCTTTTTTGCCTATTTTTTCTCTAAAGATTCATGTGTTAAATTTAAAGGCAAATTTGAAACAATTTCTTAAATAGCTTCCATGTCATGTGACCAAAAGACCTAAAATTGATTTCAAAAAACAGTAGCCTACTTATGTCGACCAATAAGAAAAGCATTTTTGATCAGTTTTCATTGTGCCCCTAAAGTTCTTTATTTGCTCCTTTCTTTTTCAATTTAGGAACACATGTGCTCCTTGTGAGTACAGTTAGTGTCAAGCCAAGCATCATAAACTGTTAAAAATCACTTAAAATGGGAAATTTTAGCTTCGTGATGGTATGTTTTTTTGCACAAAACCTGATCTCAGCTTTAGTTAGGAGTTATGTGTTCAACTTTCGTAACATATAAGCTAATGAGGACAAAGGACATGGGTGAGGCTGCTTTGTGTTTGTTTTAGAGATATTTGAAGTTTGGCTGTTATTTGGTTGTTACAATTTAATTACAGGTGCAAAACGTTTAAATAGTTTTGACATTTCATGCTGGCCAATTTTCTTTCTTGCCTTTAGTTACATAAGATCTCTGACAGGTCTATGAAGCTGCAGTCAGCAGGCGAAGTAAGTTTAGACTGAACAAGAGTTACTGACAACACATATAGGCATAAATGTGATCAGTTATTTGCATGTACTACTGTTGCACCAAACTATTATCCAAAATAGTTTTTACCTTTTTCTTTGTTAAGCCAGCGGATGCATCGACTGTAGTTATGAGGTTTGAGCAGCAGCTCTCGGAGGAACTGCCACAGGTGGATAGGCTGGTTTGGATAGTTATTGATCACTTCTGACCAGGAATCATCATCAGCTGCTGGAATGAAAGAGATTTGAAGAAACCAGAAGTTGACTTATTTCATGTTTCTCATGTTTTCTTCCATTTTTTGCTTAGAAAAACAATCACAGATAGGAAGAACTCACCAGATTTGTTGTCTTCCGGGGGGCAGCGCTCCTTCATTGCTGCAGCTAAATGGAAAAGAGAAGAAAAGCACTTTACTCCCCATTGAACATTTACAGCAAAGTCTCTGAGATACACTTAGTCACAGCTCATTTTCTCCACAATCAGCCTCTCCTTAATGTTCTAACAGCAGAGTTGATGTTTCGTAGGTTCATTTCACAGCGTCTCTTTTTGTTCTTACTTGATCTCCAGATGTCCAAATGAGCATACAGCATGTCCCCAAACTGCGACGAGCGTAATCTGAAATCTGCTTCTGTCATGGAGCAGAGATCCTTCCCGTTTAGCTCCTGAAACATGGTGCTGACCTGTGGCAGCCTGTACAGGTGCTCAGTCCAGAGAAGCCACTTCTGGACGTGCACACAACTCCAGTCCAAAGGGTCTGAAAGGAAAACACAAGGACAAGACGTCTCAATCCACTGGTGGGTTTTCTCTTACGATGGACATCATGACCTCAGCTGCAGCAGCTCTGAACTGCTTAACCTTTTAGAAGTATAATATTTATTTTTGGAGTGGAGCCAGTGAAAATATTAAGGCACAAAATTAGTTTGTCAAGCTGTGCAAACTGTTACACCATCATTAAACTGTGCAAGATTGAAGGATAGGAGCAAAAGTGCAAATTAGCTGTTTGACTTTTGAGGATCTATTAACCAAAACAAAAATCACAAACTGGTGTTGAAGACTTAGGTGAGTTTTGTGCTCGTTTAAAGGCCATGTAACCTTCCTGTCACAGTATCTGTCTGTAAAACAAAACTACAAAAAGACACTTTCTTCTGTGAAAAAGGCACACTGATACTCTTTAAAAAACACTAACATGTTCAAAACAAAATCAGCAATTAGATAAAAGGGGGATGCCAATAGGGGGCGCCAAAACTGACAGTGATAAAAAAGCAAAAAGAAAGCTGTAGTAATGGCATTAAAGATCGATGATTGTGACTTTAATTAACTCATAGAATTTAAGGATCAAGATTATAAGAGTATCATTTTGGTACACAGACCTAGACCGAAATCATACTATGATTTTTAAAAATTCTGCCAAGTCTCAGAGGTGCAAAAATTTGCGTTTAAATGCGCCAGCTTCAATACTTCATCCTTTTTAACCTCAAAAATCTTGTACAAATCAGAGATTTTTGATCATTTGTGGAGAGTTTTTAAAGCTTCTGGCAGGTGGGGTCACTAAAAGGGGACTTCAATTGGCGGATATCGGCTCTATGAAACTGAGCTGTGTCTTTCTCAGAGTCTACTGGATTAGTACTGATCATATCTTAAAATCTGTCAGTCTTAATCTCTTTCAGTCTTTCATTTTTAAAGACAAAATGAACAGCTAAATGACTTGTTTACCCCTTTAAACCACAAACAGGATATAGCACATAATATGAGCAACTATTAATTTGTTTCCCACCCTCTGAGTAAGAGTTAGGTAAGAAGTGTGCAGTAACAAAAGCAAATATTCAGTCACCCGGTGTCTGCATGATTTCAAGGTTCTTAATGAAAAAGTTCAAGGACCAAATATGATCTTTCAACATGAGTGTTTGCACAAGGAAGGCAGGGCCCCAGATACTCACAGGTAACAGTTGTGCCACTGTGGATGTTGATGTAAGAGCAAACAAACAAATGATAGCTTTTGAAGGTGACTCTTCTACACTCCTGCCAACTCTTTTGCCCCAGGGTTTCTCTAATTTCCCAACATTAACCAGTTGTTTTTCTTTGTTACCTGGTGCGATGTTAAGCAGTTTGCACGCTGTGTCCACATCCTTTAGCACCTCTCCTACCACCATGGTCTGGACCTGCTCCAGACAGCGCTCCTCTGCCTGGCCCTCCATCTCAGGGGACGTGTCCTGGACTTGACTGGGTTTCACAGGATTCATCTCCTGGGTCCTAGATGGAGGAACGGCAGCAGGAGCAGGAGCAGGAGTAGGGGCCTCCGTCATCCGCAGCACCCAGGGGTTCTCCTCCATAGCTAATCTGTCATAGCAGGGGAGGTAGACCCCAGGCCAGCTGAGCTCAGGAAGCCCTAGCAAGCTGCGGGGGGGTTTGACGTCCTCCCCCTCGTCCAGCCAGGTGGTCCTTGTGTCGGTGTGTGGGTGGCTGATGTAGAGAGGCGAGTGTGAGGTGAAGCCTGCATGCTCACAGCCTGGACTCCCCATGATCAGGTTTGTTTAACACTGCAAGGAGAAAGCATCACACCCTGTATGACATTTCAGCAGAGATATTGTCTTCGAAGACAGAGGTGCTTTATTGTCGGACTGAAACCATACCCAAATGCTCAATATTTAAACAGTAGCTATCCCAAAGTCAACTTGACATTTGTTCTATGGTATTTACTTTACTGGGACTTACTTTGAAATAAGGAGTCTGTCAACTGGAGCCTTTGTCACTTTCAAATTCAATGAAGCCATTGTTTGTCTTTCAATGAGGTCTTATGTCACTTTAATTTAAAAGAGTATTAGCAAATCTATAGTAATAAATTCAACTTATGAATCCATCCTCTGGAAAGACTCAAGTCAACATATATTAACTCCATCAGAGTGCAACCGACTCCACCTTTTCTTAAACATAGAAAAATAGGAAAGACTCCCATTAAGGCCTCTTTACTTCACATTCAAATATAAATATAAGTAATCAAGGTGGGTCACATGTTACATAAAGATGCATTTTGGTATAAAGGGTGGGTCAACTATGATTTGTGAGTCGAGATGCATGGCCTGAGTGTATTTGCTATAATATAAGTCATCCGTTCACTAGGCCGGGAATACCACACCTGTTTAAATCTTTAGGGATTAGCTTAACAATACAGATGCATCGATTTAGTAAACGGTACTTATGCTCCTGTTACGCTCTGAGCTCTGCAAAACTCAGCATAAGACTATGAGGATTTTTCTGCAAATGACAGAGACAGGCAGATTGATCTGGTCAAAGAAATGACACATGGTGCAAAATTTTGGATAAGAGAAAAACTTGTGGTCTGTTTAATAAGTTAAATTTAATTATAAATGAGCAATTATTCAAGAATGAAAGTTACGGCATTTTACCAACATTTTATCTACAACTTGTTTTTGAAGTTTTATCATCCCAACAGGATCATTACAAGTGATGAAATATAGAAACAACTCATTCCTCTGACTGTCTTGTTTGGACACATGGTCCAGGTCTCTACTGTATTTCCTCACCTCCAGGCGTTAGCAGTTCAAATGTTTAGCAGCAGTAAAAAACTTGCTCTTCTAGATTATTCCTCCTCACATGGACAAATGTCTTTTCTTCATGTGTGAGGTCTTGTCTACTCTTTTACACCTTGTAGCCAAAGTGATGTGAGGGACATTCAGTAGCTGTGGACAGTCATTTGTAGCTGCCATCTTTCTCTACTTTACGAGCTGGTCTTTGACTTTTCAGCATCATGTCAGTGTGCTTCTGCGCTTGTAGCTGCAGGCGTATGTATTTAAGTGCATGCAAGTGTGAGTGTTTGTCATAGGTCACATGGTGGCTGTGAAAAGTGAGGAAGAAACACTAATGTGTGTGTTTTTACCTATAGATAATCATTTTGCCTGGTGTTTTTTCGACATGATCTGAAATCAGATCAGAGGAAAAAATTAAGATAAAAATTTATGACAATTACTTAATGTTTTGTCTCATAGAGCGGCTTATATTTGGAGAATGGAGGTAAAATCGTTGGCTGACTTTCCAGCTTGTATCAGTGGGAATAGCATGAGCTTATTTACTTAAAGTATACATCACAGCAGTTACAGTACCAACAGCAGCAGTGTGAGTGACAGTCGGATGGTAACAATGAAAACACCAATCATAATAATCACACAAAAAGTCATGGCGGTTATAGATAGCAGGAAAAAACAAAGTAAATTTCAAAGTAAAACCTCAAAGTGTTTTAAATTAGCATTACAAGGCTACCTTACTTTTCACTGACCTTTCCTAGCAACACATAACTCTTAAATACAAAGGCCCACGCAAGAACATGAGTGGCGGAATATACAAACAAAGCTGGATTTATGTTACTATATAACTTAATGTCAAAAACAGAGTTTGTGAATGAATTGGAAACAGTTGCTTCTGATTCTGATCCCCCAAAAGAGTTATTAGAGGGCCTGATGAGTCTTTTACTTCATAAAAATGCCCTGATATCACTTAAACTTATGGTAATTGAGGTTTCAAGGGGCTTTAGTTGTAGCTAGTACCCTGCAGTGGTCGCAATATCAGCATTTTAGCTACAAAAGTATAAGATGAGAAGTCTCACCTGGTCAGTCCCCTCTGCTGATGCTCCTCTCCTCGACTCTTCCTCTGTCTCAGTCGGTGTTGACAAATGTCAGGCTGTTGTGTAACTTTATCGCCCTCAGGTGAGGATGCACACTTGGGAGTATAATTGTCCGGCCAGCACTCACAGCTGGATCACTTCTGTCCACTCTCGAGACGCCTTGTTGGACTCTTGGTCTGAGCAACAGCAGTTTGACTGATTTGGCTCCTGGTGCCTTAAAGACTTGTTAATTGTGACAGAGAGGGAGTGTCTCAGTGAAAGGAGGCTGTTCTAAGAGCCTACTTAATAATGACCTGAGGCAGTATTCAAAAAAAGAGAGCTCCTTAAGCAAACAAAGCAGGTGAGTCTTAACAGCCTGGAGGGGAAAGTTGTGAGGGTGTCTTTTGTGTTTTTAACACATCTCATGAAAGGCAGTTTTTGATGATGGTATTCAGGCTTTTTTGACAAAGAACATGAAAAATCTTCAGTGTAAGTATTTGATCTGATCCACTGAGCTACTTGTATCTAAACCCACCAGTTTATGTAACCAGTGTGAAATCATTCAGGCCTTTTTTGGATGTCTAATTTTTGTCCTCGTCAAAATGCATGTCATTTCTTACGTGCTAAGCTAAGCTTGGGGGAGATTTTCCCTCTCAAAATGCTTCGCAATATCCTCTCTAATATATCATCCCTGGGCTTTTAAATCTTTAAAACCTAAATGATGAGAGTTAAAGTGACACACCATGGCTAAATTAACTCTCCAGACTTGTGCGGAGCTCAGGCTCGATTTCTGCCTGAACTTGTATGACACCAGAGAAGTGACCGTGTAGGCACAAATGGGATCTTCTGAAAGATCTATGAAATATCCATAAATCATCCACAGGAAAACAATTCGAGATAAAGAGCTGAGTTTCTCTGTAAGCTTGGAAGCTATCACTGGAAAAGTTGACGAACTGGTACACAGAGCCAGTTCAGGAGTAAGAGAGAGGGAAAAGAAAGCAAGAGTGTGTAAATGTTTGCTTAAACCCAACAGTAATGTTTGTGCGGTTGTGTTGAAATATTCTAAAGAGCTTCTGCCTGTGAATCACCCACGCAAATAAATAATCTTTAGAGGTCTTTTTTTTTTAAGATTACAGCACTACATGTAGGAATTTTTGATCAAATGAGCAGCAGTGGTTTATAATTAAGTACAACTGCCTGAAAAAAGCAGCTACCACACATAATTTTATGAGCTTTTACATTCAACCGCTAATTCCACCATGTCTACCTCAATAATACTCTGTGCCTTGCTGTAAAACATTCAGCATGAGTGCATTCAAATGAGACTCACTCCCAAAGGCAGTTTGGCTCTGCAGACTGCTGCTGGTCAGAGCCGTTGACAGACATAAAAGGCCCCAATAGATGGAGGGGCAACCAAGACCAGTAAACCTTCAGGCTAATATGTAATCTGACACCTTCTGTAAGTGAAAAAAAAAAGTCTTTAAAAAATCCCTGCTGTACATGTTCTCCTCAAGATTGAACTGAATCAATCCTGAACAACCGTGGTTCCTCAGGCAGCAGAAACCTCTGCTCTCGTCTTGATTTGCTGCATTTGTGATCATTATACCTGGAGCTATTTAATACTGAAACAAACCTTGATTTTTCTGCAATAAGATTTGAATTTAAATCTCTTATTCCGCACAGACTACTGCTCATAGATTTCCTTTATGCACAGCATTTAATTATGCAGCAATTTCATTTCAGTGCATTTTTTATTATAGGGATTTAAATGGCTCTCATTTTTAAGATAGTCTTTCAGGTTTGTTTTACCTTTTTGTTCGGAGCGTAGAACAGATGATAGAGTAGGAGACTGAGAGGAGAGAGTGGGAAATGGGCGGCAAAGAGTCAAGCTTTAGAGTCGAACCACAGCTGTTATATTAAGGACTGTAGCCTCTGTATATGGGGCCCTCAATTAAACCAAAAATCACAGAGCTGTAAAGCATTTTGGACATATCAGCTGCTGTAAAAGTGAGACAGAGATATAAAAATTAAGCTTGATGCTCCTGTGAGGACTTCCGTAGACAAAGCAGCCTTAGCTTATGTTGTCCTCTTCATCCTTAAAGCTGCAGTAAGGAGTTTTTGACTTCTATAAAACAAGCTAAAATTAATATTGATGCCTCTTCATGATATCCAAAAGCAAACTAAACCATCAGGGATAAGGATAATGATTTTTATACTTAAATGTTTAACGCTTGAACTGGTAAAAGGGGGTAGGTGTCTGCAGAGGTGCTGAAGAAACAGCCATGTTTTTACATTTTCAACTTTGAATATTAGTTTTGAAAAAGACACCCACCCCCCTACGCACCTGTTTCAGATTTTAAAGATGACACAAGAAAACGTGTCAGTATTGCTGCTGACAGTCTTGATTGTTTTCATATGTAATAAAAAAGCAATACTATGAATTTCAGTCCATTTCATAAACATCTAAAAACTCCTTACAGGAGCTTTAAAATAATTCTCAAATAAAGCTAACACATTATTAAAAGAACCCAAACCAGACAACGACAAGTCTTGAGCTTTCAGTGATAATTTAATCGTACAAACATTCATCAAACACACAGGGAAAAAAAGCTTTCATCTGTTTGCACTTCCTCACTCTCATAAATGTGCTGTTGTTTGAGTCTAATGCCAACTGATTCATTCTGCAATCTGGCCAGTGGAAACTTCAGAGAGACATCACACAGAGAACAAAACACACTCTGCACTTGATGAATTGACACTGACAGCATGGAGAAACATTTATCACCTACAGTTTGCAACAGAAAATGTTGAGTGAAAGAGAAAAGTAGCCCAGAGATGCACTTTTACATGTAGTATCATTTCCTGGCTGGTGTAGTCAGAGCTCAGTATGCCCTGGGGCTAACAGTTAGCTCTTTAATGAAAAAGAGGCGTTTACCTGACGAGGTGGTCTAACTCAGGACAGATAAAATCACAGAGGTGATAAACCCTTCAGGACTTAACTGTACTTGCTGAGGAGGAAAGCACGCACGGACCTCGTCATCTCTCAGTGCATAGATCAGCCAGTTAGTGCAAGTTAAACTGCAATGATGTGGATCTGACATTATTCTTAACAGATCGAAACTTAAATGATCAAACTTCATCAACTTTCCCAATGTGTTGTGATTTTAAGAAGAACAAGTTTAGGACAAGAATGTCAACCATCAACAACAGACAGGAAATTCATAACAACAGTTACACCTTTAAAAATTGTCTAATGTAAATATACAATGATGAATCTTTGGGTAAATTAATATGCTTCCAAATACATGATCATCTTCTACATTCGTCAAATACATTCAACTTAATATAATGTTTAAAGCATGTCAGACAGCTTTGAAATGAAAATTTAGATAAAAATGTTTTTATGATGTAAAAATATGACTTAGCCACCAGTCACGTGACCGGAACTCAATGTCTTGTGGCATATTGTGCATTAATCCTGTAACATTTAATGTTTAAATTTAATGCAAGCATGTAAAAATAAGCTGAATCTTACATTCTGGTAATGACTGGAGAATCTCTAATACTTCTTTATTGCTATTAATAATATTCTGCTTATATTTTTCTATATAAGTGTGTAAATGCAGGTGCCAGCATTGACTCTATCTCCACTGAAGGGATTTCTTTAACTTTTATGCCAAATCAGATCAAGTTTCAGAGATTTTTTCTACCGTTTTTGCTGAATGTAGCTTACAAAATGTTGAAGTCTTGTACTAAGAGTTGTGGTTGACCCCCTCTAGTGGAAAAAAAACAGCTTTGCATCTAAATTAGCAGATAATAGGACAGCACAGACACTACTACTCTTCATACACAAGCCATGTTTTACAGCTTACTACCTTTGAATGATCATATAATGTCTAATCATATAGTGTATCTCTTAAAGATGTCGCTGTTTGTCTCCTTATAAAAATCTGTATTTCAAAATTAAAATAAAAATCAAGTTATGAAATCCGATGTTTTGTTTTTCGAGACCCGGTTGATGCACGAAGAGTCAGAGCAGAAACCGGAGAATCAGTTGGCAACGTTAATGGCTTTTCCTCCAAAGTCTCTCTTTCCAGTTGCACACGTATACACACATTTTCACAAATACACACTCTTGTCATTGTTTCATTTTCACTCTCTGACAACTAAAAAATATCTGAAAAACAAAAAAAAAGAAGAAGTATTCACTCGAAGGACTCATAGCACTCATCTTTAACTTAGCATTCACGCGTGCATACAGTGGGTTGTGGGATGTTGGTAGAGCTGCACGTCAGGAGCGTTGGCCTCTGGTTTGTCAGAAAAAAAAGAAAAAAAAAGAAAGTGGAGCTGGACTTTGCATAAAGAGTTTTTGAATCTCCACACACTCGCTGCCAGCTGCTGATAAAGCCTCTTCCTTCTCTTGGTGGTGTGACAGACTCCAGAGGTACAGATCAGTGCTGCTTCACTGTGACAAGTCCCATGATTTAAGAGTGCCCAAAAGGATAGGGCTCCTGTATACCCTGCAAGAAAAACAGAAAGTATAGCTGCATGGCATGGAAGAAGACAGCTAAATGAGACTGAAAAAATGATGCATACTATCCCTTTCTCATCTCTGTTTCTCTACGTACATGTTTGTGCTTCTCTAAAGTGGACATTTGCAGCTTTCCACTGTCTTCAAAGGCAGTAAACCTGATTAACTCTGGGTGTTTACTTGGACAAACTGCACCGTTTTAACTTCCTCCCCTGGCTACTTCAGGAACCTTTAGAGATCTTTTAACTAAAACCATCGTCAGGCCTGAGGATAGACTGTATATAGAATGGACGCCGTCTGCCTCCTCGCTGGGTGAAGCCACTCCGAGAACAGCACCCTCTGTTGACAGGGTGCAGTATAGGTCATAAATCCCGCCTCCGCCAGCAAAGCTCATGGGGCTGTGGACAAACTTTAGACAACATCTCAGTACTATTTAGTAGCAGCGCACACCTTTTGTAATAACCCCCCGTAAAAACTGGTGTTCACGACTGCTTACTTGTCCTTTTTACCCATTTGGCTACTGTGATAACCGTTGTTCTAGCCTACACGCAACATTTTTGTTCTCATTCATGAAACACTTAAATCGGGGACATTTTCGGGAACAGCTTTTGCCGGGGACAGGTCATCCAATTCGGGAACTGTCCTCGGAAATCGGGGACGTCTGGTCACCTTATATTAGGGGGTTCATGTTTTTTACGATTGACACCTGATACAGCCTATTGGCTTCCAGGGATTGCGTAGCTCACCCGGGGGGAGGGTCATCACAGGGACTCTCCTGCCGATTGTTGGTTTCAGGAAATGAAGAAAAATCGCAGAAATACGCAGGGGCTTTTTGGCTCCAAATCTGTATACTGGTGGGAGGCGGAACCAAGTTATCCATAGTATATACAGTCTATGGGCCTGAGGTATGACTTTGTTTATTCTTTGGTTTAAAGCATTTAGATCAATCTGAGGTGTTCCTAATTAGATCTGATTGCTGTTGGATAATTTTAGCTTGCAATGACGCTAAAACAGTCATCATAAGTCTGTTCAATGTCACTAAACTGATCTGCAAATTGGCTCCTTGGTTTTTAAATCTTATGATTTAAAAACCAAGGGTGTTTATAAGCCTTAAGCAATATTTCATGCATACAATTATATTAAAAGGTATCTTAGTATGTAGTTTTGGTGCTATATGACAGATTAGTTAATAGACCTGACTATAGTTCAGGAGTTAGAGGGATCTCTTTGGCTTTAAAAAGGTCTTACCTGGTTATAAGAGACTACTGATAAATTGTTTTGTAGACTGTTTGCTACTAAATCCACAGAGTTGTGTGAAAGTCCGTTCTGATCTTGCTGCAGCTCAGCGCCCTTTCTCTGCCAGTGTTCCTCTGCCACCCTGTGATTGCTGGCGTCATGGAGGCTGTTGTTGTTGCTGTTGGGGCACTTGTTCTTCTCCGGCGAGGCGAAGGGGTTGTAGTCCCCTTCGACACTGCGGTGAGGCTGGGTGTTGAACTCGGCTTGGAAGGAGGAAAGCTGCTGGGTGACGCCGAGGAGGCCTCCCACCTCCACGCTCAGGATCACCCAAATGACATCTGTGTGGGGAAACAAACAGAATGTCATGATCAGCTCAGACAGTAAATGATCGATATGCTGCCTCCAGGTTTGCATTTTTCTACACTTAAACCGAAAGGTTTTAGGTGTTTTAAGGTGAAGAATTATCCCAAAGATCACTGACATGAATTATTAACCACAAGTATGAATTTTTATTCGGCTTTCTCCTGCGGCTTAAGAAGGTAAGTAAGAAAGTAAGTCCTGAGGAGACATAAATCAAGTAAACGAATGACTCTAGATTTAATCTTTGCACACTGATCGAATAGCCAGAAAGTTTTTTAATGAGTTTCGCTGGAGGAAACGCATACTTAATAATCTACCACTTAATCTTCAGTAGTGTGGTCTTACTACTGCAGATAAATCGCCATAGGAGGAGCCGACTCATTCATTGCTGATGTCTGACAATCACTGATAGAGCTCTCCGACAACAGAACGTCATGATTTTAATATACTGCAACCACTAAAACTATTTGGAGCCTCAAAGCAACCAACTATAGGGCATAATAGAAGACTTTTAGGGGGTTTGAAGTACTACCTGGCATTTAAGCATGCAAGGCGTCAAAGTATGTATTAAATATCACTGTTAAATGAGTGGATTTTGAAGTACGACTTGCTGTTTGTTTGGAATCAGTCATAAACCTGTTCTGTTTTTCACACAGGGAGAAGGGAGGCTGTGCTAAGCAGAGGCTGAAAATCATCCAGATACACAAGGAGATGTGCCAGAGTGCTGCAGAGAGGATGCCGGTATTTTTCTAAAGTTCTTAGAGGAACCAGGGAGAGCAATCATTTTAAACAAGAGATTCATCATCACTCTGAGTCTTTTTTCTGATTCACAGAGCAGGTTTTAACACTCTGACTGTCGAACATAAAAACTCTCCACCCTCTGTGTTCGACTTGACTGAACTCCAAGTAAGGACAGCGATATCAAGTGATTGGCATTTTGGTGATGACACATGCCATGTACACAGAACAGTATGGGCTTAGCATTGGCCCACATACCCTCTAATTAGGCAGAGATGTTTCAATAATTACATATTCTTGACAAATATTAGCCTTTGCAAACATGACCTTATATGTAAGAGCGTCACAGTCTGACCTTAGTTTATAGACTGCAACCAATAATTATCAAATCTGGTTCATACTCTTTCAGGTACTAAATGTTTTCCATCCAGAGAAATAGTCATACTGAAATTGAAGAAAAAGAGCCATCAAATGATACTTTTTGGGCTTTATTGTGTCAGTATATTCCAAATCATGAAAAGAAATAATTTCTATTTTTTGTTGTCCTTACCTCCGTAGTAAAGGCCGGTAGCTGTGCACATTCTCCACTGGCCCTGGAACATGCCAGGAGACACAGGGCTCTGCATTTGCACACTCACATCCGTCATTTCCTGCGGGTCTAAAGACCGCACCATCACCATGTTCACGTGACCAAACTGATCTCCTCCGACATACTTCAGACAAACCCCTGGAGGCCAGGACTCTGCACCTGGAAGACACATACAGTACGTGCATGTGATTAGTTTTCAGTTTGGAGGGTTTGTCTGTGATCAGCTGGTCATCCTGGCACACTTACCTGTGTTCTGTATCCTCCAGGTCTTTGTGAAAGGTGTGTCTGGTGGCACCGATTCACCTTCCCCAATTGTTACATCCTTCACGAGGGACATGCAAGGTGCGCTGATGTTGGGACTCTCAAAGTCGTAGTAGGCTCCGATGGCTGCTTGTAAATTCCTGGAAAACAGAAGGTGATCAGTAGAGATTTAGTTAAGAGTGCAATGTGTTATTAACACAGGAGATCCACAACTGTAAAGCAGCTTGCACTACAAGTCTCATCCTGTTCCTGAGCAGGACTTTGACCCACTGTGCTGGGCTTTACTTCAACTAGAGATTGCACAATAAGAGACTGACTAGAATTACACAACAAATCATGTATAGTGTGATTATTCCATTCACATCACAGTCTAATAATATTGTTATCCAAGCCGGTAATATGTTTAAACCTAGAACACTATCACCGGGTGATTTTCACCTGACCAAACATGTTTACGTGATTTTCATTATGTTGCATTTGTCTGAGTATCATGGTTCCCTGGGTAGCTTTAACATTTCCTTTGACATCTTTGAAAGCATATTTGTTTTCCTGATCCAAAACCTGCTTTTTCCTACAGGCACGTGTTTGGGTGATAGGGAATAAGTAGGTTAGGGTGGATTTGATAGCTGCATGTAGGCGAATAAGGTCAGTTAAGAGTGGTCCTGGAATTTGTGTCTTATCTTTATTTAGGCGTGAATAACTACCACAAAGTAGTGATTTTCAAGGGAATTTTCGAGGAATGCTCGAGGACTGGACTTGAGAACCACTGGGTTAGGGATTGAGTGATTCATTTCGGACACAGCCTTAGTTTAGAGTTTCTATAATTTTTTAGGGATCTATTTGTTCATGAATGCCTAGTTTCAGTTATTTTGTTGCATTTTTATATGGTCCCCTCGTGGCACTTTTTTCCCTCCCTTTGGATATTACACAGTTAAAAATAATAGAAAATCACTTTAATTTGTCATGTATTGTCCTATTTTGAAGACAAGTATATGGTGTTACGATTTTAACGATAGTGTTCTAACGTTAAAATTGATTTTAGATATATTCTTTAAAAAGAGAAAAAAAAAACACTGGTTATCCTTTAGATTTAAGGACATGACTGATAGTTGTGCCAAAAGCTGTAAACTCTGCCAATGCCAATAATCAGCCAACTGTAGTACTCAATGATTACATTTCTAAAATCTCATTTTGCATATATTGTCACTGAGATATCTGCAGCCCCGCACAAAGACAGCGACTGGGAACTTCCTGTAACACGCTGGTCATCCATAAACCAGCAGTTTTATTTTTAGAAAGCCAGTTGCAGTGCAGCTATTACACCACATCACGTGATACTACTACAGTCTGCTGTGCCTGTACACCGTCTCTGTAATCTTCCATACACCGTGCCTTAGCTCCAAACTGCATATGCGCACAAAAGCACACACTAGTACAGGGAGATTCTTGGAGCAACATTTCCGTCATTGACACCTTCCTTGACTCTGCGGTCATCCAAGTGTTGTTGTGGTTTTATCAAAAGGTCACAGGAAGTCTAAAAAGTTAAAGAGACCCTCTAAAAATGTAGAAACATTATTTTGTCCTGTAACATGAAACTGTCGAGGAGGCCCATAGAGTGAGCTTGGAGCCGCTCTCTGCAGACATGGTGTCGAAAGGTTACATAATACAGTCTATCCGCACTATGGTCAAGGAGAGACACTCATACAGTAATGTTTCATCATCTTAGCCAATAATAACGACTGTATTACGGCTGTTTAACGCGGTCCTAACATACAAAAAGCACAACAAAAACATATTAGCCTGTTTGAGAACTTTAAATAGTCCGTTTTGTCCTATAACGAGCTAACCAGCTAACGTCTAACTCCTGTCTATCCCCCCCGAACAAACACGGAAACCCCCCACAGAAAGAAAACACAAGAATTTACACGTAATAGCGTTCGTGTCGAGTTAAGACACGAAGTTGAGTCTCTAAATGTTTATTTATCCGACTGTGTGTTTTAAAATGAGAAACATACACGAAGCAGCCTTCACTGCGTCCCTGCCAGGCAATCAGAAGTCGGTGACTCAGCTAACGCCTGTTACGTTACTACAGCGTCGTTAGCTGTCATTGTACCCACGCTAACGTAAACCCTCTCACTCTGGATCACAACGAAGGAGAACACCGTCTGTGATTCAATTTCATTACTTCATAACCAAATGCAGAGTGTATGACCACTAAAGAGCGATTAGCATACAGCATGAGTCTATGAGAAAGCGCATAGGAGGCCAAACGAGTCACCGAGCTCACCAGTTGGTCATGTCCAGAAAGAAAGCGCATCCGGCAGGGTTTAGCTGAAACCCGAGGAGCCTCTGAAATTCCGATATCAAGATGTCTTTGTCTGTCGTCCCCATGCAGCTGAACTTCTGCATGAGCTCCTGGTCCAGGTCCAGGTCCATACTCTCCATCGCGGAATCGCCTGGACAGACACAAGGGGTACGCTCCTAATTTAGTCCGAGGCCTCGACTTGTCATAACAAAACTCAACAACAGGGCCGAGTGCGCATGTCACATGATTGTAGTCTGTGCTCCAGCCTATGAGACACGGGCCTGAATCAGACACGAAAACACTGCGCCCTTCTTGAAATATACAGTACACAATTGTTTATTATATGTGGCCAGGTAATAAAAGTATTTCTTACTGATTATATTTTGATAATGAATCATTACAGTATTTACTAAAACAAAAACTATATAACGCTAAAGTATGCACACTGTACACAGACACAAATACACAAAGTGGTCATAGTACTGTGCTGTAATATTAATATTGCTATATGTGGTTGAATAAATTACATTTTACATTAAATGAGTTTGGTTTTGAGAAGAGGTAGACTGATTAACCAGTTGGCTGATTATTGGCAATGGCAGAGTTTACAGCTTTTGGCATAAATATCAGTCATGTCCTGAAATCTAAAGCATTTTTTGTTCTTCTGATGAATATATTACAAATCCATCTTGAACATATTACCAGTTTAGATAACAATACTATTAGACTGTAATGTGAAGGGAATAATTACACTATAAGGGAGAGTGGGGTAAGATGAGCCATTTTTCATATTTCGGATCACTACATCAAGGCAATCATAGTTTTGTCTATAACTAGTGTATCTGCATATATTTCAAGTTACCCCACTCTCCCCTACTGTAATACGGAGTCCAAATAGATATAACCTTGTTACCAAATTGCCTCTAAAATTGATATGGATAATGAGATCAAAATGTGTACAATTTATTCTGGAGGAAACATATGTAAGTCTTTTCAGCATAGGCTTTAATCACCTTGTAAGCATCGCTTTTACAGTTATTGCCATCATTTGACGCCTGGCCCCTGTTGTCTTCAAGTTTCCTGAAAGCACAATGTGATCACATTGAAAAATTGATCTTTTTCACGTTTTGACTGAGACACAAACCACAGCTTATAGACCGTGTATGAACACAAAGGGTTAAGCCTCTGATTGTCTAGAAAAGTCTGTCATGATGTAACATTTTGACCAAGAGTCAAACAAATTAGCATGTAATAAGGACTTAAGACCTTCCTTTTTAGAAAAGCTTTTCCAGGCTGATTTTATTTTCTGACTGTTGTCCTTTTTATTGGTTGTTTTTACTATTGACTTTTACAGTATGCACTTTGGGATCTGTTTTCTCAGATGAAATACGCGATATAAATAAAATGTACTATAATAATAATAATAATAATAATAATAATAATAATAATAATAATAATAACAATTATTATTATTATAGATAACTTCAAAAGCTAACAGAAGAATTTTGATTTATATTGCCTATAATGGTGTTTTTCTCTATCATGCTGTTGTACCCCGATTATCCTCAAGATGGCGTCTTTGTGTCGTTGAAGCCACTGTGTTTTGACCGTGGAGTAGTGTGTGTTCCTATGCGTGCTTTTGTGTGAGTGTGTTCCTGTACGTTTGCATGTATGTATGTGTGTGTTCGTGTGAGTGTGTGAAAGAGGGTCAGCGGCTGTCCGGTGTTTAGCGAGGTAGCAGTTAGCTCAAGCTGCACCAGCGGCGGCTAAAAGATGCTCGTAGCTAGCGTGATGTACAGTATAGAGGTGCCTGGGAGCTAGTAAATGTTCATTTTAAAGAGACAAACGCTGTTAGTGTGACAATACAGACACTAGCAGAAATGGCCGGGATTATCAAAAAACAAATTCTCAAACATTTGTCAAGGTAAGTGTAATTTTTGGTTGTGTGTTAGCAGATTAGCTCAGCTGGATGATGTGTTTAAGGTTCCCCAGCAGACGGTTGTTAGTTTGTATTTGGGTTACATTGATTTCCACAGCGATTACAAGCCGTTAGCCCGAACGCTAACATGTTTGAACAGTCTCACAAGACGGACGTTGGGGGGACTTGACAGGGACAGTGAACGCAGCACACCACCTCCTAACCTAATAACGTTTATCATAGTACTTATCCCGGCGAGTTCGTACTCTATGTGTGGCTACATCTGTTAAGTGTTACAGAATATAACGTTATGCTTGGTTTTAAAAGCAAATGTATTTGATTTAGTGGGCCTAACGTATCCCTCACCATTGAAAAGCTTTGCTCATGCATCCCAACATATTTTTTAATGTCAATATGTAGTCAAAGGCTTTTAGTATTCAGTTGTACTAGATTTTTTTAGTCAATTTAAATGAATCCATTTTGGTGTAGAATAATTTCTTCTTACATTTTGCCAAGTAAAGAAGCTAAAAATAAAAATGTTCTTATAAAAATAAATCATTCCTAACTGGATCTATTTTATTTAGATTTGATAGCCTAGACTCCAGCCCGTGAGAGACTTTGCTTGTTCAGTTGTATTGAACTGCTATTTTTGAACATGACTTAATGAATGCAAATAAGCATTAGTTTTTTTATAACAGTCTCTAATGCTCCTGAATTTTTTGTGCAATCATTGTCCTTTTTTTAAAGCAACATTTACCCTGTCTTGCAAAATGGCAACACATGGCCAAATATACTCCAGTTTCTTCCCCAGGGCTGGCTGCAGCATTTTCATCATACCTGGTCTCATTCCTTTTACATGTGATGCTGCTGCTCTGTCAGGAGACATTAGGCCTGCTATTTTGTCTCCTTGTAATATTTTACTTTCAGATTGCAGTTTTTTTTTTGTCACTGCTGACAGTTTTCTTACGTGAAAGTGAAATGTTGATATGCACTCACAAGACCTCTTATTACCCCTGCTGGAGTAAACAGAAGACAGTCCTATGAATCAGTTAGTGTCCCCACAATTTACGGACTCATGTTCTTCTACGTGCTATTGTTCCTGTCACTGAATAATTAAAATAAATTTATACGACATCAGGACAAGAGTGGACAGTGGATGAGCAGACATGCAAGGGTTGGCATGCACTGCTTGTTAACATTGGTCATGGTTTGTTCTGTAGATAGAAAATAGACGGTGTATCATCAGCTGTATCTTGCACTGTGCAAAACCAAAAACAAACAAACAAAGCTTTTTTTTTCTTTCTAACTATAGGACTCTTGGTAGAATAATTTATACAACAGACAAATTTCCCATCAGTTTTCTTGCCTGCTTTTGCTATGATATTATAAACTGAAACCAATAGAGCACTTCTCAAACCACTGTGGGGTTGTTGGATTCAAACTGACATCTTTCAGGATGGTTTACTTCACATTAGTTTTAATTCTGTAACCAAACAGTTACACTTTCCAGAAAGTTTGCACAGTGAATTCTTTATTAATGTGAATAAGCTGTGGAAAGAGAATAAAGAGGAGGTCTGTTAATTTAATCCGATACTAATCTTTGTAATTGGCTTTGACTGTTGCTTTTAGAAATAATGGTAATGCAGTTATCTTTGCTTTGATGTGGAACATCATGAACGATAATAAAAGGTCGATGACAAAATGACAACCGTGTTAGAATACCCAGTGTGTAATTTGTAATGTTGGATGCTCTTTAGACTAATTTTTCAGTTGACATTTTGCTTATAGAGGAAGCGGGATATAGGTGCTATTATAGAAAAAAACTAATGAAGGCAAATTGCGACTGTTTTAGCAACAATAGAGGACGTGTTGCAGCTATATGTTCCTCTGCTTTGAAGGGAAGCTTTGATACTGTCACTGGATTCTTAGGCTAATTAGGTACAGCATGTTATTATGTGAAATGTACAGACAAATTGGCACCCATGCACATGTTCTCAATTTATCTAACATGCTGTCATACTTTACATCCAGTCATCTGCCTTTTCTGCTGTCTCTTATGCTTGATGTCTGACATGTAATTGGAATTTGTCTGAACAGCGTTAGGTCATGTGGTGTGTGCGGGCTTAAAATGTTCAACAAATTGATTTGCTTTGATTGCTGCTATATTTACCCTGTGTGGTTTTAGCCGATATCCCAGGTTACACTAGCAGACCCACAGAGGACAGCTAAGACGGGAAAGAGAGCTGAGTGCTTCCTTCACTGTTTGCTGGGATGACTCATACAGCTGCATTAGTTTTCTTCTATGCTGGCTGCGTGATTGAATTCTGTGTGTTTCTGTTTGCCAGCTCATCAGTGACGTATACTGATGATATCAGGTGTTTCCCTAATAAGTATTTGATTAATCCTCTCCCTCCCCCACCCACTGATGTTGTTGCAATCATGAACAAAAAAGGGTCTTGTTTTCCTTTAACTATATATTTGACTCCATTCTCTCACCAGGTTCACCAAGAATCTTTCCCCGGACAAGATCAATCTGAGTACGCTCAAAGGGGAGGGGCAGCTCTCCAACCTGGAGCTAGATGAAGAAGTTCTGCAAAACATGCTTGACCTGCCCACATGGCTGGCAGTCACTCGAGTCTACTGCAACAGAGCCGCCATCAGGGTACGTCATTGACTAGTCGAACCTGATTTTGTAGCTGGTCTGACAGGTGAGGCTGCCTCTCCTTTCCAAATAGACCTAAACGCACAAAGCAGGGTTAGAATCACTTCATAATCTATGTCGTTTCAGTGATCACCAAAACAAACAAAGCGTTTGTGTTTATTGAAGCACTGCTTTCCAGTGTACAGGGTCATGGATGAAATGAGGAGTGGCAGTAACACAGAGATAAGCACTGCCACAGGCATTGCCAGAGACGTTTTGATCCTCCAGACCAACACTGGTTGTTGATAATAGAGAGGCAAGCAGTGATTCAGAGGGACACGAAAGGCCAGAGGCCACAGCGAGCCTCAGATAAACTGGCTGCTGTGCACTGAGCTGTCAGGATGATGGGTTTGTGTTTCCGGATCTCAATAGTACAAAATGTTCCAGACAAATTGTATCAAATTAAAATGTATTGAAAGATTTATATGATGTACCTGAGGTGTGTCCTTTACAGCATCCATAGATACATACAGTTGAGGCCAAAATTATTAGGAATTTTTTCCCAAAATTCTTTAAGTGCTGTTCAACAGATCAATGATTTTTTTTACACAGCTTTTCCAAACATCCTTGCTTTATTCTGGATCTTTACATTATTTTACTTTGCACACAGAAACAAAATTATTTCATAAAATCTACCAGGGTCAAAAGTATTAGCCCCCTTAAGAATTGACGTTTTCATTGAGCCAAAACAAAAACCAGTGTTGTGCAATCATGTGCTTTCACTTTAGAGTGCTCACAGCTCGTCATCAATCAATCAATTAAGTTAAAACAAAGGGTTGTCCTACACTTAACACACTGTATAAAAACCTGGTTACGCATTTGAGATGTCATTTGAGAAGGCATCATGGCAAATACGAAAGAATTCAGTTTAGACTTGAGAAAAAGAATTGTTGATGCCCACAAAGCAGGAGAAGGATATAAAAATTTACCACAGCTTTTCCAAGTGTCAGAAAGTGGAGTGAGAAGTATCAGTTCAGTATCAGTTAAAGAGACAGTCTAGAAAACACCCCTAAAATGCTCCAAATGAAGCCAGAATATCTCGCTCAGTTTTATTGGTCAATACAAGCTCCTCTTTGTGTTTAGATCCTTTGAAAGAGCAGCTGTATATGAAGGGGCTACTATGATGAGAGCTTTAAGATTTGAGACGTGTAATCCCTCATGACACAGGCAGTTTTAATAATTTCTTACACTGTAAAAGATAAGGAGTGCTTCTTTGTTAAGTGCTTCTGACTGACCTTATGAACTTTGTTTTTCTTTCTTTTTAGATACAATGGACAAAGTTGAAAACAAGCCCCATCTGCCTGGTAAGAATGATGTTATTTCCCCCCCTTCTGACCGACTTTCTTCTTGGATTTTGTCATCTGCCTTGCTGTCATTGGTGCACAAGTGTAAAAGTGGACTAAGATAAACAGAGAAGTGACGTGAGTGCTGTTGTTTCCTTTTTTGTGTAGTTTTTGGATAAAGTAGAAGTAGAAATGAGGACATGTGAGGAGCCCCGTCCACCTAATGGTCCCTCTCCTATAGCTATTACAGAAGGCCAGAGGTAAGCCAGCAGCAGTCTTGTGTGAAAACTAACTTTTCGTGATGTGGCGTATACAGCCTTTGCTCATGTCTCCATCGTGTTTTTACAGCGAGTACGGCTTTGCAGAGAAAGTGGTGGAGGGCATGTCTGTTAGGATCAACTCCATCACCATCAAGGTGCAGTCTCGTGCCTTCCACGCCTCTTTCGAGCTCTGGCAGCTACAGGGCAACAGCCTCAATCCCAAGTGGCAGCGCAGTGACCTCCGCTACACCCGCATCACCGACCCAAAGAGAGGAGAGGTACGATGCTGCACGTGTAACTTTGATGACACTGGCTGGAAACTCCATTTCATCCGTTGTGTTTGATTTTAAATGTTATTGTTTGACCACACATTCATGATTTCATCTGCTTTATATTTGTAATAAGGTTTTGACATTCAAAGAAATCAACTGGCAGAGTCTACGAATAGAAGCAGATGCAATTGAGAGTGACGACCAGGACCTTGGTAGCACCCCGTTACGGCTCATCACCAATCAGGGTCGCATTCGCATCGCTCTAAAACGCAGAGTACGCCTTCGATCCCAAATGTATTCATCTAAATTGCAAATAATATGACAAACGATGAGTTTCATATTTCATTGTTTTTTTCCAGATTAAGGACTGCAATGTTTTGGCATCGAAACTACTCTTCATTCTGGACGACTTGTTGTGGGTGCTGACGGACTCGCAGCTCAAAGCCATCATACATTACAGCAAATCTCTCAGCGAGGCCATGGAGAAGTCTGCCCAGCAGAGGAAGAGCAGGACTGCGGAGTCCTTACAGGTCCAGATTACCTTCTGCTTATTAATGGTTGGAGAAAGATCAGGTCAAAGCAGGATAATGATCTGTGTTGGCAGACGACACAAGTTTCTCTTAATGATGCTTTAAGATTAATTGTAGATAGAGTGTGTTGGCTTTTTTCATAGATTGATAGGCAACCTCCAGACTATTCCTCCATGAGTCTGACAAATCAAACAGTTTTCGTCAATTGTTTTTAAATATTTTGTACCCCGTCTTTGTCCACAGACTGCTCCCCCATCCCCTGGAATCCACAGCCTTTGGACAGAACCCCCACCTCCTCTCACTTGCACCCCCAACACCACAAGCCAATACTTTGATCTCTATGATGTCAAGGAGTCATCCTACCACACCTTCATTTCCCGCTTGGACTTGCACATATGCAATGACAGTTCTTCGATGGATGACGGTTAGTTACAAAAAAACAGCATGTTTCATCAAGTTTTGTTCAGTATATTTTTGCATTTTTGTTGTAGTTGAACCCTAAACCATGTTCTCAAAGGACTTGGTGAGAAGACAGCGGTTGATAGATGTTAAAGGATGATTAAAGTTAAGCCGGTTCTTAACAGTCATTATGTGATTTTTCGGTAGACGAGTCCCCCCCTCCAGGCTTGCAAGGTGCCATGCAGCTGACATTCAAGAAGCTGGGTTTTGACTACTACCCCATCCACAGACCTGGTGAGTGTGGAGACCAGCTTTGTGCAGCTGTAACTGTACCACATCTTACCCAGAGGCTCTGTCCCGCTCCTGCTATAACCACAGCATTTATTCAGGCCTCTCTGTTAGGAGGATTACTGTTCAAGCAGACTAATGGCCTGGGAGTGTGTGCCAGCGTCATTATTCTTTGAGGAATTTGTGGAAGTGTTGAAGAATGCAGAACAACAGAGCTGTCTCTGCAGCTTATCAGGGTCAATCAAACAAAAGGGGAAAAGACTGTTAAATCAAACTTAATGGCTGCATTAAAATTGAAGTTGTTGGACTATTGACAGTGTGTTTGAGGTTTTAGAGTTTGATTAAATCCCTGAATGATCACTGAATTATATCACCCTTTTGTTGCTGAATACAGCTGATGGATGTCGACACTGGGAACGCCACTGTGGAGCCATGGAGGCTCAGCTTCAGTGGGCTGGGAAGCTGCTACAGGAGTACCAGAAGAGAGCAGAGGCTTCCGGGTTCCCTGGACCGAACACTGAGACGCCTCAGCCGAACAATAACTCTCATGACAGTTCAGGTGCAGGTAAGAGGCTGTGATTACTAACAAGGTTTGAAGACTCATTATTGTTATAAGTAAATTAGTCAGCAAAAACAGAACACCTGATCATCCTGGCATCTTATTCTTGATTATGAGTATTTATGCAGAGTTTGACCTTCTTTGTGGCTAACAGCCCCTCCCTCCTCCTCTGAGAAGGCTTTCCACAACATTGTGGTGTGAGCCTGCGTGAATTTGTGCTAACGCAAACAAAAGAGTGTTTGTGGGGGTCGGGCTCTGATGTTGGGTGAGAAGGCCTAGCTCTGAGGCAGGCCTCAAATTCCTCTCAAAGGCCTTCAGTGGGATTGAGGTCGGGCCGCTGTAGGGGTCAATCAAGTTCCTGCACGCAAATTGTTGCTCACCGTGTATGTATGGATCCTGGGCACATCAAAAGCCTTCTCCAGAAATGTTATAATAATCTAAACAACCCCAATGAAATCACATTTATCTGTGTTATTTAGCTTTAAGATGACTCACCATGAAGCAGAGAGGTTTTCCTCAACCTTCAAAAACTGCCTCAGATTATCATTAGTGTCACTCCTCCATTAAAATGCTCTGTAGCGTCTGTGCATTGTTGTGGATAGAGTTTGGCAGCCCCCAAAAACCCCTGATTCATCCTCCAGACTGACAGAAAGTGAAGCATGATTCATCACTCACAAGGACACCTCTCTGCTGCTTCAGAGGCCACGATCAGCACGCTCCCTCTGCAGCCTCTGGGTCTGCATTGTGATGAGAGGCTTGTGTGCAACCCATTTCCTGAAGTGAACAATGCACAGCTTGTGAGCTGAGGTTGCTTCTAGAGTATATTTCAAACTCTGTACAAAGGGATGCAGCAGATCAGGGGGGCATTTGATTTTACACACCACAAACTTGAGCATTAAACAGCCCTGGTGTGGCTGTTTTTTAGAGTTTACAACCTGAGGGATGAGCTGCTGTAATTTCTGGGTGTTTCTGTTTGACAACTGCAGCACCAACATTTCACCTGGGGTGGAAAAGTAGGGCAGACACTAAGTGGGTTAGAAGAACCACATTTACATGTTTGTATTTGGAGGTTTATGGCTATGTTGCACATTTTAAATACTCTTTCTTTCTTCCTTTCTTTGTTATTTTGTTACTTTCTTTCTTAATTATTTACTTACCTACTTACTTACTATTTACTTTCTTTCTTTCGTTTTTCTTTCTTTCATTTTTTCTTTCTTTTTTTCTTTATTTCATTCTTTCTTACTTACTTTCTTATTTACTTTCTTACCTACTTTCTTTCTTTCTTTTTTTCTGTCATTCTAACTTACTTATTTTCTTTCTCACTTTCTTTCTTTCTTTCTTTCCAGCCAAAGCAATTTTTCAATTTGACAATATCATGACACATCACAACATTTCTTCTCTATCAGTTGGAAGGGAGCAGGGACAAGATACATCTTATATTGCCTGCCCCTCACTCAAAGTCTAATTACTCTAACAAATACTCTGTAATCTCGACACAATAATCATGGGGGTGGCCACTACCTTTTTGATCACAGATACGACTCCCTCCCTTAACTCCATCACAAACCAAGCACAGCTCAATAACATCGCTGTAGACTCAAATCCTAATCTTTCAGATACTTCTGATCATCAGTGCTGGACCCAAATAGAAAACAGATTCACTTCTCTCGTCTTCAAGTGATTTATTTCTGTGCATTACAGACTGTTTTCTGTTCTATATTCACACTTTTAGATCATCATGCCAGTCCCAAGTCCAGTCCCCCAAACTCAGAGTCCGGATCCAGAAGAAACTCTTCTGCAGCTCCTCCTGGAACATCCTTGAAGAGGCTGCGATCCTGCTGTGTGGTGGTCAGGATGGATGACGTGAACATTCACCAGGTAAGCTTCAATCACCAGCTGATCTGACTGACCTGCTCTGACACATGCCTTACTTTGTGCAGAAGTGTGAGGGCCTAAAGCAGTCAGGCAGTATCCTCTGACTAAACTGAAACTTCCTGTGCCGAATTCGTAAAGTCTGTGACACATTTTTTTTGGGCTTATTGAAGATAAGAGATAAGACGTTCCTTTATTTGACTCACAAGGGGAAATTCCAAATTTACAGCAGCGATAAATACAAAAGAGAAATGAAAGAATGAAGAAACTTGCGAGTTGAAAAAAAAAAAAATATATATATATATATATATATATATTTATAAAAAGATATAGACACGAGTGTTATTTACAGCCGTTATGTACATGGAGCTATATTACAGTTTAAAATTGAGATATTTATATGTCTGACTACATACACAGAATAAGCATATGTGTGTGTAGAATATACGTATAATTTATAACCATTTAAGTTTGGTTCAAAAGATATTATTCTAACAGAAAACTGTTAATCATATAAAGAAAAGCAAAAATGGTTAATGTTTTAAAACAGAACTGTAAAGGGGATATTTTCAAACTTAAATGTTTCTAAAAAGTTAAATGTCAGACATCATCACCAACGTCCTACTGTGGTAAATTCATAGAATAAGGAGAGGTAAAAAGATAAGAGTACAAAGCATGTCTGATCACTAACCACTTGTCTCATTGCTGACTGGAACCTGAGTGACATGGACTCTTAATATGCTTGCAGAAAAATAGGGGGAGTATATTCCTTATCAGCACCCCCTCTGAGCAGCAGCTCCTCAGTTAGGAAGCGAGCTGACATGTGTGTCATGTGCTGATGTGTGCTCAGCACTTGTGGTCAAGTCAAACCAGAAAAAGGCGGGTCAGATTAGAAAACCCTGCAGACATCTGCCTGACAGACCTTACAGAGGGAACAAAAGCCTCTTTCAAACCAAACTCTCCGATATGTTGCCCGTCGATCAGATTACTGATCTTTTATGCCGATGAAATGATGTGTAAATATCAACTTTGTCTTTAGGGGAATTTCTAAAAGAGAAGACGCATACTTGTGGAAGTATTGACTAACTGTGAACCACAGCCTATTAATAGCTCCTCATTCTGATTAACTGTAAACCCCAGCCTTTTAATAATTCCTGAGAACTTATTCAAATGTCAGAAGTCACATGGAGCAACACTGGCTTCTTTTTTATCTCATTTATCACAAGGGATAGAAAGAAGTCCCACATGTGTCACTTCATTTGAGGCTTAGAAACCCCCCTGATCTTTTTACTTTGGACTTTTTACATTCAACATCATCAAAAACGTAACAGTTCTGGGGTTATTTTGGGTTCAGTGCTCTTGTAGTCCTGCATTTGGTGGAGCAAGAACCACTCAGGGGGAAATCTAGAACATTTATGGGTTTCCACCTTCAAGTCGTGAGAGGAAGTGACTCATCTTTAGACTCAGGTGTTCTGTTCAGTTTTTATGTCGCGTACTTTCATCTCTAATTCTTGTTCCTTTTTTGTGGTTCAAATAAAGTAAATAAACGAAAAAACCATTCCCCTCATCACAGCTCTGTTCTAACCTCTACACCCCAACTTCCAGGTATCTACAAGAGGCCGCCAGAACAAGAAGACTCAGTCACTGCTGTCCTGCAACCGCAAATCCCTGCATTTGCCCGACAACGTACCAGCAATTCATCTGCAGTTAACTGAATACTACTTTCCTGACAACCCCGCTGTTTCAGGTATCATACATGTGTAACCCCCTTTTTTAAAACTTGTATAATTTACATCTGTGTGTCTGCTTTACCTCTATATATTTCATGATTGCACACCTCAGCTTGATTCTGCCCTCTTTTTTTCCAGTGCCCACAACAAACCTGTACGCTCAGCTGAACGGCCTCCAGTTCTGTGTGGACCCAGCCAGCATCCTATGGATCAATCTCTTCTCCAGAGGTCTGCTGCACACTCTGGATCAAGTCAAAGCTTTCTATCATTTGCAAGACAGCACCAAGGCCGAAGAACATGTCGACATTTGTATGGATGCAACTCAACTCAAGGTAAAGAAACCGTTTATTCTGTGTTTTTGTATGTCAGAATATGTTGTTTAGATCTATTTATGGATCGTCTGACTGTTTGTGTTTCTTCTACAGCTTGTAATCCCCTTAGATTCTTCCATATTGGACCATCCAGAGCGTCCGCAGTCCCTCTCTGTCACAGTACCCCAGCTGGCTCTCAGTAACACTCCCTTCTGCCCTAACGGCTCCAGAGCTGATCTCAACAGGACCTATAACAAGTTCGCCAGCCGCCCTTTCTTCCACACAACACCACCCTGTCCTTACCCGAGAGACAGGAGTGCCTTCCACCCCATCCCGTCCACTTTCCTCGAGCTTTCTCAAGAGACAGAGCCCCAACCTCTGGACGTAAAGAGGCTGCGATCTCAAGACGTCTGGTCCCTCAGTCTGTCCCGTGTGACCTTGGGTTTTGATGGAGCGCGGCGATTCCCCAAAGGCAGAACCCAACCTTTTGTTGAACCCTTCGACATGTCTCTGTGGATTTGTCAGCCGGCTGCCTTCAGGAGTAATTCACCGTCCTCCTCCTCCAGTCTGAGCGGAGACCAGCAGGTTCCTCCAGAGCAGGGAGACACTTCTTCCTTGGCCTCGTTCCACATTTTGGCCCACACCGTCACTCCAGTGAAGATGTGGCTCAATCATTACCAGTATGTGGCCCTGTTGAGGATGAGGGACGCCATGGCTCGGTTAGGGGCAGAACTGGGCCGAGATCTGAGAGACGTCAAGCATGCTCACGGCAAGAAGACAAAACCCACCACTCTTTGTCTCGCCCTCCTGGTGGACTCCACAGAAATGGGTCTCCTGTTGCCGGCAGTGTGCTCAGAGGCTGAAGGAGAGGTCCCTCACACCCCGGAGACGGACAGCCCAAGCATAACAGACTCCGACTTGTCCCCCACTCATCATTCAGAAGACGCCCCAGTCAGCAACGGGATCGAAATCGGCTACTCCGTCAGCACAGTCAATGAGAATTATCGAGACGAACAAGGTCCTGTGGAGCAAGCATTCGAGGCGGTTGAGGAGGAGGGGGATGGTTTAGCAACACAGGATGACACCCCTACCCTCTCGCCTGCACTCTCACCCGTCCTCTCCCGCGAAGCGTCCACCTTCAGCCTGGAGGGAGAGCTGTCGAGCGCCATTAATGTCACCAAGGACGTGACCAAAGATGCCATCAGTGCCTCGCTGGACCTGACCAAAGGGGCGTTTTCAATCACGAAAGACGCCTTTAGCATGCTGAGTCGGGGCTCAGGGATGAGCAAATTGTTCAGTCAACAGGCGAAGTAAGTGCGAGTGCTCCCCTGCTGGGCTGTTGGCAACATAATGATGTGTCTCTTGGAGCCCATACTGTGCGCCGCATGCTTTTCATAGCTGTTTCTTAACAACTGTCTTGTTTGCAGGGAACAGGTCCAGCGTTCAGAGGAGTCCTCCCCCTCCCTGACTGCCAGCCCACGCAAATCCATGAAGCAGTCGCCTTCCCAGCATTCCTTCGATAGTGCTATTTTGGACGGCAGCCTGGTGGAGGAGAATCTCTCCGTGCATAGTGACTTCAGCGATAATTTTGTTGTTCTCATGGACTCAGGTGCTCCGAAATCTCAAAGTAGCAAAAGCAATTCCAGCCATACAGAGATAACATCTACTGTAAGTTTGTTTTATGTTTTCAGAGTGTATGAGCGCCAACAACACAGCTGTGGGTCAAACCAACGCGGTTCCAGGGGCGGAGAGACGTTCGTCTGCTGAACTCAGCAGCTCTCTTTCCCAAAGTACTGAGGATGTGTCTCAAGATTTGGTGGGTAACTGCATCTGATCAAAATATTTATTTAAATAGTAGACATTTAAACAGCTTTGATTGAAAGTGGTTTTGTTGTGACGTTATTGTGATGTGCTGTTGTTGCAGTCGTCTGTGTTGGTGCTGATCTTAAGTGGAACAGCTTGTACCATGGAAGTAAAGGGAGAAGACCAAATCGTTGCTGTGGAAACTCATAATCTGACTCCAGTGCAGATGGGCAACATCAGGGTAGCGGACCTGCATGCTGGTCTCGTACAAGGTAATAGACAAAAAAAAAAAGAGACACTTTTGAGGTATTTTGTTTTGAGTTTTGAAAGATTTATGGACAAACTAAGACATCCATGCAGATAAAGAGACAGTAAGGTCTAGCAGTGGTTCTCAAGTCCAGTCCTCGAGGCCCACTGTCCTGCATGTTTTGGATGTTTCCCTGCTCCAACACACCTGATTCAAATGATCAGCTCGTTAGGCACAGAGCTTGATAACGAGCTGATCATTTGAGTCAGGTGTGTTGGAGCAGGAAAACATGTAGGACAGTGGGCCTCGAGGACTGGACTTGAGAACCACTGCAATAAAGAAAGGACATAATGAATATTCAGGTCTATAAAAGTGAGCATTAAGAAGAGTTGGAAAAGATTTTAATAATTCCTTGAGCTTTATCTACTCAGGCAGGTCTGAAAAGTTGAGGGGCTGAGATCGCAAAAACACCATTCTTTTAGAATTTAAGCCTTGACTTAGGAACAACCAGAAGGTTTGTCCAGAATCTAAGACTCTGGACTGGCTCACCAGATCTCAAAGGTCCAGCACACACCTAAACATCTTTTTAACCCCAAATAAAAAGATGACTAATCTATTTCCAGTTTAGAAATGTTGACTGCTTTCAAATGCCTTCGAGTCTTTTACATTTACTTCTATCTGTTTCAGGTCGATTTGTTCAGACCCAGAATCATCAGGGCAGCAGAAGCACTCCTGCGGTCTGCATGCGGTCAGAAATGGGTCCATCTGCTGCCAGACACTCACCCCTGGCTGAGTCCCTGGGCTTCTTGGATATCAGAGTGCAGGATTTCAAGGCAGAGCTGTTATCTTCCACGGTCTCTAACATTGGCCCTTTTCTGGAGGATGAATTCAGTGTTGATGGCCAACTGATGCAGTTACACTTGAGCAACATAACCATCACTATTAAGGTGGGTTTTGGGTACTGTCAAGACCTTGGATCATATCGTTTTAAGACTGCTGCTCTTATTCAGTCCATATGGAGTCGATTGCATCACCTTATCAGCTGTAATGTTACAGAGTGGGACTCAGGAGGTTTACTGTCAGGATTCTTTGTTTCTTTCAGGATGACAGCCCCAAAATCTACCCTACAGCCCCCCAACCAGTCCCATCCTCATTCATTGTTGATAAGCTGCTCCTGGAGCGCGGTGAAGATGGCATGATGAGGGTCAAAGGTGAGCGAGAGAAAACACTCCTTGAAGTTAGCGCATAATTACAAGTGTAATACTTCTCACTGTTATGGATTAGCCCCACAATCCTTCACATGTACAAGATAACTAACTGTAGAAACCACGAGTTTTCACAATTACATAATCAAAAAGCAGAACAGAAAGTCGTCTTTACCGTTTCCTGCTCTGTTGTAGCTGGAGGTTCAGACCCTAGACCCCTGGCAGGTGTTTCTTTGGATGGAGTGGGCGAACTGAACAGTTTCTACATGGTTCAGCAAAGGAAAGAGGTGAGAAGGACCGAGCAGTAACATGTGTGCTTCAGCTGAATGCATGAGCAGACCTTCACAGTCAGATAATTATATGGGGAGTTTAAGTGTTTTATTCTGATGAGACAGCAGTCAGGAAACAGGAAGGGTGGTGAGAAAGAGATTGGAATGATATGCACCAAATGAAGCTTGGAACAGAGCTCGACCCTACATACATGGGGCACATACTCTACCTACTTAACCAGGGCCCCATAGCCAGCAGATATTACCTCCAGATCTGAAACGACTAGAAAGCTCAACACTTTCAGAAATAGTTAAATAAAAGAGATCAAGCTTTTTTTGTTTTTTTACATAAATTTGATCTTTGAAAAAAAAGTAAAACTAAATTGATAGATGCTAAGTTGGCTTTATTCATCAAATGTAGCACCCATGACCTCTCTCCACACTAAGACATGGGTGTAGTAAGTTGTATACCTGAATTATACCACAGTTGGAAAAAATGAGTGATGGTTTTCCTGCAGACCCAAATCTTGAAAATTCGTAGCCAAACATTGTATAAATTTTTCTAACCTTCCTTTAAAATGTGAGGTAGTTGACCCCAGAGCTTTGGTGCTGTTGGTATCGCAGTCAAACAAAAGGACCTCTTTGTTTACTCTTGTGTGTATGAATGTAAACCAGCACTGTTCCAGACATAAAGCTATGTACAGTTCTGTGTTATTCCGTCAGAAGGATTTCTGTGTCTTTACTTTCTTTTATCTAGAGGTCAGGGTCTTGAAATTATAGCTGTTTGAATCCACAGTTATCTGTGTTAAATACAGCAGTTACACTGGGTCCTGTTACTAGTCACAAGATTGTGTAATGGAGTTCTAATTACACCTGCTGCTGTCTCTCAGAATCTGATATCTGCTCCACTTTACCCGGTAGCATCTAGCCAAAAACCGTAGCTGCAATTTTCGACTAACCGATCCAATAATCCTGCTGTTCCAGATTCAAGTCCTGGAGTCCCAGCTCTCTGCAACTCAGACCGCTCTCACCCGGGCCCTCACTGACAGAGAACGCCTCCTTCTGGAAGTCAGGAAGTACGACCCCACGTTTACCCTCTGAGTCTCTCCGGTCTTTTCTCATCTGACCCTCTTGTTAGACCTCTCCTGCTGGGACACGGTGACGGGATCAGGCTGAGTGTCAGGAACCAGCGAGACTCACTCGAAGCAGGTGTGGACATGTTCGAGAAGAGGAGTTGAGTCGCAGCTTCGGCTCACTTCCAGCTCATACACTGTTCATGAGAATAAAAACGAACCCCTGTAATCACTGTTACTAAGAAGGGGAACCTAGTGAACTAACTTAGAGGTTCATTAATGGTACTACTCTTTATCTGGCAGTTTAGATACTCCTCACTAATCATTCTGCTTCTTTCTCATCCAAATCAGTGTGAACAGTGAAGTTGTCGTGTGGTTTCAGTGTTTGTTACACAGCATGCAAGGGTAAATATCATCAAGCTTTACTTCAGTATTTGTGTTACAGTAACTTTAAGTTGTGCACATGCCAAAACCTCCTCTTCACATGCACTTCTACTGCCAGACAGCTGCTCCTTCTCCATAAAAAACACAACTTTCTGTCAAGCATGCTTCGTGAACAGTGCTAATTTACATATAGCTCATTAGATTTAGTGACAGACAGACTGACCGCTCTCATTAGGTGTGTTTTCAGTTTAAAAAAAACAGTATCAGATGTTAGAAGTTGGACATGTGTTGTGAAAGGTAGGGAAAACAATGCACTTTTTATTTTTATTATTATTAAAAAGAAGAAGAAAGAGGCAGAGGAACACGGCTTTCAAAGAGAGACTCAGTTCTCCACCTCAACTGCTTTATCACTCTGGGGGGGGGAGGATAGTTACACACTCTTATCACCTTTCTCCAAAAGCAGGTTGAATCATTCCCAGTGTTACATTTTTACTTTTTGTGTTGTGAAATGTTGATCATGCTGCTTTCGTACTGTGAAACAACGTGCTCTGCGGTCGAATGTTCACTCATGATGACACGCCTTTTCAGTTTTTCCCCCACCTCAGCTGGGGGGAGAGCAGGTTGAGCAGCTTAGGTTTTATAAGAGAATTATTCTTCTTTTTTCCACACTAACTCTTTAGTTTTGAGAAGTTTGGAAGGATTATACCAGCTACCACAGTTATACACTTGATCTCCTTAAAACTTGTTTTTTAGCCCGCTAGGAAACAAGTCCGACTGCTAGTATTGCTACTTCAGTGCACATCCTGAACTAAAGACTCATTCTGGGTATTATTTTACTTGTTTATATTTATTTAGGTTTCTTACAGTATGTTTTGTTATTATTATTATTATACAGTATTTAAGCCATATTGATCAAAGAAAATGTCATGTTAAAAGTCAGTGGTACTTATAATGTATGCACACATACACAGTGTATTATAGACGACCAAACTCGTTACAAAAGCTGATATTTTTCAGTGTTTATTCCTGATTTGATGAAAGTGTTTTCTATCAGGCCACTTGCCAGATAAAGATATCTGCTACCTTCTATTTCCCGTGCATATATTTGTTATGCACAGATTCAAACAATGATGGATTTGTTCATCACAAAGACTGTAACAGTATAATATTCATGTAATGAATTCTTTAAAGAGAAGTTTGTCTCTATGAGCAACTTTTTATGCACAAAAGTTCGATTGTGAAATCAGTGGTTCAGCATTTTGCCTTCGAGTCCTGGTTATCCATCTTAGTGGTTGTAAAGCTGTTACAACCCTCACTCTTTGGTTATTTTCCCACTGTGTGCTTGTGAGACCCCTGGTGGTTGTTAGTTGCTATTACACTCCTCCGTCTGGATTCTTTTCCTCCTTTTTTCAAACACTGGTTGCCTTGCAAGCTAAGAATGAGATATTTGCATTCTTGAAGAGGAATGTGAAATATTTAAGCAATAGAAAGACGGTTTCGGTCTGACCAAGACTTTTTTTTTTAAAACAGTAACACTACATTTTAATGTAGACCTCTTCCATTTTCAGGTGAACTAATATCAAAGAAAAAATGATCTACCTGACTTTGGCTGTTCAACTGCATGCAGACTCAGTACATTCTCACTTCATCTGTGTTTTAAAGCAGAGATACTGCCCTTTAGCCTCAGTATCACTTACACTTGTGAACTATTTTTCAGTTTTCGATGTTGGTGTTTTGCATGGTTTAAATGGATAAAAAGATACTCTAAAAACAATACTGATCTTCCCATGCTGGGTTAAACATGTAGCTGTTTCAGTTTACCCCTCTCTCCTGAGTCAGGTCTCTTAAGTAGCAACTATGTTTTGTTGACTAACCGGTGCTCTGAGTTCAATCTGCTCTTATTTTTGCAAAATGAGGAGATTGATAGAGAAACAAGCAAGACTCACTTTAAGACCAGTGATTTTTCTTTTTTTTTTCATTATGAGAGCCTACAGAAAGCAGATGCATGTTCTGAAGTGATGTTGTATAGTTTCTGCTGTGTGAATTATTTGCACTCGTGTGATACATTCACTGGAAATTGCACTTATAGTCACTTCTTGGCTTGCAGAAGGGTCCTTGTGAGATCTTCTGAGGTGATGCAAATGTCGGGAGACTTTGTGGACAGTATTTTTGTCAGTTATGTGGAGTTGCATTGGGTTTTGTAATGTCTTTATCACTTCATTGAGACTAATTTTAAACTGGTTCTGTGAACCAAAGCTAGTATGTGTACGATATTTTAAAAATGAGAGAATAAATGATTAATTGCTGAACACAATTCAGTTGTGCCTTTTAGTTTCATTGAAAATTCATGTTTTCAGTTACACACTGTCTTTTAATGAGCAAGCTTCTTATATAAAATGTATATAAAAAGTCGACACACCCCTGTTCAACTGCAAGGTTTTTGTCATGTAAAAAAACTAAATCAAGATCAATAATTTCACAACTTCTTCCACCTTTAATGTGACCTATAACCTGTACAACACCAATGAAAGACAAACAGAAATCTTTAAGGGGAAAAATAAAAAATAGAAACGTTAAAATAACCTGGTTGCATAAATATGCACACCCTTAAACTAATACTTTGTTGCAGCACCGTTGGCTTTTATCACAGCACTCAGTCTTTTTGGGTAGGAGTCTATCAGCGTGGCGCATCTTGATGTGGAAATATTTGCCCACTCTTCTTTGCAAAACCGCTCCAAATCTGACAGATTGCGAGGGCATCTCCTGTGATTAAAATATTTATCTTGCCGTCATTATCTTACATTACTAAAACCTGGCAGTTGAACAGGGGTGTGTAGACTTTTTATATCCACTGTAAGTGAATGATGACAACAATCATGCTACACTTTGAAGTATAAAATGAAGTTTATTTACAACCAAAATGAGTAAAGTTACAACAAAGGAACTGTGTGGCCTATCGAACTTCCTTTACACAGACAGGTTAATGACAGGTGGGAGCGCTGAGATTTTTCAACTGTTCTTTGATATCACAGTCTTTGTTCTTATCTGGTTAAAGTAGTAGGAAGCAGCCAGCAATAGAGCTTCACTGAATGGTACTAAAACCATCTCACTGCTGACATTCTCCTCAATGAAAGAGGATTTGTTTGTACTTAGAGTTTGGGATCTGATCTCGACTCTTCAGCCTCCTCACTGCTTCTCTCATGTGCTTGGGCTGCAGCGGTGGTGTGTCTCCCCACTTCTCACAAACGTCCAACGCTGCAAAGATCAAAGGAAAGTATTTAAGTACATGGTGGTCAATTTTCAGCTGTTTCAGAGTAGTAGAAATAAAAACAATACATTTATTTTTAACTGTTTTGAAGTCTGACACTCACCTTCCTCAACTATCTCCCCAGCGAAAACCTTGGCAATACCAGACATTGCAATCACCACATTCTGGGACACTGAAGACCCTGTTATGGATTGGATCAGCTGGAAAGAAAAACTTTGTGTAAATAAAAATAAAAGTGTAAGAGATTTAAAAACACTTAACATGATTCTAAAACCTTACCCTCTTAATAGCAGCCTTAGGGAAGGCAGAACGTCTGTACATCTCATAGCGATTCAGCTGCTCTTCAGAAAAGGACGACACCAAAACCCTGCAAGACACAAGATGAAAACAGGGTGAGGATCATCTCAGCCGGAGATTAGACTTTAAAAAATATATATATTATTGTCTTTTACAATCTCAGCCTTACTGCATCTTTTGTATTTCATCTTCATCCACCTTGTGGCGCTTCTCCTTTTTCTTTTCTGGTTCCACCTTCAGTCTTTTGGATGCAGGTTGGCCAGAAGTTCCTTCATCTTCATCTTCCCCAGCAACTGTTTCCTTCATGGAACGAGACAAACACTACTAAAAAGACGCTCTTTTGAAATTAAAACCCACAGCACAAAAAAATCTAGTAGTCATTAGAATATAGAGGGACTAAAAAAGGTAAGGGGACTTCTCTAAGAATATCCTAAAAGTAGTAAGGCAGCTTGCTTGCTTATTCTATACTTAATAACTTCTGGGAAAGGAGAAGAAGAAAGTGCAGAAACACCAAAAATCTATTAACAAAGCAGAACATGGTATTCATCACACAGCTGGGGAAATAACATGTAGGGGGTGTTTGTTTTTTGGGGGTAAGTTGGTGTTATGACACACAAGCTGACCAGGCAATTTACACCACACTGCTGAAACAGTCTTTGATTAAATTTCTAACAGCAAATCTGAAGAAACTAGTGGTCAAGTGTCTAGTCTGGTGGAAATCATATTTCAATAGCTGATGTTTTTAACAATAAGTAAAGAGTGCTTTCACAGTGTTGTTTCCTTTTGTTATTTGATGAAATATAACAGTTTTACAATTACAACCACTGTATGAATATGGCAATTTAATACACACAATTACCTTAGTCAGCAACCAGCCAGGCCTTTCATAAATGTATAGTAAAAAAAAAAAAACACTTGGTATCTTTATAGGTTAAAGAACATCACTGTCAGAATTAATATTAGACCGTATTTTTAAATACACCATAATAAAGTTCAAACACCAGCAGGTATCTGTCATCCTTCAGATGTGAAAAACATCCTGATTCAACAGATTATTCACTCTCTCTCTAAAACAATAACTAAGTTGATTACATAGAGATGAGATCTGCAAATGTTGGGCAGTGTCTCCAATGGAGCTCTGAGATTTATAACAAATTGTGGATTTTTAACGCATCGCTGTACTTTATACTCCAAAGTCAGTTGGACTTCTTTAAGTACTCGTTGGCTCGGTCATTGGTACGTTTTCTTTTACAAAGGCATTCTTGGACAAATTCCTGACTATCTCTCCTCCTTATTGATCTTAAAGGATGGATTACACAACCTGAGATCATTAGATTTATACAGTTTGTTGTCCCCAGAGTCCAAACTGATGGAATAATCCTGCAGACTGAATATAAACCTTTGACTGTTTTTAAATCTGCAGTTAAAAGGCTGGAGTCCAAACTCTCAGAATGTCTCTGTTTTAACTGATGATTCCTCACATTTTTATTCTGTATTTATTCTGTATTCTCAGATCTCAATGGGACAAACCTGGTGAAATAAAAAAAAATTGGGGGGTCAGAAACTCCCTGTGATGTAAAGGAGAAGTTCAGATAAGAAGTTGGACTTGGTCACTGGAAACCCAGAGTTTCTCCAAGGAGCTTAAAGATGGCATTATGAAGAAAAAGCCACTGGTTTTACTGACTTTGATCATTAAATGAGGTCTATAACTCACGGGTTTCTGCTCCTGTTTAGGCTGATCATGCGATGTTGACTCTTTGTTGTCATGTGCAGGTTTCACAGAGGTAGATCCAGTCTCGGTTTCCTCTGTTTTTATATCAGGATGCTCTTCGTTGGAGGATGCTGCTGCTGTTCTCTCAGGTGTGACTTCAGGTTTGATTCTCGCAGGGTCCGCCATGATCACCCTCTGTTACTGTGTAAACAGATCCATTATAACGAACAAAGAGGTTACATTTATCACTTTAAAAGCACTTTAGGTCACTCTGGATAAACAGACTGCACTATAAAACTCAACTGAACAAAGTGTATCAGAACAAACCAAACCAAACCACAGTAAGAACAATAAAGAATAACAAGGTTTTCTATACAGCAATATTTGATCAAAGATGCACCAACCTGCTCTGCAGCTAGGCGTCTACTGAGCCGCGTTCATGTATTAAAGTTTAATATTATACATTAGCGATCAACGAGGCACAAATGTAGTCTTATCACAAACACAACCGCACAAATAAGAAGATAAATGATGGTGAAATCCTTCAAAGGAGCCTGCGAGCAACGTTAGCACGAAAAGCTAGCGGTCCGGGTTTATCAACACAGCTTGTGGATTTCCGTTTCCGGGTTTGAACGAACTTTATTTAAACCACCAAAGGACGCAAACAGGTAAGCCGCAGATGAGTGAGATAGAGGAAATAAAAATGAATCAGAATTTGTCATTCATGGTAATAAATACCTGGGAGATTAATCTTTTGAGTAGCTGTATCATAATTTTCAGATTCTGTCACACAATGAGAAATATAAGAGTAACTTTAAATCAATAAAAGAGTGTCAATTTTATTTTATCCGTATTTTCTCCCTGTAAACTGTAGATAAACAGAATTTTCACATACTTGTCAATGTTTGTACCAAGCCATTTGTGTTATAATAATCTCCTATTTGTATTTGTCATACATCAACAAATAATACAAAGGTGCTTTGACATGTAGTCATAGAGCAAAAAGACAAATAAAAACAAAAAGCTCAGTAAAAACGGAATTAAAGGCCATTTTCATGTCAAATAGCCCTTGAATGCCTGACACCACAAATTATGGCCAGAAAATTCAAATAAAATTTTTTTTTATCATTAAATGGACTGTGTTCAGGTGTTTTTTTTAGTAATTTGTTGATCATTTTTATTTGATAGAAGTATATAAAAGAATGTATCAAATATGATACAAAGGCATTACAGGGATAGGAGTCCTATTTGTTTATGTCCTGAATGTTTATGTCCTGTTGAATGTCCTTTAAGCTTTGGGTAGTTTAAAGGGAAATCCAAACAGTAATAAACACATTAACATTAAACACCATATTCAGAATAGGTCTTAGAAACTCTCTTAAAGACATTTTTCAGTCATAAATAAAGTTACAAACAGTCTGTGAAATCACTGTTAGTCACTCAACCTTTGTATTTCCTGTCAGATTCATCCAGACACTCATAGTCTACATTGTTGCCTGTTGTAAATGAGTTACTGTCACACCCCTGAGAAAATCTGACACTACTTCCACTAACTCACATAAGTTAAACTTCATGGGGACCATATTTTTATATGTCATATACAGAGGCCCTTAAGCTAAAGGCCTAAAGGGACATACACCCTCTCATTTTATTTGCTTAGATTTCCCCATGACATCTCAGCTTATCCAAAGGAACATATCGAATGACATTTAATCCAGTTTTCAGGTGGATTGTAAGTCAGTATATTTACATTTAGCATTTTTTTTCATAATTTTGGTAAAAACATTAATTTGAGCATACTGCAGTGTGTTACCGTCTTGTCACAGAAACCATTTTATAATCATGAACCTTATGGTGTCCATGCTGCCACTGCCTAACAATGGAATTCCCATTTGGTTACCTGTTGAATGCCATCCCTACTGTTACACAACTACATGACTTTATGAGCTCCATTTAAAGGCACCATCAGTGTTTGCTCTATTATGGCATAAAAAGGCTGTTTTTCCTGCTGTGACATAAAAAAATACCTCATTAATTTTGATATGATATGACTAAGTTGGTTTTCCTGGGGTAAGTATTCCTCTCTGAGGTTACACAACTCAGGGCTTTTATGGTAAATAATTAAAAGGTAAGTTTAAAATTTTACTCTGAACTCTAGATCTAATAGAAAATAGATAACCAAAGCGCTGGGTGGATGTACTTTGCCTTCCTGGTCACTAAATCGCCATCTTGCTTATCCTCATCCACGTTGTCTGTGAAGCAGCCAGGGCGGGGGTGCTAGGTGTTGTGTGTGCGTGTGTCTATAGGGTTTCGGATTGGAGATGCAGAAAGAAAGGGCAGTTTCGAGGAAGTGACGGACGGGACTCGGGGGCCTGGTCAGAGGAAGTTTGCTCGGTGATGGTACCGTGCTGCTGAGCGAAACTTTTCCCTCTTGAGCGCAAGCGGCACCGTGGATCAGGACGCACGGATCCAGCGGCGGAGGGAGCTTTTGTTTCCTCGGCACACGAGCAACACTGAGGAATAACTTCAGGTTGGGAGGGGAAAAAAAGGGGGGATCGCGAAGGAATTTCACTCCCCTACAACCAAGCCCCCCTTTTTCTTCTTTTTCCCCGCGTCTCCTTTGGATTTTTCTCTGGGATTCGCGATGGGGAAGGAGCAGGAACTTCTTGAAGCGGCGCGGACGGGAAACCTGGCCGCCGTGGAGAAGCTTTTATCCGGGAAGCGACAGTCGGCTGGCACGGGCAGCGGGTCGTCTGGGACCGGTGGAAGCGGCAACAGCGGCGGGCACGGCGCCTCCTCTCATCCGCTCTCCAGTCTGCTCAGGTAGGCTGTGGAAAAGGAAACAGGCGGATAAAACTGAATGGGAGAATTTACTTATATTGTCAAATACTCCCATGTGCCGTTTTAACATGTGGTCAAAATGATTCTGTCTGGCTTCACAGAGTCACATTTTCTTTATTTGCTTTGCCAAACAAACACAATCCAAACCAAACCAGTGTATTGTAGTGGCAGTGGCATGCTTCTTTGTTAGCTCCCACTTCTGTGTCCCTGCCAGCTGTACTGTAATGTGCACAAACAGCCTGGTAGATAATCAATTATGCAACCTAACTAGAGAAATCTGCATCAAAACAGCCCATGGCCACTTGAAAAAACTAATACAGATGCATTATTAACTGTTTACATACAGTCTAGACTTGGACGCTCTCTGGTAGCAGGAGCTGGAAATGAGGTAGACTCAGTTTGTAGAGGCTTTAGTTCCCAGATTTTTAACAGTCTGAGATTAATGATACATCCTGTATTGGAAAAACTTTGGAAATGAAATCTTGGGGGACATTAATAAGGGTTTACACATCAATGAGAGACCTACTACTAAATATTAGAAGTGTTTGCAAAGGTTCCCTTGAGAAAATTCCCATTTTTCTACCCTTTTTCATTATATGTTGGTTGTCATTTTGAGATAATAACAAACCGCTATTGTTTATCTTTCTTATTATTCAGGCCTTTGTGCCACTTGTGCATAAGCTGGCATTTAATGGTGGTCAACAGAATAGGATATGTGTGCCTGAAAAGATAGTGGAAGATTCAAGCTTTGGTGTGTGTTTAAAAACAAAATAAAACATCCCAACAAAGTGATTACAGTGTTTTGAAGATGCAGCTAGGCCCACGCACCATCCCCTGAGAGTTGCGCACCCAAGGCTGCTGGGTAATATTTAATAATTTGATGAAACGTAATAACAATCTGATAAGTTCTGAGTTTCATTTTGTCCTGCAGATGTAATCTGATTTATAAGCTCACCACAACACAATTGTTGAATGCCCCCGAGATTAAAGATGTTGTCCTGAGATCATATGATGCACTTTTCATACAGCCGCCCTTTGAGTCGAAATGAGACGGGGAAGAAAACAAGAGCTTTAAAAAGATACTCCATAACACCACTTAGGCTTTGTTTGCCCATGGGTATCTGTGAAATACAGCCTGGAAACCACAAAAAAACTCAAGCGAAATGCAGCATATAAGATGCGTACCACTTGCCACTCTGTTAACGAAATGCTGAGTACATACAGGTGAAGGTCTGTCCATCAAAATGTAATATTACTCCCCTGGGAGCCCTGTGACAGCCACCTCCCTTGAAGATACAAGTGTCACGGCGAAGCTCGAGGTGATGCATCGCTGTGTTACTTAGCAAAGACTGCAAAATGTACTCAGGGTAATTACATTAAACCCTTCTAATCGGGAATCCAATTCACAGATGTCAGGCAGTCATGGCTGGCTCAGGCTCTCCCCTCACAGGTCTGTGGGTGGACTGAAGAGACTGTTGTGTCATCTACTCTGACTTGAGTAATCAATGTTTGGCAACGATTGCACTGGGAAAATATTGGCCGGGCTTTTCAGGAAATGAATCAACTGGGGGGTGTATTATACTCAAAAAGCCTGTTGCCTCCGGACACCTAAGCTTATTACCGGACAAGCTGTAAGATTATAACAAGGTGCATGATTGGTGAGCACAAGGCTGCCTGAGGGAGGTTGACGTTTGATTTAATTTGCTGAATTAAAATGTCAATACAGAGGAATCAAGACAAATTAGTTAAGTGGGAAAGTTGTCTGTTGATGAGTTTGCGTCTTTTTTGCCTTTATCAGAACTGCAGTGGACGTCATCCATTGACAGACAGTTCTTGTCTCTTATCCAGTCAGAGGAGATCTCGTCTGTCCATCAAACTTGTCTGATGTGAGGCCCTCTGCACACCTGATAACATGTTTATTGTACAGATTAAACCACATGCTATGATCTGACCTAATAGGCGTTATTACTATAGTTTAAAGGTGTGTTGTTGTGTGTTTCCACTAGATTTCTGGCGTTCTTGCTCTGGAATGGGGTGCATGTCAAGACTTGTGGTGTTTTTGTAACCAGGCAGTCTTACAGCTCTCCTCTGCGGAATGTCTGCTTTCCCAGGAGGCTGCATCCCAGCGGTTGCCATGGGATAGACCCTGACCCCGGCATGTTGAACACTGCCGCCGCCCCGAACATTTGTTCCTCGGCGGTGCTCCATTAACGCTAAAATGAGCTGGGAAGGGCTTCCTATAGAAGGAAGGTCATGGTGTAACTTGAATAGCCTGCAATGCAATGGTGCTTGTTGTTTGGTTGATGCAGACGTGAGTCGTGTTTGACAGATGTTTGGTTTTTTGGAGCCGATATCATGAGCAATATCAAAAGAGAAAAAGTCAGTGATTTCATGTGATTTGGCGGCTGATGCAGTGAAATTAAAGACTTAGCTAAACTTAGTTAAAGCTTCTGTGAGGAACTTTCTGTGGTGATGTATGTTGAAAACATGGAAGTTTTTTAAGCTATGGGGCTGACACCTTCCTCCTTACAAGATACAAATTAGGGCTGAAACGATTCCTCGAATACCCCGAGTACAAATAATGATCGAGGAATTTTCTCTGCCTCGAGTACTCGTTTATAAGCTCAAATTGTCACTGTTTTGCACAAATTCTTTTGAAGGTGACACAATGCACTTACGTCACCACGGTACAAGGAGGAGTAAGCGCTGTTTAGGTTTTGCAGACTGGGGAGTTGGCAACACTGTTTTCTTGTGCAGAGCTCCAGTAGCTCATTAGCACTTAGCCTCTGAGTTGTGGATGGAGACAGCGCTGCTCTGCACACTTCTGTTCACGCTAGCTTGTAGCCTAACATTGCTGGTGTCGTAGCAGAAGCAGGTAGCATAGGTGCTATTCAGCTCTCGGACACTAATGTCTTTAGGGACACGATGAAGGTTAATATCATAATTAGCTTTCTTACGAGCATTGCAATCTACTAATGCACTTGCTTGTTCCCCGATTCCCCTTTTATTTCTCAGAGTCTGGCCTTCATTGCGGGGCTATAGGAAATCTAACTTTATGTGAGTCTGCCGTTTGGGTCCAATTACTCTAGTAATCGATAGAATATTCGATAAAATACTCGATTACTAAACTATTCGATAGCTGCAGCTCTAATACAAATGATAAGTCTTGTTTCTGATGGTCTTGTTTGCTTTTGGATGTCATAAAAAGGCATCACTTTGGATTTCCATGTGTTTCATAAACACAAAAAAACTCCTCACTGCAGCTTTAAATGAATATAAGAACAGTAGGCTCACATTACACCAACAATATTGGATGATTAATGTATTGGTCAAGCTCTGGGGTCAGCTTTGATAGGTTCATGCTGTTATTTGGAGCCATTTAGGCCACACTAGTGTATATTTATGGGCTTGTTTTAGTGGATATATTTCCCTCACACTCCATCTTCCCAGAGTTTTTGCAATGACCCCATCATGACCCATATCAGTCCCAGAGGTCTACAGGAAGAGCTCTTCACCAGCACTTCCTGGCCACGGTTATTCAAACACAGGCAGCTGCTGCAGGCAGACCGGAGGTAAGACAAGTCCCTGGCAGGGAGAGTGCCTGCCCACTGAGGGGAAATTAAGCGAGGAATGCATGGAGTTCTGGACAGACACTGTGAGAGCGTAGCCAGATGAGGACTTGTCTCCCAGCTTCACTGTCGTGTCCTTTGTCCCACTGACAGAGCGTGGAGTGATGGCTTTTCATATTTATATCAGCTCCTAAAGACCATTCTGTGGCTTTTCTGTAGTTTTTAGTTTTACAGAGAAAATTGAGCTGTCATTTGGATCGAATTGGACCACCTATTTAGGGAACTCTACCCTTAGTGTTTCCTGTGGGTTAAAACAAGTTGCATTTCACAATATTCTGCTATAGAAATTGCTTCACTTATTCACAAAGCCTTCTTGAAATACCTTTTCCCCCCCCCTCTACAACAGCATATTTTTCCAGCCTCTAAACGCTTGCAAGGAGAGCGTTTCTTTCAGAGTGATGACTCTCTGTGCATTTTAAGAGGCTTGGGCACAACTCCAGATCATTCCAATCCATTACATCCACAATTTCTGGCTCGTCCGAAGCGTGCTATCAAACTGTCGTCAGCCCAGGAAGTATCTGCTGCGTAAGAACGAGCACATATTGTCCTTTTTTCAAAAGCAGAATCCCCCGGAGCTTCTGTGATGTTAGAATACATCTGCATGTAGGATTCAGCAAGTGTGAAGGTGCTCTGTAGGACTTGTGTCTGCACATGACAGGCTCACAGCAGGGAATCTGACACTATCTGTGCTACCTAGCAACCTTCTTAAAGCATTCTCACAAGCGCAAAAGAACAAGTTTTTCATTCTGATTTTACCCTAAATATTTCCTTCCAACTTGGGTAACATTTGGGTGAACTTTTGGGAGACTGAAGCAGGAAACCATCAGAATTATCCCCCGCATGAGGGAGCAGACAGGAGGTGAGGATGTTAATAGGATAACATGACCGGTGTCCTGAGATCTGCTTGCTATCGTAGCACAAATCAACAGCAGAGAGTGTCAGTTTGCACTATTTAATAACATACTTTGTTCACTAACAGGGAACAGTCAACTTTGGAGGCTAAGTCGCTAAGACCCTCTGCCTGCTCTTCCTGCAGACAGCGTGTTGACAAGGCTGTTCGTCACACTTTTACAGGGCTGAAAAGAGTCACTAGTCTGAGGTAGCTAAAAGCCGGGCAAACAGCACGTCTGGCAGGCACATTTCACCAATCGTTGACCTCTGAACCCACAGAAACTGTAGCTGGTCCAACCCAAGAGGGAGCAATCCAAGCAGGGAAATCCAACACCAGCATGTTAGCATTCCTGGAGCATCTGAGTTTGGGATTCTCTGCTCTGAGCGTTATGTTTACAGCCAGTGTTTGGATAGTGTGTGAGAGCAGGCAGGGAGGCACTTAGTCGCTGTGGTGAATTCCACATACGTCTGTTTTTGTGTGCATGGAAGAAGACACTGACGAATAAAGTGTCCTTTGCATGCACTTTGTGGCCATTTTTACTTTAACCTAATGGTGGTGGACTATAAAAAACACACATCCAAGTGGGTTTGGTAAGTTTCAAGAGCAGACATGTCCCCTGAATGAAGAAATATAACTTTGAAGTATGGTAAGATCAGCTGATAGACTTCTGTTTAATAACTGAGATACTTTAGCCCCTCATAGAGTTACAGAAAAACAGTAAACTAAAAGAAAGAGTTGTTTATGTTTGAGGACAACAAGTGAGTCTTTTGTCTGCATGTTTATGTGAACTCTATTTCACCCCACTCCCTGAAAACCTTATAATAACAAAGGGACAAATGGAAAAGATAAAGACTGCTGAGGTTGTTGGTGTTCGTTTTTAACTGGTTTGCAGCGATCAGACGTGTTAAGCCCACCTTTTCGTGTGTGTTTGCAGAAGTTAGCAGCCCACCACTTGGACATTTTCATGTGTCTGGCTGGCTTTCTGCTTCCTTTCTCTCCCACCCTGCTCTCTCAGCAGTCCTGCTTACCCACCTGCTGGGCCCACGCCAACTTCCACCCCACCTCCAGACTTCAAACATGTTGTACTTGGAGCCGGAGAAACGGCGCTGCCCTCAATATGTTCGCACAGGAAACAAATTAGCTTAGATCTTTGTGACGATACATCCCCTCTTTAACTTTGATTTTTGCTACTTAAACCACACCAGGCTGCTTTAAAGTTAGCAGACTGGAGTGTAGATTATTCAAACTTTCGGACACCTATGTTCAGAGTAATTTTGGACCATTTGCAGAAGTTAAAGAATGTCTTTGCTGGCTGCTGTGTTTTGTGAGCAAACTGAGCGGCACTCCTCTAAATGTTCACCCATGCAAACCAGATTTGACAGAAGTTGTGCGCTATTTCAAGAAGTGTTTTGTCAGCAGCAAAACTGAAAATAACAAACCATCCACCCCAGCAACATTTTTAGCTTCATCTGAACATCAGCTTGCTCCCTGAAGCAAAACTATAGCAGATTTATTGTCAGGATGGCTCTGTAAGTTAGGCCGTAATAAAAAGGTGGTCTCGGTGAGGGAGATTTGGTGATTGGCTAATTGAGACAAATGGAATAAAAGTGGAATAAAAGAAGTAGGGAAAGGCCTTTAATTGGTGGTAAATCACAACTGAGACCTACAAACAAGCATGGGCCCAGAAAGTGTGAGCAGAGGGTGCTGGTCAGCTGTTTGTAGTCACGGACTGACTTCACAAACATTCAGGGGATGCTGATGTGACCCTCTGAGATCTGTTTGAGACCTTTGTTGTTGTGAAGTGGCGCCTGCTGCTAAGTCAGTGTGGGAAACACCAGCCAGAGTGAAGACGAGCTGTGATTGAATGTGTTTTCCGTCTCCTCTCACCTCAGCTGACTCTCTCCCCTGTCCTCTTCTGCATTCATCCCAGTGTTTTTCATGTCATCCTGATTCAGCTGGAGCCTCTGTTTGACTGCTCCGATCGTACTCTGTGGGCAAACCCACTTTATTCACACGCCTCCTCCTGCAGCAGCACAGTCGCTATGTGAAACTCTCACAATGGTGTTTATGAGCCATGAAGACTCAATCAGGCTTTGTGCTACAATAGAACAGGCAAATTAGCCACATCATTAGCGTGTTCATTTCAGTACTTTCTGTTCCTGTTTGACTGAGAGTGAAAACGAGGTTAAAATGTTTCAGCAGGCCTGTCAAAGATTTTTATCATCTGACATTTCTTCCTTTAAACTTGATCTCAAATGGGGAAGACTGTCTCTGCCTTCAACTTTGGATAGAGTGAAACTAACACTGAATGTATTAGCATGTTTGCTTTCTATGTGCAGTAAAAGCTCAACTCTTTGTCACTCAGAAAAAGAAGACTTATCTTTCCTGGTTTTTGTTATTGTAGGCCCAAAATTGCATTTAAATGTTGTGCAGCCTGGTTTACCAAATGACAACCTAATCAGAGGTATGCGTAACCAGCACGGGCATGGAGATCTAAAGGCCGTCTGCTCATGTTGGCCACTCTCCTAATATCCTTTATCTCCAGATTCTGTGATCTCATCTCGAGTCTTTGATAAACAGTGCTCAATTTTAATGTTTCTTTGAGTGTTTTCTTACCAGTCAGTTTAATTCATGTTAGACCACTAATAGACTAGTTACTTCAGGATAGCCATGCTCTTCAGGTGCATACAGAAGAACCAAACGAGGGATTGCGAATGTTGAATCTGAACTTTTTTTTTCTTTCATAATGAAGATATATGCTCATTTGAAACTTGTTGTTGCCATAAAGGTTGGGACAAGGACAACAAAAGACTGAAACACTGTGTGTAATCACATCCATAAACCATTATCAGTGAACACAGGTCATCACTGCATCCACAAAACTTGACCATGCAAGAGTACCCCTTATGTAAACACTGACCAGACACGCCAGAGCCCATTTGAAATGGACAAAGGGAAATGGAAAAATCCATGAATGAAAAGTTGAAAATTCTTTCTTGGAAATGATGACTGACATCATCTTTGTTCCAGAGAGGGGAGGGGCCACCCAGCAATCCTATGCCAAACCACACTCTGTATGTATAACAGCTCGGCTCAGTAGTAGAAGAGTCCTGATGCTAAACTGGCTGACCTGCAGTTCTGTCCTGCCCCCTTTTGAAAACGCTGGAGCACAATGAAACAAAAACCACGACTAAGTATACCCTCAAACTGTTGCGCATCTGAAATCCAACAATACTGTAGATGTTTGTTGTTTAGTTTGCTTCCTTGTGCTGCCTGTTTGGTAACACTATCTCTTTGACTGTTGTGTTTACTACTTCATTGCAGTTGTAGGTCTTTGGTCCCAACGTAGCATCTGTTCGAGATTTCATCGGATTTAAGCCTGTGAGTGTTGCTCAGAAGGCTCAGAGGGTTCTGGCAGGTAATTCAGTCCAGGTTGGATCTTAGGCTGGCAGGGCATCTGGTTTCAGCGCCCGCCAGCAGTACGCATAATTAAACCCAATTTCCCTAACGGTGGCTGACATGCGCCAGTCACTGCTGGGCTCGGTGCCCTGGGATAGACTAATCCCTGGCTGTGTGGTCACACAGCTAATAAGCTGGAGGACAAATCTGTTTATTTGACTCCGGGTTCACACTCACCTGGGTTCTCATTTGCTCTGAGCTAGACTGAGTCTGGCCTTGCCTTCGCCTCTGAGCTCATTTGAATATTTATCACAAACTGAGTGAGTCCTCTCGGATACTTCCAAAGTCACAACTTGAATTTTCGATACAGGCTGTTGTGAAATCTGCCCTGTGGTTGGTTTGTGCAATTAAACAAGAAATTCTGGTTCTCCCTGAATCATATAATATCCTGAGAAGTGATCGGCTGACGCTTTCACTCTTCTCATGTGTGATTCAGACAGAAAGTTGCGCGGTTGTTGATACGAACACGAATTAATTAACCCGACAGATTCACATGCATCCATTAGGGCTTTATGATAGTTTGACTTCAGAGTGCAACACAGTGGAGATTAATGTTTAAACCCACGTACTTTGGAAATGAATGTCTATTTAAAATGTGTGACTAACATCAGTAGACTAATGCAGCACATGAAAGAGAGAAAATGTTTTATCTTTCCTCCTCTCGTTCTGGCTGGGCTTTGTGTGACACAGAATTACAGCCCCCCAGAATCTTTTTCAAACTGCAGCTTCATCCCGCTGATATTCCCTCAGGGAAATTAAGGATTAGCTCAGCCTTTCAAACAGGAATTCCTCCGTCAGTTTGTTTGAATCTGCCCCCCTCCCGTCCCCGTCCCAAACCAAATCTACTCTGTTTTTGCCCAATGCCCTGCTCCGGGCCTATAAGCCCCATCCCTCAGTTAGGTTGGTTGTGAGCCTTGGTAAGAGGATGAAGTGGATTGTCGAGCACCACTCTGACTCATGCCCTTGAGTGCCATGCTGCCAAACCGCTCTGAGAGGATGTAACACTTTGACTGCACTTAGAGCTGCTACTACAGACGGCTCAAACTGAAACAGACACTAAGAGAACGTAGCACGCAGATATCATCTTTTCCTCCTGCACAGAGATGACTTTGATTAAACACCGCTGATCGAAGCTTTAATGTGAAGGAAACGGATCCCAGAGAGTGACATCATGTTTGTAGCTGCTCTTAGGTTTTCTTTGGTCACGTGGCTGTTGTGACACAATCTCTGTGTTTCTGGGTCAAACATCTGGCACATGATTGTCATGACTGCTGTGGAGGACCAATGTGCAATGAGCTGGCATCAAATTTTAGCCCTTATTTTGAGAGATATTAATTATATGAGAGAGAGAAGCCATCATATTTGTCTGCTGAAAGATGTGATTTAAATGAGCACACTTATTTTATAATGTTGTGAGCCTTAAACGTGGTTTGATACATTATTTAAGGGCAACCTCAATTTCATTAGAATGAGGACATATTGATAAAAATAGAATATGATGGTTTGCAAATCTTGAAAGTTGATATCAGATTAAAAATCGTGCAAAGGTTGAAACTGAGAGTGTATGCACACTTCAAATTTCATATCTGCAATGATTTCTGAAACTGTTGGGACAGGACTGTGGTCACCACACCTATTTGAATAACTCTCTCTAAACGTTTAGGAACTGAGACCAGTTTCTGGAGTATTGAAAGTTAAATGTTGTTTCATTGTTGCCTTATAGAGGACTTGACCTGCCTATAGTTAAAAATCTGTATATCAGTCAGGTGCCTTTTAACGCTACCTTTTCAGATATGTAACTGTGGGCACTTAAACATCAATATACCATCAGGGATAATGGCTTTTAACCACAATATACTTCTTGACTGATTGGAGAACTAGGTGGATCTTTTCTGGCAGAGTTTTCAGATTGACAAGACCGGTGAGTGACTCTGCAGCCGACAGGGTGAGAAGACTCTAAAGTTTAGGTCTTTTTTATAATCAGTTTTAGAAGTGAAAAATATAATCATCAAGTCATTGGTGACAGAATAAATGTGATTATTCTTCTCATGTCTGTGTTCGGCATTTTGAATTGCCTTGTCACAGAAATAGACTACATAGATGAGCGCTGATAACAAGCCGGGTGGTCCCTCCCTTCTTAGGAGCAAAGGATGCAGCATCTATGATTGTGAAGAATAAAAATATCAGGCTTTGATTTTCTTAAAACCACAAGAAAGTTTTCCACCTAACCCCAGTCCTTTTTAAGGAATCAGCATTTGGATCATTTTCTATCTTCCTCCTCAGGTTAGTTTGCTATTCAACATGCTGCAGTTTTAACCTGCGGTCATGGATGCAGCATTAAACTGTTTTTGGAAGTTCTTTTAATCTCATGCGGAGACTTCCACTCCAGAGTTATGTTCTTTTTTTAATGCAGTGCCTGTTGAGAACATGTTAATTATCTGTTTCAAATTGATGTAATGGTTGGAGGACGATCTTCGAAGTGTTCCTTTTGCACTGCACAGCTTTTTCATGGTTTATTTCTGTATTTACTATTTTAAAAAGTGTAACTCGTGAAGTTTAAAATATGCATAGATTCCTCAGAAAACAACAAACTTTTCAAGTAATCCACCAAATGCTTGTCTCATAGTTAGGTTTTTTAAGCGCTGTTAAAAACATCATCTCACTGTGTATTTCAGGCCTTTTAATTAATCCAAATCAATGAGGGTCCTGTTCCACCAAAGACCCACTTTACACCGCTTACATCTTAAAAATTAAAAATCAAAGTTTTAGATTTGGATTCATCAAACGGGAAAGAAAAGTGTGACTGAAGTAGGGATTGAACGTCCTCATGTGCACTTCTATGACGTGACAGTCACTGGGATCAATTCACCCCGTCATGATTAGTATTCGATCAATCTCATCCCCTCTGTCATTATACTTGCAGCTGATTTTTCCCTCTGCTTAAATATCTTAGATTCTCTGTTCGCAGTGGCGGCTCTGTTCATGTTTATGTTAATTTGTTTATGGGGGTTTTTCGCTTTAAGCCCTTACATAACTCTTTATCTAGGCCAGCAACTGGAGGTCTGTTTCTGTCTCAGTTTTCCCGTTTGATGTGCTCAGCGTCCGTGTGCGAGAGAGCGTCTCCACAGCCTGAACTGCAGATTTGGCGACTTGTTTTGGAGGAATAGAGAAGAGGTGTGAACGTGTGATTCCCGTCTGTCGAGCTGACACAATCATACCTCGCACATTCCCACCCTCCTCCTCCTCTTTAACAGAAATTTATCAAACCCCAGCGTTTCCTCCTTCCACATTTTCCCGCTCGAGTATTTCCTCCAAGCACGCCCTGCTTTTGATGTCCCGCGTCTTCACGGCTGCCTGCCTCACTAAGATGAGATCCAGAAGGCGTGCTGTACGAACTAAACAGCTTAGGTTATGACTAGTAGAGTGGTGCATCCCTGTGTGTCTGTGCTCTGTCAGGCCCATTGTTCTGCAGGCTACAGAGCCCTCCAAGACACTTATTTAATGAGACGGCTCTGACTGTGTAATTGCAGGCTGTTCTCAGAGCTATTATGGGAGATGTATTTTAAGGGGGCAAAAGCAGCCATTACTGCGACAAAACTGGGCCGTTTGTGTGAAGTCGGAATCACACAGCAGCAGCACCAGAGCGAGTGCAGCCACACCGCTTACACGCTGATTGGATCATGGGTCGATTAATGCTGCGTCCAAGTGTTTTAAACTCTTAGATCTGAAAGCCCGCCCTGCTTTTCTCCCTCTCTCTCTGTCTCTGAAGGCTTTTTTCATTCGTGGAAACTACTCACTTGAATAAAAATCCAACCCAGTCATAATTTATGAAGCCGTTCTACTGTCAGTTTAGTGTTTTTTTTAGCGGTAGTTTTCTTAAATGTCAAACACCGAGCAGGAAATCTAGTAATAATATCTGCTTTGCCTATTTGTGATTGATTTTCTGTGAGGCCTGGTGGTTTTGCTCCCATTCCCTTTCTGTTTGGCAAATGAGTCTCAGATATGTGGTGCACCAGTGCTGGGATTTCCTCATCACATGATTTATTTAGGATGGTCTTTCAGAGAGCCTCACATCCCCGTCTTGGCACTCTGTCACACCAGACAGCCTTAGCTTCTTAACTCGCTCCCTGCATCTCTCTTTAACCGCCCCCCTCTATCATTCGTCTCCGTCCTCCTCACCACAGCAGAGCTTTTTTCTTTTTTTATTTAGGGGGGCAAATTAAAAGAAACAAACCAATCTGAGCTGACAGCTGAGTTCAGATCAAGTTGAGAGAAAGAGTGCTTGGCAAACGCTGGCACTGCTGCTTCTTTCCCCTCTTCAGTGCTTTTAGGTTTGATCCCAGCGCCTTGTTTGTTGGTGCTGACACTGCGTAACAAAAGTCTATTTTTCTTCAGGACTTGACCCAGAATAATGAGGCTGAGGTTGCATGGAGTTACTGTAAACGAGACAAAATTAGCTCATCGTGGCTGCTTGGCAGTGATAGTGTTTCTCTTCCTTCTCTTTTCTGGTTTGATGCTCCTGTTGGTATTCATTTCTGCCCTTTCTCTAAAGAAACAGGTATGTGCGCCTCTGCCTGTGTGCCGCACAGGTGAACAGGTGTTGTAAACTTAAGCTGCTGGGACTTGAGATTGCTATCAGAGTGGAAGCAGTCACACCCACAGTTGGAAACTTTACAGAGGGGCAGGCATTGTTTGCTTTGGCGAGTCACTGATATGGTAGAGTCGATACTGACACACTTTTTAGACGAGACAAACTCACAGACTGTAAACTGGCTTTGGTAGTGTTTATTTCAGAGTCTGTCTGATGTGGCATTTGTGGTACTAATACAGATTTTTAAAGGAGAAAATTACAAATGTAGCAGCTGATATTTGGAGTATTTGAGCTTTTATTACTTTTTCACAGCAAATATTATAGTGAGAAGGAGATGTTTTATCTCTAACACCAATTTTGGAAGGATTAGATTAGTGCTGCGTTCGAGTTACCTCGGAAGTCAGATGTCGGAGCTGAAAACGATGCCACACCCGAGTTCCCAGCGTTTCAGTTACCAAGTCTTGAAAAAGCTAAATCAGAGGCCTGAAAGAAGATGGCTACATCTAAGAAAGTTATTTTAGCGTTTGCCTCATATTCGAACAGGGGAAGCACTAAAATAACTTTCGCAGATGTAGCCATATTGTTTCCTCCTCCAATTTTGCTTTTTTTCTGACTTGGTAACTGAAACACTGGTAACTTAGGTGTGACGTCATTTTCAGCTCAGAATTCTGACTTCCGAGGTCCCTCAAATGCAGCATAAGTCACCATTTTGTCTACAGGGGGCACCAAAGTCAACACAGACAGAAAGTTCCTCACAGGAGCTTTAAAGAGCATTTTTATGTAGATTGTTTTCCGTGTACATATACATCTTATTTACTGATGGCATTCAGACTCTGTGCTCAATTTGTCCCTCTGTTTTACTAACACACCACTTGATCCCTCTGCTCTCTGCCGGATTTGCTGCATCATAAACAAAAGCAAGCTTTGTTAAACTTTAGTGAGGGTTGGGTAGGGTTTATTTTAGATTTATTCAAACGTTAAGAGTTATCCTACCACTTTTTTAAGGGAAAAAATATAGATACAGAGGTTGATAGAGTGATATGACAACCCACTGTTAATCCAAGTTTATTGGTATCAGTTATGAAATCAAACCAGAGGAGTATTTTCTGCATGTTATGTTCTGTTGAAGAAGTCTCTCATTGACCGACACTAAAAAACATAATGACCCAAACTCAGAAGTATCTGCCCATGGAAATATCAGTCAAGCTCTTGTTTGCTCTGTGAAGACATGTCTAACTGTCCTTTCTTTTCTTCACAGTATCTGGAGAGGCCCTAATGTGAATTGTGTGGACAGCACTGGATACACCCCTCTCCACCACGCGGCCCTAAATGGACACAGGTAGACCACTGATAAGTAACTCTGGGAAATGGTACAAACGTGTGTGAGGGAGTCCTGTGTGTACACTGTGCATTAAATGAGGTCTGCACTCACAGACAATTGTCCCTCTGGGAAGATCAGGCTATTGATTGGCTGTTTGCCGAAGCCCTGTGTATTTATTACCGCGGTTTATGGACTTGGCATTTTTCTGACCCGACTTGACCTGTCCCTGTCTTGGTTTCACAGCGAGGTGGTCGAGGTGCTGCTACGAAACGAGGCCTTGACCAACATCGCCGACAACAAGGGCTGCTACCCTCTCCACCTCGCGGCGTGGAAGGGTGATGAACATATCGTCAAGCTACTCATTCACCAAGGACCTTCACACCCCAAACTCAACGAGCAGGTCTGACACCGCGTTGGCTCTTCTGGTTTTGTGTGGTTCTTTTGGTCTTTAACTTTCTGTTTTTAACACATTTATCACTTTGATAGTGTTTGTGAAATGATGTCAGTGTCGAACTCATGCTGCACATTTGACAGTTATTAAGGATGTGAGTCATTGTTTGTAATTCAGCACATGAGCAGTGTTACCTTTAAAGTCATTTTTAGAAATGGAGAGACACGAGGAAGCAGCTCGAGCACATGCTGTTTTCAGCACTTTAGTTGACCCCTGATAGTTTCACAATAACATTCTTGATGGTTAAGTCAGCAGCCTGTGAGAGCAGCTTTTCAACCTCTAAATGCCACACACACAGATATTGTGAAGATCTACATCAGTATCGCATGCTCTGTACTGTATTTCAGCTAAAAGAATGGGACCAGAGTTCATTAACATCAGCGCATCATGAGCCTGACTCTTACTGCGAACATTTAAAGTGCTTTGACCCCATGCTAGTGTGAAAAGTGCCTGTTTGCCCTAACCATTTTAACAATTTGTTCCATATGTTTGTTTGGTTGCTAACTGCAGCATCAAGAAAGTCATTATCTCTGCTCTGTTCTGTTTTGGATGAGGAGAAATGACCCATCATGAATGCTAAATCTTTGAATTCTATCCAGAAACCGAAAACATAAAGTCTAAACGGTCTCATTTTGTGTCATTTCTCCCGGCCTGTTCATGACATCTTATTGTGCATTAACTCAACTCTGATTTTTTTCTCCTTTTTGTTCAGTTTGACTCATTTGTGATCGTCATTCATTTGTTCATTGCTTGTCTGAACCAAAACCATCGGCCTTTTCTTCTCTTCCCCCCTCCCAGAGCTCTGTAGACCATAAAGAGTTCAAACGCTGTGGGCCCTTTGACCCCTATATTAATGCCAAGGTGTGTACACAGTGCTGCTGAAACAACATCTCCTTTTGAAGTGCTTCTTTGCTTTACTGCTCTGCTCTGCTGTGTTCTGCTGTGCTTGGGTTTGGTTTGTTGCTGCTGCTGCTTGCGGGGCCACTCTGCTGCACAGATATGAGGCTTTTTTTATTTGCTGCTGGCTTTCTGCTCATGTTTGCTTTACGCTCCAAGTTATTGAGATGTTTAAACATAAGTCGCTCTGCCTCACAACACACACTTCACAGGGGGATATCACTCGGTTACATGTAAAAACACCAGAGTAGTAGCCAGGGTCAGGGGGAAGACAACTCTTCATGATGTCAAGTTTTTTTGTTTATTAGAGCCGATGTTGGAGATTTGTGAGTCTGAATGTTTCTTATGTTTCTTGCATAATAAGCAGTTCAGTTTTCTGAGAGTCACATTCACCAGGGGAAAATGTTAACCAACTCAAGCCAGATACATGTGAAAGCATAACGATATCAACAGCTGAAGGTTTATAATAAACAGGAAGTCCTGATGCAAAGGAAGTTTGGTTAAGTTCACTGGAGGCTTGAATGAAATAAAATCAAAGTTACCTCTTTGAGTAGTTGACACAACTTCAAAACAAAAGCACAATGAGGAAACAAAGGTTTGAAAACCCAAACAGACTTTTTTCTCTGGAGAGATTTCAGGAAGTGCTTTTAATAGATATATTTCATATTTTGTTTTTTCTGCAGCAGGTTTTCTATTGTCTAGATTTCAGTGACATGTGTGACAATTATTGCTCATGCTGACTGAATTGATGATCTGGTCTGATCTTACATGCATAATGAAATGGAAAAATTAAGTTGTTCTGGTTTAAACCACATCAAACTACACTGAACCAAACGGGACCACTTGGTGGAATCTTGTTTTGTTTGTTTGTTTGTTTGTTTGTTTTTTAATCCAAAATAAATGCCAGACTTTCAATTTATAGGTTTATGAATTGCTTAAAAACTGAGTGTGCATTAAAAAACATGAATTGATAATGGTGTAAACTCGAGTTTAGCTTCTAGTTTAATATTATTTTGGATATTTTTATTTTCTAATTGCTCAGTGTTACTAAAAATGTAAAAATAAGAGAGTTCACACAAATAATGCAAAATACCAAACACTCAACGAGCCAATTTTTCCGTAGTTTGCTTATTTCCCTTATTTCTTCATCCTCATCAGCTTTCCAAGAAGACCTGCAAGACGGTATGATGGGTATCAAAACCCCTCTTCTTAAGAGCAGGGTTGTTTTTTTTTGTTTAACCTCGACACATGATCAACTAATGTGCTACCTCTCACCAAAGTGTTTTAATTACCCTCTCAAACTGAATCCTATCTTAACATCTTCCACCTTTCCCACCAGTTTTCACACCAGTAAACCTTTGACCCAGACGATCAGATTAAGAATGAAAGGAGAAACTGGTGAATTAAACTAAAAACAAGTGTTCAATCATTCACCATGTAACAGTTTCTGTGTGACGATCAAGACAGCATCCGCCTCAAAATGCAGAACTGGTTTGTGCAAGAAAATGAGACACTCAGTCTGACAAAGCGGTGATGAGTGTAGTCAGCGGGAAATTATGTTCATCCACTGACCATGTAAGGCGTCATAATGCTGATCTAAAAAAAAAAGAAAAAAGAAGCTCCTCTAGCCTGCTGCGGCGAGATGAAGCAAACGCAAAGCTCTGCCTTCTCAGAGTTCAACCATCAAATCAGAAGTACCGCTGAAGCAGAAGTGCCTCTATAGAAGGAAACCAAAAGGTCTCTCTAGATAAGACAAACGAGACAACTATGAAGCCGAAAGCACCCTCAGCAAACAATGATCTAAAGACTGTAACAAAGTCGCTCAAAATGAAACTCACAGCAAACAACCTCAAGCTAACACACAGCAACATGATCAAGAGGTGATTGCAATTACCTGGAGCCTTGTTTTACACTCCAAACCAACCAAAATAACACTCTGAGACATGAGAGGCGCATTTTCGCTCATAACACCATGGCCTAAAAAGAAATGTCACCCCTGCAGCGCTCTATTTAAAGGAGTGTGGACCCGTGCTTTACTCTTCATATATATTTTATGTGACTCATCTGGACTACCTATGACTACATCAGGTGTTTTCTGTTTGGGTCAGATACTCAGGGAAGCCCCTGCTACAGTCTGTCTGCATGAGGAGAGAGACACACTAGAGCTGACAGTGCCTCTAAGCCTCAGAGTGAGAGCAGCGTGGACATGTTGGTTCCTTCATGATTGTGTTTCAAGTGAGCAGAGCTGGAAACCCAACCGGTCTGGAGATAAAGCCGCGCACTATTTTTAAACATTGTCACATTTCTGCAGGGCTAATCTTCTTAGTGTTTGGGTAGGAAGGGAGGATTTCTCTAATGCTGCGATATATCGGACTGTGAGTTTCTGTTTGAGTCTGTTTTGTAGATGGTTTGGTGGTTTGCTTAGATAAGGGATGATATCTCGACACAAACACTCTCAGGATACCTTTTTGACCGCTACCTGGTGGTGATTCTGAATAATTGAAGCTTTGTTATGAATAAATCACAAACATGGATGTAGTGTGGTTGTAGTTGTGGATGTGTTGTGGTTATGCCTGATGGCGTCATGTGACTGAGTGGGCGGGGTGTGGTCTGCTTCCCCTCTTATCACACTCCAGGACCAGAGAGCCATCTCATGAGGGGGGGGAGTGGGGTGAGGAGGGTGGGAGGTTTTTCAGTGTACCGGTCTCTTTGCATCAGCATCAAAGAGAGACCTCCATGCCATGCTTGTGTGTTTGTGTGAGTGTGTAAATAGCTGTATTTGCCCCCCGCCTCCCGGTTTGTGCCTGAGAGCTCCGATGCTGAGGAGAGGAGGAGGCAGGGTGTTGTCATAGCAACCGTGAGATGGCTTATTGGACGTTACAGTGATGGTTGGTGACCCAGTGGAGAGATGTGGTGTTTCTGCTGAGTGAGACATGAAAGGCTTGTGATGGAGCTTTTAATGGGGTCCAGGACTCATGGTGAATTGGGGTTGAGGGGTCCCTTTAGGGGTACTCAGGAAACCAGCCTGAACTGGGTCCAATATTTTGATTCAGGAAACTATCCGATGGACTGTATCTTCATTTAAACCTTTGTATTTCTCTCAGTAGTAGTTTCCTGAGTGGGTTTGCCTCTTTGACATTTGGATGCCCTAGAATAGAAGTGCTAAACACTGAACACAAGACTGGACCTTGACTGACTTTGACAAGTGAATATCACTGAATAACACAGATTTATTGAATAGTGTTTTAGAGATTCTTTGCCACATGAGTTTCATCTGAAGCTGGAATAAAAAGTGTTAGAAATTATCAACCAATTAAAGGTGGGGTAGGCAGGATCTGAGAAAGTGCCAGTTTTTGGGAAAAAATCTTGAATCTTGAATTTCACCAGCCCAACAGTGATATAGTTATATTCCCAAATGTCTTCAATAACTAATAGCTATTGACTGATATTAAAAGCTTTTTTTGTGTACACACCACAAAAAAAGATGCTTCTTTAATGAAATCCTGCGTACCCCACCTTTAAATGAAATATGATATATTCTTTGGCCACAACTCACCAACAACTTAACTATCCAACTGGATAGCACTCGACAAAGCAGTTGACTGTTTATTCAGTATCGGTAGAGAAGGTATGAAAGACAGAAGCCAGTCGAAGTAATCGATGACAGATAAAAAGTGACCCCTCAAAATGTACCTCAAAAAATACAAAAACTTTTTGACTGACAAAATTTATCAAGTCACACAGAAAGCTAGGGAACAAAGTGACATGAAACCAAATGTTATCTGGACCAGAACCTTTATACCTATCAATTGAACCAGCACAAGGCTAAGCTACCAAGCTAGCCACCGACTAAAGCAGAGTTTCTTTCTGTTATAGGAGTATTACACAACAATATATCGATACTAGCGGCAGATTCCAGTATTTACATGCTCTTCCTCACTATGCTGCTCTTACGATTTCATTAAAGGTAAGAATTGCATAGTGGTATACAGACAAACACATGCTACTAGCCTCCCAGTGACATACCAATGACCACGTCATATGACATGCTGCTCATCTACCAGCATGTGGTGAGACATACCGCTGTCATAAGGTGGGTCATGCCATTGGCCATTATTGGGTCTTGGCGCTGCGACATATTTTCTCATAAACCCAAGAGAATGTCACTTAAATGATAACTTAATCCCAACAATCATTGTAATCATAAGGACTTTCAACGCTTTAACTTTTTCTTTTACTTTTCTTCCACTGTAATTATTTAAATTTGCCTAACTTGTTCAGGTCTAATTACATTCTTTTTGTAAAAGGCATTACCAAAGACATGGGAATAATAATGTCCAGAATCATGACTAATGACTCATAAAACTGTGAATGTCTGAAAACATTAAATATCATGATCTGCCTGACATGATATATAGACGTAAGAGCTGCACTTAACAGAGGAGTTCATGTCCCGAATGAGACTTTTTAAGTTGTGATTGTACAGGCTTTTCCTGGCTTCAGCAGAGAGGATTATGATGATTCTCCTCATTGACCTCTTTAATGTTAATTGCCATTCATTCTGTGTGTTTCTCTAATAGGATATAGCCCCTTAGTCAGCCCACACTCTCATCACGCTACCTCTCACCCAGGCTCCATCTCTTTATATAGGTCACATGTCTAATGCAATATATGTTTAGATGAAATCCTCTGACCCGGGCTCACATGTACAGCTGCTCTGACATTAACTCTGTCATGGTTTTCACAATCCATTTCCCCCGGACGAATCCAAACAGCATGAAATTAATCTTCGACAAATGTCAAATGTGTGGCATTTAGTTGTAGGAATAAGAGCAGATTTTGGGGGAATTGTGGTGAATTATTTCAACAGGAGATGGATCATGTGTGTTTGTGTCAGGATTGGTGTGCAGCATCTCAAAGGCTGACATCAGGAGAGTCTGTGTTGGCAGCTGCAAGAATAATTTCTCGGACTTGGTCACCTCATTATCAGTGAAGCAGAGTTTCCCTTCCTTCCTCTGGGTGCAGCGCTCGCAGCCTGCCAGCGCGCTCATTTATCCCCCTGTCTGTCACATCAGAGTCCAACGCCACATCATACCCCCCCAACACACAAACATTTCCCTTTACCTTCTGCTCCCTGCTGCCTCTTTCGTGCCAAGAAAAGTGTTTTGAGAAGATTTGACGAGCCCTCGGGGGGACATGTTGACATGTTGTTGTTTAACATAAGGATTGGGATCTCTCCATTGTCATGCATTCACGTTTGCAAATTTTTAGGGTGTGTCTTCTTGGATGGCAGTTGGAGACAGTTGGAGAGGAGCGTCTCAAAGCAAAGATGGCGATCAAAGATTTTAAAGGTTATCTGTGTTTATGACTGGAAATTTGGTCCCATTTAATCAAGAGGACTATGAAGGTAAAACTGATCTTGTAAAAGGCAGAACAATTTCACTCTACAGAGAATGAAAGTGATGGCAAGAAGCCAGTTTGACATTCATGTCAGGTCTGCAGGGCCTGTTTTTTTAATCCACTATCAGAGTCGGCTTTATATTGTTGTCGCTGAACAATAGAAAGAGGGAGCTTGGCTGGATATTCATTTTGGCCTCTTGACACATAGATAAAAGTTTAACTTTTTTCCTGTTGATTTTTCTCCACATATGTTTTTGCATTATTACTTTATAAAAAACTTACATGATCAAACTATGATCTGAGTTGTTGACAGTGCAAATTTATGCCAGTTAAAGCTCCTGTAAGGAGTTTTTGGCAAGTCATGAATTAAGCTGAAATGAAAATTTATTCTCCGTTTTTGACCTAAAAATGCAAATAGGGCCGTCAACAAGCAGAGAGAGTACATCTGTACAGTTATCTTTAATGTCTGAAAACATTGAGGGTTGTAAGACCAACTTCTGATAGACCTGTACTTTTACACACCTGTAAGAGTAGAGGTGTACATTGAAGTTAAAGTTTTACTTCTGCAGGAACATTTACAGAGTGTTGGCCTTTTTCCAAGCTCGTTCAGTTCTCCTTCTCCAGGATCCTGAACTCATCAGCTCTGCTACTGTTGCCTGGATTGCAGGACAGGATGTTATTACACTTCTCCCTATCAGTGATGGTAACTCTTTAAGCTGTCTTGTCCTCTACAAGTATGTACAGCGTCTGCTAAACCAAATGAGGACATTATTTTGGGTATTCAGTGTGGAATTGTAAAATGGGGCTATTTTGCTAGAAGTGCAGATGACACCTACCCCATCACACCAGTTTCAGGAATCAAAAATTACAACATAGAAATCATTATTCTAGTCAGTGATGGTCTTGTCTGCTTTTGCATGAAATGAAAAGCTTTCAAAATGAATTTCGGCTGATTTCATAGATGTTAAAAAACTCCTTATAGTAGCTTTAAGCAGATATGAGTGGCTTTAAATGCATTTGTCAAAAACTCAAATCATTTAAATGCCCAAATTTCTGATAGAAATCACTGTCTTACATGTTATTAAGCCTTAATGATAGGTTTCTTTGCTCAAAATACCAAAATGGGAGGCCTCTCCATGAGCCTGAGAGGACTGCTGTGTCATACATTTTTAAATCACTCCTTAATCTCTCCCACAAATCAAAAAATTGGAGACACCTTGTGCTTGCATGTGTGAGCCGTGATTCAGGGATTTCAGCTTGTGACAGTCTGAGCAGGCATACACAAGCCTGGGCGGCCCTTTGGCACTCAAGCTGCAACAGCTGCTCAACCCACCCCACCACCACCACCTCATCCACCACCATCAAGCACTACTACTCCAGCGGCCAGCGGCCAGGCTGACGTAACCGCTGCCTCGCTCTGCTGCCAGCCCGCGCATCACGTGACAGAGGTCGCTAGTCAAACCGTGTTAGCATCTTCCAGCCGCAGGTTGTGAGAACCATAACATCCTCCGCTCTCTCTGTCACTGCGAGGCTCGTCCCCCTCCCACGTTGACGACTCTGCAGCATGCAAACACAATGCTGTGTGATCTCCAGATGTTTGTGGTTAGGGTGAGCTTTATCAATCACCAGTGGAGATCTTAATCTTAATCTACTGAATATATGCCACATGAGTTTCTACATGTTTTGCCTGTGAACTTTAACTGCGTTGTATGTAACCTAATCCCTTCCTTAGTTTGGCTGCGAGTCATCAGTGCCATTTTGTGCAAAAGCCTATAGAGCTTTGTCTTGTTGCTACATGATTGTTTGACTGTTCATGTGGACTGTGGCGGCATTGTGCAGATAAGAATGGTTCTTTTAACAGAGAGAGACGTCGTACTGGAGCTCTGAGTCCTTATTACATAATACAAAAGCTTTGCACTAAAACGGCAAATTCATCAGTATTAATTTCTTCTTCTTTTCCTTTGCTGCTGGATCTGCTAAATCCAATAAGACCAAGCTATCCATTTTACTTTTACCCAACTGAGTATACTGAGAGAATACAGGGGTCTGAGATTCTTCTTTGTGACCTCAAAACAACTAAAGTCCTGATTTAGTTTTAGGTTCAGGGTGGCCTTTAATAAAAGTAAAGGCATGTACGTAGCTGTTCAAAAATTATGTATTTGTTTTTGTTTCTTGCATTACAACAATGTCAGTGCAACTCCCGTGATTTCAAGTTCAAGTGCTTCCAAATCATGACATCAGCATTATATGTCTGCAAACGGCAGACCTGTTCTCACATTATTGGTATTGCATCAGTTCTTATCAGATAACAGATAATGAAACTAAACAATCAGAAGTTATATTGATGTGATAATTGTGTAATTACAATACATAAGTGAGGTGTGATATGTCAACATTTGTTTGATACTTTTAACATCAAATTTTCTATGAATAACGGATCCAGGAAGGGTAAATAAATGTAATTTGTTTATCTATCTATCTAACCTCAGTGAGGTCCCTCCATCTGAAACACTATTTTTTATATGCTGCTGCGAAAATTTCTTGAAATCCCACCTCTGAAAGTTGTTTGTTCAGATAAACAGCGTGAATTCTTCCCTGTCAGGCGAGGGAGGTTAGTAGCGGGGGGAAAAAGCCTCAGGAGGAAGGAAATGACACCAAAAGCATGTGGAGGTCACGTTGAGGTGTTTACAACATGATGGTGAATGGTACTGACCCTCTCTGTGGTGACAGTTGAGCCTTTATACCAGTAATAGATGCAAACAGTCAAGAGTGCAGACATCTTTGCTTGTCCTTTGGAGGATGATTCCTCTCTGTTGACCATGTTTTTTATTCGTCCTGTGAGGTTTCACACCACTCACTCAATATAAAAACCAGTCACTATTTCCTTTTGCCCCTTTTATCAGCTGATCCTGACTTTGTGAAGAATTTTTCACTCAGACAGTAGCAGGAAAAATCTGGGATAAAGTGGGAGTAAAAATTTTCTGTGTTCACACATGCAGCTCAACCTGAAAACTTTTGTGTTTTTTAAAGTATTTTTTACATGTGTGAATTAGGGCTAGGACAATATGCTGATCTCAAAATTCGATTCCTCTACGATTTTTTAGATGCTGATTCGATTTAAATTGCGATTCTACGATATTGTCAATATTCCTGATTTTTAGTCTGCATTTTTAACGCCAGTGAAATAGTTGAATGATGATGATTGTCTACTGACTATTTCAGGAACCATATTTCCCCAAAAAATACACATCACATGTAGGTACGTTGTTAAGATTTATTCTTAAATTTAAAAGAAAAAACAATTTTGAACATAAAAATTGATGTAAAAATTGTAAAGCAAAAAATTGCGATACGTGAATCGATCATAAATCTGTATTCAAACTAGGGGTGGGAGAAAAATGAAGTATTTTTGATTTAAGATTTATGTTCGTGAAAGCACATATTTCAACTTTTTAATTGTACTAATGAGAAAAGTTTTACTCAACATTTTTTTTAATCCCTATAATTAAAAAGATAAGGAGGAAAATATGAAAAATTGTGAAACGGAAAGGCAGAGGATAAACAGTGATGTTATATGGAGGTGTTTTGAAGTTTCTGCAGAGGCCCTGTGGCGGCATGTGTCCAACATGTGAATAACATCAGATCATAGCTCACATCAAAGGAGGGATGGTGAGGCTCAGTATCTCATAGCTGCTTGTTTTCTATCAGTGAGTCAGGTGTGTGGTCAGCCGTGTTTAATGTGATCAGATGCCGCCTGACACAGTGATATAGAGCCCTGACCATCACACTGACAGCAGAAACACTGAACGCCATCCCAAGAGTTCAAAGGATCACTCTGTCATGTGCGTCTTTTATTTCTCTCTTGTTTTTGTCGTGTGAAACGGCTTCATGTTTTACTTACACTTACAAAAACTTCCCTCGCCCTGTGTTTGCTGCTTTGTGTAAATCATTGCATGCTAGATTACCTCAGATTACTGTTGAAGCAGCAGACCTGCGTATCTGAGGAGGTGAATCATGCTGATGTCATGGCAGCATGTACATTTGCCTGCTGTGCTGAGGTCATCTGAACACTCAGAGTAAACGTCTCTTTTAAAGCTGTGGTGAATGTTTGATGGTGTGTCATAGATGGAGAACAGTGTACTCTTATTATTATTAATGTCTCTTTGTGAGCATGTGATTCCGGTGTGCAAACAGCAGAAAGAAGAATCCCAAATTCAGCTGATAAAACCACCCAAGCAGCCGAGGAAAGCTGAGGTCTCTTTTATTTACTTCTTAGAATAAGCCTCTTTGAAAGTCTCTTTTTTTTTTACCCCGTCTGTTTTGTTCAAACAAAACAAAAGTGGGTTTTCCTTTTTTCCTCAGCCAGCCACTGTGCTCCTTCTTTTGAGAGGCAGGTGTCGTTTTGTTTCTCGAAGCCCCGCCTCCTCTCTCTGCTCAAGCTGTGACCTGCTTTGACAATAAGGCAAAATACTCTTTCCTTTTTTTATTTTCCTTCATTCTTCAACCTTTCCCCTCTCTCCTTTTCTCTCTTTTTTCTTTTATTTCCTTTCTTAGTGCTTTCTCTTAATTTCCCTTCTTTTCCACTTCTGTCTCTCTCTACTTCTCTATTTTCTCTCTTCACATTCATCTCTTTCTTCCTCTTTATTCTTTCTTTGTCTCTTTTTCTCCATCCTTTTCTCTTTTTCTCTTTCTGTTCTCAGTCTGGTGTTCTCTTTCTCTGTCTTTTCTCATGCTCTCTATTTCAGTTCAATTAAATTTAATTGGCTTTCTCGCTTATCCCTCTCTCTCTTTTAGCCTTTCTTTCCTTCCTCTTCCTCTCTCTCTCTCTCTCTCTCTCTTCCTCTATGTCTTTATCCTTTGAATACCTGCTGGTCCCATCTGTCTCCAGGTCTTTGTCAGACCCTCACTGAAGGGTCCACTGACACCTGTCCCAAACTGCCCTGTTGCCCCCTCCTCCTCCACATGACATCCCATGTCCAGCGGCACAGCTGGCATGTTTCTCTGGGGTCGCCCCAAAGCTGGCATCATGCGTGTCCGTGTGGGGGCCTCTGGTGCCAGCTGTCAGTCCTTTTGTAGGTGGGTCTGTGAGTCTGGAATGAGTGACTCTTGGGGCATGTGGTTGTACAAAAGCTTGAATAACCCGCCACACCCTTTAAAACACATCATGTAAACGGAGCGGTGGAGCTGCAGAGTTACACAGCTTTTATTTACCGATTACTGTGAATCACATGCTTTCAATCCTGTCACACCTTAAGAGATTCAGGGCTGTGATTGTGTTGTTTATTCACTCTCTGCAGCTGTTATTTTCTGCTCCAAACATGGTGGTTTGACTTCTTTTTTTGAACCAAAGTTTAAATATCTCTGCATAAAAACAACCCAGCCCCACAGTCTGAATTATGGCCACCATGTTGGGATTGTGTGTCACTTGTTTGATCGCCACAGTTCAGCTCTTGGGTTAAAGGGTTCGCCCCCTGCTGGTTGTCGTGGGTAAGGAGAGTAAACAGTGCTGCAGGCTCACAGGTCTGTTAGGCATTGATCGCGTTGTTGCCGGAGAGTCATTAGATCCATTAAGCTCGGCTTACTGAGTCAAACTTTTAATTGCTGTTTGGCAGCTTGTCTATTAGCTGCTTGATTTGCAACTCAGGTCAGCAGCAGAGATGAGATCATCAGTTAGAGATGTTCCCAGAATGAATTGCCATGATTGATCAACACTTTTACTTTGATGGATATCATTTAGTTACAGGCTTGAGTCATACTATTGTATATATTTGCACCATGACTGTCAATTTTATATACTTTTACAGAGTGTCACAACTTTTTTCTTCCTATTCAAGTGGCTTGAAAGTAAACTGAGATAGAGTTGCATGTAATTTGTACAGTAATATCTAATTTTGAAACAATTAGGCATCAACTAATAGAAATTTAATCTATATTTGTTTTTAAATTCATTCACCACTCGTCATGTGACAGAATTTTGCTTATTCCTTGTGTGTAATATGAATATTTTGGAGGTTTGGACTCGATTTTAGACCAGTAAGATATCTAGAGATGTCCCCTTGGCCTATAAGAACATTAGTTTGGCATTTTTTTACTATTTTTTTCCATTAAAAGGACCAAGATTAATAAAAAAGACTATGTCTGTAAAATCGCAGCATTAAGAAGTGATTCTCTTCTTTTCTTTATTAGTTCTAATTAATTAGAAACACATCAATGCAAATAAATGTAAGACGTCAGCTTATACAACATACAGCGGTGATTATAAATCTAGAATAATCAGTCATTCGCTCAAATGACTTGTGATTCTTGCGCTGACTAGTGATGTTGATGACTTCAGGTGATTTAACGCACACATCAGTTCTCATTTAAGGTCAGCAGCGTTCTCATTTCTTTGCCACAGTGGCCCATGTCTTTGCCTATGACCCTTTATACTGCCGCCTCTGGTGCCCACTACCATCACCAACACCTGTCCTCACTCGTCCGTGTGTGTCTGCTCTGCTGGTCCTCCACCTTCATACATCTCCTATCTGCTCTGCCAGATATTCCCTCCAGGCTTCATATCGGTGCTTTCTCATCGCCTTTTGTCCTGCAAATGTTAGGGTCTCTGTGTGCTCATTGATTTAACCCCCGAAGACTCCCCTGAGTCTCCTCTTCTAACTTATTAACAGACATGAATCAGCTTATGCCCTTTTCCTTGTGCCTCTCTCTTTTGTCCTTGTTTCTGTTTTTCACGCGCTGCTCCTGACCTGCTCGTGCTTTTTCAACAGAACAATGACAACGAGACGCCGCTGCACTGCGCCGCGCAGTACGGTCACTCAGGGGTGGTGCGGCTGCTGCTAGAGGAGCTGACAGACCCCACCATGAGGAACAACAAGTTTGAGACCCCTCTGGATCTCGCTGCTCTGTACGGCCGTTTGGAGGTGGTCAAGCTCCTGCTCAGTGCCCACCCTAACCTGCTCAGCTGCAACACCAAGAAACACACGCCGCTGCATCTGGCCTCTCGGAATGGACACCTGTCTGTGGTGGAGGTGCTGCTGGACGCAGGCATGGACATCAACTATGAGGTACATGCAAGCTTGAGAAAATTCTGTTGCAAATGTTTCTTCACATGCTGTCATGGCTCAAATAATGTTGGGAAACTTAATCTGCTCCGGCAGCACTTCCTCTCGCTACTTCCTACGACCACAATGAGATTAAATGTGAAAGTCTTAAGCTCTCAGTTTGCAGAGGAGCTGATGTGCTATCAAAGCAGAGCCGGCCTTGCTCCCCCTAGTGGACCCTGTGGCTCAGACTCTGAAACAAACTGTGCCTCCCGCCTTTTTTCCCCCTTTTATCTGCCCTATTTTCCATCGCACCGAGCAAGGGGAGTCTAGCTCGTGTCCTTCAGGCTTTGCATCCTGCAGGTTTCAATTAGCATGGCCCTGTGAGCTGGAAAATGATCTGCTTTGACTCCTCAGCCACATAATTGTCAGTCGAGAAGTGGCCCCAAAAATCCGGTAGTCACCATGCACTGTTTATGTAAGCGAATTGTGGGTGCAGACGCAGGACAGCTGCAGGTTTAACTAAGTCTGACTCATCTGGGAGTCGCAGGAGGAAATAAACATGAGCTTTAATTTTCATAATATTCATATTCATGTCAACTCTCTCTGTGCCTCTGGTTGTTTATGCTTCTGTGTTTTTCTTTGCAGACAGAGAAAGGCAGCGCCCTTCATGAAGCTGCCTTGTTTGGGAAGGCAGATGTCGTGCAGAAACTTCTTAGTGCAGGTTGGTGCAACATAAGCAAGATTTTCATCACTCTAAAATAAGAAAAACAGCATCTAATACTTAACGTTTTTTTGTCATTTTGCCAGGTATTGATGTGAATATTGTCGACAAGAAGGGTCTGACAGCGCTGGACACTGTCAAAGACATGCCCTCCCAGAAGAGCAGAGAGATAGTTGCACTCGTCCTCGGTAAAATAAAAAAAAGAGAGAAAGAGCAGAGAAGAGATGTGCTTGGTAAAATCCTCTTGATTTCACATGAACCAGCTGTGATACAATCTGCTGTTCGTCTGTTGCAGGTCACATGACTGGAAAACCCCCTGACATCGACCTCCCCCCTCCACCGATCCCACCGCCTCAGGAGAGTCCAAGTCCCCGGAAAAAAGGTAAAAGTTACCAGATGTTTGGAAAAGCTGCAGCAACAGTTTTATTAGCAGAGAAAGGAAACACAAAAGCAGAGCTGCTTAGATTTCTCTTATAATATTTGTCTATGAATGCGCTTTTGTTTGTAGGTGATCTGGAGAAGGTGAGCGAGCTGATCTCTGGGCTGGCCCCAGGTCCAGAGGAGGAGAGTCCGTATGAAGCTCTGTTTGAAGCCACCTCCTGCCACTCTCTGGACAGCCTTACCAGTGGGAAATCCTCTGACAGGGACTCAGGACGGCCGGATAGTGAAGCTGGAAAGGTATGCAGGCAAACACTTAAACATGGAGGGGAGCTGTTCTATATAGACTGGAGATGAAATGCACAACTCCCACTAGAGGGGGATAGTGGTCTTCTATCTACATGAGCGGGATTGAGGCCCCCTGAGTGATACACTTTTTGAGTTCAGAGAGAAGATGCAAAATATCCCTTTACTGAGCCATTAAAATAAACTTTAAACAGATTGATTATTGACTTTATATTCATTATGTTTTATTTTTGTGATAATTTACAGAAAGATCGTCTGGTTCACTCATCACACCCGGGTCCTGGTCATGATGAAGAGGTAAGCTCAGATCACAGACCCCAGATGGTCATACATGTATGGAATAGATGCATTAATTTTTCGTCACTGTAGTCATTAGTTTTTAAACAACATCATTAGAAAACGATTGTATGCCAGTGAGGACGCTTGTGCTTTTTAGCCACAAGCCCTGTCATGACTGTCCTCTTCACGACTACCGCTCAAATCAAACAACTTCTTCATAAATATTCATGCGAGTGCAGCCTGGCAGAGAGGCAGCAGGGGCAAAAAAAGGAGGAGAAGTGAAGTGGGAAAAGAGCGAAGACAAAATCAGAGAAACCTGTCTGGATTTCTTTAATGTAACTGACCATAGAGAGGATGTATTGTTCGAGCTTTTCTCACAGTTTTATTCGCCGAAGGGGATATTTGGAGATCATGCTGTACGTCTGTGTCTCAAGTTTTCTTTCTTTTTCTCTGCTTCCTCTTTTTTTCTGTTTCTTCAGGCCCTCTTTACAAACAGCAGCATAGATGAGAGAGGCGAGCGGGAGGAGGAGGAGGAGGATCACACGTATGAGTTGTTGCTAACGGCGCAGACCAAAGTCCCACAGCCCAGTCATGAATCCCAATCCAGTAAAGGTAAATGTCGTCATAGCGATAAAGAAAAGAGAAAGTCGTAACATAAAAATGATAACAGGATTTTTATGTTTGTAGAGATGTGTCTTGGTAAACTTCACTCCATCTCTTTACTGCTTCTTTGTCCACTGGTGTCATTCCCAGCAGGATTACAGCCAAGCAATTAAAACTCTGCTGTTGCTTTCCAAGAACAACAAAACACATTCCCAACCTAACAAGCTTGACAGCACACACACACAAACATGACCAAACCTCTCCCGTGGCTGCGCGTGACGTATGAGCAGACCTTCGGTTGTGGTCGATGAATGGCACTGCATGTAATTGGATTAAATGGGATTAAATTAGAAGGCCATTTGAATCCACGGCTGTTGATGTATATGTTTTAAAAGCAGACCCTCGGGCCCTGGAGCTTAGTCAGCCTCTGTGGCAGCCATTAAAAAACGTCACCCAGCTTAAGGATGGGAGTTTGATTGCTGATGTCACCAGGCCCACTCTGTGAGGATAATTTATGGTGTTAGAAAAAGGGAATCTTTTCTGTCCCGAGTCATCCCGGCACATAAACGATCCATTTTCCATCTGTTTTAAAAGTACTACATCATGTCTTTGCTGTTTAAACAGCAGGAAGATTAACCTGACGAGTGTCTGACAGAGTCTGATATTTCCTATGCATAAAACATGATTTTCTTATAGATCGCTCTTTCTCTTGGCATAATGTCCCTTTTACACTCAGAACAGGCAAAACATTGTTTCTTACTCATAGGCTGTATGAATGAATAGACAATATAAATACTGTAGAATAAAGAGGCCAAAACATTAGGAGCATTCTGTACTGTAAGGCTACTGTAATTATGATTCAGCCTGCCTCCTCCATGTGAACAGATGGAACATGCGTCAACCTTAAAAATGAAAATACTCTTAAATAGAAATGTCTCTTAAACATGATTTTCTTATAGATCGCTCTTTCTCTTCGCATAATGTCCCTCTTACAGTCAGAACAGGCAAAACATTGTTTCTAACTCAAAGGCTGTATGAATGAATAGAAAATATAAATACTGTAAAATAAAGAGGCCAAAACATTATGTAATGTAACATGTAGTTACGATTCAGCTTGCCTCCTCCATGTGAACAGATGGAACATGGGCCAACCTTGAAAATGAAAATACTCCTAAATTGAATGTCTCTCAAACCTGATTTTTGTCATTATCATTAATAATTATAAAGTAGATTTATTTCCAATTTGAATTTCCTGAGAAGTTTATTATTATTAAGTAATTTCGGTGCCATAAAAAGGGATATAATACCAAATTTTGCTTTTTTATTTTTTTTAGATTAGTAAAAATGAAGAGGTGAAAATATAACAAATGCTACCACAGGCTTAAAAGCGACACATCAATCCAATGTTGTACAGTGATTTGACTGTCATGATCTTTAACGCCTTCACTTCTTTGCCTTCCCTGTTTCTAGATGAGAAAACCACTACACAGTCTTCCAACAGTGTCCTACCTCAGGTGAATATACCATCCTTTTTTCTCTTTCTTCTCATATATTTTACATCTCTACCCTTAAGTCAAGAAATTTTTTACTCTTTTGAAACGCACGCCAGCTGTCCCATCCTTTTGCGAAAACCCCCCTGCAAGAACAAGCTGTACGAAAATGAAAAGGGTGGAGTTTTGACAGTCAGAGAGCCGTATCCCTGCCGCATTTGAATTGCATATCTAGAGCATGACCATATGACTATAGCAGGTTATATAATAAAGATGAAGGTCCCTTGGCAGTCAGAGTTTGAGTCATATGTCAGCAGAAGGCACAAGTCATCATAAATCAGACCCTTGTAACTTGGCCTGCATGTAAACCTGCCTGCTTTATTTATCGCTCCATCCTATCTGATTTTAAAGCATTTTTCAATTTATCATGCAGTTAGCAGCTTTTATTATCCCTGCCACCCACCTGCAACACCACCTGCTGCCCACAATATCTGCTTATGTCTTTTATTTTGAGGGGTTATTGGATTAGCCGCTCTCCTCAGCAGCCTAATCATAATAAAAGAGCAGTATAGTGTCCTCTGTCCTGATCTACAGCCTTGAGAGTTGAGGTGCAGCATAGCTAATGTAGGCAGACCTGAAGACATCTGTGTATCACCTAGAATCACCCTGGTTTGAGTCAAACTTCATCTTTATTGTCCTTAAAACCAGATAAAAAAGCATAAACCTGATGGAAAGATGATAAATTGTTGTTTAATTTGTAGATGGAATAAAACCTGTTTCTTTTCTGTTTAATTCTAGCGTAAACCCACTGCCCCAAACAACCTCAGAGCCCCCAGCAAGACGAAAGACTCCTTGCACCCTCCTGGCAGGGTGGGCCTGCGAGCTTCAGGGGGTGAGTTTTATCACTGTCGCTCAGATTTTAGTAACCTAAGATGGAACAACAACTGCTCGCTGCAACGCTGCGTGGGAAAGAAGAGCTGCAGCAGACACATTACACTTAAAAAACACAAGCCAAGCATGTCAGTGAAAGAGGAGTGATGCGGTGGAGTTTGCAGGGAGAGATGGGGCAGGCTCGGATTAGTGCTGCCAGGGAATGCATGACTGGCATACTCAGGCAGCAGAGCGGATTTGGCTTGTCGGGAGCGGGCTGATTGACGCTCCCCAGCAAGTGGGCATGACTCATTTAACTCCCGATATGAAACAGCGTTCTTGATCAGATTGTGACATTCCTATCTCAGATTCACATCCCGCCTAAAGCTGGATTAGCTACGTCATCCAGTCAGGAGTGGAGCAGAGGTAAGCAGCATGGCCTGTGGGATTTTCCTGACACACATGCAGATCTGTTCATTGACTAATTATTTCCTCAGTGTTGTTACGTAATGAACTGTACAGGCAGGCATGACAGGCCAGCTGATTGGATGGTGGTGTTTACACGAGAAAACAGCAGTTTTGCTTGAGGGTGCTGTTTAGTTCCCCCCTTAAGGTTGTTGTGACATCTATGTAATAGATCGTGTTTTGTTGTCATGGGAACCGTAGAGAAATTTCGAGGATTTACAACCAGTTTTGATTCGAACATGGTAAACTGAGATGTCAAATTTCTGCTTTTGTGCATTTCTGATGGATAAAATGGGTTCTGTTGCTTATTGGGCTTGTAGTGCCTACATGTACCAGAATGCAATGCATCATATATGCCAAACAAACAGCTCTCTTAAGTGCAAAAAAGCAGAGAAAGCAGGTATTTAAAAATTTCAGAGGGATTCCTGAGGATGTTTTTTTTTTGTAGCTCCTGGAGAACATCTGGAGATGATGTTCATAAAAAAAGACATATTTTTAACATTTGGACATTTTTGGACAGATTGTCTTTAACTCTTGAGCTGCTTAGAGAGGTATTTTGATAAGAAAAACTGTATCTTGACCTTTCTCATAAGAGGTTTGTGCGAACATCCTCATGATGGTCCCCAGTTTTAGTAGACATTAAACACGATGTTGAGCTTGTGTCAAGAGTAACACTGAAAAATCTCATGTTTTGGTAGAGTGAGGTCTAGGGAGCTTTTTATTTTCTTTCTCTACATGCCCTTCCCAGTTACTCTAAAATACTCTACTTTGCCTTTTTCAAAGCCACAGAAACCACAAGTTTGCTTTATAAGTGAAAACCACTTGAATTTATTTTCTTTTCTGTCTTTATTTGCACATCTGCAAGTTATGTTCCCCACTTTCAGTGTTTGATGTAAACCCACACAGCTGGCTGAGCTCGACTGTTTACTCCTGCACATGTGGTTGATGTAATTTTTTGGTGCGAGTGAGGTGATCTGAGGGACAGGTTCTCCCCCCCTGTGTGGACAGTCAGGGTCCAGACCTCAGCACTATGTGGCAGGTGGGGTAGATATGAGCAGAGTCAGCAATACGAAGGTGTTTATCATCTGTCACAAACACATTGCTGCTCTCAGCAGGAATATAGTGTTTCCCTAGAGACTTCAACCTCTGTGTCATGTTTTATAGAGTTTCCAGTGGAGAAGTCACATCCTGTGTGATTCTCCACGGGTCATAATAAATCCAAAAAGCACACACTGTTGAGAACAGCAGGAGAATGCTGAGAATGCTGGCGTGAACCGTTTTGAGTCATTACTCGCCACTTGTCGGAGTTGTTAATAATCCAAAGCCACCACTTTTCCTCACCGTAAAAACAGAAATTTGTATTTCAACTAACCCACTAGTCTAAATGTAAGAAAATACTCAGAAAACAGTAAGAGTAAGAGTCTGTGGATAAAGAACAAGAGACTGGTTAGAAGAGTGTAGCTAACATTAGCAGAGCTAGCACCACCAGCCTCCAGTGTTGCACCCCTGCAGTAGAAGGCATCCCCTCCACTCATTAGCTTCTTAAAGTGTGAGAAATTGATCTCATATTTAAGAAAACACAAGTATTGGATCATGACAACATGTCGAAAGGAGAAGCAAACTTTCGCTCTGTTTTTACGTGTCTCAAAAATGCACGTATAAAGGTGTACTTGGGTATAGACTGTACAGTCAACTGTCAAGGTAGAGAACATTATATATTTGGGACCGCAAATATTCCGTATCAGAGGGTTATTGCATATCTGAATAGCCTGAATGAAATCATTAAAGACACACGCTTTTGAATCCATTTTGAATCCATTTCAACCACGCTCCCGTTAGGGGTGCACTCTACGGCAGGGGTGCATTCTATGGCACAACACCGGTCCCCCTTGCAGGTTAACGATCACATGCCTGTGCTGGTTACATATTGCTCCAGTCAAGAGTTTATAGTATAAATTGTATCTTCATATATCAGATCCAAATAGTGCCAAACGGTGCCATACTCTGTTCGTGCTTATTTATAATTGGGTAGAAAAGCATTAGAGCATTGTAGCAGTAGTTATTTCCTGCAGCTGCAGCCAAGCTAGTGGTGATGGCTCTGTTAGTGGCATTTCACACCAGTATTTTATATTTTTATAGCTCTGTTAAATGACAAAAGTTTGCTACTGACTGCATTGGGGAGGATGTGTGATCTAGAAGTTGACCCAAAGTTTTGTGAGTGAGTAGAGCCAAAAGATTTTTTAATTCAAGGAAAATCAACTGCCAACTATTTTGAAAGTCCTTCTTAAACTTATAAGCAAAAGTATTAAAAATGCATCTTTCAGCAGCTTAAATATGTTTTTTTTTTTTTTTGTAATGATCCTTATTACCTTTGTTCTATTTAAAAAAAAGATAGATGATGGTATGAACTAAAACTTTAATGGATTAATCAGTAACAAAAAGATGGTCATATTAGCAGAACAGCAACATCAGCATCTGTTCCTGTCAATAATGAATTATCAATAACAAAGCCTCCTTTTCCTTATTAATCCTCTGCACTTCTGACCCGGAGTCAAGAATGTCTTCAAATCGACATTAAAAACCGAGCAGAGTTTTCACAGGCAGAGCACAGATTGACTTTAGAGCTTGTTGACGCTGGTTTGACAGCCAGCACTGGCTGCAAAACAAACATGACATCATTTGTGTGACATTAAGCCGTCGCTGCCAAATGAAATACACATCCCACCTCTGCGCTGACCTCACCCATGTATACGAGCTGCAATAACATCAGATTGTGTCTCTACACATTTTTTCCGCTGTGTAGCTGTGGGAGCGGGGGATACAGTGGTCTCAGCGAGGGTTAACGCTGTGTGAGATTGTTGGAAGCGCATTGATGTTCTCATAGGGCGTTCACACTCCTCAGCTGCCAGGAGAGGGTGGGTGTTTGGCTGTGGTACAGACATATGTGCATAGTACACTCACTCACCTCTTATAACACACACAAACACCCACACACACAAACACACACACCTTTTTTTATTTTTTGTGTTGAGAAACTTGTGAGAAAGGAGTCCAGGGCGTTGTTCAGCACTGCAAATGGCCCTTGAGACGGTTAATGGTGCATTTTGTTGAATTTGCGTGTCAAACTTTTAAGTGGTACATTTCCTCCCCGTCACGTTTTGCAGATCTGACTCCTTCACAGCCAGTTTCTTTTGATGTTTCCCGTCTTAAAGCAGCAGGTTTAGAGACAGCAGACACGCAGACTGGCCTGTGAAGGACAAACAAAGTGTTGCAACAGGTCACTTCTTCTCCTGCGGTGTCTCTGCCCCAGATTCCCTGTCACCAAACACCTTGACCCTGTCACCCTGCCAGAGACAGTCCGCACACACTCTTCCACACACAGCCACCCTCGACATACACACTCCTTCACCATGTGTCACAGAACTAATTATCAGGAGTCTGGCTTGCTGGAGGATAGGGTGATTCAAATTTCCATTCCTGAGCCCCCCATTAGGGTCTAGAATTAGAAGGCAGCAAACACACAGAGAGAGCTGCTGGTCGCACAGCAGTCGACAACACGCATCAGCACGGTGGAAAAGGGAAGATGCCTTTAGGACCACACAGACGGATGTGAATTTCTGAAGTCTTCGCGTCGGCGCTGACATCCCGCGTCTTGATTTGTTTGCAGAAAAGAGGCTTAGGTGGCTGTAAGTCCTTGAGGAGAGGGAGGAGGAGGTCCTAATTGTTTTTAATTGCTCTCGTCCGCTCGCTCTCATTAAGGAGTAGCTTTTGTTGGAGACGGCAGCTGATGTAAGTTTGACTCCTCTTAGACGAAATTTTGAGTCCATGTCTGTGTGTGTTTGAGTGTGTTTGTTGAGTCGTGTTGTAGTTTCATGTGTTTTTAGAAAGTAGCTTGAAGGGGGGAGCTTGTAGTGCTGTGGAACCAAACAGACGTGTGGACTTTTGGTTTAAGTTTTTTTCTGATTATATCATTTAAAAGCTAATTTTAACCCGTTTTTTAACCAGATAAATTAATAGTAGGAAGGGGAGAGGTACAGAAATTAAAAATTTTGTCTCAAGTCTCAAGAAGTCTCTCAGAAAGAAGCAGAATGTAACAGGATCTCATAGTTCACCGGTACATAATGTTGAATTGGTTTATCATGTGTGTCTGATTGCCCTGGTTAAATTGTAATATACCAGTTTAACCAGACACATAAGCCAACAACACAACCCTACCTCCATTTTCTAGATTAAAATACTGCCGTCTTAAGCTGTGCTTCAAGATATCATCTGTCGTTGGTGCGTGTTTACATCTGGGTAGGAGAAAATAATAACACATGGCAGCAGTTGTTCACTTGAGTTATGGTCCACAGCTAGTGACGTTTGGCTGCGCTACAGCTGAAACACATTATTACCAAATATGTGTGTATCCTCAGCATGATGATTCGATTATTTGTAATGTTTTCAGTCGAGTTGCAACGATGAAAAATTGACTTTTTTTTGTTTTTAATATATTGAATTTATTTAAACATGAACAACAATTAAACAGAGCACAAATTAAAGACATAAACACAAAAAAACATAAAGAAAACAAAACCAGACATTCAAATATTTTTTTCATTTGCATGTTCATAATGGAGTGGGAGGAAGTCGAAACTTGTCCGGTCCCACCCCTTCGCTTTTTGGTTTGGACTTTTGGTTAAAGAAGAAGAAGCGATTTGACAGCATCCTCTGCAGCTCACAGAGACAGAGTTGAGCTTATTTCAACCTTTAATTTTGACATTTTATAGACTTAAACATTAATCTTCTTACTAATGTAAACAACCTGCAGATTGATTGACAAAGACAGTAGACTAATGCAGCCTTAAATGTCAGTTTATGTTGTGTTTACATAGATTTTATGCTGTTTTTATAACCTGGTTTTATCATATGTATGCGTACATGTTGCAGATGTTAAAAGGCTTAAGTTAGTGACGACACAGAGCTATCTATTTCCTGGCTTTACTGTAAATGTCACTCTCCTTGGCTCTCTGCATTCTGTCTTTAAACCCTGACATCAAAAGCAGAGCATTAAGAGCATTACAGAGTGGCTGTGGTTGGCGGTAGTTGTGATGAAAGTGTTAGTCAGTAGCCTGGGGGAAACTCTTAATGCTGTGTCATTTTTGTAAGGAAGGGGCCTAACAGAGAAGCGGGCCTGTAAGATGAAGCTTGTTCCAAAGATGACTAGCTCTAACACCCTGTTACGAAACACAGGCGCTGAGGCACCAGCAGAGAGTCGTCAGACGGCTGCAAGCTGGGTTTGGAATTCTGTTATTTCTCCAGCCAACATACGCCTTCTCTTCGCTCCTTCTCGCTCCTCTCTTTCTTTTTCTCTCCGTCACTCCTGGTAGGAAACAATTACAGATCTGTTTCTAGGCTTGTGTGGGCGGTTTCTTATTAGCACGGCTCCAAGGATCTGCCCGTCAGTCAGAGGTCCACTCTCAAACCGCCTCAAACTTCTCTTTTTCTCTCTGGTTTTCTTCTCTCTCTCCTTGCAGATAATTCCCAGCTCAACCAGGATCAGGGAGCAGGTGTCCCAGAGCAGTTCACCGGCCTCCTGCACGGATCCTCTCCTGTCTTCGACTGCCGCGAGGAGCCCTTCAGGCTTCCAGGTGTCCAGCAAGACTCAGCAAAACCCGCCAAAGTAAAAGAGGAAACAGCTAAAGTAGGAGCAGCTAAAGCAGGAGCAGCTGCACCGCCGCCCAGCCGTCCCAGCATGGCCGCCATCCTGACGGACTGTGATCCAAAAGCAATTTATGCCACTGTGAACAAGGAGCCCAGGGACTCAGGAGCCGGGGGCGCTGGGAGGATGCGTCCTCCTGGGGACCTGAAGCTTGCACGCAGCCTCTCCAAGTCTGACTCGGACCTGCTGGTGTCGCCTCCTAGTGAAGAGGATGGGGGATTGGGGAACAGGAGCGAGTCTGTTTCTAACTGTAGCACCGGGAAGAAGAGGCTGGAGAAGTCGCCGTCTTTTACTTCAGAATGGGACGAGGTAAGTGTTGACGTTTGGTCTCTTTGTGTGGACCTTTGGGTGCTCTGTCTTACTCTGCCTGTCTGAAAACAGGCCCATATTGATGAATTTTAAACATTTTAAAGGTGTTTAATATCTTTAAATTCACTTTGTTCATCTAAAAGAAAGGAAACGGCCAATAAAAAACACACAAATATGAGAAAATATCCTCCATCTAATGTTAATATCTACTGTCGCACTGCTGCACCGACTTAAAAACTCTTATTCCAGCTGTAGATTTAGAGCATGACTAAAATATATGCAAGATTTATGTGGAAATCCTGTTGTGACCTCTTGTTGGGCCCTAGTCAGCTCGTACCCGTGCTGAAACAACACAATATTTACACACAGCAACAAACAGTCAATAAAAATCTCGGTGTTTTCTGTAAACAGCTCTGTTGACAAAAGTGGATTCTGATCCTGAGGGGGGTTGTGCTCCAGTTTAAGCTTTACATGGTCTACAGCACAAACCCCTCTGCAAACAGGGTCTTCAAAAATGTCACGTTTTATTCCAGAGCAGGATTTTACTCCCCAATTTGACCCTGTTTTAAATCACTGTATTTTTTTTGTTTTGTTTTGCAATCTTGTCTCATATTTGTCCTCATCCTGGGTATTTATAGCTGGATATCCCCCCCTCCATTCAGCACTTTAATGCTTTGTCTGGGATGTAGATAAAGAGCTGAGTCCAGCCAGTGAGAGAGAAGATTAGCCAAGACAAGAGGATGGGGATAAAACAGCTGAGAAGCCCAGAGTTAAGACAAGATTTGGAAATTGAGATTCAGGGAGAAGGTACAGAGAAGGCAGATCTGTTTCTCTCTCTCTCTCATTCGTGGAGGTTCTAGAAACCGACCTGAGTCTGTTCAGAGAGAAAATCTATAATCAATCCGCAACATTGAGCAAATACTAGAATAATGCAGGGAATTTTTTTCCTCTCTGTTGTTAACGGAAGATAAAAAGCATGGCACAGTAAGGTCAGCACATTGTGGACTCTGTCTTGATTTAATGAAGCGTGAGATTTGAGCCCATATAACGATGAATGAGCAGAGGTATATGGAGTTGTTTGACTCTTTTACTATCATCCTGTAACAATCCTCTTATGGTGAGCAGGATTAATGATATCCTCCAAGCTTCTCAATTAGTCTCTCGGTTATGTGCCCTTGCATTTTTTTAGTTTTCGGCTCTGTTTATGCTGCTGCGAACACGCGTCTCTTCAACCCTTCCTGCGCTGCGACACAGCCGAGTCATCCATGTGAGATGCCTTACACGACTGATGCCAGATCGAGAGAATCACAGGCTCAGATCGCCCCGTTAACGCTCTCGTTTCTTACTGAGAAGGAGATCGTGTTGCTGCTCAGTGTTCCTTTACATGAGGCTATCACAACATCCACGGTGAGCTCAGATAAGTGTGGCTTCGAGGTCGATATCTGGGCTACTCCGGGTCAGCAGTGTGTATATGGATGATGAGGATCATGTACTTCTTCGATCACCTCAAAACCTCTCTGGTATGATTTCTGGATGCTGGGATTCAGCTCGGGGGACACTAAAGAAAATTCATTTTATCTCCACTAAACTCTGATATGTTATTTATATGATCCACTGATGCTAATCTGTGGTGAACAGAGACCATCATGCTTCTGAATGAGACTTTTTACATAATAAATCCATTAACTGGGTGACATGCAGTAAAAAAAGGCACAGGCTAGAATTAGAAACAGCCTTCTGCTTGGGGCTTCAGTATATGGAACACGTGTAGAGACCACTAGGCCCCTTAAATATATAACTTGCACTGCTGTTTGTAGTGCCTGAAACTGGTGCGAGGGGGAAAGTGTAAGTCAAGCAGCTGAGGAAAAGTCCTATTTTTATGAATAAGTCACAATGAAAGATAAATTTGACGATCAAAATCTGCAGGGTTACTTTTTTTGGTTAAAAAAAAAGAAAAATTTAGGAGGACAGAATAAGCAAAAACTGCATTGTCAACAGGGGGACACAAAATGAAAGTCCTTCACAGGAGCTTTAAATCAAATATGAGTTAAACATAAATATGTTCCTCCAGCAAGATAGTTTCTGCAAGTCTCTGTGAGGACCTGTACCTGACCCATTTTGACCACTTCTCTGAATGCATTTTTTTTCCCCAGCACCACTTTCATCAAAAGAATAATTCACTTTTTATACAGTTGTTACATTTGGTGGCACAGCTCTGTCCTGCAGCAGGGAGATCTCACCTTTCCTCTGTTTCATGTGCATAAAGCTAAGGTAGGGAGAGCCATAGCAAAGACACAGAATTGAAGAGGAGCTGGGGTGCAAAACGGTGATGAAGGAAGCAGGAAGAGAATGCAGGCTTTAGCATATTTTAAACCATAGATTCTGAGCACAGTCTCATAGATGAACTGTATGTCAAGATCACCTCAGTTAAGGCTGCAGGAGGTTGTTGCATCATAAGATTTGTGTCTGAGATAAATAAAGTTTTGATGTCTGCGAATATTGGCAAGCATTTAAGAATAAGAAGAACTTTGTGAATCCCTGAAGGGAAATTCAAGTGTTTGTCGTCTCATTTGTCATGTCTCTAAAAGTCATCTACTGTTTACAGAAGAGTTGTACTTTGTTGTACTTACTTAGTTGTACTACAGAAGACATTTGCTCTCTTATATCCAACACTGGCCTGGTAATATTGGTGAAGCTGAAGTCATTCGAACATGGCGCAGACATAAAACTGCCTGCTGTCTCTGTTTGGTGCTCAGTGATAACAGTCATACCATCTGACAGCAAGCAGGCTGATGTTCAGGGGGAGTTTATTTTGCGGGGCAATTATTCACGACTGTAAATCGACCTGCTGTTTGTTCTGTCTGGAAATACTCCCGTCAACGCTCTGATGGAGAGGCTGCCCATACACGACGAGGCCACTCACAGAACCTCGTCAGAGTTCAAAATACTTTTCCAGCCTGAAGGCGAAGCGCAGCACAACACCTCAGCACAATGACTCACCCTTCCTCGTGTGTAACCTCGTTTGGAGGCTCTTAGAACTGTGAGCACCACAAGTACAAGGAAGGTTTCTGCCTTGATATGATTCAGCATGGCCAGACATTATCAAATATCAACTAGTTTATAGTTTGTTCGAAGTCTGCCAAGAACACACTCACTGGAAATTGGAGGTTTAATTTGACACGTAGTATTTGACAAGTAATAAACACAAACTGACCTTCAGTTCCTCTTTGCGTGCACTCAGTTAGTTTCATTATTGTGTGAAATACAGTGTAAAACCACAGATGGACTAACTCTGACTGACAGTTTTCTTAGTTCCTGTAGCAGTGAGGTCTGGATCAACCCTGTGTGAATAGTGATAGTGTTTAGCTGCAGATATACTGCATACCTGCTGTATTAGTCAGCAAATATGGAAGCATTAATAGTATTTCAGGAGAGGAAAACTAAAAGATTTTAAAATTTACAATAATAGCAAAGTTTAAGCAAAGATTCAGAATGAAAGTGTTTATTTTCCTCTGAAAAAGTCAGTGGAGGTGAACTTCTGAAAGACTCCAACAGGAGGGTGTTCAATAGTTTGATACAGGAAAATTGTCCATCTAAATTACGACCTCCATCTGGGGCTCCTGAGAGAAAAGAAGATCTTAGAGTTCTTGTTGGGACATCAAATAAGAAGCAGTCATAGTTAAATGACAGTGCTATTGGAGATTATGTAAAGCTTTGAAGACGATTAGAAAGAACTTAAAAGTGATGCTTGCAGCCTGTGCAGTGATGGGAGCGCGCCTCTAAAGCGTCAGTACAAAGAAAAAGTGCAGCGTTGTAAATTTGATCTTGTCGGATAAAAATAAAACATAAAGAGTGGATTATACCGATATTAAATCTGCAAGCGGTGATGAACGAGCTGTTGCACCCGTGTGCATGATGGGTTATGTCAGTTGAAGCTGTGGGTTGTGCAGCAGCTGCACAGTCAGCATACATGTGTCATTTTAAGCTAAGTGAACATAATAGTGCTTTCTTTTATCAGTAAAAGGGCTGGTCATGACGGTGCATTAATCAAACTGTCTGAAAGCTAATTAAGAAAATTAAATTCAAAATGAGTTTGTTAAATTAATAAAAACTAAGTGTGAGCCCTGCTAACAGGCACAGAAAGGGCTATATTTTTAAACATAGATAGATAGATAGATAGATAGATAGATAGATAGATAGATAGATAGATAGATAGATAGATAGATAGATAGATAGATAGATGTACATATACAGATAGATAGATAGATAGATAGATGTACATATACAGATAGATAGATGTACATACACAGATAGATAGATAGATAGATAGATAGATAGATAGATAGATAGATAGATAGATAGATAGATATACATTTACATACAGATGGATAGATAGATAGATAGATAGATAGATAGATGTACATATACAGATAGATAGATATAGATAGATATATATTTACATACAGATGGATAGATAGATAGATAGATAGATAGATAGATAGATAGATAGATAGATAGATGTACATATACAGATAGATAGATATACATTCACATACAGATAGATAGATAGATAGATAGATTATTAATCCCAAGGCGCTATGTAGACATTTACATTTCCTGTTCTTCTGATATATGTCCAAAGTTTTGCAAGTTTCTGGGCCTGTAAAAAGCCCCAACTAAGCACTTTATTTGTGCAGAGGAAAATAATGATGATCCCAATAATGATCCCTCGAAGTAAGTTTGATGCTCTGACCTTTACTAGTGTTTGCCTCCAAATCCATCAATAGCCGGGCTTTTGTTCTGCTCTTTGTATCTGTTAAAGTTGTGCTGAAAATAAACGAAATGATAATTACGTGAGTTCATAGCAGTCGTTTTTCACACTGGTTGCCAAACGTCATAAACCAGAGGAGTGACGAGGAAGAAGCAGCCACCAAATATAGCGAAATATGATAAAAACCCTGTAAGAAATGAGTGCAGTCCTACTCAGTTATACTCCGTCACCCATTACTCTTTTTAAAAGTCAAAATTACAGAGAATATTCACTTTAATGGCCGAGATATGGAGGTAAAGTTCTGACACTCCCTCTGAGACATCATCGCCCCTCTGCTGCAGAGCATTGTGGTAAAGTTGTGTTATAACCGAGAACATTTTCACTTCTTAAATCTTTAAACTCTTCTTTCAGACTCCTCCGTGGTCACAGACAGGGCACTGTGCAGTCTCATTATCCAGTTTAAAGAACACTGCTCACCTCCTCTGACTGCAGCCGAGGGGATGTAGCCTTTGAGAGTGTGACAGGACTAACACACAGCAGGATGACATTACTTGGTTAATAGAGATCGCTGCTCTTCCCTTAAGCCCTCAGCAGCCAGTTATAATTTCTGCTGTACCTCCTTTGTTGTCGTCCCTGCGGTGTTTCTGCACAGATGAACTGATAGGGTTGAGAATTGATCTGGTTGCAGGAGAAAGAGAAAACTCAGAGGGTGTCGGTGTCCTCTTGTACACACAGAGGCAGGCTGTGTTGTTGGAAATATACACTTTAGGCAGTGGCCTCGTTTACAGAACCCTCAACGCGAGTGTGTGCTACACTAGTGAGTGAACTGACCAGATTTAAGTTCATCTTATTGCCTGAAAGCTTCTTTGAAATCCTAAAGTAGGCTCCTGGCAAAGAGCATCACAATTCATCTTTAATTATTCATCCGTCTCATGGGAGCAGGTTTTATTTACTCTCCACTCTGCTGGCCTCCAAGTGAGTTTGTTTAGGGATAATACGAACACGCAGCTGGCGTTGAAAATATTTCATTCTTTGCTCTGGACGTCCACAGAGAATAAAATGTGTTCCTCCCTCACTGATGAGTCTGCTGTATGTGCAGGTTTCTTGTCATGCTTCCTGTCAAACTGCGCGCTAACCGCATTTATGTGTTTAGCAGCCTGTCAGCTACACCAACACATCTTAGATTCATACAAGCAGCTGCAATGAATCCATAATTTATAAGCTGCAATACATAAAATGTAAGCATCACTGCGGGTTGCAGTCTGAACTCTATATTTTGAACCACAGTGATTTCAGGATGAAGGTTTCTACTCTCCAATTTCGATGATCTGATAGTGAAGATGTGCTAATTAGACACCTTTATTGGCTGCCTGATAGGGATCTCGAAGCAGATATTACTATTGAAAAGCAATTTCTTTTGTCCAATTTGGCAGCCTTAGTTAATGTTAATGAACTCTCAGTCTCCTCGCCTGAATAGAGATGGAGATGCCAGGGGGTTCTGTGCTCAAAGCTAAAAAGGAAAAAAAAGAGCTCTGAATCTTTCTTCTCCCGTTTTCCTTTCAGGGACTGAGCCTGCACTTGCTTGAAATGGAAATATTCACACTGTCGATGTAAAGTGCATAGTAAATGAGCGGAGTGTGTGGGCAAAGTAGTTAAAGTTTGATTGGGTGTAACCCAGCCTGCACTCTCTTTAATGATGCCGGGAGTGTCCGCTGGAAACGGAAAAACTCAACTCTCTATTCACTCTCCTTCAGCTTTTTTCCGTCCACGCTGTTTTCTTCTCTCTGGGATGCTGCGGCAGCCATCTTTGCAGGTCATATCATGCCGCTCCTGGAATAGTCTTCTGAGCTGTGGGACAGCACTTAGGGGGAAAGGTCCCAGGACAAAAGTAAAACCACCCGCTGACGCACACACAAACACACACAGACCCTTTTAAAAAAACATCTGTTTCTTCCTCTGAAATGGTTTGCTGAATATTCCCACACACCCTCGTCCACTTCCTACTCTTTCACCCCCACCCCAACCCTTCTCCTTTTCTTCACACACACACGCACACCCTCGGATACTCTGCCTCTGGTTTCAAGACAAGGAGATTTGACTTGCATGAGGTCTTGGCCTATGCATCTCTCCATTTAAGAAGCTTCTGCTGTGTGTGTGTGTGTGCATTTTGTGCTCTACGTGCAGCGCCGGGGTGTGTGCTGGCGTGTAAAGCGCATGCTAATGCAAGCTTGGTCTTGGTCCTTGGGATCAGACTGAAGATGACAATCCAGGGGGGCGCATTGTGTGGGGCAGCAGCACATTGAGCTCCACAGATGGGAGGAGGAGGAGGAGGAGGAGGAGACACAGACAGAAGAGCAGAGGGCCGCCATCCTCAGCCTCATTTCACTTTTAACTTCGTTTTTGATTCGCACTCGGCAGATCCAGTAGCCACTATGAAACCAGCTTTTGTGAGTATTGATTCCCTTCCAGACAGCAGCTCCACTGGAGGCTCGTTAATCTTCTACCTGCCTTGAGTGGATTGAATGGGGAAATAATTGATGTTTCTAGAATCTCCTTGGATATCATATTTCATGTGAAGTCTGTTTGATGATTGAAGTTCGTTGCATTATTTGCTAAATGCAGCTCAATAGAAGCTTCTTTCTCCCATTATTCTTCCACTTTTCTGTGTTTTCTGTTTAAACTTAATCCTCTGCAGTATTCAAAACTCTAAAGGAAACTCATGCTGCATTTCTTTCCTCCCTATTCTGGCTGTTTTGTATTCGCAACGTTTGTGAACTCCTCGTGGATTTGGAGGAGCTTCTATTTTCTGTAAGCGGGAAAGTGGCCTTGCACTTGTGTTGTGGAGGAGTTTCTCGTTTTTGACCTGCTGAGATCAAACCAAACTTGTGGGTGTGTGTCACGGCCCGGTGCAGGCAGCAGGGCAATCTATTCTCTAATCCCAACCAGGGGGAAACACAGGAGAGCCACAGGGGGGCTGTAACATGCAGCCACTACTTAATGTTGCTTTGGTCGAGACACAGGAGATGAATGTGGTCCTACAAAGGTTTCAACTTAGTGGAAATAAAATAGGTATCAGTATCCTGATACTGGCAAAAAAAACTGATTTACATAAATATAATCACAGTGTCTTTAGGGAATGACTTTGCAAAGTTTTTAAGTCGCACTGACAGGACACTGTTGCTCAAAACCCTGAGTTAAACATGGAGTTATTTCAGGAGGACGTTGATGGAGCTGCTGACAGTGCTTTGTCCCGCTTTAGCATTGAGGTGTTGGCACCCGTGTCAGCTGTGGTGTGTTTGTGTTCCCCTTGATGCCATTCACTCGTCCATAGTTCTCATCAGAGCCTTGTTTCCGTGCCAGCTTGCCCATTTGAGGCCGGTGGTCTGGGCACACTCTCTCTGCAGGAACCTTTTGTATCACCCTGAGCGAGCTCCGCCAGGCGTCCTTCAGCTCTCCCACATCTCTCCTCTCCGAGTTTTTCCTTTTGTTCCTGATTCTCAAGGCTGACAATCAACAAACACTTTCTCTTCCCTAAATGCGAAAGTAGCTGTTGAGTTATTTGACAGGAGCTGCAGTCCTGCTGTGAGAGGCATGATAAATAGGTTCACGAGTCTTTAATCTCGGCCAGACTATCTCTTGTCACTGCTAGCTCTTCAGCTGTTGACCTCCACCTTCACCGCTGACTTCTGACCCTCTTTTATTGTGTCTCCTTTCTCATAGCGCTTCCCCTCACAATGGGCGCCTCTCCATTTCAGGTCTCTGTATTGATTTCATCCTGCAGCACAAAAACACATTCCTCTTTCTGTCTGCAATTAATTCTCATGGCACTGAGCTTCTTAGTCCTAAACCATAAAATTGAGAGGCTCTGCCGTATTGTAGATGTGTTTTACCTTGAGGAAATCACTGAGCCAAGTCCCCTGATAAGGATAGATTCACCTTACTCCAACATTACATCATACCTGCCTTCCATGGTAGCTGCTTCCAGATCTTATTGGAGCATAGCCGTCAAGTATCTCGTATTGGATGGGAAACTACTGTATTTTACCCCCCTTTCCCACCATCCTCCTGTATTATAAAATGTATATATATATAAAAACATTATTCTGCCTCTCTAGACTGAACCCTGTTACTAGTGCGCCGAGAACCTACCAACTAGTAGTAGTGAGTTGTCATCAGCTTGACAGGTATGGTGTAGCATTAAACTAACATGGAGTTTTATGTAGATGAGTTTGTGACCAGCCCTTTTTGGGTGAAAATTAACAAATGTACAAAAGCAGCTTTGTTTATCGTTGCTACGTTTTATGATTCCCTTGTTGCCTTAAACATGGACATTTTAAAACGGGGTCGTAATATTCCAGTTTTGTATTGTGTTATGATGTTTTTCCTCTGGCCTGGCTGGTATATGTGTCGCCTATCTTGTATGTAAATTGGGGTGTGCCATCCCCTGCTCCCGATTGGCTGCTCGTCCTTGTAGTTCTTTTTCCTCACTTTTTGCTCAGATAATTTTTATGTTACCGGTATTACTTAACTGGCTGATTTGTTTGTCGTTGCCATAGTCGTTGCTACCTTTACGTGTCATGTTTGTGTCGCCCATCTTGTATGCAAATTGGGGTGTGCCATCCCCTACTCCTGATTGGCTGCTCCGGCAACTACTTGGGGGCTCGTTCTCGTAGTACTTTTCCGTCGCTTTTAGCTAGGGTAAGTTTTATATATCACATTATTACTTAACTGGCAGGGTTTTTAGCTAGGGTAAGTTTTATATATCACATTATTACTTAACTGGCAGGGTTTTTTTTAGTTTGTGTCCAGCGCTTCTTGGGAGAAAGTAAACAGACGTACAAAACTGTTTTGTTTATCGTTGCTACGTTTACGTGTGACGTTTGTGTCGCCTATCTTGTATGCAAATTGGGATGTGCCATCGCGCGTTCCTGATTGGCTGCTCAATTGGGCGCTCGTCTTCGTAGTACTTTTCTTCGTTTTTTGCTCAGATTAGCTTCTCTTGTCGTGATATTTCCCTTATTTTCCAAACCAAAACTTGACAGGTATGTGTTGGAGTGGATAGTGTTCCCCTTTTCATCGTATCTTAGAGGAGAAGCTGATTCTATCTGACTAAACACAGCTTGTGTGCGTCATATTTACACATATACTGCATCGTTCGTAAACCAGTTTACCTACAGCGTATGTGTTAAAAGTGCAGCGCCTCTCTTATTTCTATCTGAAGCTGCTAGAGGAGCTATCAGAGAACAGAATATAACATAAACATCTTTGCTTTTTGAAGAACACAGACATGTCATATCTCCTGAGAGTTAAATAAATAACTTGGCAGCTGAATAACGCGTCAGATGGAGACTGCAGCTCCTTATTGTCCCCTCTGTGGACTCTAATCCTCCCTTCAGCATAGACCCTGTCCCTTTTTTTTAAGAATCAAGCACAGTCCCGTCCTCATTATCACAAAGCTGAAGCAGGACTGTGTATTGAATTTTACATATTGTACCCCTGATTAATACTGATATTCATCTGTAACTCTCTAATTGGCTCTAACCTGGGTCTTAATAAGAGACACTTTATGTCCACATGTTGAGATTTTGTAACAAACTCAAAGCACAGAAAAGTTTGAGACAGTATTTATCATGCTGTTGTTGATATGTTTATTATATCAGATGATCATTTGATGAAAGTGTAAATGAGGTGGCTCTAGTAACCAGCCTGCACAGATTTACCATTTGAATCTGCAGCTTCCTCCGGCTGTACAGAGCCCCTCAAAGCAGATTTCAGCTCATTGTTTGGCTGTCTGGTCCCATTTCGAGAGTTTTGGCTCATTCCTCCACTCCCACGGTGTTCTTTTGGCTACAGTAGGAAAGTATTTTCAAACAGATAGTACCCTGCCTGTCCAGCACCGAGAGAGATATGAGCCAACTATGGGAAAAAATGATGAATGTTGTTGTAGGACTTCCAAGTAAAAGCATTCGTTTTTAGTTGATATACTCCCTTTAGAAGTTGAGGTGTGTTTCTGTTTTGTTTGTATCAATCCAGTCTTGCCATCCCTGGAGTATGAGGGAACAGTGACACTAGCAAAGACACTCGAATACAAACTGCCTGTTTTTATTGCTGACTCATCCTGGTCTTTGCTCAGGTAGCAAAAAACGCTGCCAATTCACCAACAACTTCCCAGTTTAATGGCTGATAGAGAGGACATGTGGCTCTGGTAGACAGTGGTTATACTTCAAGCTTATGTAACTAATCTACCATCTGGTCAATTTGCAGTATCTTAATCAACACAATAGAGGAGTAGCACTGGGCAGATGGGTAATACTAATGTTTTCCTGACCCTGCCCTTCATCGCACACCTTGCCTTTTATAGTAGAAATGATGTGTTTTCCCTCTGAGGGTGAGAATAATCAGAGCAGGCAGTTTGTAACAGAGAGTGATCATCAGAATGAGACTCCCTCAGAGCCGATGGACTCTTTGACCTCTTTCACCTCATTGAAACTTCACTGATTTAACATCCAGCCACAGCTCTTGTGTGTAGTTGTCTTTTTGAAATTGTTTCACTTCAAATTTAGAGGAGGACCTTGGCAAAAAAATTGATAGAACTTAGGTTTATTTTTTAGTCAGCGAAACATGGACTCAGAAAGTAAGTAAATCCAAGGTCCTTCAAAGTTTGATCTAAAAGCAACTAGACTTAAACTTCTTCAAACTTGTTAACGCTCCTCCAAAAAGCATTCTTACGTAAGAGTTTCTGTCATTCTGGAGGTGACATGTTGTTGTCCCTCCTCTAGCAGACAGGCCTTATCCTCCTCTGTCCCCCCTACTCCTCCCCCACTGATCTCCTTTCACAATAATACCTCTTTCCACTTGTGAGTGTGTGTGTTTACACAGTCTGATCCAGTAGGTGGCAGTAGGCATGTAGTTGGTTTGCAAATCTGCCAAGAGGAAGAGAGAACAGCAGCAAGTTTGACAAGAAATACTTCTGTTACAGACACTTTGCTTACTGTGTTAAAGCTCTTGTCCGGTCTACCTCCTTTTTAGCGCCCGTTATTCCACCAGAGTCTCCAGTATTTACTAAGTTTTCTTGCTTGTGTTGGCAGTCGTTGTTTCATTCAACGGATTCCTGCGTACCTCACCTTTAAGGGTCAAGTGTTCTTGTAGGTGGGTCTGGGTCCCTAAATGGGAAAGTCTTTATGTCTCCTATTGACCATATTTGCATTGCAGCCATTTTCCACTGCTAGATTTCAACTGGAATTACCCGACGGTAACATGAGCTTTCAGCCACTTCCTAGCAGTTAAGCTAAAGAGATGTTTAAATAAGGTCAAAAGTTATACCAGATTTCAGTTGGATTTCTATGAAGAGTTTCTCATACGATAGTAGCTAGTCAGATTCTCTCTGTTTATGCCGGAGGAAAAAAGCTGCCGCAGTTTAGGTATAGGTGCAGAGAAGGAAGTCAAACCAAACCGTGAATTTTCTTTTAGCAGAATCAGAAGACTTCACCTGCCACAAAACAACGAAGATCTAATTCCTTTGAGAGCGTAAGACGTCCGCCTTCATTCAGACCTCTCCTAATCCTTTTGGGGGTTTGGCTCTGTCCTTTTCTGGGGCACTCTTTGTGGAAATAGACGGGACCCTTTCAGGTTTCCTGAAACCCTTTTGAAATGATATAATCTAAATGATTATTCATTTCTCCCTCGAAGCAAGTCTGGAAGCTTTCGTTTGGTTTTATTCAGTCTAATAGCAGCTCGGTGAAATAGAGGCATTCTTCGAGTTAAATTTCCGTCTCTGCTCTTCTGACCGACATATTTTTCCCCCCAATTAGACACCATATTGCCGCTTAACATCCACGTAGAGGCTGATGATGAAAACCTTACAAACTAGTGTCCTGACAGCACTTTATTGCCTTTTATAATTATATTAACAGGGATATAAAACCTGTCTGGGTGCTCTGAGAGCTTTTAGGGTTTGACATTTAGAGATAATGCTCTGTCTGGCAAGACAAGTACTTTCAGATGGAATATTTGCAAAAAGGCCCAGTACAGATATAGATAGAGTCAGAGTGACAGTATGTGACAGCGGCACTGTCAGCTTCTACCTTTTCATTTTCGTCTCACAGTCACCTAGCTTACTAAATTGGTTGAAAGGGGCTTTTCTGTGTACTGAGCAGCACTTTCTTGCTGCTTCAGTGACCTGGACCTATGAAACGATAAACCGCCAGTGCATGTCCATATATATATAAAACACAGGGCATTAGTGACTATGCTTTGAGACACCATCCTGCCTCGATTATGCATGCATTGTGTAAAGATGCATGAAATTAATGCATGCAAACATGGGTATCAGGGCATGTTTCAGGTATAGTTATTTCCCTTCTCTTTTTAGGTTCTCTGTGTATCCCTGTAAAACAACATGAACATTTATAGTGTTATAAAGAGGACATCTTAATATTAAAGGGCTTTGTATATACAGGAAAACTGTCATCCCCTAATATAATTCTGGTATCATTTCTCTAATCTTGGCTTCCTGAGGGAAAATTTTGCTTTCACATTTTCAGAGAAGAGGGTTAAATGATCTTTTTTTGGCTGCAGAGAGATGCTGCCACTTGCAGCTTGTAGCTAATAGAACTGAGTGGTATGATTGTGAGTTATAAATCTGATCAGCCATGGACTGTTTGCTAAAGACGCCCTTCAAATTTTTATCATAAAACTACTTTGACTGGTTATTTTCTTGCCAAAGCAAACCCAATTGCTCTCACCTGCTGTACTCAGTGTCTGTAACATTTGAGTGGTGTGTTATTTCAGGCATGGGGGTATTTCTCTGTGGTTTTTTTTTACGGTGACAGGTGGAGGTGAAACTCTGTTAGCTCGCACAGGTTCTTATCTCTGTCTTCTGCTCCTCTTCACAGATCGAGAAGATCATGACACTGATTGGCGCCGGCATCGATTTCTCCAGAGATCAGCAATATGCTACACCAGGTACGGTATAATCGTCATCACTGCCATTTTTACACAGTTAAAGCTCAACATGTAGAAACTAAGGGTGTAATTTTTTTGATTGAATAATGATAGATGGAAGGGGAAAAAGATCCAACTAATCCACACCTAAGTGCAGCTTTCTTATCTGTTTTAACTCACGTAACCATCGGTAAATGTAGTACTATGCATTGTTTTATTGTCACAAATGTTACCTTTTGTTAAACATGTGCTGCCTCTCATTCCCCACACCTGTTTGGGCGTGTGTTTGTTATCCTTGTGCGGCTTATTTGATCTGTAACTGCAGCCTAAAGGGAAATCAAGATAAAAACAGGGGACACGGTCAATGAAGGAGGCGCCCGATAACAAATTGCAATCCTGTTTTCAACAGAGATTTTGGCACAATAGTGTAATGCAGGTAGACATATGGTTTGTTCTGTGGAATAAATAAGGATGGGGATAGTCGCAGGTAGCTGCAGAAAAGCTGAGAGAACAACTCGAATAAAGAGGAGGTTCACTGAATTAATTTAATTCAACAATATTTTTATTAGTTTTATACAAATATACACAGGAGACACATTACTAGCACCCCCTTTCCCTCAAAACCCCATCTACAGCTGGATATTTCTATTACTTTGTTTGATTAACAAATTGTGGAGCTATAACAAAAAATAGAAAAATAAATAAATGAATAAGTACAAAAATAAAAAAAAAATGAAAAATAAAAATACAAGTAAGTGCTGGAAATCGGGTTTTATAGATCTTGAAATACATAAGATGTTGAGAAATAAAAAATAAAAAGAGAATAAGTTAAATGAACCACTGTGGGTTAAGGGAAATACAAATGTAGACAAGTCGCTGAAAACTGAAAAAGTCCATAAGAGAGATAAGAATTTGAGTTGTATGATTATAAAACATCACAGAAATATATTTAAAAAAGAAAACACTGAATTAATTTAGCTCGCACTTTTTTCAAAGCAGCTCATACAATACATCTGTACAGTAATGACGTTATGATAAGTTATAAGATAAGCCCACAGAGGGCGCCAAAGTCAACATAAACAGAAACTTCCTCACAGGAGCTTTAACTGTTGTTTGGTTTGAAGCTTCAATCTAAGTTGCTGAAATAATTTCCTGGTATTGTGCTTAAACTGAACACTAATGTTGAAGATTTATCAAGATGTTTAGTGCTATAATACTGAAGAAAAAGGTAACCTAATCTTGTACCATGAGGCGCTCTATTGGGACATACTATGTTTATTATGAGCTGTTTGGAAAAAAGGGCAGTGCCTCCTCTAAATCTCACTCAGATGAATCAGCCTGATAAAACTCCAGAGTGTTTATTTTCACTCTGATTTTTACGGCTGTTTAATGTTGGCTTTGGCGGCATGTTTACCTTTTTTTTCTGTTTTAAGAAAAATGCTAAAAAGTTGAATCTGAAGCGGCAGAGACTCCGCTTTGTCACTCTCTCCTATAATGGTGTTGCGTTAAGTATTCTGTACCTCCTCTCCTGTTGTTCTCCACGCTTGTCAAAACCCTGTCGTCGGGGTTGATGGATGACACCGGGGAACTGTAGCAGCAAACCACAAAAATCGACTCTCATTATTCAACATTCACCTCCAGTTTACACTCATCCAGAATTGAATACATTTTAGCAAAACGCAGTAAGTTTTCTCTCTCCTTATTCTCGCTGTCTTGTTTGTTATGCCCTTCACTGGAGTGAACTCTTTAAATATTAACCGTTACGCATGTCTGAGGATGGGCTCATGTTGCTTTGGAGACTCATGGAAAGCTGAGACCACTGCAGTGAAGAAGTTAGCCCCTCATCATTGGCTGTCTGCTGTGAGTCTCTTTACTGTATATGTGAGTGTTAGTGTAACAGCCGCCGTGCCCAGAGCGCCGTCTCAATAGGACTGTCAGGAGACCATCAAAGAGAAGCTGCTGGTGAAGCGAGGAGCCGCACCACTTTTTTAATCCCCTCTCTGATTCAGTTCAGCGTTCGCCTCCTTGCTGTGTTGACTGGAGAGCATCTGATTGGCTCTGTGCCCGCAGTCTCTTGTACTTTTCTCCTCTCAGCTGATTGACTTATACATCAGAGTGAGAGAGAGGAGGAGGAGGAGGAGAAGGAGGAGTGTGAAGGGAACCTAACGAGTGAAAGAAAAAGGGGCTCATGTACAGAAGCTGCAGAAGCTCATAGCAAACGCTCAGAGTAATGAGGGGTGGGAGGTCTATGGTGGCGCTGACAAAGAGCAGCCACCTGCAGTGAGAGGGGAGAGGGAGGAAGGGAGGGAGGGAGGAGTGTTCAATGAGGAGAGAGAGAGAGAGGGAGTAAAGGAGGAGAGAGGAAGAGCAGGCAGCCGGATAGAGAGCAGCCAGGACAATAGAAGGACGCTACCTTTGCATCTGGAGGATCTGCCAGGAGTGGACTACTGCTGCTGCTGGATGCAACTCAGTCTGCGAAGGGGACGGTTTGATCACTTCACTGTCTGCAGGAGGGCTCGCATAGGGGGAGAGATATTACCAAAGTGCTCTTTGAAGCAGCTGATTGGATTCTTTCTTTTTTTTTTCTTTTTATGACAAGTTTCCGAGCTTCTGGAGTGACCGAAATTGGACCTTTCTTTAAAAAATGAGGAGGGAAAAAGAGGCTTTAAGATGTGCATTCTTCACAGAAACTGAATGTAAAGTTAGCATGCATGTTTTCTCTGCTGACGTCTATCACAGTTTTGTGATGAGTGTCTGTGTTAAGAGCAGAAAGAGGGTTTAGTCTGTTAACTTGTGGTTAAACAAGCAGTGACTCTTTTCCAAGTGTAGAAATGTGTGTTTTCTGCTTTACCAGTCAGTTAAAAACATACCAGTCATGTATTTCCATCAGTAGAAGCGAGTGTTTGTCCTTGTACCAGTTAGGCTCCCCTCTGCTCGGCCGCTGACAGCTGTCAGTGCAGCTTTTTTACTCTATCAATCTCAGCCGGTGACGAGCGTGTTGCAGGTTTCAGTCCATCCTGCTGCTTTCCATCGCTGTCAATCTCAGGACTATTCCTGTCCCTGCTGTCCGCGGATATTTATTCTGAGAAATTGGGTCTGTAAATATGGGATGACCTTGTTCGGTGTTTAACTGTCTCCTGTTTCATCACTCCAAGTTTCTGAAGAAGTTTCCATGCGGTGGACAAAGCTTGAAAAGTGAAAGAAAACTTATAAGCGCCCATTTTTATGACTCGCTGCTTTCCTCTCTGACCTGTCAGAGCTGTAGCGTTAAGTTTTGGACTGGAAATGCTATCTCCTGACAAGCCTCACATGTTCCTCAGTGACTATTTCAGCTAGTTACCGTGCCGCTGGTAGCCTCCAGGCTGTGTCTCTCACCCTCTCCTTCACCCCTGAGATCAGGGGTTCTTAAATCCATATTGGGTGATTGTGGTTCGGCCCCCGCTGCCCTGCGGGAGCTGACGCCCTGTTCACACAGGACCCTGTCTCCTCCGCCGTCCTGCTGCTGGTGCGCTCGGCTCTGCTGGCCGAGAATGATGTGGCAATGTCACGTCTCCTCCTCAGAGTGCCGCTGCTACCGGCTCAAAGGTTTCTCCCTCCTGAAGCGTTTCCCCCTGTCAGCAGGTGCTGCGGGCCGGCTGCTGGACCAGCCTGTGGGGGACTGGCTAGAGCATGTGGGGCTGCCGCAGTACGAGAGCAAACTACTCCTGAACGGATTCGATGATCTGCACTACATGGTGAGTTCTTTTCTGTCTTTTCTACTCCCTTTTTTCCTCTTTTCGTTCCTCACTTTTCTGATCGTTCGTCTCTTGTCTTTTTCCACTCACTCCCACTTCACTCCAGTTTGTGTCTTTGTGCATTAATCCAATTGGTGCCACCCTCCATTAGCAGTTAGATGATCCCATTAGCTTCATCCAGAGTTCAATTAGCTGAAATCCTGTAACAGCTCCTCTCCTCCTCAGACGTCTCACTCCCTTCAGTCGCTGTGAGTTGTTTTTAAAGGCACTGTTAATTATGTGTAGAGTCAGCACATTATTCACTCCACATCACGACCTTTGAACGGTTGTACGGGTTCAACTTCGGGTGGTACACAGCAGTTTTAATGTGCTGTCACATATTTTGTTTACAGCCTCTCTGAAATCATCTCAGCTGATTGGTTGCCTGTAAATTTCGGTGTGTTTTGCACTCTCAGACAGCCTCCATCAGACTGTCTCCACAGTTAGCGGGCCCGGCTGCCTGAGAAGCAGCTGATGCACGGCCAGAACTGTGGAGCTCAGAGTGAGAAATGGGACGCTGTTGCCAAGCTGACACGTTTATAGAGCCCACAGTGTGAGACGCCACTATGAGTTGGCTGTGATGCTTTTGTCAGTTATGAAGACTGATGGAGGGCGGGACCGGGGGCCCAGCTGGTAGGCTGAACCAGTGCGCATGTTGGAAATCAGACAAGGATGGAAACTACTTCATACAACTCCTCTTTAACACAGAATCATGTGTTGTCAAGCTTCTTTTAATCCAAACATCAAACTTAAAATGATTGTATTAAACACATATTTGCTTTTAAAGTCATTGGTAGACATCTGCTATCAACAACAATCCACTTTAGTCCTCATATGTTACTACAATACAATCCACAGAATGAATAATAGCTATATTAAAGTTTGGGCTCACAGGATCACAAAGTTATATTCATTCTAGCCAGATCCAGGGTGCTGCATTTATCATTTTAATCCAAACTAGAAAAAAATAGACTTGGTCAAGTAAGCCATACTCTCATACTCTCATACTGTCTTTAATCTGACGTCAGGTTCAGACCGAGTCTCACAGAGTTATTAAAATGAGCTCTTCAGAAAACATGTCAGGAGACGATGCCATATCTCAAGTTTGCTAAGCTTTTGTTTGGTCGTTTAGCGTCTACCATCATATGTCTGTGTTAAAAACAGATCAACATAACAGGTCTCCTTTAATACCTTTAAAACAGATGGATCAGGTGTCACCCTCTGGATTTTGTGGCCGGCTTTAAGAGGACCCTCAAGGAACTGTGGCTTTTTGCACAACTGAATTGACACCAAATGTTGCAGCTTAAAACTCAGTTTTATCCCTAAATCTTGACCCCTCTGCACACTGACCATAAACCTATCTTTCATTCATTTCTCCTGGAAGCCAGATATCAAGTACTTGTCCAAAATCAACAGCCAACTGTACAGCCACAGTGTCATTTAAATTAACAGAACAAATTGTGAGACATTCTCATGAAATAAGTCCCAAAGTGAAGCCCACGCAAATCCGAGGGGGAAAAAACATTTTTTTTCTTTTTCCTGTTATCCAGCAGAAGGTTGTATCTTCAAAGGTATTTCATGAGCCGACAGATGTTTTCTGTCTGCCTGTGAAGATAACACGCTCGCTCGAGGTGAAACCAGTGTTTAAAGCTTCAAACGCCACACAGGCTCCAGAATATTTAAATGAAGGTAAACTGCTTCAAAAAATCGTGACAACAGGAGGCACAAGCTGAACCCAACTCCCAGAGAAAAGATTAGGGTAAAGTGTAAATATTGGGGTGATTAAAATGAGTTCAAATAATAATAGCAAACATGTTTTACTGTCATAAATAGTGAAATAAAGTTAGAAACCTCAAACTGATGAATACCAAAATGAATTTGAACATTTGGTGCTCTGATCTTAAAGCTGTAGTAGCCAGCTGTGCCTGACTTCTTTTAGGATACGATCCACGAATCATCTTTAATCTACTTTGCATAACTTGAAAAAAAGGAGAAATCCTCCATTTATCTCCTTTCTCCCTCTCTCTCTCTCTCTCTCTCTCTTTCTCTCTCCATCAACAGCCATGTTTAACTCTGCGTTGAAGCCTCTGAAGTTACTCTCAGAATTTAATCTTCCTACTGTCTTTGAGTCTTTCACACTCTCCTTCCTCAGCCTCGAGTCCTCTTCTTTTCAAAGGAGGACATTTTTCTATCTTTAAACACAGGTTACTGCTCACCTGGCTCTTTGAAATCACCGGAGGATTAAGGAGAAAATAGCTGCAGCATTTACACAGTGTCCTTCCCTCACTTAATGTTAACCTTTTTTCCCCCCAAGAATCACAATTTGGACATGATTAGAAAAGAATTACTGTCTGAGTCACCTTGATTTTACTAAACTTCTCCACATGTGTTGAATGAGCTGTTGAAAGAGAAATACTGAACCCTGAAAAATAACATATATCTATCTATTAGTCTGTCCACCCTGAACATTTATAAGTCAAGTTTTCTGATAGAGACTCACTCAGTCATCCTTCATTGAATCACCTAGTGGGACTTTAAATGGTAGGAAATGTAAACAAAGTTTGTGTGGTGATAATAAGCACTAAAAGTGCTCAGGAGGAATGATCAGTCTTGCTGCTAAAGCTCTCATTTGCTTAAAGACACAGTATAAATTTTAAATAAGCAGCTATAGTCTCCTCACATGAGCGTTACACTCAAATGCCTTTAAATGAATGTTAAAGAAAGATAATGTTACAGGATTTTTAGTCATTTCTAACTATGTTTAATATAGTTGTTCAGCTGATATTTGTTGTTCTGGCTTCATAATGATCAACACCTACTTTTACAAAAGTCATTGTGTTATGGCTGACTAAGATTTAATTAGGAATCATACACTGATGTTATTTTCTCTTTATATTTGAGCAGTGACACTACACAGTCGCTGGGATAGGAACAGTTGCATCTTTTTCATCATCAAATTTAGAAATTAATTGATAATTGAACAGCAAACTGAAGCGGTGAACCGGCTTGTCTGAAATGAGCTGCTTTAATCTTCTCATGCATATAAAAAGCGTTGGAAAAACAATCATTGAGAAACAGCCGGAGCCAATGTGCAGCAGATCACTAATTAAACAGTGTTTACTCTGCCATTCAGGCTGCTGTGATCTCTGTCTATCCTGCAGGCTCGCTTTAGAAGCGGATCAATAACAGCGGTGATTGTATTGTGTTAAAGCACCGAGGCGGAGGCAAGCCTCCTCTGAAACCAATTAGAAGCTTTTATCGACTCGCGGTGCAAATGTCCCCATGAAACAGGATCAGTGTGGCCACGCTGTTCTGCGGCACTTACTGTTGCTGACATGTAATACCTGTCGACGCTAAACAGTTCATTTTCGGTACAGTCTACTCACGATCGCTTCTCCTTACAGCTGTAACGTTCAGCAGAGTCACTTAGACATTTTGCTCTGAGTTAGTTTGTATTCAAGAGAACAATAAGGCTGAGGCACTTCTGGAAGGACAACATTTGGTTTGCAGTAGCATAGAGTCAGCGTGGGAGTCCTCAACCTCAAAGTTTCTACCTGATTATCCTTGTTTATCAGAGTTATCAATTTATTGAAAGATTTGTGATCAGATCATCAAGATTCAGTTTCATTCGTCAATATTATCCCCAAACTCAGACCTAGCATCGTTAGTCAGACTGTAAAAGTGGAAATCAGCAGAAAATTAAGGGTAACTAACTATATCAGAGGTGCTATTTTCAGACGACGGTCAGCACGGGTGCGAATCACTAGTAACCCCATGATACAATAGTATCACGATACTTGGGCCATGATACGATATTATTGCAATACTTGGGCTGTGATACGATATTATCACGATACTTGGGCCATGATACAATATTATCATGATACCTGGGCCTTGATACGATATTATCATGATACTTTGACCATGATACAATATTATTGTGATACTTGGGCCATGGTACGATATTATCACGATACCTGGGCCACAATACAATATTATCATGATACCTGGGCCTTGATACAATATTATTGCGATACTTGGGCCACGATAGGATATTATTGCGATTTTTGACATTTTGTGATTATTGCGATACAATATACAATATATTGAGATCTATACAAACAGTTGATTTTATTTTTCCATTATCATAGATTTGATTTCATATTAGCAATAAATTTGAAAAATCAAAACTTGGTAAAGGAGACGATATATCACCAGACAAAATATCGCAGTACTATGCTGTATCAATTTTTTCTCCCACCCCAAACAGTCAGTGGGTCCCAAGAGAAGCCGTAAGAAACATATCAGGTCTTCAGTTTTGCACCAGTTTCTGCTCTCTTATTCTCCTGTTGCTGTTATTTTCAGTCACTGGACAAATGCATACTGACTTCATTTCCAATAGAGTCACTGTTACCAAAGCCTGTAGGTAAGTTATGGATTCAGTAATGGCGTCACGCCCGAGCAGCTCAAGGATTGCAAATGGATTAATAGATTTTTCTGTTGGGCTAATGGCGGTGATGTATAGTCAATTTATCTGCTTGAAAAACACGGATGCAGGAAGTGGACGAGTTAATTTATTGAACCTTCCTGCGATTTCTTGGCACTCTTTCCTGGTAGCCTTTTTTTTTTTTTTTTCCACTGGCCTGTGCGGTCTTTTGACAACCTTTTTAGGAGGACAAGCTATGATTTCAGTGCTGTTGGTTGGCTGTCCTCTAGAAGACGAGGATGACTGATCCGTGCCCTCGAGCCCCTGGCCTGAATTCAGAGTGCTTTTAAACCAGGGGGACTGCTGTGGCTGTTCTCTGGATCGGCCGAAGAGAGAGCAGCATTTTAATGAGAGAACAGAGGAAAGCAGAGATGGATGGGCTGCACGGGCACAGACACAAAGCCACATACCTCTCTCTAATCTAGATGTATTCTTTTTCGGCCCTGTTGTGCTGATGTCAGCTCTCTTTCGGCTAATGTATTCACACTTTTTAGACCCGCTGAGCCACTATCTGGGAAAAAGTTGAACCACATTGGTCAGAATTTTCCCCATTGGTTGTCTCCCAAAGTGTTAATTTGGGGATAAATAGCTCGTCAAAAAACAGAGGAGGCAAACGCTGTGTGAATGACTCAGCTACATTTCAAGGACTTTATAAACCCTCATCATGCTGTTTTTATGAGGGATAGGGTGCCTTGCTTGAAGCTTGGTGAATTTTTCTCATATAGTGTCATTAAACTGACTTTGGTGTTTAGGTCTTGCTTTCTTTAAATTCACTAAACCATGCGGTACAAGGTGTTGAGTCCGGTCTCTGTGCTCGCACTCTGCTCGGACTTTCAATTAAGAGGACAAGCGGACTGTAGGACACCCTCTATAGTTTTATTGGCATCTACTGCGTGAGCTGCCTCCTATAAGTACAACGAAAAAGCATAAAATGCAGAGAGGGGTGTTTTAGTGTGTTATGGTGTTTTACCCAGAAGATGGTGCTTGCAGGAGTGAGCAGCCGCTTTGCTGCTCAAAGCATGCTGGGTACACAGCAATGTGAACCAGGTCTCAGCAGCTTTTCTCCTTCATTAGGTCAGAATCATGCATCCCAAAGATGATGCTAGTGTACAGTTCAGTGAATAAACCTGATAGAGTGTTAGTTCAGTTGAGATTCACTGAAACAGTCCTGTATACAAGTGTGACTTACAGTTATCCTTGATTTTATTGAACTTATAACTCATAAGTAGCCACCTCATGCACCACTGTTTCAAAATTTTCTCTCCAAACAGTAAATCAATGATTTAAATATTTGGTAATTGATTGCCACAGAGCCGACAGGATGATAGATGTGCAGGATAATCATTTCAGCATTCATATCGCTCTCCTGGACTAAAAGTCCTGTGCCTGAGAGACGTTTGTTTTGACATCAATGGCTTTTCATCACAAAATATCGAGACATGCCACAGCAGCTGCAGCAGAAAAGAAATGACATTTTTTCCCTGTGCTTGAGGAAGAAAACTTTAGCTCTAAAAAGAACTGGTGAAATACAAAGAAGAAATAAAAGAGCTGTATATATATATATATATATACACACGTCCACAGTGCCTAGGAGTAAAAAGAGCAGAAAGCAACCCTTAAAATGTGAGCAAATAGTGTCAATTCAGGGTGTTCGAGCTCTACTCCTCCCCACAGAGCCATTTATCAGCTCATCTCCAGTGAGACAGTAATGCAATGATCCATGCACTGTGAAAGTGCTATTATCCATCCAGCTCTCCAAATAGCTTCATCCTGAGCTGGAGAGGGAGCGATCAGCGTGTTGCTGCTCACAGATAATGAGCTCTACGCTGTCAGTTTAGAGCCGAGTATTAAGAAATGAAAGAGGTTGAGTCATGATGCTCCGTATGAGCTGCAGCTACAGCAGGGCGCTCTGTCTCTCCACACTTAGAGCTGATGTCACTTCCTGCTTTTGGTCTTAACTTTTATTTCCTGCTTTCTGTCTGTCTTTGTGCGTTTTCCTTACTTTCTGGTTCTTTTAGATTTATTTGCTTTCTGTCTTTCTTTTGCTCTAACCATTGTTACATCTTTTTATCTGCATCATGTCTCTGTCACTCTCTTTTCTTGCCTTCTCCCTGAACAAAATACTCCCAGACAAACCAATTTAACCGTATCATATCACCAACACGCTTATTCTGCACGCTAACGATGAAAAACAATGTATCAGAGGCTTACTCAGCAAATTTGTGAACACCATTATGATTCTACAAGCAGCGTCACACGGCTTACTTTGCAGTTTAACATCACCGATAGGCTCGCTCCTCCTCTCCGCTCATCCGTCCCTCTTGTTTGCATAGACAGCGTCTGCATGAAAAACAGGCCATCAGGTTTGACCTACAGACAGCTCCTTGCCTATCCTGTCTCTGCTCTGTGTGTGTGTTTTGTGTGTGTGTGTGTGTGTGTGTGTGTGTGTGTGTGTGTGTGTGTGTGTGTGTGTGTGTGTGTTTTCGTGTGTGTGTGTGTGTGTGTTTGTGTGTGTGGATTAACTTGCAGTTGATATTGGAGAGTCAGCTACATGTGCCCTGAGCCGTCACAATTTGTTCCTGAGGCAGCGTCATGATACTTTAACACACGAGGAGAAGTTGCTGACCCCTTTTTGTAGAGTTACCAAGCAAGCATTTATGGTCAATAAGACAGACCTGAGGATCCTATTGGCCTCTTTTATCATCGGGTACTGTAGTGTCATGTTGTAAGGACTCATTATCTTGACAATCAAATCCTGATCGACAATTCTCAAACGCAAAATTAGATTTCGGACAACAGGAGGGATTTTTCTTTAAAATATTTTAGATTAGGATCGTGACTTGTAACTCTTGGATTAAAGATACTGTAGATAGGATTCACTCTCAAAAAACTGTTTTACTCCTTCGTCTGTGGGTTAAGTGGCTATGATGTCATTAGCAGCCTGATTAAAGGAGCAGTTCAACATTTTTAAAGGAATACTACAAAACCCAGTAGGAGATTAACTTTTTATTAACATTTTATTGATTTTATTTTTGTGTTTGTTTTTATTTGATTTTACTGTGTTTTATCTCATTTTATTTTCACCTTACCCATTGTGCTTCTGTTGTGTTTTTTATTGTATTTTTATCGTGCTTTGCAGCACTTTGGAAACCTTGCGTTTGCTTAAATCATGCTGTATAAATAAAATGGATTGGATTGGATTGGATGGAAAACCATTGTAAGCAATATCATTATGGCTCTTAAAGATACCATAAGTAAAACACTGAGAGGAATTTTATTGCAGATATCCAAAATGTTAAATTTGTCCTTTAAAGACTGACAATCATGTTAACCAGGAAGAACTGAATTGCAGTTTTCTCCAGTTAAATCCAGTCAAGCTTTCAAAAACTTAAAATACTATTTTGGCTACATCTACTTTTCTGCTAAAATCTGCTAAAACTGATAGTCATAAGTAAACTGAAAATCTCCAAATCAGCGGAAAAGCTTGTTAACATACAAACTGTAAATTTGGAAGTTGCTCATTATTGTATTACTAGCTTTCTTTGCTAACTCCAGTCAGTATGAGTTAACTGTCTTGTTATTTTAACTTAACTTTGTTTGGAAATACAACCTTTTTTTAAACATTGCATTAATTCTGTAGAAACTAATCTCATCTGTCAGAGTTACTAAACTACAAAACCTTTTGTTCTGATAACCATTCATGCTAATACTTCCTTTATGGTTCGCAGGAAGTCTTGGTAGAGTCCTTTCAAAATAAAATCCAAACTGAAAAATGAAACGACGAAGGTTTAAGGTAGTGAAAAGCCAAAGTGAGCCTTCCAGTCTTTCCTAACATGTCTCGGTGTTTTGATTTTCTCCCTGCAGCCGTCACTTACAGTCCGATATTGATGTGTCGTATTCCCCCTCTCCATCTCATATCGCTGACCACTCTGCCCCTCTGACATTGATTTATCGCTCCTTTCTCCATTATCCATTACCTGCCACACGGCCCCAAAGGTGCTGCTGTGTGTAACCAAAGATGGGCTTCACCATCATTCACACACATCTCTGTCAGCCCCACCCCCCCACACACACACACTGAAATACAGTACACATCCCATTTCAGGGGTTATCGATAAGGGCTCCACGCTCCAGTCAGTTGGTCTGTTTGTGGGGGAAGGGTTTAAAGATGTCACACAAGAGGAATGAATCTTTTTTTTCTGCAGTGGTAGCATTACTTATGAATGACAGATTCTTTAAATGCAAAACTAGATGTGCCTTTTTCGTGTTATGTTCTCTTACTTGTACATGTTCACTTGAGTATTTTTACAAAATTAAGGCTTTTATTCACCAAAATCCCATTTTTGTTTTTCATTCTACAGGGGAGCAATGTCATGGAGGACCAGGACCTGAGAGAAATTGGGATCACGGATCCGAGCCACAGAAAGAAGATTCTGCATGCAGCGCGTTCACTGCCCAAGGTGACACACCATTGATTACCTGTTCAGTACTTGTTTCATCGTAGCATTACCTGATTCATCGTCTTTTATTGTATCTGATGTTTGATCACAAGCCTCCAGTCTTTTCTTTGTAACAAGACAAAGGCGCAATGAAGGGAGGAAATGGAGTTCACGTCTCTCTAGTCTAATCCCAAGAACAAACGTTGATGCATTTGTGCTTCTCATAAGTGTTTCAGTTTGACTCTGCTCCCCTTGTTGTGCTTCATTCCAATTTTTAGGTCCATATTAATAATTTAGAGTAAATTGACCAGTGTTTTTATTTGGTAATCCAATAAATGTAGTGAAATTAACTTTATAACACTGACTTTAAGAGCTACTATTTAATTAATGCTGCTCTGCTACATCAGTGTGGTCTGAAATCATGACTTAGATGTAGAAAACAGTTTCGTACTGCTTATTCTGTGGAGTAATATCTTTGATTTAGTTGTATCCACAAGTTTGTGGGGATTTGCATGCTTTAAAAAAAGTGCTCAGCTGGCTCTTGTTCTGCAGTTTCCCACCGACATCAATCTGATAAACCTAACCTGTATGCTTAAGTTTTTTGTCTTAAGAGAAACAAAGCAGCTGTAGAATTTAATTGAATAGCATCATGTAAATAATTGCTGATTTTGAGGCTCAAAGATGGTCATGCAGTATTTCACAGTAAAGATGAGAATGAATTTATGCAACAAAATCTTGTTTTTCCATCATTTTTTATCTCATTTATCACATCATAGTTATATAATTTCCACTTCATCCTTTGAGTTTGCTATAAACTGTCAAGCTGTTTGGATTCTGTAATGTCTGAATCCAGGATTTTTCACTTAAAGTTAAGTTTTTTGCTTTAACGTTCGTTTATTTAATTGCTAAATTAAGCTTCTTAACTAAAGTAAGACTGGGTAATTTTACTATATCTAGATGTTGTTTCAAAGCCTTCATAGCATTCGTGACTGAGTCTGTCTGTCTCCAGGTGAAAGCTCTGGGCTGTGACGGCAGCAGCTCCCTCTCCTCATGGCTGGAGAATCTGGGCCTTCACGAGTACTTGCACAACTTCCTGGCCAGCGGCTACCGCTCTCTGGACTGTGTCAAAAACCTGTGGGAGCTGGAGATTGTCAATGTGAGTCACAGTGACATATGTGGACTTAGGGGAGTATCGGAGGGTGAAATTAGTTTCAGAGGGTGCAAAGGAAAACTCAGGAGAAGGGACAAGTTTGGCATTTGGGCTTCGGTGTGGCTGTGTTGAAAACACAAACTTTGGAGGCAAATTGTGGAATATAGAACTTCATTTTGTGGATGACAGATGGAAATTAAGTATGCGGCCTTGTAAGATGACAGGTTAATGTAAAAAGATTGAGAACGGACCAAAGATGTTTCACTGAAAGTTGATTTTAATCGTATATTCAGAGTCTCCTCCAGGGTCAGAGTCTCCAAAAGTTAAAGGGAAGTTTTTATTATGAGGTCACTTGATTTTTCTTGGCATCTCTCCGACTTTCCAGCTCTTCTGCTTCCCAAAATGCTTCCTCACACGTTCAACAGATATTCCCTCTCTCCTCCAGGTGCTGAAGATCTCCCTACTTGGCCACAGGAAACGAATCATCGCCTCATTAGCGGAGAGACCCTATGAGGAGCCTCCAGTCAAGCCTCCTCGGTTATCTCAGATCAGGGTGAGTTTGTTTCACTGAAGGTTTTCCCTGTTTCTTAGTTCAATCTCTTGTTTTTTCTTCCTCCTGTGCAGGAATTTTCGCAGCTCTTTTCAAAGATGAGGGACAGTCTTTCATTGTTCGTCTCACAATGAGATGTTTCCGACTCTTCTTCCGCAGTGCCAAGACCTTCCTGGATCTCAATCCTCGTCCCCCCTCAGCCAGATGGATTCATACTCCGGACGCTCAATGGACCCCCTGCTGCCAGCTGGAGAGCCAGGGAGGAAAAAAGTGCCAGAGACCGACTATGACGTCACCCAAAGATATCGCAGTGACAAACACCGATCACACGTACGTTCTGGTTTATATCTTTGTTGTTAAGTCTCATGAAGCCATGTTTCTGATTTAGGTCTTATGATATGTTCTCTTTATTTATGTTTGGCAGGAGAGGTACGAAGAGCGGCATCGAGAGCCTCGTCTGACCCTGAGGCCGCCCAGTCTGGCAGCCCCATATGCTCCAGTTCAAAACTGGCATCATCAGCCTGAGAAGCTCATCTTTGAATCCTGCGCCTATGAAGCCAGTGTATGTTTATGCTTATTTTTCTCCTATGATGCAATTTGCTCTGAAAATATTTCATTCATGTATTCCTCTCTCTCTCTCTCCTTTTCTCTTTTAGTACCTCGGTTCCATGCTCATCAAGGATCTCCGGGGTACTGAGTCAACGCAGGATGCCTGTGCCAAAATGCGGGTATGAGACACTCGCTGCTTTTTTAATCTCAGGGGTAAAAGTATGAGTAAATGTTACATTTGATACAGTGTGGTTTGCTTTCTTTCCTTCAGAGGTCCACAGAGCAGATGAGGAAAGTCCCCACCATCGTCCTCTCCATCACATACAAGGGAGTGAAGTTCATCGATGCAGCCAATAAGGTCAGCTGGGGAATCCTCTTATGTCATGTTATCCAACAAATTTACAGATAACATTTGAGCTCCTGTTGGGAACTTTGAGTTTATTAAGTGACACCCCATATCTCTTTGTTGGTCTTATCCTGGACACTTGCTTTTAAAAAATATCCTCTTTACTTTCCACAATCACATGTATCAGTCATCATGCAGGGTTCCTACGCAAGTATTGAAAAGTATGGAAGTAATTTGATCAATTTCCAGGTCTTAAAAAGTAAGGTTAATGAAAAATAAAGTATGTAAAAATACTTATGTTAACAGACTATATTACCACAGTTATAAAATACTGTTTTCTAAGATAGAAAAGTAGGTATTTCCAAAAATAATTCTATATAGTAGGGTATGGAAAAGTATGGAAATTCCAACTGTGTAGGAACCCTGATCATGTCTAAAGTCTTTGCTGTGAAAATGTAAAAAACAAAAGTCTGCCATCTGCAGTTTATCATTTTGTTTGGCTCCTGATCTGCAGCAGCAGATTCAGACAGTAATGAAATAGTCTGTCTTGTCAATTGTGGTCTCGTTGGCTCTTGAAGGTCATAAAGGGGCATGAGAATTAAATTTAGACTGTTTTATGACCGGGGCTGCTTCTAGTGAAAGTGGGGCCCTAAACCAGTCCCTCCACAACAACTGACCAGACACGTCAGTGCACAACAAGGTGTTATTTATATTCTGACAACCGCATTCTGTAAGAAAAAACATTTTTAGAGCATTGTAGATTTTTCTTACATCTGAAAAAATCAACAAAAAACTGATTCAATTAAAATTTTGAAAGTGGAAAACATCGTCCGCAGACTTTTGTTTTCATCTGCAAATGTGATTTTATTATTAAGTCTTATACAAGATAGTTGATTCTTGATCACTGCTCACTTTGATTAACACACGCACCGTCACTCGCCTCCACCAACATAGTCACAGAGACACATCATGTACAGAAAACAATAAACACTAAACAGCTGTTTGAGTGGACAGAGTGTGATCACAGTTTGCAGAGGCTGCCATCAATCAGCTGATCCTGGACTGTGTCGTATCCCGGTACTAACTCTCTCACTGCCTCTCTTCTTCATGCAGAACATCATCGCAGAGCATGAGATCCGCAACATATCATGTGCCGCCCAGGATCCAGAAGACTTGTGCACGTTTGCCTACATCACCAAGGACCTACAGACCAACCATCACTACTGCCACGTGTTCAGCACCGTAGACGTGGTGAGAACGCCCTCTCTGTCTTAGATTATGTCTACTTCTTTCAGATGAGCGTTACATAAACATGACGGAGGAGAGAAGTGTGGAGATTTTTCCTCACTTGTAAATTTAAATTCCTCCGACATCAGCTCGCGTATTCACACTGAGTAGATGTGACAACATTATCTCTAAACTGCCCGATCTCCTCAAGGTGTCATGCTCCAGTTGGGGTTGATTGCCTCCCTGTGCTGCTCCGGCCATGATAACTAGCCCTCCATTACTTTCCTCATCCCCGCTGAGATCTGATGATTATCCTGCTAATCTGCCTTTTAATGCAGCCTCAGCCTCACAGTGTTCCGTTTCCAGTCTATAGCTCTTTGAGACAATGGCCGCCCTTTAGCTGAAAGTGCTACAACAGGGTGATAAGCATCCAAAACCACATCTGCCATGAGATATTTCAAGCTGAATTGATCATAGCTGCTGTTATCATCCCCTGCCAGACACCATACTCCTCACATAAAGAGAATAAAGGGCTGATCACGTCCTGTCTGGAGCATTAAGTTAGAGCCACATCAGGGTATCTAGCAAACAGGGGTATTTGTCTCAAGGAACTGATATGCGAGTTGTTTCAGCATTCTGTTTCTGCTGCATTTGATTGCTTTTAAACTTAACTGTGAATGCAGAGAGAAGCTCCAATCCTCTGTCTTTAGTCTGAGGTGCTTTGTCATATTCGGAAGCTGTCAGGAGTCTAACAATAGAGTGCAGCAAGCAGCAGCTTATAATACTAAGCTACAGCAGATGAATCCACTTCAGGTACTGAGGGGGGCTGCTTGCTGCTGCAGAATTCTCCAGAGATTACTGGCACTTCTTTTTATGCAATTTTGTTTTCAAGAGGGGAAAGAAACTCTGTTCTGGTTCGCTTTGCTGTCTCACTGCAAACTAAAACAAAACCGAAGAATAACACCTTGAAATATCCCGCCTCTTCGTCTTTTTTTTTATCCCCAGAATCTGACCTATGAGATCATACTGACACTCGGTCAGGCGTTCGAGGTGGCCTATCAGCTGGCTCTGCAGGCCCAGAGGACCAAACACCAGAATCTCCCGGTGGGACAAGGTTCAGAGGTCATTGAGACCAAGTCCAGCAGACCTGTGCCAAGACCGAGAGGCAGCGTACGGAAATCAGCGGTGAGTTGGTTAAATCAATGAAATAACAGTTTTAGACACTTTCTCCTCTGCTCCACATAAAAGTATTTCATAAAAATGGTCGGGACAGGTTAATGCCTGTGTTCTGGATACAAGAAGCAGTTTGTAAGTTTAATTATGTCGCTGATTTGTCTTGCGTATTAAAACTGCCAGCAGAAGATGCGACACACAATAAAGGTTCTCTAAAACCCGAAGTGCACATTAGCTGCAATCTGCATCAAATCAGACTCTTTAAAGTAAAGTCAAGTTTATTAAAGTAAAGTTATTAAACATATTCTTATTCTTAAAGCTCCAACCTTGTTTTTTAATCTTATAGAGACACGATTATATCTGATGTTCAGTGTAAACAAGGGTCCTTAAATTTGCGCTGACATCAGCCGCTTAAATCTTTTGTTCATGGATTCCCACAGTTGCAAATTAGTCCTGTTAAAATGTTCTGTTCGTACAAAAATACTCATAAATTCTTAATGCGAATAAAAGCTAATTTGCAGAGATTTTCATGTCGGAAAATGACTAAAGTGTTAACAGATATGAGCTCCAAATGTGGCCCCAGGCACAGCTCAGTGAAACACTAAAAGTCTCTTTGGAGTTTCGGTCCCCTCAGACATTTTTCACACCTTTGAAACAGGTGAAGTCAGAAGATTATCCCGTGTGTTTGTTTCGATATCTATCTCTTTATGGAAACACAAATCTCCTTTTATCAAACTCCATTTTCTAAACTTATTAGAAAGCCCCGAACATTTGTATCAGGGCCGCAGCTTATCACGGTATTATGAGAGTACACTGCGATGGTGTTTGTTTGGCTATTTGCATTAAGCCATTAGTTAGAGAGGCAGTGCTGAATATCAATGAGGTAAAGACGCCTCAGGGACTCATCTGTGGCTCCAGCTTAATGAACTCAGCAGAATCATCATGGTTACTGTCACTTCTTATGTGTTTGCTTCTGTTTTCCCCACAACTTAATATTTTGATACAAGTGTTTAATCAAATGCACTCTCCAAAATACCTTGCTTCTCACTCCCACTGTTACCCGCATTCACACTTGTAAGCTGTCACAGTTTTATCTCCTTCGGCTATGATAGACCAGACTCCTCCTGTCTCATGCTTTGCAATTCTATGTCAGTTTCTTTCCATTTAATTCTCTCTAAACCCCCCTCTTTCTCTCTTTTCTCTCTCTTCCTGTCTCTGTCTCTTTTGCTGTCTTCCTTTCCTCCTCTTCTCTTTGTTTTCTTCTCTCTCCTCCTGGCGGTGTTTATCTCCCTCCAGGACTCTCCTCCTCTCGACAGTCGTTGCTGTTACTGTTACACCTGCACCACCCACCGTCCCTCCTTCCTACCGCTGCACTCTGCCAGCTCTGCTGCCCAGGTGCCGCCTCACATCCTCGTCTCATCCTGTCCTGTCCTCAGCCTCTCGCACTGCTTTTGTTTTCTGCCTTCCAAGAGTTTTTTTTTTTCCACTCACTGCCTCGAGTATAATCACCAACCACCACCATAATCCTTCACATGCTGTTGTCAGTGTTTTACTGCTGTTTCTATTTCTACTGTATCTATACAGGCCAATTTACCTCCACTTACTTGTATGGGTGGATGAGTGCTACGAACAGTGCTTTTGACTTAGGCGCCCTCTAGTGATCGTTTGGTGGAAACACAAGAAAATTTTAACCACAGAGAAGTCGATTCAGAGATTATTGTTTTATTTGTGTTCTGTTGTGATCAGAGTGATAGATCGCTGGATCGATGCTTAGTGATAATGAAACAAGTGAACTGCGCTTATACCAAAGCAGATGTTTCTCCTGTTCATAACAAGAACTAGAATAAACAGCAGAATTTCACAAGAATTAAATCAGAAAAATCCTTCTCAAAACTTTTAGTTTAGTCAATGATTTGCCGTTTTGAAGGGGATACCAACTTTTTGCACAGTTCTCAGGGGTCTGATGATTAAAAAAATCGATCAGTCTTTATTTATATAGCACTTTTCATACACAACCAGAAAAAGGAATAAAAGAAACAAAGAATACCCAAATTTACCCCAACCCAACCCCTCATTCCCACCCCACGATCTAAATGCAACAGAAACAGAATTAAAATGCATAAACTTAAAAAGGGCTTGATTTCGTGGAAACAGGAATGTGCGCACTGAGGAAACGTCATTTTCAAACTCAAGAAAAGGAAACACTGGAGAGTAGAAATAATCAATAAAATGAAATAAAAACAACACTAAAAGATACTAAAATAAGAGCAATAAAAGACGATCATTTCACAGGATTCTCCATGTTCCTCATTTTGCCCCCCAAAAAAAACCCAACTATGATTTTATCACTACTTTATTCTGATCACCTGATGTCATGACTCTATTCTCCTTATATGAGAAAGTGGTTTTACAACAACTTCATTCACCTGAGAAAATTAACCCAATTTTTAATTTTAAAAACTGACTGTAATCCTGATATTTTTTGTCTTTATTGTGGCCTCTAATAGTCCATCATTGTGAAAGTTTTTTAAGAACAGCTCAACACGATGACCTTCAGCCGCTGAGTCGGTCTCAATATCGACATTTTAGAGATGAACTTGATAAAGTTAAATTAATGATTTTTATCCTTCTGTCTCTCTGTAGTGAAAGTATGTGTTATTTGCAATGCAAGCTTATGATACACTATCTCATCTATTTTTATAAGAGCCTGTGAAACAAATGTGAGAACCCTCTCAAGATCCTAGCGTTTATTTATTAGCATAAATAATATTATAGCGTACAGTGGCTCTGCATCAGTATCAGCTAATGAGTAATGTGTGAAGCACTATTAACTGTGAATATCCACACTCCACCGTCACAGATGAATATTTCAATATTCATTTATTTTAATTATGATGTGTAAAGACCCCACTACAGCTGTGGGCATCAATAACATCAGGGAAACGGCAGAAATCACTCTTCATATCAGCATGAAAAGACATGAACGTAACGACATAAATACTCTTAAATGATTGATTGATAGATGAAGTGGAGGTTAAAGTGAAACGTTCTTCACATCGAGAATGAAGTTCTGCTTACTCACCCCCTCCTCCCATATTTATCCTAATGAATCACAAGTTTGAAAAGATGATTAATTATTTAATTCAGCAAAGGTGGCTGAAAATGAACTGCTGTCATAGAGGGAGTTTATCGTTATGGAACAGCTGAGGGGAGTGTCACTTTAAAGGTGCAGTGTGCGAAATCTAGTAGCATTGATGGAAAAAAATTGAATATTATTCTCCTGAATATGTATTTATTAGTGTGTAATCTTCTGAATAGAAAAATTGTCAAATTAGGACAAGCCTTTTTATAGATATAAGAGTGGGTCCCCATCTCCAGAGACAACCATCACGTACCACCATCTTTCTACTAGGGAATCGGTTCAAACTTGAAGAAGAAAATGGTGACGGTGGTTGGTAGGTGTTTTTGATGGTTAAAATTTCACAAATAGAGGGTCATACTTATCACGCATCACACGAGCGTCCTGTCCTGACTGGCCACTAACACTTCCCTGACAAGAGGAGTGAGCAAGGGAGCATTTTGGTCTATAATCTGACAAAGATCAGGTTTCAACCTCTAAAACAACATCTGAGTTTTTGACGTTTCATCTTTTTTTGGCGTTTTGCTTTTAGCTGCTTGAGCTGAAGATAAAACAGAAGTAGAAGAAAGAGAGCAGGTGTAATAGGAAACTAAGACTCCTTTTATTCTTTATTTCATCCCACTGTTGATGCTCAAACTTGAGATGAAAGTGATGATTAAAGAGCTGGAGATTTGATTCCCTCTGTTTGTGTTTGCAGGGCGATCTCGTGGAACAGGAGGGAGAATCTCAGTCCCAGGGCAGCACCGCATGGCTGGTGGATCCAAAGGAATCCAAGCGCACTATCAGCACTAAGTACGAGACCACCATATTCTGAGTGGACCCCTCTTTCTCCTGACCTTTGACCTCTAGGCCTGGTCTCACCTTCCTAATCCTCCTCCTCCTCCTCCTCCTTCTGTGTGCCTTTCACTGTGACTCTGCCTCTCTCTGAGCTGGACCCCCTGCCCTCCCCCGGCCTCCCTTCACTTGTGTCCTCATCTGAGTACAACACAACCTTCGACAGCTTAACCACCTCGTCTTCTTCACGTTTTATTGACACTCAGTTCAGCTCCTCTTCTTTATTAACGCTCCTCCAGCCTGCCACTCACTTCTCCACTGTTCCTCACTTCGTTTACCTCTGAATGCTTCCTGAACTCTCCACACCGTTCTCCCTTTTGTTGTTCCTCTCCTCCGTCAACATCCCTCTATTGACTCTTGGTGATAAGCTCTTCTTTTTTTCTTGGTGCTTTTCCTGCTCTGTTAGGCGACGGCCGCTCTGAGACTTTTCACTCTGATCTTTCAACTCATCTAACTTCTCCGTGTGCTGAGAGAAAATCTGATTTTCCTGCAGTCAAGAGAGGCCCACCGCTCACATCCTGTACCTGGATGGACATGTTTCCTGAGGAAACTCAGAGTCTGGTTTCTATCATTCTGGACGATAGAAGACTGTTCAGAGGTCAGGGTGTTATGGGGGTTTTACAGGATTAACCAAGGGCGATATTTTTCACTGTCAGCTCTCTGCTGAAGCCAAAGCAGGCTATGATCCTAGCACTGTGATAAGGTCCTTTTGGAGCTAATAAAGTAAGCATTTTAGGGGATTTTCTTGCAGATAAGGACCTGCATGTCAGTGGTCCTGCTGCTCCAGAAAATAGACCCTTTTGAAGACTTGTAGCCCCCCTCTGTCTATCAATCAGAGCAAAAAAAAATGCTTCCTTTGGAGACAACTAGCTAAAACTAAGCACTTTCAACAAAAACCGGAGTGTGTAAGAGTAAGTGCAGCTTCCTCTGTCCTGTCTCTTTTTTTCTTCTTTTCACAACAAATGCCTTCTCTCTTCATCCGTCACCATTGCCTTTTGTTTCGCCAATCACACTGGGTTAATATTTCACAGCTGCTGGTGAAAAGAGTAAATCATTGTACTGTGAGAGGGAATGAGGATATCCATCACCATCATGCTGTTCGTGTCCATGAGTCTTGTTATTTTTTCCCTTTATGTTAACCTCACTGCTTTGTGTGTGTTTGTGTGGTGTGTGTGTGTGTCTCGTGTCCCTTCCTCTATAGCTGAACACTGTGGCCACTCCCAGCCAGCCAGTCAGAAAAGGACAGGACAATATGAGACCTGTTGCATGGTGGGTAGGATGTTTTTTTTGACTGGAAAAGTGACCCACTTCCAAAGCAGCAGATCGCACCGACAGTTGGATCGTGCTCATTGCAGTAAAACACAGGACCTGGAGACCTGCAAGGTTTATCACTTCATCTGACCTCAATGCACTCACACACACACACACAAGTCTGCTTAGCTTTTTGTCTGACAGAAAGTTTTGGTTGTCCCAGTCAGATGTATTTGTTGCCACTTTAACGCAAAAGGTATGGGAGCCTATTAGGGCAAAAAAGCTCCAACAGCTCAAGGATTTCCACAACATAAGATTCAATTAAGACAGAAACACATGCACAAGCTCAAAATTAATACAACCATGAGAAAACAGCTTGAAATGTAAACGTTGATGTGCTGGCCAGCATTCTGTTAATTTACAAATGGTGCAAAGTTAAAACTAGGAAAAGAAATGCAACAAAAGATACGGCAGGACTCTCGGCCTGTAGGGTGAGGCATGTTGGATGAATGATAAACATTACACAGATGATTTAAAAGCAGGTCATTTGGCTTTAAGAGGAAGTGGCTGCGTTAGAAACCTCTTTTTGTATCAAACTAACAGAGACCACACACTGTAGGTACACACTCCTTCCTGTAGCGACACCTTGTAGCATCTTGTCACGACCATCAGCCTGTCATCCACAACAAACACAAATAACTGTGATTAAAGGACGTAATCTTGCACGGGGGGAACTCTCTAACCAAACTCAAAGGGCAGATGAACTGACACTACAAAGACTGTTTTATAATAATAATAATAATAATAATAATATAACAGGGGGTGGCTTTTATTTGATTTGAAAGTGTACTCTTCTTTTGTATGTTTTAATTGTTATATAGGACAATTGTGTGTCCTAAAGCTGGATCTGGACCAGGTGTGGTCCACTGCAGTTCTCCTTCTTCATCCCTGCCCCCTTTTGTTTCATTTATCCAGGCAAGATTAATCACCAAACCTGCCATGCAGGACGGTACCGTCTTTAGATTTTAGCTGCAAAACAGAACAATAAGCATGTTTCTCCTTCGCTAACTCCCTGTTTGTTGACTGTTAATGGTACTTTTATGTTCATCTAATGTGTATAAGGGTACATATGATTTAACTGTTGTGTATGTGGTACGTTGTCAGGCCAGTTTGATAACTCTATGGTACACTGTCTTCAGCTGGCTGCTGTCGGCACCTTCAGCCATCAGCCGGGGTCCCGTTCTGCTTTTGCACATTGCTGAGGATCAGGAGATGTTATCGGGACGAATCTGATGACGTCAGTGATGAGAATGATATTGTAAATGAATCTAGCGGTCTGTATTTTGATACTTGAATGATTTTTGCTTTTATAGATATCTATATATATGTATATGTATGTATGTACGTATGTAATTTTTGACGTTTGTCAAAAGAGAGAAAAGGACTATGTCTTATAAAGTTAAACATATCGTGAATAAATACCCTGTGATTTAAAAAAAAAAGGCTGAGATAACAATGACTCAGAAGAGGGACCTCACTCTAGAAAAAAAGATTGTAAATAATCTTGGGCTTCCAGTCTTTTTTATGATTATTTTTCATAACTGTACAACTAATAAATGGTGCGAAAAAGAAATGCTGGTGTTGCCGTCTCCTTCCTTTGTCTGGTAAGTAATTTTTCCACTGAACTTGTAAATTTTTTCCAAACTTTTGAAAATTTCTGTCTGTTTTCTGACAGTGTTCGGGTTTTCCACGTGTCAAAGTTTGGCGAACACTGCCTATTGATGCTTTTTAACTGTCTTCATTCGTCAGAGGGCAAACAAGGACAGTTGATGCTCAAAGATAAAATGTTTCGTCTACACCCTCCACCTACATTTTATAAACCTTACTCAAGTAAAGGGTGGAAAGCCAGGGCAGGTGTGAAGGAAATGAAAGATTAAGCCACAAAAGCTGACAGCAAATTATCATCCAGACCTCTTATGTCACCAAAAACCCAGAAACCATACAGGTGTAACCACAGCATCTTCCACTACTCTCCAGCTCTGTGTGATCCTACTTTACAGCAGCATAATATAACCAATAAAACTCAACGGCTACTGATATAAAAAATACCTGCTTGTATTCACAATGTAAGCCACTAAGATGACAGGTACAGAGCAGAGGAGAATGAGAATGACAATAATACATCAGCTCATTTTCATAGATATGCAGCAGACGTCATAGTTGTACGCTGCTGCTGTTCCTGATTGTTGAAGCTGATATCTGCAGAAAGGACTGCTTTGTTTTCCAAGCTCAACATACAGACTCTTCTCTGTATCTGTCCTGTAAACTATGACTTTACTTGATCCAAGATGACAGGCAGTGTTTTAACTTTCTTTTTTATGTTACTTACTTTTACATATGTAACCTTTATAAGAATTTATTGATATTGTTTTCATAAATTCTGCAAATTGGTTACAAAAAAAGGTAACACATTACAATAACCATAACTCAAATGGTAAGCAGATAGTTTATAAATGGTAAGCAGATAGTTTATTAATGTTTAATCATCATTTATAAAAAGCATATAGACCATTAATGAATTTTTTTTCAAAGTATTACAAACATCAGTTGCAACTTTACAAAGATCTACTGACACACGTTTTATGCTAGATGTTTCAAAACCAATATTTAAACCTTATATAAACCTTTAATAAATAGTCCTTTAATAATTAATGAAAATTATTAATCATAATTTCATCGCTTGTTTAGGTAAAGTAACTTTTAACTTATATTAATAAACTATCTATTTGCCATTTATAATTGGTTTCTAAACATTTATTAACAATCTATTTACCATATATAAATTATGCTTATTGTAAAGTATTACCCCCCAAAATTAAAAGTTTACCAGGTTACTAGCTTGATAATAACACTGTCATGAATAAATCCACAGAAATATTACACATTTTAACTTTTTAATTGCACAGTCTATTAGGAGGGTTTGTTTTGTTTTGTTTAGATAACAAAAAAAGCTTAATTTTCCATGTTAACAACTCTAAATAAAACAAAATGCATAAAGCGTATTCAACAACACACATAATTACACTTTATTTGTTCATAAATTGTTGTTTTAGATTTACAGATCAGATTTTAACAGGAGTTCTCCATTTTCGCTTTAGAGGAAACGTATTCTATTTTGCTAACATGTCATTGGTTCTCTTTTCGTGACGTCTACCTCAGGCATTCGCTGATTGGCCACAAGCCAACCTGTCCGGAGCCTAACTGGCTTACCTGGCTCCAATTATCTCCCACCTGTTCTGTCAGTCATTTCTCGTTGTGTAGGTGTGTTTCTAAGAACAGAGCAGCAGCCAAAGGGACTGAGAGCGGAGTGAAGTTCACCGCCGCTATGGACTGACCTGAGAACAGCTCTTCATCTGCTCTTTTCGACTCACAGGTGGAAACTTTTTGTCGACATCTTCGGTGAGTTACGAATGTTTGTTTCTGCTTAACTCAAGAGAAGTTTCAAGCTCTGAGGGGAAAGTAAACAGCTGTTTATTGTCCAACACATGTGAGGCTCTCTCTGGAAATCAGTGTTGTGCAGTCTGAGAGTAACTTAGGACCACATGAAATAGCCATTACAACAGACGTGGTTTCAGTTTATCCTGTAGGCCTGTACTTTACAAGTAGAGTTGACCCTATTTGCACAGGTAGTCAGCTATCAGCACATTAGGTCAAAGGGAGTCAAATCAGAGAGACAGTTGGAAAAAAAATCCAGACACTCCCATGTGTTTCCACATATCATCATCATTAGTAATCACTTGACATGCTTGTATAATCCCATAGTTATTGACCTTAATGGCTCATTTATTATGTGTGTTTCATTGCTGAGTATCTGGAGTCTCAGAGATGAAGTACAAATATTTGCACATATATGTCAATAGCAGTCATTTTAGTGGGACAACAAGCCAGAGCTAAACATTAATGAATTTTTTTTTCTCTGTTCACTCCAGCAGGTTTTGGTTGCTCAACCTGATGTTCAGATGAACTTTTGTTTACTCTTTAATGATTAAACCAGTTTTCTGCTGCCCTTGAACACATTCCTCACATTTTAGACCCCCCCTTTCTTTTTTTTTTACCGACAATTTGTTATCATAGAGTGTAAATTATGATGTCTCTGTCAACTTTGCAGCTGTTCTTCAGTAAAGGTGTTAAAGACATGCAGTTGATCCACCTCCTTTCAAAGTTTAAGACAGTTTTATCTCCTGACGCCCAGGAACATCAGAGCGCCGGGCTGAATTTAAGAGTCGTCTCAAAGACTTCATGGAAGCAAGCAAAGTGACATTCCTGTCACTATTAAATCCTGACTCAGCTGTGGGTGTAGTGAGCCTCCCTACAGCTGCATTACAGGTTTGCTCTCTTGTTAAGGTTGAAGAGGTGTTGGCTGCTCTAGTTTGGACAGTTGTCTCCCTTTCTGCTAATGGAAAGGTTAATGGGAGGAACAGTAATTAGCAGCTAATAAAGCTTTCACTAAGAAGCAGTTTCAGACAGCTTTTGTTGTCAGAACACATGTTAATGTGGGTGCCGTTGGTGGTTACGGTTCGTCCTTTAAATGTCGTCATGTAAACAAGACCGAAATGTCACTGATGTTTGTGTTTTTCATTGAGCTCAAGGCACTTTTATAACCACAGATCTTTTTGAAAAGTTTATTTTTTCCCTTTAATTTTAATCTCCAAACTTTTTCTTATTAAAATCAGCTAAATCAGGGACAATCAAAATAGCTTCAAAGTAGTCTGTAGCTCACTGTGAGTTTAAGTCTTTTCTTTAAAGGAGTTTTAATCTCATCATATATGATGTTCTTGACAGTGGTAGATTATAATTTAAAATGGAGAAGTTGCATGTAGAGGTCCTGATCATCCATACGTTCATAAGACTGTTCTCCAGCTTATGATTAGCTATGAGTCTTATTTATTAACTATTAATCTTTATTGATACAGCACCAATTTACAACTTAAGTTATCCCAGGACACTATACGATAAGGTCATAGTATAGGATAAGATTAAGCACCATCCTGTAAGATCAAACCCTCTCTTATCCCACTTTTATCTACTCTGAGTGTAAGACTTTGCAGCGTTTAGCATGTTACAGCAGCAGGAAAAATTCCCTTTCAACAGGCAGAAACCCTGAGCAGAACCAGACTCATGTAAGACAGTCATCTGCCACCCTTAAAGCTAAAGATAGCTCAAATTTATTTTCATTCTCCGTTATTATTTTGTGATCGTGAGAAAACGAAACTGAACCTGGGGTATTTTCCCTTTCTTTCTCTGGCTTTTTCTCAAGATGAATAAGCTCTTATCTTGAGAAAACAAACTGATAAACTGACGATCTTAAGATAAGGCATGAAAAAGATCTTTCAAAGCTCGCCAAATTTTCCTTTTATTGAAGAATAATATTGTTTTTCTTTTCCAGAAATGGGTGTGGGTAGATGCCAATAAAGAGGCTCAAAAGTTTGGAAACCTCTCGGATTTTAGTGCAGATCACACATGAAATTGAGACAAGTGCATCATGATTAACTCATGTATGTTTAAGTCATATATTTAAATCAGTTTTTGAGGTTGAATCGTGGAGTTATTTCTCTTTAACGGTAAAGCCGCAGTATAACAATCAGTGACCACATTTTCACCAATGTCATCCACTGAAAAAATAGCAGGATTAAAACTCTTGGTGTATGAAAATTACACCGCTGTAATGACACTTTGTGGACCCAAAATATGACCAAGATTGATTCAGTTTTCAATTTGCATGAACTCACTGCCCTTAAAGTTTTTTTAAGCCATCCAGAAACTCATTACTATCTTGAAGGTTTATTATGAAACAGACTGAAATTAATGTCAGTGTCATTTATGAGCTTCAGATGCAAATGAGACCACCAGTGACAAGACTGATTGTTTCTACAAGTCTTTATTAAAGTCTGGAACCACAGGGCATGGGGCTGTGTCAGATTAAGTAATTAATCATACTGCAGAAACACCCCTTTTACTACATTTTCCTCAGCCGAAGTCTCAATCAGTGTTACATTTTACAGATAAAGACAGAAGAAGGAAATTTCTTTTATCAAATGTTTATTAAGGACAAGATTTGCAACAAGATAAGAAGCTGATTCACAGAGGGAAGTTCCCTCACAGACAGATTTAAGTAGTTCAAACCGCTCCCTAATGTTTATCCTGCCTTCACGAAATGTTTGTGTGGCTAATTATAAGAAACATCACAAAACTTTTTGAATCACGCCTAGTTTACACTTGAACTTCCTTGTTGTTGTGGAGTGATTTATTTGAAGTGTCTTTGTCGTCCTCAGAGGAACTTCATACCCCACTAATGATAACCTCCACGCAGAATAATGTTTAAAGACTTCGTGCCATTTGACGGCTCTTTCACAGACAGACTGTGACGCTGTCATAAAGGGGAACTAAAATGCGGATGCTTGTGTTTATACACAGCTTTACATGAACACCCCTGAGCGTTACAGCACATATCTAGCCATAAAACGATGTAGAAAGCTGTTTTCTTGAATGTTGTACTTTTGTGACCTATTTAGATGAAAGCTATCACTGAATTTGACTCCAGATGATCAAATATCATTCTTTCATGCCTCAACTGTTCCCCTCTGTGGGTGGTATTTGCTATCACCAGTGTCCAAAAGAAGTAAGGAGTTAAACACTTTAAGAAGCCTTTTGTCTCTTTCCCTTTTAGTCTTGAATGAATTAAAGTAGTATTTATCTCCTGATCTGTGCTCTATTAACGAGGGCTCTGAAAATAATCCTTTGAGTTTTTGTCTGACATGTTTTCCTCATGCCTGATCTGCCAAGACTAATATAGACAGGCTAATTGGCAGGAAACACGAGAAAGCTGTGTAGCTGCAACACAACACGGCATGTGAACTCTCTTTACTAAGATTGCGCATGCCGGGGAGTTCGTCATGCGTACTCACAAACAAAGATGTGCATTTTTCTCAAACTTTCGAGAGAAAAAAAAACAATTCTTAGACTTCTGATGTGTGACTCCCGGATGTCTGTACAACTTAACCTGAAGGCTAGGCTGCAAAATAACATCCTCCTGTTCACTCACGTAGAAGAAGCTAAGAGGAAGGGCTTTCTCAAGTTTAGGTCAATTCTACTTTTACTTAGATTGTACAATTAATGCTACAACTTACAGAAAAATCTAAAACTTTTGCTGTACAACACCAATAAAAGCCTCATTTTAATGACCTGAAATCTTGGGTGTTGGTGTTTCGCTTGAAATGAGCTGAAATGATAAATTATGCAATGCAGTAGTTGTCAAGTTTTAGTTTCAGCTTTACAATGAGCAGATTATAGAGTTACGCAACTATAGTTAAGCCACAGTCATCATGCCACCTCCATATACAGTAGAGCCAGCACACGGTTTTAACAGTGACACCAGCAGAAAACGATCAGAGAGAACCGCAGTACAGCTGTATGTATCTATAGTAAACAAACAGGAGCTAAGATCAGCCTTCAGAGCTTCTGGTCAAACCAGATGAAATATGCTGAAGCTGAAAAAGACAAACAAAAGCCACATTGAACACTGTGAAGGTGGCTTTCACTCTATTTGCCTAATCCCTTTCAGCTGAAGTTACAGTTGACAAACAGAGATCCTCAAAAGGGGAACAATGTCTCTTTGTGGAAACAGAAAGAGGGAATTTGCTCGGCTGATATCATTTTCACCAACTGCTTGGGATTTTCCTTTTTTTTTCCATCACTTTAAATGGTCAAAATCAACTCAATGAACAGAGAACACCTATTTTAATATAAATCAGGGCATTTGATTGTTTTTACATACCAAAGGCAACTTATTTGAAAGGGGTTCAATCAAACTAAACCACGTCTGGAATAAAGACTTTAAGTTGCACCATTATCATAATCTATGACAGAGACAGACTTTTTTAAAAGGAGAGCTGTTACATAATGAGGATCATTTAGCCCTCAGCTGTGATTTAGTGCATTTATATATGACAGTAATTGAAAGATTTGACATTTAAAATTTACTGCCGTAATGATGACTAACAAATTCTGTGTGCTATTTTAAGCCTTAAGTTAACGCTTGCTTCTTAAGTGATAACTTTATCTATTTGATAAAGTTTATTGAGGGGTATAAACGGTTTTATTAACAAGCATTCACTTTGAACTAGCTGTGGTCTGTTTGTTCTGTGATGACGTTTTCATCCGTCTTTCCTTCAGATCCTTTAAAAGTCTGATTCCTGGTGAAACCTGCACAGATAAAAGAGGACGGTGAAGCCGCCGTCCTGTCTTCGTCCTCTTCCGTGTGCAATGCCGAAGAGTGACACGTGGCCAGGCGGTGTTGCCTTGGAATCCTTGAGCAATATGGACAGTGCCGGGAGCTGTGACAGTGTTATCAGCATGAACTCGGGCTGTGTGAGTGCTGCTGTACATTATCTTCATCCCTGTCCTACTGACTGCCGCTTATCTGTCTGTTGCGTAACACAACAGATCGGCGCGCTTTGCATGTAGACTTACTGTCCTCTCTGAACAAACCAGCTCTTGACAAAGAAAGGGGAATTAAAGAAGTGAGATCTGTGCATCAGGTGGTAAAGACTTCAACGTGGACGTTTACCACCAACAATAAAAGGTCATGGGAGATTTTATGAGAGGAAGTGAATGTTTGAGGTTGTACAGACAGTTCTCTTTAAAGATGACCAGAGGGGAAAAGATTTCAGACTGTTAACAAACACCTGCAGCTACCTGAAATAAATACTTCTGACAGGCCGACACAGAGTGAAAAACAGACCAGGAATTGTGTAATTATTCATTTCTTTTCACTGCTTGAACACAAATCAACTTTAATCAACTTTTACTGCCTCTTTCTCATAGTTGTGTGTAAGGTTTAATGGAAAGATTGCTTATCAAATCTAAATGTGTCTTATCATGTCGGTTGCAGAGTGAAGACAGTATGGAGCACTTGTCACCAGAGGAGAGAGCGTGTCTTATGTATCTTGAAGAAACTATCGAAGCATTGGAGGTGCAGGAGGACAGCGGAATATCCAATGATGAACCAGATTCTGGATTCCAAGTGGGACAGATGGGAGGAAACGGTATAATCATGTTTTTAAAATACCCTGTTGTGCATCATTTTGTTTACTTGCATGTGTGTTTATGTATGATACATAGCATACGGCAAGCGCTAGAGTTAACTTAACTTTGATCCACATGTCTGACTGTCGTATTTCAAATTAAAGGCAGCTAATCGGCATAATGCAGTTAGCATCACGCTGGTTAGCTGTACCCGTGTGCTTAGTTTGTTGATGTTAGCTTCAGCAGGTACTTGAGTGATACTTTATAGTCACTGTTATGTTAATTTGACTTTTCAACTAAGTCATCTGGTAGTTTTTTATGAAGGAAAATGTCATTGATTCTATTATAGAAGCAGGAAGACACTGCTTCACTTTAACTACGGTGTGCCAAAAAGGAACAAAATAGGAAGCTGATTTTAAAAATGATGCACTAATTTCAGACCTTAATCACATTGTGTTAACATTGACAACCCCATTAGTTAACTGTTTTAATTAGTGAATAATTAACAAACCCAATAAAATGCATCAAAAGCTCAGATAGTTGAATCTATGTACAAATTTACAAATACTAAGTCTAGATTTTTTTTCTTTTGTAGACATTCCCAGTTTCAGGACTGATGAGATACCTGGAGATCAAAAATCAGACCAAGCTTTGGATCAAGCTTTGAATGGACCCCCACAACCACAGTCCTCTTCTAGTTCTGAAGCTAACAGGACAGATCTGGAAACACCTGAGAGCCTCAGCACTCATCATGGACCTTCAGCCGCTGACAAAGTCCACCCACCATCTCATACCTCAGAGTTGGGTGTACCCAAGGATGAAGATGGTAATCTCATGATTGTCCCAAGTTCCATCCTTCCCCCGGTTGAGTCCACAAAGGCCCCAGAGGTAGATCTTGTTCTTATCCCTCCCCCGTCAGACTTCATGGATAAGCCACGGCCTCCTCATCGGCCCCTCACAGCAAAAGACCTTCTATCACCTCCAGTAACATCCAACACCAAGCCAGGAGCACCTGTTGACTTGGAGCAGCTTCGTATCAGAGCCTCTATTAAAAGGGCTTCAATGTGCCTCCCTGAGCCCTCAAACCAGCCCCAAGAACTGAGTCCATCAGCTGTCAGCTCCAGTCCCCCACTGAGTCCTCCTTTTCCTTTTCCAGAAGGCGCTGAGCCCAAAAGTCCTCCTGCAGTGGCCCCTAAACCAAAGAGGCTTCCTGCCAACATCATCCTGAAGTCACACAAAACAGCAGTGGCTGATGGGAACTCAGGGCATCCTGTGCCAGCAAGTGCCCCGCTGTTGGACCCTCAGAGGGTTCGCATGGAAGCTCTCAGAAAGCTTGGCCTGCTAAAAAGCGATGATGCAGATCCAAGTCCAATCCTGAGCCCTAGGCACTCTCCCCAAAACAGGAGGTCATGGGCGGCTCCTTCTTCTCCGATCAGCCCGCAGACACCTCCCTTAACACCAGCTTATCCCCGAGTCCACAGCCCCTCTCCTGCTACTGTCCACCTCCAGTCTCCTGCGTGTGATTCACCACCAGGGACTCTTTCTGCTCCTGTAGTCCTGCCTCCTGAAATCATCCCAGCACCAGATGCTTTCAGTGACCCCGATGGATCTTTGCATTCAGATGATGGACTTCCCTCTGGCATGGATGTCATAGGTGCCACTCCTCCTCGCACCCCTCCAGTCCTGGTCAAACATCTAACCCCACCCAAAGTCCTTGGAATCAAGTCAGCCACGCTGGAGCGTTCAGGCCCGGGTCTGAGCAGCTATATGGCAAGTCAAGACTACAGTGAAGCCGCTGGTAGGGGTACACCAAGCCCCAACCAGCTACGTAACAATCGCCCACGCCCCGCCTCTCTGGGGAGCAGAAAAGAGTTCTCAAGTGCTCAAGGAGAGGACCAGAAGGTCGGCGGTGCCACGGGCAAAGGGCCTGACGTACGGAGGTCCCTGCCGCCCCCTCAGCCCTCCCATAACTCTCAGAAGCTTCCTCGATCAGAGGGCATCAGCGTGCTGATCTGCCCGCGATCTCAGAATGAAGAAGATCGTCGTGAGGCCCTGAAGAGGCTCGGGTTACTCAGGGACTGAGGCACCAACGATAAACCTGACCCCAAATCTGACTTTGACAGACTCCCTGTACAAACTGTAAATAAAGGAACATACTAACGTTTATGAAGACTTAAGAAAACTTAACGGGGAAGCAGTTTCACCAGACATTTATGCATCGCCATTTCTACTGTTCAAGCTTTAATATCCAGAGACTGCCTGACTTAAACTGGTATTTCATTTATTTGTTACCCTTATCATACTTAAAACGTCAAGTGTTTTATTTCCAATAAAACTGACAATCATAAGGTGTTTGCTGACTCACTCGATGAAGCCATTTTTTTTTTCTTTTTTGTAAATTAAACATTATAATGGTTAAAAGTCAAGGGTCACTCCCTGCTTTCACAAGTCTTTTGTTAAATCAGCAACATGGGTAAAAGATTCTCGTCTCGGTTCTCGTATCTTCAATACTTGTATGTGACGAGTCTTTTGTTCTGAGCAAACACTGGCTGATTGTTATGGGTTTGTGTACTTGACACAGACTGTGTCGGACCTCTTTCATAATAATTACAGGTGTTTATTTTTAAATGAACAGAGATGAAGAAAGTATGCCCTGCTTTGTTAGAGCATACCTTGCTAGGAGTCAGATCACACAGTCAGTGGCCACTAGGTGAGAAGAATTTGAATAATGTAGTTTGCATGGTTGCATTGTGACGCACACTTAAGAACTCACAAGCTTGTCACATAGTGCTGCATGGAGTTTTAATTCGGGTCGATCAGTTTTACATCAAAAGATTCACATATTAAAATTTCTGATTTATAGTCTCCTTTTCCTGTTGTTTTCCTTTTCCTTCAGTTCCCTTTTCTGCTTTCAAATGGCATAATTTCCTCTCCTCTTTTTGCTTGAAGCCTCCATGTGTCGCGTCAAATCCTAAATTAAAAGCCCCACTTGCTTTTTGGCTCAGCTTCAGCACCTTTTATCTGATGTGATGCTGAGAGAACCGGGACAACCAGTTTTCTCACCTCCTGGTTTACCCTTTATGCAACAACACCTTGGCTGTGCCGTACGAACAGTCTGTGTGTCTGAAAAACATTTTATCTCTGCTGCAGGCTTTTAGAGACAAATAGTTTTGCTCTCTCCTGTAATTTGCAGATAAGGTCACCCCCTGCTGTGAAAATTTAGCTCAATTTGAACGATATTTCTTTGAACAGATGTTAATACCAGGCTGCTGCACTGCAGGGTTTGCAGAGAGCGTGGCAATTTTGTTATAAGTTACAGATTTTCCCATTTTTGGACTTGAATAAAACTTTCCAGCTAATTTTTGAAGCCTCCCACATCTAAAATGTTAAATTAGTTTGATAATTGTGCAGCTTTTACGATGACATATTCTTGTGGATGTGCATTCCCCAAATGATTGGATTTCTTTATTAGTTCTAATGTCTTTTCTTTCTCCATGTGAACTTTCTTTTGGCATGCATTGCGATACACTGTGTTACTTGCATATTCTATAAACAGAATTTGCACATGTGTTATATTTAAACAGAACAGGAAGTAAATCACCGATCATATCTGGAGAAAAAAGGAGCAAAGTGAAAAGATATGACTTTTGTTTTGAATATTTGTTTTCAAAGATAGAGCAGGAAGACACTCTTTTCAACAAATAACCCAACACTATTTATAGCATGTTTAAGAGACGAAAAAGGAAATTATTATTTTATTAGGTTAACTTGCAGCTAACACCCTTTTTTACTGTAAAGCCAAGAGAGGAGGAAGTAGTTACGTGCTGTCAAACCAACACAGGCTGTTTTGTGCTCCTCTGTGGCATGTTGGTATGTGGGCTATCTCTCCTCTCCACCTGTGTGATGTGCTGTTCTGCTGCCAGCAGACCTGAATGACAACCTTGGCCTGTGTGACAGTTCTGTCACTTTCACTGTTAGCCTCGTAGGCACCATAGATCAGCTGCTGTGAATAAGAGCCATATTAGTCTGCATACTCGAACTGCACGATACGGGGAAAAAAAAAGTTTGTCTTCTCTCTATCTATTATTATATAAAACAATTCAGGTGGTTAAACTATGTGCATTTGTCTGTTTTATGTACATTTATGTACATGTAAAGTAATTGGGGATTAATAAAAGTCTTATGTTTATGATAATAGGTACAGCCTTTTACCAACAAATCTGATACTGGGTCTGTAGGTTCAGTTATGTCATTAAGAAATATGGCTAATAAACAAATACTGTACCAAAGGGCGCATATTAGCTAAAATAACTCACACTTTCTATTTACCTACTGTACTTCCAGTGTTTGCAACCTATCCCTCCTGAATCTGAGAGGCAGCACCAGTCATGTTGTTTTAATACATGAGTGTTTTAATACTGCTTCACCCTCCTCTTGATTTAATGTGTTCTCATAAGGAGATGTTTAAAAAGCTTGACCTCAATAAAAAAGGACAGAGTAAACAGACTTTGACTTATATTTATCATTCATCAATTAATGACAAAAGTTTTTGTTACTATTGTTATTTTCTAAGTATTCAAACTTAGAGATCCGACCTACAGGGGGCGCAGCAGAATAATTGTAATGATGCAAAGTTATCAGGTGTGCACATACACACACAGGTAGAGGAAGTACCGTTGATCAGCAAACACGTTTGTTTGTGTAGCACACTAAAAGTGGAAGCAACATGGATGCAATTAAGGTAGGCTTGTCTTCAAAAAGCACAGTAGAGATTGGTAAAAGTTTTCTAACATTGTCTTTAAAAACGTCAACAAAAACAGAGACTTCTCGTGAGTTTAAAACCTCTCTGGGAATCATTACTAAAAGGGTTTTCCGGTATAACCTTTTATAAAATTGAGGCTTTAGAAGTTAATTGCAAACTTGAACCACTTTTGACTGTTTCCTCTTATTTTAAAGGTGCCTGTATTTGAAACTGTAATGAAGTAAAGGCTTTGTCAGAGGCCTACAGCTCTCCATGGCAACACTGCTCTTCCTTTTTGAATTCTGGGAGTTGTAGTTTTAAACTTTGATAGGAGCTGTTGAGCACAAGAAAGACTTGTATTTTTAGTATTTACCGTACACTAATAGTCGTTTTAAACAGTCAAAGACGTTAAGCAGTTGGCCCAGTGTTGTGTCAAACTAAAATCCCTGAGCCTTAGAAACGACATGGCCACTAGAGGGCAGTATGGATTCTTGTTAGTGAAGGAATACAGTTTAAAACACTTAACCACTTACTCAACGTGGATGGGGCTCTGAAGCTGAAGGGCAGCATTTATAATGTCTACACGGATGTAAGTAAACCCCCCATGCTGATAAAATACATTAAATATTCTAGAGTTTGAATGTATAAAACATGTTCACTTTTACAGTTTTACAAAGTGGAAATAGGAAAGGGAAAATGAATGAATGCAACTGAGGGATATCATTTTTCTGCAACCTGTTTATGTTTTCTCGATGAGTCTTTCATTTAAAATTATGGTTCATTATCAGGCTTGAAATTGTGCCAATGTCCTTTGAATCATGTGAGGTTATATTTATGGGTAATTGCATACTTGGGGAGTATTGACAGCATCAACTGTAGATCCAGCTTCACAGTTGCTAGATAATAACATTTAACTTCATTATCAGCCATTCATTTAGTTTCTAAAGGCATCACCTTTGATTTAGCCAAGGAGATTTTAGTTTTAAAGAACCCAAATGAATGGTGTTTACTCAATTTCCATTTCATTTGTCCCCTTAGATGTTCAAAATGTGAGATCATTGTGTGACTTCACCCTGCTGATGATCTCTTAAAAAATGAATTTGGTTTATCTTTTTATCCCCAAATGCCTTATAAAGGCTCTTTTTATAGAGAAGAATGTGAGGAGTTTTTATGATTTTCATTACTGACCTCATTTGGAGAAAGGAGAAGAAATGTATTATACAGTATTGCTAAGAACTGCCTTTGAGGTCAGCAGAAGCATGAAGCAGCATGCCTCTGACTGCTCGATTTGGTCTTCAGCTGCAGTTTTTTTCTTCCCTAAAATTGCTTTGACATGTTTTTTTCTCCTTCAAGAGGAAATGATTCAGAGCAGAGTATTAGCAAATAATATAAGAAAGAACTGAATGTGTGTGGTTTTTACTGGAAATTGGTTCATCTCGAAGTGACACAGTGACCCTTAAACTTCATTATAAATGAAAAGAAAGATTTTTTTTTCCACTGGCTCAGAGATTTAAAGAAGGCCAGAATGTTGCAGGTTTAGTAATTGGGGGTATTTAATGACACATACAGTAGCTGAACCTCCTCAAATCTCCCCGGAGACACGCCCTGGTGTTAACAGTGGCTGAAACAGGTAGGCATAGCTGCTGTGCTATCAGGCTAGACAGTGAGCTCATGGGACTTCCCCACCATGCTGGTCCTGTTCTACTTACAGAGAGTCTGTCTGCAGAGGAGGCCGCCGAAAGCCTCGTCCCTTTCTTCACATATGAGTTGATCACAGAGGATTAGTGCAGACAAAGTGGCAGGGAGCCACCGCTGAGTGTGCTTGGGTTTAAGCATGCCCCGGCTCAGTTCTGTCTCATCAAAAGAGTTTACTTAAAATATACGGGTATTATCTCTGCCCTCTGTGTGGGCGTGTGCGCATTCAGATAGGCCCTAAGTACTGTTATACAATTGAGTTGTATGATGATGATTGATACTTTGAATGATACGGGCTCATCAGAAAGGCTTAAAACTTTGGGATCTTAACAGGACAATGTCTCCCTCTGTCTCATTTGATGAGTCCACTTGATTGCATGTGTACACACTCACACACGCTAGGTACAGTAGGTGTACAAGCCTGCATCCCCTCCAGCGCCCGCATGATCCCTCACGCAGCTAACAAGATCTGTACGGTGCCTGCCACCATGTGTCGACATAAAGACTCAGGTGATGTGAAAACCTGAGAAAAACAAGCTGCACAACTTAAGAGGTAACACCAGTCGTGAGTAGTTTCAAGTCTGAACATTTTCAGCAGCCTGATGTCACATTTACTGGTATGCTTGGTACCATTTTTCTTCACTATTGGCTGATACCAAATCCCTGATACGAGCATGAACGTTGCGAGCACCACGTTGTTGTTTGAAAGCAGTTGTTGCAAGAAAATCAACCTGAAATTAACTAACTTTTGGAGATAACTGATTGCAAAATTCGATCACTGCCTTAGCGGGTAATATCTGATTCCCAGAAACAAACTCAACAAGTACAACACATCTTTAAATGACTCTTGTGCCTGTTAGGTCATTTTATCCATCATGCTTCAAAAGCAGTCTCTGTCAAGCAGGAATAAGTCTTAAGTTAGTCAGAGCCCCCTGATGTGACGTCTCCATTTATGCCGCCTTGATAACTGTATTTCCTTTTCCTCTCACCCTCTCTTGCTCTCTATTTGTGCCAGTTACTGAGGCTGTGGTCAGGAAGCATTCCTGGGGCAAGCCCGCAGCATTCGCCGGGATGCCTGCACTGAAGTGTGGAACTCAGCAAGCCGCTCCGCTCCCCTGTGGTGCCGCCATGGTGAGTACCAAGAGACCCCGCTGGGCCTGCGGTGGTGTCAGTAACCTCGCATGTGAAGCTCCTGCAGAGAGGAAGAGGAAGGGAAGAAAGAGGGGAAACTTCTGAGCTGTGAGGCTTGGCATTTTCACACATAAATCTCGCAGACAATTGGAGAGAAATAAATGTCAAAATGGAAGAGAGTAAATGAGGAGTGGAGGTGACGTGATGCTGTGTATGGCCATCTGGAAAAGAACATTAGGCTCTCTGCAGGGTGTCTAACTCCTTCACTCATTAGCATGCGGTATAGGACAGTGCTGGTCTCACAACATGCATCCATCTTGTAGCTATCTTACGGCAACAGCTGTTCGGTCATTGTTTGAGTTCAGATTTCAGAGTCGAAGTAGAAAGTAGGTGGAACAATCGATGACTTTGTATTTTCCCATCTAGAGACTGGAAAAATCTGGATTTTTTTTTTAACTACTTCTGAGATGTTGTATATTAGAACTGGACGTAGCATCTCATTTTCAAAATAGAGCAAAAACACCTTTAAACCTACACGGCATGAAACGGCTGAAAGAGGGAGACTCCACTGATAGCTATCAACAGGTCAGACTGTGTACTGCAGCACAACAAGATATGAACTGATACCATATGTCACACAACTGTATGATGTTATGTGATACTGATATGATATGATAAGTTGTTGCCCCTGAACTCATTGACATGTCTTCTTAGCAAAATGCAAAAATAAGAAAATTGGATCAAACAAGAATGAAGATGTTAACAGAGAAGATGAAGGGAAGTGCCTACCAATCAAAATTACATAATACCCTTATTGTTTTACATAATAAACAACAAAACAAGAGGATAAAAACCAGATGAAAAATTACCCTTCTTCCCAGCTGATTAATTATCTCAGTAAACATTCTCCTAATGAGTTTATGGTTGTAATTGCTCGAGTCAAGTGTTCTTCTGTACAGCATGATGCTGAAGTGATAAGCCCAATTTAAAGTGCCGCATTAGTAACGATAGCACAGGGTGGCTACCTGTGATTGACAAGTCACTTCCACAGCTGCTTTTCCATAAGGATAGCGAAACAGAATGTATCCAATCTGTTTTCCAAATATGGTCATTTCCATTTTCAAAAAAAAAAGGTCAAAATGGGGACAGCTAAAATGATGAAATTGTGGCTTCAAGGAGGGTTCACAGATGGGTGAAATTACAGTGGATACATCCTCTTGTATACAGTTAATGGGTAAAACTTAAATATCCTTTAATTTGAACCCAAATGCTGCCAAGTTTTAGTTCTTTAGAGAAAAAAAAAAGAGAAAAAGTTACACCCTGATATTGCCTGTAAATCCAAAAAGCAAACAGTACCACACACACTCTCTGAAGAGCAAGTCCTGGCAGGTTGCGGTCAGCCTCTCTGCAGTGAAACTCATGAACCCACTGAGAAAAAAAAAAGAAAGTCCTGTCTTTGAAAAGCCGTTTCATACGGCTTCATTTGACTTATTATCGATGATTGATCCTCACTGCTCTGCTGACACTTTCCACACTCTCCCACTCCTCCTTAGCAAGTGTGTAACTCAAGTCCTTTTCATGACCAGTGTCATAAATTAAACATGGCCTCGGCTTCCCTTGTGTGTCTGAGGGTATAAAAATAGCTCGGTTTGGTGCTCAGTGTGACGCCCGTGCACAGCCTCTCTGTCTTTAATGAAGTGTTTCCATGAAAAGTGTACCGATCTTGTACTTTGGGCTCTGTGGTAACCCATGTTCTGACTTTCTCAAACTCCCCAAGTGACTCTGAGCTCATTTGGTTACACAAGTGCTCACAATTACCAGGAGATTTGGACACAGGGACGTGGGATATTTCCATATCCCTGACGGATGTTATTTTAATTACACAGCACTGCTTGACTTTGTGCTATGGATTTACATGGGGTTTTTTTTGTCTTCTGTGGATGCAAAGAGGGATTTTGGGAAGGTTATTCTGTTTTACTGAATCTCTTATTTACTGAGGCCTCCTAGTCTCTGGAAAAACACAGAGAAGCCATATTGAATCACAGTGTTTAATCTTTAAATCTAAGGTAGTTAGATTCAGTAACAAAATCATGTTGTAAAAGCAGTGACTGAATCCTGATGAGATAAAGATGACAAAGTTATCCTCTCCTCCCTTTCTGGCTTTAGCGTCGACTCTATTTTCGGCTTGTATGCGTGAAACATTCTCTGCAACGTCTGAAGAAACTTGTTATCTCCAATCAGCCTTGTTGTGAGGTCCTAATTATGTTTGATTAAGATAAAAGAAATCACACATGGGAGCGGGTATGATAATTATAGTGTAGAATCTTCCTTGTACGTTGAAACACAAACATAAATGCATCAACACAGCTGATTAATTTGGCTGATAGTGCCCGAGGAGGCGGCAGGTGTTTGGGCATACTGATGCTTTTCCTCTGCAGGACGCTCCCTGAAAACAAATGTTTCATGTGTCATCGGCGGTGAAATGTGGCACAGAAGCATGGCGGGTTGCGAGAGAGGTCTGCTTTGATTCATGTAAGTCCTCCAGCCCATTCCTCTTCAGGTCTTGGGGGTAATGGCGTGCAAATGGTGCCTCATGATCTGCAGTCGGCTGATCGTGGGGGTTTAACGGCTTGCTGTTTAAAGCTTCAAAACTTTTTAACATCTTCATTTTGTCGAGGACGATTTCCCCGTATTTTTACACGTACTATTAGATCTATATAACACTGATTCCTCACTACAGGCGAGGTTTAGCCATTCAAAGCCAGGAGCAGAAATCAATGAGCCAAAGTGGCAGTTGAGCTGAATCTCCTGCAGGGAAAAACCCAATAATCAATACAGGCGAGCAAATAATGTGCTGTTGGTTATAGTTTTGGAGCCGCATGACACGAAATATAATTTGTTTTTCAGGTTTTATGTTTTTGCTTTGTGATGATTATGACAAAGCTTTAATCAGCGTTCCTGTAAACAATTACTTTGTGTTAGTTATCGTATACCAGGAGTTGATTCATTGCGCACAATATTTAAAACAGCTGGAGCTTATCCAGTCAACATAATATCTAAATATCAACAGAGCTATAATTTCTTTCACGTGTGTTTTCATATAGTTATACATTCACTTCGATTTTAGCTCTTTGAATGTGGGTCTAATTCAGGGAGATGTAATTGCTTTGAGCCCTCAGTTGACCTCAGAAAAGGATGGGAGGCAGGAAAATGAGTGGAAGCTTGGACAAGGGTTGGTTTTATTTCCATTTTTTAATCATTTTTATTATAATTAAGTACTTAATTTTGTCAGCTGAGATATGAACTTTCATCAAAGACAAGACCTTTTGTCATATTTAAGACTTTCTGCTATACTTGTCTTGATTTGACTTCGTGTGTAAATGTTTGTTTATTTGGATCCCCAGTAGCTACTACCAAGGTAGCAGCTCCTCTTCCTGGGGTCCACAAGAAGACATTAAACATTTGTATACATTAAAATGATAAAAGTCCAAACAGGAGAATTTTACAAGATGTTAAAATCATAACTCAAACAAGAATTAAGATGACATTAGATTTTCAATTACAACAAACGCCAATAAAGACCAAGATAAATGCACAAGTAATCAAATTCCCCTTGTTGTCACAGCCAAGTCTAGGTGTTCTGTTTCTTATTTCAGTGAGTCTGGGTCTTTAGATATTGGTATACCTTCTTTTAAACACATGTTTACTGGTTAACCTTGTAATAACAGACAGTAGGTAGATAGATAGATAGATAGATAGATAGATAGATAGATAGATAGATAGATAGATAGATAGATAGATAGATAGATAGATAGATAGATAGATAGATAGATAGATAGATAGATAGATAGATAGATAGATAGATAGATAGATAGATAGATGCTTTATTAATCACAGAAGGAAATTCCAAAAGTATGCTGTCCAGAGTTAGTATTGGTGAGTGGAAGAGTGAAAGAACCATTTGATGCATGTCAGAGTTGATTGTTGACAGACTGCTTGAATAAGATCATTAATCTTGCATCAGTTTAACTGCAGCCTTCCTCATGTTAATGCTGCACCCACTGTGACCCGCTGAAAATGGGATCTCATTGGTTTGTTAGCCAGGCTGGATGAACTGCAGCCCCCCCACTGCAAGCTGCTCTGAGGAGAAAACGCAATCTCCGGGCTATTACTTTTCCCATCTCACTCATTTAGAAATCCATCCGCCCTCCTGCCCCTCTTCTCTGCCGCGGACATTAATGGTCACTACTTTTACGCAGGTGGAACTATAGCCAGGTGACAGCGCGCGAGCTTGACCCGGCGTGCACGTGGTAGCTCTGGTCCACTTTCTGATTTACGGGCACCTGTGTAAAAATTGCCGCAGAACAAAAGGAGAGGAAGAGAAAAAAAGAGAAAGAAAGCGGTGAGGGCCAGTGAGAGGAGAGCAGGAGCAGCGGTGGAGTTAGGAGCGCAGAGCGCGGACGCTTCCTTTTCTCTCCTCCCCCTTCAGACCCCGCCGCTCCACTCCATCTCTCTCTCTCTCTCTCTCTCTCTCTCTCTCTCTCTCTCTCTCTCTCTCCCCGTTTCTTAAATTGACATTGGTCTGGCTCGAAACATGATAACAGAAAAGCCTTCCTCTGCTCCGCGCTGTCGGGCTGTCCTCAACCCCGATCACTTGAAACTCAAATAAGCAGGCGTGAAGAAAAAAAGCCAGAGGATCGCACAGTGTCCTATCAGCGGGGAATAACACGAGACCTTTCTACCATCACACTCACATACACACGCACACACACTACACACACACCCTTTCATATGCTCTTTGCGCATCGCGGATCTCTCAAAGTGCTCGTGTTGAACTACAGTGAAAGTTAACATGTATATGCACGCTTTGATCCGCGCCAGTTTTGGATTTGTAGGTTTCTGCTTGGTCGCCTTTGTCCAACAGTCTGCTTCAGGAAGTAAGACCACTCAAGGTAAGTTTTTCACATCTTAAAAATGTGTTTTCATTTGGCTCTAAATGAGCTGATCTCTCCACGCTGCTTTGTGCCTAATTGATAGATTGATTTGATGCTTTTTTTGAAAGTTGTTCATAGTGGTACTTCTCAAAATTGAAACCAGTTGTGTAAACATATGACACTTTAGCCAAAATCAGGAGTACTTTGACATTTAAAAGAGTGAGAAAAGTGAAGTTTTTGCAGCCTTGTTTCCATTTTTTCTTATTTTGCATTGTTGTATCTGAACTGTCAGTGTGCTGATTCTGCTCTGCCTGCTTCTGCTAAATCAGAAGAGAGATGAAACATAATGAGGCTTAAATTAAGTTTCACTGAGAGTTGTCTGTCATCAGTAAAAAAACACTTGTCTTTGATCTACAAGCAGCAGTGTGAACAGTTATGTTTCATAGCCGATCCTGCAGGTACTTGTAGTGAGACTACCAGGAGGCATTTGTCACAGTCCAGACAAGTATTTGACACCAGCCTGTAACACACACGCACACATACACACACACGGAGGGAGTCTCAGTCTGTCAGACACTGCAGCTACAGTGCCGTCCTGCCCAGCTGGCCGCCCTCTTGCTCTCTTGTCGTGTGAGGAATGATTCCTAGCAGACAGGGGCGGCCTGAATCAGGAACTCTTGGCACCTTGCAGGAGCGAGCAAGACCCAGTGGTGTGTTAAACACTCTGATTTCTGATCCGCTCAGCCGTCCCCTGCAGGTTTCCATCACTTAATTTTCCCACAATACAAAAACCCGAGCTGGAGCTGCCAGAAGTATTTGCATGCAAAGACACATCATGGGCTTGTGTGCGAGTGTTGATTGTGGTCGGTGATGTTTCGTGCACACAAAAAGACATCTCTCGGGCGGTCGAGGAGGCAAAAAGAGAAAGGGGGTGGGTGACTATTTTGCATCCTGGGTGGTCTGCCCCCACTTGTGGGAAAACTCAATATTTACATTTTGCAATTAGAACTACTTTTTTCTCACTTTATTTTCCACAACATCGATTACACACTTCCTTGTAGTGTGGAATGCGTCCGTATGAGAGTGGGTCTGTAATGGCATGCACCTGTTTGCCGGTCACCAAGTGAAAGGCAGTGGACGACCACTTGATCAAGCACTTCTCCTACTTCAGATCTCGGTATCAGCAGCTTTGTAGTCACGTTATATCTGTTTGGTAGTCGAGTTATTTCTGAGCATAACTCTTTAATTGTATTTGATGTTTGTGGCAACTGTGTGGGATTGGCATCTCTGCTGAGAAAGACTAAAAAACTACAGAGGCGGATGAAAAGTGACTTTTAAAACGAGCTAAAATTTGTCAGCTCAATATTTATTCAACACAGATGTTGCCGACAAGAGCCTCCGTCTTTCATCAGTGTCAGACTAATCATGGCACCGTGTTTCAGGCATCAGTCATTACTTGGGAAGAAAATAAGCAAAGCGAAAGAGGAGTGGAATGAGGGAGGGAAGATTCAGGGATGTGGTGGAGAGAATGACAAAGAAGGGAAAAATGAGACAGGGGAAGCAGGAGAGATTAAGAGTGCAAGGACAGACAGACAGGGAGAGAAGGAGAGAAAGAGAGGAGGTTTTGTTGGTGAGCGAGCAGCAACAAGCGAGGGAAAAGGGAGAAGGAGAGGAAAGAGGGGAGCCACAGACGTCATGGCAAATCACTTTTCCCTCGAAACAGAGTCAGGAGCTCTTCGTTAATGCAGCGGCACCAAGGCAACGGTTGGTGTGGGGCTGACATGCTGCCGTGGCTGGCTGTGTTGGTGTAACCTCTGCTCCTGGAGCCTGGGGGTCTAAAGACGCAGGGCTGCCCGAGCAGGGGAGGCAGGCCAGATACAGGCCCCTGGACACAGTGTGGGAACCGAGCGGCCTTGGCAATATGAGGCCCAAGTGACGGGGAGGCTTTTACCTAGAGATGCTGCATGCTTAGAGAGTCTTAAGATGGAAAGGAAGAAGAGCCCCCCTCCCACCACCACCACCACCCCCAACACTCACTCACTCAACCCCTTTCCTTTTTCTTTTTCTTGCTTTGTTTGCTTTGTCTTGCTTCCTTTCCTTTGCGCTTAATGAAGTAGCCAGGCTGTTTCTCTGTCAGCCATAAGCAACGACTGCATGGCACCCAGCATGTCAGGAAAAGCCTCGCTGTCTGTCCACGAGTGCTATTTTTATATTTTGCAACAAAAAAAGATCTGCACAGCCTTCTGCATTGTCCCTGGTCCTGTCCAGCTTACTTCTGTTACTCCGTAAACCAGGTTGGATGTGTTGCAGGTGTGTTGGCATTGCAAAGTGTCAGTATGTGTGCGTACATGTAATTGGGAAAGAGGGCCTGGGTTGTGTCTGCGGTAATTTGGACAGTGCTTTGAAACTGTATGTGAAGCCACATAAAAGAAGTGTGTAAATGGGGCTTTTATTGCTGCCTATCCCTTTGGCCTTGAACTTCCCCCAACGTTTAGCAGAAAGAAGGAGGCAGGCGAAATAAAAGACAGACTGTCAGAGATGGTCATCTCACCAGAACGTTTAGACTCCATTTCAGCCTTCATTTTCACGCTCTCTCTTTTAGGCTGGTTTCTGCGTTACCCCTGAGTCCTGAAAAACTCCTGCAGTAATATTTGTTGAGCTGTTACACTTATTCCCTTAGAGACTAGATGTGCCTTTTTAAACAAGCAGACACACAAGTCCCCATTTGCCTGCCAAGGTACTGGAGCGCAATATTCTGCAAAGTAATTTTTAACAGCGGGCGAATGGAAGATGTATTCAGGTCAGCCAGGAAGAAAGACTTCCAATGTCCTCCTCGGTGTGCTCTGTGACTTTGAGGAGTTGGGACACCGCAGAGTAGATCACCTATTGACTTTAAGTGACAAGTCAACTTTAAAATTACCCCTGTGTGGTTCTGTTGCCAACTTACAGCCAGGCGCACAAGTTCCTACCTCCTGTCTAACTCCACAGATATGTTATCCTCCCTTATCTCAGACATCCACTCCTCACTACAAGAGTGAAAGATTGTGAAACACCAATTACTTTAAGGAATTTTCAAGATAATGGCTATGCGGTCTTGTATGATCTCACGATCTTATGGGGAAGCAGATGTAAACATAACAGACACTAACTAGAACCTTCTGTAGTGGTGCCTTGCAGTGTGAAAAAATGGGAAGGAGGTGAAATATTTGGGTAAGACATAGGTCAACATGTACGGTGCAGCAGAATATCTTCCTGAAAATGCCTTTATTTCTATCTTAACTTGTGGAAACCACTATTATTTTTATTGTCAATCAATCTTTATTCATATCACGTCAATTCACAACAAATGTTCTTCAAAGACACTTTTCAAAAGAGCTGGTCTAGACCATATTTTTTTCAGATTACATTTACAAAGGCCTGGCATCAAGATGAAATAAAATAGTCCTATCTACTCTTATCTTTATCTAACATGATTGTGAAACTTTGCAGCATTTAGCAAAGAAAAAAACATCTTTTTAACAGGCAGAAACCTTGAGCAGAACCAGACTCATGTTACACAGTCATCTGCCGCTACTGGAGCAAGTAGCCGATCTACCACATATTGGCGATAAACCTTGTTCTGGTTCTGATCCCAAAAAATAAAGGTATATTATTAACTGGTGGGTCTGATATCTGTCAATAGTCACACGCTAGCAGATGTTAGCCTTGGAAGCTTGAATAGTTATCACTCCGTTTTGCTACCACTTAGCACCTCCTACGATGACCCCGCTCCATACAACTTAGATTATCCTTCAACAGATAAGACATTAGTGAAAGTGTGAAATCAACATTTCCATAATGATAGTTCTTAGACAGTTTATATCCAAGTGTTTATTTTTCTGTAAAGTTCAGTTTTGTTAGTTACTTGATGCTGTAAAAAAGTGTGTAGCAGCATGTAGCTCTGTTGCCAAAATGCAGCCTCTGTTGCCACTTTGCACCTTATTCACATTGTGGAGGATGAATGGCAAGAGAAAATGTAACCAATACTGACAAGAGTGATTCCCATGACCATGAGCGCCTGCTTCAGATCTAGTCAGGAATCTGTTACGCTGTTGACCGCGATGACCTGAGGGACCTTTGCTGCTCCAGCGGTCATTAGTTCGCGAAAGAGAAGAGATATCAATACTTTGAGTCCACAAACTAGTTTTTATTGTGTAGATGTTTTACTCAACATGCCATTACCTGCTATACTGTATATGTCAGCACCCGTTGCAAGGGGTATTGTGGCTCCATCTGTTTAAGAGGAGAAGGTCAAGACAGGACATCCATCTTATTTATGGTCGGTGCACCAACTTGAAAAACTCCAAACATATAGCACTTGGCCAGAATTCCAACCTTAATTACAAACATAGTTGATATTTTCAGGGCTTCCTAGTGAGTCTGTGAGCTGTGTGGAAAGTTAATCACCAGATTTGTAAAGCCCTCACGTTACCAGAAAATGTAGGACAAAAAACAATATCAACCAAGTACCCATACAGATTCCTCCTCCAACGGTGGAGAGGGTTGAATCTGCTATAAATCAGCCGAAACACCAGTAGTCTGAGCCAGACCTCGGCCCAATTAAAGCAGATAAGCTCCCTTAACCTTTGTATGCCTTTTCCTGAACCAGGAGCACTCTGTACTGATGAAAACAGCCAAGCTCGTCTCGGTCTGTCTTCTGCTTCTGCAGCAGGCATACAGTGTCAGACAGTTGCGTTCTCGTTATGATCAGAGAGCACGAGGCGGGTTGAGCCTCAGGGTAGCCCTCGGTCACTGGCTGAGGAGTGGGTGGAGGGGATCAATCCGGCGTTCACTTTAGCTCTCAGCAGACACTCTGAGAAAGCATCTGTCTGACTAGTGGTGCTGTGTTACTACTGTACATGCTGTTACAGAGCAGCAGAGAGAGCACAGAGATTATTATTATGGCATGACTTGAGTGTGGGAAACACTTGATAACAATTGTGTCTGTCAGCAGTGTCGTGTGATATGTGAAAAAGGCTTTAATCTGCGGGTGAGATGCAAGGACTAGTTACTGCGTCTGAATAGACGGAGCGATTTTTCACTGGATATTAATGAGAGCACTCGGCAGACAGAAGTACTCTCACTCTCCAAAATACGGCTCCATCAAAGTCGGGGGATCCTATAAACCATTCAGGTTTATTAAGCCAGCTTTATTTCCCATTCAGTCTGGTGAAAGCTGCGGTTTGGTGCAAACATACTAGTATCATTAGAAAATACATACAGGCGCATGCAAAGTCAAAGTTGTCAGGCTTAAGCTGTGATTGAAGGCAGGTTGGTGGGCCTTCATTCTGGACAGGCACACACATCTTCATCCTGGTCAAACCGGGACAGTTCCTGCAAGATTGGCTGCTGCTTAAAAAAACGACTGTCAGCAGTTGTTGATTTTGCATAGCACAGTGAGTCACAGTGGGTCAGAAAGCCGGCCCCCCTTTAAATTGTTACAAAATACACCGAACAGTGCCTCTCCAGCTCACTAATAAACACATTATATTTGGTTTGTTTAATGCTGGATGACCTCCCGGAGACTCTGCTGGTTGCTTGGCAACTGCTCAGAGGTAAGAAATTGTCGTGACATGTAAACCTCCCCTAAAATTTGGGTATTTTTGGTGCAGAATAAACAAATAAGTTAAGAGGTACTGTTGGGTGGACTTTGTAACTTAGAGAGATGAAGGTAACCCATTTCCTTCTTTTGTCAATCTTGATGCTAAGCTGCCAGATGTCACTTCCATACCTCAGGAACTGATTGTAAAGTGGTGTACAATTATCAAACAGAACAGTCAAACATATTTTTAGAAATGTTGAACTTTTCCTCAAAATTGCTCGTCCTAGTGTGCATGAAACTTTGCAATCATATCTGTATAACAACTTCCTATGCGTTTACTGAAACTTATTCTGTTCTGCACAATTTGTATGCACTTCCACTGTTAGGTCACAGCAAAACAAAACCCCAACCCGTGGACTCTGCAGATTCCCTGTCGCTCCCCAGGGGACCAGCTGTTTAGATCCTTCTGCCATGGTACCTTTCCCCCCTTCCTCCAGCAGAAAATCCCTTTATCAGCAGCTACCGAGACCCTTGTGACCGCAATTTGTCACCTCATTTAGAATGGTTGCAGGGCTGACAAACTGTACATTTTTTTGTGCTAAAGAAGTGAAAAAAAAAAGAAACATAGTTTTAAATTGCCCAAACTTTTCTGAGAGCACCAGCACTACTGTTTTGTATGCAGCATGGGTGTAAACTCCAACCCTCACCCTTGGAGGTAAGGAGTGCAGAGCTTGTTTGGAGCCTGTTTATTTCTCAGGGCTTTAATCTGAACAGTGTGTTCCAAATGAGGCCTGTGATACTTCTTTCAACCGAGGCATTGAGGTGAAAATTGGAAATTTCTCCTGTGCTCCCATCTCTGTCCCCCTCACCCTATCAGTGGCCTTTGTTCTTCACAGATGCAGCACAGTGCTGACAATATCTTTGTTGATTTCTTGGGGGATGGAGTCAGTGTCGACGGCACTCTGACCCCCCCTCAGACTTAAACTCACCTCCAGAGCCCCCTTCACATGCACTGATGGCTTGCTGGGGAACTTCAGTGCCGTCCCTCAGCCAGCTGCAGCGGCTCTTAGATCATTAATCCTCTAAACCCCCCCCCACCACAGAGCCTGCATTTGTTTTCTCTGCTTCATTACTCAATGATCAGGGATACTGTGACTCAGGAGAAGATCTCAGAGGGACTGTCATCTCGGTCTCTGTACTCTGAAACACACTAAACCATCCTTCCTCCTCTTTGGCCCTGTTCCCCACTCCCTCCTGTGACCTCTTGAGCGAATAATGGGGCTGCGTTTTTTTTTTTTTTTTTTTTGGGAGTGAGTTTTTTTGGGGAGGTCAGTGAGGGACGTCATTAGGCTGGTCTGCGGTGGTCAGCGTTGTCAGAGGGGGGTTGGGGGTCAGAGAGAGCCTTGTTTACAGACTGTGTGTGTTTACATTCCTGATGGTGAGCGCCAGCTTTAGAGACTGCTGGAAGTGAAAGGAAATGCTCTTATTCTGCTTAGTAATGGAAAAATCCAACCCAATACATCAAGGAGTCTAGATGAAAAAAGCCAAGTTATTTATTTGGTGGGTTCTGGCCAGTGCATTCTGGGTAGAAAGAGAGATGACTTCACGGGTGAATTTGAGACTTCCTCAATGGACAGAGGCATGGGAAAAACCAAAGGACCGTCTGCAGTATTTAATCACCCCCAGTGAACTCCATATACAGTGTATATTTACCGCTGACTCTAATAGCCTACAGAGCTGATAATGACAAGCGCTGGTTGTGCTCTCTTGTTTTACACCATTACATCATGAATCATACAGACAGGGCTAATGATTATTGGTCTCAATCGATCAATGTTCTAATTATAACCTGAAATTTTGATTTTAATTGATTAAAAATATTCTCACATAGCAAGAAGCCATTACATGTTCCCAGTAACCTTTGGTTTATCCCGACATGTGGTTCTTTTTTGGACTCACAGGTTCAATCTAAAGATAAGACAAGACAAGATAAGAAGAACTTTATTAATCCCTGAAGGGAAATTCAATTGCCTGTCGTCTCATTTGTCATGTCTCTAAAAGTCTACCATTTACACAAGAGTTATGAAGTCTGATGGCTCCTGGTACAAAAGATCTTCTGAATCTTTCTGTCCTGCAGTGAAGAGAGAGGAGCCGTCCACCACCATTGGCCCTTTGGTCCATGAAGGTGTTGTGAAGTGGGTGATCCATGTTCTTGAGAATAGTGGTAGTAGTGTTTGGTTTGTGTAGTGTTTGGTTTGCAATAATACGTTGAAGTGAATGACAGCGGGAAGTATGAAATATTACTATTTGAGTGTTAAAAGACATTTATCTGTCTAAACTCTAGAACATGCACAGAAAGCTTAGTCCAGTTTCAGTCCGATGGATCTGTGTACATTGGGGAATCCTTGACCCCCTAACCTAGGTCTCTTAGTCTGACTATGGGGAGCTTGATTCACGGCGATTTCAGTCGGATTTCTAAAAGTCTTGTTTCAGTTGGAGAAATGAATTTTTTTTAACAGATTTGCTAATATTGACACCTTGTGCTCCGCCCATTGTGGGACTGGAAGTTGTAAGACTGTTTTGATTGGTTGACGTGTTGGAATTGCAGAACCAAGGCATGCTCATGAGCGAACTGCAGAGCCCTAGGACTGATGTCCTGCACACTCTTGACCATTTGTAGCATCTATTCTAAAATACAGTCTTTGCTCTCTTTCTGATGAGTTAACTGCTGACAGGAATGACCTGCACAAACTTTCGATGGAGAATTTCATTGTTGGTCTGAAATTTCGCAAAAGCTCAGATTTTGTTCCTAAAAATACAGGTAAATTAGGTGCATGTTCATTATTGTTAATTTTTCCAATTAACTTTTTACTAATAAGGTTATCTAGATGGGAAAATGGCTTTTTATATTTAATAGCATCCACAAAATGACAAGCACGTCTTTTTAAATGAACAGACAATTACATCCTTTGCTTCAGCTCAGTGCTCTTTAGTCAGTGGGTGTCTGTCGATAAAAAGAAAGTGTGCTCGAGCTTTTAAACTTTCTTTTTGAATAAAAAAATGTCATCACTGTTGTACTTTCATAATTATACAAGCATTTTTAGATTTTCCAGACATGACATGGTGCTGCGCAGATTAATTACAGGGTCCGCTTTGAATTTAGTCTGTAATTCAAGTGATCACACAACTAAGTTTTGGGGGGAAAATATGCTGCAGGATGGCTGACAGTTTAAAATGTGCATAAAGTAAAAATGAAAGGCGGCGTCAACTGAGCATTTACAGTAGCTTTCAGAAATAACTATCATAATTATAGTGATCATAATGACTTCTAACTAGTACTTAAGTAATTAGTGGATGGACGGAGAATGAAAAGTCTTTCAAGCAAAAGTGCAGAACTTTATTAAACATTAAACTTTTTATTTTAGAGTTTCTGACAAAGCTGTGAACCAAATATGTCAATTTGGGCTTAAAATAGAGATTATTTGTCATTCTGTATTATATGCTTACAATTTAGTTAATGATAATGATTGAGAAGATTCTAGAAAGATAAATCGACAGTGAAAATAATCATAGGATAGCTCCCTGTATCCAAAAGCATCTCGGTGTAATACTCATTGTTTCGTTTTATCGCTGTTTTCTGTAGGAATATTTGAATAATTTTGGGGTTGCATGCATCCAAAGAACTTGAGCATTTGTGATTTTTTAGTGGTAAATATTCCATAGGAAATTTTTTGCCTCCAAAAAAAGCTCTTACATTTTTTGTCTCTTTTCTGTATGTGAAGGAAGAACAAGTTCCGATCCTCGGTTTTCTCCCCTGTCGCCCCCTTAAGCAGTTTGATTGAAATACAGTAGAGGCGGTGATGGAGAGCCCATTAAGTACTTAATGTGTCTGTATAAGTGAGATGTTTACATGAAGTGATTGTAGCATTTAAATGAAGCCTGTGTGCAGTCCCTTTCAGGCCTGCTGAGCTTCACATTTCTGAGCCGTAGTACTTAATGCATGCTTCACAGCTTACACAGAGAACCATTCACTTTATACCTCCGTTTGACAGGAAACAACTAAAAATATCACACTTGTGCTGTAATTGCTGCCTTGCCATCTTTATAGTTGGTACTGTATCTGGTTAAAGCAGCCACCAATGAATGTAATTGCTGTGTGCAGAGGGCAGAGTGTCATGTCAGTTAGCTATGGCTGTATAAATATAAGGTATACAGCGGGACTGAGTGCCACCCTTCCCGTGTTTAAAATATTCAACATGAAGCCAAGAAGTCATTAACAGTGGAGGACACTTGCCAAGAAGGCTGAAAAATCCCTTTAAAGGTTCAAATGAACTTCCTGTCACTCTGGCTCCTAATAGGAAATGGTTACATGTAATGCCCAATTATTCAGTGTGGTATGTATTAGACATCCAACACTAAAGACTGTGTCATGTCACCGTCTCTCTGCACTCACTTAGTATTGCTCCATGATTCACTTAATTACTGTAATAAGTGTTTTTCTACAGGAGGTGGTCTGGAGGTCTGTGAGTCAGAGTCTGTTAAGGCCACACATGCTAAAAGGAAAGCGCAGCACCAGATGCTCGCTCTATGATCCAAATCACAGAGAATGTCCATCATTTATTCAGCGACGGAGAGATGTTTTATAAATGACACAAGGTGAGGTCATGTGATCTTCACCCTGCAGCCTCCAGGCTTGCCGCTGTGTGTTATGTTGAAAAATCACTTGAAAAAACAGCCACAAAAGAATTCATGGACTGAAGACGGAGACACAAAGATCATGTGTGTTTAGGCTTGAGTTGGTGGACTTTTGTTGAAGAAGACATACCAGATACGCTCGCATTAGACGCCAGTGGTTATGCAACCTGGAATTAGACTGCTGTCAAGTAAAAATTTAGACTCTTGAAGAAGCTAAGCAAGTTTTTGAAGCTTTAATAATATGTTCAGTAGTTCAGGATCACATTTTCCCCTCTTTGCTTCTTTTTCCCCTTTTTGTTCTCCTGGAAATTAAAAAGATGCAAAACACACAGAGTGATGTTAGATCCTAACACTTAATTAATCCCAGAGGGGAGTACCTCTCTTTGTTATCGTGCCAAATCTCTGATTAAGGAAACTGTGATAGTGTGCCAAGAAATAACAAGGGCTTGATGCTGGTTATGATAAGATAAAATGATGAATGAATGAACAACCAAAAGAAATTTATATATTTATAGACTGAACATGAACAAGTAAAATCCTCAACATGAATACAACATGCAAGTTTTGAAAAAAGCAAAGCAAACTTTGGTTTTTTGTTGTCTTTTAGTAATGAGACTTTGCTGTTCTTATGACTCAGTAAAACAGATTATATTTAAGCTTATAAATAAGTAAAACAACATGATTTATTGCAGAATAACCAGTTGCAGACCTGTTTCGTCAATAATTAGCCTTTGGGGGTAGAACTTCTAGAAAGTTTGGGCACTCATAAGAAAGATAAAGCAACAACAACAACAAAATGTTGAATTTACATTTTACATTTAAGTGACTGTTCATAAAATGGACAATGTATTTTCACTTTGACTTCTTGTGAGATGTGAAACCACATCTAAGCCTATAGACTTAAAGGGAGAGTTTGCTTTGTTTGAAGTTTTATGTTAGGATCATATGAGGTGCTGGTTAATATTGGGCAGGTAGTGTTCAGTGTTTCACCTCCAAGCAAGGACGTAATTTTTTTAAAAGCCTGTTTTGGTCCCCTGAACTTTTAACCATCTGAAAACAATGTTACTTTGCGCTATAGCAAACCGATACAAGGTTCGCTCAAGCCAATATATGGTTTCCCTCCGTTTTGTACCGCCCACAAGGTCCTTGATTGGCTCTGCCGCAGGGCTGCTTTTTGAGTGTGATTGGCTATCCCTGCTGTCAGTCATTCCATGGCCTAGTGTTTTGCAAGTTGCCCATAAGAGTCAGTCCGTGAACATCGCCATTCGCCGATGTAAGTTTACAGGAGGGCGGCGTTCATTTTCCCTCTGTGACGTCACATCCATCAGAGGTTTCATTTACATCCCTGTATCGGGTTTGTACTTCCATCCACCCTCCTGCTGGCTGTATTGTCTCCTCTGTTACTGTGTGTGCGAGATGTGCTGTTTGCTAGGCTATATGTCTCAACAGTACTCAACAGTACTCAAGTCACTTGTTCCCCTCCATCTTTGAAATCAAAATTTTGTCCATGCCTCCAAGAATAATGCAAAATTGAATTGGCTTTTTAACAGCAAGGTTAAACTCTGAAAATGTTTATATAGAGTGCACACTTAAACTGACATTTGCGTTTATGGTACACCACCATTTTTTAATAACTTTTCTCCACTCAGACTTGTTCAGTCTCATCAGTAAACTTATCTTGGCGTTTTAAACCAAGACACGGCAGAGCAGCGTGGTCGCTGCCCTTTAATTGTTATCTGACACAAGTATAAGTGAAAGAGGGATGAATATCTTCAGTGGTGTGCACTTGTTAACCTGATGTTTCTCTCCTTCGACTCAGCCTGCATGTTCTTGTTCATTTTCTCTTGGCTCTCAGATTAATCTGAGGCTTCGTGGTCGGTGGACATAAGCAGGGAGGGCCCCCGGGAGGGGTTTGAAGTTTTGATCACAGTTTCTGAAAGCACAGGATCAGTCAGTGGTCATGATTCCTAAACATTTAGAGTGTGTGAAGGATGAGTGTAAATATCCCAAATGGAAGCAGTGGATATTTTTATTCACAACTTTTTAGAGGCCTGCTGGACGGCCAACAGTGTATCCCTTCATTAGCTGAAGGGGATCTTGGCAAGAGTTGGGAGAGATGCTAAATTTTGTGTTCATGTTGACGTCTGCATTTCATCAAAACCTTTTTTGGGGAGCTTGGCTTGTCTGCTCTGCTGCTTTGGTGCACATCCTGAAAAGTCACATTTTTATGGTGTGATGCGACAGTGTCAGGACTATGAGTTCCTGTCCTTTCAACAACCTTGCCCCCCAGCTTTTTTATGCCACTAGATTTAAGACACAAGTTACATCATTTTGTACCATTTTACAGGTCTTTCATAGATGCCCTTAGAGTGCTTTTTAAACTGTGATGCCTTATATAGGAAATATGGAAAGCTGTAGATTGGTACATTATTAATATAGATATGCAGAGTTCCCTCAGCTCAGGTGGTTTTGGGGGGCAGGATTTGGACACCCCAGGACCAGGAAAAAACATGATAAAACTAATATGAATATAGATAGGTATAGATATGAATACATAGATTGATAGATATATAGAAAAAGACTCTTGATGCCTCTCCTGTCGAAAAAAATGTAACTAGTTCTAGTGTCCTAAATGGCTATTGCAAGTTCCCTTTAATCTGTGTAATACCAGTCTTTTCAGTTGTTTGTAGAGTCAGTTTTGAGATGGCGATGTGACAAATAACAGATCAAACCTTACTAAAATGTGAGTTGTATGTAGGAAGCAGCAATCTTTTTTGGTTTCCATTGTTATAATTAAATTTCCACCCTAAATTGCTGCATGAACTAGATCGCAGGAAATTAAATGTAAGTGCAAGATGCTCAAAATTTCCTGAGGAAGGACCCCCGAATTGGGCAACAACATTATCACCCGATGTCAGGATCTGTCTTTTTCTCTAGTCTTCCTGCTGATGACTCCCGTCTTGTTACCGGCATCTGTTTTGAGATTTTTTAAAGGTTATTTTTGTTTTGTTTGCATGCTCTGAAAAACTTTGGTTTGGGTTCTTTCACCTGCCGAGTTATGTGAACCATAAAACAAAAGCTCTTGGCCATTTCCAGTTGTTTGTTTGCACAAGTAAATTGCTAGGAGGCCTCTATGCACAGTTCAACAGAGAATCTTGAATTGATTTTACTTTCTCTATTGCTTTCTCTCTAGGTTTCTTAGCCAAGTCACAGTCTGTATTTGTCCAATCTGATACGATGTTCAAGATTACAGTCAAATTTGATAATCCCAACGCAGAGAGATGTATGCTCAGTTTGGCAGTTGAGGCTATTTCCAAGCTGAAAAGGAAAATCAGCTGAAATTTAGGCTTGATGAGGCATTTTTTTACAAGTTGGGCAAATAATTTCCTTCCCATAATTTCACAGATCCCAGATTATTACCACAGCCCATGCTGTTTGAGAGTTGACCATCATCAAATGGGTCATTGACATCAGAAGAATAAGACAGAACAAGTCTGTTTTCATGCCGCACAGCCAAACACACTTGCTGTGCATAAAGTAATTATCCTGACCTTAACCCCATCCTGCTCAACCACAACCCCCTAAGTATAGTGTAAGTGTGGTTCTAAGATAGATAATTACAATAGTCGCTGCTTTGTAATTATACAGAGTATGACATACGCTGTGATCCCATGAACACCTTTTTATGGAATTGAACCCAGCACCCTTCCTCTTCCGCTGCAAGGGACGGAAATCATCAGAAGTTTTTGTGAAGAGAAGTTTTGTCCGCGGTGTGCGACACCATCTGCTCAATTTTTGCACCAAATCATTCTGCCAGAAATCTTCATTTGAATTCCTTTTTTGCTGATTGAATGCATCACTTGGTCCATATTTTTTACGGGCTGCAGGCAGGGAGAGTAAAGCTATGGGTGTCCCAGCTCTGCTCAGTCTATTTCTGTCTCCAAAGGAAAGGTGATGGGTTGGAGGGGGGGGCAGGTTTTGGGCAAAGCAAACAGTAAGGGTCTCAACACTGAAAGTAAACATTACCCTATGTTTGAACTACACACCTCCAGCCCCACAGTTCTCCCACACACCAGCGCTCTCCTCTCAGAGCAGTATTCTGGCTAACACCCCTCAAGCTGGGCTCAACTAAATACTCTGCTTATCCCGAGACCTTCTAATAAATTAGAGAGGAAAAGCACCTCTGACAAGGTCTCACCTCCACAGCCAGAAACTCTGACTAACATGTTCAGAAAACTTTGGAATCGACTCACTAATGACTTCTCAGGTTGTTTTTTTTATTCTGTAGGTTGAGGCTGTTTTTTCTGGACTTTTTTTTATACATTATAAACAATTATATTAAAAAAAAGTCTGAAAATTTTCAGGTCAGAGCTTACATTTGTACCAAGATGGGCGCTTGAGTCTCAAAAGTCTGTCAAAATTCACTCAATAATGTGGCAGAGTTAAACCCCCGTCTGGGGGTACATGGAGGCCAGCGGCGTGTTTACCATGGGGTTAGATCTTCCTCTTTCAACAAAGCCCTGTACAAACTCGAGAACTAAAGAGACCAGTTTCTGGAGGTCTGACAGTGAAACTTTTTCCAGTTCTTGTTTGACATAAGATTTCAACTGCTCAACAGTTTGGGGTCTGCTTTGTTGTACATTTGGTTTCATGATCACCAAATGCTCTCAGTGGTTTATAAGCCGGCCCTGCAAGCAGGCCAGTTAATCACTCGCTAGTCTGGACCTTTGCTGGTTATTCTCGCAGAATGCAGTTTGGCATTGTCTTGCTGAAATATGCATGGTCCATCTTGAAAAGGCATTGTCTGGTTGGCATCATACGTTGCTCCAAAACCTGTATGTATTATTCATCATTAATGGTGGCTTCCCAAATTTGTAAACTACCCATGCAGTGGACACTTACTGTCGAGTGAATATCATTTATTCACGTGTCCAGATTCATGTGACTTAAGCAAGTAGATGATTTTACTCATGCTTGGTGTGAGCGCCCCATAACTGTATGCATCCCTTACCATCATGAAAACTGGTTCTTGAACTGTGTCCCAGTTAACAATCTGGATGGTGCATCCCCTCTTTACAACCATATTTCCAAATAGAACATCAAATTTAGATTTTGTATTTATTTATTTTTGCAATTTTTTAATATCTAACATTGACAAGGTTCCCAAATTCTTTGCAAATTTATGTTGAGGAACATTATTCCGAAATTGTTGAACTCACACAGCCTCTCTTGAATGCCCTTTTATGTTTTGTCATGTTACCAACCTGTTGCAAATTAATGTTATTAGTTGGGAAATGTTCCCCCATGTCTTATTTACAAGTGCATTTAAATGCAGTAGATGATGGTATGAACTTTGCATTACATTCAGAACAAGTGCAGTTTAAAAGAATGTTAAAGTGGATGTATGTATTACTGTTTCAGATTGCAAAATATCTCATGAGAAGGATAAAAGTCCAAGTATTGCCACCAATAATCCCATAAGTCACCTGAAAAGTCATCATGATAAAGATGTATCAGAGAAATACGAAGCAGCACTCTCTGCAGTGAGAATTAGCACCAGAAAACGTCTTCTAGTTCTGCTTTGAGGACTGCAGAAGTTTACAAGAGATAACACTGAGTCTTAAGCAATTCCTCAGATACTTCACAGACATATCCGTACCCGCCATGTGATCTCTCCACACTCTCACAGTCAAATACACTACAAGTCGGTGAGATAAGTCTCACAAGGAAAAACGGACCTCTGGTATCAGTTTAGTGAGGATACTTATTTTGATGGCCCAGTGGCTAGATAAAGACTGAAATATAAAAATGATGTGACTGCATGTGCAGAGGCAGAACTGTTCTTGGCTTTTTGTGGATTAACAGAAGCGATCTCAGAAGTACAGAGTGATAATAAAACCACCTTTGCCATTCTTACCCTCAGCCATAGACTAAACAAAACTCAGTGGGGTCATTTGAGTCATCTGCGTCTCTAATTTTGCTAAACTCACAACTTGAATATCTTTGAAATTAATGAGTAAAAAATTCTGCCCCATGCATAGTGTGTGTTTGGATAGATTTGGCTTTGTATCGGACTCTGAGCATGTTTATTTTGATATAAAGTTGGGCTTTTTGAATGGATATGTATGCCTTAAGAGTATGTCTCAAGTTTAAAAGAAAAGGCTACTCGGAGGATCTTTTGGTTTGTGTCTGTTTTGGCACCCACTCTTTCTGATTTCTCTCCGTACATGTGTTGATAGCTTTATTTTTCAGAGTCTCTGCCGTGTAAAAAAGGCTGTTTTACCAATATGTAGTTCATCTTCTTCTGACACCTACCCCTCATGAAAGAGAACTATACAAAGGTAATCTCTCGGTGCTCTTGTGTGCTTTTAAGGGTTATAAAAAGACGGGATTTCTGTTTAATATTGGCACAATAAATCCTTAAAATGTGTCCTTATTGAGGATACTCATGCTGGATCAAACTTAAACAACAGATATATTAGTCGGGCTCTGTTCGACACGTGAAAAGTTGAAGGTCTTATTGAGGTAAACTGGTTTTAGTAGAGAAGAAACATTCGGATCATTGTTGTCTTTTTCATCCAACAAAATCATCGAGTTCAATATTCTGGGAATGTCAGCGGGTTTAAACACAGACTTAAACAATTTGTGGCTTAATGTGCTCGAGTCTATTAACCAGATGAGAGCTCTAACAGCAGCAGTATTCGAAATGACACATCCGCCAGAGGAAACTGTTTAAACATCTGAGCATTGCCCAACATCCCTTTCTTCTCTCGTTTTGCTGTTTTGACTTTGTTTATCCATCCTTGTCTAGAAGCGCCGGCTTCATCCTCTGCTGCCTTGACTTGTTCCCAACAACTGTGATTCCTCAACACAAAAGAATGAAAGAATCTCTCGAACGAAAAACAAAAAAATCTTTCATCATGGGCATGAGTCAATTACCAGGGCAGCATTACTGAACACGCTCAGCGTTCAGAGGATCGTCCTCTGGAGTGAGCAGAAAGGATGTATTGATTCTGACATGTTTATTTCCACGGTGGAGACATGTCGGCTTTCCAACAACACCAGCACATTCATCGTTTGTTGTCCATGTGTCTATTGAGAGGCTGCGAGTAACTCTTATGGGTGGATTTTTTAAACAATGCTCTGACAGACAGGGGCCATTGTAGTTTGTGGGCCAGGATTCCTTGATTTGTTTTTATTTCATTTTGTGCAGCTTTTACCACAGGCAACGGGAATGTGGGTGTGTTATGTGTTTGTCAGGTTTTTATCATCACAAATGACTTGTCTTAGCTCTTCTCAGAATTTCCAGCTCTTGAATAAAGGATTTTTCATTGTAGGCAAACAGCTTTCCCGGGCTGTGAAGTTGATTTTCATATGCTAATTCTCTGAATTAATGAACAGTTAGCTGCTGCCAACCTTTATAGCTTGATTTTTTTGGCACACTTTTACAAACTTACATAATGGTTCTGGTTTTTATCAAGCCAGGAGGCTGTTTAGCCTTTTTCAGACCCCAAAAATGCTTAGCAAGTTGCTCTCTTTCATCATTTTAAATTCACTAGATATCATAAAACGATCTTGCATAACATTGAAATACTTCCAGCCTGATATTTGCTTCCACTTTTTTTTTCACCTTAACAACAGCCTGAAGCAATAACAGCCTTAAGGTCCTCTGGATACAAATTAAACTTAATATAAAACAGAGCTGTGCTGGAAAGTGAGATGTATAATTGTCAGTTTTCTTGCACTACATTTGCACCTGTAAGTTTTTTTTCCTTTCTCCAGCAGAGTGGGTTAAAACTAAACAAGCTCATCTGATGGCTTAAGCTGTCAATCTTTGATTCTTAATTGCAGTTTGTGTCTTCAGGCGCTTTGAAAAAGAGTGTTTGTGTGTTTGCGTGTTTAAGTGGAAGAGTGAGACTCGACAACTTTGCAAGACAAATTGAACTGATGCTCCAGATGGGAGCATTAATAACAAAACAAAAAGAGAGTTTCTTTGAGTTTCTGTCATAATGAATATTAATGACTACAGAGGCTTGGCACCAAGAAACCTGACAATGACACAGATATTTTGTTGTGATTAATGCCTCCTCTATTGAAAAACACTTCCTCACACGGCATCTCCTGCTTAAAGCCTGGGAGACAGTCTGCAGGGAGAAAAGACCCAGGCTGTGCTTCATGAGAAATCGCATTATTCACACATAATATAAATCAATACAGAGCTGGGGGAGTGTTTGAGTCAGTAAACAGCTTTGTGGAAACTTAGCGTGAGACAAACTACTACTGTCTTACAATAGGGACCTTCTTATTGAAAAAAAAACCTTCAGGTACAGACAGGTCTTTATAATATTGGTGGTAGCGATAAAAACACCCAGTTGGGGATCACTTTATTCAGACAGCCTATGGTTAACACAATGGTTAGCAAAACTGATGTTAGATATATCATGTATGATTCATCTCCACCAACCATGTGAAAACATGACTCACACATTTAATAGTTATTAGCGTGGGCATCATGGTAACATGGCAGCTCTGGGGTTGGAAAAGTCGTGATTGGTCCACCATGATGGTCTCTACTCAAGTACCTAAAATCAAATTTCAATTGGTGTAACAGCTGTTGGGTTATCAATCTTTTTGAAACTGAGATTTAGAGGACACATGTTAACCAGATTGCCTTTTTTTAAAAGATAATTTTTGGCCCTTTTTTCCCTTTTTTCTAAAATTGAGTGACAGGAAATCTGACTGCATCCTCCGTTCATGGGGCACCTGCTCTAAACCAGCCAAACCAGCATTGCATATCTATAATGGAGTACCAGAAGAGAGAGCCTTAACCTGTACTTAGGGGGACTCTTTGTGGGATTTGGTTCATGTGGTAAACCTCCCAAAACCCTGTCAGAATAATAGTCATCGTCCCCCAAGTTCCAGACCCGGTAGAGGTAGATGTAAATAACTTCATACCTTTGTCGTGGGAGTATGAGATTTTTTTGTGTGTGTTACTGTTTCGGTGTTTCTGTCTTTATTAGATAAGTAACACTTTAGAGAGACAGGCTGGAGTCAAACCCATGTCCTTAGTACTTTGGGCACACGCACACTCCCAGCAGCACCCTGTAAGGTTTAATTTTGTGACTCACATTTTCCACAGAGTTTTGTGAATCCTGGGTCGTCACAGCCTTCCTTGCAGCAGCAAACTCCATGTCCTCAAGGAGAAAAAGGCAGATATAGCCAATATGCTAAGCTCATGGGTTTAGGTTGCAGGTCATTTCCCATCGGGATCAGCCGGCTCCTGCAGAGGGGATGGTGATAAGAGTGGATATTGGGAGCTATGTAAACCTTGTTAAGCTGCCCCTTCTCTGTGTGCTGGAGGGTAATCCCGAACACCTGGAATAGTTAACTGGGATTTGATGGGATTTGGGGCTCCATGAGGCAAACCTGATCATGCCTCTGGTTAAATCCATTTCCACTCTTATCTTTTCACATTATCTCTCCGATAATTCAAAGTCAAACCAACACTTACATAACAGCTGGATGATGTTATCTCCATTCTCCATGGCTGTAAGAATAAGTTCGCTAATATGGCCTCTCATGATTTGGTTGTATTCATTTTGGCGCCCCCTGTGTTCAAACAAATACCTCAGGGAAGCGGCCTTTAAACAAAAAACCTCATACTGTTTTGTTCTAATAGTGAAATGTTACTCACTGTGAGTAATTGTGATGGAAAAGTTAAAAACAGGGTGTTTCCTCAACCTGCTGCCAGTTATTTGCTCTGACACATACCCCTCCTACAGTGTTTTCAGGCATTAATAATAACTACAGTGACATTGTTGCTTTTGAAGGTCATAAAGGGATGTCAGCATCAGTATGTCAGTTAAAACTCCTTATAGCGCCTTTAACATGCCAAACCATAGACTGTATAAAGCATGGACAGAGTTTGCCTCCTTGCTGGGTGAAGCCACTCCGCGAACAGCACCCTCTGATGGTGGGCTGCAGTACAGGTCATAAATCCCGCCTTCGCCTTATGGGACTGTGGACAAACTTTAGAAATTTATTACACAGAACATAAATTTCCCTCCCCCCTGCTTGTGATGTTGACATGTAGTTATTGTAAGACTGGTTTGTGCCCAAGTCCTTTTTTTTCTGTACAGCTCCGTTTTGAAAAGTCATTAGGGGGTTCATGTTTTCTGCGATTGACACCTGGTACAGCCTATGGGTGTTCAGGGATTGTGTAGCTCTCCCGGGGGGATACGCTGTTTAAGCCGAGCGTCATCACAGGGACTCTCGGCGACTGCGCGGCCGAATGCGCGCATCGCTACTGCGCAACTCTGGTTTCAAGGAAGTGGAGAAAAACCCGGAATTACCAAGAGCTTTTTGGCTTCAAATCCGTATACAGGCGGAAGGCGGAACCAGGTTGTCCATAGTATATACAGTCTATGTGCCAAACCTTTATGGTGAACATGATAAAAGCATCATATCCCACAAACATTTGTTGACATTAGCATGTAGCCCAAGCACCGCTGTCCTTCAGAGAGACACAAAAGTGGCTGCAGACTGTAAGTGAAACATAATTACTTATGCATTATGCTTCTTTTTTGACCACGTGGTGAAATAGTGGTGATGATTTGTGAAAACACGGTGGATGTGGTGCAGAGTTGGCAGTTTAAGGAGCTCTAAGACGAACTTGTTCATTTTCTTTAGCTGTTGCTTTGGGGTTTTTCTTCAGTGTTTTATTTTTAAATTCTTTTATGCAAGTCCCTCTTTTCAACTTCATTTTACAAAGATAAAGTCATGTCAGCACGCTCAATAATCATTATCAGTGGTATCACATATGCTGAATATCTGTGCATATACTCTAACAAGAAAACCTGTATTTTGTTTACATGTGATGTGTTCATTAAGTAACCTCCTCCTCCTTGTTCCCTCTTTTCTAGATGTGGACGAGTGTGCAGAGGCGCTCGACAACTGCAGCATCGATGCCATCTGCCAGAACACCCTGAAGTCATACAAATGTATCTGCAAGTCAGGCTATAAAGGAGACGGCAAACATTGTGAAGGTACAAGTCTAACCGGATTAATGCGCTCATTTCCACCTGTGGTTGGAGGCACAAACTTCTGCTCCCCTCTGTTGGAGGATTTTTACAGTAGATTGAAGCAAAAGCCACATTTCTCATGTTGATTTGACTTATCTCTGTGAATGTAAGCCCCCCCTGGGCCGCTGACAGGCTCGATAAGAGCTTCTGTCTCACTCAACATAACTCATTAATTCAAGACTCTCCTGGAGAGGGAGGAGAGACGAGGGAGAGAGCGTCGGGAAAGGGAAAGCCAGGTGCAGAGTGCTCCTTTGTGACGAGATGAAATGAAGCAGTAAATTTCCTACACATGTTGGTGGAGAAAATTAAGATAGCGGCTGAAATGGCAGTCAGAGGGCCTGCCAAGCTGTCAGGGATATTTCCACAGCCAGAGGAAGGCCTCATGGACTGTCAGACACAAGTCTGTTTTTCTAACCTTTTTTTTTCAGTGTGCCCAAAGCCTCCGGATCATTATATCCCACAATTTTTATTAGTATTATTACAAAACCATATTTCTCAATGTCAGTTTTTTCCCTCACTGTTATTATTCTTTCATTTAGTTGACCGAGTGTTTTTCATGGCCTTCTGCCTGAGGGTCATAAAAGTTTGCCTTATTGAATCTATTGTAAAATATGTGCAAGGTCGGGTTTCCTTTCAACTCAGGGTTTGTTGAAGGCTTCTCAAGGCTGAAATACTGAGGAAATTCTGAATTTAAAAGCAATTTTCATAAAACTTGAAGGAAACACGAATGTTTCCAGTAATTTGGGGGGGAGATTTTAGGACAACACTGTCTGTCTTGATGTTAAATGTGACCTTGCCGAAAAACTTTAAAGTGCAGTTCTCCACCATGCTGTCTGTTAAAAAACAGAGAGCAGCTGAAGCATAAAGAGGATTTTTACTTTCCATTCTGGTTGGCTTTTTCTCATTTACATTTAAACGCCTCCCCTGCCCTGCCCTGTTTGTCTTAATGATTTATGGTTGGGTTTTGATTTTTAAGTATTAGTGATCTAAAGGCTTGATTCAGTGTTTCCTTTGGGGATAGATTCAATTTCCTTTTGAGTTGAACAAAAGCTCTTATCTTTAGAGGAACCACTGATGTATCCTCCACTGCCAGAGTAGATGCCATATTTTTTTTTTGATGAAATTTAGGTGACTGTTTTAACATTAAATCTAATTTTTCTATCCCCCCTGGGCTTACTGGCAAGTAAAAAAGTCTTCATGGTGCTGTTTAATGTGGACAAAATCTCTTTTCCTTGTCGAATCTTCAGGATGTCTTCAAAGTTTCTGCTCTTTTATTTTGTTTGGCGATACTTTCAAAGTAATTCAAGATAGCCTCAAGATTTATACATGCTATTCAAGTGAACAGAAAAATATCAAGCCAACTTTCACTGAAAACACTCACACTATTAATGACAAACTTTGAGTGGAACATTTCCATATAAACTATGTTCTAACAATCCCTTTTGGAGTATGAAAACAGCAGCGGCGGCTCTATTGGAGGATCAGACTTTAAATTCAATCACTCAGACAACAATCATTCACGTACAAGATTGGTACATAATTCATACGAATAGTTTAACCCCCTTGAGTGAGAACATTGACCTTGACAGAGCAAATCTTTAATTTATCAGTTGAGATCGACGCACGCTGAATTAAGTTTCTACTGTTGCTGTCATACCAATAAGTTTACATTCATCTGCCAGCTCTTGACAGCAGCAGCATCTGATTTAAACTAATAATGTTGATCATGGGGTACGTATTAAACCAGCACATCACACTTTAATTCAGTCGTTATTCGGTTATGAATCCTCCCCCTCAGTCATTACAGAGATCTTAGAGGCTGATATCAAATGAGCGAGACCATCTTTATTAAAATCGTATGATCAAAACAACTCAAAAGAGATTTTCATCGCATGTCCTCGCAGTAAGGAGATAAATTAACCCATAAACATGAGAAATAAACATTTATGTTTTAATAGAGATGAGAACCAGCTTAGCAGAGGGGTGTGAAAAGTGACAAATACAGCTGAATAGTGAAAAGGTGATTGCGCCAATTAGAAGGTTTAGATCTCACCCTGAAGGGACTCTAGTAGGCGTAACAACCTGTTCGTCATACATTATCCTGCTTGATACAAGTTTATGAACAAAATACAGAAATAAGTTGGCATAAAAGGTCGATTTAAATATGATTACAGTGATTTAAAATGGTTCATTTTCCAATTTAAAAAGAAAAAAGTACCATTGATTCCCAGGTCAGCAAAGTTTCCATAGCAACAGATTACAAGTCTACGTGTGAGATGGATAACAAACTGTTGCAGCTAATTTAAAACCTTCGCCTGCTTATTTGTCATAATCCAAATTAGACTGAACTTCATGTTAAACAAGAAGAACAGAACTACAAATTTTACTCACCAGCGACACTGATGTTGCCTGGATTGCAGGACAGAATCTTGCACCAGTTTCCCTTCCAGAGATGATTGGAGTCCAGTCACTTTTCAGACTACTCTCATAGTTTTACCCTGTAACGACACCAGCTATCCAGACCAGCCTGAGACGGACGCAGATGTTTTTTATTTTATTTTATTTTGTACTATTTTTAATGCCGATGGTAAAATGCACTGACTGATTTGATTGGGTGTGTATGTGAGATCAGGCTGTTGCCAGTGTCACTTTTGCTAGAATTAAATGTTATTATGGTATTTGCTAATTAGATTTAAGCTTTTAACACAGCCTGGTAATGAGGGAGAAAATTGGGTAATAATAAGTGTTCTTTATGTTAGAAATGTTTTAAATGCAAAACATGAAGCAGAATCCAAAATAATCTCCAGAAACATATGAAGAGTTGAGAGTCATATGAACTGATTTAATCTCAATTAATTCCAAATATAAAGGTTAAAAGTGATTAACTTTCCTTTTATAACCTATTATTATTTAAACATTTATTATGCAAAAATATGATTTTTTCCTATTGCTCTTAACATTTTTTCCTTGACAAAGGAATTGTTAGATTTTAGGAATAACTAAACTGTTAGAAAGACAAAGTCAGAGATTTATTTAAACTTTTTCTTGTATAACTCTTGAAAAAGGCTGATTTATATTGTATTTACCAAATCTTACCAGGAAACCTCAACAGAATCTCAAAATTCAATCTTTTACAGTGAAGTCTTAGTTAAATTGTTGTTGTTCTTGTCTCAGAGACATAATAGAGAAAAAAATCTTGAGATTGGTTTACAGAGCTATCACAAAAATCAAACCACAACAAAATCTAAGCAGCTGAATGAAAACCATTTGCGCTGGTTGTTTCAGGTTTTGAGAGGAGTAGAGCAGCGATGTGTGATTGTTTTGCCGCGATCGAGGAATGACAGAGATGTGTGGGAAGAGGAGAGGCAGGGAGCAGGAGAGTGTTTCTTTGTTTCAGCCTCATCCCTCTGCTGTCACATCATATAAAGCCTGGAGTGAGACAGCTTCAGAGAGGAGCTGAACGGCTGGGATCATCTGTGCTTAAATGGGCCAGTAAGTGCGGGTTTGAAGCGCGCCGAGTTCTCAGTCCACCTTCTGTAGGTCTCCTCAGCGCAGACCCCCAACCATCATCGTAACCACAACAGACAACTCCACTCAGGCTGTCACAGCCTCTCTTTGTCTTCCTGACTCTGCTCTCACATTTATGTGCCACGTATCTTCAGTTTGAGCCCAATTTAGAGTTTCTTTAATGGACACTTCTCCCCACTTACAGAGTATGATCTTTTATGAAGGTGCTTGGTATGTAGAGATTGCTTATTGATAGTATACATTCACATTACTATTAAAATTCCCCTGAGCAACCTCACTTTTATACTTTTTTTTAGCAGTGGATGAATGAACAGTTATGCTCTTGAAAGTATCCACAAGTATCGACCCTGACTTCACTCTGTGGATTGCAGCATAAAGCTTTTAGTACCCCAAAATGCTGTTTCAGAGGCTTTTACACCCTGCCAACAGTAAAAATTCCACAGAGGAAAAGCAATATATTGGCATAAGAACAGGTCAAATTATAGGGTATTAAATATAGCATAAAACATGGCTATAAACATCAGGATTTGACAAGAAAACAATATCAGAGCGCCTCTGGCACACGCCCAAGTTACATCAGGAGCAGGTGAGCTACCTTATTGCCACAGCTGGTGTCTCATCTCTCTTTATCTCATAAGTGCTGTTATGAAAGTAGAGATGGAACAAAACTGATCATTTTAATTCTCTGTATTGCACCAAATGGCTCTGTTTCATCACAGATTGCAAAGGCAGATGTGACATGTCGAGAAATGCTCTTAATTTTTTCTTGTCTGAAGTTTAAGGAGAAGATAAAGTTCTCATTTCTTTTAAGGCCTGATACCAACCAGCATCTCGGGGTTTATTAATCGACATGTTTTATCTGGTTTAAGAAAGCTGATATTGTGTTTTACAAAACTTATAATATCAGAGGTTCATGTGTAACTTTCTCAAGTCTCATCATAACATTGAAGTGAGTTTTAGCAACCAGGAAGTGAGACCGAAGGTAAGTTCTCATGGTGTTTAAGTATGGAGAACAATACCATTAACTTACTTAAACAGGTCTGTTTTTCAAGCCATAAAGAAGCAATGTCCTACTAAAGTGTCATATAAACTGAGTTCTTATCACACTTGATTATTAAATGTCCAAAAAGCTGAGAAACTCTGCACAGATCTTCACAAACAGTAAAAATTGATCGTGCCCCAGGATTAATGGAAAATATATAAAAAATGTGTGATACTCACAATTGATAGTTTCCTTCATATTCTGATTTACATTTTTTATCTATCAAAATGAGTTTTATTAACATAGCTGAGAGGTTTTTAGTTATCCAAGTCATGTTTCAACTTTTATCCATCTTAACGAGCTTTACCAACCCCTCAGTTCAGAGCTGAAGAAGCCTTCTGGGTGAGCGATTAGGTGTCTTTTTAGACCTCTTACCAAGTTAAGTTGCCTTTGGAGTTAAACTCAGAGATGGGGATTCACTAAAAATCGACTAAAAATGTTAGCACAAAAAATATATCTGATATCTGTTCTGTTTTAAATCCTCAAAGTGTAGCAGGCGTGTGAGATTCATACAGAAGACGCCCACACACTTTTGCAGCTCTGGGCGGATGAGCTCTTAGTTTTTGCTGCACAGGGCTGCACTGTGCACACTCTTTCTTACAGGGCACGGATCAATCCACACATAAAGGATGAGCTGGACTGGAAGATTCCCCCTATACCAGTTTATGTGACAGATGTGATATAAATGTCCCAGAGCATCCTCACAAGAGTAGCTTGTTCAGAAAAAACCCCAAAACAAAACATGAACAGATTGTACCTAAAGGATCCAGACCATGAAAAAAGTGTGTTTGATTCATGTCATGTTTGATTCATTGATGGGCATGGCCTGACCGCTAACATTAACAGACTTCATTTTTATAGATATCCTATTTTAGGTTCATCTAGAGGTGTAAATGTCGTCAGGATCACTTCAATTTCCCCACATGTCCATCTTTTGCTCCTAAACCCCAGATGCTTCAGGTTTTTACCAACTTGACATCCTTGTGTATCATTTCTCTTCAGATGTCGATGAGTGTGCAACCGAATACAACGGCGGCTGTGTCCACGAGTGCATCAACATCCCGGGAAATTACAGGTGCACATGCTACGATGGCTTCCGCTTGGCACATGATGGGCACAACTGTCTGGGTGAGTGTGTGATGTTCCGAAGTGTGTGCGCACTTATCACAGCGCGGGTATGTTTTTATGTGTCAAGTGGTTTTTCGTAATGCTCTATATTTTCCACTGCTGACTCAATTATGCAGGAAAAACGTCATTATATAAGGCACTTTTGTCAGGAGAACATGTACATTAAACTGCATGCTTCTCGCTCCGGCTGACATTACCCATGTGGCTGCATAAATTCACCCCTCTGCATGTTTAATGTCACATCATAGATGGTAATGTATGTTCCAGCGCTGAATTAAGATCGCTGCATAACATATTAACTGTTGCCTCATTTCTCATAGCAGGTAGCCTCTAAATGTGGTCTCACTGAGACAGAAACAGACTTTTTTTTTTAAAGAAGTGCAAAGAAAAAAGGGGTGAATTTATGAAGAGCTTGACCCTGAGCTGGGAGCTCTGAGTGAGCTGTCAGTCGACCATACTTTCCCAGGGTTTAATATTTCACCAGTGTGCCATTCATATTAACCTCGTGGAGAATGTGTTACACTGAAAAGGTTATGAAATGAGGGGAAAAAACACAGCTCTTCCTGCATTTAGAGGCAGCTAAACATAGATATTGACCCCCCTCTAGCCTCCACCTTTTCCATTCGTCTGTCTTTCTACTCCTTCCTCACAGACTCATCCTGCCTTATTTTTTTGGTTTTTAAACCCCTAAATTCGGCTGCCTCTCTGAAGTCATCTCTTGTTTAGATTTTAATCTCATTACGCCGAATTTCACGTTATTGAGACTTGTTAAAGTCCCACTCCGATCCTTTTTTTTTTTAACTACTTAAAGTGTTATCAGTGGTCTTTAAATTGTGATTATGAAGTTTTTACCAAAAATCTTGTTACCTATGTCGTTTTCAAGAGCTTTTCTCCTGCAGAGCTCCAGTAGCTCATTCGCAATTCGCCTCTGAGTCGTGGGTCATCTTCACGTTAGCTTGTTAAACACCTTAGTATGACTCCAATCGGAGTTTGAGAAATCCGATTGGAGTCGGAGAACTCCGATTTAGACACCCAGATAATGCGATTGGAATTCGATTTTCTCTACCATGCAACCAGCGTAGTCGGAGTATGATTGGACAATGCATGTGCGTGTGCGCCATAACCCCGGAACAAAAACACCACAGAAGAGGAGTAGCATGCACCTCATCTACAGAAAAACTAGCATGTACATCATGTACGACAAAAACAACACTGTACGATGCTCCATCTTCTTGCTCGAAAAAGCCCAGCAGCAGTTGTAGACACTTCTGGCGTCTGGCACGGACCTGCTGTTGTTGTTGACAGTTGTATGGGGTCAACCAGAAACAGTGCCACTGAAAAGACCCATATCGCCCCCTAGTTCTGGGGAGGAGGACACATTATCATCAATAATTTGACTTTCTCAGCTGCATGTGGACAAGGAGAGAAGTCGGATTCAGCAAAAAAAAAAAAAAAAACGAATTATGAGCTTAGTCCGATTAAACTGTGCATATAAACGCACTGACTGTTTCTTTAGCATCAGAAAAATGCCAAATGAGTTCTAGCTGCTGCAAGTCTAATGTAGGTGAAAGTAACAGCAGATTTTAACATTCGCGTTAAGTGATGACAGGGAAACTTATCAGCACTTCACAGTGATTCGCTATAAAAGGGCTCTTACATGCAGGTACACAAGGCAACACGTTTATATCATTCCCGAATTATCTTGATGAACAGGGATTAGGGAACACTGGTATGTAAAACAAATCTTTAGATTGATAATGAACCCGTTGAGACTTGATGCCGCCTTCTCTAACTCCCGCTGTATTTTTCCCTCTTCCTTGCCTTTCGCTCACTCATGTGCTCCTATCTACAGTTTAAAGTGCAGCTATTTTCCAAGCCATTTAGCAACAGCATTCAGCTGTGCATGGATCATTTGCTTTGCTGTGGATCAACTCCTGCTCCTGCCTTTCGTGCAGGTGTGTAATTGCAATATATGCTTGTGTGGCTGCCGCTGTTGCGTCAAACAGAGCTGCATCCATCAATCCCTTTGATGTAATCTCTCATAGGGAAACACACACGATCGAAAACACAGAGCGATTCGAAGCTATGTCTTCTTCTGCCATGTTTTATTCCACTGACCTGCATTCAAACTTCTTCAGATGCTCAAGAATCTCGGCGTTAAGGCGTACCGGATGGCATATATGTGTAGCCGTCAAGCACAAATCCAACTCTTGCCCTGAGACCTGAAAGGACTCACAAGACCTCTTTCTCTCAAGAACTTAACTCATGCTAATGCCCTCGCTCTGCTCTGCAAAGGAAATAATCCCCAACACAAACACAAGAAAGGAGAGGAAGAGCCGGAGCAGAGGTTTCATGTTAAGGCCCCCAGCTTCCTCTTCCAGGTTTAAGCTCCTTTTTGGCCCCTGAGAAAAAGATTAGTCCCCTTGGCCCTGGAGTGGGGAGCCTAAGCAGCTGGTTCCCAGACAAGGTCAGACCCTCAGAGCCCCCTTATAGACCAGATGTGCCTCAGGCTGTACAGAAGGAGACGTTCACCTGATCCTTAAAAGTTCACACTGAGTTTAGCGTCTGGGATCTTTGAGGTCCTTCTCTTTGGATTTTCTTTATGTTGTTCTTCTATAGCGCTATGATGATTTCGCCTTATATCCCTTCTTTTAAAGCAGCGTAAACCCCCCAGTTGTGTCCACACCTTCCTCTTTCCTGCTCCTCCGGGCTTTTCCTCAGCCTGTAGCCTCCGCTCTGTGTGACTGTCAGCTCAGGGACGAGGCGTTACGCCAGCGCGCACGTCTCTGTAGATGTCTTCTTCTTGTGCTTGCATCCGCACGTGCCGCACTGCTCCTTGTAATTGGATGTGTTGGCAGCATAATGACATTGGGCGGTGGCAGGAGGCGGCGGAGCATGAAGCAGAACGCTGCCTTAGCGTGCCTCACCGGGGACGCTCTGGTTTCTGAGGTCTGCCCTACACCCCACAAAGATGTCAGGGAGTCAGCAAGGTGGAAGCAATGCAATATCACAGCGCGCTGCTCCTGTCTGCACAGAGTGAGATGCCACTCACTGTATAATTTACCTCTCAGGGAACTATTGTACTCCCTCAAAAGTCACTGTGGAGAAGAAGCGGAGCATATAAGGAGTTGATTACATCTTTTATAACAGCCGTGACTATTATCTCGCCGAGGTGAGGGAGGGATTGTATTTAATCAGCGCACCTCCTTTATGGTGAGGCTGTAAAGGATTTTTAGAGTCTTAGGAAAAACAGAGGAATCAATGTCAATTTAATCCAAAACACACATCCTCTTTAGAATGAAAACCAGATGCAGGAATGGCTATTAGTTCCCCACTGTAGCAGCACCGTCCCCACATTTATGACCTATGTGTTTTGTTTGAGGTCCTACAGAAACCAGAATTCCCTCTTATCACTGCTAGTTCATTAAACCCTTCTCAAGTAGCTTAATATCATAAGCATCTGCACAAATATTCCGCTCCTCTGCAACCACAAATTACAACATGCCAACGCTTTCGGGCACCGAGAGACACGAATAATCATATTTCTCTCGCGCCCATAAAATGGAAATGGCAGAATCGCATGCGGCATGAGTGTGACTCACAAGGAGAGGCATAAAAAAAGACAACACACATGTGGGACTAAGTGTCACCATAATGCAATTTGTTTGACTTTGCATTGTTCGCAGTTATTCATCATGCTCGGCTCCGTCAGAGTTAGAGTGCTGATTTTGGGGCTTCGCTCTCGCGGCTCAACAGGCCATGTTCCTTTGATTTGCATCGATCAACACTGATTTGGTTTGTATTGATCCAGCGGGGCTCAATTCCCTGTGCAATCTATAGTTAAATGAATGCCCTTTTACTTTAACCTTGCCCAAAGACGTATCATGATCTGTAACATACGAGCGCTGACGTTAAAGCTCTGTGCGATTCAAGAACGGCTTCGAAGTAGCTGCTTAGAAAAACGGTCCCACCAGGTAATCCTTTCGAGGGTTTTGCTAATTCCTGGAGGTATGTCGTGACATTGTTTTTTACTTATTCAACTGAGATGTCCTACACACAAATCTTCATTAGTCATCCAACACAAAGTCCCTTAGCTGGGGCCTGAGTCCCCCGCTCTTGTAATCCTCTGGGATCGTGCTGCAGGGTTTACTAATCAAACAGGAGGCCTCAGACTGATGTATTATTGACCGGGTCCTGATGGGAGAAAGTAGTCATCAAAGAGCGTCACGCTGATTTGCTCCACAGCCTCTTCCGTGCTCCTAAATACATTCCTTTCAAGTCTATTGCCTACTCTTAGAAGGTGGCGTTGAAAACCTCCACACCTTTTACCTTAGCTGCTTTAAACCTTAAAATCCTGAATACACAGGGTTGATTTAAGGAAATGATGGTCTGAAAACCCGTCACATCTAACCCTCTTTACTTCTCTTTCTTTCTGTTGATGCAAATGTCCCTCTGTCCCTCCCTGTCAGCCGTCACTTTGCTTTTGTTGTGACATGCACGGATTCGAGTTTGGACAGGAGAGTCTCTCCACAGTTCAGAGGAGCAGAGCCGGAGTGATGAGTTAAGGGACGGATTTGAGACTGGAGCATTAGCCGGCTCCTGAGGACTATATCAACACTCTTCCTCGCACGCCTCTCTTAGGATTGTTCGGTCCCACTCACCATGAAATGAACAGTTCCAGCTGAGCCCACTGGCAGGGCTTTAGGGGGAAACTCAAGCCTGAGATTGGGCTTAAGGGTGATAGCATGCAGCAGACTGGGAGCCGGCAGACGTCAGTGCAGGCAGGGCCTCTTGTCTCTTTGGCATGAGACTATCCACCCCAAACACTTATCCCGGGGTTTTGTTTTTAAAATACTTCCAGACTTTTGATAGACGAACCCAGAATTACCATTTTGCATGACAATACCTCAGTTTGCTATTTAGGAAGGGACTCAGTAAGAGCCTACATTTGGAGTCTAACTTTTTGCTTATTTATCAGGATGGTTACCAAGGAGACGGACACAAAAGTTTAAAAAAAGTCCGACTTCAATCAAAGCTGTGTTAGGCTTGTTTATGTAGCGGCACAAAAATCAAGCCTGGATGCTGATTTCCGAATGACAGTAAACAGATTTTATTCATGTTTGTGTAGCAGATGTGACTCAGCTGTATTAAACACAGTGATTCAGGCAGACAGGAAGTGCTGGAACTAATAAAGTGTTCAAAGCTGAATACTGTAAGTGTTTTCATCCATTAATTTTAAGTTTCCAAACGTCACACACACACACACACACACACTCCTTTGATTTAAAGGAGGTTGCGTGCTCCGCAGATGAAAGATCAGGACTTCCTGCAACATATCAATTTATACAACCTCAGCTGATGTGTCACACTGAGCCTGAATGTTAGGTTTCAGCAATCTTGTCTGTGCACTCAGCTGTCCTCTCATGCTGAGTTCAAACCTGATGCCTGGCTTTGTGTTCACTCGAGTGGGTGAGGAAATATGCTGTGTCATTGAACTCAATCAAAGGGAGAAAAGAAAAATCGTACTCTCTGGATCTTGATTTTATCAGCTGCCTGTAAATGTGCAACTCCTTCAGCACTGATGTCTGATCATTTAACCGAACAGGATGGTCAGCTTCTGCAGCTGTTTTGCTGCCTGTCGCTGCACATGGCTTCGATTTGCTGCCTTATTAAAGAGTGTGCGCCTCTTCTACTCCTGTAAATGAAATGCCCAAAGAGGCCAGTGTCAGTCCACTCACCTCCTTGTCTCTGGTCTGTCTAGACCACAGAGCCAGTCTTGTCTGATCCAGACAGAGGCCAAGCAGTGGGATGGATGCAGGAACAGCTTTGACAGCAGCAGTTTTTCACTCCCTCCCCTGCTCCGGGTCAGTGATAAATACCCCCGAAGTTGCTGAACCTTTAAAAAAAAAAAAAAAAAAAAAAAAAGCAGAGCAAAAGAGTTGAGCATTTCTCCAAAATAAGAGTTCAGGAGTTTCTGTAAGGCAACCACCATGTTTACACGTCTCTAAAGCTCTGCACAAGGCCAAATGTTATATATACAGTCAAGGCTATCTGAGAAACCAGCGGACATGGCCTCTGCAAACACAACCAATCTCTTAATCTCTCTTCGTTTGAACCGTCCTTCGCCCTGCGCCTCCCCGAGTGAAGCAGGGATAGAGCAGGGACATGTCTCATTTTTTAGAAGTGAGGCAGCCCTTTTAACTTGATTAAGACATTTTTTTTCCATAGTCTCTGGAGGATTTTCTAAAAAGTGTTTTAAGTCTAAATAACACGAGCACTTTCTCTAGGCCATGCCAGAACCCCTTTCCGCTTGGAAATATTTGCTTTGGACGCCAGCCTTGCCCAGCACACAACACAGGCAATTATGGGAGCTATTTAAACAGGAGAGATCTTCTGACAGGCGACGCCTCATTTGGAGGGATGAAGGAATCAGGAAATGAAACCTTCATTGATGCGCCGAGGGTATGGAAAGAGAATCCTCCAGGATCACTGTGGCCTGTTGCATTTCTCATGGGCATGTTGTGCATGCGTTGAGGACTGTTGTGTTTGCACAAAAAAAGTAAAAGTTTGAATTTGTTGGGGTTTTTTTTTGAGTGTAAAGAGAGAGAGTTTTTCTGTGTCAGAGCTTTTTTCTGTTTGATTTGTGGAGTTTGAGTGTTTGGTGCCTGCTAACAGTTTATCTGCAAAGGTGCAGCTGGAGGTTGCTGGCAGCTTTCGTCAGCTCAGAGGTCTTTTCTCTGCTGCTGCTGCCACTCTCATGATGGAGAAAAAAGACCGTGAGGTCAACAACACTGTCGAATGAAATCCTGCCCAACTATTTTTTTTTTTTTCTGGGCTGTCCTCCCTTGACTCAGACTAAAAAGTTGAAATGTTAACTTTACTGAGCGCTTTTTTTTCTCTGATGAATGCACCGCTTCACCTGGCTGCAGAGCGACGCTTTCCCCGTCGACCTCGGCTGACATGACACATTGTTTTTAGAGGAAAGAGACAGTTTCGCCGATGGAATGTGGGAAGAGGACAGCAGACTTGGCAAGCCGACGAGGGTCATGAGCGCTACCTGCTATTGACCTACTTATCCACCCAAGAGGTTTCAGCCTCGCCAGGTGCCACTTTGCGAGCACAGATTGTGTGTTTTTATGCGTTTGGTGAATCCAAATGTCCCCGCATTTCTGTGTGGAAAAAGAAGAAAGAAGAGGAGCCAGAGAAGTTTAATTTCAAACTCTGTCGGGCTGAGAATTCCCCAGAAAGGAAACTTAATCTCTAGGCCTTCTCAGACTGGACAAATAGACAGTAAATTAGTTTCGCATGACGGTTTATTAAAAAAACGTCTTGTGTATACAACGGATTATTGATGCATTGAGCAGAGGGGTGGATAAGGTTCCAGTGTGGTCGGTACACAGGGACAGAGCCCAGGTCTCCGGGGTAAGAGGGAATATGGAGAGTCACCTCTAGAGCCACAGTGCAGTCACGCACAAGGGAGTACGAGGCCACTAAGTACTGCAGCGTGCCAGACGGATAAAAACAGCGAAAATGACATTGCAAAAGAGCTCTCACTCTGAAAATAAACAAATATATCAAAAGATTTATAGATGTCCCACTCCTACTGCTGTTGATTCGCCTCTTTTTTCGTGGAGTCACACCATGAGATGAGGGGAAGAAAAGTCTGTGTCCTAGAAGAGAGCAGCTGGAGGTTCACAATTCATTACGAGTGGAAATGAAGTCAGCAACTTTCATTCGTGGTCAGTTTCCCTTTCTTGCCCCGAGGCAGGACGGGGCCTCAGGCGACACCTCTGGAAATGCTTTTCTATGCACTTGAGATTGATTCACATGGTCGCCTGTTACCCTCCTGCTCCCCCAGACCCCCTTCATTTCTCATACTCTCTCCTCTTTCCATCCCCCCTTACTCACCTCCCACCTCTTTCCTCTCGCCCTCTCCTTACATTCTTCCCGTCATGGGGCTGACAGACACTCGTCATCAGCAGGTACTCCGGCCCAGGTGGATCAGGTTTCCCACTTGCCAGGAGATTGTGCTGCATGTGCACATTTATGGCTTAGTGCTGCACAGTTGGAGGTTTTTAGTGCAACTCTGGTGTGCTGCCAGGTCAGATAACCATTATGACAGGCCTGAGACACTCCTCTGAATCCCTTAATTTTTCTTCTTCTTCTTTATAGAGGAATTAATCTCAGTACATTTACTCAAAAGTGGAGGTACTCATCAGATACTTAAGTAGTCCAATTCATCCCCCACACACACACACCTGAACCTTTCTCTCTGCACACAGCTGCTTGATTTGCACCCACTCTTCCCCCTTCATCAGCAGAATACTACACGGGTTTCAAAAGTTCGGGTTTTATTAATATTCAGTTTCACAGCAGGGGTTCCAAATGCTTAAGGAGGATTGTTTTTTAATGTGCAGCATTTCTAGCAACAGGAGCAGAAGTAGATGTGTATTTGATAGCAAAGGTTGCACCTCGGTACACTTTGAAGATACTGTAACTGCATGTCTGTGTATAAAACCAGCAGATTATGTAAGTAGACCCTCCTCATGATGAAGGTTAAAGAAGACATATACACTCGGTAATTGATTGCAGATAGCTGTTGGATAAAGTAGCCCTCTCAAAGTTAAATATCATCAAAATTAACAAGTTACTTTGACAGCTTTATTAACAACACGTAATTACTTTTGCACCATCAACCTTCTGTAGTTTTCTTAATGTCGCCAAAAGGTGTGCCACAGGGTTCAGTTTTAGGACCCATTAATTTCACTATGCTTGAAACTCATTTTGGGAAATACTTATAGATCTCTATGCAGATGATACTGTTATATATTGCTGCTAAAATACTTCACCTCAACACTTAATAATTAGCAAACCGCAGTTGACACTATTAAACTGCACCAGTCCCACTTCGGACTAGATCTGCTGCAACTTCGGAGCCCCATCTTAAGGGATTTGTTGTTTGTTTACACCTCAGCTCTCTCCTTTTATCTGGACTCATTAGTATTTGTAAATCATTAACCCACCATAGTACTTGATAATCTTCTCAATTGATCATCATAAATCTGTGTAAAACTTTGAGGTGGCTTAAATGGAGCAACACCTGCAAGCTAGTCAGGCAAGCAACTCGAGCTGCACTGATTTCACTCTTGACTTAAGCATCATTCTTCACAATCATCTGACAAAAATAGTCTTTCTGATTTGTCGGTCTATTTGAGATGATAGATTGCCTGGCCCTAGGTTGTCCTTGTGCGTCTTATCAATGACGTGACCATAAATCTTCTTTTTATTTTTACACTTTGTTCTGTTTGTTGTCGACATTGTACAAGCTGTTTACATGCATATTATCTTCTGATCATGCCTGTATGCTTTACTGATGTTACCCAGCAAAATAAATGTCAAAGTATAATAGAAATGATAACTTAACCAGTAGATGGATTTGATTATTTCATTTTATTAATTTAAGAAGACAAGGCTGATTTTGCAAGATGACGTGATTATCTACGCAGATGAAACAAATTCATTGTTTGATTCATATCTCAACAGAATTTAAAGATACAGTTTTGGGTCATGATTGCTGAACTAAGTCATTACAGCAAATTTAGGGTTGATCAGTCGTCCCCCTGTAGTTGCATAAATCGACATAATTAAGGTCATTAGTCTATGATTTAAAATCTGTTGCCAAAGTTGTCAGACACCAAGGGTGTACAGCTACATGACTCTCCTGATCTCTGATAAACATTATGAATAATAAGCGGAAACAACCTTTTGTATTCCTGCGATAACAGGTTTATTATCTCTCTTTCTTAAGATGACAAAATAATTAACTTGTCATCTCGGGATAAAGACATCAGAAATAATTACAAGCGCTGCCGTTCTTGGCTTCTGTTTGTTCTTATCATCTCTGTTTGATGTTGATATACAACTACTTGTCTTCTAAATGGGTCATGACTTGATCCCAGAAAACCTTCAGCCAGACATTAATCTATGAAGTATTTGTTCCGTCTTGAAGTGATCTTATTAATTTTGGTTTTTATGCGTCTGTCTCCCGGCAGATGTGGATGAGTGCTCAGAAGGCAACGGCGGATGCCAGCAGATTTGTGTCAACATGATGGGCAGCTACGAGTGCCGCTGCAGAGAAGGATTCCTTCTGAGTGACAACCAGCACACTTGTATCCAAAGGCCCAAAGGTTAGTCATGCATGGACACACACAAACACACGCGATATTTGATGATTTATGAAAAGCTGGATATCACTGAGTGTTTTAAAAGTTTGGCTTGATGCAGCTGAATCTTGGATGTGATGAGCTGTGCAGATTTAAACAGTGAATGGGATCAGCCCCAACAGGCCTGAATAAAAGGTGAGCAAAGGTAAGTGTCTGAAATCTGAGGAGGGGTGAAAGGAAGACGAAAAATGGGGATAAATCTCTCTGTTGTTTTCCTCCCACCCTTTCAAATTGAACCAATCTAGAGCTTGGCAGCATTTTAAGGTATTGCTGGCATGAGAGTGGCCCTCGGGGGGACTGTGAGCAGAGAAAACAATTAGAGGAGTAGCCTCAGGCAGACACACCTCTTGTTTATAGAGCATTCCTGTGGGATGGAGACTTGACAGGAGAAGCTCGAGAGCCAACCTTCTCTCAGGCTTACTCATCAGACACAGGAGCCCCGCACACATACATACATTTATAACGTCACGGCTGCATTTGAAGTTAAGTAAGCTGTCAGGAAAATATCTCTGCTATGTATTTTGTCTGGTAGCCGTTTTCTTCAGGCCATAAAGAGCAACAAGGCAGTGGTAATAGTTTGTAAAAGATTTACTATGGTTTCTTTAAAGTGTCCTATAAAATGTTTTTAAATCATGAAAACGGCTGGTTCCTCGACTTTGCCAGATTTTCCACTATTTCGATGACAAGCTGTATTGCAGTCCCTCTTCATATGACTCAACTGTGGTTGAAGTTTGAGCACTTTTGTGCAGTTTTAAAGCTTTTTTTTTAAACCTGAATTCTTGCCAAGCAAGATAGGGTGCTTGTTTATGTCGTACTTATTCGGACTCCTGCAAATTTTTGTAGTTTCAGCCTTGGAGCTATAAGAACTTGAGTGTTTATTTGTTTGTTTGTTTTTCCAAAAGGTCACATTACAGTGATGGCATTTGAGTTTTTTATTTTTAAAGTCCCCGTGTGGACTTTTTAGCTGGTCATGAAACAGAATGACATTATTACCGCTGCCTTTTTGTGACCTACAAACGCAACTGAGACCACAGACCACAAGATTTATAATTCCTATGTAGATTGTTAATTTTAATGCTTGCAACCAACTCAGAAAAAGTTTCAGTGGCAAAGAATAAAGAATAAATGATTCATTTGATTGTCAAAAGAAAGCAGGATGTTATTTTTCATGAGTAAACCATGGTAAAAGACAGGCCACGCCAGATAAAGTCTCTTCACAGAGGCTTTCAAACAACATCATACTTAAGATTTAGAACTATTCTCCAACATTTCTGAGGAAATCCTGCGAATGGTTATACAAGACATTATTTTGCTTCTTTAGTTTGTCACTTAACCTGTTGGTATTTAAGTTAATTTTATGATACACATTAAATAAACATGTTTAGCTAACCATTTGCCACTTGGAGAGTAAAAGCCAGATCGGTTGAATCAGACCCTACCTGAGAGTGCATGCAACACACTTCCTGTTGCAGGCTCTTGTAATCTCAGGCATTGACTATACTGCAACTCCTTACTGGCAGACCTCCTCCTGCGTTTCCAATCAAACCTCTGCAGATGATTGCATCAGGTCGTCAACCAGCCAGTAACAGCGGATGTCATCCTGCTTTTCGGTTCAGAACCTGGTAGTTTGGTGCTTAGATGATGATGATGATGATGATGATTGCAGCATTGATTATAATTTTGTGGTTCCATGGTGAAAATAACATGTTGTAAGTTACAGCAGTGATAATGTTGCAATATTATACTTATAATAATAAACACTGTACATTGCCTCTGGCACTGCATGGCAGCTGTATTTGTGATTGGACTATTGTTGCACTTACGTATGTTGTTTCCTTCAGTCCAGAGCTTTTCTTGTGTCGTGCTTACTCTCAGATATATGTATTTTTGGACAAAAGTACATAACATGAAAAACTTGAGCCCACTAAGCAGTTATTTTTATTTAACTTGTGTTTTCAAACACTTAAAAGTTCCCGTTTGTCTGCTGGGAAAGTGCTTGGCAGCGATAACACTTCAGATCCAAGAGAGAGAAGAGAGACCGTTTGCCAGATCTCACCAGGGAAGACAAATCTGTGTCATCAGATTTAAAAACTGTGTGTTACTGACACGGATCCAGAGTTAATTTTATTCTAATATGTGTGTCAGGAAATTTACCATACCAGAGTCAGCGAGTTTCTCTAGAGACGTGATCAGTATGTAATGAAAATTTAGTATTTCAAGTGTTGCTTAATCATGATGTATACAAAAACACTGATTCTCATAAAACATGAGTTTAAGTTCAAGTTAAACTTATGAGGAAGACAACGTTTCTGCAACATTGAATCCCAAATTTAGATATCATTGATTTTGTTGCTCGTTGTTTGTCACATTGACCAATGCGTTTGTTTTGTGTTTGGCGTATTGGTCCACTGCTCAGAAAAGCAGCAGTAGAGAAAATGAACAGCTGTTATCACAATCACAAAACATATTAATTCCAAGAGTAATTATATAGCTGTCTCTTGAGTCCTCAGTTTTGGCTGAGACTGTGTTGTGGATCTTTTTGTTTTGGGCTGTATGCAGGTACAGCAGGATCTGAGAATCTCTCTATCACTGCCTTCCTGTTTTCCTCGTCCCCCCTCCGTCTTTATTAGGTAACTGCTTACGCTGGGAGCCATTAGACCGTAGTGTTCCTTGGTCTCCCGGACGGTGAACCGAGGATCTTGGACGTCTGGTTTATGAGATCAGTCTGGCCTAGTGAACTGTCAATGTTTACATTTCATAAACGCAGTGTTATTTGAGTGGAGTGAAGAGCTGGATCATGTGTTTCAAAGCACTACTACTATATCAGTGCTGTCAGGAGCAGACTGTGAGTAACACTCGGGTCTCTCTTTCGCTTCCTAGCCTCTTTTTCGTCTCTATAAATGCCTCTCCAGTTCCTGTTAATCTCCCATTTTCATATTAATTCTGTCTTTATTGCTTCCAGATGAGATCCATTTGGATCAAAGATTAAAGCTTGCCATAAATCTATAAACTTCCTTCACACATCAGATAGCTTCCCTATCATTGTTTCATTACTTCTGAAAGACTAACAGACAGAAAGCAGCTCATCTGCTTATTATTACTGCTCTTATTACAACAGTGTGTGTCTGCAGGAAAATGGAAGCAGTGAGGAATCAGCTTTGCAATTTATAGGACAATAAGCCTGCAGAGATGTTGTAAATATCGCTCTCCTTGTGAGCTAAAAGTATTATGCACAAGTGGCTAAGGGAGAAAAAAAATCACTCTGAAAATTAAAACTGATCTAATCTCCTTGCCAAGTTGGTTTAAATGCATCCTTCCACCCATTCTGCCAAGGTTCCTCTTAAAGAGCGAAGCCTGGGGTGCAGTTTGCTCATGAGCTTTATTGTTCTCATTAAAAAGACATCAGCTTTCCATTTCTTTCGTTAATGGGTCAGGTGTTCCCTCGGCAACTTCTGCGAGTCTTTCCGGGGACAGTGGAGAGCTGGTCACTGCAGTCTGTGGCGCTAACAGTCTGTTTCCCCTGCTGGTAAGAAGCCCTTGTTAGCAGTAAGCCTGTGCCAATTAGGCAGCAGGGGTCTGCCAGCCTCTCAGCTAATGACAAGGCTGCTGCTGGCCTGTCTCTTATTAGACCTGCCCCTGCCCCCCTGAACAGGAATAACTCCGGCCAAATGAAGGCTCCATCCTCAGGCTGGACAAAATGTAACAGTTCATTTATTCTCCCCAAACATTTCTCCCAGTCAAGAAATCAAGCCTTTGAAATCCCAGCCAAGGTGCTCAGCGGTTGATAGGAATGCCATTTAGGTCAAGAAGGGTTCCACTGCTCTGACTTTGATTTATTGTCTTTCTTATGCAGAAGGATAACAGGGACGTACTATATGTGCGTGAGACGGGATCCAGCACATTGGAATCCTGGAATTTCAAGCTCAGTCAACCCACACATCCATAATTTTAGTCCTGTGCATTTCTGGGTATCCGGTTAGGCAATTACTTTAAGTGTGCACTGATGGCCTGTTGTGTAAGTCACATACTGTTGCTTTTACATTCACTCATACTGTCTTCATGATACATAAAACATGATGATGTGATTTGAATTTTAAACACGAGCTCTGCTGAATTCATTGCGAGAAGGTTCAGAAAGTTGAAGCAGAGGCGGAACTTTTAAAAAGTCCTCCAGATTAAAGTTTGTGTCAACCTGCCAATCAATATGACACCAACGTGGCAGACATGGAGCGCTGCGGGAATTAGCACGAAAAAGAAAAACAGGAAAATTGTTTTAATGTTTTTTTTTTTGTTTTTTTTTACATTTTTACCATCTCTGACTTGTGTCGGTGGTTTTTAAATAAGCTTTAGTTCAATGTGTGGTTATCACAAACTGTAGGGAATATCTGATGTAGTTCTGGTAAATGTCATTAAAGTGCTCACTTCTACAGATAAAGGGATATTCTGGTGTAAAATTAAGTTAAGGTCAAACACACTGTAACACCAAATGAGACACCCCGTCGAGAGATGAATGTTGCCAACCACTTGCTTCTCTAGTTATACCAACTCTAGTAACAACCGCATGATAGCAATACACAGCAATCTCAGGAGCCACACGCTCAACCAAAACGCCACTCTCTAGCCACAAATAATGCTCAGAACAGCACCTAATTTCATCAACAGTACATATAGGGTCCCAGCCACAGTACTAGCCACCAAACATCTTTTTAACTTTGCCTAATTTTTTAGCAAAGAGACCAAACACAACTGACCTACTCTCTTCCAGCAGCCGCTTGTTTGTAGCGGGACCTCGACCAGTCTATCATCGACTGCAGCGGAGTTTCGCAGCTCAAGGAAGAACATTTATGATCTTTACTTCATGGAAATGCAGTCATACCAAGACACTAAAGCAGTAGAATGACCGCGTCTGCAGTGCAAAATGATTAATATGGAAGTTATTACTTTAGGGAAATGATAAAGAAATAATGCGAGTTTCGCTGAGGGGCTAAATCCTGCGCTGCCTAAAAACAGAAGCTGTACTCCTTGGGGCAACTCAGGTTCAATCCAAACCTGCATTTCTTCGACCTCCCTCTTAATTTAGGCCCGTAAAAAACTTAAAAAATAAGAGTTTGCGGCTATCAGATAGCTGTCATGAACTTGAAATATTATCGCACTGCTGATCGACAAAGTTTTGTTTTGTTGAAGTTGAGATCTCTCTCCTGAATATTTCCAGAAAGTTTCATGACAGCCAGCTGCAGAGATTTACCAAGTTTGCCTAATCACACATGCCCAAGAGGAGGGTGGGTCTTTGGAGGCAGGATATGGATCCTGCGGTTGTCATTGTGTTGTTTTAATGAGATAACCAAGATGGTGGATGTTGTGATGAGAGTTTTTTTGCCTTTTTGTCAGCGCTGTGTGCATATTTATTTTACCAGTCGATAAGTAGAAAAGAGTGTGAAGCAGCTACCTCCCTCCTGGTTGGCACACTAAAATGTCAATTGTGCAGCTGCTTATGTGAGCGTATTAAGGCTTCACTGTCACTGTTTGCTGCCAGAGAAAAGTCAGCTAATAGGCCACTGCACTCCTATCACAGTCGTGTACAAACAATACAGATCATTATAGATAAACAGAAAGAAAGGAGGTCCATCATGGCAGATACACTGTGTATTACTTTGTTAGAAATACAAGTTTTAAATACAAAAAGTCCACAAAACTTGCACTATGTTGCATTCATATTCACACATGCACATATTAAAAAACAGTTTCCTTCAAAACTTAGCCTTGGTGTTTTCCAATTGGTCACCTGACTGTGGATGCAAGCATTGCACTTTTCTTCACAGCTCTTCCAGGAAATGTTTACTTTGTCAATGAGAAGCTCTTCCTGTGTTTACAACTTTCATTAGCTTCCCAAAGGGTTTGTTACCCCTCGTGCAGCCCAATGTCTTCACGGTCTCATTCTGTCGCTCTCTCTCCAATTCAAATACGAACACAATAGAGAAGATGGACACACACACACATACACATACACATACACATACACACGCATAAACACAAGCATACAAGCACACAATTGGGAATTTTCAATTCAGCCCCGCTGAAGGCACATTCAGACACGTTCTGTTATGACATTTCGGTGCAGACCGTGGCATGTTGACTTCAGGATATGTGTTCTCTGTGCTGGCCTGAGCTGCAGCAGTGTGAGGAATTTTCCAATAAATAAAATCAAATCCATAAAAAAAAAAAATAATAACGGTCACATCATATTCCTCGGTTAGTAACGCTCCAACCATGACGTTCCCTCTGAATGAATGAAACCTGGTACAAAATCTGTAAACTTGTTCTTTTTATTGTGGTTTATTCTTATTGTAGAGGGATAACATAACTTTATTTCCCGCTGTGTAATATCCATTAAGCAGGGTGTTGTAAATTTTGATTTAAGGCAGTAATGGGCTACTAAAGGGCCAGTTCTCATCATTCCAATCCGGTGACGCTGTTTTTAAAAATGTCAAGTATATAACTATTAGTATTCATTAAAGGAGATTTTTATGCATTCTTATTCTGTGCTGTGTGCAGTTGTCCTGCTGTGTAGAAGCAGGCATAGCTTTTGCATGCTCCCCCTGTTGTGTCTCAGCAGGCCGGCCTGCCTGCCTGTCTATGCATTGGCCACAGCACTGTTTTTACAAGTGTAGAAGTCACTGCTCCATTGCTCTGCAGCCCAACCGTATAACCAGGCTCTTTTCCTATTCTTGGGAAGTGGAGCAAAGGGAACGCCTCGAGCTCCCTTTGCTACCTATTAAGTCTCTGCGTCAGTCCAGCAGCAGGGACGAGGACATAGGGGACACTTTCCTCTGTGTCTGGTCTTCTTCTGTCTATCCATCTCCTCCTCTAACTCTCTGTGGTTATCTTCTCTCATTCCCTCTTTGTCCAGACGTTACCAAACCCCATGCCTCCACCGCCCCCCCACCCCCACCCTTGAACAAATATACACCAGTGGCTTGGGCTTCAGCAAACGTTGGCTGCCTTGCCACTGAATTCTCCACAGCTCATTTGAGACGGGCATCCCTTTTGGTCGTGGGTTTGTCGAAGGCCATCTCTAAGCTGGCTGGCCCAGCGTGCTGCTGCGGACTGCCTGTGTGCCAGTGGGGTTTTTCCACTCACACTTGGCTGTCATGGCTTTAACCAGAGAGCCAGACTTGCAGCTTTGCACAGACAGATGCCTTCTTCAGCTGCCTCTCCCCTTTGATTTTGGAAAGAATGCGTCTCTAATAACATGATATGTCTCGTGTCTTTGTATGCCTTTATTAAAGAAGGCTCTGCAGTGCTGTGCTTGCTGTGGAGCCTCCTGTACTGCGAGGATAGCTGTCTCCTTTGGGACTGCGCAGTGAGGTGACCTTGATAGAACGAGAGGAAGGGAAGAAGGCGAGAGTGGCACGTCCCCAGCAGGTGCTGCACAACTGTCTGTGACACAGATGGGCAGGTGCACACGAATGCGCGTGCAGCATGCATATATTATGCAAATACACCTGTGAACTGAAGCATATATATACATTCACTTTAAACCCACAAATTACACACACTTTCATAACACTGCCCTGAGAGGAACTGTCGAAATGATAGATAGTCATATGCATATCACATAAGCTTATCTATTACATTTGTGCCTATTTTTCCAGAGAAACTCTCTAAAAATACCGTATATCACTCAAGACAGCTGTAAAAGAATACCTTCCTTTGGTTGGAGCACATGTTAACTAAATATGTTTTATTTTAGTCTCAGGAGCATAGTACACTCATAAAAGTCATTCATTAAGCACTTTGGCAGAGATATGTATCCATCTAGAATACTCTTTGCTGTCTTTTCCATTCTCCTGTTGTTTATGCTTTCGGTGGCTCCTCTCTGAGTAAGTGAGTGAAATGAGCAGCCTCAACAAGGCCTTTGGGAGCCGCCGGAGAAAATCAGGGGCTCAAACAGCAGACCGAACAGTAGCACTTGGATGAATTCTTTCTGCTCCCTATGAGCGGAGTCTGGAAGGGTTTCTTTCATGACTGGCTGGCCGCCTCGTCGCCTCGTCTGTCCATCTGTGTCACAGCTCAGCCCCAATCCAGTCCGGCTCCTTTCCCGTACTCTCTTTTTCATGCGCTGACATTTTTATCCTCCTATTAAAACTTTTAAGGGCCCATTATCTAAGAGGAAGGAATGCTGCTTTAATAGTGTGGTGGCTCCATGCTTAGGCCCCTTCTTTTCAGTTTGCAACCAACCGACTACCTCTAGCTTGCTGTTTAATGTTCGACAGCCACTGTCGAGCAAAAGAGGGGACTGTCTCCCATCTAAGATGTGCGACGGCAGCTCAGAGCGGACAGTTAGCCCTCCTTTCACCGCCTCGAACACTCTGAGCAGACCATAAACCCTTGGCATGCCTTCCACTACTTCAGCCCTATTGTTTCTCTCACTTCACTACTCGGTTTTTAGGTTTAAGAGAGCTTGCAACCCTGTAGTGAAGAACTTGTGGCCCCCTTGGATCTTTTGTTCGAGGATCACAGGAGTCGGCGTCTTGGCTGGAGAACCATGTTAACTTTCCTGCTTTTGAGCAGTATCCTCGTGTGGTGAATAAAATGCGCAGCCCAGTGTTGAAAGATCCAGATCCTGAAGCTTCTGTGCATAAAATAAAGTCCAAACTGATCATAAGCTCATGATTGAGATATCCGTTTGTTGATTTTTAGCTCACAAACGTTAGAGTAAAAGTTGCCAACCATCGGTCCAAGTTTTTAAAACATCTGACTTTTGCACAGGAGTTTCCACCATTAGAAAATTCATATGTACCTTTGCTGTTTTGTCCAATTGGATTTCAAAAGTCAGATACTGTAACCCCCACTTAAAGCCATGCCCTCCAGGCGATGTGGTTGATCTCACATATTAAGTGACTGACGCAGCGACAGAAACACAAATTGATTCTGCTTCAAAGATCGAAAAATAATTTTCTTGCTTCACCCCAAGGATGATACTTTTATTTTCTTTGCGTATAGATTGAAAAAAGGTAGGCTGTTGTTTCTGGCATTTAGGACTCTGCTAAAACAAATCTAGTTTGTAGGTCCACCCCCTTATTTTCTCAAAGGCTCTTTTAATAAACTTATCGATTGAAAAAAAGAAATCATATTCTGCCGAAGCAAGAACAGTGTTTTTCTTCATGAGAGATTTCTCGTTCGTCTGTTTCTCTCTCTTTCCTGATTTGTTTTGCGCGAGGCTCTGTTAGAGGTGATTACATGCGTTTCTGTGCATCAATCAGAGTCTGTTAATAGTTGGTGGGTTGTTTAGTTGCTATCAATCAAAGCTGACAAAAACACACCCACACGGAGCAGTTCATTCAGGTTTGTTTCCTTACTCCAAAGACTGTGAGATGTTTTCATGTTGTGTTGATCCTTGTGACCTCCTCAGATGTATTCAATCGTACTGCTGCTTCACCCACTGTAGGAAAGATATCACTCTTCTGAGGCATGTAGTCATATAGAGGAAGCTAATGAATGCAGTGCAGGTCTTCTTTTTAGACTGCATTTCTTTGTCTGAGACAACAATTTGCATAATACAGAGGGAGGATTTATTGCTTTGTAGCTTGATAAAATTATAGACTGTAACAGAACAACAGAGAGCGTTATAAATTCTGAGTTATTATGGTAAGTAAGCTGAGAGAAGGTGACCAGACATACTGATTTATTGTTACCTGTCATCGTCAAAGCATTCAAACGGCATAAACATTAAATCCTGTTCATGCTCATTTTGGTCTTTTACCTAGTCCCTCTCCGATAGTTCTTTTTTTTTAATACTACTATGAAGTTTTTAGCCGAAATCACGTTACCTGTTGTTTTCTTCTGCAGAGCTCGAGTAGCTCATTAGCAATTCGCCTCTGAGTCGTAGGCAGAGACAGTGCTGCTCTGCGCACTTCTCCTCGAGTTAGCTTGCAGCCTAGCATTGCCGGTGTCGTAGAAGAAGCAGGTAACATAGGAGCTATTCAGCTTTTGTACACTAATGTCTTTAGGGCAGGAGTGGGCAATCATGTGCCATGGAGGGCCGAGAGGCTGAAGGTTTTCTTCCCGACCCAAAACTCCACCAGGTGATTTCACTGATTACCTCACCTCCAAGCAGAGAGCAGAGACTAATCAGTGAAATCACCTGGTGGAGTTTTGGGTTGGAAAGAAAACCTGCAGCCTCTCAGCTCTCCATGGCACATGATTGCCCACCCCTGCTTTAGGAGAACGATGGAAGTTAATAACATAATTAGCTTTCTTACGAGCATTGCAATCCGCTAACGCACACGCTTGTTCCGGGATCGTCCTCTCTATTTCTCCGAGCCTTGCCTGCATAGTGGGGCTCCGGGGGTGGCGCTTGGATTGGTTACGTAGGAAATTTTACTGTATCTGAGTTCCGTTTGGGTCTGCCAGAGATTCCCAGAGATTTGAATGAAGAAATACTCAGAAATGCAATTTCACACTTATTTCTCTCATTATATGTCCTGTAGCATCAGAAAAATGCCATATGAACATGTCGACAGTAAGAAAAACATGATTTTCATCAAACAGGATCTTTAAAGCCCAGGTTTTAAAGTTTCCATCAAAACAGTATTTCCTTTTGTACTAATTCTGTTACATAAAACATAATAAAATGAAGATAATTGAAAGTAAACAACAAATCTGAATGCCGGACAGCTGAATAAAATCGATGTTGTTATTGATCTAGTTGTACTGTTAAGGTCATGAAGATGCAGGTATGAGAGTAGAAATAAGTGAAAACTCCTAAAAGTGCCTTTAAAAACGTAACCCTAAGCTTTTACGGCTTTGTTACTGAAAAAAGTGTCAAAGAAAACATGTGATGCTGTTGCAAATGCAGCACATCACTCCGCTTCTTGACAAGGCTAAGGTCAAATATTTGCTTCTGCTAAAGCAACAGCTTGATAGTAAAAGCAATTATGTTTGCCAAGCAAGATCAATACCACATTGGCTAGCAAAGCATTTGAAGTAACAGCGAGCCTAGCTTTGTTCAAAGCCAACAAAACAACTCTAAATCCACTCTTAAAATACATAAATGGTGAACAACGTGGTGAAAATATGTTTGAAATATGCGTGCTTGAGCCAGGTTAGCCAGCTGTAGTTCGATACCCATCTTTAAAACCATTAGAGCGGCCTTGTTCTGTGCATCTCACCCTCAGAAGAAAGCAATAAAGCACATGTTCCAAGATTTAAAGCCTATCCTTTAACACATATGCTTTTATCACCTAGTTTACTACACAAAAAGGGATTTATGAGCTTCTGGCAACAGTATAAACTGTTAGTGTTGGGCACCTGGGTCATGACCTGTCCTGGAGGAATAAAACTGTGGCTCCTTTGCAGAGGAAACACTCCTACTTGTTTTCTCGGTTAATTGCAGTGTTCCCTTTTTACCACATGTGCTTTAGTTTTGATGACGCCTGTCTGTGTCAAACCCATATTCACATTTGTTAGTCCCCCAGTAGCTGTTTGTAAAGACTCCTTCTGAATTCCAACAGCTCAGACTCTATTTCCTGTCCAGTTTTCTGCCTGTAAAGTGGCCTCTGATGGGTTTGACTTTTTATGTATGGGCTTATGTTTTGTGGGTGAGCAGTTTGTTCAAGGGGAACACTGCACATATGATCCATTTACTTTCTCATCCGCCTCCTTACAAAAGGATGTTTTTCTTTCTGCTCCCCATCATTTGGTAATGATAAAAACTGGCTCCAGTTAGAGGGAGCAGCACGTCGTAGATGATGGCTTGCCTCAGCCTGCAGAAAAGGGCCATTGTGTCAACACTTTAGCTTTTATTGGTCCTAGGAGAAATGAAGGCCCGGGTTCCGGCCTGACATGTTATTGATGGATTGGTCTGTAGTATTTGGGCTGTGGGGTTGCATAAAAATCAAGGGGGAGTGAAGTGAGTTTTGGGATGCATAATATAACCGTGGCAAGTAATTTTGAGTCCATCGGGGTTACTTAGTTTGAAATTCAATCCTCTGTTTAGATGTATGTTTCCAGATCTTGCCCTCCATGGACATAAACTGAAGGAATAGGGAGCACTGAATTCCACATCCTACTTAAACATCCACACAATTTGCAGAGAAATTTGCAGCACTTTACCGCTGTTGCTCGTGATTTTACTTTTCTCTTTTTTTTTTTCCCCTCGGAGTAGGAGCACCAGCCGTGTGTTTGTTCTAGGATGAGCCTCTGTGTGGTGATGTCTGATGCTGCTGCTGCTGCTGAAGTTGGTGCCCGATAGCTTGTCCTATCTGCAAGAACGACAAGAGCTCAGGCAGAAAGTCTGAGAGGATTGCGTGACCTTGTGACACTTGCTGACAGGCTTAAAGCGATGGAAAGTATTTAACCAGGAGGTCAGAAGTTGTCTGTCAAACTCGCCTTGTCAGCTACTTGAAAAGTAAAAGAAAACTCAAAATAGATCTCAGCCGAGAGTGGAAATACATAAGGGGGCAGGATGAGTTCTTGGCAAAACATGTGGAAAACAAGAGGGCATAGTAAAGGGAGGCTCTGATTGAGGTAATTACAGCACATGATGAGAAAATAATTAAGGATCTAATAATGTAAAAATGTTGTCCCTGTCAAGCTGATTGTTGCATCTTGTAGCCCTCGAGGCACGAACATACGATGGCACTCCATTGTCAAGATTCGCACTCGTATTTCAACTCAAAGAAAAGGGTAAGCAGGGTTATACACGCTTTACTAGGTGTTGACATTTCCACACACATATGCAAATAGTTAGATTTATAGCAAAAAGAAGTTGGCTAATTAAGAAAGTTAGACCTCCAAACACCCTTCAGTGCAACGGCAGATTTAATGAGACGTTAATGGAGACGTCTCCGTGCTCACTGCCTCCCTCTTCACCAGAAGAGAAGGGAAAAGGAGAGAGATGTGTTTGGTTTTTAATGAGCATGAGAGCCGGGGTTTGTCACCGAGTCTGCAGCCATGGCAAAGTTTCACATCGAATAAGTCAAATATCAGTCTTCTGCCGCGAAAGGGGTGGTGTTATCGCAGTGCAGGGTGTTGCAGAAGAGGCATCCGCTTTGTGTAATAATTTATGACGCGAGGGGTCTCAAGTCATGGAAATGCATGCTCGATTTCTCTTCCTCATCATGAAGCATTTATACATCACACAGAAATGATGCATCTTTGTGTGCCATGTTTGGAGAAACTTTTAATTATACACAACCTTTTTTTTTTTTTGTCTTTTTTTTTTCAACATCTTGTGCGCAACCTTGATGACTCATGAGAGAGCCTCTTTTGATCTGCAGTTAGACTTTTTTTTTTCCTCCCAGAGTGTTCCTCCTTTCTTTTCTTTATGGGGGATTACCTCAATTAAAATTACAGGTCTAGGGGATCAGCTCCTGCTGGGAGTTTTATCCTTTTTGTCAGCAGCCCTCCTTTTATTAGCCTGAGCGGGGAGAGCATGTTCAAACAAGCGCTTGAACTTTTGTAAAGAGGTACTGGGCATGTCAGTCACCAGAAGTAGGCATGGGATGTGACTCAGGGTCGGGATGCGTGACAGGCATTTGAACATTTTTACTCTGTGATATCTCATTCGACGTTTTTGACTAAATGGTCTTTAAGGATCCGGAGTAATGTGTAATCTGTGGGTCACTATGAGAGATAAACTCACTCCTCTGTGTTTATTTGCAGTGCAACCAGAGGGCAGTAAGGAAGGACCCACCTGCATGGACAAAAACCACGGCTGTGCTCACATCTGCAGGGAAACGCAGAAAGGTGGCATCTCCTGTGAGTGTCGACCTGGATTCCAGCTCACCCGTAACATGAAGGACTGCAAATGTAAGTGGCGTCGGCCCTCATGCATGGTCCCCTCTCATCGGAATAGACACATTCACAGGCACACAAACAGGAAGACTATGAGAGGGAGGATTTATAGGCTCCTCGTGAAAGGTTATCAGGGTAGAAACCTGCCGATGATGGATAATTACACTCATTCCACGAATGCCTTCCAACAGACCTGAAGTAGCAAACTGACATTTATGTTACATTACCGGGCCGTGACTAATCTCCTGAACAGTCCTTGTAAAGAAAAACATGTTTATCAAACAAGAAGCGATCATTTACACAACCAGGGCAAGTGTGGAGGTTACTCGAAGGGGACCGCTCTGATGGACAGCGCACACTTCCTGTTGCTGTGCAACCGAGATCATCCTGTCAGAGCCGGGGCCGGGGCTGATGGGGGATTTGTCTGTGTTTGGATAAGGATTGGAGAAGTGTTATTCTATAGTTTCTCTGTGACAGCCCAGGAAAAGGGCAAAAAGGAGCAGGGATGGTAAGGTGCAGACAGGATGGCGGTGGAAGCGTGCTCTTTTTCACTCTGTCATCCCAGGTGTGTTAAAAGTGGCGAGGTTAAGGCTCCCTCAGCCTCCAGGCGCATATATGTATTTGCACTGACAGACGCATCCAGGAACATGCGCACCGACACCAGAAATCATACCCTTCCCAAAAAACATGTAAAACCGACACGACTCATGCACTGTTCATTCCACAAAATGATAAAAAATGTATTTACCTCAAGTTTTTGCTCATTTTGCAGATTTAATGAAATGCATTAAAACTGATTCAGAAGCTTGTGGGCTTACAGACTTATCAAGTGGCTCATAATGAATGAGCAAGTTCAGTCTCTTGCTTAAGGCCACCTTGATGGAGAAAAAAAACAAAAAAAAGAACGACCTTTCACTTCCTCTGGGTAGTAGTGTATGAATTAAGTCAAAGTGAAAGTAAAGTATGTAAATGTCACGACCAGAAATACTCTATGTAAGGCATGCCCCTCTTAAAGGAATATTCCGGCATAAAATTAATTTAGGGGTCAAACACACGTAACACTGAGTCAGACACCTCATCGAGTGATGAATGTTGCCGACCGCTTGCTTCTTTAGTTATACCAATTTTAGTAACGACCGCACGATAGCAATACAGAGAGTCTGAGGAGCCATAAACAAACCTCAACCAAAAAGCCACTCTATGGCCACAAATAATGGTCAGAACAGCACCTAACTTGATCACACATATAGGGTCCTAAACACAGCACTAGCCACCAAACATCTTTTTAACTTTGCCTAATTTTTTAGCAAAGAGACTAAACACAACTTACCTACTCTCTTTCAGCAGCCGCTTGTTTGTAGCGAGACCTTGGGCCAGTCCATCGCAGACTACAGTGTGGTGACGTAGCTCAAGGAAGAACATTTATGATCATTACTTCATGGAAATGTAATCAAACCAAGACGCTAAGGCAGACGAACTACTGCGTCTGCAGTGCAAAACGATTAATATGATGATTATTACTTCAAGGAAATGACAAAGTAATGATCATAAATGTTCTTCCTTGAGCTGCGTCACCCCGCAGCAGTCTGAGGTCTCGCTACAAACAAGCAGCTGCTAGAGGAGAGTGGGTGAGTTGTGTTTCGTCTCTTTGCTGAAGAAATTAGGCAAAGTAAAAAAGAGATTTGTTGATGGCTCCTCAGATTGCTGTGTATTGCTATCCTTCAGTCGTTAATAAAGTTGGTAAAACTAGAGAAGCAGGCGGTCTGCAACATTCATCGCTCGAGGGGGTGTCTAACTCGGTGTTACGGTGCATTTGACCCTAAATTAATTTCACGCCGGAATATCCCTTTAACATACGATTTGGGACTATGGGAAGCTTAATTTTTCTTTAACGCTCTCCAAAAAGCCTAGTGCAGCCTGAATTGAACCTGCAGTATTGACTTTAAATCAAAAATATAAAATGAGATTTAATTCCATGTGTTTTAGGAAAATCTTCTGTCATTTGGAAACCCCAGTCAAATACGCTTCCCTAAAGATTGTGTTTCAACCTTCATGTGTTCTTTATATTAACAATGTACTCTTTGATAGTGACGTGCAACTATGGTAACGGGGGTTGCCAGCACATCTGTGAGGAGACAGACCACGGCCCCAAGTGTTCGTGCCACATGAAGTTCGTCCTGCACAGCGATGGAAAGACTTGTGTAGGTGAGTCACCTCATCCGGATACAACTACCAAAGGCAACAAAATAATAGCTTTGGAATTAGAATATGTTGAGACACAAATTAAGTCGGCGCCAGGTTTCCTACAGCCAATTTAATTAATGTTTGAAATTAAGTTTATGGTGATAAAAGTTTGGCTACAGGCCTTGTTACAGTAGCTGTAAGCTCTGATCTGTGACATACAAGGACAAAAGGCTACCATCCACTGTGCTTTCTCTTCTGCTGCTGCTGCTGCTCCAGTAACCTCTCAGTTCCTGCACCTGCTTCGACTTCTCTCCCTCCTCCTCTTCCTCACTGGACACTGTACATCAGCTCTCACTGTTCCTGTCTGTCTCTCAGCCGTGCAGCCAGATACACACCTCCTATTAGCCCTTGGGTCGATTTCTGCACAGCTTCCCGTTGGGGATTAACTCACACACACCTGACCTAACCTTCCACTGACATTTCTCAGTGTTTGCCTCAGTTGACTTAAGTTGAGTAAAAATCATTCAGCTACTCAAGCATATTGAGCTGTTGTGAAGGGCAGCGTGTCATTAGGTGGGACCTGTAGGTGCGGTGGAGTCGGAGCGCAGGTTTCGATAGACGAGATTGCGTGTAGTCATGCAGACTTGCTCATTTCATTGACAATCGTGGAAAACTGATGATAAAGTTAGCCAAGTGGAAATTTTCAACTGACTATTAGTATAGACAAGCTTTTATTTGATCCACCTACTTAACCAGAGTGTCACTAATAGTCTCTGTATCTGCTACAACCTTATTTAAATGAGTACAACATGCACTTTGAAGTGTTGTTAACCTGGCTTTTATAGCTGAAGCTCCAGTGAGGTGAATTGGACATATTTTCATTAGTATATTGGAAGCTGCTCCATCCCTGGTTTAAGTGGCTGTTCAGTCTAAGAGCTTGGTTTGGATAGTGGCTGATTAGCTCAGTGTTTGGATCCCCTTTATTACCGCAGCCCTGATGAGAACCAGACCTGTGTCAAGGTCTGGTCAGCCAACCTGTCATTATTGCCGTACCCTGCAAGGCCACAAAAGCGACCGCAACCAAATTATCGGGGCAAAGGTACATTTGGTGTGCCAGATTAGGGATCCAGTTCAGACCTCTTTCCCCCCTTTAGAGTCTGGGGTTACAGAGGTGGAGTGAGGGCTGCTTTGCGGTCGACACAGGGGCGCTCTTTTTCCCAGACGCTCTGTTGGTTAATAAAACCTCAATAAAACAAACAATGTGCCAAATGAAACACTGACAGGGGAGTGAGTGACAAGAACATTGGAAGAGCTTTAGTAGTGCACTGCTGCTGTGCACCAGGACTGTAAATGTGTCGGGTTTTCGACTTACAAAAACATTTTTAGGCAGCTCATAATGGCACTTTGGCCGTTTTATAATTAACACTTTAAAAGCTGCTCAAGTTCATTTTTTGACTACCGAAAAAGAGACATTGGACTTTTTACAAAATGCAAAAAAGCTGCAGTATATCTGCTCTATAGAAAGTCATTTTAATTTCTCTTAATGCTTCAAACAAAAGGTTTTATTTTAAACCGAGAACTTTTACTACTCTAGTTTCAGATAATCTCAAATGTCACCGATGTGAAAAAAAAAGGCTCTCTGGAGTATGCGCTGCCTGCATGACACATAGTGATAATTACTTCTCAGTCATCAAGTGCAGAAATAGTTAATGATGTAAAGGGTTTCCATGGCAACGACCAAGTGTGAAGATGTACTCCAGTTTACACTCACTTTCGATCAGGAAATATCTAAAGCAGGGTCTTTGCTGTTGGTCTGGCGTGCTCTTTCCCTATACTGCTGCTCTAATGTCTAGTCCATCTTGTGTGTGGTGTGTGTATGTGTGGGGGGAGGGTTCGTCTTTCATACTCTGTGGTGTCTTTTCTAAGCCAGGTTTGGTCTATCATTTTGTAATAACTCTGCTCTGTTTGGAGGTGCTGGTTCTTTATCCCTCCTGTCTCACCTCTGTGGGTACCTTTGCAAAACTGTCAGTGGGAGTTTTCATGTCAGCTTGGCTTTTATTTTACTGTCGTCCTCATATATTCACACGAGCACTCACTTCACTTTTAAACGTTCGCACTAAATCAGGTTCATTTGTCATAAATCTCTGTGTATCACATACGCTCAGACACCAGAGAGGAGCCGTCATCATGTGGAAGCATTCACGCTGTTAGCTCAGCAAATCATAAACATTCACAAATAGCAGGCAGATGCAGACATGCTCAGGAGTTCAATCATCTGAAGAGTTGGCCACACTACACCCCTCTTCCCCCCCTGTGCACACACAGAAACGCACACACATACACACAAAGATAGAGCAAGAGATGCCTTTTATTATACAAACAGAAAGCTATACAAACAACCATACAGTACACATCCAGCATGCATGCATCACATGCATGTAAACACATGTAGTCTACATGCATATGACATAACATAAACATACTCTGCTCTCATTACGGGTGGTCTCTTCATTCATCCTTGTGGATTCAGATAAATCTCTCAGTCCTCTTGCTGCTGGGGATAAATCTGGATGCTGCATGTTGGGATCAAGAAATATCGGTTGAACTGTGGCAGTCCATGTAAACTGTGCATGCCCTGTGGCGCTGACTTCTTACTGTCAGTGTTGAGCATCTGCTTCCTCATTCTGCACCTCCAAAGAACTCGAGCTCTATCTTTTCAGGAGGACATGCTTTAGTTGCAGGGACTGGATGTGGTATTATTTTAAAACAACATTATTTTATACGGGTAAAACATGGTAGTTATTAGTGCGATTGGAAAAAAAAGATCCCCTAAGGCCTTTTGCCATTTTTGTTGGTCTGCTCAGAGGGCCAGAAACATCCTCCAGCAAAGTTTGAATACTAAATGTGTGGAGGATGATTTTATGTTAAAATAAATGCCCTCTCACTGAGCAGCTTCGCTGTCCAAGTTTTGCACGTAGAGTTTGATTATTTAAAGTTAATCGATGCAAAAAGGCGTTATTTGACGTGAAGTACAGATAGAAACCAACATAGTCTACTCACTCTCCCTCAAAGTGTTGTTGAAGTGACGGCACCTAAATCTTACAGCTCAAAGACTTGACAAAACAGCCTGAGAGCATTAACTCTAAAATGATCTGACCATGAAATGGCAACTGAAAGCACAGACCCTGTCCCTCTGTTTGCTGCACTAACCACCACTTGCTCTGTCTGTCAAGGCTTGCAGCGCTGCTACTAACTACAGTAGTAAAAGCCACATCTCACAGTACACCAAAAACACAACCGCACTCTGTTTGCACTGTGTGCATTATTTGTTTGCATGACTGCATGTTGAGAGGTAACACTTTTGCCTTGAGATGTCACCATGTTCATAGGACCTGACGTCATCAGATTATTGTAAGGAGTTACAAAATAATCACTGCTGTTTGTCCAGCAGGAGGCTGTCTTTTTTTTAGCAACAGCATAATGTCATTTTTCATTTCATTATCAACTCATGTGAGTGTAAATAGACATGACCAATCTGTTCAATAGAGGAGAATTGATCTCTCATTCATGCTCTCCATCATATCTCAATCAGCTGTGTGCTACAGGTGTCTTCCCTTACAAGTACATAAAAGTATTTTCATCAAAGTATTTTCTCTTTAATGGCCATTAGGAGGCATCTCAACATGTTGCGAAGTCAGATTTTGGAAAACCAGATGGGAAAATAACTCTGCTTTCAGAAGACTGATTACCAAAATTGATCATTTCCTGATGGCTCTATGGTCTTATAGTCTCTCTCAATACAGTATAGTATGCTCTTTTAGACATTCTTGTCCAATTGAAGGGAAAATCTACATCTTAGTTGTCTATCCTTAAAGACATAGCTGCCTTTAACAACCAATTTGCTACCATCCCACTGAGCCTTAGAGGTCTATTAGACGTCTCGTCTTAGCTTAGAGAGAAATTCGCCCGTCTATGATCGGTCTGTATTTTAGCCCGACTCTAGACCAGTGGTTCTCAAGTCCAGTCCTCGAGCCCCTCCATCCTGCATGTTTTTGATGTTTCCCTGCTCCAACACACCTGATTCAAATGATCAGCTCGTTATTAAGCCATTCCAGAGCTTGATAACGAGCTAATCATTTGAATCAGGTGTGTTGGAGCAGGGAAACATCAAAAACATGCAGGACGGGGGGGCTCGAGGACTGGACTTGAGAACCACTGCTCTAGATGATAGACTTTAATCCATTAATTATTAAATATCAAATAAAAAAATAATAATAAAAATAAATGATGGCCACATGTTGGATTAAAACATTTTCAACAGTCATTAATCAATGTGCAGTGTAGTTTAGCCGATTAGACGGCTAAAACACTTTCCTTTTTAGGCGAGTGGTAGACCAATTTTAGCCCAGAGTCTTAGGACCATTAGACGTCTATTAAATTTCTTTTAGAGTGAAAAATTAGATGGTTGTTGAGGGAAGAAAAGTATTCTGCTTCCATCTCCAGATCTGGTCTCTCTTGGTGCCAAAAATCAAGATGGCTGACAGAAAATACGTCAAACTTTGGCTTTGAAAGTTGTGTCATCCATTCCCTTCATATATTAAACAGACCATGGTTCATTCAGGCTCCAACTAAATTAACCTGGTTCAGGCCAAAATGTTCAAATGCTCCAGAGTTCAGAGAAAGGTAGTGCTCTTTGGTGGCCAAGTTAAAGGATTTGTGGTAAGAACAAGACAGAGGTAAGAGAGGGCAGAGGCGTGACTTGACATGTTAGCTTTCAAATGATTTATTCTCACCATGAAAAGGAAGACACTGCTAGCACACAGATGCTGGAAATCCAGGCAAAGTATCATGGAGCCATGAATATCAGGTCAATTCAAAAAAGTGATCCGCAACAGATTAGCTCTTGATTTACATGACTCATGAATCCTTCGTGTACAGAAAACTAAAGTGGTGTTTTTATAACGTGTGCGTGTGTGTGGGTGTGCGTGTGCATGCAGGGGAGAGGAGTGTCCAGTCCCAGGCAGCCCCACAGCTGTTCCCCAATGGTAAATATGTGTTCCTCTGACTCCTCTCTCTGGGGGTCTGTGGGTGTGGGGAGTAGAGGAAGCTAACCTAGCAGTCACTGATCGAGCCCTTCCCCTCCCCACAGGGGCATCATCCCTCTGACCCTTGACCTCTGACCCCACCCCCTACCTTCCTCTTCCTTCTGTGAATGCCCTCTCAATAACAACCACTGCCCATGTCAAACCACACCTTTTCAAAACACAGCTGCAAACAGAAGCCTCTGACTGGTATTTAGAGCATTACATGAACGTATACTTGGGATGCTGTAACTCTCAGTGTCATACTGAACCTTTAGATGAGGCAGCCATGATTCAGCGTATGCTCGTAGATCGTAGCACACGTTAAACTGGCTTTCACGCATATTGATTCTCATGTGGTCCCAGAATTGCGTTCCTGAAAGTGCAGTCTCCAGTTCTGCAGATTCACTCCGTGTTATCCTTAAGGAAACCCCTGACCGCAAGTAAATTTCTAATAATTATGCAAACTTCACCATCTTTCAAATTTGCGGTGTGGTAAATACATTACAGAAACATAGCTGTCTGCATAGGTCCAAAAAATTCTAGACATATAATAGCTGTCTGTTGCTCAGTGGGTTGTTTTACACGTGTGACCTACTCAAATGGAAACAGAAAAGTTGAGCAAGGATTTGTAGCTTTTTTCAGTTGTTAAAGATGTGGATTTTCGCCACTTTATCATAAAACTATCCAAAGAAGACCGAAACAGATTTGTCTGCTAGACCTTTTTTTTCCCCTTCTTGACTTGTGTTGTGACAAAAATCCAACAAAACCGCCCAAACCGTTGAAGTTCAAGTTTCCAATTTGGCCTGGGAACACCCTTGAATCCTCCAGGACAGGCTGGAAATGATGCTGGGGGAGTAGGAGGTCTGGGTTGACTTGCTTAATCTGTTGCCATCATGACACATGCCTGTGTAACTGGAAGGAAATGGAAGGATGAAAACTAGCTCCAATTTGACCAGATAAAGTAGTAAAAAGCGCTTCATAGAGGCGCCGGTTTCCAGCTCTATTCACTGTCTTGTCCTCTCAATGAAGGCATGAAAATCCCCCCAAAATTTCCTCAAGTGTTGTTTTATTAACCAGCCAAACAATGAAGTGTAAAAGGCGTCTCTCAAAGTAAGCATCTGTGGTGGCTTTCTGTGGAGCCAGAGCTCAGTCTATGGTTTTGTTTTTGTTTTGATACAAACGAGAGAAATAGCATTCATCAAACATGGAAATGCAGTGTTCCCAAACTTCATTAATACAATCTATTAGCTTTAGTGAGTCACTTAGTATTATGTCCACGACTCAGCGCCGCTTCATACAAAAGAACCAGTCGAAACTTGCTTTTTCATTCACAGTTAATCTTGTGTTATTAGCTGGCAAAAAACAATCAATCAAAAGCAACCCATTCATGTTCTTCCAGTCCAATTTCTATTTCTATTTGCAGCCAAAAGTCATTTGTTTCACTACATTTGCGGTAAATTAAACATACAACAAATTAAGCGAGTAGAAACAAGAAAAAAGTAAGGGAACAATTTTGCATTAAGATAATATTATTGATGTTATTGGACCCAATTTACTAGATGAGAGATATTTTAATAGATACGGAAAAATAAACTCATATCTGCAAAGAAGGGTGATGCATCAAAGAGATTAACAACTGAATTACAACATGTAAGAGACGGAGGGGGGAGGCCTGCTCTCAAAGGGATGCTGTTCGAGGTAGGAAAAAAACAAGAGTTTTAACTACTGCATTTTAACTCAGTTTCCAACATGCTACATAAATACAGTCTGACCTATTTAAGATTTTGTGTCCTAGTTTGTTTTCTGTTGTTTCAGGAATAGAAACATTAGGAGCGAGAGACATACTTTCAATTGTCCTTAATCAGCCTCACACATTCACTTCTCTTGTCTTATTGTAACGCATTAAAAGCAGCTTGGTGGTACAATCCCTGAAGAAACTACTGTTAGTGTTTTTTATTTTCTCATCATGTGGGTCATGTTATTGAGACAGCATTCACTCCTGAGCTTTTGTCTGATAGTGTTCGCACCTTCTCAATAACTCTCCTCCGGTTGCATGATTGCTGTTTGGTCAAGAAAACAGTATTTTTCCTCTCTTTCACAGGAGCCAAATGGTTCTGCCAGTCACCACTCGGGGACTCTGACTTGTACCTTTTTCCTTTCCTCATATCAGTTGAAATGATTTGTTATATACTTTAGAAATGTTGATGTACGAGTACTTTTTCACATTCAGTCCAACATCCAAACTTTTTCCTCTGCCAGCTCTGAGAACCAATCTAGTTCAAGTAATATTTATGATGTATTTATTTTAAATTAACAGCTTTAGGCTTGTGACACTTACCTTGTGTGGCATCAGTGGACCTTGCAAGCTGAGACTCTTATACCCTGAAATATTTTTCTTTTTTTTTCCCCATCAAATCTCAGTACCTAACTTTAGTATCTCATAACATCAAGACACTTCATGATACTATTGATTTGTAAAAAAACGGAAAAAAAAGAAGAAAAGAAAAGAAAAGAAAAAAAAATATTCTCAAATTTATTCTTGAAGCCCCTGTCCAGGAATTTTGGGCCTTGTTAATTTTCAAGCCCTCTGTTTACAAAGTAGAACTGTTTTTTTTTTCTCATTTCTATTTTTTTCTTGTACATGTGAGGTATTTTTTTTTGTTGTTTTGTTTTCTTGTACAAAAAAAACCTCCTGCTTTGTTTTAACAGTCAAATGTACCTCTTATCGAAAATCCCTGCTTTGAAAACTTAGATTAAAAAAACATTCAGTTTCAGCTGTATACTCAGTCCCCAGCAGTGGTTTGAGACTTAAAAATTTACTAAATGGACAAAAAAAAATAAAACAATCATGATGCTGATTGTTTGCTCTTTTAAACTGTTGGTGTTTTGTTGCCAGCTTAAAACTCCTTACTGTAGCTTTAAAAAAGGCTATAACAAATTAATTTACTAGAATATAAAGAATTGACTCGTTCACCTCTTAATAAACCCTGCAAAAAAAGCATTTTAAGACATGTCAGAAAACTCCCATTACATTTTCTGCATCAAATCACTTTAACTTTTGGGCTTCATAACCTGAAAATCTGTTTCTTTTTTTACTGAAAACAGTTGTTGACAGTCGCCGGCATGATAACTTCACGGTGGTAGAAGAACAGTGTAACTTGCTGCGTTGGCTGTTTTCAAGTAGTTAAAGGAGACCTATTATAACCGCTTTCACCTTTCATTATGTCGGTCTGAGACTCTTACTGAGTCATTTTGCTCTTTTGCAGTTAAAAAAAAAAAACTCCTTATTTATCTTAGACTGGGGTGTGTGAAAACCTTTATTTCAGCACTTTTCAGCCTCTGTCTGAGACATCTTTTGACTACTTTTCCAGTGCTATAAAGTTAGTTATGCCCTTTATCATCTTAGACTGTATGTTAGTGCCCACCTAGCAATGTAGTAGTAGTGTTACTTACTGTTAGTGGCTCTGGGCTTTTATGTAAGGTCTTAAAAGAAAGCTGCAGATACAGGGGGCCTCTGTTTTCAAAGGAGTCATCTGTTAAGTGAGGAGCACAGCTACACTGTTGTCCTGAAAACAAATAAACTTCCTGCTGTTTTCTGGAACCTTCATATCTGGGAAGAGAAAATTGCTTCACAACTATGAGCATCTTTCCAAAACCTACTGAATCTCTAAAAGTGCAGAGAGGAGGAAGAAGATGAAAAGTGAAACCGACTTTTTAGCCTCCTGATAGAGGTATCACGTTGGCTTGTCTTGAGTATCATGAGGCCATGTCTTCAATTATGGGACTTTGCTGCAGTTTAGTAAAAACGTCCAACATTGACGCACTATGTATTAAGAGTATGGGTCAGTATAATAGCTGTCCTCTAAAGACCAGCTGAACCCTGCTGTTCTTTCGTAACTAAAATTTTATGGTCTCAGATCAGTCCAAAGAACATCCTGCTCACTGATATCATGGAGCGATATTATTAACACCTCTGATCTTGGTGCTAGTACAGGAATAACTCTTCTGACAAGTTCGATAAAAGTGAAGAGAAGTGCAGCTCTGGATACTTCAGCTTCTGGTAAAAGATTGTGTTCACTGTCTGGCCTTTCCTATGTAAGATCTAATCTGCAGTCATGTCATACTGGAGAATATTTACCAAAGTCTGCCCACTCTTACTTACTGTAATTACGGGTCCCAACCTGGTGCACCGTCGGCAGTGTCTGGTGTGCATCCAAAACACACAAACCCACACACATACCAGAGCTTGTGTCTCTCCCCCGTCTTTACAAAACCATAATGTCAGAAATATTTCTTTGCTCTCTTAACACATGATCATTACAGTTTGGTGAGATGGCTGCCTGACTAAGCGTTCTGAAGGCATGTCCTGACACTGTCTTATCATCTTGTCTGCCAACTGTCTCTGCTCACACTTTGCAATTATAGGAACCCACAGTGCTGCTCTCTCAAGCCTGGGTTGGGACTCGGGTATTAACTGGAAGCCCCCACCTTTGCCTAATACTCCATAAAAAGCTGTCATTACCCAGCAGAGGATCAGAGGGAAAATCACTCTGTCCTGCCAAAGACAGAAAGTATTCAAATAATGGAAACACCTCAAAGAGAAGGATTTCAACACTGAAGCACATAAAACCGAGCCGGTGTTACTTTTACTCCTCTAAAGTGGCGATTATGCAACCGTAAATGCTCAAATGTAATATAAGATTAGTGCCAGTAATAAAGAATCCTCTTTGAAAGTTATAAAGCGATATTTTGTTGAGGTTTGCACCACATTAACCTCAATGAGCTCTTGGTTATACCAGACTAAATGAGGCTGGGTGTATCAGATGTTATTTTTTTCAATATTGTTTAATGCACTTATGTGAAAACAGTTTCAAACACCGCTTTTGAGTGCAGAGTTTAAGGGTGAGGGTTATAACGGAGGCTGGTTTTGAAAAGCAAATAACTCATAGAAACATTCACGAAAGATTAAAAGAGACATAGAGACCAGAGGTTGGTACAGCAACAGTATGTAGATGGTAGGATAATTGTGTAACCTAAGACGACCCCCGACCTGTGATGTGTTTTCAGTTTATGTTCGACCCCTCTGTGTTAATAAGCGCCTTATGATTTTAATGCTTTATGTTCTGCCTTCAGCAACAACATCACATTTACAATGTTCCGAGCTGTTGTCTATTGAGGGCTGTAACAAATTAAATTACATCACTGTTAGCATCTGTTTTGCTTTGATATTTAATTTCAATCTACGGCTGAGTTATTTATTTGGAGACCAAGCTTCAGAGAGTTTCATAATTGATGCTGCGGGCAGAGCAGTTTCAGATTAAAGTGACGAGGATTAGGTGTTTCCCCGAGGGAAGGGATAGTGGGTCTCTCGAAAAGTCCTGTGAGGCTGCGTTCTCTCGTCAAAGATATGTGTGAGCTGCCACTTCTGTTCCAGTGTGAAGTCTTCGACCAGCCCGGTTGTACTCACCCTGTTTTTTTTTTTTAAGAAGAGGTGTTAGCCAGCATCCTGCAGCCCATTACAGAGAGGTGATGAGCAGCGAGGATGACCAGCCACTTTACTGAGAGTCAAAGTGATTGTTCCAGATCTGAGAGGTGTTTTTTTATTTGTTTTTGCTCTCAGCTGTGCGAAGATTTCTGTAAAGCTGCCGTAAACCATCACGGCTTACACACCTCCACCTTATGTGAGAACAAATTTCGCCTGTTCTGTTGCTTCAAATGAAAGTCTCAGTGAAATTTGTCACTGTCTCCAGGAGGGACCTTCGCTATCCCGTCTTGACTGACTACTTTTCTTTTTTCAAATCAGTCCGACCAACACAGGAGCCAGGTCGCTGAAATTGCTTTTATATCCCCCAAAATGCCAGGGAGGTTTTTGTCCGAGCGTGGTTTTGTCGGTATGTGTGTAGAAATCAAACCTCTGCTTCATGTGGGGGGTGAAGATGGTGTGCCTCGTAGTGCAAATTCACCTTGACCAAAGAGAAGCAAACATGCACATACTCGTGCACTTGAATGCACCCTGTGAAGCAAAGTTTTTGGCTGTGTTGGTTTAATATCTCTTATCACTGTCTCCTTCCATTATGCACAAGCTTTTTCTCATTTCCCTCTGTGTTAATCAAATCCAGCCGCTGCGTCTACGACCCTGTTCTTGTCTTATTTCCTCTCTTTCCTTCTAAAAAAACCAGACAGCTCTGCTCTGCTCGTCTCTCACCCCCAAAGTGAATGCTGAATATAACGAAGGGCTTTTCTAAATTTTACTGTAACACACACTCTGCATGTTTGCTGTTCCGATGGAGAGAAATAAGTGGGCCATTATAGTAACTGAGGTGTGTTTTTTTTTTTCTTCTTCTTTCTGACTGTGAGTTCTTGTTTCCCTGCAGAGACCTGCGCAGTCAACAACGGCGGCTGTGATAGCACATGTCACGATTCAGTGACAGGAGTCCGCTGCAGCTGTCCTGTTGGCTTCACTCTGCAGCCGGATCGCAAGACCTGCAAAGGTAAAGCATCATCATTCAAACCACACCTGTCCGCCCGTCACAGAACTAATCTCCCTGTTGTCGTTTTGCCAGACACATCGGAGCGTCCTTTCTTCACCTGGAGCTCACAGGGATTATTATCAGGCTGTTTACACTGTCCTCCACTCTCATCCGACCTGCCTGTGGGATTTTTTTTCCTTATATGCGACACTATCACCATTTTTCAGTGTTGTGCCCCTCTCTCTCTTTTTTTTTTAAAGCTGCATAATTTGAGTAATGATTTGTTATAGTCGCAGTTTTCTTGACAGTTTTTCCACTTAATTACCATCATCCTTCTATCTCAGCGTTGGCAGAGCGTCCTCACTCAGGCAACCTGCATATAATAGAAAGTTTTCAAGTCCAATAAAATCAATATCAGACTGCCACGGATCAGAGTGAAACTGAGATTTATATTAGAAAACAAAGACACAGCTGACGGAGAGAATGAGGGCAGTCTGTTTCTCCAGGAAAGTATGGATAGAAACCTGACAGGCTTCTCCAGCTTGTATTGGTGGAGTAAAAATCCTGATAAAAGAACATTGTCTTCCATTAGTTTGGTTTGAGAGAGGACAAAAATGGAAAACAAACCCAGGCAGGCCTGGCACGAGAAGACAGGGTCTTACTAAAGGCCACACACTTAGGAAGAACAGAGACAAAGATGGAGCAAAGAAAGGATTATTTTACTCCAATTCTGATGCATTTATTTCAACCAGATGATGGAGAGTCCCTCAAGAGATGGACGCCTCATTTGGTATGATGATTCGGAATTAATCAGGGCCGTTGCCAGACTTCCCGAAGAGGAGCATCATCAAAAGCAGGGATGAACACATGATATATCGATTGGTTATTGGCTGCAGCAATAAAGAGTAGAATAATCGGAGGGAGATGGACAAAGATGATTTAGAGACCGTACAGCCAGCGGGCTTCTCTCTGTGAGAGCTGCATCCCATTATAGCCACACGCAAACAGATTTTGGCCTTTTCTGAAGGCCACCACCAAAACAACTGTCTTTGTTTTTCCTTGTTTTTCCACGTTAAAAAAAAAATCATCTGAACTTATACTGAAGCTGCTACAAAGTTAGGGTCACATGAGTCCTCCAGTTAGAAAGAAGTCAGCGATGGACCCCAAAACAATTTTGACCGAGCATCGTTCGTCGTTCCCTCCGGCTCTTCCGAGCATTTTAGAGTCTTTTGGTCAATTGTTTTCATGTTTTTGCCAAAAACCCACTCTTTGGATTCAGTCTTGTTTTCAACCACCGTCTGGCTCGGCAGAAATTCTGCTGTGGTAACATAAGTTGATGACCAGTTGGTGATCAGAGTGCAATATTATGCAGCTACAGAACAATGTTTTTAGAGACTGAAAACAAAGTTAAAACAGGGCGACTCTAATGATAGATGTTGATCCAATCCTCCTTGGGGCCTTCCTAAAAGGGGCTTCCCCATCACACTTACAGAGACGCTCTCTCAGAGTCAAGGGCCTCAATGCTACATTTTTAAGCAGGCTAGACTTTGTCAGAGCTGTTTTTTGTTGTTTAATGGGCCTCATGCTTATAACAGAAAATACACGTGGCCTTTTTTTGACTCCTGTTGAAACAGTTTCCTGATTTGTATTAACTTCCTGTATTCTTGCATGTATTTACCTTCCATTATGCTGCTAAATCCTGAAAGAATTGCTATATTCAGTGTTACTCAAAGTTCCTTTTGTACTGTGAAATCTGAAGAAGTAACTAAAATATCATTTTAAAGAAGCAAGAAAACAAGAAAAAGCTTTTTTTTTCTTGCGTGTGGCTTGTTTCCAGAGTTCCAAATAACAAAAAAGTTCAATATTTACATGTGGTTTTCTTTTCATTACTTTTTCTCATTGTTGATTCGATGATTTTCTGTCCACAGACATCGATGAGTGCCGGCTCAACAATGGAGGATGCGACCATGTGTGCAGGAACACAGTGGGCAGCTTCGAGTGCAGCTGCAAGAAAGGCTACAAGCTGCTGACCAACGAGAGGACTTGTCAAGGTAGGCAACAGTTTTTTCCGCCCTTTGCCGTTTGGATAAGACGAGATTTATAGTTGTGCTCGGATAGACAGGAACAGTAAACAAAAATGACCTCCAGATAGTTCTTTCCAGCCTGCAGAGGAGCCAAACCAAGCCTCTCTGGCTTGTTTATCTGGTATATTTGGTGGTGGTCAGTGCTCAGCAGGAGAAGCTGCAGAACAAATAAAGAGTTTGCAATGGTTGAACACAGGTGTGGAGAAGACTGGAGCTCGAGCTTTAAAACTTCAGCTTCTTGTATGCATCAAACCACTACAGAAACATCTGGTGAAAGACGACAGACAGGCTAGAACAGCGGAGCCAAACTCAGCCTCTCTGCGAGTGGAAAAACAGATGACATGCTATTATTTAATTCTCTTTTCTTTACTGATGTGGTCAATCAATATCCAGCCTGGTACACGTCAATGTCATGCAATGGGTTTACAATTGCTGCACTAAATCACACCATTTTTGCACAGTACACAAACATCTTTTGCGGTCAATGAAAGCATACACTCGGTCGCTGTTGCTTTGCAGCCACTCGCTTGTAACTTGGGATCTATTTTTGGTGGGATGCCTTTCTGTCATTATTTGGAGCTGAACAATGCAAAGTTTATTTAGCCAAAACATCGCAGATAACTGAGGAAATGTGGTCTGTGCATGTAGGAATGTAAATCGCAGCTTGTTTTCTGTGGCACCATGCCTTAACCAACTCGGCCTTGTGCTGTTTGGGTGCACAGGGGAAACATTGGAACAGTGATATCCTTGTTTGGTGCTGTGTGTTTTGTCTGGAAAGAGAGGGTTGTGATAAAGCTCACCTCCTGTTCACTGAGGTTTTGCCAGGCTCACACACATACTCCACACTTCTGAGTCACCTGTCTGCTCCCCATCCTCTCCTCTCATTCCTGCCATTTTCTCACCCGCAAAAGAGCCGGATGCCTGTCAATAACAACATTCAATATTGTTACTTCAGCGTATTGTTCTATGTTGTGTATTTGGTGTTTTGTTGTGTTTTGCAGTAGTTTTAGTGTGTGCTGTCTGTAAAAAATGCTAAAAATATAATCCTTTAAGTCTCACCATGGTCATTGATGTCTCTTCTCTGTTCTTTGTATGCAAATCAGTCATTAAAGGGGGCCCCCAGTCTGAATTTTAGTCTCATGTTTGAGGCAAGAGCTGACAAGACTTGATCCTACATTTCCCAAGATGCAATTTCACGCATTCCTCATTATATTGAAAAATGAATGGACTAGAAAGGAGGAGTAACATTATGATTAAGGGTCTTTGTAGGCATATTTTAAAAAACTTGTGTTGATCTAAATGAATTCATGAAATATTTTAGAAAAAAGTGGGATAATCTGGTTTTTGAGGTACGCCATATTTGCGACAACAGTAGATCTGTTCTAACTTATCTGTAAAGAGAGTGTACCTGTCGGGGCTGAGGCGAGATGATGCTTACCACCACCACTGCACCAGGGGGAGGAAAGATGAAGAGACACCAAGAGTAACTTGAACAAAGTTATGACTCTTATTCTCTAATAATGGTTATTTGTGTAACAGACATAAAACAGTTGTCAAGAAGCTAAGAAATAAAGTTTCACAACCTTTTATATCCAATTATGACAGAATGAGTTTGTCTCTGAAAACAGGTAGAAGGTATAAGAGCTTTCATCCATCGGATAGACTGCAGGTTATGTTAATAATTATGGTAACAAAATCTAATACTGTGAGTGTTTCATTTAAGCCTTTGGTCACATTTTATTTTATTTCAGTTTGACTGTTTTATTTCAAAAGACATTGGAAACAACTTTGCTAATCGACCTTGTTTATTCAGGGTAGAAATTATATCTTTATTTTTAATTGAGTTTTTTTTTTCCTCATAAAAGCAAGACTTGTTTTGACATTATTTTTCCAATAATAAGTCTTGAAAAGGAAAGTTAATCTTATAATAAGGGTTTTGTTAAATTCAGACTGATAAAACCTGAAGTTACCCTCAAGATCAATAAAATATCTACAAGGTAAAGCCCTATCAAGTTAAAAGCTTATGAAAAACAATTGTGTATTTCTTTTTTTAACATCTACTTCTTTACTTTTTGTTGTTTTTAATCATTTTCTTTTTTTCTCCCTCCTCAAATGTAGTAATCCTCCAGATCTTTTAAACTCCATGACCTCAAGTTTGTAACTGAAGTGCTCCTAACTCAAGTCTCCGAGCCGGTCAGATGTGTTAGTTCAATAAACGATATATTAAAATCCCATCATGCACTTTTTTTGACGAGTCTGGCGAGTTGAGGTGATTGAGGGCGAGCAGCAGCAGAAGCTTCGTCGCAGAGACACAGTCTTGTTTCAGGGCGAGTGTCTCTGCTCGCTGGTGTGCTGTCGTGCTCAGGAACACTTAAAGAGGAGTTTGCTGTCTCCTCGAGGTGTTGAGATGTGTAAACTGAACTCTGGGTTTATCTTGGTTTAAACAGTCATGGTGTTTCCCTGCTGTTAGTGGACCATGGCTCATAAGTCAGGATGGGGCATGCCTGCTGAGCCCTTGCCGGCATTCCTCCACCCACAACACTCTCCTTTTTATCTCCCTCTCACTCCTAATCCACATGGGGGCACTCAGAGGGAGATGCTCATCTGATTCTGTTTTTTCCAGAGGGAACATGTATGATAGAGCTCAAACCTGCTCTGTATAAACAGCAGAGACTATTTCACAGATTCACTGAGCTTCATTTGTCTCTTTGGAGGTTTTATTGAGTGAGGAGGGAAGATAGAGTCCTGATGATTAGATCGATGGCACTTAAAGAAGGAAAAAATTGATGAAAGCTCTGATTTGTTATTATCACTGCTCTCATTTTATCTTCCCATGGTCCTCTGCACGTACCTCACCTCCTCATGATGCCCACCCACTGCATACTTCTCCTCGGCTTCCTGGTAAATAAGGGTTGCAGGAGTCACAGTTGTCTTCACACATATACTTTTTTTTTTTAGCGTGGCACAACACAAAACAATTTAATGATAAGTTGCAGATCAACTTCTGGCATCACTTATTGCAACATTTTTTGAGGTCTAAACTCTGTCGGCACACCTAAATCCCGGACAGTTTTCAGACTCCTCTCTTAAAGGTGCGCTCAGCAAAGTTCAGTCTGTTTAAATCCCTAAAACAGTCATTTTTACACTTTTACTGGTTTGAATCTCAAGGAGCTTATGAGTTTGTTCTCCAAATAGAATCAGTCAGATTGGTAAAGATCACTTTTCTCTGATACATTTTCAGCCTAAATTTCATGTATTTTCTGTATCACAGGATCTTTTTTTTATCAAGTTAAGTCGAGTGCATCAATCAAAGATTTCTGGGGACTTTTTGAACTGTTGAACTGATGAGTCTCCTCCAAAGGTTGAGAGCTCTGTTGTGAATTGATTTACTTATTGAACTCAGCATATTTGAATATTTTTGATGTTTTTGACTATCTGTCAAGTGTTAACCTTGATCACCATCAAAGTTCAGCTCATGAATTATTGTATCTAGCTTGAGAACAACATTTTGTGTAATGCTATCAGGGCGGAATAATATCCTGCAACAAATGATTCATCATTGCAACCATAATGTGAAGATGGAAACTTGTTCTGCTGTCACAAGTTTCTTCTTTCCCAGAGTGTCTGATGTCCTTTTCAGTGCAGACCCTCACTCAAACATACAGAGAACTGACCACTGTGCATGCAGAGTCTCCGCTGGTGATTTACATGATTGTAAAATGTAAACATGCACACAACACCTGCTGCAGTTATCCTTGCAGAACTTCAGCCAGATTTCATATCATACAGATTGTATTCCTGCTCATCCCAGTGCTTGTTAACGGCCTTTCAGCATACATATAGACAACTATCATACTACCAGGTACTTGCTTTTAGTGTGCAAAAGAAGATTATGAGATTCTTGGTTAGAATTAGAGGTAACTAATATATATACTAATTTATAAGTAAACTGCAAGTACTGCGCTCCTCCTTGTGTTTGCAGATTACCCACAACTAACTAGAGTCCTGTGATTGCTTTGTAACACCTGTCTTCTTTTCTCTGTCTGTTTTTGGTGTTTGGCATTGCCCCAAAAAAGATGAGGTTCATTAAAGAGGAGACGACGTGACAATGTTTTTAGCCAATTCGCCATCTAGCACAGTTGGGACACTTCCTCTTTTCATCCCAGCGTGCCTGGCTTGAGTCTGTCAGTGTTGCTGACATTAAAGGAGTTCTTGATCGTGAAACACCCAAATGTCAGCCTCCTCCTATAGCTCTGTGTATCGGTCCTTATAGTCTTTGAGACAGTGACATTTAAATGATTTATATTGAAAAGGATGTAAAGAGAGCAGAAAACCCCCAAAAGGAAAGACAAAGAAGCTGCTGAGGGCTAGAAAGGAGCTGCATTAATGCAAATTGACATGGATCCATATGACCTCAGAGCAGAAGAATAGGTGTTGTTATTTCCTTTTTTCCTGCAGCAATGGGTCATATATGTTATGGCAAAGAAAAGGGTGATTGACAGGTTCTACAGGAGGAGAAAAAAACCTGTACTTCAGCTCCCATTATCGAGTGAAGAGCAGACTTCCTTTGACTCCCGCTGCGGCCGCTTGTTATTTCAAAAATACTTTGAAAATTCCATTTTAGAGCATCGAAATGGAAAACTGCATGACTCCAGGGGTCAACTGCTCTAAAAAGACTCGCGCCGAAGACCCCTGATGCTTTTTTTCTCCTGCAACATGTGATTTGACCCATTGCAATTCATGGTGAACAATGAATACAATACAGTACAAAAGATGGAAACAGGGAAATACGCCGAGAGGGAAGATGGAAGAGATGTATTTGAAGTTGTTTGTTGAAGTTTCTAACAGCATGTCTCTCTCTCCTTACAGACATTGATGAGTGTTCTTTTGACCGTGCCTGTGACCACTTTTGTGTCAACTCCGCCGGCAGTTTCCAGTGCCTCTGTCATAAAGGCTACGTCCTCTACGGCCTGGCACACTGTGGAGGTGAGCCAACACATCTGTTCTCTCCTCAGTCTTGTCTCTCGAGTAATATTCCCCGTCAATCGCTCTTTCTCTGCATCCCACAAAAATCTAACAGGGCTAATAAACCGATTCTTAATTCTGATATGACTTTTTACTGACAGCTCATACCAAGGTTAATATGCTGCATATTTATGAGCAATACCACTCATACTCAGCTTATGAATCAGAGAATTTTGTGAACTTCAGCTAACTGCTGATTGGTTTCCTACTTGACAGCGTCTTGACAAGGAAGTTAAAGGGATATTCTGGCATGAAATTAATTTAGGGTCGAACACACCGTAACACCGAGTTAGACACCCCCTCAAGAGATGAATGTTGCCGACCACTTGCTTTTCTAGTTATACCAACTTTAGTATCGACAGAATGATAGTAATACACAGCGGTCTGAGGAGCCATACACAAACCTTAACCAAAACGCCACTCTATAGCCACAAATAATGCTCAGAACAGCACCTAACTTCATCAACAGTACATAAAGGGTCCCAGCCATTGCAATAGCCACCAAACATCTTTTTAACTTTGTCTGATTTCTTTAGCAAAGAGACCAAACACAACTCACCTACTCTCCTCCAGCAGCCGCTAGTTTGTAGCGAGACCTCGGGCCAGTCCATCATGGACTACAACGGGGTGACACAGCTCAAGGAAGATCATTTATGATAATTACTTTATCATTTCCTTAAAGTACTAATCATTATATTAATCATTTTGCACTGCAGACGCGGTAGTTCTTCTGCCTTAGTGTCTCAGTCTGATTGCGTTTCCATGAAGAAATGATCATAAATGTTCTTCCTTGAGCTGCGCACCCCGCAAAGGTCTGTAATCGACTGGCCCAAGGTCTCGCTACAAACAAGCAGCTGCTGGAAGAGAGTAGGCGAGTTGTGCCTCTTTGCTAAAGAATTTAGGCTGTTTACGGCTCCTCAGTCCTCTGTGTATTGCTATCCTGTGGTCGTTACTAAAGTTGGTATAACTAGAGAAGCAAGCGGTCGGCAACATTCATCTCTCAAGGGGGTGTCTAACTTTATTTTACATGGAATATCCCTTTAAATACTTAATCTACCCCCTTTTTCTCATACTTAAATATCTGTGCAAACACGAGATGGGTTGCAATAAACTTAAATATTCTTCGTCTTTAAAGGATGCATTTTGAATACTCTGGTGCACAGGTTAGCATGAAATATATATTTGCCATCTGGATGTTCCAGCAACCTTAGATAATAAAAAAGAAAAGAAGTCTGTGCATGCAGCTGCGTTTTTCTGCAGTAACTTAATACAATTAAAAGACTCCTGTTACCTGTTATAAGCCGAGTTTGAAGTTTGAAGTTCTTGTAAGTTGATTTTGAAATGAGCTGAAACAGGTCGCTGCCTTGAAGGCAGGAAATCAATCTGAGAAGTTACGCCGCACTTGGCAGTAATGTAAAGAGTCGACAATTTGTCCTGGAGTTAATGGACTAAAACATGAAAACAGCAGTAACTTGAAGGTGGAGTATGACCATGTCCACCAGACATTAACAGGTACCAACTGTACTCCAGTGTGAAACAGATAAGAGAAACAGCCTTTGGTGTCAGGAGGAGGTGTGTGAAGGCGCGTCAGATCTGCCTGCCAGGCAGCAAGAGGCCCGCCAGAGCACATCAGGGTGTTTCAGAGTCCCTTTGATGGAGTGTGTATCACCAGTAAGAATCTGCTGCTGTCTCCAGCGCCTCAGGGCCGCACAGTAGTTCTGGGAGAGATGGAGCAGACAGCATATGTACTCGAAATACATGGCTTGGCAGTGATTTGTTCTGTGTTTTTTAGTCAGTAGTTTGACAGGTCGACTGATCAGCGATGTTGCAACAGAATGCAGAATAAGAAATGTAACAGAGATTAGCGGGAAGTAATGCTCAGATGTTTGGAATCACACTTCTGCACAAACACATCAGGGTTAGCGAGTTACAGTCTGGATACAAACTATGTGAAAGTTTTCTGCCTGGATCTCTAGAAACACAAGACCATAAACAGAAATGTTTACTCATTTAATCTATAAAAGGAGAAGTTTTTTTTCCTCATCTGCTTCTATAAATTTGGGTTTCTTCTTGCAATCAGTGCAGTTGAAGCTACAGCCACGCCTTATTGATGGTGTATGGGCTTTTAGATTTAATATATGCCGGTGTTTGGCTTGAAATGCACCCTCTGTATTTCAGGCGGCCGAGGTGCATTCGCTCCGCTCCTCACAGACGGCTGTACTAGCTGTCAGTCCAGGCAATAAAAGCCATAGAATTGGATTTGTAAGGCTTTTACTCTCATGATGGACTGTGATCAGGCCACACTGAGCTGCTGAGAGGAGAGACGCTGGTCAGGCGTAAATGACTCTCTATACCTTTTGTTGAGAGAGCAGGTGATGAATGATTTCCCCCTCGCTTTTCATCACCCCTGTCGGAACAGTTAGATAACCCTGGAGATTTACGGCGCTCCCCGTTGTACTTTCGCTCTCTTCAGGCCATATAGCCAAGGTTGTGTTACTCCCTGTGCGGTTTATCAGACAAAATATAGCTGCCAAACAATCCGGAGAGCTCTGCTCAGTGTTTAACAATAGACTCACCCTAAACAAACCCAATTAGGTCAATGACCTGCTGTCAAGCATTGTGCGGAGGCCTGTCAACATTCCTCCCAATTGAGAGTATCTACAGCCATTCTGCCGCTCTACAAGCAAAACAATCTGCTCATTTCTGCTTATCTGGTAAGAAAATAGACTCTCAGCAGTCGTGACTAAATACTCTGGAAGTATTTTTTGAATTTGGCTCATTTGATCTAACCAACAAGAGAAATGCTTCCCTCTGTTGCTGACAAATATTTGTACACAAAGATCTGAGAAACACGGTTTATCCCTCAAACCACACAGAGTTTAAGTTGATATCTTAACAGTTAAAGTTAATTGGGAAAAACACAGAATGTTCTCAGGGAAAAATTCCTCTTTAAAAACTCAAATTACAATGTTGTTTGGACTTGGAGTCGCTGATGTTGATGAATAAGCACGCAGAAGCGATTAGAATTTGAAGATTTCCACAAACTCCCCAACCCATCCCTGAATTCCTCACCATTACATGAAGCAATTGTTGAGTCTGAATGTCAGTTTGTCTTTTTTATTGTTCTGTCCTTTTTCCTCCTCGACTGCTCTGGTCTGTTGGTGAAAAGACTCTGATCTGAAAAAGGTCAGGATGTGTGTATTTGGTTACATGGAACAAAAGGAGCGAGAACAAGGGTTGCTGGCGGAGGAGCTTCGCCCCCGTTAGACGTTCATTAGACTTCTTTGTCTCTTTAAATCGAGTGCTTTGATGCGGAGGATAAGCGGCGCATTTCTTGCTACATTTCCCCGCAGCTTTGCCTCTGCGCCCACTGATGAAGCCATCATCTTCGTCAGTGAGAGCAGAAGCAGGCAGAGAGTCTTAATTCAGAGTGAATAATTGGATCAGATGAAGAGGAGCGTTTCCTATCAGCAGACCAGATCATCAATCACTGCCAGTATCTCGTCTCATGTCTTCTGTCTCCTGTGCTACAGCATCCTCAGGCCACTCTGCATCTGGACCCCGGATGCTTCTAATGTTTTTTCGCTCTGCATGTGTTTGAAAGGTGATTTTAATTTACTGTTTACCGCAAGTCTTCCTCCCTGAAGAGAAGAGACATTTTTCAACCGTGAAGTTGAACGTGGCGACATCAAGATGAGGGATCGCTCAGTTTACATGCCAACATGTTAATCATCCCAGAATACGAATCTTTGATGGGATGAAGCGAGCTGACCTCTGAGGAACTCTTTATTCCCCCCTTTAGATCCTCTTTCTTTGTCATTTTATGCAACATAACTGATCCCAGATCTTTATGGGACGGCCTCTTTGTTTTTGATTGATTCCTCTTCTGTGGAAGTTCTCCTCTTAGTCCTTTTTGTGGTATTTATCATGTCAACGTGTTTATTCACAGATATTGATGAATGCAGTATAAATCGGGGAGGTTGTAAATACGGCTGCATCAACACTCTGGGGAGCTACGAGTGTACCTGTCCACCAGGACACAAGCTGCACTGGAACAGGAAGGACTGTATTGGTATGTAGCAGCACTGCCCCCTTGTGGTGTTTTCACTCACACACAAACCCACTCATATTTTTGACTTTGTGTGTTTTATTTCCCCTCAGAGCTGGTGAGATGTCCTCCAGGACTCGTGGCACCAAAGGCGACTCTGACCTGCAGCAAAACAGGGAAAAAAGAAAGCTGCTCTCTCACCTGCGCCTCCAAGGCCCACTATCTTGCAGGTAAATCACTCACGGTGAATAAGGAAACACAACTTAGAAGGCTTCATGATTGTGATTTTTCAATCTCTACTTTGTGACTGATTTCTTTAGAGTCTGACAACAGCTACTCAGTCAGCTGTGGGATCCCCAACCTCAGAGGGAAGACCCCTGCCAGGCTCAACACCAGCAGCAGTCAGAGCTGCATAGGTTCGCTGCCCACCAGATCCCCACAGTCCAACACTTTTTTTTTTAAACAATCCCATCTGTCAGTTACAGCTCACAGACAGCTGGTTGTCTTTGTTGTGGCCGTGTGCTCGTACCCACTGTGCTGTGTTTGTCTGTAGAGACTTTGGCGCCTCCAGTGAAGCAGACGGCTTCTTTCAAGATTAAAAATGCCAAGTGTCACCTGCACCCCAAGCAGACCGGCAGGACGGAGGACAGGGGGCGGACGCTCGGCCCAGGTCAGTCACGATCCGTGTGTGATATGTTTTCTGTTTTACTAATCTGAAAGAATAAACAGTGTAATTTGCAGCCAAACTAGCTTGCTCATTGTTTGATGAGTAAATCCACTGGAATTTTAGAAGCAACTTTTTCAATAGTTTATTGTTTTCCTCCTTCTCCAGCAAAGTTTGCAAACATTTACTGGTGCCAGCGTTTTAATGAGAGGATTACTTTTGTTCTTTGTTAAAGTTTTTTCCCCAATTGTTTGTTGAACAAACAGAAAATGTGCATTTATTGACTGTTATGTCAAACAATAGCAAATTGAGCTCAGGATTAGTTCAAGCAAGCCAGAAAGTATCATCAGCTGACAGCTCAGATCTTTACCCTCCTCTCATATGACTTTTTACTTATATTTATGTATAACCATGGACTGTTTATACTATGGACAACTTGGTTCTGCCTTCCGTCAGTATACGGATTTGAAGCTAAAAAACTCTCGGTATTTCCGCGATTTTTCTCCATTTCCTTTTTTTTGTGACCAACTTTTTATTTCATTTTTCATACATACCCACCCACCCACCCACCAGACCCCCAGGGAGCAAGGCATTATATCTTGCATTGTACAATGTTTTTCCACATACAATTGCTAGTATTTGATGGGATGGAAACCAGCAATAAATAGATCATATATAAGAACAGACAATATATACATGATACATTATACATATATACATATACACACGCACGCATACCTATGTACACACCTATCCATATACATATATATACATACATATATACACACACATACACACATATACATATACATGCGTATACATATGTATATATATATATACATATAAAATATACATATTTTCTCCATTTCCTGAAACCAACATTGCGCAGTAGCATCATACGCACTTCACCACCTGCGCATTGTACGGGAGAGTCGGTGGGAGAGTCGCTATGATGATGCTTAGGGTCCCCCGGGTGCTTTTTTTTTGTGTAGGATGGTAGGGGAAAGTCCCGCCTCCTTCACCTCTGATTGGCTAGAAAAGCTGGAAACGTCATCACACGCTCAAGCCAAACGCGGACAGTCAGCTCTGTACATCGAACAGAACATTATCGCACTTCTGAATCTCGTAACCCTAACCCTTACCTGACAGACGTTGACATTTCACAGCCATAAGGAATAACCAATCAGAGCCCATCACTTCTAGCTAATCAGAGGCAAAGGAGGGCGGGACCTTCCCTTACTATCCTACGAAGAAAATTTGACCCCACAGGTGAGCTACGCAATCTTCATACGCCCATAGGCTGTATCAAGTGTCAGTCATAGAAAACATGAACCCTCAATAACTTTTAAAAATGGAGCTGTACAGAATAAAGAAGACTTGAGCACAAACCAGTCTTACAACATCGCAACCAAGGGGGAGAAAATATTATATTCTGTGAAATAAATTTCTAAAGTTTGTCCACAGCCCTATAAGCTTTGCTGGCGGAGGCGGGATTAATGACCTATACTGCAGCCCGTCACCAGAGGGCGCTGTTCTCGGAGTGGCTTCACCCAACGAGGAGGCCGACGGTGTCCATTCTATATACAGTTGATGTTTATAACACAGTGTGATATTGTGTTGCTTACAGGAGGTGGTCAGCCCTGCAGTAACTGCCTGGTGACATTTGTCAACCTAAAGTGCGACTCGTCTAAGAAAGCAAAAGGGCGCCGAGCTCGAAACCCTTCGAACAAAGAGGTGACACGGATTACATTAGAGCTGGAGGCTGAAGTCAAACCTGGAGACACAACAGGTCAGTCAATCGAAAAACCTTTGACAGCAGTTTCTGCCTGTGATGGCCATGTTTTCATTTTACTGTACAAGTTGAGCATGTAATGTCCAGAATCTTATTCCCACACAGTTCTCCTTGTTGTTGCACCTGCAGCTGAAACACAGTTATGTTTTCCCCCATAACCAGGCAGTTGTAATCTCAGCTGCCTCAGACAGCGCATGGAGAAGCAGGTGAAGACGTACATCAAAGCTTTGAAGAAGTCCATCAACCAGGAACGCTTCTTGATCAGAGTTGCCGGGTTGGAATATGAGGTAGCTCAAAAACTCCCTCAGGCTGCTCCCCCTCCTGAGAACTGTGGGCCGGGCTGGGAGAGGGACGGCGGCAGATGTGGTAAGAATGGAGAAGAGCTCAAAACTGGCACGTATGAAGTATGAAAAAGAAGAGCGTCATCTTTAACCAAAGCTTTGTTGGATGTTCTCTCAGTCAGATGCTCGTCGGGGTCTTACTACCACGGGGAGCAGGAGCGCTGCGTGCAGTGTCCACCCGGCACTTTTCAGGAGAAGGAGGGGCAGCTGGCCTGCGACCTCTGCCCTGGTACTGATGGACATGGACCTGTGGGGGCTCGAAACATCTCCTCATGTGCAGGTAGGGTCAATGTTAAATGAGACGTTTGTACAAAAAAGACCATGGGACAAATTGATGTGGTATGGTTTGGTATGATCGGATACCGGATAATAAGGTAAATAAATATAAACAATATAAAATCAACTCTTAAATCATCTCAAACTTAAATCCAGGTCAGTGTCCGACCGGGCACTTCTCCAGCGATGGCTTCAAACCTTGCCAGCCATGTCCTCAGGGATCCTACCAGCCAGATTTGGGACGGACTCTTTGTTTCCCCTGTGGGGGAGGGCTCAGCACCAAGAGGGAAGGTGCCAGCTCCTTCCATGACTGCGAGGTCAAAGGTCAGCTTTTGCTCTTTTTACGCAGCCAGATAGAGAAACAGGTCAATAATCTTTGCAACCTCCTTAATTAAATAAACATCAATTGTTTGTTTTCTACAGTCCAGTGCTCTCCAGGTCATTATTACAACACCACAGTTCACCGGTGTATCCGCTGCCCTGTTGGGACCTATCAGACAGAGTTCAGACAGAACTACTGTATCACCTGCCCCGGGAACACAACCACTGACTTTGACGGTGCCACGAGTGTCTCGCAGTGCAAGAGTAAGAATGAAAATTATTGTTTAGCGTTTTCAAAATGCTCCCATCCTTTAGTTAAAAATTAATACGATCTGTTTGTGTGTGTCTAGACAGGCAGTGTGGTGGTGAGATGGGCGAATTCATGGGCTACATTGAGTCACCTAACTATCCCGGTAATTATCCTGCTAATGTGGAATGCATTTGGAACATCAACCCGCCCAGCAAGCGCAAGATCCTCATCGTGGTGCCAGAGATTTTCCTGCCCTCAGAGGACGAATGTGGAGACGTGCTGGTTATGAGGAAGAACTGTGAGTGTGTGTGTCGATAAATGCTCCACACGAGGCTCAGCTCCGCGAGGCTTGATTTGTTGACGTTGTCCTGTCTGTGCCCCCTGTAAGGGTCAGCTACATCCATCACCACCTACGAGACGTGTCAGACGTACGAGCGACCCATCGCCTTCACAGCTCGCTCCAGACGACTTTGGATTAACTTTAAGTCCAACGAGGCCAACAGCGCCCGGGGCTTTCAGATCCCCTACGTAACGTATGATGGTATGAAGTCCTCTTATCACAGCTGGTTTGTGTCGAACTATTGTTGATTTAAAGAAGCCCAGAAAGGTGTAGAGGTGCTTGGTTATGGAGTCTTAAAATCTCTGCGTTGTTTGACTGGGAGCCAGTGAAGGAAATCCAAAGAGAGCTGAAATCATGTAAATAAAAGTTTTAGTGCCCTCTGGTGGCCAGGCTGTGTAACTACAGGAGTTTCCAGACGACGTACAGCCTAAGCTTGCAGCATCCTGTATATTTAGTCTCTGTAGATAGTGACTTACTTGCTCCCATCATGCTGTTGTGATGCATCTGCATTGGACTCAGACTGGATTTATGAATCCATCATTCTTGAAAACAAAGTGTCCCTGTTCTGCTGAATAATGAGCACTCAGCTTCTCGGTGACACACTGATGAAATACGCAAAGACTTATGGTGATTGTGTGTTTGTTTCATAAATTCAGAGGACTACGAACAGCTTGTTGAGGACATCGTAAGAGATGGAAGACTCTACGCCTCTGAAAATCATCAAGAAATCCTCAAGGTACGGTTGAATTACTTCTAACTGTGTTTATTTCTGTCTGTTTACCGTCGGTACATAAGACCACCTGTGAGGGCTGATTTAGTTAAGCAATAAGCTAATACTAAAACATGTTGTTTGGCTAAACACAGCTGTTGATGACAAACAAATGAGAGTTTGCACGAGCGACAGAGTGCATTAATTATTAAAAGGATTTGTTAATTCTATCGTGGGGCTTCTGCGTAATTTGTCAACAGCTTCAGACCAACGTCAACATTTATTCAGGAGGAAAACAGGCGTGTAAGAGTGGATTTAACACCTGTTTGTTTTGTTAACAGGATAAAAAACTGATTAAGACTCTCTTCGATGTGCTGGCTCATCCGAACAACTACTTCAAGTACACCACTCGGGAGTCGAACGAGATGCTTCCTCGCTCCTTTATCCGTCTCATAAGCAGCAAAGTCTCAGCTTTCCTGCGACCTTACAAGTAAAGCTCTCACAGCTGCTGCTGAAGACTGGGATCATAAACCCCCCTCTCCCCTGACATCCCCTTCCAACACCTTTCTACACCTCCCAGACCACACCCCCGAAAACTCCCACAGGACTTTAAAAAACTAACACAAGTTTACCCTCTTTGATTTTTCCACAGGCTTTGACGATAAACACTATGCAGACCTGAGAAATACTGAAAATCATATGTTTGTACGTCTGTCGTCGGTTTCCGTTCAGTGCAGGTCTGCAGTCCAGAGCTCAAACATTTAGCGGGGATGTAGAGTTTGCGAGTGGGTTTGGTTTCTGTCGCCTTATGCAATGAAACCACACACAAACAAAAGAAATAGAAACGCCCATTTGAGGCGGTAGGAGTGAAGTTTTTGTGTGCGTGGTTTGAGCCTGATAGAGCTTGTTGTTGTATTTGCTTAAACGAGCAGTATGAGTCCCAGTCTGACTCCTACCATTAAGTATGACTGTAAGTGTTGTGTAAGTGTTGTGTAACCCTGGGTCCATCTTCAGCGTCTGTGTGCTGTCCTCGAAGGAGGAGCGGTTGTTAGATTCACGTTACAGCTGCGATACGCGTCAGTCAAAGCCTTACTATATTTGAGCTCTTAGAGCCGTTTCCAGGGGTTTTACTGTTAAAACAGTTAATCTACGTTTTGTTCCGCCTGTCTAGACTGTACCAGCGTTCCCAACATACAAAAAACTTCTGTTGCTTGCTCCTTTTTTCATTTTTTTTTTTTTTTACACAAAGCAAATACTAAAGTTAGGTGGTTTAACATTCCAGGATCAAAGTGGACATTTGGGAGATTTATAACAAACTAATAACAGTGTGAGAGCCACAGAAATGAGATAATGTGATGTCTAGAGGAACATGTCTCAGAGAGAGAGAGAGAGAGAGAGAGCGATGTCTGTGAGGGACATTACGTTTGCTGCTTCTTTTTAAAAGGTCACTTTAATTCTTCAATCTCATTGTCTTTCTGATTTTCTCCATACAATAACAGTCTTTACGTTTAAAGCATCGGAAATACTTCAGTCCTTATAAACAGTTAATAATCTCACTCTTCCTGTCTTTTTACTTTCAATCTTGTAAATAATGAAAATAAATTAGACGAGGGTTAAATTATTTGATCCTAATTTTCTCAAGCAGGACCCCTTCCCCTTAAAAAATTGAACCCCTTTTGCCCCTGATGTCCCATCCGTCTCAAATCCAAAGACACCCGGAGCCCCCTTCAAACACCCCACTCACATGTTGTTCTGTCCCAATGAAGACAGCTCTTCCAAAGACCGTCCAGAGAGGGCGGCTCACTTTGTTTTGTGCACTAGACACGTCATCCTACCTTTGTAGCTTACAAAGTGCAATGACTGAGATTAACACACCTTGATTTTGGGAACACCATCGTGTGACCAATGATGAATTTTGCAGTCACTGTGGGCGGGAGATGATGAACAGATGGAGTTTGTGGTGTGGAAAATACTTGTAATGTCCAAACAGCAACCAGAACAGGGTAAAATCTTGGATGTTTATATATATATATATAAATGTGTACATATATATATATATATATATAAATATGAGTTTAGGAGTGACACTGAGGGAAACACTTTCTTTTGCTTTCTTGCAGATTAAGAAGAGATTCAAACCACAAATCTCTTCTGCTTAATTTGGACTGATTGTCGATGGGAGCTTATCAGAAACAGATATAAAAAAAAAAACAATGCTAGTTTCTGTCAAATGAAAAACTCTACCTAGTCACTCACTACTGCTGTGGTGGAATACGTCGTGTCCAGCTTGTCAAAATGTTGTCGTTTCAAGATGCTTCTCTGACCAGGAGAAAAGACTTCCTGAGGTCTGAGTTCGCAAAGATACTCAAAGCAAGAAAGTGAAAAAGTTTTCCCCAAATATTCACGGGCTATTCCTTTAAAGTCATCATTACTATGCGCCAGTCAAATGAGAACAATTATAATCCCTAATTCCCTCATCTTGTATATTTAACCCAATGCCCCTGGTCCCAGATATGTAATTAAATTTAAAGAGAAAAAGTTTCCCCCCTCTCCTGTAAATAGAAATAAGTGATTTGGTGCTCTTATCATTCAGTTATTATACTCAACTGAGTTTTAAGTGTCCAGACTTTAAGAAGAAAACAGGGATTCTGAGATCCCACTGTAGAAGTCGTGGGTGAAACTGGTCCAAGCCACAAATTTGCGCTAGATTAAAATTCCTCTTTTCCTCGCTTCAGTCACAGATTAAGTACATCTAATATTTTTATTTCCATGTACTTCACTCAAACAGGCGGCGTCCTAGAGTTCTCACTTAGCCCATTAAATCCCTGCCACCTGAATCGGCCTCTTTCCTGCAACCTGTTTTTTTTTTTGTTTTGAATTGTTGCCTTCTAACGAGAGTTTGCTATGATGTATCATAGAGTTGATAATGATATTTGCACTTGAATTGTTATTGCTCCTGTAAAGAAAATGTCTGGATTTTTTGTATTGTCTTTTTAAATGAATGGAATTGGTGTTCTTATTTTTCTTGTAGCTTGTTTGTTTCATGAAATGCTCACTCACCGTTTTAGTCTTTAGAGATGATACACATTACATTATCAACTGTAAGAAAAAGAAAACTATGTACAGAGGTGAATGAAATGAGTTTGTACTTGTTACTGCCCAAAACACTTATCGAAATAAACATACTGTACTTCAGCTCCATTTCAGGCACATTTTAATGGCTGTAATATTACTTTGTACATGTTTCATGAGCTAATTAGAGCATATATCAACAACAGTGCATTATTATAAGGTGGCTGAACAGGGTAGAATTGTATCTTTAAAAATGCAGATATTTTGCTCATGTAAGACGCCTCTTTTTTCATCTCCCTCTGTCTCTGACTCACATTTCACTCAGGAGTGTCAGCCTCTTCTGGAGCTATAACGTGCTGAAATCAAAGATAGAAAACAGGAATCTGACATTGATGTACGGATTCAAAAGAGCTGAGATACTGAGTAAAATATCAATGAAAGCAGAATTTGATTGTTTGCAAATCACTTGAATTCTTTATGAAACTTAAAATGGTGCAAGATGACGTATTTAATGTTGAAACAGAAATATAGTAACTTAGGAGTTTGTTAACCATTGTATTTCATCACTTCATTTATTATAAACAATCGGATGTTTTCATATCTATTTCTATTCTATTCTGAAACTTTTAAAGCTTTTTTTCACTCCTTACTTCTTTCAAATGATCCTAATTGGTCAGGAAATGTTTTTTTTTTCTTAAAAATGACTCCTCTTTTTCAGTGTTTCATTGTCCTGAAATGTGTTGCTTGCATCCTAAGTGTTATAATTTTTTTTTCAACCTTTATAAGCCGTCTTTTCAGTTAAAAACAGTGTTGAAATGATTTGCAAACCATCTATATCTGTGTCATTTCAGCATTTTACACAGAATACATTCATTTCTCAAAGTTGGGGATGTGATCTATACTTACATCTGCGTTTACATTCAGGGAAGAAAGGCAACCACCGACCATCAACGCCACAGGTGAGAGTGTTCGGGCCGTACATCATGTAACCAGGGGAACACTGAATTGATAGAAAATCACGGGGGTGATACACCGCCTTGAGGGAGTTTGTCCAGGAGGCATTGGGCACATTCAGAGGTGGACATGTTATCTCTGTGAGGAGATAAACACACACATGATGGGATGATTTTCAATCTTTGTGACTAGAATAAAAATGAGCTCTTCTTTAACAGCAGGTAGGACCTTTGCATGTCGGGGGAGGATGACTCCACGCCCCGCTCTCTGTGCACCAGATATCCTTTTGTCCAATGAGGACTCCTTTCTGACACTGGTAGCTGATCACTGTCCTGTATGTGTAGACTTCCTCCCAAGGGCTGGTTATATCTGCATTTTCTACTGGTGGAGGAGCTTCACAGACCGCAGCTGCAAGAGACTCAACAGTGTTGGCTTAGCTGAAAAGCACAGACATAAAAGCCCACACAGCTAAAGACGGGATGTAAGTTCACTTCACCTTCACAGACAGGGATGCGTCCGTCCCAGCCTCCGCTCATGCAGTGTCTCTGTGCTCGCCCCACAAGATTGTACCTGATGAGTGAGGCCACAATTTTAGACATGGAGAAATAGAGTATGTTTAAAAATTCGAGCAGGGTAAGAAACGTGAAGGTTTCTCTCACCCGTCATCACACACGGCTGTGGCGATGTCTCCAAACTCCGCTCCTGTGTATTCAAACTGTCCGTGTATGATCTCTCCTGCAGAGCCACAGCTCTGCACTTTAAGAGGATGAAAAAAAGGTCATTTTAAAACCTTGTAGGGTGCATCTGTTTATTTTTACATCAAATTTAAGGTGGAACACAGTCTTATATCTTTATGATGGGTATCACTGGTGGGGTTTTTTTATGAAAGTAGTACAAACATTAAGATGAAACTGTAAAAAAAAAAAAGGCCTACAGGGTAACATAGAAGTTCTTACATTCACATTTGAGCCTCAGAGGTGACCACTTCCCCTTGCTGCACCTGCGATATCTGCTCCCACCTGCCATATTGTATCCGATGTCACACACGTAATGCACTCTTTCACCAGAAGAGAAAGACGTCTTTGTGATGTACTTCTCAGCCAGTTTGGCGTTGGAGTTCTTGTTATCTGGCACACCACACCCATCAGCTGAACAGAGAGAGAAGAGTGTTAGATCAGGAGCAAACTTTTCGAGTAACTTCAGAGTGTGCTCTTCAAAACTCACCCTCTTTATCGGGTAACCGAGTCTGACATCTGGGGGGTTTGGGCTGCCACTGGCCGTCTTGACCACAGGTGATCCTCTGAGCGCCGTCCAGCTGGAAACCCTGACTGCAGGTGATGTTTACGCTTTCTCCCAGCTGGTACACTGACACATCTCTGCTGCTGACTGAGTTTGTGACTACAGGGGGGGAGCAGGTGACCTGTGCCACTGAAAATGAGAAAATAACACGTTTGTTTAAAGGTTATCTTCATCATGATTAGAAGTTATGACTGTGACCCTAATATTGAGGCTTAAAGACACTGAAACTCCTAATCCTGCTGTGTGAAACTGTGACGTTGGTTTGTAGATCTAAGTCTGGATGTCTGACGCAAACAACTTCCCAAAAACATGACGTATCTAATCTTTAATCTGTTTATTTTGGTATTTCACAACCTGAAAATGTGTTGAAATAAATAAAGGGATTAAACATCATCATCATCACTAAATAGGTTTGGTTTTAAGCAGGTTTCAGATAATGAGTAAGAGCACGCTCTGACGTACTGTTGCCCACCTTCACATGTCGGGAATCCACCAGTCCAGCCAGATCTCTTACAAATCCTGTACTCCGGTCCTTTCAGGGTGTAACTGTCAACATGGAGATAAAACTGCTCTGTAAGTTTGAAGGACTCATACAGGACTAACCAAACTTTACAGGACTCTCTCAGGCTTTAACTCACCCCTCATTGCACACTGCTTGGACTCTCTCTCCAATAAATGAACTTCCTTCATAGTTGAAGTAGCCCTTTAGTAGATCTCCAGCATTACCGCACGATCTCTCTGTTAAACCAAAAAGACAGTAAAAGGTCAGTAAGTGCAGTAATGATCAGTGAAATAGGTTTGAGCAGGTGGACGACGTTTTTAATAAAAGAAAATCTGTTCCAATTTTTGGGTTACCAATTAGGTTTTTTCAACAAAATGTTGGAACCAATCAGGCAGGCTTTACCAGCCTTGGATCAGGCTGGTAAGAGGTTAATATGATTATAAAGAATAGTGATTTTTGAGATATTTGTTATGAAAGTCTAAACAGTACCATTAGTTTCTCAATTCTGCTTTTTCTACTATTTTTTTCCACAATTATTTAAGATTATATGTTTGAATTCTGACAATTTTACAGACATTTATTTAGAAAAACATGAAACCTAAATTACAGTATCATTGAAAAAAATAAGGGGTAAAGCTATGAGTCTTAACTTTTTTTGTAAATTTTGACCCTGCTGAAGACATGGCAGTGTTGAATTGAAGATTGTGACAAGAATAATAATAATGCTTAACCCTTTAATGCCTGAAACTACAAATTATGGCCAGAAAATTCATATTTTTATGGAGCTGAAATGTTTATTTCACTTGCCACTGAAAACCAAAACAATCAAAATGTCCTTAAAATTTAACGAATATGTTTATTTATCTCGTTTGATACATTATATGTTTTTGGAGACTGGTAAACTACAAGAGGACATTTTTATCATTTATCTGACTGTATTCAGTTTTTTTTGTAATTTGCTGATAATCTTGATTTCATAAATATATAAAAGTATGTATGAAATATGATACAAAAGGCATTATAGGGTTAAACAATAAATACATAAATAAATAACACTTCTTTATATTTCTGTCTGTTTGCATCGCCTGTAGTTTTCCCACATGGCCACAGGGGGGCTCTCGACTGCTTCTGAGCTTCACTGTTGTCGCTTTAAATAAAACAACTGTAAACTTCATCTTAATAATCGGTCATTTAAAAGAAAAATCACCCCTTTTTGCTGTAACAGAATAAAAGACCACTTACTATCGCATTTCAGGGTCAGCTTCGTCCATGCTCCGTCCACACACTGAACTATAGGGACTCCTCTGGATGGAGTGAAGTCCTCTGCACAGCGGTAATAAACTTTCTCTTTGTGGCTGAACTTCTGTCTGCTGCTGTACTTCAGGTCCAGGCTGGTGTATGGATACTCCACTGGTGTAGGACAAGGCTTCGGCTCTCGAGCTTTTCATTAAATAAAATGAATTTACGTATTTTGAATACAAAAAAATGAGAAATACGTTGCTTTTTGTGTGTGGTTAATTTACCTGCAGCGAATAAGACACAGGGTAAAAACAGAAAAATCCCCCCGGTGGTTCTCATGCTGCTCGTCTGTCTCTCCGTGTATGTATACCGAATTCTGACTGGCAGATTTGTCTGGGAGGATCACGTTTAAGTAATTTATACAGGAGGAGAAACTGACCTGAGATCAGCAAATAGAGGACACGACCTCAGACATGAACACAAGGCAGGGTGTAGCCCACATTAAAAACCTTGAGTGAAGAAATATAAGTATATAGGTAATAAATGAGTATGAGGGTTTAAACCAGACAAGGTCCCTGGTATTGGAACGAGTTATCTGGCACTTTTGTAATTAAAAGACATTTGCAGCATTTATTATTATTATTATTAGAAGTAGTAGTAGTAATCTTAGTATTATTATTAGTATTTATGTATTTATTTTTACCAGTGATAATTTTTTTTTTCATGTATGATTAGTGCTTTCTGTATGATCAAATCTATATTATTCTAAAATAAAATAAAGTAAAAACATTTTAGTGCTGCTGCTGATGAACCTATGATTCTTACTGCCGATATGTCAAAGCTCTGCTACCTTTTTTTTTTTATTGAATTATACACAAACAAACAAACAAAGCACTTACTTATCATAAAAGAAAATTACAGCATATTTGCCTTAGATTGAGCATGAATAACATCAAAAAACAACAAAATTTCAATGTTAGAGGCCATTCTATCTCAATTCGAACATTTCTAGTAAAGAAAAAAGGCATAGGGCTTTCTTGTCTGTAACAAATTTTAAGGATTTTAAAAAAAGTAGCAGCTCATTCTTCCAGTGAGGTAGGCATGGTCTTGTTTTAAGATATTGACACTTGTGAATGAGGAACTTCTCCAAAAGCAACAAAGCATTTAGAACAAAATCCAAGTTCCTATCCTCAAGCTCTGCTACCTTTATGTACCTTCAGCTGTGCCGTGCGCACTGAGCATCAAAAGCGCAGGTTGTTGTGGGGCAAAACAATGTCACAAAAAAGGACATCTTCTTCAGGAGCAGAGAAAAGAAAGAGAGAGAAGAGAAAAATAAAGGTATGTTTGCATATCATGAAATTGGTGAAGGTGTGTGAATGATCAACAATCAACATTATTGGCAGAAATAGAGGGCCCCAAAATCAAATTTTGCTTAGGGCCCCATTGAGGCTTGCGTTGGCTCTGGTGATAGAGCAAAAAGGACTCCCAGTTCCAGCATATCTGTGTCCAAAAAAAAAAAAGTTTGTTTACAGTAGAAAACATGTCAGGCTGCCAAAACAAACCTAGCTACAGCTTTAATCAACTGATTAAAGCAGCAGCCCCACAACAGATCCTTCCTTTATGAGGGGTTTATTGAATTGATCTCCCAGATATTGAAAACCCAATAAAATTCAACAACACCACAAGAAAATAAAACTACTCCAAAACAGCTTTGAAAAACTAGTTTCAACTTTCTGTAAGCTACTGTCCATGCACCTGGTTTCCCCTGTTTACATCAAGTCCTCTTTAGTTATACACTTCTAGCTCTGCAAGACAATTTTGACCAATCCAACTGGAGTTCTTCCCTGTAAGAGTCGCAGTAAAGTTTGCCAGCAGGTCTGAATCACAATGATGACACCATGATTGTTCATGTGAGCAGGGGTAGAGGACCTAGTCCATGGTGGCAACCAACGCGGCGTCTCCAGCGGTTTGCAAGCGCCATGTTGTTATTCTGTGTTTGGAGCGTAAATTTGTCTTTTTGCGTTAAAAGAGTTGTGACGGTATTTTGTTTATTTATTTTTCATGTCGGGGGCGATTTTACCTACATTTCCATACACATTTTCCACGTTTACGTCGGTAGGGCATTCTGGGAAAGTGTGTATATTATGTCCGTAAGGCAGCCATATTGGAAAAACCGACTCCGCATTCACGAGTGTTGTATCTTGTATTTCTTCTGCGAGGACTGCTGGTACACAAAAGTGCAGTTTTCCGACGTGATCTCGATCTTTTTTATGTTACCTCAACGAGCTCAACAGAGAGCTGTGTAAGGGTGGTCCACCTACTGGGGTTCGAGGGTCTGCCAGGTCAAGTTTGGCAACAGGTAAACTCACTTAGCTCGAGCGCCACCGTGTTTCATTGTTGTCGCCTTCGTCTTAGTTAATGCTGATGCTTCTCTCTAACAAAAAACGAAGCAGTCATCAGCACATCTTTTATAACCCTTACTGTTGTCAAACTGCAGCAAAGTGATTTAGAGGCAGAAAAGGACCTTGTTTCACAGTTTAAAAGTATGTTGAAGTTATAAGGAATCTGCACCCTATAGCAGCAGCACTACCAGCTCTGACGGCCTCAGTTATTCAAGGTCTGAGTCATCAGCTGTGTGCCAATGCAGGGCTGTAACCTTTGTTAGGTGCATTTGTTACCTGACTGTGACTCTGCTGAGACACAAACTGATCAATTAGGCATAATTTATATATTTTTTCCTTTATTATTGCAACACAAGTGGCTGTTTTTTAATGCCACATTCACAAGCACGTTGACATTCACAAGTACATTGACATTCACAAGTATTTTCATATTTACAAGTAGATTTACAGCTGCTCAGGCAAACCAAGGCATCCTGGAGTAAACCCACAAAAAGGAGTTTGAAGGAGAGTACAGTTCTGAGATGAAGGTAGGATGAGGATGTGGGGGTAAAGTTCTTGGATGAAGGTGAGGGTAGGATAGGGTGGGGGAAATGTAAGGTTCTGAGATGAGGGTAGGATGAGGATGTGTGGGTAAAATTCTGGGATGAAGGGAAAAGGTAAGGTTCTGGGATGAGGGTAGGATGAGGATGTGAAGGTGAGGTTCTGGGATGAAGATGGGAAGGTAAGGTTTTGAGGTGGGGGGGGGGGTTTAGTTGGTTGAGGTGCGGTCGAGCTGAGGAGTTGGTCTGGCTCTCTTCCAGCGCTTTGGCTTCCTCAACCCTAAGGCATGCCTGAACCTTTTCCAGGCTGACAGTCCAGCTGTAGCTGGAGTGTGAGAGTCGCAGGGGTGTCAGGTTCCTGTGAATAGGGATGAGAATTAGTAAGATTTCATTGATATCAATGTCATTATCCATTCTGCTTATCATTTTAATTCTTTAGAAGAAGAAAGGAATCATTAAGGGAATAGTTAAGATAAAATAAAAATGATTTTGATGGACTGAACCATTTGGAACCGGTTCTCAACAAGAACCGGTTCTCGATTCCAATCCTTACCTGTGACTCCACAACCTCCTGTTGGACATCCAGGGCTAGTTCCTCCTCGAATTTGGTTTCCTCCAGACTGCTGGTGTCATCTGTCTGGGTGGTCACATCTTCTGTCTGAACTTCAGTGACAGGCTGAATGTTCAAGCTTGGTGTCTTACAAAGGACACTCAAATACGACAAAACCGGAATTGTTCAGTGTGTCCACGTGGCCCAGTGGATAAGGAGATGGACTGGCACTCCTGAGGTTGTGGGTTCAAGCCTGACCTTACCCAGGTTGAGATGAATTTTTAAGCCTAGTGCCTTACAAAGGACACTCAAATAGGACAAAACTGGAATTGTTCAGTGTGTCCAGTGTGGCTCAGTGGATAAGGAGATGGACTGGCACTCCTGAGGTTGTGGGTTCAAGCCTGACCTTACTCAGGTTGAGGTGAATTTTTAAGCCTAGTGCCTTACAAAGGACACTCAAATAGGACAAAACTGGAATTGTTCAGTGTGTCCAGTGTGGCTCAGTGGATAAGGAGACGGACTGGCACTCCTCAGGTCGTGAGTTCAAGCCTGACCTTACCCAGGTTGAGGTGAATTTTTAAGCCTAGTGCCTTACAAAGGACACTCAAATAGGACAAAACTGGAATTGTTCAGTGTGTCCAGTGTGGCTCAGTGGATAAGGAGATGGACTGTCACTCCTCAGGTCGTGGGTTCAAATCTTGTACAGGACGGCATTTTAAAGTCCACCAGCCAAAGTTCCAAGATAAAAGGGCACGAAGCTCATCCACAAGTGCGGACGGTATCCGGTGGCGCAGGGGGTATGCAACTGACACCCAAATACCAAATGCTGGTCAGGCGGGCAGCCCTAGTTCGATACCCACACGACACGCAGGAGATCCTGAAGCAAATCCTGGGGAACCAGGCCCGGGGGGTGGGGTTTCCGGAGAGGTAAATCAGGGGGGTTATGAAGCAAGAAGTCAGAGACGGGTGAAATTTTGAAGCAAGTGACTAGAGCTATAATACAGATAAAAGAAAAAGATGATGACTTTTATAAAGAAGACTATAGATGCCTATAATTAAAGATGACAATAGACGACTAAAATAAAGATGTCTTCTATATTAGTCGTCTAGACAACGTCTATAACAAAGATGATGACTTTTATAAAGACGATAACTAAAATATAGTCGTCGACTTTAAAGTAGTCTTCTTTATTAAAGTCAACGATAGACGACAACTATAATATAGACGTCTATAGTCGATCTGTATTATTAGTCGACTACAATAAAGACGACTAATATAGAAGACGTCTTTATTTTAGTTGTCATCATCAATAAAGACGACTACATTTTAGTTATTGTCGTTGTCTATCTTTATTATTCGTCGACTTTAATAAAGACGACTAATATAGAAGACAATGAAGATGTCTTCTATATTAGTCGACTAATATAGAAGACGTCTTCTACATTAACATTTAATAAAGATGACTAATATAGAAGACGTCTATTTTAGTCAAAGACGACATCTTTATTTTCCATAGTAGTCGTTGTCTGTATTGTTATCTATATTATTGTCATCTTTAATATAGGCATCTATAGTCTTCTTTATAAAAGTCGTCATCTTTTATCTGTATTATAGATCTAGTCACTTGCTTCAAAATTTCACCCGCCTCTGACGTCTTGCCACATAACCCCCCTGTTTTATCTCTCCAGACACACCGGGGGGAAACCTCCCCCCGGGCCTGGTTCCCCAGGATTTGCTTCAGGATCTCCTGCGTGTCGTGTGGGTATCGAACTAGGGCTGCCCGCCTGACCAGCATTTGGTATTTGGGTGTCAGTTGCATACCCCCTGCGCCACCGGATACCGTCCGCACTTGTGGATGAGCTTCGTGCCCTTTTATCTTGGAACTTTGGCTGGTGGACTTTAAAATGCCGTCCTGTACAAGATTTGAACCCACGACCTGAGGAGTGCCAGTCCATCTCCTTATCCACTGAGCCACACTGGACACACTGAACAATTCCAGTTTTGTCCTATTTGAGTGTCCTTTGTAAGGCACTAGGCTTAAAAATTCACCTCAACCCCGGTAAGGTCAGGCTTGAACCCACAACCTCAGGAGTGCCAGTCCGTTGCCTTATCCACTGAGCCACACTGGACACACTGAACAGTTCCAGTTTTGTCCTATTTGAGTGTCCTTTATGAGACACTAGGCTTTAAAATTCATCTCAACCTGGGTAAGGTCAGGCTTGAACCCACAACCTCAGGAGTGCCAGTCCGTTGCCTTATCCACTGGGCCACGTGGACAAACTGGAAAGTTCCGGTATTTTGCAAGTAGGAAGTTTTGAGCAAATGCAGGTGTGGCTATCAGATCTTAAGAGGCCCCACCTTACTGGAGGTGCCCACAAGTGTAGCGACCAACAGTACACAAATATTCAAGTTAAAGCCAGTCTTCTCTGTGACCTAAACCTTTAGGTAACTTTAGTTGAATTTCTGTAGAGGTTTGAAAGAATTATTAAAAACACTGACTAATAATGAGCAACACTCTATGGTACATCTGTTTTTGAAAAGTCTGTGTCCTGAATTTCTGCAATCAGTGTGGAAGTTAACCAGAGCTTTTCAATCTGTATCTTGTCATTCAAAGATTCTGTCAGGCGCCAAAGCAACTTGCAGATCAAAGTGTCTGAAACAAGTCTGATAATTTGACCTTTTTCCTGCCACTTCCCCGATGACTCACTTTGTGAACAGTTAATCAAAAGCAGTTAAATAATGTTGCAGAAATTGAGACTTGCATACCTTCTACTTCACTAGTCAAAAAAGAGACTCAGATGTGATCGATGCCAGTGTGTTTATCAAAACTGCATGTCAGTGTAAGATTACGCAGATTTGAGGATGTTTTATCATTAACACAAACAGGAAACTAGCTCAGGATAGGAGATATCAGGGAAAATAACCCTGTGATGCCATGGTTTTTTTTAATGTTACTGCTCATTTGGGACACAGAGTTGAACACAAACAGGGGGATACTCCCAGTGAGCTCACAGATGCTCTTTCACCAGACTACAAGCCTGTCTGAGGTCAAAATGATCTCAAATCCTGTGAGAAAAAAAAAAGAACAAAAGTCTCACAAAGTAAAATCCAGCTTATTTAATACCGTACGTTTAACACAGAGTGTAAAATAATAACATTAAAGCTTTTTAACAACATCCTGAATTTTTTCCAATCTTTCAAAACGTGTTTATTCCGATACATTTAATGCAAAGGCTACAATATCTTCATTACCATAATTTAAATAGTCTTGATGAATATCTTTCAGTCCTTTGAATAAAGGCACTTTGACTAATTATGAGTTCATTCCTGATGTCGAGTTTAAAGACGTGGAGGGATGTTAACCATTTACAAAGCATGAAGGTCGCTTTTCACATACTGAGGGTTTGTTAAATCAGAAATACACAGTTTCAAACTCTGAATATCAACTGTTTTTAAATAATTAAGCACTTTGTGTTTGTAATATATGCATCAGTTATAGTGAGTTCAAACACACATTACTCCAGCTGGTTAAATCCCAGCTGTTAACTGAGTGAAAGGTAACATATACAGGATAGCTTCAGTGAATACAAACAGTGTCACAGGAAAAACTCACAGTACCTGCTGCACTTTTACAACTAGACTTAACTTTTCATTACTTTTAAAGCTTATGTCTGCAACCGCAAATTCACACATTTAAATTACACATTTAATGACAGTCTACGTGTAAAAGGATGGATTAAACCTGGAATGATCCAAAAGCAAACTAAAAAAAAAAAGCATCAGAAGAAAAGCTAAGGCTGTGCACGGCTTCCTTCAAGGCAATGGTTTCCAATGAGGTACGAGATTACAATCAACACGCTACACATCAAAAACAGCATGATACGCCTGGAGACTACAGTTACAGTACTACAGGAGCGCGCTCAATGGATGGTGTTTCTCTTACCTGCAGAATCTGAATGTGGGTTTTAAGGCTACAGTGGCATTGAGTTTATATTTGTATGTGCAAACACAGGCTAACAGCACATAACCTTTAAAACATAAAAGTGATTCCTTAATATAGTAACAGACATGGTGTGTGATACAGTGGTTACTACTGTTATGGCTGAAGATGGTTAGTTTAAACGCTGGTCCTGTTATCTGCTGAAATCCATTTGAAGAGCGGCCTAAAAAGACAGAGAGAAACACAAGAGTCAAATATTTGAGATGGAGGGTCAAGATGTTTTAAACAAGTGAAAAAAAAAACATATATAGGCACCTTTTAGTTTGTATTTCTTCAACTCTGAACATAGTCGTCTGTGTCTCCAGCTCTGAAGCCGTTCAAAGAGTCCTGCAGGAAAAAGAGAGGAGAGTGGGTTGACTGCGTTAACAAAAACACCCGGCCCAAGGAGGAATGAGGTGTTTGTTTCTACTGGAACAGAGTGAACTGGAGCTAATATTAAAACCTGAGCTCAGCAGACCGAGTCCAACACTCCCTGATTTAGAAGCACGGTGAACTCAACAAAGGTCCTTTCTTCCTGATTTAAACACTTTAAACACACCAAAGATTTATTCCATCATGTCAAGGATCCACGTGATGAGTATGTCTGTTTATTTCATACATTTAAAAACAATGATAGACTGTGAAGTATTAGGGCTGCCTCTGAAAAAATTAGATTTTGAGATGGAAGTTGTACATTTCCAGGAATAAAATCAAAATTTTGAGGGTTAAGTTGTCCATTTATTAAAGAAAATACTTGTACTTATTGTACATAGCATTTTACTCTCTGTTTAATGTTGCACCATCATGCCGAAACAAATTCCGAGTCTGTGAATCCTGTTCATTGACAATGGCAATAAACCCCCTTCTGAGTTCTGAGTTCTGAAAAAAGGAGATTTTGCATAAATGTTAGCATCTTGTGAAGTTCTACTTTAGTAGTTTCATTGATACCTGAATGCTCACTCTTGTTAGAAGAATCAGGGACTTACTCGTTAGTGCTGATTGCAGTAAGTAAACTTAATAAGATGACTCGTGTTCCTCGTGTTCATGCAGGCAGCTTGCTGACCTTCTAACATCACCTGATAGGTTATTTTAGCCTCAATACAGATCATCCACAGCCCATAATTATGACTTCTTTCTATTAAAATTAGACTTTTATTTTTATGAGACTACAACTTCATTCTTGTTAATTTGCGGTTTTAATCCTATAAATTTCTGAGTATATTCTGATCAATCTCAGACACTTTGTATCACCTTTAGATTACTACACTTCTATGTGTTTGGCCCTTGAACCACATTTTTTATATTACTCTAACTAACTGGTGCTTGGCTATCAGAGCTAATGAAAGAAATCTTACATCAAAGCTTTTTAATCTGTCTTGTATTACAAGCAACACTGACCTCGCTTTGCAGCAGCTCTTGCTTCTCAGATACCTCAGGGAATTGCATGCTGGGTAAATTAGGGCCCTGGGAGGTGCGGGCCTGCTGAGGGTTCCCTGCGCTGTAGAGACGAGGCCGTTTAATCTGATCGTGGCTGGAGAGCGGGGTGAAGCTGTTCCGTCGGAAGAAAGCTGGTGGCACAGCGTCTCCTCTGGCTTTACTCTGGAGTGAGAATCAAAACAGACACATTAGAGACGTTATTGAGGGTCTTTTCTTAGTTACTTTAAAGAAGAAAGTTAAACAAGTTTGGAGAAAAACAGGAGCAAATAAAAAGGGAATTGTTTTGTTGTTCTCAGCAGGCAGGACATTTCTCACCCCATTAAACAAGAGCTTTCTCAGTAAATGTGTTTATGTGTTCACGCCCACTCCGTCTGCTGGGCCTCTTAATTTCTATCCCTCAACTAATCAGTGCAAACACTAACGCAAGGGAGCAGATCTCCAGCTCGCTGAAGAGGGACTGAATAAAAAAAGCAATTTTCTGTATTTGTGTACATTTAATCCATGTAGTTGAGTCACTATAATCAATATGTTTGTACACACAAGCTTTTCATCCTCCTCAGCTCTTCAGTGTCTATCAGCTGATTTCATTTAACAATCTCATGTGGATTGTTTACAGATGCAGCATGCCATTTCCAGCTAAAAACCTTTTCCTCATTCAACAAAACTAAGAGGAATTTACTGCTCTGGGCCACCAAAATGGGTTTCTTCTGCTATCACTTTATTTTCCTGTTTTTAAGCTTCGAATTTCATCCTCGCTGACTGTCAGTCAGAAAATAAACCTCTGTTCACCTTCACTTAATCTTATTTCTTGTTCTTGACCTTGTTTGTCTGATAGCTGAGTGGAGCCGCTTGTGTCACAACCTTGCTGTGATGATAAGATCCAGTCAGAAGTTACATTATGTTCTTTTTCATGCACAGTTCAATCAAACAAGAACCTACACTGAGTTTGATGCATCTGGTGTCGGGGTTTTTACAGGAGTCTGGATATGAGGCTCCTGAAAGCTGAATAAGAAACATCATTTTCCTTCAATTTTCCACAGGATTCATGTTGTTTTGAAGCCCTGATCATGTTTGTGTAATCCTGACATGGGCTACACTGAAGCGGGCAGACAAACTTCCTGAGAACATCATAATGGGACGTCAAAAAGGTCGAAAACTCACGAATGGTCTGTCTCTGTGAGTGTTAACAGCCTCCACCTTCAGGTCAAACATGTCCACTTTACAGCCTAAAGGGAGGAGACAGGAAAAATGACATCACATCCAAATAAAGGAAAACATGTTGTTGTTCCACAGAGTTGTGACAGTGCAGTGACTTACCATAAGCCACAGGGGTGAGTTTAAGCACAGTGTGGAGGGGACACTTCAAGTAAGGCAAATCATCTGTGTCAATAAAAAGAAGAAGAACTTCAGACTCTTAAAGCTGCGGTTGTTTTCAGTCCTGTTTGTGTTTCTTCCTAAATGACTGTGGACTTTTCTCTCAAGCTCATGCTGTGTTTTCTATTGCTGTGGATTGCAGTGCTTCATTTGTGATGGGTGGATGCAGTGGGATGAAATGCCAGCCAAAACTGCACCCACTCTGTCTGGTTTGGCTGTGGTTACAGATTTAAACACATGCTGCAGCATGTACCACTTCCTCTGCTCCCTGACGAAACCCTGCATCTGCCCAGAACTAATTATGGATTTGTTTCTGAGCCACATTTTCCACTCTAACCACCCAGTTATTATTCATGCTTTACATCACCGTGACAATACTGGACATGGTTTATTTCATGTTTCATGTCAAGCACCAAGTTTTGAGTTCTTGTTTAGAACTTAGGCAACTGTGTGGTTTAGTTTCATGTTTGATATTTCAAGCAGGGATTGTCTCTTCAGGCAAGAAGAGTTTTGTTGGTTTTACAATTTTGGAATCAACATCTGCAGAATTTAAGTAGTCACCATTCCTGCTGAGTATTGCTGATATTTCATGATTTATCTTCAAAACTTTGAACACTCTGATGAACATCACCATCTAAAAATACCAGTAAATTCCCACAAGCTCAAGTTGATCACAACTTCAGATGCAGAATATTTCAGACTTCTGGAAGTTATTCAACCTAAATTTGTAAACTTTGAGTTCACATTCGTCTTTCCTCCTATTACTCACAACTGCAGAGGTCAAATTTGGATTTATGTCTAAATAAAAACAGCTTCTGGAAGTCACCATGTGTGGATTTAAAAAAGTACAGAACTTTGCTGCCCCCTTGTGGTTATATTACAATCTCAGCTGGCACATAGTTACAGCTGTGATCCTGCAGAGTTCAACCATTTCCACATATTTATTATATCTCTATTCCATCTAACTTTATTTAGAGTTGGTCCCAGTACCAAACAACACACTTGAAACTTAGTCAAAAAAAATGGATGTGGGATATGAAGACTCTGAATTGGTGAAGTTTTAGCTAAACTAAAAAATGCGTTATGCTTCTTTTGTGAATATAACCTGCGCTCTTGTCCAGGAAATAGGCAAGCAGACAGCGCATTACAGCCTGATGACAGATGACCAAGACGTTTCCCTGCCGCTCCAGCTCCATGATCACTGGCTCCAGCCGCTGCACCAGGTCCTGGTATGACTAAAGATTAAGAAAGAATACAGAGAGGATTTTGTCTCTTTACTTTTGCTTTTGTTGCAAGTTTCTAGTTACTTAAAACACACAAAACACCACAACCGACAGTGTAACATCATAGTATCAGTGAAATCCTCAATGCAAGACTGTTGGCTGAATCCGAAACACAGCGTTTACCTCGCCTCCTGGGTAGCGGTAGTGGTACTTGTCCTGGTCCCTCATGGCAAACTCTTCTGGATACGTTTTCTTGATCATCTCATACGTCATCTCTTCACACACTCCCTGAAATAACAAAGACATGAAACCCTCCACATCTGTGTGTGTTTGTGTGTGCATGTGTGTGGGAGTTCTTTGACTTATGAGGTGGCGTACAGCATCGATTTCGTTGAGGATCTTCCACTGCTCGTAGGGGACTCCCAGCTCCTCTGCTGTCTGGATGGTGCGTCTCAGCTGGCTCGTCCAAACTTTCAAGTCTGACAGATGGTGCTCCTCCACAAAACCTTTCAGCGCTGCTGCAAACTGACAAAGAAAACATATCGAGGAGACGTCAGACCCTGTATCAGTAAAAAAAAAAAAAAAAACTGAAACCGTCAACTTGAAACTGAGTGTGTTGTACTCTTCCTAAAATCTTCAGTGACTGATATGATTGGTTAGACCACCTGTTTTCCTCTCTCTGACAGCTCAGCGTCCCCCCCGATGCGACCCTCCATGTTGTGATTGCTCTCTCCGTGCCGACAGAGGTAGATTGAGTGCGAGTGGACGTGGATGTTCATGAGGTAGTACACTATTTTGCTCTGGATGTAGTCCTGCACCCTGTTGACAAGGAAACGGCGGCCAACATTGATGACCTGGATGAAGGAGAGGTTCCTGCGCAGGCAAAAAGAGCCGAAGACAAAAACAGAAAGTGAGTCAAATATTTAGACTAAACTGGAGACCATGAAGAGTGAATAGGGTTGGGGGAGGGATGTTTTGTACTTTCAGTTTAGACTAAATATCCTGTGATTTTATCTCAGGCCTTCCTCAGAAAATCAAAGTGAGTTCAAGGACATCAACAACTACATGTCCTCCGAACACTCAGAATGAAGCATGTGAATCTTTGCTCTGTTAGGAAACAGTTTTCTGCAAATGCTGTGATTTAACAAACAAATACTCCACAGCAGAGCCAGTATGTGGGCTGAATCAGGCTTTTATGAAACTTCAGGATCCAAATCTCTGACAGCAGGAACATTTATCAGATCTTTTGGATTTGAATTGCATCTAAAAATGATCTGCTTTACAAAAGAGTTCTTTGTCTCCACCTGCTGGTCAGTCTCTGCATGTACATGTTAAAACTAAAGCATTTCCCTGATAGGAAGAACGGACAACGTTTTAAAAGTGTTAAACAAAGAAAACTTAAACCTTAATTTAAAAGCTTGGTGATGGATAATTAATCATTTTTGTACTTGTCGTGTTCATCTGGATCTAAAGGTTGGTATGTCACTTTATAACACTCTATCCTCTTCAGAAAATCCTCCATGACACTCTCTCTGTCCCTCTCAGGGTAGTCTGGGCTGGACACCTTCACGTCCTGTGTGGATGAAACATTTGCAGAGATGAGTCACCAAGAAATATAAGTTAACTGAACTTTTAAAAAAGTTTAAAAACAACCAAAAAAGTGAATTTACCATAATATTCTTAGCGATGACATCAGGATCGTCACATACCGACTCGACAAAAAACACCTGATAAAACATAGTTATCATTAGAGATTCAAAGTTTACTTAAAAATAGATGCGATCTTAATGAGTTGGATTAGCATCATGAATAAATCACACACCTTGTATGCGTTATCTTTAGCAAAATTAAGGATGAGTTCCCGTCTCTCTCTGGTGGTGTTGGTGGCATCAAAAACCTAACGGACGACACAGGATGTGTCAACATAACATTACAAAAGTCTTGTATAAGTGCCAACACAATTGAGATTGTTGGTATGTTACTTAACCCCGACAGATGAGATTTGCCTAACTGTAAGTGTAGATTCTTGCAGCTACAAGTACTTCATCCTGAACTACATAATCCCTGTCTGCCTCTTTTTTTTACTGATAGGGTGATCGCAGTTGAAATTTGCTTCCATTATCCTCTGTAAAAAAACAGACTAAACCTCTACGTGGGAATGTTTGCTTGCGTGTACATCTTGCTGAACTGTCTGCAAATATGATCCCCATCTGTGAGAACACAGATGTCTCAGTTTCTGTGTGCTCTTACAGCAATCTGGCCTCCCTCTTCGTTCAGATAGGCCTTCACATCTTGCAGAGCCACCAAAGCACACTGCCTGTTAAAAAAGGGGGAGAAAATTGATCTAAAAATCAAAGCAGCATGTTGCCAACTGTTTCTACAAGACAAAATGTGCTGTTGTAAGTGTGTTTGATAATCAAAGTATGCAGTCAGATTGGAATTGGAACTATTCTTACTCACTTTCTTATCTCCATTGCTTCTTTATTGTCATGTCTGAAGAAGTCATAGGACTTGTACGACTTGACTGCTTCTCTTCTATACACTCCCAGGTTAAACACTACAAAGGACATAGTCAGAGAAAGACACACAAAGGCAGTGAAAATGTATGTTGTATAGTATATCAGGGCTGTGACCTACATCTGACTCTGTGAAACCGGCTCTTCAGGTTTGACATTCCATTCAGGTGAAACCATAAAGACTCCACGACAAACAGAGACACTAAATCAGGGGTGTTGAGGTAAATACAGCCACATTAACAAAGTGTAGCCTTAAGCACAGGGAAGTAATTTCTCAGTATGAAATGAGAGCCTTCATAAAAGGAACCATGTGTAATAGTGCAACCCTGATCATTTACGCCGCCATAAATAATAAAACACTTTCACCTTACTGCATCTGATATTTCCCCGCCCTCAGACGTTAAATCTGCTTCTGTACTAACCCTTGGTGGGCACTCCGATCCAGTTGAGGTAGCGGGTCAGCTTCTTGGACATGTAGGTTTTCCCCCTGGCGGGCAACCCGATCATCACAATCACCGTTGGAGAGTTGGTCATGTAAGAGGCCCATGCTGCAGTTTGCACATACAACAATCGTGCCCGCAGCACACACAAACACAATGACATATGTTAGTCACACAGCACACAAAGAGATTTCCTGACAAGCACTTTTTTTGTTTGATTTACCCTCATGTTTGCTTTAAAGATCAACCTAAAATGTTGCGTGTGTAATAAAGGGGCAGCAAAGAGAGGAGGGGCTGTAAAATAACCTAATGTCATCCCTGTAGTGGAAATAGACCAGCTGGCTAAAGTTTAATGAAGCATTTCCGTCATACCAGTTTCTACTCTGAACTTCGGGTTAATATTTCTCAGAGTCTCTGCAGCTCATTAACACAGTTCACTGCAGATCTAACCTTGTTGGCTGGGGAATGAAATGGAAAGTACTCACAGTAACTTCTCCTCCATGTGTGAAAGACAATTCTCACTTCTGCCAAGAAATGTCCAATGAAAAACCAGGCAGGACCAGACTTGACTCAAAATTCTCCAAACAGGTGGCTGCATGTTCAAGATCCTGGAGGACAGGATCGCTTTGTATTCGAGACATATTTTGATACAATCTTTTAAAATCCATCTCACGTTCCCCTCTTTAGACTTGCTGAAAGTCTGACTGTGGATCAAAACCAAGCCATACTCTGTGATGTTTTACAGGCCCTCCTTGTTACTGTATTCTAAGCGTGGAAGGTATTTGTTGTATTATCTGCCACTATAAATACACGCACCATTGTATACATACCATTATGATAATGACAGAGGGTGCACCAAAGTAAGGCTTTACAATTAGTGCTGGCTTTCTTTGCTCGTGCACAACAAAGCAGCAAATTTCCAACAAACCACAACACAGTATGACTGAGTGATATCAAACAATGTAAAAGTCAAGATGCACAAGGTTTGATAGCAAACACAGAGGAGTTTATAAGTCAGGGTGCATGGAGGGAAAACAGAGCACTCACAGCACTTCTTCTCACTGGCTCTGATGTCTGTTCTTCTGGTCTCTGATGAGCCCTCGGCAGCTGAGACAGGTTTCTGCTGTCTGGTGGCCATGACTGGTCTAAAACAAATCTTGTTTTCACTGATCTGATGATGGTGACTCTGATCACTTGGAAGAGGACGTCAGCATCTCTCTGAATGGGGGGAAAAAATTGCTGAAATTAATCAACACAGCAGAAAATGCAAATTAGAAAAAAAATATTACATTCAAGGTGATAATGCATGATGGTCCTTAAGTCGTGACCCACTTTTATAGAATTCAAACCAAGCACATTACTCTTTTTAATTAAAAAAAAACCTTTAAAGACTCTAATCTTTAACATAAATCCACTTGTTTTAGTAAGTAACATGGGGACGGCAACTGCTGAAGTTTCGTGTGCAGAAAACTTTTAATATCTATAAATATCACATCAAATACAGGAAAACAGTATCAAATGATTTCAAGATCTTATCATAATAAAAACTTTATTTTAAAAGCACTTTTTAAAAACAGAAGTTTACAAAGTGCTTTGACAAATAAATAAAAAACAAAAGCTCAGTTAAAAACAAGGCCTGCGAATTGAAGTCCAATTTCATTAGTCATGAGGTAAAATTCATGTCCATATTTAGTCAATTTATTTGATAATAATATCCCTGTATTTGCATATAATTTCCTGAACTTTTCTTGAGCTTTCACTTTCCATATCCATAAATGGACATAAAATTACCATCAAAATCTCCTTTACATTCACATGCTATTTACTCCATTATGTTTTAACAGTTGAAAAAACAAAATATTCAGCATTTAACTTATAGATGACTGATGCAAATATCCACAATCCATGATGGAATCTAATAATCTGATCATTTTTACTCCCCAATCGTTTTAACTCGAGCAGATTCATCTGATTCTTATCAATAATAACCTGAGGGAATCTGTCAGAGCTGTTTGTTTTATGTTTCTGATGTGATTTTTTTTAGGTTTACGCGTCTTTTACCGCTTCTAATTTTAAAAATGTTCTCTCCACCTGCAGCCTGCAACCAGGAGGCGGATAAAAAACCGAGTCATCCTCTTAAAAATGACAGTGAAGCTGTCTGCTGGATTAAGTCTGTCTGCACGGTCGGCCTGCAAACTTCATAACTTCTGCTTTTTAAGGACAAAAGCAGTTACGGCATACAAAAGCACAACACTTACAAAGAACTAGATTGAAACCCCAAATTTACAACTCACCTACATGTACTCGGAACCTTTAAATATTCGCAGTTTTCTTTTGTTAAGATGCTAGCATCTCTGACGTTGCGGCGCCGCCGGGTGCTCCTTCTTCTTCTTCCCCTCGGATGGTTTGGCCCCGCCTCCTGCCTCGAAGGTGCCGGAAGTTCTTATATGTCTACTATTTCCGGATAAGAATTCCAAAATAAAGGCTTGTGAGACAACAGTTCCATAACCGACCACCCCAATTTTCTTCCTTTACTGATTTATTTATAGTCAGTTTCAAGCACAATTTTAACCGTGATGATGATGATGATTATTACTATTATTAACGAATAGGATTATATATAAATGGGTTGACTTTTGCAAACCGTTTGATAACTATTATTATCCTTGTCAGTATTTCTTGCTTTTGTTACTATAAATCTAATTTTATTGCTTTTTAAACCACTGATTTTTTTTCCTCTGTTTATTTGTTTTACTTTTGTTTTCTTCAGTGTGTAAAGAGCCACACGAATAAAGTTAATTTGAATTTATATACGTCAAAAAATAAATAAATAACATTAAAAAAACATTGATATTTTCTGATCTTTTTTCTCCTCAACTTTGACATAAATCTAAAACAAAGTATTCAATAAGTAGTCACTGTTTTATTCTGCATTTATACTCAATAAAATACAGACTAATTGGACACACTACCATTCTTATTTTTAATTAATAATTGATTGTAAATACTTGTGTTCAGATAATTCAAGGACATGACAACCACCTTCTGGTTAAAATGTTCTATAAATGATTTAAATCCAAACTATTACTATTACTTGGGGTAAAGTTATGATTCATATTCAGTAATGTTGAATATTCGGATCAAAATCTGTTACATTCATTTTTTGGTTTCTGGGCTGCATGTAGTTTAAGCTGTGCTTTTAACTCCTAAAAACCAAGTTCAGAGTAAGAGCGAGGTTGAGGGACAGAGAAAGATGAGGGAGCAACAAGAGAAGGCTAAGGCAAAAGAAAAAAATCAATGAAAATTGAAGAAAAAATGAAAAGAAAAAAAAAAGGAGGTAAGAAAATTAACAGGTAAAAACATGCCCACCCTTGAGAGAGCTAGATAGTGTTTTTACAGTGCATACCATAATTTTAAGCTAACAATGACAATGACTGTCTTGCCTCTCAGTCGAGGTTTAGTTGCAGCTTGACGGTCCAGGGTTCAATCCCAGACAGTGACATGAGCTAATTGCTCTCCTCACACCCCAGTCTGGGATAAGCTTTTAATCTACAACAGCCTGGTAAATGGATAGACTTAAAAAGGCATGCACTTTGACAGAGGCATGTGGTGGCCTCATGGCACTTTGGTATAGATTTCAAAACCCAGTCATGGCCTTCTGACAAGAGGAGTAACCTGACTTTCTCTTGGTGGATTGAGGACGATAATCTTTAACTTAAAGAATGTACTTTACAGGTAATGTGAATGAGTAAGGAGCGTAGTTTAGGGTGAATCCTGGCTGGGAGCCTTGTGTTGGCCACTAAGTATGTGTCACATCTTTATCTATATCAAAGTACCAGCCAACTAACAACTAACTATAAACCTGCTGCTATCTGAGCCACTGCTGCCTGTTCAGCCAGTCTCCTTATGTAAATTTTGACAATGCCAAAAGGTTGTGGATTTTCAGTTTTGCATATATTGCAGCACTTGTCCTCTAACAGCATTTTATGTGCTTATTTCTCTCAGTCTGGTCTCAGTGTTGTTCTTCCTGTTGATTTCACTTAATGCCAAAGGGATGTGGAGGCCCGCATATTAAATTTTTATGTAATTCTTTAACATTTCACGAAAAGACATGGGAATTAAGATACTGCAACCTCCACATGGCTGAGAGAATAAAATAAAATATATATATCTTTGGTTCAGAAGGCCATCCACATGATGCCTTCTGTATGACCACGTACTAAAGTGGACCAAATGGAAAGTGTTTTTGCTGATCCTTGTTTTATTTTAAGTTATAAAACACTACGAACAACAAATGAACCAAATATGGTTTCAGGGTTCACAAGGATGCTTGTTTTTAGGACACTATTATCCTACACCAGATAAAGAACAACGGTGAATAGGGCTGAGGTAAATTTTTTCAACATATATTCAAAAAAAAAAACATACATGCATTCAAAAAATGAGTGGCAAGCCCCCTTTAATTCTACAGCTTATTTCATACAGAAAATATGCCACGCAAGTCATTGCAATCACAATAATTTATTCTCTTAAAAGAAACTAGCCTCACAGTGTCTAACTAACACACCATAACATGAAACACCCCTTCATCTGTAAGATATGTGCTTATTTCATAGAGTTATGTTCTTCTGTATACTGTAGGTTGTCCTGGAACTACATAGTTTTTGCTTGTTTTGCTAGCTTGACCTCAGAGAGGACAGTAGATATGTAGCCAGAAAAGATGACTGCACTGAAGTCAGGATGGGCTTGTGATTCTGTGTTTCCATCAAACATACGCAATGACCCCTTTGTTACCCAAAAAGATACTCAGAACAACAGGTAAAGCACGTCTCAGGCAATCCTGTGAGTTTTAGAAATCACTCGACACAGAGAAAATTGCCTCGTCCACACGGTGGTTGAATAGCACATCTGCGCCATCGGCCGCCAGAGTTGCATCCTCTCTCGTTTGTCCATTTTGTAGCCCTTTAAAACTCAGGAAGTACTGGTAAACAAACTGTCTGAAGATCCCTGATCAGGTCATGCTCTCTTAAAAGTTCAGTGTGTGGGGAAATAAAGGGATCCGGCTCTCAAATGATACGAAAAAAAGGAGAGAAGTTTCCACCATGTTGTCGTCACAGTTATAAATTCTTAAGCACAGTACGTACCCTGAATGCCTTACAAAAGTTACAGATCATTTTGCAAGACCCACTTAAAGGAGTACTGAAAATTCACTTGTTAGGATCTTTGTATATTTTTATATGTGAGAAGGCCATGCTTTTAAAGATTACACAGTAACAATAGAAAGTCTAATCTAACTCTTATGATCTATTTATGTGTAATATTAACTTCTCAGCTAATATTACCTTTCTTCTATGGATGAGTGCATTAAAAAGAGAGCAAGAATGATGACCAGGACATGTAGCAAAGGGATGTTTAATGATTTCTTTGGACAATGAAATGCACATGTCCATAGTTGATGTAATACAAATAAGAGAAAATAAGAAAACAACAACTTGGTGTTGTGTCAGCATTCCCAGTTCAACTTCTTTTCTTGTTTGATGCTAAGTGAAGACTTAAAATGGTGCAGAAAAAAGATGTCTGGAGTGTCACACACAGACTGACCAGTAGGGGGAGAGCCAGCTCTTACAAAGAGAGAAAATCAGGAGGTGAACCTGCATTTGTGCATGAGTATCAGCTATGCCCTGTTTCACTCATGCACCCTTGTGTTTCCATTTGAGAAAATTCTGTGACATGAGAAACACACGCCCCGTAATCAGAGTGTCATGAGTTTAGAAAACCGGGCATAGTGTATCTGGAGTGAGCTGATGCTAAACCAAACAGACATTGCTGAGAATGCGCACACAGACAGCACATTAAATAAAAATTTACTTTAAATACAAGCTGCATTAAATGACACAGAAATGTTGATCATTGCCGACTTGGCACAAAGTGAAGTCCCACGCAGCACCATTAATTATTATAATTACAGAGGTCAGGCTTGACCTTGTTTTGGATTAAAGACAAATAAAAATTAAATTAAAAAAAATGTACCACAGTTTTTCATTCTCAACGAACAGGGGTGGGAGTTCAAGCTGCTAGAACAGGGGGTGAAACACACTGCTGATTTTAGCAGCGATAATACGCCTGGTCCACACCGCGTCAAACCTCGCCAAAAAGTTTTTCTTATTTTAGAACACTGAGTAGGCCTGGAACTGAAATATCAGGCGATGTCTCCGAGTATTTGGCCAAATCATCCGTTGTTATATAATAAATAATCCCTCCATAGTGGTTTTTACTGTTCACTTTTAACGGTTCAACCTGAGTGTTACTGTCAGTCCAATAAAGAAAACATCTTATTGGAAATCTTATCGGAAATGTTGAATTAAATAAGTTAAGACTGGGTACCTACTGCATTGCTTGTACTAACACACTTTTATTATTGCTATACTATTCCATTACCCTTCCAGAAGCAAGCAAACCCCCACCCCATCACACATAGTCTGGTTGAATGGGAATGCCATATCAAGTGGTGTCTTGGTCCCCTACATCACATGATGCAGTGAAAATCAGAATGATGAGGCGAACTAAAAAGGTGGGCGAACTTGATCTGAGGTGAGTGGAAAAGTGCAGTGATCAAGTCAACATGAGATGTTAATGCATAACATTTCATACATTCCTACGTAGCTCACTGGCTGGGGAGTCATTCCTTCGCATCCCTTCACGAAAACAAACAAATGTAAGACTTTTAACGATGGGGAATATTCACAGACACAGACTGTGTAGTGTGCGTTTGTGAGAAAAAGAGAGGAGAGAGAGAGAGAGGCGGAGTGAATGATTGCATCAAGTGCTAATATATCATGACAGTACATGTACTCAATCTATAAAAAACTACCTTGGTACTGAACACTGACCTCTTTCTAACAAATAATCTGGTATACAACATTTACAAAATGAACATTGTAATAGTGTGATATTTTAGAATATATGCTACTGCCTTCCTCTAGTTCTCTGCATTTTTAAACCTCTGAGTACAATAACATCACCTTAAATTCTCTTACACAGTAAAGCGTACACACCACACCCGACGAGTGGCAGCCTAATACAAATAGAGAACAGGAAGACTCTGTGGACAGTGAGTACACCTGCATGTGTGTGTCCTGAGTGTGTGTGGATGGTAGCTCAGCTCGTAAACCAGGCAGCAGCAACTTGCCGGTAGACTCAGCAGTGAAGGGAGTTTTTTTTTTTAAGAGTAAACTTCTGGTATACCAAGATTTCTTCAGCTTACAAGGTACAGGATGTCCTTACTCCGAGATACTTGCACATTTAAGACAGTCCTGATATATTTTAGGAGATAATAATTATTATAATGTCAATAATAACAATAACAATAGTATTAAACATCTGTCAAGATTATTTCAGTCCCATGGCAGCAGGGTGATGATCTGCATTATTCGGGATTGTTTTTCGGTGCCCTGCGATCCCCTCTCGTCATCAGGGATCAGGCCTCTGTGCATCCGTAGTACATCTGTGTGTTCGTCTCAGATTTGTTTGTGTGTTTGTGTCAATGAATGTCTGGAGTGAGTCTGAATTTTGCTCTATGGTCGGTGCTGGTTCGCTCTCAGAGGCGGGTCTGGGCCTCTGGGACGTAGATTTCGATGCTGTCCGCGCTTTCTGTGGCTGAGTTCTGCCGCACTGACGCCGCGCGCTTCGCCGCCATCAGCCGTTTCCTCGCTTCTTGCCTCTGCTTGTCCACAGCTGAGTCCACGCTCCTGTCCTTGCCTGCTGACAGCTTAGGCTTCGACTGCTTCTTTGGCACAGATGATGGAAGCTGCTTGTTTTCCTCCTGAGGGAATCATGTCAAGAAGGGGAGAAAAATGAGGCACAGCGTGGTACATGGTGGGGTCACAACCTCCTTCATAACAAAACACTGAAAACCGCCGAAGGTCCATATAAAGTAAAACTCCTGAAAGCTTGAAGTAAAGACTGAAAAAGAATCATAGGCTGCATGGAAAAGTATGGAATTAGATTTTAACCAATTTCGGGTCTAGACAAGCATGGAAAAAAAAAAAGAAATGGCTGTTTCCCTATTCTTTTTTCTTTGCACTGGTTGGTTTATAATCTGGACAGGGTAGTTAAGTTCCTGTCTGGGCTGAAATGAATGGTAGCAGGTCATAGTAGTGCTAACTGAAGGGCTCCTTAAGAACCTGGCTCTACAATACTAAACATAAAACCAAGAAAAATGACCAAAATCATCAAAAAAATTTAGAAGAAACAACAAACTTAAACGAGTCAATATGAAGGTATTTCTCTAAAATAATCATGTCAGTATTACATCCGTCTAGCACCACACATCACCTTCTTCTCTGGTTTTTCGGGAAGCTGCCAGTTATTCGCTTTTAGCTGGTACAGCTCATCGAACTTCATGCTGATGTCTTCTATTGAGAGCTGCAGCAGATCCCAGAATCCTGCCAGGTCCTGTGCCGTTGGTCTCGGGTTAGCGTTCACGTTCTAGTCAAAGGACAAACAGACAGAGTGAAGAGGTGATGCATAAATAGTTTCTGTCAAATCAGAGAGGATTAAATCAAACCTTGCCAGTATGAGGAAAAAGAAAAATCTGCCTGAAATAAACTGTAGAAAATCTGAGTCAAATACACAAATTAGAACTTCAGCTTGACAAATTAAATTCCAGTTTTGCGTGTAATTGAAAGGGAGGATTTCTTCAATGAGTGTAAAAAATTAGGTCAAGAGAAAAAAGAAAACTGGGACAGCTGAAACTAAGAGGTCAACAAAAACATGTAATAATAGGGAAAGGAAGGAAGAAAGATTCAGAGGATGTCTAAGTGCCACTTACCAAGTTCTCATTACAGAGCCCCCTGAACTGCTCAAACTTCTGAGATATGAGCAGCTGAGCGCTGCCCACCGCACTGCGGATTGTCCCCAATACTACAAAATAGAGGGATGTAACAAATCATCATTACACTGCTGACAGAGAGAGGAGTTAACAGAGCAAATAAATCACTGCTGAACAAAAGTGACATAAAAACACTCCCTCTTTACTTCCAGAAAATATGCTGAAGCACTTAAGAGATACAGTATGTAAAAGGGTTAGAGAGCTGCGTTGAGACGAGATGACTGTCGAGTTGATTGCTGTTGTCTCGTGATGAAATATTCATGTTAACATTTACTGTTTCACATTCTCTTGCAGTAAATCGTTTCCTTAGAAGTAACTCAATCTTTGGGAGGATAACAAATTATCCGTCGACAGCTATTTTCTGCCATTTATTAGCATGTAAATGGAAATTCATAATTCAAGCTCACGGAGAGCAGGGGGGAATGATAATCGGATGGAGCCTCTACAGCTGGTCGGCTTCACGCTCATTCATATTTAAGACACTGCAGAGATAGATCGGCCCGAAAGCCTGAGTGGGATTTTGGGAGAAGGGAGAAGTGAAATGACTCTGCAGTGGCTGTGTTACAGATAAAACAAAGCTTCCTCCCACTCTAATGAGCGATGATACAGTGAGTCAATGGCTGCAGTGACTGTGTCCTGCTGTGTCTCATTGTCTGCAGTCAGTGTGGACAAGTTCTGACCCGATAACCTGTCTGTGAACCTGACTGACAAGAGAAAAAATGTTCTTCCTGATGACATTTGATTTTAACTTAGTGAGAGAGTAATCTATGAACATAGTAAACACCATTTATTTTACACTTTATTCTGCATAAGTGTCTCTGCATAACGCAGTATTCATCATAGTGCTTTTCCCTCTCGCTTAGAAGAGATGGAGCTTGTGAACCTCGAAGTTATTTGCAGAAAATATAGAAAACACGTGACCTTCATCTTGGCACAAAGCTTCTGACATGTAAATTTATCTTCAGTGTCACTTCCTGACTCACTCACTCACTCACCCTCCTCTGACAGCTTGTTGTCTTTGGTCTCCTGCTCCATCTGTTTACACCAGCCCTCCATGCGTCCTGTTTCTGCCTGCAGCAGCTTCAGGAACCAGTTCCCGTCCCGGAGGCAGGCTGGCGTGCTGGACTGAACAGCATCACCGGGGGTGCCGCAGTTTCCGGTCCCCAGGCTGGGATCTGGCGGTGGCAGCGAGGAGGGGTCTAAAGCCGGGTCCAAACTCTCCGGGGGCGATGTCGGTATCCTGGATAAGGCCGCGCTCTGTTTAAGGGGCTGCTGTTCCATGGCTTTGTCCTGTCTGCTGGGCGCGCTGGTATTCTCTGTTTTACTGTTGGTGCAGTTGGCTGTGTTGTTTTCTGTGGGTGCGGCATCCTGGGGCTCCTGAGGCTCGGTCTCTGTGTTTTGTCTGGAGGCCATGCTGCTGTCCCGACTGAGACTGCAGAAACATACATAGACATTAGCTCCTTACAGACAGTTAAATACATCTAGACAGTGAAGTCCTGTGTCAAACATATCCCACAGCAACACATTTAGGTCAGTGCAATTAACTGACAGGACACTGTGGCAGCTGATGGTGCACTATCATTGTTTGCAGTGGAGCACAAGATGTCACAGAATACACAGAACCAAGGACTGTATGCAAAGGGCGAATTAGCGACGAATTAGGTATGCACCATAAAAGTGGGAGGACTGCTGGCTTCAGGGATAATGAGCAGGGGGAAAAAACGGGGTGAGCCGTCAAACAAACATGATTAAGGGGGAATTACATTGCACTAAAAAGTTTAAATGACAATTTTCCCTCCATGTTCGGCTCTCTACAGTCAAAACAAGATTAAAAGGACATCAATCAGTGCCCTGGGCTGCTGTGCTGCTGTCAGACTGACTGCTCATGACCTTAGAAACACGCTGCTGCACAGGCTTTGGGTTTAAAAACAAACGGGTAAAAAGAAGAGAACACCAGCGAATGTGTGCAGATAGAGAGGAAATGCATTCCTCTTTAACTCTGCTAGTCTTGAGAAATAATTAGGCATTATATCTAACGGAAAATACTGATTGCAGACATTTACTTACTTTGATCAAACAAGTTGCTTTTTATGTTTGTGAGTTTACTTACGGTCTGCCGTTCTCCACTTGAACTCCAATAGATTGAAACTTGAGCGGTGCGGTCAGTGGTAGTGGTTCTTCTCTTAAGACTGGCAAAATGCAATCCACCTGAAGCGTTGTTGACAACAAGAAGAACACAGGTAAATACAAATTAAAGATTGTGCATGTATACTTGTATGTGAAGACTTGAGATGGGTTGTTCTTACCTGAATTCCAATAGAGGACAGTTTCCTCCTGGGTGCAGTCGGGGGCTGCTCAAGGGTGGCACCGATGCTCAGGGTGTCATTTTGGGGCTGGGTAGATGTGGAAGTAGTGCTAGCGGTGACAGTTGTGGTGGTTACGGTGGAGGTGGTGGAGTGGAGGTCACGAGGGGCTGGAACAGGGGGTACAGTGGCAGCAGCAGCAGGTGCAGGGGTTATAATAGGGACAGGGATCGGCGGAGGCTGGGTACCCTTAGCCAGACTGCCCGTGCGGATGCTACAGAGACTGTCAGAGGAGTTGCTTCGTCCTGATTGGCTGTTGGCCTCGCTGCCACGGTCCTGCTGGTCAAGGTATGTGTCTTGGGCTGACTCTGTGCTGCTCTGCAGGGTCACTGAGATGAGGGGCTTGGATGTGGTGCGGGGTGGGACTGGAGGTGGAGCCCTCCTATTGCTGACTTCTCGGAGAAGATGGAGATAAGACAAAAAACAGGGTCAACACAGAGCCTAAAAACCCTCTCGTTCCTGCCTATAAAGAAAACTCTGCTTCTTGTCAAAAGTCACGTGGTGCCCATCAGTGCCAAAACACAAAACCATAAACACGGCCTATCGGCAAACAAAAGCCTGTACTTTGCCCTTATTGCCGCCTCTATCAGCCTGTTCATCAAGCTTTGTCTGTTTTAGTTGTTTCGCTGACGTCAGTGTGTCTATGGGGATCTTCCCTAACACGCCACACCTTTACAGTCCTGATGCTCTGGGGATTGTCACACAGGGCAACGCTGCTTTCAAGGAACAACTGAAACAGAGGAAATAACACATCCCTTTTACTCTTTCCTGTTTGCAAGAAGCGCAAAAATCAGGCAAACGAGTTACCTCATTTGTTTTTGAGATAATAATTGTGTTAAATGTTTCATATATGATTTCCACGACCTTGTTCATTTCTATTTATCATTGTTGTTTGGTAGCTTTTAGAAAAGCCTCTGATATCAAAGTGATTATCAGCCATACTGTTATCATGAAGGCAATAATGCATCTAAAAAATAGCGCAATGATTGACTGGCATTTGAGACTGGGTTTCTGGGCTGATTATTAATATTGATTTTTAGGGAGCAGCTCTAAGTGGTTGTTGTGAAACGAAGACCTGCAGAAGAAGGAGAGAAGAGCAAACATCATCATGCCTGCCTCTATAAAGTAAGTGATCTGTTTTGAGTGTTGTTTATCTCTCACGAAGAACTTTAAAGTTATTATCGCTCTTCTTTACTGGTTTCCCCTCGTCTTATTTGTTTGCCATCTCTCTATTATCTACAAATAAGAGATACAATAAAGTGTGACCCTATAATTTTTATGTTTTTTAGTAGTTTTGCCTTAGTCGTAGAGCGTGAGAGATGACATGCAGCAAAGAAAAGGGCCAGGAATCAAACCAGTGACGACTGAATGAAGAATAAAGCATCTGTAGATCTGAACTATTTTACCTTTTAAATTAGAGTTGAGCGAACAAATCCAAATAGGATAGACAACTTCTGCGCTGTATTGTGACTCTGAGAATGCTGTTGCTTCACTAACTCTTTCCACAGAAACTGAAATGAGCCCTGAAAGTGGAGAACCAGCGGGCCAAGGCGGACTGACTCAGGCACAAGGAACGGGGCTGGTGCCTCTTTCTCTGTCATCAGTCTTGAGTACAGGGTTGTGGTGGATAATACAGGGTTAACCGCAGCACTACAACAACATGAGAAACCAGGAAAAAACCTCAGGCTTTTTGCAGGAATTGAGGGGATTTTGTGTAAATGCTATTTAAACAACTGGATGAATATCACCATGTGACTGGGGGAGGTACAGAATGAGTATCAGACAAATACTTCCAGCATGTCCAAAGAGATAGATGGACTGTGTTTTCAAAATTGGCTGACCAAAAAGGTCATTTACAGCTCAACAATCCAAATTAATCACCAACTGTAGTGTTTATTCTCTCTCTCTGGTAGTGGTTCAATATAAATAGCAGCCTAACGCCCTGTAATTGGGAGGGTGCTGTACTTCCGTCAGAGTCCGATGACTCACAGCACCAGTAAAGCCTTCATTAAATACCACCAACATACACAAACATGACTGTGGAATCCACTCCATGTAGCTCAGGCGTCGCTCATGCAGCCGAGGAATTCAGTAGCGATTTTGGCATCTCACCAACAGCACGCCATTTGTTTCTGCGCGACAATCGCTCGTAGTAATCACAGAGATGCGTGACATTCCCCGAGTTAATTAATGGATCCAGGCTGCAACACCCTGAATCTTAACACATGCCTCTGCCCTGTTTGATGTGAGCGCAAGGCTGCTCTGCATATCTTAATCGTACACTGAGCTATTAAGATGATTATAAACTTTGCCTCTCTGTTTAACAGATCATCTACAGCAAATACTCCTTTATGAAACACGTCCAAGTCTTATCCTGCTCATTAAGAGATCAAGGCAACCGCTATATAGACTAAACAATGTTTATGAGCATCTAGTTACAGCGAAGTGGGCTAAATGCAGATTATTCACAACTTAATGCAATCTATAGTGTCACGGCTGGCTCAGCATCACCTGCCTACTGTAGAGGCACACTGCCAAGAGGTGATTAAGAGGAGGCTAAGCTGCCCAGATTCTGGATCACTGAGGTAGAGCATGCTAATAGCCTTCAGTTAAACTCTCTATTTTACTTATTCAGAAGTATCACCCATCACGAGCTCTTTTTTTTCTTAACATTAAACATTAAATACACAAACTTGGCTTCACTGGTGGGTCAGCAGAGGCAGTGACGAGACAAGTTGCCGTATTTTTCGCACTATAAGGCGCACTTAAAATCCTTTTGGCTTGTCGGAGCACTGCAGCTACCGTAGCCTCGCAGAGTTATTGAATGAGTTAAAAAAAAGCTTGACTTATCTGACTGTTTTGTTTGGTGCGACAAATACGGTATTAGATTAGTTTAGGATAAATATAAGTGATATTTCCTTATGGACTTGATGATGCTCTTTCTGTAATCCTTTGCTATGCCATCTTTTGCAAGGCCTAATTGTCTGCACTCCTGTTGATAAACTCACCCAACAAGAATAAAGTTTATTTTTAGGATACTGGGACAGTAATTGGATTGCAATTGGTCTCACCTATACACTTATACGAGTTAGTCAGGCTGTGTTCAGCGAACTGTCAGTGGTTTGGTTTCGGTTAAGGAATTATTCATTCTTTGGTTAAGTACCATCATGAAGGACGAGAGTAGAAAGATTGGTTTGAATTGATTGAATCCTGAACAAAGTTTAGATCAATGGTTTTACCTTGCTGCAAAAACAGAACATATGGTTTATGGACAAATTTTTCATCAAACTGCTCCTTTGTATGGTGTAAAACTTTCACAATCCATCATTCCCACACTTGTCTGCAACTGATCAAGGGCAGGGATACGATTTTGAGTCCAACTACGAAGGCCAATGAAAGCTAGACAAAGTAATTCCATTGCTCTACTACTTCATGTTGGCCCCAGCAAAAACTATTTGGATCAATTACAACACTATCAACACTCTCACTCAGGATGTGCTCCGGCTCCATCAGCAGGTCTGTCTGAGAGCTATCAGATGTCCAATAATGGACCCTGAATGGCAGGAAAAACTTGGGAGTGATTTACTATTCTAATGCTGATATCATTGTCTGGGTTTAAAATAAAGGAGCGGCTTCTCTTACACTTTAGTTGAGCCTGTTGGGTTGTATGGTTTGGGATTTGAGGGGTTTTGATTACTGCTGAGCTCCTTCTTGAGTGATCTTGACTCACAGTGAAGTGTGTTAATTAGGCTGCAGTGTGAGATTCTTTGAGAGGGGAGAGACCGAGGTTCAACATGATTGTCTACTGGAGAGCAAAGCTCAAACACATGCAAATTACAAAACACACCAGACCTGGATTGTGGCTTATTGTGGAGGAGCTTTTGTGAAATTCTGGATCGGAGCCAAGTATCATAGAAAGAGGTAATGGCGGGTGTTCTGTCAAAGATTAGCAGCCAGACTATATGAAAGTATGGCAAACTAACAGGCTGTGGGAATTGAAAGATAAGACCAAGACACACAGCTATGCCTGACTTCAGACTAACAGATTACATACATAAGGGACATTATTGATCAAAATATTGGTTAGATCTGGTCAGGAGCTACTCTCAATATCAATGCATCTATACTTGGAGCAAGACTTGCTTTATATTGGCTTTAAAACCTATATAATTGAAGCTGTAGACGATATTTCATTTAGGATATTTGTTGGACACAAGAATGTAAATTCAAGTCACTTTAAAATAACTCGACTCTCTCCCTGTTAATGCTGCTTATAATTGTTTCTCACTTTACAGGCGTATACTCATTTTGTTTGCAGAGTTTCTAGACTTCAACATGGAATCTGTGCCGTTTTCCCAAAATAGCTTCATGAATAAGAGAAACGAGCTCAAAGGTAGGCAGGGTGCACAGACTTCATGAAAAGAGAGCGCTCTCCGGTGAGACAGAAAGACAGGCTGAAACACAGACATGCTGGCAGTGAAGTGACAACACCCTTAACAAAAGGTGCCACAGCTAACATAGTCACAGCTATGGTTTCAGTCAAATGTTGTCAATTTGCGTTTCATATTCCTGCATCTTTTTTTAATTTAAAGAAGGACCAGCTTGCCTTGAGAGGAGCCACGGCAACTGAGACAAAATCCAGAAATTTTGGTCCATCTTTTGCTCAGGTGGAGAGCTGATTTGTGCATTTTATCATCTGTACAGTGTGATATCCTAATGGCCTTGGTCCTTAAACTGACCTGCTGAACTGGAGCAACAGTCTAGGTTATATCCTTATCAGCTGATGTAAAGACACGTGGTAAGAGCCTCTGAGGTCAAACCCCTCGGGATGTGAAACTAGCTTATTACTCTACCTGATCAACTCTTACTGAGGTCTGATACTATACTGGGATTCATTTTGACCTCTCCCCAGAAGAATAGGCAAATAAATGAACACTGTAAAAAAATTATAATACTGATGGGAAGATTTCTCAGATCTAAAAATATCAGAATGTCATATTTTGTCATAGAAAGTTTCTAACAACTGTGATACTGTGTGTATTTTACACTGGCTGCCACAATCAATATAGGTGCAAGCCTAACTACATTAAAATAGTTCTCTAATCAGTGCCTGACATAAGTGTAGGAAATGTTTAGGCCTCCAGTACACTGTCTAACCATATGAACAAACAGCTCCACACACATCATTAGGAAGCTTCTAGGCTGGTGACCTTACAGTGAAACTCCAGCTGTTTCGCCCATTCAGTAAAGAGATTACCTCATCAATGAGGGTGAGAGGAAGTGCGTTTAATACAGTGAAGGATGACTCACTGTCTATCCATGGTGATATACAGGAACACCATGTGTTGTGTAACATGGTGCTGGATACAATGAACACGCCTTGTCACCACAATGAAGCCTCAAAGCTAGAGTTTCTGATGGGACCCAGGAGCTTGAATAGAAGTTGCTTCTAAGGACTTGAAAGCAGCATTTTCTGTTCCTATACGAGTAATAGGAACAACATTGTCTTTTTATCACCGAATAGGCAGTTTGATCAGCTTACTCTGACAGTCGATCTGTGATGTTATTTTCTTTTTGTGCGCATATCCCTCTCTAGTCAGGTGGTGCTTTTAAAAGCCAAGTGTACTCACTGCTGAACTGCAACGCATTACGCAGGGCAGGATACTGATAAATAATAGATTGTGTCCTCCGGTCTCTTAACACATGGTTGGTGGATACTGAGTAAAGATGGCACATAAAACCATGGACTAATAAAAGCCTATGCAGAAAAAGTAAAAATACAACTAAAACCCATTCAGTCAAAACAAAAATAATGAGGGTAGTATTGAGAAACTTGATCCAAAATGGAGCCTCGATCTGGTCTGAATGAACCTTACAATGATAACTTTGGTCACTAACAGGGGGAAAAGTGAGATTTGTGGGATTAAAGGCTCTTATGAGGAACTATCAGGTTGTACTGATTATGATAACCACTGTTGTAGTCTGATGTTGTCCAGTACTCATTGACAAAAAATGGCATTCACCTTCCTTTTAACATCTAAATGATTAATTCAGAATTTCTTTAATTGGGTTGTTGTAAACCGAGTGAAAAGCATGTCCTTATCGTATATTGTACCATTTTTAAATCATGTTTCATTGGCCTTTACTGTGTTTATTGTGCATCTGGTGTTAGACTATGTGGCTATGTTTACTTAAAATGGAGCCTTAACCTGGTCTGAATAAACCTTACTATGATAACTTTAGTCATTAGCAGAGGGTAAAATGAGGTAAGGAAGTGTCAATTTTGTACTGATTATGGTGACTCCTGTTGTAGTCTGATGTTGTCCAGTACATGTTCGATTAATACTCATTGACAAAAAATGGCATTTACCTTCCCTTTAATGATTAATTCAGAATTTATTCAGAGCGAAAAGGGGCTTTTTCAACATGTCCTTATCTTCTATTATACCACCTTTCAATCATGTTTCATTGGCTTTAACTGTGTTTATTGTGCATCTGGTGTTCGTCTATGTTTTTCTGATGTCTCCATGCTGTTTGTTGTCTCTATGAGTCTTCTTACCTTAGATACTGACTTTTTAAAATCAATGATCGTTGATAGCAGATGGTCACAAAGTGGCATCAATAATATATTTAGCCTGTTCAAGACCAGCAAAACTCCTCACAGGTCTTGTAAACTTTATGAATGAAGAAATTATTACACCTTCACAGCATTAATAGTTTCCTACTAGCCCCTGATATCACATTACCGTCACATGTTGAATCTGGTATAAGAGTGGAGTACCTGTGAACATTAAAGGGCTTCACCTGGAAGCTCGCTAATCCAGATCAACATGTATGTAAGTTGAATCAGTGTAACTCCATAGAGGAAACGTAGGTTCTTCATTTTCCCTTTTTTATGAACGACTACTCCACCGCCTCAGGACACACTGGTTTGCATATTAAAAGGCTTGTGTAAAACGCTGCAGAAGCCAGAGTGAGATCTAAGATATGACAGACGTGGACGGTTTGGTTGGCCACACCAGCCGGTTACGAGCTGTCTATACTCGCCTATTACCGCCTCGGCTACTGTTAGCTTCAGCTAGTAAAAGGCTCATTACGGCGTGTGATCACACGGGGTATTTAATGTTCAGAAACGTTAGCCGGAGGCGTTAAAAAGGCAGAGATAAGAGCGAGCCAACAAAGACACGCTGCGACTACTGGCTTTTCCCTTCGTTATCACCACAGCAACCGCGATACCGTACTTCAACCTCGCCAACCTGCTAACAACCCGTATTAGGGTTTCATACCCTTTCTTCCACGTTAGCTCACGCTAGCTTACCTAACACACCATTAGCTCCCGTTAGCTTGCCGTTGCTAGCTCACCGACAATACACTGTCAGTGAACGAATTGAAGAGTGGTCAGAAAAAGGAGGAAATATCTTACTGTGTAAATGTCGACGGAGGAATCCTTATTTTCTAGTCATTCATAAGAGGCAGACGAGATACAGACGGGCTTACGGAGTCCAGCCGTGAGATACACAGAAGCGACGCTGTGAAGAAAAGATTTGTAGTACACGCCCTTGACGACGAGGATTGGAGTCCACGTTTTTCTTCGCTACCGTTTCCATGCCGCTGATTGGACGCTTGCGGTCCGCGAGGTAATCGATTTAGAAGCCGATTGGTTGTTGCCTCTTTGTAACGTTGTTGGTGTCTGTCTTCGTGATAGGTGCGTTTCATTTGTTGTCTGACGCCGCGGGAACCAGACAAGAGTCTTGACATAAGCTCATACATATTCGATCCATTGTGACCTGAACAATAGCGCTCTATATAAACCCACCCCCTCCCTGTTTTGTGTCGGTAGGCATCAAATTAAATATATGACACAAAGTTAACCCATATATAACACGAAAAAATCCTTTTGGGAAACATAAATGCTTGAAAATAAGTGCATCAAATATTTGCACATTCATCATTGAGCAAAACAAATCCAATCATTTGTACCCTGACTGGTGATTTATAGATATATTAGGGTTTTAATGTCTTGTTGTGATAATTATATAAAATACACACATTAAAAAATATATTTACACAAAAAAATCCTTAAAATCTTCCCATCAAATTCATCCATGATGGCTTTTTGGGCCCTACATTAGAAAAAAATAATAGTCTAAGTCACTGTATGTCTCATGGCAACTTATTAAGGTACTTCTTTTTTGACTCGTCTCAACTCAGTGATTGAATTCTTAAATGTTGTGTTAGGACATCTTTGACTCCTATTAAACATCAAACAAAAAGCATGATTCATTTTTACATCCAGTAACAAAACTTTTCATGTAACCCTCGACATAAAGAGTCTGAATAGAAACATTACTGCAGAGGGAACCTTGAAAATAGATCAATTAAAGAAAGAATAGTGACAGAAATTCAATTAAACTCGCAGAAGTTGGGGTCCTTTATCGAAATTCAGAGCATGTGTCATAAATCAAACAGTGAATGAGGACATTTAGGCTGAATGAAATCAAACCTTGAAGTTCCACGCTTCACAAAAGCTATGATTAATTGAAAAAGTTCTCTCGTTTTCTCCCACTTTGATTGACTCATCTATTCAAAGGAGGGCTGATGAGCCCACCTCTGCGTCCCTGCTGGTGTATGAATGTTTTTCAAGGACTTTCGCTGACCAAGCCACTGCTGACAGAAAGTAAAGGACATGGTTTTGACTGTAACGTGACAGTTATAATGACAATAATGTGAAATTTCGTATGTTAAATACTTTACCACCCACAGTAAATCAGTAAATTTAATGCATAAGAGAAAAAGTGCTTTTAACTGTAGTTGGTAGAACTTCATAATCAAAATTGCCTCTGAGCCAATTCTAATGTCTCTCAAGGTCTGTTGTGAATGGATGTGTGGGCGACTTTTAAAGACATGTGTTTGGTCCATTCAACTGATATTTCTTTTATATTTTCTTTCTTCTTCTCTTAATAATTATTTATTTTTTAGAATAAAAGCCTACCCTCTCTTTCTTCTCTGGTACTCACGTGTTTTGGAGCTGTATCCTGTCGTGGTTGGGGGTGGCGAGTCTGAGTCCACAGAGGCCGTATCTTCATCCTGGGAGCAGCCCGCTTGGATGGCCCGAAGGTAGCTGTGGCTGCGTGACCGGAAGCACGTAGGCGCAGGCAGATCCAGCGCCTCCACTGCCTGCGATTCCCCCTCACAGTACGGTACCCCATGCCCAAAGCCCTGCCCGCATACCTGAAAAAACGTGTGCATACTCACACGCTGAGGGCAAAGGGCAGACTGTAAAACATGCATTTACTTTGCACCTTTAAGGGAGGTGCACCTGGATCTTTGATTTAAGTTCAAGTAACGTGATGAGAATGTAAAAAAGAAGTCAACTACAGAGTAAGTAATCATCAAATTTACTTCAGGAAGAAAGAGTGACGGTATTACTTCCAAAGAGAAACTATCCTTATGTCTGACCACTTTTATGACAATTATATTTGTGAAGACTGATGAACAAATAGCAGTTTTATACAGCAGAATAAGGTAAAGCTATTTTCATACATTTTGTATTAAAGAAGATATTTTGGCGTTTAGGTCCCTTTAATTGGATAGGGGGGCATTATTTGTGGTAAACAGTTATAGGATAGGCAAAATATTAAGGCAAGAAAATCTTGTACTTTTCTCTAAGCTCCAAATTTTCACAAAACTGTGATAGCTTCATACGATTTTGCACAATTTGACATTTTGGGGTCTAAAAAGTCTGATATGACAGTGGAACTAGACCCCGTTTTCCCTTTTAAGTTTACGTATAGGCTTTTTTTGCCTTTAATTGGAGGATAGGACAGCAGGGAGAGCCGCAAATTGGGAAAGGAGAGTGGGGAATGACATGCAGTGAGGGGGTCACTGACTGGACTCAAACCCCACTGCCTGCTTTGAAGATTGGGCAGGGAGAGCAATTTAATGGCTAAGCCAAGTTAGAGCCCTGAAATACTGCTGTTTTTGACAGACACAGATCAAAAAGAGTTTAAAAAAACAGTTTAATCCGTAATAATGTAGTGTGTTTTATATGCTCATGATTGAGTGACCAAGAAAGATGAAGAATCAAGCAGGAGATTCACTTATATGTCTGACACTTGAGCAGCAAACATGAACCCATTGTGGGTGGTACATAGACATGTATAATAATAATAAAACCTTGAAACTGAGTGTTCTAGTTTATTATGCACAGTATTATGTATTTGGATTAAGTTACTATCAGTAATAAAAGTCATCATCTGACATATACAAACGCTCCTATGTGGTAGAATAATTCTGCTTCATTATGGGATGTTTGCATTAGACTTATGTGTGCGATTCCGCATCCCAGAGCAATCTTGCTGATTAAGACTTACAGCAAGCTCCCTCAGGTTTACACTGAGGCACATGTCCCACTAAGCAAACATGCTCAGACATCTCTCTCATTCCCAGCTGGCTTATCTATATAACATCCCAAATGGCATTACATACACTCTTATATCCTCTCATGGTAGCTCTAAACCTCAAGAGCGGTGTCAATGTGTGTCATGATTATGCTCCTTCCCGGGCAGTTTTTAGCTTTGATCACATTAATTCTCAGTCTGACGCTTCTGGGATCACTTTGAAATAATCTAACGAGCTGTTTTTTAAGAGATCGAGACATGAATTTTTATGTAACACCTACAAAATATATGAAAAGAGTTCGTATTCCTCAAATATCAGTTTATTCCTACAAAGTGGTATTTGCAGCTGAGTTATGAAAATGCGACAGTGATAGTAACACATTTGGTGAAATTACACACATACCTGAGTGCCCGAGACTCTGCCCAGTGTGCTGGCACATTGGCTGTAATTGCTGTTCCTGTGGCGCGGCGGAGCCTCCAGCGGGCTCACCAGACAGTCCAAGTTATCAAGACTGCGGTTAGTCGACAGCTCTTTCAGGGACGGCAGGGAGCTGTGAAAGTGAACGTAATAATCAGCAACTCAGAAGTCAGAGAGTGGATTAAGTTAGGGCTGTGCTTAATTGATGATATCCAGGAGAAGCATTTAATTACACTCTGAAAAATTCCCCTGGGTGTTTTGAAATTAAATATGGCTGAGATGTGTGAACAGTGATAAATGCAGAACCTGTTTGAAATACCAGCGCAGAGGAAACTGAAAAAGTAAAACCACCAGATAAGCTTTCAAACACTGATCCGAGTGGTTTTCAAAAAGTTTCCTCTGTTCTGGGAAGCCCTTTTTTTGCACCTGGTGTTAGTGGAGAGGTGTACGCGCTGAGCAGCAGGGTGTGGTGGAGTGATTTTCATGGGAGATTTGCATGTTATGAGATCAAGGCTTTGAGGAAGCAGGTAAAAGTCGTAACATACCACTCAGGGTAGGAGATGGAGCAGGGGGGTCAGAGAGGAAAAGTACTGGGAGGGTAAGGCAAAAATAGGTGGTGGGTTGTGGCAGTGGGGACAGTGAGGGTGGGTGGAGGGCCACACTGCCTGCCTGGGGATGACACTGACCTCAGATGCTGCATAGAGCATGCACTCTGCAGCGGAGACCACAGATAATCCTCCCGCATGAGAGCGTAGCAACGAGGCCTGCATGTGTGGATGTGGGGGTAAAAAACATGGCAAAGTTTCATCTGCTACCACGTTTATGATAATAAAAAATAAAAAGTTCTGAGTGCATTTATTGTATTTCATCTCTAGCTTAGTGATAACTTTGCTGTAAAGAAGTGCTGCTGCAACCCCAGACCATTATTTGTGACTAGATGCTGCCACCTGCTGTCTACCTTTGGGGCCATTAGGAAAAAAAACCTTCCTCCGTTTTAACAACAATTTCCCCTTCGGGGCCTGTTTCTGTTTCAATGAATGTAAAGTAAAAGAGCACAAACACCACTATGGCAAAACAATGAGTATGGTAATCCAGAGTAATGAATCTTATTCTCTGTGAGACTCACTTGCGAGGAGGAGGCGGCGGCTGCTGCTCACTCAGGGAGTGCTGGGTGGCTTTCAGGTAGCTGTGGCGTCGGGCAGCAGACTTGGGTGAAGGTTTGGGGCTCCCCTCCGAGTCCTCGCTGTCTTCTAGGTCGCCCATTGCTTTCACATAGCTGCCGCTGCGCATTCTCCGACAGGGGATCTCTGTTCCTTTGGCCCTGCCGCGACCCAGAGTTCCTGTCCATTCCCCTGGAACCTAGATTATGTTGCGCATATAGTTATGTGAGACTCTTATAGTATGTAACCATGAGAGTTCAGGTGTATCCCCATAGAAATGGGCCATACGTGACTGTTTGTATATGGTTTTAGTCATATTTTTAGCTGTATATTCAGTTAATGATGCTGAACATTTTGGCTTTGAATGAAAATATGACTTTGGAGAAGCTGTGACGTGGGAAAATTATAGAAATTTAACCATATTAACATAGGATAAATCTTAAATTAGAAACCATATGTGATAAAAAGAATAAATCTAAATTTAATCAAAGTATAAGTTAAAGCATAAACTGTATCCTGGTGCTATAAAGTGAATAATTACACAAATCTCAGAGAAATGATAACATAAGCCATGCAAACTTACAAAAATGGATGAAGATGAATACTCACTGTCCTTCCTACCTGCAGAAACTGTTGTGCCAAATCTTGATGGCATGACTTTGATTTAAGCAGCGTCCTGTTGACGGTAGCAGAGCCCTTCTGCAACACTTGCCTGGCCTGGCTGAGGGTGAGAGTGGACCAGGAGCCCCTCTTCACCACTGAGTCATCCTTGCTTCCTCTGCTTCTTCCCTCCTCTTCCTTGCATCCTACCTGCGTCGCCGGGCACGCCGCCAGAAACTTGAGGTCACTGCTGCTTTTCGAGGTCTTTAGAGTGTGTGCAGAAATGGTGTTGTAGCCCTGTGGGATGTGTCTGGCCTGGCTGTCTGACACCGCTCTACCCAGAGTCATCATGCTCAGCGGGTTGCGGTAACCGACAGCGATGGTGCCAGCTTTGGTGGTGTCATTGTCCAGGGCGTCGTCTGAGCCCCAGAGGCCTAGTGCATTTGGCCTGGGTCTCTGCTTTGGCCCTTCAGTTTTAGCCCTATCTTTACTCTTACTCCTGCGTGTTGGTCTACCTCCATCCTCACCTCCTCCTGTGGTTGCTCCTCCTGCAGAGCGCCCATTTAAGCTGCCTTTGATTGCAGAGTTTTCCAGAGACTGGGACTTTGCAAATAGCTTCTGCACAGAGTGCATCAGGTGACGAATGCGTCCTGGGCTCTCACTGCGTTGCTTTGATATGCGTCCCCTGTGAAACTGCAGTGTGCTAAAACCATCTCGTTGCAGCGGAAGGTGCCTCTCCAGCTGATCCAGGATATTGGAGGGTAGCCGGTTCATCTTGGCAGCTGCTGCAGAGGAGATGGTGGCCGAGCCGCTGGTGATCATAGGCGCTCCAGTGAGGCCCAAACCCAAGCCCATACCCATAGACAAAGAAGTCGAGAGTGCGTTTGCTCTGCTGCCCTGCCCAGCTCCACCACCACCTGCTAGACATGCCTGGGAGCAGTCCGCCTGCTCAGCCTGGGAGGTGAAGTGCAGACGAGGGAAGGTGCTGCTGCTGGAGATCTGGCTAAAAGGCAGGAGGCAGTCTGGGGTCAGGGATGTGGGGCTGGTGGTGGAATACTGGTGAAGATGTGGGTCCAAGGTGGCATAATGGTTAATGGTGGGGCTCAATAGAAAGGAGCTGTGTGGGTCAGAGGTCAGGGGACAGAGAGGCTTCTGGGTGCAGCCTGGTGGTTCACATGAGTCGGACAGGTGACGGCTGCGGTTGGCTCCTAACCCTTTCATGGCGGCTGAGAGGTCGTCCTTAGAACATGTCTCCAATCAGAACGGGTCTACTGACCTGAAGAGCTCATTCTGTAATGAGAAGACACAGATGTCAACGACTATCATGGGTTCAAGTGTCTAATTTTCAAAGCGATGCACTCTTCTAATCTAAACTTTAAAAATGTAACAACACTTTTGGGGTTATTCCCGCCTCATTTTCCTGGTTTTGTCTGATTAACCACAGTTTTTAATCTAGTTGTGTCGCCTATTCTCTCAGGTATGCTCCATAATTGCGTTTGTCCCTTTATAGAGATTATACTCAGCTGTGCATAACAGTAAAACAGCCATTTGAGTGAAAACAAGACTCAGAGGAGGAGGTTCTCCACATTAATACTTAAAGTTAATGAAACATCAGAGTTAAAGCCCATTTAGGAGTGTTTCTCACTCACTCGGTGTGTCCTTGAGCTTCCACATCAGTACCAGTACTAAAAAAGACTTAATAGGCTGTCTCTGCTGCATCATAATATGGCTCTCAATGTGAACAGAGCCATTATGCTCCACCGTACTGTAAGCCCTCATGTATGTCCTTTGACACAAAAGACCACCAGGTGGAGCAGCAGCAGCAAGAAGAATGAGGAAAACACTCACACTAACACTTCATGTATGTTTTAGAGTCTACATTTGATGAATCATGCTTGTATGTAACATTAAAACAATACTGTGTGATTAGAAAAAGGAACAAATGCACTGTTGAAGTGTTTTAAAATACTGAACAATACACACGCTTATGAGCTTTCTACTTTCTCCATCACTCTGGCACTTATCAGACAAGAACAATGGAGCCATACGAGGAAAAAAACACTCAAGACAAAGAGACTAAATCACATATTATTTTATCTGGAAAGCACAGACTATTCGGTTTACTGCATGAAGAGCTTCAGTGTAGCTGAAAACAAGACAACCTGAGGCCCAATCTAAAGCCCCACAGTGATGTATGGCCTGCATTCACTCTGCTGACAATGCATAGGAGGGTGATTTTCTGACTCATACATGTAAATGAGCTTTATATTTAAGGAGCACTATTTGTTCCAGAGAAAACGAAACCTCGTCTCCTCACAAATCTTCTTTGGTACTTTGCCATCCTCTCGGATCCACTTAAACTGGGAACAATAAGTCTTCCTTAATGCCCAGGAAAGAAATGAAGAATTCTGGAGCGGGAGAAAATATTTCACTGATAAATTTCAGAGGCATTTATACAAGTTTCAAGCAGGGATGAATTCAATCTGGTGAAATTTTCACCTAGCCGTCCTTTTATTATTTAAGGGCTCTTTTATGTTTGTTATTTTGCAAGAGGCGCTTCTTCCTTCAGTGAGACTCAGAAAGAAAACAGCACTATGTATGGATGTATGGCTAATAGTCATTCTCACTGCTCTCCTGGGATAAAGCTAAATCTGAATGGCGCTCCTGTCAAAGTATCTTACAGTTTCTACAAGTAAAGAAACACACGCAGAGAGAAGAAGTGAGAGGAGATGATTTAAGGCCACAGTCTTGTCTTTTTCTCTCACTTGCCTACTCATTCTCAAAGCTCACTATGAGCAGACAGTAATATCACATCAAGGTTATGAGAACTCATAATTCACACAGCACAAACCCATGCTGCATTAAATTCACTCGAACAGATGCTGTGTGTATCACAGTGGAGTGACTCACTGATCAGTCAATGGTAAGAGCCCTCTCCCACAGCAGGCATGAAATCCCGCCTGGGAGCTGAATGTGGAGCGTTAATTCGACACATTTTCCATTCCACTGTGTTGGCTCGCCACTTCATACGTCTTTCTGACCTCCCGTACGCACCGTACAGGGTGAGTGCAGCCACTTATCTGACTCAGTGTTCCTGGACAGGCATGGCAGCGTGCTGACAAATACACCTGTGTGGTTTTTTTCTTTGATGCCAGCGGTAAGTCATGCACCCGCCCCAACGGTAAACCCACGTGATTCTGTCTTGTAGGTGCCACTGCTGACAAACTAACACACACCTACATGTTGACACACACTGACACACAAGTTAACGTGGTAACCACCCAACCCACACATACACCATCGCGAACAAAACCCTGTCGAGTGTTGAGCATCACAAAGAAATAATGCTCACAGATCATGAAATTCTGCCACAGGTTCAGTGCACCTGCCTGTGTGAGTGTGTGATGGTGGCCAGCAGGCTTCTGTGTGTTTACAAGGTGAAAAGATCCTTGGACTGTGTGATGTCGAGCATGTCTCTGCCTCACACACACACACACACAAATGAACACAGTGTCAGGAAGATACGACCAACAGCGGGATTTAGATGTATCTCAGGGGATCTCTTGCGTTCACTGAGTGACAGTGACAGTGTTACGTCTCTGTTACCGGCAGCGACAAGCGCATACATTCAAAAAGCGCTCACATCATCAACCCTTGGTGCGAAACGTAACTGTAGTCGAGTTATGTAACACCTAGTTGTTTATTCTGTTCATGTTAAGGTCATTTTGAGGAGTAAGACTCAGACACTGATTGGTATTTGAACTGTGAAGGTGAATACATTGAAGCACAATCAGCGTTAAACATAATGAATAAAGAGATTTAACAGAAGTGACCTTGTTGTAATTGAATGTCTCTGTTGTGAGCTTTAATCTGGCTGTGATTCAGAAAGTACTCGAGCACCTCATAGTGCATGATCAGCATCAATTCACAGACTGAAATGAGAGAGATAATTACATAATGATGTGAAAGTAAAGCGCACATAAAAGACTTCGCTGTCTTAACAACTTTGACAATAACAAAAATCATGATTAACAGTGATGATACAAGCAGTTAGTGCGAATATTGGTTCATAAAAAGTCATGTCCAAAACCAGGGGCTGCCGCATTTGAGAGACTGGGCTGTTATGGCCTGCTGTGGACTGGTCAGACCAAACTGGTTTTAAGTGGTTGATCCTCTGGAAGGTCAGCATGCTGACGATGGCATCACGTAGCGCCCCTCGTGTGGCCAAGCAACAGGTATAGCTGTTGTGACGTGTCGAAGAAGTTTTGGTGTGATATTGGATCTCATTTTTTTGGTGTTGCTTATTCTGTCTACTCACTTACTTTTAAAGATATCACTTACTACGTTAATCCTGAAGATCACGCACTTGAACACCTGATGAATTTTATCATAACTTGCATTAAATTCTTTACTCACAGACAAAAATTTGCAAATTCTGATCCTAAATTTGCTCCCTTTTCACTTGAAATAAATTCTCTTATTAAATTTGTTTAATAACAAAAAAAGCAATTCATTACTGAACAATTATGAAAAGTTTTCCCCTGAAACCTCTGACTAACCCTTTATCAATGACTATTTTGTTTGTTTTTAAAAAATAATATATTACTATTTTATGTATCTTATGGTATTTTTCATCTTTGTTGAAACCATCTCTGACTTATTATTTATTCATTTATTTATTTATCCTACTTCTATTATTATTATTTTTTTATTTCATTTTATTTATTTATTTTATTTTCAAGCTATATTCTATAATTTACTGTATCACTATACCGTCCCTTTGTAGTAGGACACATTTATCTATCCCGCCTCAGAAACGGGATAGCTTTAAAAAAAAATAAATATAGTATTTTGCATGAATACCTAATAATTACACATTATCCCTGTCATTATCCTTGTCATAATAAATAGGCCTACATTTTGGCCTCTCATTTTGCAGTAAGATTTTTGCCTACATGTTTGTTCCATTTACTGACTGAAACACAATTCTCCCTGTCAGATCAGATCACAAATAACGTCTTCTTAAAAGCCAGAGCAGATAAAAGAAGAACTGTCTGTCCCTCAACGCCACAGCACAGCACTAATAAGGTCTCAAGAACAAAACATGATGTGCCACACCGGGGCCTTTAGAAAACCTTGTGATGTTTCAATCTTTAACATGTGTAACAAAGAAACTTATCAGAGTGGGTCAGAGCTGATCAGACAGAGGGTCATGATAAACAATGTGCTTATGTTAACAATCCAGTTTATAAAAGAAAAGGAAATCTTATTATGCTGTGGTGAATTGATCCAATCGGATGTGACTCCATGTATCATTCAGCTTCACTTTCAGTTCATAATAGAATTAATTTTCTTACTAGGTTGATGATTCATACTCAGCTTGGAAGAATAAGAATGAGAATAACTTTATTTATCCCCGAAGGAAAATTCAATAGGTAGGCCGTTAGTCAAAAGTTTCAACTCTCAAACACTTCCAAACTTTAAACACACTATAGATTTAGATAACTGCAGGTATATCCTTCACATGAACCCACAATTACTGACTTTTTGTCCACCTGGGGGCATAAAAATATTGACACCAGAAAATTCACATTAACATTATATCATTTTTCTCTGACTGAAAGACACTGAAGGCGTAACTATAAAACTAGCGGATGTTTCTCAGTGTCATTAAATCATTTTTTATTAAAAAAAATTTCATAAAGCTCTTCAAATCCCATTCATACCATTGTGTATGAGGAACTGCAGATTCTTTTTCATTTAGTCTGAAATCTTCCTGAAGTCTACTAAAACTTTGATCCCACACAACAAAGTCTTTTGACACTGTTATATTAAATTTGTGCTCATTTCAAGCTCCACAAAACATCAAGTCCACAATAAGGGTGTAAGTTCTTACTCTTACTCTCTTCGATATTTTAAAATATACACACCAAGGTTGATAATTCTCTGTTCTTCTGTCTGGCGTATCTGCTGCCTTTGAGTAAAAGAGCTTCATTTCTTCAAACCAAAATTTTCATCACAAAGGGACACTTTGAGGGTCTAATTATCTGCTCAATTATTCAGTTAAGTATTCCTTATTTTATGGTCTGTGTGCCCATGCGACTGTAAGATCTGGGACTTCTGAGTTGGCTCCTACACAGCGTCGCTGCCACATGTTGTTATGTAGGAAAAGTGGGAGCCAGATGACAAACAATAAACAAACACAAATGTTGACTGCACATGCAGCTTTGCAAATGCTGTAATTTTCATTATTGCACTAAGACAGAGACTTTCCAAGTAGCTTATTGTTATGTAATATGAAGCCTGCTCTGGCACGAAAAATCGCCCTGAGGGGAAATACTATGAGGAGGAGATATTTTTGATAATAAGGATTCTTGGGATAAACTCTGAGCAGAAAAGCCGGTTATTAAACCATTAATCTAAAAACTGAAAATCATCAACAAAAATGGATCCACAGATTACGCCGCACATGGAAACACCTATAATCACATACAGATGGTATATGAGTCATAACTGGAGACAACGGCAGCAATATAAATAGGTGAAAAGTGTGGTACTGTTCTGTCTATAGTTCTAATCAATAATTATCAATATACGCATATGTTTTAAAGACATGACGGCTGATGTTAAATCCCTGCATCCCTAAAACACTGCATTTTCCTCGCTTTACTGTAATGATACTCTGTTAGCCACAAGCAAGAAAACACGAGTCAAAAGGTAATTCATGCATGCTGAAATAACCTTTTTACAGCTAGGAATTTAACAGATGGAGAAGTAACCTTGAACATAAATGCACTTTGACAAAACAATCATCCTCTCAGGGCCTGTGAAACTGCTCCAACTTCCGCAGATTCCCTCCCATCATCGGCCCGATGGGAGGTGATGTCACGCAGCCCCCGTGCTGACATACAGCCCCTGTTAGATCTACACAAGGCCTGCTAACAAGCAGAACCAGGGGATGCTGAGCTGTGTCCCACAGAGCCACCGCTCAGGCCTGTAATAAATGTCTCCTGTAGCTGCGCACTGCCCTTGCAGCCTCGGGTGAGGAGCAGAAGGAGGAGGAGGGATGCTGGAGAAAGAGAGAGAATATCGATCTGGGTCTCGCTCCTTGTTCTAAGGGTGAATATACAGCTGCTGGGTATTGGCTTTTGCAGTCTCCTTCAATAATCACCTTCTTTCTCATGGCTTCTTGCAGTCATCCACTCTCTGTCGGGCACACTTACAGTACATTTACACTAAAACACTGAACAACTGCATACATTCATTTTGTGCTTGTCTAAATCCTGAAGCTTGTGTTTTATTCCAGTTTTATGACACAGTTTTGCAGATGAAACGAGCGTATTGATTTCAAATCAGACTATTCTAGTGTTTCATAACCAGTGAAAATGTTCCTCAGAGCTACAACAAGTACAACGTCCAAGTTCACAATATTAACACTCTGGATGAGCCAACGCTATCCGTTATCCCCGCTGTCTGGTGAGAATCTACTAATAGCATGTCTCTGTCACAAAGTTATGTCATCGGGGCTTCCTGTGGATAAAGCAAGTGTTGTTCTTCACTGTTGCAAATGTTATTCTTCACTGCCTTGGGAAAGTTAAAGATTTGAGACTAATCTGTGCAGACAATGGAGCTAATTAGCACAAAAAGGACAATACATTTATTACATTTCTTATGAACCTAAACACAGTAACTTTGAATCCAGGATTATTATATGATGAGATTTTCATTAGTTTTTTTCTTCAGAGCCTCTTCTGGGAAATATCACACAACAGAAAAATTCTGCCACCAGCAGTTTGATCAGAGTTTAAAGAGGAGTGGTTCACTGGTTTTGATGCAGTCAGCAGCTGGTTATGCTTCGCTGAGAAAAAAAAAGAAAGAGTTGAAAAACAGGGCTCTTCCTAAGCTTTCACCCTGTTGAAACAAAAATATAAATGCAGACTATAAATGTAGTTATGATTTTAACATCTTGTATAATTCTCCTGTTTGGACTTTTGTCATTGTAATCTATACGAATGTTTACTGTCTTCTTGCGGACCTTAGGAAGAGTAGCTGCTACTTATGTAGTGGCTAATGGGGATCAAAATAACTAACTAACTAAATGAATAAATAAATAAATAAATAAAAAGAGCAGCTGGTTTAACAAAACCTAGGAAACGGTCAAAATGTTGCACAGTTTATGTGGCACTATATGCAGGGTGTCAGAGTCTGCAGGTAAACATCATTAAACTGGATTTAAAAATATGGCAAATGGACTCACACCACCACTTTTGTCTGGCATTTAAATTGTGTATATTGTATATAGTTTTATTTTTCTTTTTTCTTCTCCCCTTTTCCTTTTCCTAATTTTTTTCTTGAATATTACATTTATTTAAGTTCTTAATATTGCGATCTTTATTTCTATAACTGCATTTTTGCACTCTTTGTCTGTGATGCTGCTGTGACAAAAAAATAAAGATCAATAAAGGAATATTCTGTTCTGTTCTATTCTATTCTGGTAGCAGAGCTAGCACCACCAGCCGTCGGTCCTTCTTGCAGGTTAACACTCAAGTGATTATATGCCGTTTTAACCACACACAGCCAACACACAACTTAATGAGTGGACACACGTCATCTGCGCTTGCCAATAGGGATGTACCGATCCACTTTTTTCACCTCCGATACTGATACAGATATCTATAGTTTAGTTTTGGCCAATACTGATCCAATTCCAATACAGAAAAGCTGCGCCGGATTATTTTTTGTTGTAACTTGAAGTTTAACTACTGCCCCTCAAAACGTTTAGGTATTGTAAGTGGCCATTGAGTTTGTAGGCTGAGGTAGTGTGATAAAGTTAAAGATAGCAGACCTCTTTGCTCGCTCCGACTGAAAACAATGTGGGCATTCACTCGACGAATAGCATAGAGTTAGACTGAATAGATTGGCCCCCATGCATTTTGGCCCATTGTCATGATACCTGATCTAGAATTTTCTTCGGTATCGGGACTGATACCGCTATCAAATATCGGATCGGTGCATCTCAACTTGCCACGGGTAGTAACAGTGGGAGTTAATGTATGCATGATATAATCCGCCATGGTGAATAAATGCACTTAAAAGTCTCCTAATCTTTTAGGGCGAACAAAATAATTCATGTACAGAGAGGACTTGATAAAAAGATTATTTTTGTTGTTTCTGGGGTCAAGTTTCCACTGTTGGGTGTTGAAAAGGCTGGAGGCTAAGCTACTGAAGACATTCATACGAGAGTGAGTGTGACAACGAGGCTGTATATCCAACAAAACATCGATTCAAACACCCAGCAGGCTGTTTTACTCAGAGATCTTTCCCTGCAGCGGGGATCTACTGCCAAATGTTGGTCAATCCCATTAAAAGAAGAAGCAGAGGTTGTTAAAATGGTGAGAAGGAAGAATCAACAACAACAGCCAGTGAAACTGCTCCCCTTAACACAATGGGTAATGAGACTTCATGCCTCTTCATTCTTTCATTTAGTGGAGCTGCAGTCGTTGCAGTTTCTGTCTGGGCCTTTAGACAAACACTTCTGTTTGAGTTTTATTTTGACATTTTTGTGTCAGGAAAACTCGTCCACATTTGAATTTGATGGCACACCACTTGCAAAGACATCACAGATATAACCTGAAGAGCAGATTGCTTATATGTGAGTCTTTGGGGTCTTCTGAGTACACTGTAGTTGGTCTGTTTGGTCTATGGGAAAGCCAGATTGTCAAGCAGATGGAGGACTTTACTTTACAGCACAAGCTTGAACAGCTGACAGCTTTAACACCTCTCCCATGTATTTACTGTAGGTAGACACTTTCCAAAACACCTGCTCATCTCATTCAGAAACTGGCTGGTCGGGAAACTGACGCAACTTTGTTAACTGCATGTTTGTTAACATGCTCTCCAAAAACGGAAAGCATGTCCTTCTCACATTGTTGAACACGCAGCGTTTGGTGCTCTCAAAATGTGTAGCATGCTGAAATATTCAAGGGTAGGAGCATTCGGCGTTCATAGGATTCTCATCAGTGCTTTGCCCATTAAAGCATCCCGGTGCGGCGCTCTCCTTCGCTCACTAGTGCACGCACTGAAGTGTAATTAGAGGGAGAGGATGCACATTTCCCCTGGGCCATTTACCATCCTTACTGTACCGCTGCTGGTTCCTCTCTGCATGTGTTCATTTGGTAACATCTTGTGTTTGCGCTGCCTGACCACAGCGATCCAGTTCAGTAACTCTGCAAGACTGAATGTGCGTCACGATGCTGAAAAAGAGGGGTCAACATTTATGAGTGTGATTCATAAAAGAACAAGGCAGTAATCTTAATACTGTCTCACTGGATAGCCCTGCAACAATGAGTGAATGTAGGGCCGTGTAACAATAACAGACTGGGGAGCAAAAAGCTAATTATAAGTTGAAAAGAAATGTCATTATTTTGAACGTGTGTGTATGTGTCTTCATAAAGCAGAGCTGTAGCAGAAGCTCTAGGCGAGCATCGAGAGCTGTGAACTCCCCTCCTGACAAAATGACTTTGACACTGTACTGGACTCGGGCAAAACAAGACATAAAGCACCCAATAAGCTGCGTGCTACACATTAACCTCCACAGTCATGAGCAGTTGTGTCATGCATGCTAAGCACACACGGCCCAGTGTCTACACAGTTAAAACACACTTCCCATACATGGAGCATAGTCCCTGGGCCTCGGGGAATTATCGCTTTCGGTTAGTAGCTGCCAGGGTGAATCCTCCACCAGCGCTCATTTAAAATGCTGTCAGAGCTTTAATAGTCCCGAGGGCTCGGGCTTAGAGAGGAAACGCTTCAGTCTACTTTGGAAACAGAAAAGGCAAAAGAGACAATACTGCGCCATAGGAAGCGGCACAGTTTCTTTGTTTGAGCTTTGTTTGAGTTTTAAAGTAATCTGCTGTCTGGCACAACTGTATCTTGCATTGCTAACCCATTTTCAAACTATTGGGGTTAATTCTTTGCAGGCTGGATTAAATCTATCCTTCTGGGGGTCAGCTAGCATTCAAAGAGATAAACCACACACAGCTTACAGTCAAAGTGGACGTGGACTTTCTCCAACATTTAGCAGGACAGCGACCTTAAATCATTGAACCATGTGCACATTAACTCCAAGCTTGCATCTGCTCACTCAACATATTTTCTTCATGATAAGTTCTGAGGCTGGATAACATACCAGTCTAGTTAATATTAGATTAAAAAAAGTTAATTTTCAAAAATGTGCCCTGAAATTTGACCTCTTGCATATTTTTTTTTAAAATATAAACAACAACATATTGCTTCACCCTGGGGTCTGCACTCATATTAGCATAAACCACAGCATCTCCAGCTGCAACGTACCCCAGCCTGGAGTGTCATATTAAACAGATTTCTCAGAGATAGTCCCATACAAATCCTATGGGAGGCTAGATCAGGCCAGCCGCACAGCAGCTCTCCGTGGCCGAGCACTCAAATTGGCCGTGGCACTGAAAAAACAAAATGAAATTAATATGCTGTTTTTGCTCTCTGTAATGTGAAGGGATTAGAGCATGCAACAGTATTAGGATTTAGGATTCAGTGTGTACCGCACATGACCAAGCAGAACGTAGCACTTCCACGCAGCCATGGTTGGACGGAGACTGTGGAGGCTGCAGGAGGAGGATGAGAATATCTGCCCATTAAGAGACACATTGAAAGTAGAGAAAGCGCTACGGTGAGGATTACACCAAGGTCACATCAAGTACGCTGTTTTTTTTTTTTCTAAAAAGTGGAGTAAAGTGGTCTAATTAGGGTGAGTACCAGAGCTTGTTAAGCCAGCAACAAAAGACACAGGATCAGGAAAAGCCTCGGAATCACAGCTATCACTATGAGTCCCAAATATAAAACTATTGTGTCTTAAAACAACAAAAAAAGTCCTTTACATCTCTGAACTGTGGAAAAATATGTCAATAAGTGTTTGGCTTACTTACTGCCTTACTGTGGTGCCCTCAGTCTGACCACCTACTTCTAACTGAAGCCCATCCAGCTTCCTAATGATCCCTCCACCTCTTTCCCATTGCAAGATAATAGGCCTGTGCTCCAACCCCAGTCTATGCAGGGCTTTAAAATTGTAAAGCTAGGCAGAAACAATAAATTATCTGCTGGCAGGGTTACCAGAGGAAAATGGCTTCTCTCTCTGCAAATACATCATACTGTCCATTTGCACATGTAGTATGTTTACTAAGATGATAATAACCAACTCTAAAGGTTACTCATTTTTCCTGCATGTGTCACTGAAGGTGGCCCGAGAAGCCTGAAAGTAAATGTGCAACATCTCTGGGCTGCAAATTGAAATTTTTATCGTTGGGTTACTGCAGAAGGGGGAAGTCTTTTTGGGGGGTAATTTAGTGTTGAATAAATGTAAGTGGTGCGTAACTAATCAGGAGGTGAATCTCAGGGATTTTCCTGATGTAGTCCAAGTGGAAGAGCAAAGTGCAGCTGAGATAAGCACTGAGACATCTGTGCTTAACATCATGCATGAAATAAAGTTTTTTTTTCTTATTCTGAGAAATTACAATATTTATACTGAGCTCCTTGCACGGGTAATAAAAACAGATGTACTCCAGGGGCGGCAGTTTAACTCTGTGGTTATTTTGCATGCCCTGTGTACAGAGGCTACAGTCCCCAAAGCGCAGGCCAAATCTGACCCGTAGCCCTTAACCACATCATTCCCCACCTCTTTCACCCTTCCTCTAACCACGGTCCTGTCTCAAGCCAAAACCCCCAAAATAAACCAAAAGATCTTAAAGTGATCTTAAACTTGAATTTCTTTCAGGGACATACACTCACCGGCCACTTTATTAGGTACACCATGCTAGTAACGGGTTGGACCCCCTTTTGCCTTCAGAACTGCCTCAATTCTTCGTGGCATAGATTCAACAAGGTGCTGGAAGCATTCCTCAGAGAGCTTGGTCCATATTGACATGATGGCATCACACAGTTGCCGCAGATTTGTCGGCTGCACATCCATGATGCGAATCTCCCGTTCCACCACATCCCAAAGATGCTCTATTGGATTGAGATCTGGTGACTGTGGAGGCCATTTGAGTACAGTGAACTCATTGTCATGTTCAAGAAACCAGTCTGAGATGATTCCAGCTTTATGACATGGCGCATTATCCTGCTGAAAGTAGCCATCAGAAGTTGGGTACATTGTGGTCATAAAGGGATGGACATGGTCAGCAACAATACTCAGGTAGGCTGTGGCGTTGCAACGATGCTCAATTGGTACCAAGAGGCCCAAAGAGTGCCAAGAAAATATTCCCACACCATGACACCACCACCACCAGCCTGAACCGTTGATACAAGGCAGGATGGATCCATGCTTTCATGTTGTTGACGCCAAATTCTGACCCTACCATCCGAATGTCGCAGCAGAAATCGAGACTCATCAGACCAGGCAACGTTTTTCCAATCTTCTATTGTCCAATTTTGATGAGCTTGTGCAAATTGTAGCCTCAGTTTCCTGTTCTTAGCTGAAAGGAGTGGCACCCGGCGTGGTCTTCTGCTGCTGTAGTCCATCTACCTCAAAGTTCGACGTACTGTGCGTTCAGAGATGCTCTTCTGCCTACCTTGGTTGTAACGGGTGGTTATTTGAGTCACTGTTGCCTTTCTATCAGCTCGAACCAGTCTGGCCATTCTCCTCTGACCTCTGGCATCAACAAGGCATTTCTGCCCACAGAACTGCCGCTCACTGGATATTTTTTCTTTTTCGGACCATTCTCTGTAAACACTAGAGATGGTTGTGCGTGAAAATCCCAGTAGATCAGCAGTTTCTGAAATACTCAGACCAGCCCTTCTGGCACCAACAACCATGCCACGTTCAAAGTCACTCAAATCACCTTTCTTCCCCAAACTGATGCTCGGTTTGAACTGCCGGAGATTGTCTTGACCATGTCTACATGCCTAAATGCACTAAGTTGCCGCCATGTGATTGGCTGATTAGAAATTAAGTGTTAACGAGCAGTTGGACAGGTGTACCTAATAAAGTGGCCGGTGAGTGTATATTAATCTGAATATTGATTAAAGGTGGGGTAGGAAGGATCTGAGGAGGTACAAGTTTTTGGGAGAAATCTTGAATGTAACCTCTACCCCTCCCAACCAGTTTTCTTTCAGCTCCTCCTCTCCCCTCCCTCTCTGTTCCAGCAAGACCCGCCCACAAACAGACGCTCTTCCTCGCTCGTATCGTTTCAATTAAATTCAGATATAATGCAGATAATGCTTCAGATGATTACAAATGGGGCCCAGTCAATGTGAAAGTAAACAGCATTGGTGCTACTGTAGATGCCAACAGACTACCAGCAAACACAATGTTTGCAGGACTTCAACAACTAGGATAAAGTGACATAGTCCAGGACCAGAGGTAAACTGTTTAGCGGTGCTATGACATGCAGCAGGTCCTGTTTGACAAGAAACACTTCTGTTACAGACATTTGGCTTACTTTGTTAAAGCGGTTTACCTGTCCAGCAGAAAGGTTACAGGGTCCATAAGATCCCGAAGCACGCCCCATCGTTTATGCTGATGTTGACCCGGCTTCTTAGCTCTTGTCTGGTCTACCTCAGTTTTAAGCACCTGTTATTCCGCCAGAGTCTCCAGTATTTACTTCGTTTTATTGCTTGTGTTTTACATACTTTCTGGTTGGTTTCTACCGTCCGATATTGTAGCACGCTAACTTTGTTTGAGCTCGTGAACGATATTGGAGGACGTGGAGCGTGCCTCACAACACGAGGGAGCAGCGTCTGCCTCACAACCAATCAGGTTGGGGGAGGCAAAGAATGGCTTTGTTTACAGTCAGAAAGAGCAGACGGCTCAAGAAATTTAAAATGTTGACTACACAGGCATAACAAAACACAGCGATATTGTTATATTACCAAATGTCATCAATAACTAATAGCTTTTGACTGATATTAAAAGCTTTTTTGTATATATGCAACAAAAAAAGATGCTTTTTAGCGGAATCCTGCCTACCCCACTTTAAAGGCCTAATTCAGAATATCCAAACACAATATGCTGCTTGAAGCTCCCATGAGGAGTCTTTAACTGGTTGTGAAACAGACTTGAAATATTATGATATCTCTATTCTGCATTCAAAAGCAAATTAGACAATAAACAAGAAGACTGCCTCAAATTTATCATGCTACAAAAGAAAGTAAAAACAATGCTCCTCAAGATGTTTGTGGGCATAGTCAGAACTGCTGGTGGGTGAGACAAGCACTCTCTGTCAGCTGTGGGAACAGGCTGGTGCTGCTGAAGGAGCCTCAGGGCTGAGGAGCTTCAGCAGAGGGAGCATTGGTCACAGGGCAGCGTGGTTCTGCCAGCTGGGCCGGGGCTGGGCGAGGTTGGAGGCTAAAGAGAGGCACAATGGCTAATGCCATGGAGCTACACTTATCTCTCCTTATAGGCAGTGGCACTGCGTCTTGTCCCGTGGCCTAGTAAGAAGAGGTTAGAGGATGCAGCTTTAAAAAGAAACGACATTTCATTTTTATGTCTTTGATGCTAGAATTGTTTTAGGGTAAAGAAGCTGGATTTTCTCAGATCTGCACTGTCCTTTGGTTAAACTACAGAGGCATCAAGACTAATTAAAATGATATCAAGTATAATTCCAGCTCAAGATCACAATGGGGGAAGAACCCAGCAAAAAGATTAGCTTTGAAACTGTTTGAACTAATTTCCACATTGGGATCCCTTTTTCTGCAGAAGCTCCAGCTGTTGTTTTCTACACTTTTCATGACCTCAACATTCGTTCACAGGCAGTCTGTGAAGTGACAAAGGACTGGAAGTATGTTAGAAACGGGTAGCACCATCTTTGGGGAGTGCTGGAAGTACTTCCATTTCTGCTGCCGCCGTCTCTGCGCTGACAAAGCTCATCAGTCAGTGCTCTCCAGCTGGACTGTGATCCAATGCACTCTTGACACCAAAGGACATGGAGCAGAGTAAATGTGGATCAAGGCAACGACCAAGACGGGAATGATGGGCAGTGTTTAGCCAATGCAGTGTCAGACTAATTTATCCTTGACTATGCTGTCATCTTGCTACAGAGATGAGTGGCTTAGCCTGGGCAGAGGGTGAAATGAAAATAGAACAAGTTTCTTAGAGTCAAGAGGCAGTATTTCAAGCTGCTTACAACTGGAAGTTAAGCCCATGGTATAAAGCCTTTTTTCAAAATTCCACCCTTTCTCCTCACTATTTCTTTGACGGAGATAAAATGTATTGCAGATTTTAATTAATAGACACATTGCATTAGTAGAAGCTGGAAAATGAGCCAGCCAATGTGATCCCAACTGTGTCACACAGCAGCTTGACTTATCTTCATTCTCATTTGGCTACTGTATTTTCACTGCCCATGATGCGCTTGCCAGCACACTTGGGTTATAGCACAGTCGATCATCTGTGTATTTAACTTCCCCAGTGATGAAAGGCAGAGCTGTTTCATTATAGAGGAAAGAGGTTTTCTTATATATAGTCAGGGCCTGAGGAAGAAAAGAAAATAGAGTGAAGAAAATGAATGAAATGATGATTTCTGTTTCATTTTTTTCCAAGTAGTCAGAGAACTTGATTCCAGAGCCAACAATTTAAACTACTGCAAGCATTTTTACTCATCATGAAGATGAAAAAATATACTGCAAAGACTATGGAATTATAACTAGATTAGATAGGGTAATATTTGCAATGGGAAATGCGCCTGGGGAAATAGAGCAACGTACATGTGCTCGCTCATACAAAAAAGGGAGTTTAACAGTCCAAAACTTTGAAAAAAAGTGCATTTTATCATAGCACAATTCTAGTGTGACAGAAGACTTGAGATTCTTTTAAATAACAAGAAATACTGTATAAACCTGGGGCTTCAACAAGGAACACAAAAGAAGAAAGGCATGTCTGTGTTTGAGGGAAGCTGGCAGGCTGAACAATCTTGAGTGGATAACAAAATCAGACTATCTTTTGCTTTTGTTTTCTAGCTTTGTGTCTGTGCTCAGAGAGGACTGAGCAGCACATAAAATGACCTCAACTATATCAGCAACGATGTTTACATTACATGCTGTTCAATGTTGCTGCATGCAGCTGAGAGGCTAATGAGCCTATCAAGCATATTTAGCATGCTGACATTAGCTTTCCACTCTTCCCCTGTGAATGTTTGTTCGCTGCATGTTCAACAAACAAAAGCGGGGTTGATAAGAAGTTAAAAGGCTTTAAGAGACAAACAGAAAATCTCATTCGGGTTTATGTTCAGAGCTGCTGGTTTTTGTGTCATGTAGCAGGCTAATGTTTGGTTGTTAAGCGCGGCGGTCAGGCTAACACCAACATTTCTGCTCTGTATGCAAAGCTTTTATAAACAGCTTTTATAAACTTGACTGACAGCTAACTTTAATCCAATTTCATAACAAGAATTTGAATATTCTTTTCAGGGAAGGTTATTTGCTGAGTTGGCATATGCTGTGGGGTTTTGCAGATGAAAAACAAGCAGTTTAATGTCACCTGGACTTTGAGAAATGACAGCGGCTAAAGGGAAAACGGAGCACAGCAGAGGACCGGTTCCTCCTGCTTCATCTGCAGCCAGATGGCCGAGTACGACACCTTATAAAAGTAAAACAGAGTGAAGTGAGAGTCTTTCCCTCTGGGACTGTTAAACACAGTAGGACAGAGTTGGGATGAGCAGGGCTCGTCTCCTGGGTACTCTTGTCTCCCTGAGCCGGCTGCTGGGCGCTGAGACAGGGCAGTGTACTACGGATAGGTGTGTGGGCCACAAGATCACAGTAATTACTAAAGGCAATCACAGGATTGGGTAAATTACTGTTATCAGTGACACGTCTATAACAGCCGCAGACATCTGCACGAGCTGACGTCACTGAGTGATAGGAGAAGTTTTGTTTGATTGGTTGAACATGACTAAACATCAATCAGGGTGACCTTTATAGGTCAGTGTGAGGACTGTGAGGTGAGGCATTTTTCACTTCACAGTTTTTACAGTTGAACCTGCAGATGGTGAGGGTTCATTCATGCAAACTCATGACTATTGTTTCCTCATGATTCAAGAGTTTTTCTTGTGTTTTGCAGAACAACAAGTTTATAGTTTTTAAAGCTTTGAGCGTTGATGTTTGACCAAACACTGAGCTCTTATTTGCGTTTTTAACACCGTTTTCCTTCATTGATTTTTCTTATTAAAAGTGCAACTACTGCAAACATAATTTCACTCATTAAACAGCCATTTGTTTAAATTTCCAAACAAGTTACACAAATTAAAATGACAAATTAAGAAGTCATTAGAGACCATACTCCAATCTGTTGTTACTTTATCTACTTTTTTGGAAGCTGTCCGGTTCATTCTTGGACAGAAAGGACGACATATTATGTTTGTGATAAACAGATACTTTGCTATTCAATTAAGAAATATTTTTTGGAATATTTTTAGGAGCAAGAAAATTAGATTTGTGATTAATTCATTCAGCTTTTGTGTCCCTGTAAGTACACTGAATATTTTTTGTTCATTACTTATAATAGAAAAAATACAAAACATGTAGCTGCTGAAAAGACTGAAGCAAACATTGTGAGAAATATTAACTTCCTGAGAACGTGAGAGAGAAAATAATGACAGATAAAAAATTTAGGCATTAAAGCCACGTTTTCCATTCATTCAACTCTCAACTGTGTTTAATTTCTTTCTCTATGACTGTAAGACTGACACTCATCATCATTGTGTGAGCACAGAATGAAGCCTTCTCAGAAGTGTATTACAGATTCCCACATTATCACCACCACCAACGCCTATGGGATTGTGTGGTCGAGTCACAATACTCGTGACAACAATGACAAACGCCTGGCTCGCTTTGGCTCCGAGCATTAAATCATCACAGAGCTATTCCACCAACAAAGCTCGGCCTTGACAAAGCTATTCTACTTCACTCTGTACAAAAATACATCGCAGAAGCTTTCAAATATGCAGAATGTTTTATTTAGCGAAGAACGACTCCAAAAACTCTCCAAATGTGCATTTTAAGCTCCTCAGAGATTTCAATTTTTATGGAAGTCATCCATCTGTGGCTACAACAGTTCTTCTCATAGCTGATTCATACTGACACATAAAATCATCAAAACTCAACCAGGATCTTTGAGCCAGCAAAGGCCCTTTTTTCATATTAATGTCCCCTTCAATCAAATGACAAAAGTACTCACAACTACTGTTACTAATGCAGGGATGTGATTCTTCTGGGTTAATCCAGAATTTCAGAGTGTTTGAGTTTGAGAGGTGGATCTTGAGATCCTGATAAAACCCATTTCAGTTAAGGAGGTCATGAAAAAAGGGAGGATCTCTCCCAGTTGGCCTAAATGTGGGACTACTTTTCATTTTTAAGCATCTATGCTGACATTTATGCTGAGCTCATCCTGCTGTCTTTCAGCTAACAAAAGTGAACCAGGTTAGCTGCCTGCCTTTGCGGTACGCAGTTAGTATCTGTTTGTAAGGAAAGTAGACATTTAAAAGCTGAGTAGTCAATTATTCCCTATAGAGGCTGGTGAAGATCATATAGCTAAAAAGAAAACAGTGTTTTCGATAATATTGGAATTGCAGTCTTACCTTGTCCAAAAGTATGACTCTAACTGATGTGAATGTTGCTCTTTGAATTTACACAAAAAAGCAGCTGTTACCTTAAAGGATCACTCAATCCACTTAAACCTAAGTCAAGGTTTTCCTAGTGTGTTTTGCTAATAAGAAAGTCCCAAGTGGTTGGGATCGGACTCCACTGCTGCAGCAGGTAGAGAGGCAGGAGATGCTTTTTCTTTACAGACCAGTTTCTTGGCACACATACAGTATGTAGAAGTGGGTTCTCAATCTATAGACGGCATCACAGGGAAAGGAATGATTTTCAAATATGCAGTCAAGTCATATGATATATAGATCCAATCATAGTAAGAATAGGATGGTATTTGTTAAGAATAAGGCAATGTACTGACACAATTGCATTGGTTTAGTGCAGAAAAGATTGTGGTAAATCAGAATATTTTTTGTCTGCCAAAACAAACCCTCACTATACAATACAGGATTTTGCACCTAACTTTAGGAACTCGTCCAGCATTTTCTTGGAGCCTTTTCCTGACTCCCATTATTTTTATACTGAGGGATTTCTGACTAAGTTTCTGGCAAAAAATCCAGACATTCAGACCTAAAACAACAATCAGCAATTCTCCTCTTTAATACCGAAGAAAAATATCTGGATGTAACCGCCAAAAATTCTACTATGTTTAAAACCTGATTGCCAACTTTGTGTTTTGGTGTTTGGTGCTAAACAGGAAGCCCACCCTTAATAAAAACGGAGCCTGTTGTGATCAAAAACTGTTAAAAGAAGACAGTGGTAATGATCAGCTTCGTGTCAGACATTTATAGGCTAAAAGACACTGAAACACTGTGGAAATTCTATGGGGGTTTGTTGCTATGAGCAACCTGAATTTCATTTCACACGTTTTAATCTTGTCTTAATGGAAATATTGATTGCTATAGCTTTATTTACACAGGCTTGACCCACAAAACACCCCAACTAAGACACCAGGAACTCTACTGCACATGTTTGACAGAGTAATGCTCATAAAAAAGGATTAAAAATTTCTGTTTCAGTACATTAAAAAATAGGCAAATAATGATGCTTCAGTGAATTGTCACCCAAACTTGCAACACAATGTTTGGCCTTTTTAATGAGCATATTTCCATGGTCTTATTTACAGCCAACAAACAGTCCTATCAACTTAGTTAAGACTTGAAACAAAGACATTGTCTGGTTCCTCTAAAACCAGACCAAGTACAGTGGATGAACACATTCATCCTTCACATTGTGTTTTCAGGATAAGTAATATATAGTAAATTGATCAATGATTATAGTTACATGATCATCTTTAATAAACTAATTATTGCATTATCACTGTATCAGAATAACAATGTTATCATGTGCAATCTATTCCATATTGTATCATATTGCATCATATGGTATGGTATGGATACTGCAACTACTTGGGTATAGTATAGTATAGTATATAATAGTATATAACAGTATAGTATAGCATAATATAGTACACTATAATATAGTGTAATATTATGTAGTGAAGTATGGTATGGTATATTTTGCCATGGTATGGTGCAGTATACTATGGCATGATGTCCTATTAGGAGTCATCTGGACATTTCTACCCCTAATTGACGACACTTTTTTGGCACAGTTAATAATTGCAGTCAGCCTTTCACAAAATTGTTGATACTTTTCAGAAAAAACTCCCCAACACTGTCATAAGCTTTCACTGCAGCACCTGTCTTGTAGCTTGAAGTAAATGAGATGTTATTGTGAGACTGACCCTTAGACTAAGTATTTGTTCAATTGCTACTATCTACAATAAGGAAGTGTTGGTATAGCGGAGGCTAAGATAGCGCAGATGAGAGCTGAACCTGAGACTGATGAACACAGAGTAGGCTGCGTTTCTCAGAGTCCCCTCTGCAGGAAGGACACTCATTTAGCAGATTGATGGGGCGCTTTATTGCCTTCCACCTCTCTTCCTACTTTCCTACCGTTCCCTCATCTCCTCCCTCTCTTTTATACCTATTTCCCTCTTTATCTCCTCCTCCCTCTCTCTGTCTGCATCTCTCTCTCTCTCTCTCTCTACTCATGTCACACACAAACACTGTAAATTCATGCACACTCCTCATTCTCTGTCTGTTCTCTTAAACTAACACACACACACACACACTCTCACACATATATACAATCTTCTGGCTCTGTGATTGCTTGGCAGACTTTCCCTTCACCTCCTCAACACCCTTCATTCCACCTTATTGGTGCTTAAGCAACAAGATTAACATGCAATGGAGAAACGCCGACACACACATGCACACACAAACACATATGCAAATTTCCAATAGTCGTCTCATTCATGTTTTAATCAGGGCTGCAACCATCAGTGGTTTTCAGTAACAATCTACCTGTTGGTTCTTTACTGATATCTTGCAATCCACACCCCTAATTCATAAGCTCACCTTTTAGCTGTGTCGTTTTTATTCACATAAGTATGGATTACACTGCAAATCCCCGCCCCCCCTTTACCAGATAAAGTTAATACATGTACACAAAGCTGATGCTACTTACAGTCACCAGGTGGCCAAAAATCTGACTCCAAATAATTTGATTTGATATCAAAAAGCATCTTTTAGTGAATTCCACAAACTAAACATTGATCTGGGTTAATTGTTTTGGTTTTAGTGTGTTCTAGCTCATCCACAATACATTTTTTTTAACCTTAAATCCCTGTAATATCCACCTTAAAATGGTCCAACATTTGACAAGAAAATAGCAAATCATAGTGCAAAGATTTTGCACTCAACTTCCAAGGATGTTCAAGGAGAGTCAATGCTTCCCCCGGCCTTTCATTTGGATGCACACCTGCAGCTGCACCTACTGTACATGCACCAGCTTGATGGTATCTTTACACTGCAAAATGCATCCCTCCTACAGACCGTATGTAATCACTGTAGGTTAGGAAGGGAGATAGTTTAAGAAAAGGCACTAACATTCTTGAGCCAACAAACAAATATTTTTGGAAAGTGTGAAAAAAAATGCTATGTTAGAGGTGCAAATTTATTCTGATGTCCAAAACACACAAACACGTGTTTTAACTTGAGGGTCTTTTTTTTTTCCAAGCACCACTTTTGCAGTCAAAAAAGATCTCAAGAGTGGTTGCACTTGACAAATCAAATCAGTGATCAGCTGCAAAAAAAAAAAAAAAAAAACACACAGCCTCATGCATAAATAAGAGACTATCCCTCTGGCCCTTCTGTGCTTGACACACCTGATCCTGCACACACACACGCATGCATGCACACACACACGCACAGTGAAGTCTTATCTAACCAGCTAAAAGTGCTCTCATATGATAACTTATTCATGTGTGGGAACATGTAAGAAGCAGACCATAAATTACAGGTGACATATGGATTTTATCCCCGGGAGAGAAAGTGACGTGCATATGAACACACAGCTGCATCCACACGCCACTCAATGCCACTGAGCTCATTGCCCCTCGCTGACCTGAGAGAGGCCAAGGGCAATAAGTGATGAGTGAGTGTGTTAGTGACCCTGGAGAAACTCACTATAATACAGCATCCATGTACTATCAAGCATTTTTCTCACCCTGCCTCCCCTCCCCCCTCTGTGTCTGTATCTGCAGTTGAATACGACACTGTCTGACTCACCAGCTGCTCTCCCAGAACAACGCGATTGTGTTCACACCGTCTGGCTAAGACAATGCAGGTTTTGTTTCCTTTTTTTGTTTAGTCTGTTTGATGTCTGAAGAGGCATAAAGTAGCCTGAGCCCTTTCCCTCAAACCCCTGTGATTAAATGAATCACCTGACTCAAAGCTAGTTCTGAATTAAAGCTCCTTCTCCGCCTGTGAGTCTTGCTAGAATTGTGCGTCGATGGATGCTGTTCCCACAGAGGGACCATTAATAGTGTGGTGATCATCATTGATTTCCCCCAGGTAATCATCATTTGTCACATTTTAGACATCCGAGGGTTTAATGCAGCATCACAAATGGCTTTCTGATTAATAGGAACAATGCTCCGAGGAGGCAGGAACACAGAGGCTGCTCTCACAAGATCTGTGGTGCCGCAGCTCTGCCAGGACTGCCCTGCTTTGTCGCTTCCACACAAATTCAAATATACAGCTAATGTGAAGCACAACAGCACTGTGGCCCCGAGCAGAGGGTGCTAATTCAGGCTGAACAGCAGAGCAGAGAAACAAGACACATTTGGGCTAACAATTCTTAGCTTTCAGAGCACACACAGGGAGGTGCAGACCAGTGTGTGCTTCCATGCAAGCCTATCAAAATTTAAACATGCAGCATAACTCTTCTCTGAGGCTCTACTGCTTTACCTATTTTCAGTGCATTTGTCATGTGGATTGTAAGTACCTAAAAAGAAGAACCACATTGTTTACATGCACCCCTTAAAGGGATATTCCGCGTAAAATTAATTTAAGAATAAGAAGAATAAGAAGAACTTTATTGATCCCCAAAGGGAAATTCAATTGTCTGTTGTCTCACATAATATGTCCATAAAAGTTATCTATTATTTACATAAGAGTTATAAAGTCTGATGGCTGTTGGTACAAAAGATCTTCTACATCTTTCTGTCCTGCAGCGAAGAGAGAGGAGCCGTCCACTACCATTGGCCTTTTGGTCCATCAAGATGTTGTGAAGTAGGTGATTCATGTTCTTTAGAATAGACTCCACCTTCCTCAGTGTAGATCTCTCCACCACATCCTCCACTGAGTCCAGCTTGAGTCCAACCACAGAGCCAGCCTTTTTCACCAGTTTGTTAAGACGTCTTGCATCTTTGTGTTTGATGCTTCCTCCCCAGCAGACTGCAGCGTGGAACAGAACACTTGCCACCACAGACTGATAAAACATCTGCAGCGTCTTACTGCAGATGTCTATTGATTGGAGTCTTCTCAGGTAAAAGAGGCGACTCTGACCCTTTCTGTAGATGTAGTCTATATTCTTAGACCAGTCCAACTTATTATCCAGATGTACACCTAGGTATTATTAGGGTCAAACACTGAGTTAGACACTACCTCGAGGGATGAATGTTGCAGAACGTTTGCTTCTTTAGTTATACCAACTTTAGTTATGACTGCAGGATAGCAATACACAGCGGTTTGAGGAGCCATAAACAAACCTCAACCAAAACGCCACTCTATAGCCACAAATAATGCTCAGAACAGCACCTAACTTCATCAACAGTACATATAGGGTCCCATCCACCAAACATCTTTTTAACTTTGCCTAATTTCTTCAGCAACGAGACTAAACACAACTCACCCACTCTCTTCCAGCAGCTGCTTGTTTGTAGCGAGACCTCAGGCCAGGCCATTATGGACTACAACGGAGTGACGCAGCTCAAGGAAGAACATTTATGATCATTTTTTTATTGTTGCCTTGTAATAATAATCATCATGTGTGGCTATAGAGTGGCCTTTTGGTTGAGGTTTGTTTATGGCTCCTCAGACCGCTGTGTATTGCAATTGTGCGGCTGTTACTGTAAATGGTATAACTAGAGAAGCAAGCGGTCAGCAACATTCATCTCTCGAGGGGGTGTCTAACTCTGTGTTATGGTGTATTTGACCCTAAATTGATTTTATGCCGGAATATCCCTTTAAATGAAAAGGAATGCTAACAATTTGCTATCTTTCTGCATGCCGCTCATTTACAGACCTGCATACACCTGTCACATATGTAACTGAGCATGAAGCAGCTAAATGCTAATGCCAGAATACTCAAAATAAAAAAGCAGGGTTAAAAAGATGTAACGTTTGCCATAAAAATACATTAAAACCCTCAAAAACAAAAGCCAACCTGAAACAAAAAGCATGGAGGTCTAGAGGAGAACTGTGCATCCCTTTAAAGTTCAGAGAATCGTAGAGAAAACAGCGTACTTGACCTAAATCCAGCGCCACTCGGAATAAACTATTCCAATAGCTGTGGGCTTTGTGCTGCTCAGCTTAGAGAGACTTTGTAAAAAGCTCAGAGATGCCCTCCTCCTCAGCAGCAGCAAAGGTCAGGACCTCGGACAGCTCCATCAACCCTGACCTCTCTGCCAATCAGCACCAAGAAAAAAAAAACCTTCTGTCATTGTAGCAAAAGGAGACTTAAGCATTCAATAAGTGCAGATCTCTAACCCTCCATGGAGCCTAAACCTTTGGCTTACACTCAGCTTCAGATCTCACATCCTCTCCAGCTGTATCTCATTTAGTGCCGCTGGGTAAAAAGGTCAAGGGTCAAGCTGTTTTGTCTCTTCATCACACTTAGGATGACACTAAGATCTGGAGATAACAGCCTTCCCTTTAATCTCCCTGGCATGAGTCTAATGTAAATGAAAGCCTGCATATGCGTCTTTACTTTTTAGACGCACAAGACTTCAGAGAGGTCAGAAGCAGCTCAAACAGAAAGAAAAAGCAGATTTTTCACAGTCAGCTGTCGGAAAAGTGACAAAAGACCCAATTTTCACCTGACAGTCCATTATGTGAACATACAACCCGCGCTGTTATAGGATTGTCTAGATGGCGGCATATGTCAGCTTTAATGGTGCCTCTCCAGATGTGTGGGCTACCCATGCCACCGGCACCTACACTGAACAGCCATAACATTAAAGACACCTGGGTAATGAAATGCAGCTCAACGCATCAACTTTTCTTGATTAAACTGCACAGACATGACTTTGATTTCCTGTCATGACCACTTGTCTACCATAAATTCTAAGTTTAATGGTTTAAAAAGAAACATAACTACACCATGAGTTTTTAAAAATATACTCAAAATAAGAAAACCTTCTTGGAGCAGCGTTGGTGAATTATTCATTCATGCACTGGTAAACCAAACAGCACAACATTTTTCAAGGCAACAGATCAACATCAGCATGTCCTCCCAAAAACACCCAATTACCCAGGATACCACACAGACACACAGAAACCAATCGACCCAATCACAACCGGTTACTTTACTAAACAGGGATTTTTTTACTTTACTCTAAATTTATTTTGAGAGATTCATGGAAAATGCATGCTCAGTCAACAGATAAGAAAAGAAGAGTGGAAGCATTTCACAGAAATTAGACCACACAAGGAGCTAAGTGAACGAGACATCTACCAAATTGAAGAAAACAGAAACAAGTAATCACAAACTGGGTTTTGGTTGAGTTAGAAGAAAACGCAAACAGAATAGTCACTGGGAGGAGGATCTTGTTTAGGTGTTTGTTTGTTTTTTCTGCATCTGTTGTCCTCAAAGTAAAACTAATGTTTTGACTTGAGTTTAATGTGATTCGTAACAGAACCTCTTCAGGTCATGTTCTTGTTTTGCCCTGTTTGGATTCTACTTTGCATAACCACCAGCTTACTACATGCTATCCCTTACATAACCACATCTACTCTAAGTTAAACATAATGTGCATCCTGAAGGATTTAAAGAAGTTCACACATGTTTTGCTCTCTGAAATACATCTGGTTTAAGTGTCAGATTAGCTTTTTTGGCTGAGGCACTTCCACTCTGTACACATTGACTCCTGGCTCAACCCCAGGGCAGACCTTACGCCTTTTTTGCACCTCTCCACTCTGTCTTCACATATTTCTAACAAGAAAAGTGGCAGAAAGAGATCAAGTCTCTCCGCTTTTGCCGGTAAATCCTACAATAATTAGGAAAACTCAAAATAATTTGCAAAGCTCTTCTGATCCACGTGTAAGGTTTTAAAGATACCTGCACACACTCACACAAAGCGGAGGCTTTAAATAAGCCCCTTCTGTTTGATGTCCTATCTGGTCAGCGGTCGGTTAATGGAGTTTTAGTTCACCGTGTTTGTAGTTTAAGTCTAGATTTGTATTTTAAAAAACACTTGTGCCTCTCATGATTGTACATCAGTCATAACTGCTCTGTACTCTAGACTGATTTAGATTAATCCCTGTCTCACTTAGCCATGACAAACAGATGAAGACATTTGAAGTGCAGCAAAATGCTCCCATTTTCGAACAGTTTTTCAAAGTTCGTAAAAAGTTTAAGCATTTATTTATTTATTTTTTACATTTTTAATGGCACAAAACCAAATCACAAACAGCAGACACGATACTTAAAAACCGTTCATGGTCTGCATAAGTAGAGACAATTAAACACAAACCCACAAAACACAGGGGGCCTTCACAAACCTTCAGTCATTGTGTATGTACTGTATAAAAAGGCCCCAAGGTCTACAACAACTCCACATCTTTCGTTTAACTGCAACATTTTCTCTGGTAGCTGGCTGAGTCAATGACTTCTGAGACAGGAGAGAAATAGAAAAAGGAAAATAAAGCAGGCAGGGAAGACAGAGCCAGGCAGACTGAGAGAAAAGAAGTGTGTGTATGTGAAAGATTTAGAGGTAGAGATTGAAAATTCATAAAGGCAGAAAAGGGCTTAGCTCCAACCCAAAAACATTTGGCTATTTCACTGACAGCCAAGACTTTGAATTGATTTCAAAGAAGAAGAAAGCCTTCACCAAAACTCCCCCTGAATACATTACATTAGAATAGTCGCATCAGATTGGCTCAGGAGAGACAAGACCACCTCTTGAAGAGCAAGTCTGACGTAAACCCAGACGACTAAAGCTCTGTCAACTCTGTGGATTTGATTCCTTTCAATTAACTTCTCAGGCGCATCTAGAAGTTTCCTGTAGACCAAGTTCCTTCAGAGGCTTCCTCTGGTGTTTTCAAAGGCATCCCAAAGAAGTGTCTGAATAGGTGGTGACTAACGCTGGTGGAAAAGACAAGGGCAGCTGTCGAAATCAGTGACAAGGAGGGGGTCAAGAGTTATCAACCAGGAAAATCCCTGGATTCACATGACAATAACCTCTTTAAATGATATAATGCCAACAAATGACAAACAAAAATGCTAAGCAATGTTCATGCCAAAAGGACCTTAATTGGTGAACCTATTAATCGGCCAGTCTCCAATCCATACGGCATGAAAAGCAGGGTGTAAAAGTGAATACAGGCTTTAATCACTAAAAAAGGGCTCACTGTCCTCTCTCCGGATAAAGCCACATGTTATCATCCATCCTCATTACATATTTAAGTCACTTGACGGTCATACAAATTGAAGAAATGCATACGAAAGCAAAATGAAACATACCATAGAAGATTTGTTTTAAACTGCGCTTAAAGGGCAATCAGAGTTCAGTGCCTTGCTCGGGGGCAACATTGGAATTCAGTACAAACACAAGCAGAAAATGCTAATGTAGTTAAATGAAAGTTAAGCCATGCATGGTGACAAAGAGATATAAAAAGGACATGTGACTGTGACCTGAGTCACTGAAGCAGGGACATGGTAAAATGATGGTGCCCGTTGACTGTCACAGTTACCCTTATTTTAAGCATGATTACACCAACTTTAAAAACCAAAGATATCTGTTTATGACAGAACATACAAGTGTGTTACTAATCTGAGATACAGTTTATTTATCCCTAAAGCTGAAGTGACACGAGAGCTGCTTTTTATCCCAAGTCCTTCCAGAAAAGCTGTCTAATTATAAACCCAGTATTTACCTCAGGTCACAAACTTACAACAAAGACCCCGGCACGATGTCCTGGCTCGTCACGCAGCTCTCTCCAGCACAATGTCTTCTCACTTCTCCGGTTTCACATGAATTATTCATAGCGGCAGAGATAAGGAATTATGTAAAAGAAGCGGCACATAAATCTCAGTGGTTAGGAATAGTTAATCAGAGCATCCCAGGGGGAGGTGATAACACTGGTTGAGACGGCTTCTGAAAGTTACTTTTTCGGCTTTGCAGCTCCCCGTGTGTGCCGTTCAGGTGTAAGTGTGTGAGCTGGATTTCAAAGGCTTTTTCTGCCATTGTCAGGACTTTGGACACCTGATTTTGTGGCAGCTTTTTTTATAAGATTGCAATGAAAGTTTTGATGTTTAAAGGCCTTCGTTAGCGCAACACACGATACCCATTATGTGCAACTCCATCAGACGTTTGTTCACTCTGTATCAAATTCAGTGTGAAAAAGGCGAATAAAAGCGTGAAAAACACATTTAAGAGCTGTTAATTACTCAGTTTGCTCTGTGTATACCCATTACAATGAGCACAAAGGAACATTTACACTGAATGTAGTGCGTTTGTGCAGTTCAGTAAGTCATTTCCACTGCTGCGATATTAACAGGTAGAGACACATCCTCTGATCTGTCAACACATTGGATGTCAGGTCTGTTGCTTTAAGCATCCAAGATATATCAAAGACAACGACCTCAGGTTTTGTCTTTTGGCAAGGCTAACCTAAAGGGACTATTATACATAAATATTATGAAATATATTTAATACAAATGAATTCTATCATATTGTATTTTATCATATTGTATTGTGTCGTATTGTCCTTATCGTATTGTATTGTACTGATTGTTTCCTATCATGTCATACTGTCAGTAATTCATTGCTTTAAATTGTATCAAATCATCCTGTATCATGTCGTACCAGATCGTATTATATTGCACCATATGGTATTGTATCATGTCGTACTGATCGCATTGTACCATCCTGATCATATCATATCCTATCAAATTATATCGTATTATACTGATCATATTGTATAACATTGTATCAGCCTGGATCATATCACATTGTGTGATCGATAACCAATAATCATCAGTTAAGACTGATGAATCAGCTCCATTGGTGACAGAAAAAACAGAGAAAAAAGACAAAAGAGCAAAGATCAAACCCTCCTTTTTGACTCCTCCAAACACTTAAGTGCCTGGTCCACACGGTGCGACTTCACCCAAGTGCTAAATCTCACTACCTGTGCAGCTTAGGTTCACACATAAAGACACCAACCGCACACCGACCTCTATCATCCCATCTGCTCGGGAAATATCTGTCTGCAGAAATGGGGTGGATTACGTTGACCCAGTGTGACACGGGTTACTGGAGCAAAGCGAGTGTCAAAATGTGACAAATCTTGCTGAGCCCTTGGTTCCCAAGTCGCTTTTGTCCATTCCCACCTCCATACTAAAGAGGCACTCTGTCACAGGGAAGTGTAGCAGTGAGGGATGTGGCTGTTGTAACAGGAACATGGTGTATTTTTTAAGGGAGATGACATAAAATGAGACTCTTTGAGGGAAATATACAGTAGTATATGCTGTCTTTAAATTCATATCAGTGTATTCCCAGGAGATGACGGATTCTGACGCTCATCATATTGATCTAAAAGTTTGTGAGACTGGCAGGACCTGAGGCAGGCTAGAGAGACGAGACTTACAGGGACAGGAAAGGGTGTGAACATGAATCTGCTCTGACACGGTGGCTCTGTAATGTGTGAGGCCAGAGTGCACAGGACTGATATGTTGTAGGTAAAAATGGTCCAACATTAGACTGGTGTTAATTATGGAGCCAAAGGCTTTGCTAAAACTGCCTTTCATAATGAGAACTTTGGAGTGCTAAAATTGGATTTAACTGGAAGGTGGTTTAGGGAATTGCCTTGCGACTCACAATACCAAACAATATACACGGTAGGCAATATCTTCGATACGATAAGATACTGTGATCCTAAAAATACTGCAAGATAATCGGAATAAGATTTGTTACCATGTCTGTCATAGAAAAATACCCACATGCCCTTAAAAATACAAACAGAAGTATTTCTGAAAGGCCACATTTTAAAGAATATTGGGATGACGTGGGATGACAACCATTTAAAACACACACACGCTCATTTTCAAGTTAATGCCAACAGCATGTTTCCAAAAACACTGGAAACTTCAAGAAAGCCCAGAAGATCAGCTTCTGTGTTTTGAAAGTGAGATGCTGTTTTTAATTCTTGTCTGATTTAACATTTCAAGCAGCTCATCAGTTTGGGGTTGTACTTTTTTTGTTTCATGACGCACCAAGTATTTTCAGTGGTTGACAAGCTGGGACTGCAGACAGGCCAGTTTAGCACCTGGACCCTTCTACTACGGAGCCATACTGTTGTTCAAAACAACGTCTGTGTCTGGATGGCAGCATGGCATTTTTGCATCCTCTCACCATCGCAAAAGCTGTCTTTTAAACTCAAAGGAGTCATTTGTTGTAGGAAGTTGTGCCGTTTAAGTTCCCTCAAAGCAAGAATTTGACACTTAGACCAAAGACCAAGCTGCTGTTTGAGATATTGAGCTAGCTCTCTGCTGAGTAATTCAGACAACATCAAGCCAGCTATGCGTTATCTCCTAGACAAACTAGACTAGGTTTTTTTTTAAACTCAGTCTTCAATTATTCACAGGACAGGCTTTTTTTATGTTCCCCAAAATAATGATGGTCAGAAATGTTCCCTGATAAAAGCGCTGATTCAGAAGAGGTAAAGTCCATCACAGCGCTCAGCCTCCAAGCATTAAGGTTTCCCTCTGAGTGCCAACAGTCTCTGTATGAGTCATCACAGCTTTCTTTAGACCTGCTCAAAATGAAACAGGACAGTTATTACGTGGACAAATATACGTAGGCTATGCGGCAACACAAAAGAGGCCGCAGAGTCCTCTTGTCTCATCATTCATCTCCGGTCGATCCGTTTTGACACGTGTTTGTCCGTGTTGAGAGGTTGAGAGGTGGGCCAGCTTTGCATGTTTTCTGGATCACCTGCGTGTGCCCCTGCGTGTCCGTCCCCTGCATGTTTTGATGTGCAGCAAAGACATCTTTCTGGATAATTAAAGCTGTGAGTGCAGACTGACGTGTCCTGCAGTGAGAGAGGAGTGCTCACAGAAGCATAAGTCTATCTGTGTCCAACTTTGGCTGCTGTGATCTTGTACTGTTGACCTCATTTATTCAGACAGCCTCAATCCAGCATTATTTAAAGGGATATTCCAACGTAAAATTAATTCAGGGTCAAACACACTGTAACGCCGCGTTGGACACCCCCTCGAGAGGTGAATGTTGTCGACCGCTTTCTTCTCTAATTATACTAACTTTAGTAACGACCGCACAATAGCAATACACAGCAGTCTAAGGGTCCATAAACAAACCTCAACCAAAACTCTACAGCCATAAATAATGCTCAAAACAGCAGCTAGCTTCCTTAACAGTACATATAGGGTCCTAGCCACAGCACTAGCCAGCCAACATCTTTTTAACATCGCCTAATTTCTTTAGCAAAGAGACTAAACACAACTCACCTACTCTCTTCCGGCAGCCGTTCGTTTGTAATGAGGCCTCGGGCCAGTCCCTTACGGACTACAGCAGGGGTGATGCAGCTCAAGGAAGAACATTTATGATCATCTCTTCATGGAAATGCAAACAGACCGAGATGCTATGGCAGAAGAACTACAGCGTCTGCAGAGCAAAATGATTAATATGATGATTATCACTTCAAGGAAATGATAAAGTAATGATCTTTAATGTTCTTCCTTGAGCTGCGTCACCCCACAGCAGTCCTTAATGGACTGGCCTGAGGTCCCGCTACAAACAAGCGGCTGCGGGAAGAGAGTAGGTGAGTTGTGTTTAGTCTCTTTGCTAAAGAAATTAGGCAAAGCTAAAGGATGTTTGGTGGCTAGTACTTTGGCTAGGACCCTATATGTACTGTTGATGAAGTTAGGTGCTGTTCTGAGCATTATTTGTGGCTATAGAGTGGCTTTTTGTTGAGGTTTGTTTATGGCTCCTGAGACCGCCATGTATCGTTATCCTGCAGTCGTTACTAAAGTTGGTATAACTAGAGAAACAAGCGGTCAGCAACATTCATCTCTCAAGGTGGTGTCTAACTCGACATTACGGTGTGTTTGACCCTAAATTAATTTTACACCTGAATATCCCTTTAACCTCAGCATGTGTGAGTAAAATCTGAAAAGCTGACTAAACAATACAGACATTTCAGCTGTTCGACCTCTGGTAAAAAGAGTGTGTAGAGTTGTCGGCTGGTGATAATGTGCATTTAATTTATTGTACGGTGATGTAATTGCTATCATTATGGTAATTTTAGGGTGAAAAGCAAGGACAAAACTTCCCCTTTAACCCCCAGGGTTAGACAGCTCCAACAAAGCAGCAGGTATAATTAGTATTCTAATTGGGGGCAGGGCTATCAATTATGTTGTCCAACAGTGATATGCTACAGTGTGAACGCTCAGGTCCTGTCTGTTTCCCTGTTGTTTCATTATGTCACTGTGACAACAGAGAGATGTACATCTCCCAACAATCTACCTGAGAGCTGCAGCTCGCGGTGCTCTCACAAGCGCTCTCTTATCTTCCCTGCTGCATAAACGCTTCCCTCATGTTCTTCCCCTCTTTCATCTCATTGTCTTCCTCACACCCTCCTCCTCGCTCACAGCTTAACACAAAACGGGAAAAAAAGTGCTGACTGTGAGAGGGATGACGCAGTAAACATAGCAGCTCTGAATATCTAAATTAAATGTGGCCTTGTGTATCGTTTGAATTATTCATAGCGGTAAACTGGATGCAGCTGCTACTACAGGGTGAGAGAAGATTTCTGAGTAACAGTAACAGTCAGGTAGATTACTCCTTTTTACTCACCACTGTGTTAAATTACACTTAATGAACTGTAGTGCTTTAAAACCAGCCACAGACATGGATTAAATCAGTTTTAAAAGTGCTCACCGGCCCACAACAGCACTCCAGATTTAATGACATACTTTAAATCAGTTTTAACCAATCAACTCTAACATACAACACTTAATAGATAATCCAGCAAACGTGGATAAACAATATACCAGTATACATGATAAAGACTATGATTTGCCTTACTGTTAATGAGAGGTGCTAAGTGACGAGACTTAATCAATATTTATATTAATAAAATGATCCCTGATTGAGACTCCAAGAATTAAAGTCAATAAGCAGATATATGGTGATATGTATGAAACGACCTTCCAATGCACTAGAGAGAGCAGTGCGTAAGAACACTCTGTACCCTGGTGAGAGGTGCGTTTCCACTATATGGAAATTTTTGCCAGGGTTGGTTTGCTTTTTTATTTATTAGTTTGTTTGTTTGTTCGTTTATATTTTGGTTGTGTTGTTTGTTTAAACCTCACTGTCATTTTCTTTGTCTTAGGCGTTGCTGTTGGGTCACACCATGACTACATATTGAGTTAAAACACTATCTAGAGACTGTTTTAGATAAATGCTGATAGCATGAGATGGGAAATATTGGTTTCCATTGAGGAAAGGTGACTGCAATATGATGCCAATAATCATCCTGATTGACTGGCTTATTTCTACCAGATAAATTGATACTTTCCTTTATGGTTCCCAGATGATGTGTCCTTGCACCACCATAGGGGTTAAAAGGCTAAGTGTAAATAATACTATCAAAAAAACAAAGAAATGGTCCCCAGATGATTCATCATCCATTTCAACCATCATTTGATGTATCCTTGCACAACCATGAAGGTGATAAATTTGGTTAAAGTAAAGCTATTGGACGGATTGATCTGAATTAAGGTTCACACATTCATGCACTCAGGAACGTTTTATTCTCTACAGACTTACTCTTTGTTTTAAATGTTAGCAAGCAAATTTTAAAGTTAAAATTCTTTAAAAGTACTGAGGCCAAACAAATCTATGTACAATATCCATGTACACATATTTATAAAGCATTATCAATGGAAGTCATTTTTGTCATTATGAATGAAATAGCTGAGATTTGTCTTCGAAAATAAAAACCCTGAAATTTTTTATATTTTTTTTGTACTAAAAAGTCATAATTGTAAAGCAAAAGGTCAAACTTAGCCTGCTGGTTGTCACAGACAAGAATTGTTGTAGCAGAGTACACCCACATTTCCCAGTTCACAAGTTATACACTTCTCTGCAACAACATGAAAAGCCACATTAAATTTATTTACTGCTTTAAGAAATGCAAATGAAGTGAACTCTGACACTGTGCATGTTTTATCCCCTTACTTACTAGTGCTCTGCTTTTATATTAGACATATCACCTATGGCACAGTGTCAAACTGCGTAAATTAAAAGCTTTTAGTGCTTCCTTGTGCTCATTAGCATAAGCAGTGAACAGCGGGGACTGAGGCAGCTCTTTAGAAGACTGAGATAACCTCCTGAAATGACAAGCCTTGAACCTCACCTCCTGGAGGTTTACGGGAGACACAGAGGGAGTGATCTCGGCTGCCGTTTGAATGAGGGCACCTGGTGTGGGCCGTTGTTCTATCCACCCCTCCCTCTGAGCCTTTAAATCTCATCCACTTCATGAGAGTCACGTCTCCACTTAGATAATGAATTATGGATCCTAGCCAGGGTGATATTCAATTTTAGATGAACTGCATATCTTCATTTGGTGACAGTGCTGTCGCTGCCATAAGGGACAATCCCTTCTCAGCAGCATGAAGCCAGATACAGAAGAAAAGCTCATTACTATCTATATTCATGATGGGGTCGTATGCAGTGTGCACGTGCTGTGTGCATGCAGCCTTGTGTTGTCCTCACGCTGTGTTAGTGCCTCCAGTGTGTGTTTGTCTGTGCGTGTGTGTTTATGCGAGTGTTGGTACTCCGCACAGGAATGCGAGAACAGAAGATTTGCTCACCTCCCGAGCAGGCAGGTTAATTCTGCATGGTCTTTCGAAACGGGAGGAGGAAGATAGAAGTCACTATGGTCGCTACAGAAAGCAACCGGCTGTTGTTCCTTCTGCCTGAATACACATGAGTGGCCAGACTGATCTTTTCCCTGCTCTTTCTGCTCTGGAAAAGACTAAGATGCTGAACACAGACATGTATAGTACATTTATGAGAACACGGGCCGATACTCTGTCTGAAGGCCCAGCCGAGCGTTAGCAAATGCAAAAAAAAAAAAAGAAAAAACATCGTGACGAGTGGCCTTTTACTGCTGAGCCAGTGCTACACCCTACTGTAGACATTAGTCTCAGTTCAGAGAGTATTACTGCTCTGATGGTGCTTGTTTGTGTTTCTACATTCAGGCCATTATTCCGCTAAAGTGTTCAGCTAAAAATAGTCTGGCATTTTAAAGGTTAAATGGCTATTGCATAATACTGTATAACCTGAGATGCACTACACTCAACAACAAAGTCTTTTATAAAGATAGATACAGAAAAAGGAAAAAAAGCAGACACAAGCATACTCTTAGTATATCACAGCATTGCAGAGAAAAATCAGAATATTTCTCATGATAAAAAACGTATTTAAAGTAATTTTTAATACTTAAAAAAAAAGTCATTAAAGATAGAAAAAAGGTAAAATTCTTCTGAAGTACAGAGGCCAAAACAAATCTTTTTGAAAAAATAAGTGTCATTATAAATAAAACAGCTGAGATTTTTCTTTGAAAATAAAAACCCTGAAATGTTAAATCCTTTTTGTGATAAAAAGTAATAATTGTAAATAATTGTAAAAAAAAAAAGAAAGTTATAGTGGTTAGACAGTATCTCATAGTTATGAGATGAAAAATGAAGAGTTTACAAGGGTTAGAATAAGATCAAATAGAAAGTTACAAGGCTGTTTTACTTTGTAATTATGAATTTTTAAAAATTATTTCAACTTTATGTCTTACTTTCTCATAATCATAATTAATTAACTCATTAAAATGACTTTGTATAAGTTTTATTTTCATCTGGGCCAATACTCCCCTCATTATTTTCATTTTATAACTATCTCAAGCTGAATTTTAGAAACTTTTGAAAGATTTATAAAGTCAAGTCAATTAGAGTGAGAATTAAAAGAGAATTTGTGATAACAAAAATCATGTATGAATGATTTTAATAGAGACTTAATGATGTTCCATGTCTCTCTACAGGAGGGATAATCAGCAAAATCATTAAATCAAGTCAATATGAAGCTTTTTCCAGAGTCTGATTTTCAGATTTAATTCTCTTAAACAAACAGCCTCAACAAGAGAAGCTGTAAAAATGTATCATTGATGACTATTTTCATTTTAACTGTAATATTTGTGGTTTTAAAATGTTCATTCCCTTCTAACCTGCTGTTATTACATCCCTCCTGGTGAGCATTTTTGTTCTTCTCATGAAAATCTAAAACTAATAACAAAAACTCAACCGGCTGATGGCAAAAAAAGGGCCACAATAAAACTGGGAAGTAGAAGAACAATATTAGATTTTCTAAACTGCCCTAGCTGAGACATTAAATGTTGAGACTCGTTTTCAAATGATCATTGTTGTAAAAAATGTTAATCAAACTCTGAATAAGGTTTTTTTCACTTCTTGGACAAAATGGTGACAATCTGCTTTTGGTTTCTGCTTTTACTGAACTGCATTTTGGGAGATGACGGCCCCAGAGTGTTGTCACCGTTGACCTAGTTTTAAGACTAAAGGTCAGTACACCGCCAAACACGCTGTATCTATTCTTAACCATTTTCCTTCCATTCATTGCTTGTGAGCCCAAACTGCTCTTGGAATAATTAGCCGTCTCTACGAAGACAGACTTAATAAAGGGCACCGATCGACAGCACCGCTTGAAAGGAGTCAAACAATTTCTATCCTGTTGGCTGGCAGGATTTAACACAATTTAACGGCACTGTTGAGAAATCCCGAGCTCCTGCGGTCTGGGATGAACAGTCAGTGTTGAAGATTATAATCCACTCGAGACCATCATTTGCCTTGTGGCTGTCAGAGAAAACTCAAAACAACACATCGCACCTCATGTAAAAGGAGACCTTTTAAGGACACATGATATACACCTGGAAACTATTGTGCAAATCACTTATAAAGGTCATTACACGAGTGCGACGTTTTAAGGGAGTGCGGATCACGCAAACCAGAACTTGTATCCAACTTCTTGGAGCTGGCACTGATTCTTGACATAAAGCAACTCTGACAAGTCTCCTTGGCAGTATATCAAAGTTCATTATGTATGAAGGCCATCCTTCACTTCCTTCCACACACTTCTCATATTTAAATCTCATTCAGGTAGCCAAACAGCACATAAACGAAATCCAAACACACACACACACACACACTCAATGCCACACAGTGCATACGGCAGTTTCAAGTGACAAAGCATTGTCCTTGGACGCTAAGGCACACTTTGCTGCAATGTATTTGAGCAGACCTCCTTGCTGTCATGCTGCAGCAGTGCGGGCGACTCATTATCTCGTGTCATGTGACAGCTTCTCTGAATCATTTGGCCTCAGAGCCGAACCAAAAGGGGAAAAACTGCTGCTAAACTCAGATGACAGAGAGAGCACAAGAAAACGACGTCCTTGTCCCTCCGTGGATTACATAACAAACTTCAATGATGTCAATCACGCACTAATGGGCACTGCCCTCCAGGGAAAATAGGTATCGCGTGCTAAGTAGCAGCACTGAATTTGGCAGATGTGAGCATGGATGAGACCGTTTGTGTTTATGCAAAATGAAGATGTGTAAACTCTGTTAGCATAATAAAGCCTGCTCCTTTATCTTCTCTTGAGTGACTGATCCTGTAAACAGACTCTCAAATCCTGAGCTAAAAGTCTGATACGTCCAAACAAGCGCAGGATACATTTCAACAGCTTATATCGGTTGATGCTATTTGTTAAGGGGTGAAGAGGGGGGGGAAATGAACAAGGGTGCAAAGGTGCTTCAAGGTTCAGGAATGAAAATAGCTAGTTAGCAAGGTGAGCTTTTAAGAGTTTTGACTGTGCACCTTGTCAATTTAGAGCTAACAGTTTATCAGAGTTGGACCGGACTAGAGATTGCAAAAGGTCACATTTCTTTGCACTTTAAAGACCCACTCTGATGAAAATCATGTTTTTCTTGTTGTCTAACTGTTGATATGGCATTTTTCTGATACTAGAGGACATATCATGAGAAAAAGAAGTGCGAAATTGCATTTTTGATTATTTCTTCATTCAAATTGCTGTCAGTCTCTGGCACACCCAAACAGCAGGATCAGATACAGTGAGATTACCTACGTAACCAATCCAAGCTCCGCCCCCAAAACCCTGCTATGCAGGTCACACTCTGAGAAATACAGAGGACGATCGCAAAACAAGCGTGTGCGGTAGCGGATTACAACGTTTGTAAGAAAGCTAATTATGATATTAACCTTCATCATGCCCCTAAAGACATTAGTGTCCGAGAGCTGGATAGCTCCTATGTTACCTGCTTCTTATACTAATTAAGGTTGCAAGCTAACTCGAGGAGAAGTGTGCAGAGCAGCGCTGTCTTCGCCCACGACTCAGAGGCAAATTGCTAATGATCTACTGGAGCTCTGCAGAAGAAAAGCTCTTGAAAATGACATAGGTAACATAATTTCGGCTAAAAACTTCATAATCACAGTTTAAACACCACTGATAACACATACAAAAACTATCGGAGTGGGACTCTTAACACCAATCAATCAAAGCTCACATTGTTTTCAGCAGTTCTCAAACCCTCAGGAAGGAATTCATCGAGGGATAGCACTAAACAAATATACAAATAAGAAGCATGAACATGTGTCATTTGCAAAGTGAAAGGCTGAAATGCCCCTTTAACTGCTTTCATAGTGTGTAGCATCTCGGAGCCTTTGTATTATTTGCATGAATTTAAACAGGGTTATTTGCATACATTGGCACTATCTCTTTCTATTTACACAAACCTCATTGTAAAGAAGTCCAGTACACAAGCACCAGCACTTTCCAGAGTTTGTTATGAATCAAATGCATTTATGTTAAAAATGACACACACTTTCTTCTGATACTGATTGTGTTTAAAGTTGCCAGGCTGAGGCGCCTTCTTTAAAGGTTCTGTCTGGGCTTTATTTTGAGAAAGGATTGGGAATTAAGAGAGTAATGAAATGCAGAAAACGAACCCCTGACAAAGTATTCAGTAGATCAGTGATCCCATAAGCCTCAGCGCTGCAGTGTAGAAATCTGCACTTGTTATACTGAGTCTTTTTGCTGCGCCATCACATGTAAAAATGACAAAAATAAATGTAGTTACAGCTAAAGTGGACAAGAGGAACTCTAGGAAAGGAAATCTGCAACATTAGTAAGAATAAATCAGATTGTTTGAGTGACTGGGAGTAAAATACATTTGCAACAATAACAACATCCCCTCAGCAGGGGGGTTTAAACATGTTTAAACATCTGGACCATATGTCCGTTCATAATCTCAGCTATCTTAAAGCACGACTGGATAGTGTCAGTGACAGCAGACTCAGTGAGAGAGAGAGTCAGAGAGAGCGAGAGACTGCAAAGACGAGAAACACGACACTAAAGGACATGACAGCAGACTGCAAACAGCTTAGCAACATCAGAGGGCTGTACAGGCGTCCTGCTGATCAGGTTCTTCACAAGCAGAATTATAAGGCGCCGAGTTCGCTGGTTCAACAAGGACAGATAGCTGCAGCACAAACCAATGAGCCCAGCACTGCAGGTGGTCTCGGCTAGTCATGGAAAAGCATTGTGATTTATTTTTTTGACCAAAGCAAGTTTCAGTTTATGGATTTGTTATTTTTTACTCCAAGAATAACAGGAATCACTCTCATAGTGTGTGACAGCATGAATAGATCACTTTCATAAGAAAAGGACATGGTGTCTTATCTTAACTACATGATGCTCGTGGATAAAAAGGATTTGTGTTTGGCCATTTGTATTTGGACTGGGGTAAACTTCCTAATGCAGTAAGTGGTAAGAAATAAAGAACTAAATCAACTAAATACACAGAACAGGGAGTTCAATTCTACTTAAATCAATATGGAGGTCCTTATTTGTTTGGACCTTCAACAGACAGAACTAAAGCATCTTACTGTTTATCTTTAGTCCTGTTGGATTTTCACAAGGTTTCAATGCAATGAGCGATAATGTGGTTCAAGTTTAAGCTGGTGCGTGTACCTATAGTACTGAGAATAGATTACATTTTGTCAGCGATATCCTTTAAATGCAGTTGTAGACTGGAGAGATAGCAGCTAAAAAGCTGACGGACTGAAAGAACCGTTAGATGATAGAGAACTCACTTTACTTTTAATTTGATCTCAATGGATCCCTCTGCCAGATGGGACGCTTTTCAAAAAGATGGTTTTTGTTCCACTAACAGGCTTTGGACTACATACGACAGCTCAACAGACACTACAAATAGACGTTTTCGGACAAATAAAGATCACAGACAGCTTGATTAACAGAGAAGTGACTTGGCAGAGTAGAGAGGCTCATCAATATCATTTCCCGGTCCAAATAAATGAGACACAGCTTAACTGTGCTTTGGAAGCGTTCGGCTTCTTCTCGCTCACAACAAGGTGTGGGATCTGGATCCGACTCAGGGATAACAGCTGATCTGACTCACAAACAAAGATTTGGCTGAAAGCTAAAGTAAAGTTTGCTAGTCAATGCTCTGATCTTGTATTATAATTCATCAGCTCCCACGTTCTTCATCGCTGGTCTCACAGGTCTCTTCCGACAATAACAAACAAACATAATGAAGAGTTAGCAAACAAGGATGTAAATTAAGGCCCGGACTACATGTATATAGATATTTATTTATCAGGATATTTTTGTACTCCCGTCTAAATAAATGTATCTGTCCACACGTGTTAGTTCTCAGCCAAAGAAACCAGCGATGGCTTTGACATACGGAAGTTTATACAAGGTTCACTTGCAAGACTGAAATTAGCCCCAAAAGGGCAAAACAAACATAAAGAATACCCTGTATGTCCGCCATTGTTGTTGTTGTTTTTCTTTTTAATTCGCATGCGCAAGCTGCGGTTTGACGTCATCGATCCGTAAAAGTTCAACCACACAAATCCACTTATACGGATATTTTTTTATTTCTCCACTTGTTTTTTCGGATTCAGATTCATCCGGTTTGTGTGTTCCAAACTCCCGTTTTGGTGTGGTCTAATCGGACATAAATATGTGCGGTTTGAAATATATCCGCATTCGTTTAGTTGGGGCCTCAATTAGTGCTTTCTTTCAACAAGATATTCAATATTTAGAGGTACTGTTTTTGAGAGGTTCTTGGTATTGTCTCATTATGTTAAAAAGCAAAAAGTCAGATATGTAAAATCTCTAGCTATGTTGTACAGTAGCATGTTAGCACGTCACTGTAGGCATAACAAAGGTGTTGGCATGGCTGTAGACATCTGATGGAGGCTTTGAGTAAATGAGGTTGTTGGAAAATTCAGACCTGATAAGATTTGCTAAAGGCACAGAGGCAAAGTTTTTGCTCAGAGAGTTTTTCATTTACACTGTGAATTTATGCCCACTATCAGTCTCATGAACTGCCAATAATCTGTATGGATCTGTATCGACCCTGACAAATCAATATTGGTTGACCCTTAGCCTTGAAATCAGAAAAATTTATAGGTTGTAGAAAAATTCTCTGCAGTGTAATTTGTGTATGAATGGAGAAATCATCAATCCAGACAGGCAACCTTTTATGAACTGACTGCAGACATGTTTATTCTTGCTGCAGAGTTAGGCTCTTTTGAATGGATGTCCATACTGTTTTGAAGGCTTTGAGCAGGACCAGACTCACTGATGAAAAGGGGCTGCAAAATCTTGCTTCTGTTTACGTCTGTTTAGCATACAATATATTTCATAGTTCAAGATTCAGTGTCTATTTCATGTTTTACAGGAGCCTGTCCGTACACAACTGAAATAAAGCGGCACCTTGCATTTCTATGACAGTCCCATCTGTTTTAAAAGGACAGGTAACGCTTGATGGCCATATTCTGGATCCATCAGGCAATAATAACTGGACTCTCCCACTGTTGTGCCTTAATAGTCCCTCTACCTATCTGCCCTCGTAGCTATTAAAGACAAACCCCCTCTGATCATATGTCTGCCAAAGGGGAAAACAACCCAGGAGATGGCTCGGAACATGTTATTGATCTAATGGTAAGCCCTGAGCGACCGTATCCATGACCACAGGCACTACATGCAAGCTTCGACAAGACAACAGCCATGATAAATACAGAGGGATTTATCTCCTTAGGGCGCAATCCTCTTAAACTTGTCAATTTCCACAGCAACATTTATGAAAACCTCAGTCAATACCTCTGACACAGTGATGAAGGGCTTCGGCTATTAAAGACTGGATAGCATCATTCATACATCATACTCTTAGAGGCAGGGTGGTCTAAAAACGCTAGATAAATGAAGTGATATGAGTGTCCTCTGGAACGCTTTAAGTTTATTGTAAGAGGGCGAGGTTGCGGCTGTGTGGGTGCATGAGTAGGTATCCATTTCAGGTGAGCCTGACCCTGGAGTATCAGCTGCAGCCAAGCACTACTCATTACTCCGGTCTGCCTGCTGTGAGCACTCCATCACCCACAGCCATCATGCCGCTGTCAAGACAGCTGCACCAACACGGACACACAAAAACACACACATACACACATAGACAGGGGAAACATTGGGTGTAACAGCCTATCACTGAGCCTTTTCCACCGAGAGCTATACTGTCAAGACTGAGATCGGCTACATCAGAGGCGCTCACATACGTCACGAGAGCACAATCTTAATCACTGAATGGATGCATAGGCGCTTCACCTCCACTTGTTCTTCCTCACTGGATTGCTGTCTGCATCGCTGAGTTATAGCTTTAAGAGCGGGATGTAAACACTGACTTGGACAGTGACGGATGTTGTGATCAATACAAATCATCTGTACATTACAGTCGGTATTATCTCAGCTATTGTTGAGAAGGATTCATCACTTGGGTAATAATTGGTGAACTGTCATAAAAAACTATTGACAGTGATCTTATGATAGATTAAACGAAATAAATGGAGAGTAAAGTCTTCTGTGACTGTGATAACAAGGCAGGTTTTCAGGCTAATGCATGTCGTTTATAATAACGCTAAAGTACTGCTACCACCACGATTCAAAAAAGTTAGGATGCTAACAAAATAAAGTGATGGTTTACAAATCATATAAATACTATATTTTAAATAAAAGGGTTAAAGACAAAATATCAGATGTTGAAACGGAATGTTTATATTGAAAAACTGCATATTTTAAATTGTATGCTGGTAACATATCAAGAAAAAAATCACAGTAGGGACAACAAAACGCCAAAAAATGTAAAATGTTTAGAAAAACACCTGGAGAAACACCTCGAAATGAATCAGGTCAACTTGCAACATGAAGTACAGATGGGCAGAGATTTACCTCTTTGTGAGAGACTGTGTGAGCAAAGAATTAAACAATTACAGAAAAGCGTTCCTTGACATAAAATTGTAAAAAAATAATGACATTAGTAATAATAAAGTAATCATTTACAGTAGGCCTATATGTCATTAAATATTCAGAGAATCTGAAGAAATCTTGAAATAATATTCTGCTCCGTTTCTCTGAATAAACAAGATAGCTATCTCAAAATTATGAGACAACTGTATGGATACATTTTTTTTTTCATTTTTTCTAAATTAACCAAATAATTATCTTAGAATTACAAGATGAGTGTTTTGCAAATTGAAACTTTCTGCCCTGAATTTTTAAATTAACAAGAAAATGATCCCAGAATTGGATAAACATTTTATGTAACACTCAATTTTACTCTGTTATTCTGAATTAACAAAGAAATGATCTTGTTAACTGAAAAAAAAAAAATTGAACATTTTTTAAAATTTCCTTAAAAGCTCTTTTGAAAATCTCGATAGTTTATTAAGTCAGAGCAAAATTTCTGTTTCCTTAATGAATGCAATAAAAGCTCCTGTACAAAAATGAACAAGACTAGATAACCAATACTAAATGGCCATGATCTTCAATGATCTTCTCTTCCTCAGGCAGCACGGCATTACAAACAGACATGACTCTGAAGTGGAAATCACTGCACGGACTCAAAATCTCCTCAAAAAAACTCTAGCTGTGACCACATTTTTGCTGCATCCACTCATGCAGATTAAAACAGCACTCTCACAACGTTTCATAAACAACAGCTCATGAACTGAAGAGGAATCATATCATGACCTTAGTTTAGGAGGATTGTGCACTGTCATCTGACATTGAGCTCACACAGGGGAAACCTCAGCCTTTCACAACTGAGATTTGACATTAAGGGGATTACGGACTAAAGGACGGTGAGAAAGCATTTCTCATTGCTCTCATACCAATAATCAAACAAAAGGCAACGGCTTGGTGCTGAGATCTCAAAGTGGCATTGGCTTAAATTTATAATCTGACAGCTATTGTTACTGCGGTTGTTCCTCACTTGGGCTGCGGCCATGTTTACAGCCCCCTCTCACAGAAAAAGAAGCCAATATCTGCCTCCTGCAGCTTAATGTGCTTCTGTCTGATAATTAATTTATGTCTTTTATTGCATGCAATGTGGATGAATAACGTCTTGAAACATGCATTAATAAAACATAAAAGGAGCAATATATATTCAGATTAACTATTTAGTACCGTAGTTAATGATATATAGTACTTCATACGTGTTATCCTGCATTTGTACATTAAGCATCACATAACCATTTAGAAGCAGCATCAAATTTTATACCTTTTAATGATCACACGTAAAATACCGCTCCTGAGTTTCTATTGGTTTTCTAGTTGTGCTTTCAAGAAACTGTTTTTTTTTTTCTGAATTGCATAAAAAAACAAAAACAAAGCTTTAGACAGTAGAGAAAAGAGAGTTTGGTGATTCAGTATCTGCAGAGTCTGGCTGCAAGGAATTATTCCTGACATCAGCACAACCAGTTGATCACATCAAACAACATGCTGCTGTGAGTCAGTTAGTTGGCCGGCTGGTTAGTTAGAGGCTGATGATTCACATTCGGCTCTGACGCAAACTGAAATTTATGTATATTGTGGAGAGGTTTCTGCTGAGGAGCGGATTCACTGGAGCAAGAGGATGATACATTAAGTGATAAGCAGCTGGTTTAAAAAATAAGAGGGATTAATGTATTATCTGTAATCTGGAGTGGGTTCTGATAAGATAAAGGGGTTACTTAGTTAAGCTGTTTTTACGGCACGTATTGGAGTATGGATAAGAACAGATACTTAGATTGTCAAATCCAAGAGAAAGTCATGACTTTTAAGAGTTTTGTTTATAAGAGGTGACACCCAAACTTTAAATACTAAATTAAAAAGAACTCATTAACAACAGGACAGAGGAGATGGTGTTGTCCTTTTTTCCTTGAATGTGTCGCCGCTAGTCTCGGTCAGCTGGGCTTGCGTTTCACTGGTATGACAACAGCCATATGTCACAGGGAAATAAAAACTGGAGTTCACCATTAGCATACTGAACACCAAATACATAAATAATGCAAAGGGTACAGTTTCTTTGTTCAAGGATACATCAGTCAGATACAGGGATCAGCATTTTGGGTGCAGAAAAGTCTTTGATAATAAAATGCTGAATGCAAATCCTGACCATGTGTTGAGCCAGTTGGGAGGCCTTGATCTCGCAACAAAGTGGGTTCAATCAATAGTGGAGGTGTCCCATGAATCAAAGCACGCCAGTACCCATGCTCATGCTTACATCTTGCTTTTGGAGGAAACACTTCCTTGCAGAAATGTTTTCAAGGTGCAGCGTGAAGTATAATCAAAGAAGGGTGGACAACCAGAAATTCAAGGTGTGAGAAAACAGCATTTGTCACTTCATGAAGCAAACATCACAATTTCCAAATACACCAATGACAGATTCAAAACGATAAGTAAAAACGGCATTCAGTTCAGGCAAACGCATATTAAAAACGAACTCCAGATCTCACTGTCATGGTCAAGTTTTATCACCCATAGCTGATTGGCCACTTTTGAAAGCATTGCCTCTGGATTTTATGACTTAAAGATGAACCAATTTCATCATTTTGTTTGGCCAGACTTACCACACAACTGCTCACACAGCATTTCCATTCACAACACCATTAATAATGATCGATTATAATAACAATAGGGCTGTAATAATGTCAGATTTTCACCTCAAGATTATCACAGCCATCAAATATAAGTTATTTTATTATTGTGACAAGACAAGGATGAAGAAACACATTACTTTATTAAATGTACTCATAATCATAACTAAGTGTTCCCCATCTTGTATTAAATACTTTATTTACTTTATTTATAGTACCTCTAAAGTTACAGAGCTGAATGAAAAAGAAAGTATAAATGTTCAATTGATTAGTAATCTAAAATGTGCCTTATCATCTCTCAGACAGTTGCTTTAGTGAAATCACAAGCAGTCTGCTGCTGCTTCTTTACTTGGCTATCCTCTATCTTCAGATGTGTGGCTACCCATGGAAAGGGCCACTGCTATTCACTTATGGTATAACTGTATGCTTTCCTTAAGCACGATATTGGAATTCTATGTTTTTTAAAGACTGTTGCCTTTGACACTGATATTTTGAAACAGTCCAGGGCTAGACAGTGCGACCGGTTCACTTGCATTTGCGATTAAAAATTGTAAAAATTGTGTGCGAATTGTAAAATGTTTTTAGCGGCACATGTGCGAATAAAAAAAATCATTTTTCTATGTAAATACCGCGGTGAAGTTAGTTTTAAGTTGGATATTTGACGGATTTACTGGTGTCTTCTCACACTCCATAACCGGGAATAGCAACAGCAGCGCAGTTAAATCTACTCTGCACCCTCTCTGTCAACGTAGGGTGTTAAATAAGGGACCATCAATAAATTACTGGTTGATGTTTTCAAAAAGGCTGTTTTCCTTCAATAGCTTCCATGTCATGAGACCAATTGACCTAAAATTGATTTCAAATAACAGTACTTATGTCCACCATTAAGACACACCTCTTTATTTCCCTAATTTGGCCTCAACAAATTTTTGTGTTAAGTTTAAAGGCAAATTTTGAACCTTCCATGTCATGTGACCAATAGACTTAAAATTGATTTTAAATGATAGTACTTATGTCTAACAATAAGACACACTTTATTTGATCAATTTTCATTGTGCCCCTAAAGTTCTTCATGTGTTCCTTACTTTTTCAACTTAAATGCACATGTGCTCCGTCTGAAAAAATTCAGTGTCAAGCCCTTCAGTCCTTGTAGCAGGTAAGCTCAGATCAGCAGCAGCTTGGCTAGCTGTAGCTGAAGCCTCACTAAAAGCTAAAAAAGTTTAAGTGGCAGTCAATGAAAGCAAACTCAGATCAATACATGACCACCAACCATCCTTTCTACAAGATCACAATGGCCATTACTTCAGCTGACACCCTCTGTGGTACACACCTTCAGCCAAGTCCACCGCGCCTCAAAGGCTTCAGCTTTTGATTAATGAGCGTGCGCTGCCCGGTTTACCCAAAGGAGCCACTAACACAGCTAATTTCAAACCCAGACCTCCCTGTTTATTAACTACATCTTCTGCAGGTGTTTACTTTTCCCATTTCTTTCAGGCTGCTGGGACTAGCAAGGTGAGAGAGAGAGAGCGGAGCATTGAACCTTTATTAAAAACAACATTCATTTAATGAGAAAGGAGTAAGAGAGAAAGTCTGAGTCAAACTGAAAACTGAGTCAGTGCGACAGACTGTGTGCCAGGACGGCAAGAGCGTTAAATAGAAGGAACTGACAGTAACAAGGACAGAGACAAGGAGAAACACTTAGGAGGAAAAAAGAGGAGGGAGAGTATAAATGATGAAAGAGCATTTAGGATAGTAAACATGCCAGGAGAGAGTGAAATGTAAAAGTCGGTAATCTGAAATGTGCTGGAGTTTTATAGGTAAGAATTAGAGTACAGGATGATTGAGAGACTGTAAAGCGATGAGGTGAGGCTGCAGCCCGACAGACCTGTCAGTTTGAGGTATGAGCCTCTTATCTTCCAGGACCAAATGCATTATCAAAAACACAGAGACAACATGTCAATATGTCTCACTGTGAGCACATGAGGAACAAACCTGAAGCGTAGCGTGAGTTACATGAGCATCAGAAGGAGGGAGGAGGGGGTTGTGATGCCATGACGACAGAAATGTAATGTGTTGGGTTTGAGTTTGTTGATAATGGAAAGCCGCGCAGCAGTGTCCCGGCTCAATCACAGCGCATCGAAGCCAAGTATTTTTTAACAATTTATGTTGTATCAAAGTGACGCTCTGGTAGTTTCCAAGTTTTGTGTCTGATTTCTCGTGTCGGGTGGCGTTTTGAGGGAGAGTACCAAAGGAACAGAGGAGTGTGTGCTGGGAAGGCCAAAAATAGAACATTACATTATCAGTGACTTTGCAAAGGCAAGCGCAGTTTTATCCTATTGTCATACTGATTGAATGAAGTCCAAGAGTGATGACATAGCAGCAGGGGGTGAGAGGGGAGTTTATCCTCTGGCCTCCAGGTGGGACAAAGGACAATCGCCCTGAGTGCACAAAGAAAGGTATATAAACATCTCTATACGCTCAGCTATTTTCTGTGCTTATGTAATTATCCCTTCCTTCCATTTATCGCCAGGACAAGCCGCACTTTTCTATAATGCTTCAAAGTGAACTGAAGAAAAGGGCGAACAGGAAGCCTGTCAGGGTGGGTTTTCTGTGTCTGTTAAACTCAGAGCTGCTTGGTGAGTGGTTTTATACGTATTTAAACAAACATCACATGCTTTTGAGCTGTTCCTTCCCAATCAGGCCTTTTTGGATTTAACTTTTTTTTTACCTCTGTTTACTCTGGACCGACATCGTGGCAGAAGCACACAGAAAACAGGAAGATGCTGAAGGGGAGCGCTGAAAAGAGAAAAGCGAGTGACAGAGCGAGAGGCTGGACCAGAATAAAATGTACTGACTTCTGAGTCAACTGTGAGGGAGAAAACTGTAGCTCAAAACTGCTGAGTCACAAAGAATTCTGGCAATTATATTTCCTTCAAATCCAAGTGAATATCGGGTTCTTTTGGGTATGTCCAGGTCAAGTCAGTGTAGAGCTTTTAAGGCCTTATTTTGCTGACTTTTCAAGATTACTCAAAAGTGTTTTTACAAAATTGCAGCAACCCAAGTGGAAACGAATTTACTGACTTCTGCGATTCTGGGATTTTAGTGCAGAACTTGAAACTTAAACGTGAACAAAAATATGAAGTAGAGGAGCCAGGGTGGCCATTTGATTGGCCAACGCAGTGACCACCCTGAGATCCATAACCACAATTGGTTATTGGCCTATTCAGGATCAACTGTTTGTGATAGTGTTGTGTCATTCGCGAACGATTCATTCAAAAGAACTGAATCATTTAAATAAACATACTGAACCAAATCATTTTGTCAAGTGATTCGTTTGTTTCTCACGTCAACGGTGCATGTTCAGTGTGAATTCTAAACGTTATGTGAACGAATCACTCACTGAGCCCAATTTAGTACACAAATAGCATACCATAGGACAGTACACTTAAAACATCATGACTTATAAACATGTTCATTTTTACAAACCTGTTTGTCAAAGCAACACAGCCAAACACTCTCGTCTCCCAGTCCCAAAGCTATGAACTGAACTGAATCCTGAACCGTACAGCTGTGTATCAGTTCAGGAAGTGGGAGACACAAGCTCCTCCCACCAAGCGCTGAATAATTTGGTGATTTGGTGAACAAATCTTTTGAACGAATCTTTTTAGTGAACTGATTCTAGCGGTTCAGTACTTCTAAAAGAACTGCTGTGCCCATCACTAGTTTGTAACCTTGCTTAAATAACGGTCACAGAAAAAAAAGGTGTTTACAGGATGTTGAAATAAATTGTGAGCTAAGATGGGAGAGAGAAATCCACAATCGGACAGAATAGTGACAGTGAGTGAGGATATGTTTTATTTGGTAAGCACCGTTTGAATTAATTTAAGAGCTTTCCTCTTAACTTAGAGTGTTGAATCGAAATGTGGCTCTATTGCTGCCTTGCAGGCTGATCACGCTCAGACTTCATGTCGGCTACCTGAGGCTGTCAGCCCTGAACTGTCAATATTGTTCTGTTCTGTGAAAATGGTGGAAAAACCATGGTAAGGCAGAGCACACCTGTGATCGCTCTTGGTAAGCCTTGACGTACTTGGAGCAAATTCTGGTTGAAGAAATGGTTGGAGCTAAGTTCAGTTGATTTATCAATTTATCTGAAGACAGTTTCTACCTGATGAGATATTTAGATGCCCGTAAGTCAAGGTCCGTGCTGTGGTTTACTCCATTTTTAACTTGTTATATTTTGATGTGGTTCTTTTTTTAATACCTTGGCCTGTCTCATAAACATGTGTTAGTTTAAGGCAGAGCGTTGTTGGATCTTGTAAATGTCTTCACTTTGCTTCCCACTGTCAGTTTTGTCCTTGGATTGAGCCACATTTTAACACCTGTGTTGCAACTAAAAAACACGGGAGCGCTTCCGCCAAAACTGTCAGCGTAAACAAACAAATATGCTAGGCTGTCGTTGTCGTACATATGAGAGTTTTTGATCCTCGTCCAACGATGAGGCGGCTGTAAAAATAAGAGAAATACACGTAGGTGTTATGGTTACGTTATCAGCCATGCTGTAAAACCACAACTCAGCTGTTTTCTGGCATTTTGACTTATTTTTACAGAGACCGGTGGAACAAGAAACAGGGGTATCGAATGAAACCTCACTGCTATTGGCTTTTTGTACCTGCTGACTTGATTTTGACTCTACATCCACCAACAGTAAACAATCAGTTTCATAAAAGGTAAAGTCTTCATCCTTTTCAGTTGTTTTTCACACCCTCTTCATTCATTCGAATGCAGGCCTCATGTTAGCATTGGTAGAAGTGATAATCCTGAAGGCCTCTTTAATATTCTCTTTTCATTTTACATCATAGAAACATGCTTCTCTTTGCTGCTCCACACACACACACATTTCCTTTGCTTGAATCATGACATTCAGCTTCTGACGCTCGCCCACATTTCAGTCATCCTTGGAGGAGACAGAGCTGGCAGCTTCACATCGGCCATCCAGGGACAATGCGGCATGCAGGCAGGCAGCTCTACTACAGTAGTGGCATGGCAGGTTCAGCTGAAGGAGAGGTAGTGACACCCATACTAATGAGACTCTACGCAGCGCAGTGACCGAGCGTATGCAGGAGGATCAGGCAGGAACGATCACACAGCTACCAAAGAGCATATTACCACATGTAAACCCTCCTCTCTCTTCTTTTCAGGGAGAAAACTTATTTGCTCTTTTCCATCTCAGTCCACTCTTTTTCTGAAATATTCTGACAAATGCGTTACACGCTAGGCATTCGCAGCAACGCATCCTGGGCAAATGACCAAACATCAATCATGTTACTGCAAGAGGAGCAATACTGATGGTCAGTCAGTTCAGATGTGCTGCAGGCCGAGCACTGACTGTCTGCTTTAGGATTTGATTAGGAAGAACAGCAGAAGGCTAATGAACAGACACAGATAAAGAAAAAGGAGATTGAACCTCATCCTGTGAAACTGTTTTAAAAGCCTGCGCAACTACCAACTATTCCTTATTATCAACGATGTACTATGAGTCTACATTTGGTCAAATTCAAGAGCTTGTCAAGCTACTGCAATGCAAATATTTATGTAGTGGGTTAGCAAGAAGAGGAAAATAGTGGGAAAGGCACTGACACACTGATTTTATCCATTTGTGTTGAATGTACCTTTTTATTTTCACCAAATGCAAACGTTTGTGTGAGAAATCCACCATGTGTCTCTTGAATAAACACAAGAAGAGCACCACTTAATTGTAAGGATTCGTCGCCTTGCATAACATGACGGTGTTTACCGCATATTAATATAGAAAAGAGGTGGATTAGAGAGATAGATAAAGAGATCGAGGAAGCAAAAGTGCAGACAGTGACCTTTGGGAGCCCTTGCAATTCTCCAGATGAAATTCATTACCACCTCCAAAGGATTAATAAAAAGTGAGATTGCCTTGTGATGACGGACAGATGCTCTCCATGCAGGTGGCGAAGTCTGAGTCCAATATTGCTTCTATCATTAGTCAGCCTTTAATACAGCTCCTTTATCAGTGACCCACGGCCGTGCTCCCAGACAGGATCCCTTTGGGAGACGCTGAAACTGTGTTACATCTCTGAGTGATACAGGATTTGCCCTCCAGCCTCCTGTGAGGCTACCAAGCATCTCTCTGCCCCATTACCTGCCAGTCCTCACGAACAGCTGCCTCCCTCCTGATGTGAATTATGCAACAGCGGTGTTTACAATGAAGCCGCACTTCCTGGAGGAACACAAACATGCATGTATAACCTCAGTGTAGAGGGGGAGGAGCTGCTGTCTTACAGTAATCGCTATAAGACTGTACGGCAGACATCTCAGGGTGACCTGTTCGTTGACTAAGCGCGGAAAGACGACAATGAGACAAGTCACGTTGAAGTAATCTAAGCATAACAGACAGCCTGCGGTGGAGACTGTGCGTTTTCGGTTCACACAAACAGAATACAGCAGAGGAATTGCAGAAGTCAGTTCCTTGCCTCCTTTACTAATCCTGCCGCAGTGACTGAGCAACACAAGTTTTTCCATTACATCACGAAATCTCCAACTAAATCCAGTGAAACACAAAGTGCAAATGCCTATTAGCCCGTGTTAATGAACAGGGAACAAATAAGTCTATTAAGTCTTGTGTTTGTTTTCTGGATTCTGCTTTCTTTCTTTCTTCTGGATTTAACCTCCAAATACTCTTTTACTCTGAAACATACAAGAAGCCAGTCATGACAAAATCAGCTGAAGGGCCAGTATGACAAGATCACATGAAACTGTATGCTAGCTATTCATACAACATTGAGTGCTACTTACACAGAACAAGCTCCACTTTGTGCAGTGTATGAATGCATGCACATGGCTGCACTGTATATAAAACATAAAAGAGAGAAAACTCAAGGACAGAATCACAGGCAGTCAACCTATGAGCTTCTACTGTTAGGTGAGAAGATGTGACCAAATCAGTTGATACTAAAAGCGGCACTAAATGGTATGCTAAGGACTTAAATTATTTAAATTAACAGACTAGGGTATAGTAAGATTGCCATCAACATTTTATGTAAATTACGGTGTGCCATCACTTGCTCCTGATTGGCTGATGCGACTACGTTATTTACCAGACTTCCATGTAAATTTAAGTGAGCCATCTCTTGCTCCTGATTGGCTGCTGCGGCTCCCTTGTTTGGTAGACTTTCATGTAAATTTAGGCGTGCCATCACCTGCTCCTGATTGGCTGCTGCGACTCCCGTGCTACAAGCGGTACGATGCCGCACAGTGTTGCTAACCTAGCGACCTCCCTAGAGACTTATTTTTTTAAAAAGCGCCAAGCGACAAATCTAGCAACTTTTTCTGGAGTTAAGAGACTCCAACTTGAAAGCAGGAATTAATGATACTCCTCTGAATAGGTAGCCGGTGTGCATCAAAAACACAGACACTGCTGAACTTAAATTAACAAAGTATACAACTGTGAGTGAACTGTTTGTATTTGTATACACAAACTAGGAAATACAACCTTGCAGTAAGCTCACAGCTTAATAAATACCCTGGAGTTTTGGTCCTGGTTTCAAAGAAAGAGCTGTGCATTCTGTGGCTAATGTTACAGAACCATCAGGGTGAGAGCAGAGGCGAACTTCAACTGGAATAGACTTCTTGTCACAAAAGTGACTGTGGGTTTCAAAACAATCTAAAACCATTGTCAGACGCACTCTGGAAAATTTTGGAACATTTCAGGGACTCACACATTCTATCACCACATTAAAAGAGCCACAGTGCGCATTTACACACAACACTGTCACTGCATGGATAGTTCAAATCTCTGGACATGCCAACACGATCGTCAGAATCTAAAGTCGGATGAAAGGTGTTGTCTATACAGCCAAAAGTCAAACAGCAGTCTTTCTTGTATTATATTATATCCTATTAACAATAATAATATAGACTCTGGTATTGGGGACATAATTCAAACTTGACTTTGGAGACTCTTACTTAAACACTGAAGACTGGAGACTCTAAAGGATGATCTCTGACATGTGTCTTTACAAATACCTGCTCTACCTGTTTTATTGCTTCATGATTAAACAACATCCAGTTAAAAAGACAGGGTGTATTGAGGTCTCTGTATGTAAAATAACTGAGTGGTAAACTCTCGTATAGCTTCATATGAAGTGTTATTGATCATGAGTGTTTGTGTTGAGAAGTCCCTGTGGATGTGAGGAATCTATCTGTGAAAGGGGGGGAACATGTTTCAAACTGCCTCACTGCTGAGGATGACAGTGCTCTATCACTCCCTACTGCACAGTCAAAATTATGTGCTCATGTGTGTGTTTTATGTGTGTGGGAAGAGGGTATTCAGCTGTTTAATATCACAGGGTTATATGTTGTTTTTGACTCTTTTTTGACCCAAACAGAGGAAGGGGTGCGTGGGCTTCGACTGAGAGTCTCTCCTGACCAAACATGGTTGGCCAGGTTTGGTTGCCAAAGTAATAAACAACACGTGGGGGGGCAGAAAAACAGCCACAAAACACATTATAACCTTATCGCATCACAAACCGTACAACCTCACACATGGAAAACCACTCCTACAGAGCACACAGTCAGAATCTGTTTAGACGTTCAAGAGAAATCCTGTCACAAAACCCTTACTCTAAGTTTGCAGCACAGAACACGTTTGAGCAAAACATCCAAAAAGCTGTTTTCAGAGAAACATATTTCACATGACGAGTGCATTTAGTCACCCTGACGAAAACAGAGCTCAGCGGTGCATGGATACTTCTCTATCACCAATAGAAAATCATACACCTGTTCTTGAGCAGAATAGTTTGATTTTAACATGATTTGTACTCAGTCACCTCTTTAGTTGTTCAGCTTAAAATGCTTTTTGATTTAAGCGTATGCTGTTTCTCTCAAAGTTAACCAATCCCTCCAACTCTATCCTAATTTGGACTATATGGAAGCTTTGATATGCATTGCAAATGCTCACGAAACTACAGCAGGGCATATGTTTGGATAAAACCAAAGCAGAGATACATGAAGAAACAGTTTAACCACCAATCAATTGAGAATAACACTTAGTGTACATTTATTGGTATAAACAAGAATCTGCATCTTCCATGTTAATTGCGTAAGGTGACAATATGTCAATAGTGTGTCCATTGCTGGTTCGATGCCCCCAAATCCAGCAGCAACAGCAGCACCACACATTTTCAGCTGCACATAAGAAGTCGGCTGTGGTGTCATTCCTATGAGACAGGGCTTGTTGATGGTTTCACAATCAATTCCCATCACAAAAGTTACAAAATCCCTGTAGTTTTCCAACTTTTCTGTTATCTCAAGCTATAGCTGCGACTTGACGTCATTATGCAAGATCTTGACACTGTGCACAGGCAGGATTAAGTCAAAGCAAAGCCATGGTGTGATTTTTGAGTCTCAGACTCGGGCTTAGTTTAATCTGCAGTTCACACAGGGCTACAGTTTCCTCCCTGAAATACCTCGCTCCAGTCAGAATGTGTGTGTACATCATGAACGTGTCGGTGAAGGTGCTGCAGTTTTACTCATTACTTTACCAGTAAATTTAGGCAGCGCTGCGTTTGATTGCTGCCTGCAGAACCATAACTTGACAGCTGCATGCTGTGTTTACTCTCCATCTTGAGCGCGTTTTGCTTGTATGAATTTTCAGGGGATATTATTCAGTGGTAGGTGACCTGCCTGGAAACACATTAATATACTAAAAAAGGTCAGTCTTTTGGCACAAAAAGACCTTAAAGACTTTTTTCTTGCACACAATGATGAATATCCCTCTGTGATTTTATTTTTACTGTTATTTTTGTTATTCTGCTAACATCATTCAACATGATTTTGCTTAGATTTTATCCCTGTATGGCAGCTGTATTGGTGGTGTATGAGTCTACCATTCCCTCACTTGAACCAGGAGAGCAATGCACAACGCAGGCATGAAATTCAGCTGCAGGCTTCAGGTAACCAACTTCACCATGACCTGCCACTGTTAGGCTCACGCTGCGTAGAGCATGAAATCAGACCGCAATTATATTTGACCGAGACAAGTTTGTTTAGTTCCACAATAAGGAAAAGACACAGACTGCTCTTCTTTTGTTTGTGCACCGTAGAAGCTGCTCCACTACAGCTTTCTGTCATACTGAACCAAACTAAAGATTTGGCCACATCAACTAAGAAAAATATCTCATTATAATCTTCAAACACGGCACCGGAAGAAAATAAGATACAAAAAGAATAAAAGGTCAGTGTGTTTTTGACAGGCTACGGGGCTGCGGGATGCTGGGCACTGATATGGCTATCTGTGCATGAAATAAATTGGAGCCGAGCATGTCAGGAGGAGACAACAATCTTCTGCTGCCGTGACTGAGAAGTGGCGATGGAAAGAGGCGTGCAAACGCGAGATGCCGGGCCCATATGGTGCTAAGGGGCTGGACAGGGGCTGTGACACAGGCACACCCGGGGTCAGGCCTCGGTTTGAGTGGATGTACTTGGTGGCAGGAGCCAGAAGGCAGGCATCCTATGGTGTTAATCTGTAGAAGGCTCAGATCTGCTCCCTGACTCCCTATCAAGTCGAGTGTCTGTGCATGCTGACGCTTCTGCAGTGAAATGACACGAGGAAAACTTAGGTTGAGAGAACCAACGAGTCGTCGGCTGGTAAATCGTAATGAATTAACGATGGCACTATTAATTTAGTCATGCATTATTGCAGGGGAATCTTGCTGGAGGCAGGAATTGATCTTTGACTCTGCATAATTCCCTCTAAAGTGTAATTTTTCCTTCCATCTTCTCTGTATTTTTCAGTTTGTTTACCACCACAGCGTCCCCTGCATGCTTTGTGATAAACACATTAAAGTCAATATAAGAGCCTTTCTCTGTTGTCCTGCAGCTTTCTGGAATATGTACATATATTTATGAGTTTGTTTTGGACCTGCCAGCGTAAAGGTTTCCAAAAGGCGGAAATTTCTTTGTCTTACATTTACATTAAAAGAATTAAAGCTGGCTTACGATTCAAGGGCAGCGAATATTTCAATGAACCTATAAGCTGTGTCCCTGTCCAGAAGAGTTTATATATATATTTATACGCTCATAAACACAGCCACCCACAGAAACAAACACCAAGAAGTGCCGGAGAAAAATTGAAGCGAAGGTTATAGAAATTCTCTTTGTAGTCGCAAAACAAAATATCCTTGAGCTTTGAATCTCACCCCGCTTTATTACCGCAGTATCCTTTCTGCATTTCCACCTCGCTCACACAGAAAAAGGCCTCTCAGACACGTCGATTTGATTTCTAGGGGAAACAATCATTTTTGATTGTAAACTGCGAGCAGAATAACTTCATTAGCCGCTTCTTCAAATTTCAATTCATTAAAACTGAAATTTAAAGCCTAATATCCCCGAGAAAGCTATTACTCCGAGTGAAAAATATGAAGTGCCATAAAAACACTGAAATGAACAAACAGATGTTGCAGGGATCTTTCCCACATTGGACACATGAGACACATTAATCACCAGGGGACACACACTCATTAAATACTGTGTGCTGATTAAGTGTCCCTGGTGAGGAGCGTTCAGCTTAACATGCAAATTTGTGTCAGAGAATCGGTTCAGCAAACGCCACCCGGGCAAGGACTTATTGTAAAATGACACATGCAGAGAGATAACAAGTAGCCTGTCAGGGGCTTGCTGTAAAACAGTTGTTTCTATTTCCAGCTCTTCCACAAGAAGTGGAAAATGAGAGATGTTACAACTTGACGAATGAGGAGAGAGACGAGGAGAGATTTTTCTGTTTATCTCTTGATTTGGTTTGTCTTTCATTTCATGCTTAACTACGAAAACTGATGAATCGGAGGGGGGGTGCAAAAATTGTGAAAAAAGGGGAGTAAAGGGCTGAGGAAGGAGAGGAGAAGGAATGAGAAGTGTGGAGAAAGGAAGGAGTGGGGGGGGACATTAGAGACAAGGATAAAAGGACAATTGACAAAAGGAAATAAGAGAAGGAGGAGGAGTAGAGGACATAAATTAGAAAAGATTAGGGTTGAAGAGGACAGGAAGTTAGGAAAGGGGAAATGAGAGAAAGGCAGGGACAGAGAGGAGAGAACACAGAGTAAAGGACAAGAAAGGAGAAAAAGGAAAGAATAGGATCCAAGTATAAAAGAGGAAGACAAAAAAGAAGTGGAGAAGAGAAGAGGACGCAGGAGTCAGAGGAGAGTTAAGGAGAAGAAAAAGGATTAAAGGAGAAGAGGAGGGAGGAAAGGAAAGACTGATGTAAAGAAGAGAAGTAGGAGCAAGAAAAATATGGATATGGTGAAACAACAAGAAGAGATGAGATGAAAGAATGCGACTGGAGAAAGGAGACTGCAAAGCGAAGAAGGTGAAGAGGGTACAGATGAAAGGAGAGAGGAAAGAGAAGAGGTAAGGGAGGAAAAGGTGAGGAAAGAAGAGGCAGAGTCGGATTGAAGCAGAAAGGGCAAAGGAAAGGAAGTGAGGAAAGGAAATAACACAGGAGAATGGAGGGATAACAAAAGGAGACAAGAAAGCAAGAGGTAACAAGATGAGAGGAGAAATGAGGAGGAAAGAGGAGAACAGGGTAGAAAAAGAGTAAACTAGAATAAAGTGATGAGGAGGAGGAAAAGAAGCGTAAACAGGAGAGAAGCAGTGAAGAAAAAGAAAACAGAGAAGAAATGACAAGAGGGAAAGGAAAGAGATGAGTTGAGTGGAAAGAAATGAGGTTAAGGATAGGAGAAGAGATGAAGAAAGGCTGAAGAAAACGAGAGTACAAGTGGAGAAACAGGAGAGATGAGGAGGTAAAATAAGATGTTGGAAAAGGGAAGAGGAAAGGCAGGAGGAGAGGGAAGAGGAGAGAAGAGGCAAGGAGAGAGAAGAGGCAGAGTTGAAGAGGTGAAAAAGTAGTAGGAGGGGTAATAAGATCATAGGACAGAAGGAAAGAGGAGATGGAGAGGAGTAAAGGAGAGGAAAAGCAAGGTTAGATAAGGAGAAAAGGAGCAAGAATCAAGCTGGGAGGGAGAGAAGGAAAAAGGAGAGGGAAGCAGGGGTTAGGGGACATACTGGAAGGAGAGGCAATAAAGTGATAGGAGGGTAGAGGAGAGAGGAAGCAAGGTAGGAAGAAAAGAGGAATAGATAGAGAGGCAGAAAAAAGAAGGAAAGCAATAGGAAAAGGAAGATAGAAGAGAAGGAAGAAGGACAGAGAAAGGGGAAGATGGAAGAAAAGCAGGAAGAAGAGAGGAACATGAGGTAAAGGAAGGAGGAGAGGAGAAAAAGCAGGGGGGAAAAGAGAGGAGCATGATGAAGAAGAGGAATAAGGAGAGGTAATAAGACAATAGAATAGCAGATGATAGAGGGATGAAAAAAGAGGAGAGGAGATGGTTGAGCAGATTGACCTGATGGCAGGAAAGGTCAGCGACTCAGCGGCAGAGAGCGCCATCAGAGGAGGCCGCCGCTAATCAGCTCCAAACACTCCATCAGCTCCTGCAGGAGACGCACTGAGAGTGAGCGGCGGCACCAAGGTCATAAAATCTCTCTCTCCCTGTCTCTCTGTCTCTCTGTCTCCCTCTCCTCCTCTCCCTCACTGCTCTCCATTTGAGTTCTCCTTATCCTCGAATCTGAGAGGCCGCAGTGAGACAACGGCAGATCAGATGGAGCACTGACACACTTCAGCGTCAGTATGGAGGAAATATAAACAAACTGAACTGGAGTTACACCGAGGCCTTGTTGCTATGCAGAAAAACAACAGCTTGGAGTTGTCTATTTGCTGTATTTAAATCTTTTATCTGAGTCAAACTTTCCCCACCAGATGTCACACAAAAATCTAGTATTTGTACAGACATGATAAGAGAAAAAGATAAGTAATCCATCCTGACACGGTTATCCATCATCCGGTGCAACAGCCTGATGAGTGACATGAGAGGCTGGTGAGCGCACTGTATTATAATTACCTTGTTGTGTGTGTCAGCTGACCTTACACCCACCACATACGGCTAATATAGTGCAGAGATTGGCAGGGGAAAGCCGGGGAGTTAATAAAACAGAACTGGAGACTCAGAGAGAAGAGAGCAGAGGAGACGGTTTGCTCTAGAGACTGTTGTCCATGTTCATCGAAACACCAATTAGGAAAATACTATGTGACATTTCTGCTCTTTCCCTTCTCATGATACGGCTAATGCGCCCCAGCATGCACAGTCATACTTCACAAGGCTTTATAATGCTGACGCTGAAACACAAAAGGTTGGACACACAAGATTTAGGCACTTGGGCTGTTTCCTTGCAGATTGAAAACTCTTCTTACAATCTTGGCTGAGGGTGGAAGAAGTAATCTCTCTACTTTAGTGGCAAGAAAAACACACACAAGTAAAAAAAATACTCCTACACAAGTGAAATCCTACATCCAAAATCCTACATGAGCAAGCAAGAAAATACAAACTCAAGAATATCAAGTTTACTGTCTGCTGTAGCAAACAGAGAGTGATGCATTTGACCTATTTTATACACATGCAACATTTTTATGTAAATAAGCAAACTGTACTATAATGTACAAACTCAATATGTCTCTCTCTGGCATTTGTTTTATATATTTAGTCAACCTCCACCTACGTATGATCTCTATTGTTGTTATATCTTATAACTATTATTCTCATTTTATTTGCAGATGACTCATTTCCTGTTCAATACTTGATTCTGATTGGTCAAAACACCTGAATCTTAAGTTGTCAATGGTGTAAACAACACCACATGTCATTTAAATCAATCTGCATAAACAAGTCTGACACATTGCTCCTCCCCCTGTCATCTGCATGGTAATGGTAAACAAGCAGAGTAATCTAAATAAAGTGATGTTCTTCTAAAGGTCTAAAATGCAGTGCGTAATGAATGTCTGGCATGGGCACGCTTAAAAAAGTCTTTCACCAGAGTCCTGCTAATTATCCTGTCCTACACTTTCTTCACTGCAGAGGTAACATGCATGCACAATTTCTCCAGAAGAAAGTTCAGTCTTTAAGAGCAAACTAGCATCGGTATACAAGGCAGCAAACTTAAAGGGATAGTTCGGTATTTTCAAAGAAGGACTGCATGAGTTGCATGCAGTTGCAGGTGGAGGGGATACTGTCAGCTCTGCCCCTTAGACAGGGTGACCATATTCTGACTTCTCAAAAAGGGGTCATGACTATGCGGGGGCAGAGTCACAGAGTCGCACGAAGTTAATTTTGAGAATTTTTGGGTCGGATTGAGTGTCTTTTATGCTCAGCGCTTCACAAACTCGACAAACTCAATACTTCTGTACAAAACCGCAGTCATTTGAAGGATTTTATAAACTCTCCGGACAAACCCGAAGGGCCCCCAAAAAGAGGACGTATGGTCACCCTGCCTTAGATGAAAAACCATGGGAAGAACCAGCACACAAGCTAGGCTATAGTTTTCTGCAGACAGTGTGTAATTTCATTCATTCTTGATAGACCCAAACTCAAGCACTCATCTCAGTATGAGTGCACAATATGGCATTTTACAACACTCAAATTGCAACCAGAAAGTCTCTTTGTTTTGCACTTTTTGCCAATGCAACTCATGGACATGTTCTACCATCTTCAACACACTGATCATCGATATTCTCATTCACAAAGATCCTGAGGTATTGCTATTACCAAGACCCACTCATGACAGCAAATAGTGTTCTCAACGTGTGGGCATTAGCTTGCAGTTCACACACCTGCACAACCAGGTAACTTGCGATCTCTCCTGCTCTCTGGTTAGTACAGGATGAAAGTGCAAAAACAAACGGGTGTCCAACTGCATAGTGACAGAAAATATCGAGACAAGAGCTTGGGCCAGAATCTCTCAAGGTTAGCTACATGGCAGACATGACCCTGTCTGCAGAAACCTTTAGCCTAGCTTCCATGCCCAGGTATGGAAGTATAGAGCAACATGAAAGCAATGCAATAAAGCAAAGACAAAATTAAACACTTGAACAAATCCAGTTGGCATGATTGTAATCTAAATGTAATATTCATATATTTAGCATCGATGTTCAGAGCTGGTTCAGTTACCGCAGGACTCCACACAGTCCCGGTGTGGAAAAGAGTTTTAAAGCTGTGTGTCCTTCGACGTCACGCTGATGTGTGTGATACAGAACAGCATCTTGTCTAATCACTCCCTGCAGTAGCCCTGACTAAGCCAGTTTTAAAAACACCCACCATCCTGGACTGAAGCCAGCTGGGTTTTCTTCAAACTCCGTGCTACAGTATCATCGCGGCTGTTGGCCTCCTGGCAGCAGATATGACATTGACACCTATAGTGGGAGCCTGCGGTCCACCACCAACAGAGCTGTTTCATACAGGACACCCTGAGCTTTTCCTGGACTCTGTTTGTACTGCTCAGTGCCCAGCTTGAGCGCTTTTATTCTCCCGCTGTTTATTTTCAGAGCAAACAGTTCCAACACAAATTTAAAAAGCATGTAGACGTTCACATAACAGGAATAAAGGGATTGTTTACCATTCAGCCTATGGTGTGTAAACCTCCCAGGCTGTCCAAGCAGAGGCTTAGACACTGCTGCACTGACATCCTTCACAGTGCCATCCACAGATTTGTGGTCCTATTGAGCTGCGGATGAATTATTTATCAGCCTTCCACTAACAAAATGGGCTTTTAATTGTGGGGACTGCTGTCGGACAACAACATTTGAAACACAGGCCCCTGATACAAGCAGCTATCGATCAACCCCGAGCTGGTTTACATCCAAATGAGAATCCTGAAGGGATCCTGCTCCATCCAGAGGACAGTATGTTTCTCATGAAATTTCACACATTTTATATCCTAAAAAAACTGCAATATTTTCTCACTAATCCAGCAGTGAGAGAGATGAAACTTCAAAGGGAAGATAGAAGGAGTAAGCCGCTGTGGTTTTGCTTTAATCTCAGATTTTTAGACTCATCAAAAGCCAGTAAAGAAGAGCAAAGCAACCAAGCACAAGTAAATGGTAATTTAGTGCTGATTAATTCAAAATCTGTACTGAGTTAAAAGCTGACAGAGATTCGCCTAATTGTTCTCAATAGATGTGCTTCTCCCTCTTAAAGCTCTATAAATCCACTCAGTGTCTTCCCCTACAGCAGGTTTTATAACTTTGTCCAGCACAGGAAATAGCCTACACATAGCCTACGTATTTTGCACTCTACATGATGACACTTAGAGAAAGCAAAAAATGTTTTATATAAACTGACTTTGACTCAGGCATTCTGGAGGCAGCTCTGCTCTCCAGTCAGACTCATAAAAATGAACCATGTTGACATGAAAATTCACAAGTCACACCAGCGTCTTCTTTACCCACATGCTCACTCATTGACAGGTAAAAAGCGACCTGTTTTATTCTAAAGCAGGTAATTTCAGCTCCGGATAAAACTGACGATGTAAAAATGAAGCCTGATCAGACAAAATCGAGGCATTTTTTTTCTCTTACTGAAACCCGCAACGCCCGATGTAACCCCTCAAAAACGTGTCAACAGCTTACCTTTCTCATGTTATTGTGATCAGCTGCGGATGGGTGTCGTTCACACGGGAATAGTTATCCAGCTCTTACATGTCGGCCGTGAGATCACTGTCACCGGCTGTTTGTCTGGAGGTAAACAACACGGTCCGACAACAGTGCGAGAAACAGCCTTTTAAATGTTTGTCTTTTTATCCCTTTTTGGATGTATTGCACAGTCTCGCTCGTTGATTCCTCCTTCCACACAGTTCAGCGGTCCTCTGGTCGCAGCAGCTCACCGGCGGACGCACACGGATCCATCAAGGAAGGGAAAACGCAGTTTGGAGGCTGCCGGTGATGCCGCTGCTGCAGCGTTTGGTCCGTCGAGACGCGGGATATGAGGGAGGTGGGGGTGGCGGTGGGGGTGGGGGCATCCGAGGGCCCACGACAGCACACTCAGCTCCGAATATGAACTCATCGGACCCGAAATCACGGTGGTCTCATGAGCAAACGGTGGTTGATGAATCATTATGCGCACAGAGACGCAAACATGCGCGCGCGTTTGAGTGTGTTTTATTGAGGAGTGACGCTTCTGGATGATTCAAGCAGAGAGAGAGAGAGAGGGACAGAGAGAGAGAGCGAGAGAGAGAGAGAGAGAGACTTTAAAGGGAAAATTCATTCAAAAATATGTCTACTGTTGTAGCATTGCGAACTGTTTTGGTTTATGATCTACTGACTGTTTTCATCAGAAATGAACGACCCAGTGTTTTCATAATTAGATTAAAAACTTATAAAACTGCTTTTTATTTTGTCCCAATCTTAGTGACTTAGTGTACTGAATCACCAGACTCAGTTCACTAAAAAGATTTGTTCAAAAGATTCGTTCACCAAATCATTTAGCTGGAGAAGCCTGCGACTCCGACCTCCTGAACTGATACACAGCTGAACAGTTCAGGATTCAGTTCAATTCATAGCTTATGGGACCAGAAGAAAGAATGTTGTTATGAGCCACACCCTGCTTAAATTGTCAAATGCAATATTTAATGTGGATTTATCACGTGGAAATTGCAAAAGCTGGGCTTTTTCTTTGGCTGCTTCACTGACAACAATCAGTTGTACTGCTGAAAGTCTTGTTTGCGTTTGTAAGTCATAAAAAGATGTTGGGCTTCTGTAGAGTTAATGAAGTAAACATCTTGTGTCCCAAACTAAGCTCATGATTGACTCTGGTCAGGTTTTAGATATTACATATATCTATATTCAGCCATACTTCACTGTAAATCTCTACAGAAGGCAAACACACAGATTTTGAGTTTGTGTTTCCCAGTAGTTAAGAGAGGGTGTCTGTGTAGGCACCACGTTATTTTCATGATGATATTTAAATGGTTGTATGTAGTTTTGATGACCACTGGCTCATATTTAGTCACTGCCCTTGGGTCAAAGACCAGCTTCTGTGTTTTGGTTACATAACAGGAGCCTCTCTATAATGTAAAACACTACAACAGCACCACATACTGTACGCTCCATATCTCAGACAAAAAGACCATGACGCCGCTATCATGTACTATCATCTACTGTCTGTCTAGCAGCTACAGAGTTTGACTTGTCTGCACTATTGGTCTCAATAGCATACATACATGTGAGAGGGTCATTTAATGATGTATTTTTCTTGTATGGAGCTGTGATTACTTATGCACATTTGGTTTAGTGAATAATTAGTCACACAGCTGTTTGGAGGCAAAAATACAATAATAGAGTCACACATATACTTACACACAGAGACATGTGCCACCAATAGCAGCATGAATGTGACTAATCTCCAGTTTAAAATCAAACTGACAATAAAAGACAATCTGTCCTCTCCACAGTAATGCCCAGTAGCACAAGAATTAAGGGTGGCTGATTGGATGAGACCATGACTAATAACTCTGCATCTGATCCAGGAGTAGAAAACTGAAGGGGCACTGAAGCAGCCAATGGTTGTGTTGTATGATGACTGTTTTTTGTCTAGCTCATCGGTCTTATGGTCTTTACACACATTACCACCAACAGGTTAAAGTTAACTCCGTCACTTCAGCTGTAGTCGACTGTTACCCTACTTTTCAGTTTCAACATTTGGTCTTTTAGCCTTTCATGGTCGTATGGTTGCCATTAAACAACGTCCATTTTGATTTTGATGCCCTGCAAAGCCTGAATGGATGTGGGTCAGTGATTTAAACTCTACAGGAGGCAATCAAACAACCAATAGATCATTTGGCTGTTTCTCAGTGACCTTGAGCTACAAAACAAAAGCGGCAAAATCTGTGCTACTGTAACCTTTACGATCAATTAAAGAGGCTCATTGAAGAGTTTCTCGCTGGTTATGAAAATGCCCTAAACCAATACTGTTACCTCTGTAACAGTAGCTTGTAGACAGTAAATTGTGATGCATGTGACCTCTGCTGTTCAGTGGTAGTTAGACTAAGTAAGTCACAGCTGAACACACGGTCTTTATTAACATTTTAGACAGCAAACCCAGTGAGCATTTTGAGGTTGATAATACGTCTAATATACGTCTAAATTTAGACGAGACGTCTAGTCTAAATTTGGTATAACAGAGGTATAGAAATGAAAGTTTTTCCTACGTCGAAATTTATACGTCTTTTCAACGTCGAAACTTATACGTTATTTAAACGTCGAACTTTGTACGTTTTTTACACGTTTCTATTTATACGTTATTTAAACGTGTTTGTTCTTCATTGTTCCGTCTGTAACGTTGAAATAACGTCCAATAGACGTTTTTATTTAAACGTCTTTATGTTCATATGACGTTCATGCTTCAACCAAATATAAACCCCGGTATAGACATAGACGTTGATTAAACGTTTATTAAACATCTGGTCTACAACGGCCGACCCGGCGGGGACAGGGCGAGCCTCCCCGCGCGCGGACGGTCCCGGCAGCGGCGGCCGATGGAGCCCGCAGGTCCCCGGTCAGCCCACCTAACGAGTCTACTAAACTTTCATTTCTATACCACTGTTAAACCATTTTTAGACTCCAGGTCCAACGGACGCCTAAAGGCACAATCATTTCTTGTTAATATTTTAATAAATTTACTAGATATAAACAATGCATATTACCATAAGCATCTGATATATGTAAATTGAAGAAAATATTCACAGGAAAGACGTGTAACAACGTATAAATCAAAACGTTTAAACAACGTATAAGTTTCGACGTTGAAAAAACGTTTAAATTTCGACGTTGAAAAAACTTTCATTTCTATACCTCTGTTCTACCAAATTTAGACTAGACGTCTAGTCTAAATTTAAACGTATCTTAGACGTATAATCAACCTCAAAATGCTCACTAGTACCATCTGTAGAGCCAGATTCTCTACACCAAAAGTTACCTGCTGCTTACCTTGATACATATACTCCCAGGATGTTCTAATTTGGCAATGTTGCTACTCTTCCTGGACCTTTTAGAATATTTAGCTTCTACAGTCATGCTCATTCATAATTTAACACTGATCTACATTTGGCAACGATCAGTCCACTGTAATTGAAATCGCAGTACATTTTTCACTCAGAATATAACCATTACAGTCATGGAGTGGGAAAAACAATTTTTTAATTTCACATCTAATAAGATGAACATTTAAAAAAGAAAAAAATCTATAAGTCTATATACAAAGTATGAACAAGAACAACAACACACAGAAAAATTTAACTAACACTAATATTGAAATGAACTTTATTAACAATTTTAAGATGTATTTAAAAAAAAGAATTAGCAGGGTGGAGTTCTGGTGGTGCCCCTCCCACCACGTCGAGCTGGCGCTTGCTTTAAATGGTCCCCAATCGATGCTCTGACCAGTTCCTCCGTTGCAGTCGGGAAGTTTATGCGAACACATTCTGCAAAAAGAAAAAAAAAAAAAGAAACTTGAATCATAGTAAGTGTAGAAATTATCTAGTATTGTCCGTAAGGATTCTTCACTTTTTTACAGCTTCAGGCTTTAAATGAGTCAGTAACATGACCAAGAATAAGTAATAACTTGCAGAGATATAATTCATTTACCAAGAACAACTGTGAAGAAAGCCGTTTTCTTCAAGCTTTCCTCCCCCTGGCGTCCTCCCCCCCAGGAGGTTGTAATTCCTCTGGACATCATTGTGTAAAATTCTGAAATGGATATCAAAGACAAATAAATCTCTTAAGGTGCGTTCACACCGGACAGGCGACGCAACTTGTCGCGTCTCGAGGGGACGTTGCGTCAGGTGTCCTTAAACGTGTCACTTTGCCACCGTCAATTCGCGTTGCACACTATGTCACACCCACTCAAGGTTTCCCCTCAATCTCGTCGGATACTGTGTCCAGCACTGCTCTTTATTTGCTAAACAAGTCCCTAAAACGTCAGAGAAACCCTCGGTGCTGTTGCGCAAGTGCCTGTGTGAACGCACCTTAATACTGCTTACTCTTGCAATTCACTAGAAAGACTTGATAAACACCAACAATACATGATTATATTAATAACATTGACCATTATATTGTCTTACATTCATTTTCATGTATTCATATTCATACCTGTCCAGGATCCTGCGTGTGCAGGTCTTGATGTCTTTACCCCCAAGGTGTGACAGTTGTTTTATCTGTATGATATAATCAAATTATCAAGAGTGTCTAATGTATACATTTCTATGATTTTTGGCATCTCTATTTGACTTACCAGTGAACGTTTCATGCTGGGGTGCCCATCAATTTCCGCTGACATGCGCTGAGCCTCCTCCAAAGTCCGTAATGGCAACGGACCTATCCGCTCACCCTGATCGTCAACGTCCCCCTGCTGGTTGAGGGATTTTAATTCATCGCGGATTTGCATGAGCGTTTCCACGACCACCCGCTGGAACTCTTAGTGAAAAGATATGATTTAGTAACATTCAATTCAATAATTACAGTACATTACATAACATTTTGTACTTTAGTTATGCCACTCTTACTTTCCTCAGGCATTGGGTACGAATAAACCCTCTTCCTCGCTGCAAAATCCAAGAAAGAGACAATAAATGGACGATGAGTGTGGTACTTAATTTTGGCTGTTAAACACAAAATCATTAGCTGTTGCACTATTTTAAAAAAGCCCCCACCCTACTTTAAAACCACTGCTAAACCTGATAAATCCTTACCTTGAATACTTGGACTTTTTGTCCGCTTAGCTGAGGGTGAAAGAAGAGGGAATTACAGGTCACATGGGCAACATCACTATTTAATATTAACACTATAGACAGTTAGTACCTTGTGAGGTACGGCTCACTGAGGGTCCAGCCTGAGGGCTCGGAGTCTCTGTTGGCAGAGGGAGTTAAGGAGCATACTCATCTCACTTCCAAACGCAACTGTTCTTTTGTGACTTTACAACACATCTTACCTTGCTGTGTTGCTGCCCTACCAGGCTGATCACCTGTTGGGGTCAAACCAAATTTAATTTCACATCATAATTACTTAAACAGCAATGTCATCCTAGTTGGAGGAATTAAAAGTCTACCTCTGGTTGTCGCAGCTCTGGAGGTGCCACGGTTGACTGTTTTGTGGTGGAAAACGATCACATTA